TCTATTGAAGCAATGTAGTTCTATGACATGATTTTTTATAGTAACAATATATAGATAGGTAGAGAGGATACTACTGTGGCTATCTGCTCTATGCTATGAGATATCCATATGTAACCTCTGTGCCTAATGATAAGCTATTTAATCTGAATCTCAAATTTTGCAACTTTCTTGATCCTTCTTTAAGCAGCTCCTTCCAATCAAATACATAATAGATCAAATCAAATGTACTTGCTATACAAAGCACATGCCCCACAGGTGACACTGAGAATGAAATATCTGAATGAATATACTCTATTCTGCCAAAAATAAAAAGAAAACCAGAATCTATGAACAATAGAAAAAGTAGATTTTGAGTTTAGAGTAGTGTATCTCTATACAACTATGGCTATTGCTTCCTTAGTAGAGGGGGATGTGACATACTGACCAGTGTGTATATGATGATATAAAACATACCTTGATTACATACCTATGATAAGCAGTAGGAGAGTGCAAAGATTATGTCCAAAGTATTCATCATCATATAAATGGCAAATTAGGCTACCACTTGGCTAGATATGAATACTGTTTCTACTGTATAATGATCAGTGTAGTTCCCTAGATATGATGCGCTACTCACATATAGGGCTTCAATATGAGTATTATCTGATAAAGGCCAAAATTCATCGCTTTTGGCACCTACGTTGCATTGGTCTAGGAAATTATATATACATAAGTAAATGAAACCATTTATTCATGGGTAGTGAACACGATGCCTGGGCGTATCGCTGCGGTCAAAAAAACCTATGGTGTCTATGCTAGTTAGTGAGAAAAAAATCGACGAATTTTGTGAGCAAAATTGAGTCAAAAATTTATATTTTTAAATAGTCAATTTCTCGCTTATTTCAAGAGTGATAAGCACATAACTACATGAAATGGATTAGTGCATGACATACACCATGATTTAATCTTATCATATTCAATGAACGTCGTACTGAGAAATAAATTAAGATTTTCGATGAATTCCATTTTTGTGACTCAATTTTGCCGCTCAGTGTATAAAACCTATCGAATGTAATCGAGGAAATGTAATTTTGAACCCCACTCGAATCCAGTGGTCCAATTGGAACCAATGCCTAATGACCATAAACCCGTCCGCACGTGCAGCACCCATCTTATGGTTCATGAGGCTTTTCAAAGGTGGCTCAGGGATAACGTGTCAGATCTCTGTCACATTCTCGGTAATCCACTTCTACGGGAACTCCTATATCATTGGTACATATATAATTTATAAAGCGGCAGAAATGAGATATCTATGCATGGAGTAGCTTCGAAATATAATGAAATATATAAAGGAATCTGTTAACATCTCAATGCGCAGTCAGCTACAAGTGCTAGCCAGTAATTACGTTTGTGTTCTTGTATAGTAGGCATGTTTTGCATACAATAGATAGTACAATCACATATTGGTCCCCAGGCAGGACATTCAAATAAGCCCGCCTGCTGCTCTTAGCTCTCGCACATACCTGATCAAATATGCAGAGCAGCCCGATGTTGTTACTATGTCGGCTCATCTAGATCAAGGCGAGTCATAATATCCAATGAACCGGCTCGATACGGTCCAGCTTGCCTGTTTTGGCAGAGCTGACCTCACCGGACAAAACCATGAAGAAAGAGCCCAGGCTCAGCCCTTTGTCTGTCCCTCATATTTTAGCACTGTTTTAAGAAGATACAACCTCTAACCATGGGCCTTTGCGATGTAAGTGTGGGCACGATTATGACGAATTGCATGGGCAAGGCCATTACATCTAGCAACACAGCAGCCTCAAGCACGATTTCCGTTTTTTAGAACCCCGAGATTGCGGAAGCATACGAAAACGTTCGTGACGGTAAGTGACTACAAGAAAGCCAGTCATACCGCAGAAGGCTGATCCAGCTACCAAACTCAAGTACATGCAGCATTCGATAGTTGTATGCATACATATCACTCAATAACCCTGACGTATTGTAGACAAGAGTGAGACCAACTGGCTGCTGCTTGAATTTGTCGACGACCGCAAGGACGAGCTCAAGGTGGGCGGCACGGGTACAGGTGGTCTTGACGAGCTGAAGACACACCTGAAGGACGACCAGGCGGCGTTCGGATATGTCCGCATGATCATGTCCAACGACGAGCTGTCTCAACGCACCAAGTTTGTCTTCATTTCGTGGTGCGGCGTGGGTACGCGTGTGATGCGCAAGGCCAAGCTGAGTGTGCAGAAGGGCGATGTCAAGAATGTTTTGCGCAGCTTCTCGATCGAGGTACCGGCCAGCGAGCTTGGAGAGCTTGCCAACGACGAGATCATGCTGCTGCTGCGGAAGGCTGGGGGTGCCAACTACGACCGCCAGGCATCCAACTACTGAAGATGGCTTAGGTGCAAAACAAAAAACATCTCCTTGCGTTATCGGAATGACTCTAGCCCGAAAATCAGTACCCCTTTTCTATACCCTACACATTCGCCAGTGCGCATTATAGATGACTTTATTTGCTCATGAGATACGGATAGCGGTTCTGCAGCAGCGTCGTCAGCTTTCCGTCCTTGTTGACTCGTTGTTTGAAGTCATCCGACATCTGACCCAGCTGCCTGACGCATTCAGCCAGCATCAGCAGCTGCTGATCGGGGACCAACGACAGATGCACAACCTCGTAGATGTTGGCAAGGAACGCTGGTGTAACAATGCGATCCAGCGCCGCAAACGTGCGGCTCACCAGCGGTCCTTTGGCAACCTTTGAATCAGGCATCAGGTTTATGTCAGCGCCGGGAAGGCCAGTCGGCGCATCAGCCTCGCTAGAGTCACTCGCCAACGAGAGTCTGACCAGGGTATTGTACTTTGCCATCTCAACCACCCAGGTCCACAGGGCAACGATAGCTTCGCAGCGGCTGGTCTTGTTTGCATCAACGATACCTTGGGCAAAATAATGCTCAGCCTCCCAGTCCAGCAAGCCCATGTAGACCTCGATCGTCTGGGCCAAATCCCAGGCACCAAAGTTGATCCGATGTAGTATTGCGCCTAGCGTGCTCATAGCCACAGTGCGCTGCGCCGGTACGGTACTACGCGACAAATGCAGCAGCTCCGGGATCGTGTACCCGGGTCGCTCAGGATCATCACCATGGTGGTGCAGACCCAGGTGTGTGGGCACTTCGCTGGCAGTCTCTTCGGCCATGATCTGCCCATCAAAAGCAAACCGCACATGCGCGATCCCCTTGGCCATCAAATCCCCCTCAGTCGCATTGGCGGTTTGATTGAGTGCAGCACTGGCCGCCTGCTCCTCCTCCTTCTTGCTAATGTGAAGCGCACGCTCCACCGGCGACTTGGCCTGGTTGTGGCCCAGGATCCACGCCAGCTTGGCCTCCTCAACGACCTCGGCCGGGAAATACTTGCGCTTGAGCTGCCCGTAGAATGCACTATCGGCGCCAGTTTCATTATTGTCCGCGTCGATGGTGCTGCTCTGCTTGCCACCAGTAGTTGTGCCACTACTTTCATCGACCCATTCGGCAGGAGGCGGTGGTGGAGGCACCATATCGTCATCGCCATCGTCATCGTCATCGTTCGCATCCTCGACTGAGGCAAACCGGACCTGCTTTTTGGCAGTGCTAGGCTCTTGAACTGAATTCCCAGCCACTGTCTCTTGCATTGGGCCCTTGGTAGTGGTACCCTGCTTCGACGCTTCCGCACCCACGCTATTCTTCTTGCGGGCGCGCAGACGGGCGATAAGCTCCGACGAAAGTAGTTCCTGGATTTCGCCTTGAGCTTCAGCAATCTCCTCCGCCGACATCCCGCTGATTCGCTCCTCGTTCTCCTTTGACGCCTGCCCACGCACTTGGGCCCAGAGCTCGCCACCCTTGTGTTCGTCAGAACCTGGCTTCTCGATTTCTGCTGCTATTTGCTTGTCCTTTTCTGCTGCCTTGGCAAGCTTGAAATCAGTAGGAATTTCAGGGAACCCATTGGTGCGCGGCTTTGGTTCAGGCGGCAGCACGGGTTCGGTGACCTTTGTGCTCTGGCACTGGTGCCATCAGCTTAGGTAGGAATGTTGCGTCGCTGCGGCTATCCAAACCAACCTTGTTGGATTTGCTGATGGCGCCGCCTGCAGTCTCCCTGCTGCTTTGCCAGCCGCCGCTGTGCAAATAGCGACAGCTTCTTAGGCGGCTCCTGTTGGCTGGGAACAACCTTGGGCTGTGGTGCTGGCGAGTTGGGCTCGGATCGCTCATACTCCTTAATAGCGGTCGACATACGCTGAACAAAGTCCATAACCTGCGAAGAGTCAGCTCCACCGATATCCTCCTCATGAGTGCTTGGTGCCGGCTGATCCTGCATCTTTGGTATCGTTTTTGTGGACATTTTGGAAGCGGCGGCTGTAGCGGCTGTCATAGTAGTACCCACAGCAGGCGGCTGCGCCCGGCGTATAACCTTGGCTGCTGGCTTGGTGCGTTTGTGCCTCAGAAAGTCACGCTGCATTGCCTCTAGATCGTCGTCATCGGTGCCCAGATCGAATCTTCTGGGCCGCAGACTCTCCCGTGCGTTTTCCTTGCCCGACATGTCTGCAAATGAGGTCTCACAAAGAATACGGATGGGTCGATGGATAGGCAGATAGCTGCCAGGAAAAGGTTGGCAGGCACTGGATTTCCTTGTGCAGCTAGCGCGGAAGCCCCATATAAGCTTATGGCTCTAGCCCGTGTGATCAATGGTAGGGGTGTTTAGAAACCTAATGCTCCAGCAATGGCATGCTTCTACACACCATTTACCTACTACAGCAAAAAGAGCTACATATGTGTCCTGTTATGCGTTTGAAAAAAAAAAAAAAAAACCTGAGCATACAGTCTGACAATTGGTCTCCTGGTAGACACGATGGTTTCCTAATTACAATCAAACAGTATTTATAGCACCCATCACATCAAGCACATACATCCATGCCACACCCTTCAGGTACTATCCTCTCATTCTTTTTGGTCGATAATATAGATGATGAAGAGTGTAAGGAAAAACGATCTGTCCACAAATATTTTATCACTTCAGGCTAGCCATGGCATCGCAGATGTACTGCTCGACACTGGCAGCTGGGGACCACATCAGGACCTTGACCTCCTCCAGCATCTTTTCTGGGTACTTGCCATCAGGAATAACGTCCTTGGCCTCGCCACAAGCTATACTAGCCACCTTATGCCAGTACTTCTCGCGCACCTGATCCTCCCTGACAGCCTGCGTGATGAACGCCGATGCAAGCTCAGCCGACACATCCCGTATACGCTCGATGCGCGGGTACAGCTCGCCACGAGCACGCTCCTCGTCGGTCAATGAGTTGGCCAGCGCCTTGGCAACAGCAAAAATCATGGTGTCGGTGATGCACTTGGGCTGGCTAAGCACACCGACCCAGACCAATGGCTGGGAACACATACATGTTGTTGCCCTGGCCAGGAACATGGCGAATACCGGTCTCAGGCACAGTGTACGTCGGGAATGCGGTGCCAGATGCAAACAACACACGATTGTTGGTGTAGATCATGGCCTCCTCAAACGAACATTCAGCCTTGATCTGCAGGGTTTGACAGCGGGAAAATGATCGGGCGGTTCGTCTGGTTCAGCTCATTCATGCGCCTCAGGATCTTGGGCGAGAACATCTTATAGATGGTCGACAGACCGATGAGTGCTGTTGGCTTAATGTACTCAATAGCCTCCTCAAGATCCTTGCACTGCACATCACCGTTGTCGTGGCGGGCAAAGTACACCTTGTGATCAGCCAGCTTGTCGCCGCGGTTGGCCGTGATCATGCCACGCGAGTCGACAAACCAGAACATGGCCTTGGCCTGCTCCTCAGGAACCTGGTGTTCGTAAATGAAGTATTCAATCCAGCTGCTTGGCGACACCAACGCCAGCCGAGCCAGGCTCCAACGAACAGGATGCGCTGGTTCTTTGGCGAGATTCCAGCGTTTTTGACAGCATTTATAAATCCGGCCAGGATGACACAGCCGGTACCCTGGATATCGTCGTTGAAGCACAGGATCTTGTTGCGCCACCCCTCAAGCAACTCAAATGCATGGTCCGTGCTAAAGTCTTCGAACTGGATTAGCATGTTTGGGAACGCCTTGTGCAGCGCAGTGATAACCTTCTCTGTCGCCTCGTAAAACTATAAACATTGGACAAGCTGCGGTTAGTGAGATAGGCATATTCTGGCTTGCATATGAGACTATATTGAACTGAACTTACTGTCTTGTCATCAGGGGCGGCGCTCGCGGATGCCAAGGTAGAGGGGATCGTTTAGATACTCCTTGGTGTCGGTACCAAAGTCCAGAATAATGGGCAGACAGCGACCCGGGTTGAGACCAGCTGCAGCAACATATAGCTGCAGTTTACCAATGGGAATCCCCATCCCATTGATACCCAGATCGCCCAGACCCAGGATGCGCGAGCCGTCAGTGATAACCGAGATCTCGGGTACAAGCTCCTGCGAAATCGTCTCCTTGTAGTTGCTCAGCACCTCGTCGATAGACTCGACATCATGGATGGTGATAAACAGGCCAACCGATTCCTTACACGGGTACAGGAACGGGTAGATATGCGAGTACTTGATGCACGCCTCGCCTACGGTCGGCGTGTAGATCAGCGGCGCTACCTCACGCAGGTGGCTCAGTACCAGGCGATAGAACAGGTTGATATTAATCGAGCGCAGATTTGCCAGGAAGATGTACTTGTCTAGATTCGTGCCCTTGGACTGGAGCTGCTCGTACGCGCGAGCCTCCTGCTTGGCAAAGTCTTCGATACTGGCAGGGATCAGACCCTTCAAGTGCAGTGTACGCCGCATCTCTGCTGGCATCGCTGTGCCGGCCTTGGCCCCGATCAACTCCATCGAGCTTCCGGCGGGAATCTGACACATCTGACATTGCAACTTTTCCTGAAAGACTTTAGTAGATGTAATAGAGCAAGAATCAGCGAGAAAACAGCTTAGAGAGACACTAAGCCAGGCAAAAAAAACTTTTTTAAACCGCAAGGGTTGGAGGGCCAACTAGCTCGTTCACCCTTGCTTTAACTTTGCTGGGGACACAAGTATGTGCTAGTGTGGAGGCAGAGACCGCACATCAGCCGATTTCTTTTCTTGTGCTCACACACCACCTACTTTGTGACGCAACACCATGGCTGCCCCAGAATCGCCTGTTTACAGTCCGACTGAGCGATCCCGAAGTGCGACGTTCAGTAAACCAGAGACCATTCCACCGCTACACCAGCCACCCCCAACAACACCATGCTTTCTCAGTCAGCTCGGCCACCCTTACCTTGCCTTTGCATTGTGGTGGATCAGCTCTGGTTAAGTACCCATGAGTGGTGCGCGTCAGTAAGCTAATAGCATGAACAATCAAAACAAAATACCGCCATATATTTTACTGGTTTAACACGATCCTCACTGGCTAGAGCATGACCCCACCGTGATAAGCCACATTCATGCATCAAAGCACCGCAGACCCCTTGCCATGCTTGATGTGCGGACAGCTCGCGTACTAGTTATATATACAAGAACTATGTCTGATCCTGCACTCCCTTGACACAAGAATAAAGACTTAAATACAACCCCGGTAGAGCCATTAAATTTCATAAAGACAGCTAAGACAGTCAAGACCAGCATGTGGTAGTACCGTCATAGACCGAACTTTAATTATAGCGATGTTCATCCCTAGGTGACGAGCAAACCTATCGGTATGTGATGAGTGAATAAATAGCAGTGTTGGAGAGAGGCTGTCATACATCTGCATCTTACTCTCCTCAAAAAAAACAAACACTAATCATTCATATTTTCCTTTTCCATTTCATCGCAATTGATACTGCTAAGCTTTATTTACCATATTACCTCTTCATATGACTGACTCCGAACAGAGTAGGAGTGCCAAGGGTGCTGCACAGGTTGTATTTGCCTGGACGCACCCGCACGTGAAGCTTGACCCTGTTGGCACCGCAGACAAGATTGCGATTATCATTGGTGGAACTTGGTATGGGCTGACATTCTTTTTGGCTGATTTCTGCTGGCTGAATTGGAAATATCGACCTATCCACACAAAGAACCTCCCCCTCACTACGCTGTTCTACTTTATGTACATCCTCTGGTTCATTGGTGATGTGGTAACAAGTGGAAATATCAATGTCGAAGGCGCATGGGCTAAATGCAAGGCGCTTGGTGCCTGGGTCAGAATTCCAGGGTCATTTGCCTGCTCTAGCGCCCTCCTATTCCGGGTATTTGCCCTGGGCCATGTGTTTAACCACCGCAAACCATGCATGGGTATGGATTCTATAGCCCCAGTACCGCTTTTGTCGTTCTACTTTTTAGTTTTCTGCAGTATCACGCAGGTGCACAAGAACGGCACTACTGTCAAATATGATCCTGTGCTTGAGGGTCATGTCTATGTAAAATCTTTCAGGTATGTTGCTCCTGGAATCCTCTGGTATATTTAGATTATCCCAGGCATATACACTATCAAGATTTTCACCCTCAACTTGTCGTTTGGAGTGTTCAAAGGGAATCTGATTTTGTTTTTCTTTGTGCCTGTGCTGGACTCTCCGCGTATCGCTTCCGCTGCATCAGGCTGTTCATTGCCGCGACACAATCCTGGAGTACATTACTGGGAGCGTGCCCATTTGGGTCATCCTCAGGTACCCAGGCTTCCAGGGTGCTTCAAACTACCATGGCTATCTAGAAAAATGGATGCGGCAGCTCAAGACCAAGGCATACAACAAGAAAGACAACTACATATTGCAAAAGGTCTACGATGACCAGTATAGTCCTTGATTACCCTAAGGAACCCCTTGGTCCATTCCAGGCCAAACCTCTGCCTATAGAGATCAGGGCATCAACAACCTCAACAATCAACATGGTTCTAGAAACAATCAACATGCACCCGCCATGCTCTTACTGCACGTCGGCCACACAATACTAGGTACCGTGCACAATGATCGAGTACGCTATGGGCCTTGACAATACGTCGTTTTATCACGAGCCGCCCTTGTCTACTGGAGATCGCCGACAGATTCTTTAACGATCCCTTAGCACCGTTGCTCCTTCAATTAATAAATCAGCATCATTAATAGCTGCTTCTTTTTGTATGCCTTTCTGGCCAAATAGAAGCGGCAATGGAATGGCTCCACCTCTCCCCAAAAACGCCCTGAGTGCGATATGCATCTAGGCTGCATATCTCCATTGTAGCGCTTCTTTGCAGTGCTAGGGGATTTTCATCTTTCTCCTTTTGTGTTTAAGCCGATGCGCGACAGTGCAATTAAACGACTGCACTCTGGTGCAGCCCATCTGGTCTATTTTGCAGGACCTGGCACCATTCATTGGCTGCTTCACCGGATACGTCCCGGCTTGCATATATCCTGTCCCTCGATTTTGATGCCGAGTGTGGGGACTCGCAAGGTGGCCGCACCTGAATGGCAGCAACGCCCCGCACTTATTTATATAGCAGCATGACAAAACTGGTGGGCAGGGTGGAGGAGTGTTTCCGAATCCAAGATACACCTTGCCTCTGTTAATTGTCAACCTTTATTTCGGTTTCCGCTTATCCCACCTCTCTGTGCATTGATTTTCTATTCGCGTGTTTTCATATTCCCTCCCTTATCCCTCTACCTGTTGCCATTTCTGTAAACGGATACACAAAAATGAGTCTCACAGATGCCGAGAAGGCAGCCATCGCACATGCGAATGGTCTACCTTATGACCCGGTCGGCGACACCGACAAGGCTGTAGTATACCTTGGCATAGTGTTCTACAGCATTACATTCCTGCTCCTGCTTTATTGCTGGGCAAACTGGAGCTACCGGCCCATCCGTGCAAAGAATCTGCCGGTCATTACATTCGGGTACTTCTTTGATCTGCTCTGGTTCATTGGCGATATACAGGCGAACCAGAACGTCAGAGTTGTCGGTGTGTGGAGTCACTGCAAAGGGTGGGGTATTTGGGTGCACATGCTTGCCACATACTCGTTCTCTGCTGCTGTGCTTTTCCGCAAATTCACCCTTGACCGCGTCTACAACCGCCAAAAGCCATGCAGAGGCTGGGGGTTCTATGGCCCGATTGTCGGGTTCTTTGTCAGCCTTATTGCTTTTTGCATGACCGTACAATTCGTCAGCGATGAGAAGACAATCATATACAACGAAGACCTCACCATTTGCCTGTACTCGGACGGCCTGCGCTATGGCAGCATTGGACTTATTTGGATCGTGTGGATCGTTACCGGCATTTATGTTGTTCGCATTCGGCGCATCAAGTCAGGTCTGAATGAGTTCCGCGAGTCCCTCATTATCTATATCATAGCAGTTATTTGCCTGATCCAGTACACGATCTGCCATGCAGCATTCAAGGCATTCCCGCTCATGGAAACTGTCAGGTGCCTAATTACAGGGTTCGACCTTGTTTCAGTCAACCTGACAATGTGGGTCTTCCTGGCGTACCCAGCATACCAGCGCATGTTCAATCGTGAGCGGTACCTGAGCAAATGGCTAAAGAAGCTTTCGCGCGACGAGTTCCGCCGAGGAAACCAGCTTATCAATGACCACAGGATGGCAGACCGGCGCAAGCCTGACTCGCCACTGCAAGGTAACCCGGGTCATGTCTCGAGTGCCTCAGTTTCGCATCAGGGTGGAGCTGATATCATGGAAGAGAGCATGTCAACCATGAAGTTCCTCGACATGCAGTCGCCGTACTCGTACAACGCACATCATAATATTCGCCACGAAGATACCTCATTCACCATGGAGTATGCTCTTGGTGTAGACCACTACGCCCCGCTGTATAGCGCTGCCTATGCTGACCTTGGCAGCTTTGATGGCGAAAGGCGCATTCTGTGAAGTCGCCAGTTAATGATTTTTTTGTTTCGATGTGCATCTCAAATATACCCACATGAAATTCTGCTCATGCAAAAATAGTTGCGACATTAAGTTGCTTTGACCTTGTTTTTTCCTTGCTCTTTTCGAATCAAGATTGAGATAGCCAAGAGCCAGATGCACCTGTCAATCTTTGCCCTTGGCTGCATCTTTTGGGGAGTAGTGGACAAACTGCAGGTTTTATTGGTTGCAACCATGCGGTTTATAGTCCAGTGCGCTGCGAATACCATTTAACAGAGAGGCATCGCTTTCTAGAAGCCAAGCAGGCTAGAATAGAAGGGTGATGCAATAGGCAAAGACCAGCTGCATCAATTTGGCCAGCCCTGCTCAGAGGTTCTATTTACTCATTTCCCTTTTATGACAGCAATGAAACGTGGGAGCTACTCTTGCTGACTGAATATTGCAACAATTCGCTAAAACACCGCTTTGTTGCGTGATGGCTGTCGGCTCACAACAGCTACCCTGGTCATGTCGATTGACACTCGCCTTATTGGCAATCATGCTGCAATTGGCAGCGGGATTATACTTGAAGCTTCAAAAAGCCGCAAACACCTGAAAGGGCGAAGTATGCGGATACCCATTGCACCCACGTTCCTGAACATCAGACGTCTTGCAGAGCTTAGAATATGCATCCTCTCCCCCAATACTCCCATGCTTGCATTCCACGTCACCAAAGATCCTTTGTGCTGCTAAGCGGTTCTCTTAGTACGACACTCCCAATGAGTTAAATCACTTGCTTTAATGCGTAGCGCAACCAAAAATCTATTGCAACAATGCATGCCAATCTGCTATTTTTAAAACGAAGTGCAATTCCCAACCACAAAGCGGTTTAGTAGGCACAGCGGATACCCTTCCCTCGGTGGTCGGCACAGCTGTATTCAATGTCAGAGTCTCGCTCATTACTTCAGTGAAAGAGGGGACGACTAGAGCATCCCCATGATGCGCAAATCCATTAGCAGTCGATAGTGTCTGCTATTTCCATGATGTTGCATTGTACGTGCTGATATGAGGTGTGGGCTTTCCCTTGATTTGTTCCCTTCTTTCAAATCCAATAATGACCCCATCCCCTCTTCCCAGGCTCCAAGACCGCAATTACGTTCCCTCAATCGGACTATCTACCCCCTCCCTTAGATCCCCTCCCTCGGCAATCCATTCCTTTAATGCTAGCCCTTTGTGAGGGCTGTTTCCGTTTACAATATTTCGAGGAGCTACAATTCACGTGCATACGCTGCGTCTAGGATGAGGAGAATCGCCGCTTAATCTCTGTTTTATGGCCGCTAGCCAACTGTGACACGCAATGTAGGCGCGCAATTAAATGTGCAGATGGAGGTGCCATGATCGGACGTGGAAAAAGGTAGGGCTGGCCGAAAGCCGGATTTACCGGCAGCATCAACAATCGCGATGCTATCCAGGTCCCTGTTACGATAATTGCCCCCACTTTCTTTTGTTGCTGCTCAAATAGTCGCCACAGTTGCACCAGCTAATAAAATCGGAACATGTTGACTCGCGGCCTAGCGGTTAGGCCCTGCAAAAGCTTTATTCTTTCTTTCCTCATTTTCCCCTAAACCCCTCACCTTGTAAATTTAAAAAAAAAAAAACCATGGGCTCGAACTACATTTATTTATTTCTGCGCAGCCGCGTTATCACCGACGCCGAAAGGGTGGCCGCTGCAACATCCTCTAGACATCCACCTAGACCCAGTGGGCGATACAGATCGAGATGTGATTATCTTTGGAGGCGTGTTCTACGGGATAACTCTGCTTTTGATGGTGTACTGTTGGGTCAATCATGGATACAGACCAATACGCGCAAAAAACATGCCAGTCATGACTCTCATGTACTTTTCAAACTTTCTCTGGTTTTTCGGAGACTATAGCGACAAATGGAAACGTAGTCGTTATTGGCGCCTGGAGCGTTTGCAAGGCTTGGGGACTGTGGGTTCGGGTCGCTGCTACCTTCACGTTTTCGTCGGCTGTTTTGTTCCGCCTCATAGCTTTCGACCGTGTCTTCAACCGTAACAAGCCCTGTAGTGGAGTCGGGTTCTATGCGCCGATGGTGGTGTTTGGTCTCATGCTGATTGTATTTTGCTCAGTGACTCAGGCCCTCGATGACAAAATTACATTACACTATATCCCCGAGCTTGAGATTTGCGACTATGCAAAAGGGGTTCAAGATAGCTGCTCTTGGGATACTGTGGGCGATTTGGCTCGCCATTGGTGTCTATATTTTGCGGGTACGCAATGTCCAGTCCTCCTACAACGAATTCTTCCACTTTGTCGCCATATTCACCATTAGCGTGATGGCAATTCTCTACACTACACTACTTCATATCCTCCACCCAAACTTCCCCTTCGTCCGTGCACTGCGCGCCAGTAACACGTCAGCAGACCTGATTGTTGGCAACCTCTGCATCTGGATTCTGATGGCGAATCCAGCCTACCAGTGCCTGTTCCGTCACGAAGCGTATCTGAATGAATGGCTGCTTGCCCTATCCATGGACGGCCGTAAAGCAGACATTCAGACAGAGAATGACTACACAACACCTAATGTTGGGAGCTATTCTCGCATGGAAGGCAACATCAACAGGCCAATCGGAACTGACAGCGACACGCTACGACACTACAACATCACCACCCTAGACTTCGCTTTAGGTCTTGATCCATACACTCCTAATGCCAGTCGGCATTTTTCGGCTTCCGATGGGACAGTAAATGGGACAAGACTCAATTTTTAAGAATAAAGCCTGCTGAAATATAGAAGAGCACAAATAGCAGATCAATGCTATTAGCTACAGTTGCACTTGCTGACAGCACATGCACATCGGTCTACCAGCCCCCGTGTGGTTTGGCTTTGCGCCAACCTTTGAGCCTGGTGCCCTGCTCACCGTTGCTTGGGCCAGCGGTAAGGTCTCATTTGTGCCCATGATGTTTAACGGGGCAAAGTGATCCTCGGAAGTAAAATGGTGGAAATAAAATATAGCAAAAATAGTATGCTCACTACAGGGGTCGAACCTGTGACCTACGCGTTATTAGCACGTCGCTCTAACCGACTGAGCTAAGCGAGCCGAATCCAATTTTCACCGATGAATTGTGGGATTTAAAAGAGGTGAAGGAGAGGTTTGATCAGTGGGTCGATCACCAGCACTGTCTGGATCGGTCATGAAGGGCATTGTAGTCGATGGTCTTGCTTGAATATGATATCCGTGAATAAGCGGTGATAATAATAATAATAATAATAATAATGGTCGTGGGAAATACAGATATCCTAGTGAAATATTAAACTACCAAGCTCTTTCCTCTCATTTGTGGAAATCTGCAAGGTAATCTACAACTTCGACAGTAACGGTCCTATCTAATAACTTTGGAAAACTAAATAGAATAAAACTCAGTGAACTGTTCTTTAACGAGATCATATACTAAAAAGTAGACAATAAAACTTAATGCTGCTCGCTGCTTATGGCTGTATTTATACTCGCTCGGTGGGATGGACTTTGGCAAACGGAGTATGCTACTTGCTGCTATCGGCTGCCAGGTGACCACGGGATAGTGCTCCCACATCTGTATAGACTTGATATATACACATCGGAGGCCATCTGTTGGTAGACATCGTGAGCCAGATACATCGCAATGAATCAATTCGTGGGTGTCAGCTCGACCAGCGATAGTCAGGGGCAGTCCGTCCTGATAGCGGAACAGCGGCATGTGATGAAGGAGAGAAGAGAAGTAAAAGAAAAAGGGAAGACAAATAAAACCCCTTGATATGTAACCATGTCATGGTCCAACCGTGGACCGATTATGACATGAAATTTTTGTCATGTTGTAATCGGTCCATGGTCGGATCACGATATGGTTACACAAAATAACCGGACCAAATTGTTTCTTTTACCTCCGTTCTTTTGCGACTATTCCGTTATCCACGCTAGCCATCCCCGACTATCGCAGGTCAAGTTGACTCCCGCGAATGGATTCGATATATGTCCGACGCCCAACGTCTACCAACAGGTGACCTCCGATATGTATAGATTGGCTCTATTCGGATGTAGGAGCACTATCCCGCGGGCGCCCGACAGCCGATAACAGCATGTATTATACTCCGTTTGCCGAAGTCCATCCCACCAAACGAGTATAAATACAGCCATGAGTAGTGAGCAACTTTTAGTTTTATGGTCTACTTTTTAGTATATGATCTCATTAAGGAACAGTTCACTGAGTTATATTTCTAATTAGTTTTCCAAGTTATTAAGTCAGGACCATTACAAGCAAGACAAAGCAAGACAAGCGACTACAATGTCCTTCATGACAGATCCAGACAGTGCCGGAAATCGACCCACTGATCAAGCCTCTCCTTCACCCCTTTTAAACACCACATTTTCATCAAATGTGATTTAGGCAAGTCTTTAAGCCTACTGTCAATATGCCCGAGTGGTTAAGGGGAGTGACTAGAAATCACTTGGGCTCTGCCCGCACAGGTTCAAATCCTGTTGTTGACGATTGTTTTTGCGCGAGTTTAAATAGTTCAATTTTTATGCAAGGCTGGCCGGGTTGGGGATTCCAAGCTCCCATGAGTCGCTATTGGTCAACTATTCGCATGATTTGTTCCATTCGCTACCTTTTGCAGGGAACGTGCTGCGAGCTGGTCGGCTGCATTGGCTATCGCACTCCTTCAGAGAAACGACCAACGGTAATCTGTCGGTTTATTAAATAATACTAACACATTGCTGTTTACCATAACACAGGTATCATATTGTTGATTTACCAAAGTTTGGCTGGCACCTGATTTGACGGCAAGATATCTGGCACTACCTCCTGGTGCAAAATTTTCTTTCTCCAAGATCCGACTTGCATTGGGCCACCAAGCTACCCCTACTGCTGGTATGTGGGAAGCACTATCCACACATAGACGAATTGAGCTACAGGACCATTACATTCATTTGTTTTTAGGGGAAACGAGATGAACACTAAAAACACACTGAGATACTTGCATCAATATCCTGTCCACGCTACAGCAAGGACGCCTCAATTGTATAAAAGCATTAGTCATTTTCAAAGATTGTTTGCCCAACAGATGCTGTATCTATGCTTGAATTTTTAATACCACTATTTTCTTAATGTTTCTAAACCCCTCATTTTGCCCACCTTTAGGTATGCATATTGTAGGTCTAGAGCACACAGTGGCTGGTGTAGGATAAGAGGAAAAAGAAATAAGAAATGAGTAGTGAAAGATACCTTATATGTGAGTATATATGTAATTTTTGTATAGTGCAGATTCCAAATAAGCTGCTAAGCAATGGTATCTTAATCTAGAAATGTGCAAGCAGTGAGTGTATCAACAATAGAAAGTGACAGAGTCAAGGAATATATATTGATAAAGAAAGCTAAAGAAAAGTAGGAAGGGAGAGGTGAGCACAAAGGTTTTATACTATTGCTCTGGTGGCACAGCCAAATAGAAGAGGAATGAAAAAAGAAAAACAGGAAAAAAATATGTGGTTCATAGTAATCAGATCTTGATATTCTAACAGTTGTTTGCTTTAACAAGTACTAAGTGCACAGATATGAGTTAAGTGTTATTTGATTTGTACTAAATCTGCTCTATTCCATTGATGGTGAATAATTTAGATATATGAAAAACCTATTAACTTAGGGAATGAGTGGTTTTAGAATATATAGAAAGTATAACTTCTTGAATTGACAGAGGGGAAGAAGGAAGGCTGGTCATCCATCTGGGCCATTATACATATGCATTTTGGCCTTGTCTATGGTGGTGCAGGGGGACTCTAGACCCTGGATGTCAACAAAACCTACTGGAAAATACTACTGAATCTAAGAGCTACTGCCATATTGTTGTACTTTTATATGGATCCAGTGGAGGCATCTATCATTGTTGAACATACAATGACCTGACACAGATCCCAATTATTTATAGGCCATAAGGACTAAATCACAGCTTTCTGGGCCACTGGTCCTTACTCCTATTTTTATCAATATCTACCTCAAACCCAGTGTTGTATAACTGATCCTGATCCCTAGATCCATACCACAGTGCATACACAAGAGTATAGTGGCCCCACTATATAGTTCAGTATATGCCAGCATGTCAGCAGCCCTCCTCAGTTTCTTTACTGTCACTAGTTATATACAACCTTAAGTTACCAGTATCACAACACTCAGTATGCGAAAATATTGCAAAAGGACAGCTTCAATGATTTCTTATATCAGTTGGTGATCACCCTGATATGTCCACTGGTTTGTAGCTGATCTATAGAATGCCTGACACAAGGTCACGGCAATACAATAACATATGACAATGTTGTGCATCTGTGATGTCTGGGCTTGAAGCTCCAAGTCGAGCCCCCAAATTGTCCAAATTGTCTGATGCTTGAGTGATCATCAAGGACTAACTGCTACTGCGCCACCTGATATACCACATATGGGTAGTATGTATGTTGCGACCTTCTATGGTTGTGCATAAGTACCTGAAGCTAACAAATGTAGTTGACATCGCTATGTTGTGCAGGGTAATATCCTACTATAAAACGTATGGATTATTGACAGACAAGATGAGATGAGAATGACCGATGACTGATGACTGCCAAATAGACTTTCTATATTTATGATTTGATTTTGTTGACATTCGGGGTCTGGAGTCCCCCTGCGCTACCATAGACAAGGCCAAAATGCATATGTACAAAGGCCCAGACAGATGACCAGCCTTCCTTCTTCCCCTCTGTCAATTCGAGAAGTTATACTTTCCATATATTCTATAACCACTTATTCCCCAAGTTAACAGATTTCAATTTATATTATTTTCAAGCACCAGTATGACAACGCCCACTTCTGCAAGAATGCCAAGGGTTGCAAATACCATGAGACCGAATGCCCCTCAACCCTCTGTGGGAGCAGTTATCCCCGACCAGGAGGAAATGCTACTCACTGCAGACACAATAGCTGTTATGTTGGTGGCAGAGGAAGCAACGGAGTGGAGCTCAGGGCTGGACAAACTGCTCCCGGATGTGTCCGAGTCAGATGATGTAGCAGGAGGACAGAGTCAGGGAATCTTGTCAAGTTCGGGTCGAAGTTCAAATAAATGCTATTCAAACTTGAAACAGGGTTAAGATGGGTTGAAACAGAATATACGAGTAGGGAACTCTAGTAGACACTAGATGATGAGTTGTCTTATGGTCTTGTCAAATCGAAGCATATATATGCTTCGATGCACTAGCATCTTGCTAGTGACATTGTGTTGCATGAACGACGGGAATACTGGTCACTGGTCCTTGCGGCATAAAAGTACTGCATTGTTGTACCACCTGCGGGCTTGGATCTGTGGGAGCTGGGTCAGGGGATATCGTGGGAGTTCGAGCCGAGTCATTATGCTCATACTCATTGGATTCGAGCATAATATAGCATAACAATTGTTATGCCCATCGTTGATGATCATGAACATGTCGCAGATATGCTCCTAGATCAAGATCAAGATCAAGACATGCGAGACCCACGACTGCCCCGCATCTCTTCTTCTGTTTCAGTCTCAATCCCACAAGACCAGTTTTATTCCCATGTGACAATGGTTGACCCAGTTACGGGGATTCCTATTGTCCATGCAGCCCCGAGACCATAGCTCAAGTGTGCATCAGTATATATAAGTGCACATCTTATACATGCACATAGAGAGAAGGCGAACTCGGATCCTGTCTTTGACTTTGATTTCCTGAATATAACAATCTCTGACTCAAGCTCTTCTTTCTATTCGGCTCAATCATTATCACCTGGGCCAGGTGATAACACATGTTATCGCTCGGTGGGAGTGATAATATGCTAGCAAAGGAGCTAGCGTCGGAAGAGCTCGAACCGGAGCTCGGACATCGGGGAGAGAAGGTTGGGATTGTAACGGGTTATATTGGGAAACAGGGTCTGAGTCAAGGAATATTCGGGGGCTTGTTGTTCTTGTCTTGTCCTGTCGGTCTGACTTCTCCATATATATGGAGTAGTCAACGAGTGTCTTGGCTACGCTTTAGGTGTAGCATATACGATAGGAATTCCTGTGTTAGGATCCGTAAGAGGAGCATAAAGGGCGGACTTGTTCCGTAGACGAGGCAGTGTACTTGTGTTTATATTGCGAGTGGAACCTTGTGCGTGTGTGACGTTGTCTTGGCCCGGGTCTTGATCTTGATCTTGATCTCGCAGGTGGGCTTCGTCATGTTCATGCTCATCCGAGTTGAGCATAACACACAATATAAGATGCCTTCTTGGCTCAGTTGGCAGAGCGTCTGCCTAGTAAGCAGAAGGTCGCCAGTTCGATTCTGGCAGAAGGCAGGCCATCATTTTGCTATCCCTAGCCTCGATGTGGCAAAGGTTAAGCACAACTGTATCTATTTTTTTGTTTGGCCAGGGTCGATGTCCACAAAAAACTTCTATGAAGTGAACTTGTGCAAAAATGGGGCTCTGCCGGGGATTGAACCCGGGACCTCTCGCACCCTAAGCGAGAATCATACCGCTAGACCACAGAACCAAGTATGCATTATGTCTATCGTGTCATGTCGTAATCGGTCCATGGTCGGATCATGACATGGTTACACAAAGCAACCGGACCAAATTATTTCTTTTACCTCCGTTCTTTTGCCGCTGTTCCGTTATCCGCGCTAGCCATCCCGACTATCGCGGGTCAAGCTGACTCCCGCGAATGGATTCGATATATGTCCGACGCCCGATGTCTACCAACGAATGACCTCTGATATGTATAGATCGGCTCTATCGGGATGTAAGAGCACTATCCCGCGGGCGCCCGGCAGCCGATAACAGCATGTATTATACTCCGTTTGCCGAAGTCCATCCCGCCGAATGAGTATAAATACGGCTATGAGCAGTGAGCAACTTTTAGTTTTATTGTCTACTTTTTAGTATATGATCTCGTTAAGGAACAGTTCGCTGGGTTATATTTCTAATTAGTTTTCCAAGTTATCAAGTCAGGACCGTTACAAGCGAGACAAGTGAGACAAACGAGAAAAGCAACTACAATGTCCTTCATGACCGATCCAGACAGTGCTGGTGATCGACCCACTGATCAAGCCTCTCCTTCACCTCTTTTAAATCCCACAATTTATCGGTGAAAATTGGATTCGGCTCGCTTAGCTCAGTCGGTTAGAGCGACGTGCTAATAACGCGTAGGTCACAGGTTCGACCCCTGTAGTGAGCATACTATTTTTGCTTTATTTTATTTCCACCATTTTACTTCCGAGGATCACTTTGCCCCGTTAAACATCATGGGCACAAATGAGACCTTACCGCTGGCCCAAGCAACGGTGAGCAGGGCACCAGGCTCAAAGGTTGGCGCAAAGCCAAACCACACGGGGGCTGGTAGACCGACTCGCACGCGTTTCTTGCTGGTTGCGGGCTTTTCCACCTTGAGTGATGATTTCGGCTGGTTGTCCGTCGCCATTATCGTCGGCGTGAGGCTTTTGCTGCTTGCCCCAGTTTGGCCCACGGATGTAGCCAAGTGGGCTCAGCACATGGGCGTCACCTCCTGCTCGGAACAGTGGGGCGGTGTTGACCATGTATGCAGCCAGCAGCGTGACATCAGATGAAGTGGCGTCTGCGTCAAAGCCAGCCACCAAGCGCTGGCCGGTTGGGTCCAGGGCCAGCGACCGAATCGCACCACCGACCCGGATGCTCTCGGTTGCATCATCGACCGCTGTTGTCGCATGCCCCTCGAATGTCGATACCACAGATATGTCGACCTCCAGCGTGGGCGGCCCCATGTACACTGCCAGCGCAAAAATTGACGAGCTGTTGACCACCGAGAAGAACGCAGACCGCGAGTCGGGCGACCACACAAGCTGTGATACATTGGCTGGGAAGTCCGACCACACGCGTGACCCCCACGACTCGGTCTCCCATAGGCGTAGTTGATTGTTGGCATGCGTTGATGCCACATAGCTGCCACTGGGGCTAACAGAGATACTTAGTGTTGCGGCCCGCGATGTGCTGCCAGACCGTCTCAGTGGAGTGGCTGTCTCCAGCGCTGTGTCCCAGACTGTCAAGTGCCCATGTGTCTGGTGTCCTGTGATAAGCCACTGTCCGTCAGGTGCAAACGCTAGAGCCGACACGCTGGTGCTCGAACGCGGAATAAGCTGAACTTTTATTCATCGGTCGCACCTGGTTGCTGTGCAATGCCGACTCTGAGACATCGGGGAGTGGTGGGAACGAGAGAAGCGACATCCATGCTGAAAGATGGGACTGTACCCAAACTGGGAGCAGTGGCAGACTGCGCGCTATTGTAGCCCGAAGCCGGTGCTCCAGGAAGAAGCTTCCACAGGCACACACCCGAGCGACAGCCTACTGCCAGCGTATACCCGTTGCAAGGCTGCCACGCCATCGACGTGATCCCTTGCATGTGCACGTTCTCCAGTATGTTGGCACACCAGGTGTCGTTGGCCAGATCGTACAGGAGTACCGTGTCTGTAGCGCGGTGGGCAACAGCAATCAGCGACCGGTGCGGATGCCAGGCGATGCATGAAATGGGTCCTTCGATGTTTGTCATAATGCTTCGCTGGCCTTCGGCCTCTTCAGCCTCCATCTGGGCTGCTAACGCGGCCGACGCAGTCCCGTTAACACTGCCAAGCACGATCCTCGCCACCGGCGCTGGCATGCAGCTCTCGGCAAGCCGCAGCAAATCCAGACGCCGCTGGTCTGTGAAGGTCGATGCATGTTGCTTAATGTTCCATAGCCAGAGTACACTGTTGACAAATGTAGCTACCGCTGACCCGTTGCTATCAGCTGCAGTTGCTCCTGCAACGCTATTGGTATTGTTCAGCTCTGACTGCAAGAGAATCGACTCTTTGCTGACTGCTGACTGCGCTGTACGGAGTTTGAGAGCCTCTGGAACCAGTATGTGTGGGAATGCAATTCCGCCGTCTTGCACATACTGAAGCAGGCTGGTGTCGTCGCCATTTTTCAGCTGGATAAATTTCATGTCAGATTCGCCCACTGTTACAGACTCCGTCGATGGCGGACGCAGGCCGCATTGTTCAAAAGTCGTAGCCACCCGGTACGAATTCATGGTCTCTTTAGAAAAACAAGTAGCGAGTAAATTTGTTGAGAAGAGAGCGCTGACGACGAAGAAAAATGAAGACAGCCCATCCACGCGCAATTTCTTGTTTGCTCAAGCGAAACACACGGCGATTGTCTGATCACCGTTGATTCTCAATCAGCTGAATCCAGGTAGCTGAATGTTCGTTAGCTCACTGGACCAGTGGTCGAACAGAGTTGACACGTGATTATAACCTCAGCCTTGTAGATAGACCACTCCAAAGTCAGCACTACTATTTTCTTGAGAATTTGCATCGGCGGTGGCCTACCCCGCACATTTCTGGACCATCTCACGAGTGCACGCATGTTTGGATCAGAAAGGCTACTACTCATATTCAGTCTGACAACGACCCGAGTATGTGGAGTGTCGACCAAACCAAAGAATGCTGCTGTTGACTATATGGTATCTGGCAGCTGCGACTTGCAAAATCCAACTCTTGCCCTATCACCCTTCCCTATCCCTCGAACCTTTGCTCTAACCGTGCATTAATATCCTTACTCACTCATTGACTACAAGTACATGCTTGCGAAACTAGTGCTCTTGCTGCTCCTATGCAGCAGCAGCAGCGTTGTTGTTGTGAAACGCGCGGAGAGTTCAATATCAACTGTAACTCGAATCTCGTAATGTACTGGGGTCAGAATAGCCACGGTGTAACCAACCCAGGCGAGAATCAGCTACCACTAGACGAGTATTGTGACAAAGAGTCGGGCGATGTCCTGGTGCTCTCATTCCTGTCCGAGTTCAACGCCGATGGCTTGCACCCGCCGGGTCTGAATCTAGCAAACGCGTGCGTCACAACCTTTACCAACACTACATTGCTTCACTGTCCGAATATTGGCAGGGCTATCACCCACTGCCAGAAACAGGGAAAAATTATTCTTCTCTCCATGGGTGGTGCCGCCGGCGCCTATGGGTTTGCCGATGATACGCAGGCTGAGCGATACGCCGACAAGCTTTGGGACCTATTCCTTGGTGGTAACTCTATGACCCGGCCATTCGACGATGCGATAATTGACGGTGTGGATCTGGACATCGAGGGCGGGTCGTCGATCGGTTACGTGCGGTTTGTGCAGCGCATGCGCGAGCGATTCATCGAGATTCCGAACCGTCGGTTCTATGTGTCCGCTGCTCCACAATGCCCATACCCCGATTTCTACACCGGCCCAGTTCTTGACAACGCCTACCTCGACATGGTGTTTGTGCAGTTCTACAATAACTACTGTGGCGTCGACAAGCCTAACTGGTTCAACTACGAGCAGTGGCATAACTGGGCGACCAATGTTGCACCGAACAAGGATGTCCGCATCTATATGGGCGTTCCTGGATCGCCGACTGCTGCCTAGCACAGGGTATATTGAGGGTGGTGCCTTGGAGGAGATCGTAAATGCAACCCGCAAACAGTTTGGTACATTCGGTGGCCTGATGGTCTGGGATGCGTCGCAAGCAGAGACCAATCGCGTATCACAGGACTTCACGTTCGCAAAGATGGCTGCCAAGCTGCTCGACTCGGATAAAAAGTGTACAGACGGTTCATTACCGAGTTCACCGGTGCCCGTGGTTGAAACCCAAACTACCACGTACATGGTGTCACAGACTGAGGTTATCACGACAACCGCCAACAACACAGCCTCGGGATTATCCAGTGTCAACTGGTTCGTCAAGCTCTGTTTCGGTGCCAGGCAGCTATTCGAGTTCCCCTGTGTCTGCCACCGGATCGTCTGAGGTGTCCGAATCCAAAAGTTCGTCCACTGCATCCAATGACACAAAGGGTGTCCAGGAGTCAAACACAGGCCCAAAGACTATCGTGCTTCCACCTCTAACGCAGGCGGCATCATCTAATTCCAGCAGCAGCTCTTTGTCTGATTCCACTACGGTAACGGATGCATCGAAAGCAATTATGTCTACTATTATAGATGAGGATGGTGCGGAAACAGTTCATAACAAACTTCCTGGTTACCGGTGGCAGACCTTCTGGGATGACTTTCATCATCAAGCGGTAGTGGGTCAGACACCAGTGAGACCGGATATGTCAGTTGCTGAAGCAGGAGGCGATACAGAAACGACCGATACCACCAACGACACAACTGGAGACATCCAGCGGCGATTCGTCCACACCAGCAGCTGATAGCGCCGATAGCGCCGATAGCACCGATAGCACCGATAGTACCGATAGTACCGATGGCACAGATCCTGGAACAGCTGTTGGATACAAATAACGATAGCTCGCCTACGGATACCAGCGACTCTCCGTCTCAAGGCAGCGTCGATGACGGCCCGGTTACCGTCGATGTCACGGTCACAGGCGACGGCATGGAGACTACTAGCACAGCGACAACCAAACTCATCCACAAGACCAGCACCAGGACGCGCCGAGTCCACCTTGTTACCAGGCATGTCACCAAGCGTGTCCACAAGTTCCCTAACCCAGCTGGTGTTGCGACCCTGGAAGAAACTGCATCGCCAACCAACAAGACCACATCAATTGTGACTCCGACATTCCCGCTGCCCATCGCCCGTTGCCCGCGCGCGGATCAGCCATGTGTAGGCGCTGGATTTGCCTGTAATGGGTACGAGTTCGGCCAGTGCATCAACAACCGCTGGCTAATGCGACCATGCAGTAACGATCGAGCGACTGCCTGTTTCAATGCTGGCCCAGACCTGATTGCTTGCGACTTCACCAAGGGCAGGTCGCTGCAGGTGTGTGATGATATTCTATCTCCTTTACCAGTTTGGCCGACTCGCATCCAATGTCCTGTTCCTGCGTGCTACTGACCAGGAGCGTGCCCTGAATACTCCGGTGTACCCAGTACCTAGCTCAACTTTGCCGTCAAGCACCAAGGTGCGCTAAGAAGAAGAAGGATGACGACGACGACGACGACGACAACGATAGCGATACTGAGGATGACGATGACGACTATGTCTACAACAAGTACGGCGAGAAGAAGAAGAACACGTCGTCGACGTCGTCATCAACCAACATGGAGCTTATCAAGGAGTCGGCTGGTATCAACCTTATCGACGATCACAACCGGCGCGAGGACCCAGCGATGCTGATGGCCAAAGATCCTGAGGCATACTATGGCCCTGACGGCCATGTGCGGGCTGTTGGTGGTAATGTAGTCGACGACATGCGGAAGCACCCCAAGTACCGTCCTAAGGATGAGCCTTACGACGAGAATCCACCAGTCGATGACCCCGAAGAGGGTGATGAGTACTCGGAGGGCGATGAGTTCATGCGCAAGCGTGATTACGGTGCTTGGGACGAAGAGCCCATGTCTGATAGCTCAGTTCCGTTGGCTGCGCCAATCTCAGGCACGGAGGCTGAGAAGGGCATGCATGACCAGCTGGTTAAGCGAGGCGCCTAGTGACCTGACCGGTGCTGGAGTAACGATGGCTCATATCAACGACAAGGATTGGCGCTCACAGCTCGAGGACTTCTATGCCATCTATGCACTCTATGCAGCGCTGGCAGGCACATCTAAGGATATGCAGCGGCAGCAGTTTGAGCGTGCCTATGATCGACCATATCGACGGCGACTTCTTGATCCCACCCAGGATGACGATCAAGTCTGGCTTCCCCATGCTCGCGCGCTTCACCTTTGTCCCACTGCGTGGTGAGGATAAGGACTTTTTGCACCATCGCACCAAGGACGGGCTAGTCGAAGAGGATGTCCTGGTCATTGTCCGCATGCTGACCAACGAGCCGATTCCGAAGCGCTGGCGCATTGCACTGCCCATTAACCTCAATGCGACAATGCTGCATACCAGCCGTGGTATGTTCTTCTCTGGAGATAACGTGTCGCCAGAATTGAAGTCCATCTATCAGCAGCGTGTGACATTCTACAACAAGCATATCCGCATTAACACAAACAAGAAACAGACTGGTATCGAAAACCAGCGGCTGGACGACATGGCGGCCGGACACAGCTCTAATGACACATCAGTGCGGTCTGACACCAACGACTTTGCCTAAGGGACCCGATGACAGCAACCTGAAGCGCAACTTGATTGTGCCTTCGGTGATTTCACAGATCCTGCACAGCAAGCCTGACGATCCGCTGCCGCCCGAGCTCCTTTACGAGCCTATTCCCAACGACCCTGCCGGTCACCTGTACGAGGTCAGATCTAACCCGGAGACCGAAAGTGAAAAGAAAATGGCCCTGTACTTCACTATCCGCGTCAAAACCAGGCCCGCACCTGGCGCCCATGTCATCAGCGCGCTGCCACACCCTATTCTCAGCTTCATTACCTCGTACTAGCTCTCAATCTCGTCCTTTTATTATCAATTCACTTTCTTAAATTACACCCTCTATTTGCAATAAACCAGGCAGCTCTGCAACACCATTCTCGTGTGTATAGGTCAGTTCGTCTCAACTAAATAGGGGGTTGTTTCAGGCAATACCAGCCATTGATTATTGGTGTGTTTCTATAGTTCTCCAAGCGCCTGGTCTCTATGTTTTTGCTGATGTGGGGAGGCACTATGATTATTAGGCAATAATACACGCTGTTTTGTATCCGAACTAAGACCCTGTTCTCTGATGTTCGAGCCTGCTTGTGGGGTTCGCCTGCCTATAGGGGCTCTGTCTTGGATGCAGCACTCCTGAGATTCACTAGGCATGTCTGTCAGCAGGCCATAAAGGGGTTTACACCAAGTAGATTCTTCTGAATCCTAGATAATTCATCTTGTCCTTTCGTCGTTGCTCTCTATACCATATCCCTAGTTACTTGATATTCCGACCAATGCGCTATTTATATATCGCTTCAGGGGTTCTAACCATGTTCGGCTTGGCCGTCCAGCTAGCGAGCATTGCTGTGTCACGGGCAAATGCGACCAGCACTGAGGCACGGCTGGTGGCAGGCAACGAATACACCCTGTTCTGGTGCGGTGTCACTGGCACCATGCTCTCATGGACTGCTTTCCATCTGACAGCCAAGGCTTTTCAGCCAGAGTACACCGGATCTACTGCCAGAAACCTCAAGATGGGCAAGTTTGTGCTTGGTGTGCACACTCGTGTTACCCTCTGGTCAATCAATGTTGCATTCGACTTTCGCCATCGCACTGGCTCTCATTACGCTTATGTTCAAGCAAGCCGACCATCAGCTTCCGGTCTGGGCTTTATTTACCTTCTTCCTTCCGGTACTGGCATCGGCGATCGTGCTGCCTGTCGTATACAAGGAATACATGGCGAAAAACTCGATAGTGGAAGAGCTTGTCGACAATTTGGTATTGCCGCGCGAAAAGATCTTGGACGATGCACCAATCTCATCGTATATGACGTTGAAGACAGGACGGTCTCTTAGCCCCAAAACCAGACCGGCAGCAGTCATTGAGAGCGGATCAACTAAATTCAGCATGTATACCGGAGAGTCGTTTCCATTGTCTCAGCAGTATATTCGTAGCCCACTGAGTATTGCGTGGAGTCCTCCCCAGATGCGAGCGATCCGCGAGCTAGAGGCCGAGATTGTTGGATCTGAATTCTACCCCAGATTCACCGCAAACGCTGCCTTCCCAGGTGTCATCTGATGAAGATAGTCCCCGACTGTTGGCTCGCATCGGCCGTGCACTGCTTTCTGTTATCGAGTGTAGCATCTTGGCGTCTGTCCTGTCGATGACTTCGATGGTCTTGAGCATCCTTCTGCTGACTTCAGTCTCGCGCCAGCATCAGTATTCAACACATACTCCACTCATATACGGCAAGGCTGCCTCAGAGCTGGTCTCAATGAGCAGTTACGCAGATCATTCGCCAAGAATTGCTGTGTTTTGTTCCGGTCAGCGGCAGCCGCGCACAAAGGGTGGTGTTTTTGCACCCCAGCACGCAACAATACTCATTGAACACCCTATTGGGTATCCGTCACTGGTCGCTCGTTCGCTGCAGTTGTACTTTGTCGAGCATGGGCGCCGTGTCTGTATTTATGACCGTCCGGGATACATGGCCTCGCCGCTCGGATTTGCACCAGTGGCTCCGGAAGCAGTACATAAAGCACTCAGCCAGGAACTTTACGCCATAGGTGAATCTGGTCCGTTCTATGTCATTGGTGTTGACTCGGGGTCGGAGTTTGCGATGCTATTCCCGCACGACGATTATGTCTCGACTATTGGGATGGCGCTGGTCAGGCCAACACAGCTGGCTGTTGCAGGGCTTCTTTCAAATGGAACTGTGGCCTGAGCGCATGGAGCTGGCCAAACTCATGATCAAACACGAAGTGCTTGCCACCGATCGGCAGCGCTCGCTTGAGACCTTGGACAATCTCCGGCTACTTTCTGCTATTGGCTTTCTGTCGTCTGGCATACCCGCTGAGGCTACGATCCATGAATCTGACCGTGCACTGGCAGAATGGGCCTTTGCGAACCCGAACATGGCACAGATTCAGTACTTTGAACAGGTGAAGGTCGGGATGCTGGCAGATACAATTGAGGAAGAGATACAGCTCAGCAGCAACACAAAGAGTATTCCAGTGGCAGTATTCGGCTTGGCACAAGATGCAGCAAAACGGAGCTTGTTCTCTAAGCTCTTGTCGAGCGCATTCGAGATCGAGTTGAGCGAATCCAATTCCGACAAACCGCTGACGCTGGGCACCATTGGCGAGCAAGTATCATGGCACATTCAGAGAATACACTAAGAGTGCCGTGTTCTTCACCAGCCCAAGCCCAATTGTGCATTGCTTCAAACTTGTTCCAATCATATGCACCCGAAAATAAATGTATGCCAGCATGCAGTTGTGGATGCTGACAAAAACAATGCCATGGCTTGTGATGCACATATGCAATGACGAAGAAAGCTTGCCAAGACCACCATCCGAGCAGATTAGTGTCCATCCGCCACTTGCTAAATATCTATTTTGTCGCTATGTTTCAGGTTATGTCAGATTCAGAATCCAGCTGGCTTTTGGCCAATGGAATCGCCTTCGTTGGCTATGGGGCTAGGAAAAGCCAGCTACGTTCCCGTATATGTTGCGTGGCAATCACGTTCAACAGTGTATCCAAAAAATGCCTTTCGGCCAATTTTTAGCGCGGACATGTATCTGTCGCCGAGAAAATCAAGGCTTGGTGGTGACTGTGCCATCTTTCTCCGCATTTCTCGGATCAACATGCCTTGCATCATGGGTGTCTTGAAAGCATGGTGGAATTCGATATTAGCAAAGAAATTGCAATCGTGCATAGTATGCTCATCGCCTTGTTGGGTTCGTAGGTGTCCACACCTTGGTTTATGCCTACTTGCATCGTGTCTTGTCAGCAGCTCGCACCGAGTGCAGTTGTACGAGAACATATCTCTAACAATAGTCCTGGCTGAAAGCCGAAGAGTGCGTGTGCATATGCATGCTGCAAGCAGCCCGCATATCTGCCCTTGGCAGGTGCGTGAATGGGGTGTTTGGTGGCTAAAAGCGAGCGCAGTCCGCCGCAGACAAACAATGCGGAGGGGCACAGATACATATAAAAATAGACCTTCCCTACTAGCTCCATGCACTCATTCGCGCCAGAATTACCAGCTCCCCGCTGCCTTCTATTCAGTATACCCTCCTTTTCGCCTCTACTTACGCTCCTTCTAATCCAACCTTCGTTGCTATTGAGCATGAAAGTAACGTGTGGTATCCTTGCACTTGTGTTCCTCTCAGCCACTGCTGAGGCTCTTGCTATTGGCGACTCAAACCCGGCTCTGTTTTCCAAGCGTGATACCAGCGCGTGTCCTGGCTACAAGGTTGTCTATAAGCAAGACACTGCGACTGGATTCGCTGCATCACTCACGCTCGCCGGCACGCCCTGCAATGTCTATGGCAAGGACATCAGCGACCTGAAGCTCGATGTGCGCTACGATTCAAAAAACCGCCTCCAAGTACATGTGCAGGACACTGCTGGCAAGCAGTTCCAGATCCCCAGCTCAGCCCATGCTTTGAACAATGGCCCCGGCGTCAGCAGCAGTGGCAGCAGCTTAAAGTTCAACTACTTCCAGGACCCCAAGAACGGCTTTGGCTTCAAGGTGTCGCGCGGCAAGGACACGATTTTCGATACCACCGGACACCCGCTGATCTTTGAGGATCAGTACATCGAAGTGACGTCCAATCTGCCCAGAGATGCTAACATCTACGGTATCGGCGAGACGCCCGACTGGTTCCGGCGCAGTACAACCAACAACACTAAAACTCTATGGGCCCATGAAGCCTCTTCCATCCTTGGCCAGAACGTCTATGGCTCGCATTCGATCCACATGGAGCTGCGCAATAACAAGTTCCACGGCGCTTACCTGCACAACTCGCACGGCATGGATATAGTGCTTGATAACAATGCAATCCAGTACCGGGTGCTGGGCGGAACCGCCGACTTTTACTTCTTCAATGGGCCGACGGCACTTGATGTCATTGACCAGTACACCGATCTAGTTGGTCGTCCAGGCCGCATTCCGTACTGGGCACTGGGATTCCACAATTGCCACTATGGGTATGCAAATGTCTGGGAAGTAGAAGAGGTTGTGGCCAATTACTCCAAGGCCAATATTCCGCTCGAATCGCAGTGGGCAGATATTGACTACAAAGACAGATTCCTCGAGTTCACCTTCAGCCCCACAAACTTCCCGCTCAGTGAGATGCAGCGGTTTATTGGGCAGCTCCATGGAAATAACCAGAAAATGGTGCTCATCACCCACCCATCGGTTCATCGCAATTCTTCTTATGGACCCTATGCGCGCGGCAAGGCACAGGATGTATTCATCAAGAACCCCGATGGGTCGGACTATGTTAGCCAAGCTTGGCCGGGGTATGTCCTGTTCCCCGACTGGTTCTCCGCTAATGCCAATGACTGGTGGGCAGGCGAGATCGCACGCTTCCTTGATCAGCTTCCACTGGATGGCCTCTGGTTAGATATGAACGAAGCGTCTGCCTTTTGCACTGGTAGCTGTGGCTCTGGTATCCCTGAGGAGGTGATCCCACCATTCCCCTTTGACCTTGACCCTCCTCCTCCTCACCGCCCGCTCAACACCAGCAATACACTTTTGGTGCCGCCATACGCAATTCACAACCGTGAGATTGAGCTTTCGGATGTGACCATCGAGACAACAGCTGTTCACGCCAACGGCGCGACCGAGTACAGCACGCACAACCTCTTCAGCTACATGCATGCCAAGGCTTCACACAATGCCCTGCTGAAGTACCGGCCCAACCAGCGCCCATTCCTGCTCAGTCCTGGAACAAGGCCTGGTTCGGGCGCCTTTACTGGCCACTGGACTGGTGATAATGCGGCTACCTTTAAGGACTTGCATATCACTATTGCGTCTATGCTCGACTTTGGCATATTTGGTATCCCGATGATCGGCTCCGATATCTGCGGCTTCTCTGGAGATACCACCGAGGAGCTGTGTGCGCGTTGGGCCGAGGTTGGCGCTTTCTATCCGTTTGCCCGCGACCACTATTTGGCAGGGTCGTTGCCACACGAATTATATCGCTGGGAGTCCGTGGCCGAGGCTAGCCGTCGTGCCCTGGGCATCCGGATACACTCTGCTGCCGTACTTCTACACTGCAAACCAATATGCTGTCGAGAAGGGCTGGCCGATTGCCCGTCCCCTTGTGTTTGAGTTCCCAAGCGCCTCGCAGACTGTCGGCATCGACACGCAGTTCCTTATTGGTGACGGCGTTCTGATTTCCCCGGTCCTAACTGAGGGCGCCACCACTGTTGACGCCTTCTTCCCTGCTGGTGTCTGGTACGACTGGTACAACTACAAGGCCATCTGGGCGTCCAGCAATGTTGTGAAGCTTGATGCCCCACTTGAGCACGTCAACGTGCACATTCGCGGCGGCAAGATCATCCCGGCCCAGGTTCCAGCCATGACCACGGCTGAGTCGCGCAAGGGTGACTTCTCAATTATCGTTGCCTGCTAATGTTGAAGGTTCGGCTGAGGGCAAGCTGTACTGGGACGATGGTGAGACCCTGAGCACCGCACACAGGTGGGTCAGCTTTGCCTATCATGACTACAACCTGGCCATTAGCTCGACTAGTGGCAGCTACACGGTGTCACCTCCCCTGACCAAGATTGTCCTGCTGGGTGTTGGCGGTGTCACGTCTGTCAAGGCCAACGGAGTTTCGGTTAAGGCTAAATTCACTACACAGAACAACAGCACAGTCATCGAGGGGCTGAAAATCAGCCTCAGTGCCAACACCAAGATCAGGTTTGCTTAAATACGTGTCTCAAATAATTACATTCCGTCACGCTTGCTATCCTGATGCTGTAAAAGCTGCTACACATGGCAAACCGATTGCCTTCAATCTTACAAACATCATAACTATGCCGGTGTAAATCGCAATAATAAGAAAACAACGCGTGGGCACTAATTGGCTAACAAAACAGACGATCGCTTTGTCTATTGCTTGTATAATGTTAGTCGCCATGGATCATCAGCCGATGTTTTATAAAATGAAGTGCCACTATCTTGTTTTGAAGCTGAGTATAGAAGCAACCGCATCTTCCGCGTCGTCCTCTGTTTTCTCAGCTTTCCGCCTCGTCTATTGCAGCTTTTTTTACTTATTAATTGGCCGTTTACTCTCGAATATGCTTCTGACAAAAATCGCAAACACCCTTGTTTACGGCCCTATGTGCGCAATGGCGCGCTGTGGACCGCTTATCTACCTTGGTGGTCTCATTGGTAGCTCGATTGACTTCAACTACTCGCTTATCTCCAAGGCATTTGTCGATTCGCAACAGGTCATCGACGATTATGTGCAATCGGCGATTTCTACGAATCCAGGCAAAGGGCGGGTTGCAGTTGTAACTGGAGCCAATTCTGGTATTGGTTTCGAGATCGCCAAGGCTATTGGACGTGCTGGATACCAGACCATCCTTGCGTGCCGCAACCAGAGACTGGGGGAAGATGCACTGAAAAGGATAGTGGAAGAGACTAAGTTGGATAACTTTGAATTGATGGCCCTCGATCTCGCCTCGTTCAAGTCGATCGATAGATTCCTTGTGGAATTCAAGCAAAAGTACCACTCGCTGCATATTCTGGTCAACAACGCCGGGGTATTTCCAAGCGCATATGGCACAACCACCGATGGAATCGAGTTGCAGTTTGGAGTTAACCATGTTGGCCCATTTTACCTTACCACCGCCCTTTTGGAACTGATAAAGCAGAGCGGAGGTTCCCGTATTGTCAACACGTCGTCCTTCCTGGCATATATCGCTCCGCGCGTAGACACGTCCCTGGTCACCAATAAGGATCTGTACAACACAGGCGCTGCATACAGCAACTCCAAGCTTGCTGTCGCCATTTTCACCACTGCCCTTGCTAGGAAACTTGAAGGAAGCAATGTAACAGTCAACTCGATCCATCCGGGGTACGTGGCGACCAACATCTTCCGTGATATGAGCTTTGTCACAAAGATCCAGAATGCGCTATTTATCAACCCTACCCAAGGTGCCTTAACATCGATATACGCTGCCCTTTCGCCAGAGGCTGCCATTTTTACAGGGAAATTTCTTGTCCGCTGCCAAGAGAACATGGATCATCCATCAACCATGAGCATCAGCGAGCAAGACGAGATGTGGGCGTTTACTGAAGAGCTTATCAAGCAACATTCATTCAAGTAATCCTAGTAGCCAGACTACAAGTGCTTCAATTAAACAACACATATTTTAGAAATTGAGCGAAAAGGGTTTCCTATTCAACTACAGTTAAACGCTGCGCAGTATTTAGTATACACACGACTCTATATGGTATGCTAGAAATTCTTTTTGAGTTTAAAGCAATCCTGTGTGCTTTAATTCTAAGCAACCTCAATTATAATTGGTTTCAGCGAAGATACTATAGTTGCTCTGCTCGCGATGCGAGCTCGGCTGCTAGTCAGCATGGGTTGACACGTCGATAAGAGCATCACGGCGAACCGGTCATTTGAACGTGTCGGATGGTTGTTGGTGTAATGGCGATCATGGACATCTCCCATCTTGGTGGCCTGCTCAGCGCAGGCGCTTCAGCGCTGGTTCGCTGCTGCTGGCAGCAGAATCGCCTGAAGCTGCCGCACGCCTCTTGCGCGGGTTCTTTGTTTCAGGGGTGGTGCCAGAAGCATTGGCAGCAATGGCTGTAGAGCGACAGAACCGTTCAGGAATACTGCCGGAATCACAGAGTGACTAGAAAATGAGTCTGAAGTTTAGAACTGCTGCGAGATCGCGGTTCAAGAGCTGAGACGAATAGACTCGCCTGTATTGTGCCATAGCCCGCTTACATGGCTCGCTTGTACAGCGGAGAAGGCCATGGCACTTCACAGCTGGGCTCTTCGATCTCTGGTAGGGCCGCGGGTTGGGAACATGCCGGAATGTCTGCTGCTGCAGCCGATGCACCTGCAAGTGAATCAGCCGCTACTGCTGCCAGTTGCTGCAGTGGCCTCTGTTTCATCTGATGGCATCTTCACAGCTTCACGCGCAGTCTTCTTGGCCAATTTTTCGCCCTTTTCTGCTGCTTTCCTTGCCTCTGTTGCTGCCCTCTTTGCTGCGTTGATCTTGGTAACCTCCTCACGTGTTTTCGAAACAAACACCTGCTTGATTATTTGCTTGTCTAAGCGCACATGGCCTGGGATCCATGATGTCCGCAGAGGCAAGCATTGGGGAGGAGACTTGCCAAGCTGCTCATTCTCGATAAGCTGGCATAGGCGAATGTATGCACGCAGATGCTTAAGTGGATTTGCCTTGGCATCATAGTATCGGCTGTCTTTGGCGAATCTGTACTTGGCATCATAGGCATTAAGGACTGGTGCCAGCTTGTTGTAGATTGCAAGCATCGGTGGGGTGAGCACACTGATATCAGGGTGCCTAGAGGCAACTGCCTGGCGGAGCTTCTGTGCAGGTGTATAGATACACACTTGACATGTGTTATTGAACTCAGCCTTGGACACATTGCCCATTGTACTGTGCAGTGTGTTTTTGCGGCTGCGAATATCAATCAATTTGGCCAGAATCCGCTGTAGGCAGGTGCCATAGTGCAACACAATGTTGTTCTTGTATGCTGTCATCAGCTCGGTATCTACGTATGTCACCACCTGATTCATTTCGCATACACCATGTAGCTCAATATCGCCATTATGCAATAGATAATCATAAATATGGTATCTAACTACATCACCGAAATCTGCGCTCGACAGTTCTGACCTGTCCTTCCGGTTGACGAAATCCTCGGCAGATATGACAGTCTTCACCTTCAGGTTACAATAAATGAATAAATAAATAAAACGAAAGAATCCCTTTTTCACAAGTATTGAAGGGTCAAAAGCATCATAATCAGCTAGTTGATGGAGTAGTATCCATCGTGCAAGCATGTATGTATGCTCTTTGATGATAATGACGCTGTGTACAAATTGCTCTAGGCAGGGCAACATAGAATCACGGAAGCCAATACCACCAAGCGATGTCTTTATGACAGCAGTGCTGCGGGTAATATTCATCTGAGAAATTCGGTAGGCAAGTAAGAAGAGAAATGATGCTGTTCAGTTTCGCTGTATTGCGTATGCATAGCATTAAGAATGTTTTATTAGAAATTATCTGACTTGCATGGTTCTTGGGGCCCTTAGCACTGATACAGTCTCTCGAATCAGTCTATACAGACTGGGTCCATTCTGGCCCAAATACTACTGCTTACGCATGTTCATAAGACAAATTAATTTATAAAATAAATCCACAAATATTGCATGATCGCTAGAAGAGCTACATGACCTTATTCAATAGATGCTCATAAATAAATATCCTGAGTGTTGCGCAGCCGGTGATGACCACCATGATGACATCATGGAAGTTATCAAGCCGACTGACAATGAGAGCAGCTCTTGCGCTGAACCAGTGGAGATATCTAGTGGAGACCTGTGACCACTACAATAACAACTCGTCACCCTGGTTTCACCGATGAGGTCAGATGCCGCACAAGATCAAGAAAGGAGTTTACGGAGCAAGCCACCCAAACTCGTGTTGAAGCTTAAGAGTTTTATCTTTTAACCAATTTAAAAGGTTCTAACGGACGGTCGGACACTTTTTGGACTATAAAATCTTTCGACTATAAAATCTTATATATAGGTAAAGATAAAGATAGCAGATTACAAGCCACTAGACAAAGGTTGGTATAATTACTTCACTTTGAATAATCATTCAACGTGCTTCTTGATAACAAGACGGCAGTCACGCTCCGGGTTAGCTGACGCAGTGATGATAAAGTGCCTGCTCTCCATCTTCTTCGGGTACCCGCGCTCATCGAGGACCTTTGGCCCTAGATGGGTGTAATCATCAGGTAGCGACCAGTCGTAGTCCTTAAGCATGTTGGCAAAGATAGTCAGCATCTCCATCCAAGAGAGGTTCCGGCCAGTGCATACTCGGACACCAGAGCTGAAGGCAAAGAAGTTGCGCCTTGCCTCGCTGTTGCCGACGAACCTGTCGGGGTTGTACTTGTATGGCTCAGGCCACATATCCTTGTTCATTGCCGCACCTCGGAAGTTTATGTGGAGTTCGGTGCCGCCTGGCAAGTAATGACCCTGGAACGTCACCCCACCAGAAGGAATAGAGCGCGGCAACTGCCCGCCGATCACCGGGCACAGGCGCAGCGACTCGTAAATACATGCCTCGGTGAACGGCAGCTTCTCCCTGGCATCAGCGTAGGTAATGAGATGGCCGGAGTCGAACTGGCTGCGAATCTCGTCCACAGCTCTCCTGTAGATATCAGGGTGCAACATAAGCAAATGGGTTGTCCAAGCAAGCGTGTTCGCTGTAGTGTCGATGCCAGCACCCAGCATCAGCATGCTCTCAACTTGGATTTCGGTTTCGCTCATCCGGATCTTGGAATGCGGGTCTTCGGCATCAAGGAATGCCTGGAGAAGGTCTACCGGCTTCTCTGCTCCGCTATCGAGTATCGCGCGACGCCTGTTTATCAGACGCCTAACAGCCCGCGTAGCCCTTCCAAAGTTATCTTCCAATCCACGCACCAGTAGCGAAAAGGGGAACGCCTTGAGTATCGGAAACACCGCCTTGTGCATATGCAGCATCATCGAGTCTTGGACCCATTTAATCGGGACAACATTGTCGGTTTTAATGCACTCCAACTCTTGACCACACATGAGGGCGCCGATTACGTCGAGTGTTGTGAGCATATATGACATGCTGTAGTTGATTTCGATATTCCCTTTAGCCTCGGCTTCAATCTGTGCGTCCCATTTCTCCTTGAGTGCCTGGTACCCGGCTTTCAGAATCGTCGGCTCCATATTTTGCAGATACCCCAGGTTGAAGAAGGGTCCGACTTGACGTTTGCGAATGCCAACAAGGTCTGCGTTGCTGGAGCTGAGAATGTTTTCGATTCCGAACAAGTGGAATGCGTGGTAAAACTCGGGCTTAGCAAAGGCGTGGGTGCTTAGGGCTGACTTCAGGTCCACGAGATTCGACAGAGATACGGCATTCGGTCCGCATACATAAAGGTCGCCGTACTTTTCGTAGTCGTGCATCGCGTATTTGCTCATCTTTCCTGACATACCAATATACCCCAGTCGAATATTTGATAGACGGGCGAAGAAGGGTCCAGGGATATTGCGGAGAGGCGAGAGACAGAGGGCATAAACTAGCTTGTACCCAACTAGAGCAGCAGCAGCAGCTAGTAGGTGGGTGGGCGTTATCGAACTGTAAAGAGATGCACACATCTCCTTCCATTCAAGGTCCTGAAGAGCGCTTAGAAGAGACATTGAAAGAGGCATCGGAAATGACCAAGGTGAAAAATAAAAATAGAGACATAGGTGCCCACCCCCATCGGCCACAGATTTAAGGGAAGGTCCGACATACCGTTGAGCAACAGCGACAGCGTGAAAGCACAGGAGGGTATGTACAAACCACAATACAGTATTCCCGCTCGAGTGCAAGAATAATAATTGCTGAATCTCCGCCAGGACAAGCCATGCAGCCCTATGCTGTTCCCACTATTGGAGTTTGTTGGAATGTTTCCCATAGGTCCTCGAGACAATTGTCGTTTGTAGTGGCTGAATAGGAAGTGGCGTGCATTGTTGGCGCTCTACATCACAAAAACCTGAATTATTGGGTGGCATAGACAAGCAAGTGTGATTACTAGATCGGCCTCAGGGTGTAAGGATGATGGAAAAGTGCATACAGCAATCAACTGCATGTGGACAGCAATGCGGCAAGCGGCCCCTCACAAGTGAGTGGGTATATCATAATTTATTTGACATGGGCTGGGGTGAAGAAACATGCGGATGGCAGCTTGGAGAATGCATGCCCTTTTGAATGCACGTGCTGCGTGCTTTTGGTGGTTGGCGAAACTAGGTGTCGGGAGAACGAGCCGGCAGATCGAGTCGGTATGTGTGGTATGTACATGTGCGATGCAGAGGCAGTGGATGCGATGGTTAGCACCCACGGCCACTGAGGCATAAGGCGCATGTGCACTCGCGGTCGCAGAGGACAAGAGCAGTGTTGGTGGTCGGTGCGAGCATCTTGACAGGCAGATCGAGCGCTGGAACTGGAGGGAGACGAGGGGTGTGCAGGAGCTGTATAAAGAGCCAGAGGACCAGCTGATACCGGGGAGCCGGTGGATTTATAGCAAAGACTGGTCGGCATGCAGAAACCAGAGCCGGGCTGCGTCGCTTCATATTAAACCTAATGCAAGCAGCATGCCGCTGTTACCCCAAACCAACAGCCCCTATTTACCTGTTTTCGACAGCATCGGCAACAACTGGCGTGATTTGCAAGCAGCAGCGCCACGCCGGATGTTGCGGGCCGTTCCCAAAAAGGCTAAATTAGCAACGCAACTCTATCTAGAGGCGTGCGGCGGTTTTTCCGTTGGGCTGAGCTGCTTCGGGGACTGTGAATGACGAATGGTAACAAAAAGAGAAACAAAGGCGGTATCAAGGGGCTGGATAAATAGCTGCAGGCGGGTGCGTGTGTGCGTGTGTGCATGTGTGCATGTGTGAGGTGGGACACCCAGCAAACAAAACGAGCCAACAAAGAACGGCTTACAGCGCAGCCCAGCCCCAAGCAAAAAAAAAAAAGAAGAAAAGAGGTTGTGGAGAGCAGGCAAAAAGATCGCTCTCGGATAGGCTCGAACTATCAACCTCCTGATTAACAGTCAGACGCGCTAACCAGTTGCGCCACGAAAGCAGACCTGGCACCAAAGCCAATTTCTGATATTTCGGGAAAATAATGTCTTCATAAAGGAATTGGCAGCTGCCTCAACTTATCGCTGTTTGCCACGGTCTACATAGCTCTTGACTAGAGTATAAATATACCGCCTGGCAACACAGGCACGTGCACGTGGATTGACCAACACCAGCTATCATTTGTGTCACTGACGCAAAGAGAGTACATGTTAGACCATGATCTAGTGCTGTGGTCTGCGTATTCTGTTGTGATTTCATTAGCCTTATGTGCTCCAGCATATTCCAATACTTCTTATCTAATGTTGTTGCAACTTTTATTGCATATGCTTTTGTTCCTATCCTACCACTATTTGGCCATTTCTCCTTATCGACGCCTGCTGCATCCTCTACACAGACTACATGCGCACTAATTCTTGCGAGTATACGAGACAGGACGAGCTGTTAACCCCTCACCATGGGTTATGCTGAACAGCCTCACCCCTTGGCTCTGCTCCACCTCACAATAGGTGCGTACCACGCTCCCAGATTGGCAATTCCACGGCGGATATTTGAGATGCTCATAGGCTGAAGTCAGCAGCACCTGCGCTTCACTCGCCATAGCTGCGCGCTCTTCGTTGCCTGCAGTCCAAATACCATGGCCATTTCCAGCCGATTATCGATTGTTGAGAAAAGAAATGTATTGTGCAAAGAGATGGCTATAAACAGATGGGTTTTGGTAGCCAAAGGCGCCAATCGGCGTACAGCAGGCTTGGTTCTGGGTGGTCAGAGGATGACAGAAGCCAGGGTTCCCTTGACATCTCAGCACTTTTCGCCGATGCTGCACAGGCTGCACGAGCACTCGCGGTCGCAGGTGTGGAGGACAAAGGACGGCAGCGAATTCATCGTTTTCAGTGGATTTTGAGTTGGGAGACGAGTGCAGAGGGTGTGAGGTGGTGAGATGCAGGAGAGAGGAGTTGCCTGGGCACCAATTCGGTCGGCTTTTATACGCAACAGATCGGCGGCGACCGGCTGCGGTTCCTGACTGTGAGAGCCCGGCAGAACCCCCAAACATGCCGCTCACAGTGGTGAGGTCTTCAGATTTATTTACTGAATCCAGGAGGTTCATATTAGTCCTCCATTATCTGTGTTTCAAATCCTTAGGCTCAGCAGCATTCACCCAAGGACACCCCCGTTCTGGAGACAGAGAATTCTTTATACAATTGCTTGCTACATGTTTGGGTAAAGTAAACTCCCCCAGCAAAACGGCAGCAGCACGCCGCCACCGCCCGCTCCAAAAGGATAAATCGAAGAGCCGCACATTGTCTGCACAAGACACCCCCAGCCCTACACCTGCCCGTAGCCGCCATAGTGGCCGCCGGTGTGCATTTTATATTGCCAAAGGGAGAAAATTCATGTATGCAGCACCGCGAGTTCGCGATTGGCAGGCCAGACTCTGGTAACTGCGTATTCCATGTTGGGAGCAGCCACTGCTGCTCACTTTGAAACCTGCAGGAGCTGGGCCGAGGTAAGCTGGAGCTGGCGGGCGCACTCCAGCAGATTATGTATCTGGTTCGACTTGTCCACGGCCTCGGCGTATAGGCGGTCGCGCTCCTCTTGCAGTTTGCTCCGCTGGTCGGCCGAATCGCTGCTGTCGAGCTGGGGACCAGAAGTATCGGGATCAAGGGCAACAGCAAGCTCGCGTGCCCGCTGCCACGATGCCTTGTATTGGGCCCGGGCATCCTCCAGCCCCTTCAGCAGCTCTGCTGTCTCGCTGCCGCTTACGAATGCGTCGATTTGCACCATGTGAGTATTGACTTTCTTTGCCTGGTCGAACAGGCGGGCTGTATCGCGCATGAGCTCCTGGACAGCTGCCGATGCCTGCTTCATTGATGTAGATGGCTATGTGAGGCAATAGATAAGTGTAAAGTTGTGCCAGATATTTAGCAGCGAAGCGATAAGACACCCAGGGATGTGTATCACTGATAATGTGCGCAGTGCCATATTTTGGGAGGTGTCCAGGATTGCTGATGCGCAGTTTCTTTGCATTCACCAAGGGCTCCTTCTTACCATCACTCCATGGGCGTCAATCGCCCTTCACCCACCATTGATATCAGTCCCAAATCGCCCAACAGCCAGTGATCAAGGGCAAACTCGGGTATAAAAGAGCCGGCGATTGCGTGCATTATAGGCCGCTAGCATTTTCTTCCTTGCCCAACTTTTTTAACCAGCTATTACCATGGGCGACACCTCTCACTCTCATACTCACGGCGGCGAGCCCTGCGGCGGGCACGGTCATGACCACGGGCACTCGCATGGCCATACGCACGACGGGCAGCCATGCACTGGACACGGCGACCTCGACAGCCAGGAGGTTAGAGATGCTCAGGCCGAGGCCCAGGCCATGACCGACGTTGTAGCTGCATTCCTGTACTACAAAACATACTCGCTGAATACCGCAATTTACCGCCGCCTACACTCGATTGATGAGCTCAGTGAGGAGCACCGCAAGATTGTGTCGTCTCTGGGTACCATCGACAAGATCAAGAAGGCGGAGGAGCTGCTACGTGAGAACTACAAGTTCATTCTCAATCTGACGTATGCAAACACTGTCGGCTCGATGCCCAATCCGAATGAGGACCCTGATAAGCTGCGCGAGTTCCTGAAGATGTTCTTTGCATATCGGGAGCGCACGAGCGGTAAGCCTGCCAAGGACCACCACATGGATAAGGTCATCAGCACGCTGAAGCAGTTTGTGCGCGACTGGTCTGTTGAAGGCAAGGCGGAGCGCGAGACAACCTATGGTCCGATCATGCAGGCGCTTGACGACGAGTTTGCTGACACTAGGCCTGAGGAACGTGGCAAAATCAACGTGCTGGTGCCAGGTGCCGGGCTAGGCCGCCTTGCCTACGACATTTGCTGCCGCGGATTCAGTGCACAGGGCAACGAGTTTTCGTACTTTATGCTGTTTGCGTCCAACTTTGTTCTCAACAAGGTCGAGCAGCCCGAAGAGATTACGATTTACCCTTTTGTGCACCAGTTCTCCAACGTGGCCAATGTCGACGATCAGATGCGGGCCGTTCGCATCCCTGATGTGCTGCCCAGCGAGCTGCCATACAAGGACACGGCGGACTTCTCGATGACTGCTGGCGACTTTATCGAGGTGTATGGCGATGACGAGGAAAAGGAGAGCTGGGACGCTATCGTCACCTGCTTCTTCATGGATACAGCCAAGAATGCGATCAAGTACCTCGAGACCATGTGGCATGCCATGAAGCCTGGTGCTGTGTGGATCAACCTGGGTCCGCTGCTCTGGCACTTTGACAACATCGAAGGCGAGGAATCGGTTGAGTTTACGCGCGACGAGTTTGTGCAACTGGCGAAGGAGATCGGGTTTGTGTTCGACGAAAGCAAGTTCAGGGATGACGTGCCGGCCACGTACACGGCCAACTCCAAGAGCATGCTGCACTACACGTACAGCACATTCTTCAGCGTCGCGCACAAGCCCAAGTAAAGCGAGTCGTCTGGGAGCATATGGATTTAGTTCTGTGAGGTCATTAAAAGATAAAAGCTCTAGTGGACTGCAGTGTGGGGGGAGGGGATGGCCCAAGGCTTGTTAGCGCTTCTTCGAGGTGACACGGCTGACGGCGCTCTTGACGGCGTGGGCGCACTTCTCGATGTCCTTCTTGGTGTGGGCAGCCGACACACAAATGCGGATGCTCGAGTTAGGCATCAGGCGCTCGTGCTCGTCGACAAACATGGAGCGGGTGAGGAGCACGCCGTCCTTCTGCGCCTCGTCAGTCAGCTCCGTCAGGACACGATCAATATCAGTCTTGGTCCAGGCTCCGCCAGACCGCTTCATGCGAACCAGGGTCTCGGGCGTCAAGCGAATGTGAACCACCGGGCTCTCGTTCGACCCCTCAACCTGCAACCCCTGGATACGCCTGAGCAATGTGCGCAGGTGCACAGAGTTCTCACGCATCGCTGGCAGGTAATCGTCGGGGTTGTTCTCCAGCGAGTGCAAGGCATCGGCGGCAGCCACAGTCAGTATTCCAGGCATAGACGCCGAGAAGCAATAGCCAAGGCCAGACAGACGCTGGTGCTCGACTAGGTCCTTATCAGCACAGCAGAAGCCGCCCGAGGCACCAATGGCGTTGTTGAGCGCGCCGATCATCAGATCAACCTCATGCGGGTCAAGGTTGTAGTGGTCGGTGAGGCCAGCACCACGCTTGCCCATGACGCCAAACGACAGCGACTCGTCGAGGATGATGCGGTACTTGTATTTGTGCTTGAGCTCGACCAGGGCATCGAGCGGGGTGATGTCGCCGGTGTTCTGGAACAGTCCCTCAGTGATGATGAACTTGCGCGGCAGTGCGCTCTTGCGACCAGCCAGCTGCGCATTGACTTCGGCCAGGACACGCTCGAGATCCGCCATATCGTTGTGCTTGTACCAGTAGACCTTGCTGCGCGACAGCGCAATCGCCTGCTGAAGCGAGAACGCAACACCCTCATCGGCAACGATAATATCGCCGCGCTTTGAGAAGCAGGGGATTACAGAGAGCGTAGTGGTGAAGGCCTGGCTGTACAGAATCGCAGAAGAGTGGCCCACGAATGCTGCCAGCTGCTTCTCCAATTCCATGTGCACGTCCAGAGTACCGTAAAAGCCTGGGGGACCGCAGGAACCAACACCGTACTTGCGCAGCATCTCCTGTGCGCGCTTCTCGATATCGGGGCTGTTGATGAACCCGAGGAAGTTGTACGATGCAAAGTTCAGCACCTGCTTGCCGCTGCCCGAGGCCAGCTTGACCCGGATGCCGTTGGGGCCATCAATCAGCACTGCCTTGTCGAGAGTCTCGCGCTCAAACTCAGTCAGTTCCGGAACCAGCGGCTCGGGCTTCCAGTCCTCGCACAGCTCGTCGATTTCCTTCGTGGTCAGCACGACCTCATTTGTGCCAATGTTGTACTTTTGCTTGGTCATGTACCAGATGATGAAGCCGACAAGGCAGACTTCAAGGAAGGTGCGGAACGGGTCGTCCTTGTACGAGTTCTTGATGTACCGGATCACGATGCGGAACGAAACGTCCCAAACAGTACGCAGGAGACCGCGCTGCGAAACGTCGCCGGTCTCGGGGAGAGGAGTGTTAGCAGCAGACTCCATCTTGAAATCGGGGGGGTGAGTACTTCTACGAGGTGAATTCAGCTGAGATGAAAAAAGATTCAGAGCGGAGAAGAGAGGGAGCCTACCAGCCGTTGGGGGTTTGTGTGGTCTTCAAAACAAAGACCTCAGTCTAGCCTGCGTTCTGAATAAAGCCGTTCGCCCACCCCATTGGCGGAAAGCATTTCATGGGGAGCGGCTCAAGAAGGCGTGTAAAATGGACTCTGCCAAGTGTTGTCAGGAGTTTAGTGCGCATCCTGGCGTGCTACGCGTGCTCGTTCAGCGCTTGGGCGCTCGGGGTTCGAATACCAGGCGTGCGCGCCCCTGCATGATATATCGCGTGGCCCGGTGGCATCTGCGAGGTTCGACTCCTCGCCACGGGAAAAATAGAGTAGATGAAATGTCCACAAAACATCTCACCTGCCTCTATACCTTTTTGCTGCCAACTAGCTGCTGTGTCTTGCAAGGCTGGTGGTTCCAGGGTCTGGAATCGGATTTTCGGATCAAGCGGACGAGATGGACCTATTTTTTTTCGCTCTCCTAAGCACCTCCATCCCGCTTGGGCTCCTAGCCCTAGCCCTTTATCTCAGCCCGTCGTTTATTTGCCTCGCAATTTACTTTCACCTTTTCCGTGCATTTCTGAGGGTTGCGCTAATTGCGGGTTTGGAATCTCGAGCGAGGCTTTTTGCAGAGCTGTGGTACAGGACTTTTTATTTAATGGCGCTGCGGGCCAGCAAGCGTAGCCTGCTCTGGACACAGCGCACAAAGCCGATCGCAGTACTCTACCGGGCAGCCGACCAGAACCACCGGTTACGAGCCACATACCACTACAAATGCGAGCATGGAATTCTGACATACCATACATGCACTAGCAAACGGCGAGCAGAGCCTGGGTGCCGGCAGTTCCACACCGGTTCAGTGCTTGGCGACCGTATGATCAGTGACGACGAAATCACAGAGGCATTCGCACGTCTAGATGATCTTCTCAGCAGCGAATCACAGGATGTGCCCGAGATCTGGGCCATGTACGACCAGCTAAAGATCCGGAGGCTCCTATCGTTTGTGTCGTTCGAGACATGGACAAGTCTGCTCAAAACATGCCAACGCACACCGCCACGATTACCGGGATCGCGAAGAGCAGAAATGCACGGCAGCCCATCAAACAAGCAGCTGTCCAAGACCTACGTGGGTGCAGGGCATAAGCTGGATGATGCGAAGGCTCCAGGAAATGGGCATCGTAGGGACGTTAGGCTTCGCACACTTCTGCCACTGGGTCAGGGGTCGGCTGCTGGCAGGCTGGAGAGCGACTTTGGGCGAGAGTTTGTTGGTGATGAGATGCGGGTATGGACACGGGATATGTCGAAACGGCGAGTGCTGATGATGCTAGGCGACATGTGGCGATGCTCAGAGCCCACCGGCACAGAAGATACTGGCGGTTTTACTGGTGGACCTCGCGACATTCCGATAATATCTATATGGCGACCGGTAGCACAGCACTACAATATAGCATTCGACGTGATCTGTCGTGACCCGGCGTCATCAGTCGACGAATTGATCTCGCTGCACACGGACATGCGCTTGCATACGGTTTCTGAGGACGCCATCACATTCAACACGCTGCTCAATGGGTGCCGACGGTTGCGTGCATGGCGGCATTTTCGTGCCATCGATGAGCAGATGCGCAAGCGACATGACTGGGGCGTCACACGGATGGATGCAACAACATGGGGCACTCTGATCCAGGGATATCGTGAGTGCGAGGATTGGGAGTCTGTCGACAGATGCGTGGCATTGGCTACTAAAGCCTGCCACGACTGGCGCAAAGATCCAGGCGTTGGTGTAGAGCCTACTGTGAAACTATGGACGACAATTGTCAGCGTATACGCGCAGCGCAACATGGTATCCCAGATGATCGGTGCGCGGCGAGTAATGGGGAAGTTAGGGTTGGAAATGTCATCGTGGGCGTTCGCAGCGGTGTTTGCTGCCTTACATCGCATGCGTCGGTCGCTAGCACGCAGCCGCAAGGACACATGGCCTGCAGTAGAGTTGGCGATCCAGGAGTTTGAGGCTATGCGTGATGGTGGGATCGTGCCCAATGCGACAGTCTTGACCAACATTATCTTGATCATTGGGCTCAAGAACCATGCACAGAACCATAAATTCGACGAATACCCTGGTCGTATGCAGAGAAAGCTCGAGAGCATTGGCGGGCAGGTCAGAGACGAGCTTGAGAGCATGGTAATGCGTGGGCGTGACCCGAACATTTATGCGGCACTACTGAATCTGAGTAGTCAGTCAGCCAGTATCCATGATGCAGAGGCAGTATGGCAAACGCTCGAAACTGAGCTTCGGTTCTCTCAGGGAGGAAGCAGACAGCCGCTGCTAAACTCGCTCACACTATCTGCCTATATGCATGCGCTGATAAGTTGCCGCGAATACGAGAAGGCAATCTCAGTGTTCTACAAGTATGTGCTGCCCATGCCTGGCGGGCCGCATGGCAAACTGCGCGGACAGTTGGCATCGGCTAGACTACACAGCGTCGACCGTAGCGTATACGAAGCAGCAATCAAGGCATTTGCACTGGCTGATAGGCACCGCCTGTGTCTCCAGATTATACAAAAGATGACTGCCAGTCGGATCATGCCCAGCGTTCTCACATTGCGATATCTGCTTCTGCCGCCAGATTACACCGATCCACAGAAAATCCGGCTCCACAAGTATACACGCAGATGGAGCCTGCCACTGTCGGTTGCGCGCGAGGCATGGGATATGGTCCTGGCGACAAGGCGCGAACGCTGGCTGTACGGCTCAAAGCGGGAAGAGGGAGAGATGCCTGTGATTGTCAACGACGTTGCTGCGCAGTTTATCCGTGTTGCTGCGTATGGGCGGAGTGTCGAATTTGGCGAGCAGGTGTTTGAGGCACTCAAAGCGGAGATGGACTACTTTGGCATGGGCAAGCCTGTGGATGAAGACGCAGGTATGGATGCACCAGCCGAGGAGTTCCCTGAGGATATGCAGTGCGTACCAAATGTGCGCACATACACGTCAATGGTTACATTATACGGCTACGATGCGAACTTGGAAGGTGTAAGCCGGATCTGGTCGGAGATGCTCGAGCGCGGTGTCCAGCCTAACTTGCCCACATACACCAGCTTGATTAACGCTCTGCACAAGGTCGCTCTGCGCAAGCGGTGGAGACGCACTAAGGCATTTGCTGAGATTTCTAGCCAGCAATCCATTGTGAATGCCAGTACTGTTGATATGGATGGCGACTACCATCTTCCAGGGATTCCTGATGGCGGCCACATGAGCACACCTGCCGAGGGGGCGGTACGAGATCGGGCGACAAAGCAGGACAAGATGATTGCGCAGCTTGAGGACTCGCTGATGGCCTCGGCAGGATCAGACAAGTTGGCGATGTTCGATATCCCGCTCGGTACACTTTTGCTGAGGTATCATTCGATGAAAATTCGCGACACTGCCCACGACATTGCTGCTGAGTCAGGCAGTCCGGAGCAAGTCAACGAAGAAACATCCGAGGATATTAAGAGGGCTATGCGCGTGTGCTTGGCGGTTGATGAGGCTGGGTTGCAGCCAGATTACAGGTTTCACTCAGCGCTGGCAGATTTGTTTGATACCTGCGGTGACGCGTCGGGCGCAGAGCTGGTGCGTAAGCATATGGGCCCGCTGATGGATCCCAGACCGTGATGCGACATGCATTTTTGGAAATATAGAGTTAAGACGTTGCGCTGGGTCGCGCAGAACCTGCCAGTCAAGCCCATTGATGGAAGAACCGCTTTTGTGGATGTTGCTGGCGAGCCGAGTCATAGTTCTCGGGTGGTCGTTTTCATCGAGTTGGCTCACATCAAGGGAGAGCGGTTATCGCACAGCTTGAAAGCGCCTTTTTTTTTTTTTTTTAACATTTCGCTTCGTTTGCATTCCACACCTTTAGAAATGTCGCGCTATCCCAAAGTAATTACACGGCAGAGCACACAAATGTTCTTTGGCGGGCTCATGCTGACCACAGTGGTTGGGTATATCTGGCTGAGCCCACGCATGAAACAGACTGAAGAGTTACAGGGTCAGCTCCGCAAAGTCCAAACACACATGTACTGGAGCATGGCTTTGACACAACGAACACGGCGGGAGGAGACGGCCGGAGAGACGACAGCACCGCGGCGAGTGATATGGTGGAATGCACGTGTGGGCCAGCTATTCCACTGGGCGGGTGAGCCTGGGTACTTGACGGCGGGCACACAAAAGACACGTAGGCTGGTAAATGACGGGCTCGAGTATGGCGCGGGGGAGGTGAAGCGCGCAATCAGCAGCAGTAGTGAATGGGCAACAGACACGATAAAGGAAGGGGTCGAGCAGTCGGCTGTTGTCAAGAGCGCTCGGCTTATGTGGGAGGACGAGAAGCGCAAGTGGCGGGTCGCTCACGCCGACGCTATCGAGGCTGTGCACCCGCTGTACCAGAAACCAGAAGACCCTTGAGTTTGCTATGGCTACACTGCTCCATACAGATAATTCTAGTATATATCGTTTGCGTGAAGAAAACACATTTATTCGACAGATATTGGTGCTATTGTTGTAGTGTAGGTAATTACTTGCGGAGACCGCTGATTGCAGACATGTTCTTTTGGTTGGACGAGGATTTGATGAATGTGGCGATGTTCGACAGCCCGCGGTCCTCAACATAATTGGGACCGGCATGCGGTTCCATTTTGGTATTCTGCGAAATAAGCGGGAACCATTCGAGCTCAATGTAATTGTCAGCGGCCTTCAAATTACGCTGTGGGAGTATGCAGTCCTGCACGAGCGGCGACCCATCGGGCAGCCCATGGCGACCTTGCGAGTCCATTGTGAGCTCGGTGCCGACATTGATATGATAGGCGTTGTTTGAGAACGATTCCTGCAAGGACGGATGGTTGTTGGCCAGCGAGTTGGCAGTGCGCGTGTAGCGCGACGCGAGCTCCTCAGTAGCTGACGCTGCGTCGCTGAAGGCGTTATCGTTGTGCACGCTGATTGACCGCCCCTTTTCGGGGTTGAACGAGCCGCCAAGCTCCATGGCCAGAAGCTGCATTTCCTCCTTCTGGTGCTCCTCAATCTGCCGCTGCCGCCTGTGCCGCCGGTAGAAGAACCAGACAAGAACGCCAATTATCGCCAGCCCAGCAACACCACCACCAACAGCACCGCCGATTAACGCCGCATTGACCTTTTTGCTGCTCGTGGCCGGCGTTTCGGTCGGCGTGCTGGATCCTGTGGGCTTAGATGTCTCTGTGGGTGCGGCGGTCGGCTTCGGCGTCGATGTGGGTGTCGCGTCGCCATTGCTGTCGTCAGTGGCCTTTGTTGGGGAAGGGAGCTCATCTTTGGGAATCTCCTTGACAGGCACAACTTTGACTATGGTGCTTCCGGCGTGGTTAGTTGTGAAGACGGGCGACCCGATGAATGAAGACCTCCCATTGCTGTCATTCATAAACAGGATATAGGTTGTGTACTTTGATGTTACAGTAGACACAACCAAATTACCATCGGGGTCTATGGAGGATTTGATATTGACGTTCATTCCTTCGTTGATGCTGACTTGTGTAAAGGCCGATACAAGTGTCATGGCGGCAGCGCTCAGCGCCATCATACGGGATATGCTGAGCCTCATGACTATACGAAGGACAGCACTTTTATACTATAGAAGAAGATAAGCTGTGCGAGTGTATGAGGCTACCAGTTAGCAGAAACGGTAAAAGGTGTGGGTTGAAGCTCCAATGTAAATATCAAACAAGTAGATAAAAAGGCAAAAGTGTAATGACTAGAGGGAAGGAAAAAGAAAAAAGGATGCACCAGAGCGCGGTCAGTGCAAACCACCGCGCCTATCCAGCCTTATGTTTACTCTTTCCTGTAGCCGCCGTGTCCCCCAATGCTATTTTTGTTTGGTGCATGAAGGTGCATCTTGCTATTCTACCATCAAATACCTGACTACTACTAGGACAGCAGGAGCGATAAAAATGTCGCAAAAACAAGAAATTGGAGGTATAGGATCCACTTCCCATACACACCGGTTTTGATTGTGATAGCTGCTGTTTGTCCCCTCCTCCGCCATTCCGCAATGGCTACAAAAAAACGTCTTTGTGCATTCTTGTATATAGCAGGCGCTTACATGTAATCGTGCATGAGGAGACGTTGATTTCTGCGGTGGAAAGAAGGAGCGTGATGGCCAAGTCGGCGCATTGCGATCGGCACCACGCATCAATTTTTGCGTAATAAACATATGCACAAAGCTGCATATGGCAGCTGGTGTGTTGGGAAGCATCGAAAGCGCGTGTAGGAACCGCGCTAATTATAGAACACAGTTGGCTGGATCCAAGCGCTGGAGGACAATATTGGTAGGTTGGTGGTCTGTAGCTCAAGGCAAGACGCCTATTTTTCATGGGTCGTGTTTGGCAAGACCTATATTTAGTGTACCAGAAATCAAGGGCAGCTATGAAATGATCTGCCCAGGGACTGCGCGCTACATGTCGACTAGGTCGTCTCTGCTGCCAGAGCTTGTATACACATCTCTCTCCTCGCCCACTTCATCGTACAGCGTATAGAAGTCTTGCAGCAGCGGGTAGTAGTCCTCGACCTTGCCCTCCCGTGTTGGCCGGATAAATTCCATGACCAGCGGCGAGCCGTCAGCGTACCGGTGGGTCTTGCTCAGTGTATCCATGGTGATCTCGGTGCCGATATCCTGCAACTGTGGAATATGGTCAGAGAACGGCGACTCACCCTCTTCGTGGGCCGAGCTGCGCAGGTAGCGAGTGCCAAGCGACGGGCGGCCGGCGAAGCTGTCTTCAAAGGGTGTGACAGTCGACGTGTTGAAGATGCTGGAGGCCATCGATGTCTTGGGCTCGTACGAGCCGCCGAGCTCCTCAGCCAGCTGCTGCAAGCCAAGCTCGTAGATATAGTCGGCCTGGCGGTTCTCCTGCTGCTTCTTGCGGTTGCGGTGTACGACATAAACAAGGATGGCGATCACGATAATGGCGACGACGGCACCAACAGCAATCCCTGCAATGGCACCTGTGGACAGGCCTTTGGACTTGGTCACAGTGATAGGAGCCGGCGTCTGCTCGTCGTCCACCGGAGGGGCGTTGTCAGTGAACGAGTTGGCGCTGTACCCTGTGGTTTCCGTGAAGAAGCTGAGGTAGGATTTGGCGTGGACATAGTACTGGTAGGTTGTGCTCTGTGTACACGAGGCAATGGTCTTTCCCGTTGAATCTACAATGCCTGACCACAAGCCCACCAGCTGATAGCCATCACCGACCTTGCGCACCAGCGGTGCCCCAGAGTCGCCCTTGCATGGCGCACTGCCTGGCGTCAGAGAATTTGCCGTGCACACCAGCTTACCATCAATTCCTTCAAACAAATCAGTGATTTTGCACTTGAACTCGTCGCCAATGGCAACCGTTGATACCTCCAGAACGCCGTTTGAGCTGCCTGCACCGAATTCGTCGGTAGTTCCCCAGCCCATCACTTCGAGCTTGTCGTTGGTCTTGAGGCTGCCCGTGTAAAGAGGAACACGGTTCACTGCGGATGAGAACTTGAATGCCGGGCTAACCTGCAGCAGCGCGATGTTATCGGCGCCTGATGTCATGTTAAGCGAGCTGATAGGGATCACATTCTTGACGGTGGCTAGCGGCTGGCTGGCCACCGTGCTATTTCCATAGCCAAGCGTAATGCTGCCGACTGACACCGGTTTGCCGTCTTTGCCGACTATGCAGGCTGCGGCTGTCACGATAATCTGGTCGGTGAGGATGGCTCCGGCACACCCGTTCCCGCCGTTAGCCTCTGATGTGGAAATGTGCACTGCAAACGGATAGTCTTTAATGCTGGCCTCTTTGCCGCCCACAATGCGCTTATCAAACGACATTGCCGCTGCGCTGCTGGCTGCCAGTGCTAAATATGTTGCCACCCACCGCGTCTGCATTAAATTATGTGCTGGCTACCAGGTATTTGTATACAAAATTACTTCAAAGTTTCAGTGGAACAAGGTGATGAGGTCCAGGTATATACATTAATCGGTGAAGTGAGGGAGGAACAGGAACTAAAAGGCAGGCCCTGCAAGATGGGAGAACATCTGCTCCCTGGCCCTTTTTGCTGAAAAAGAGCACAATAAAACCGAAACTCACTGTCCGCTCGCTCTGCAAATTGGGATTCTGGCCAGCATAGACGGCATGCAGCAGGCAGGCAAAGAGTGCGCCCACGCCCCCATCCATGTCGGAAATAGACGGCCCTTATATATAGTCCTGTCGAAATTGCTGATTTTTCAGCGCGTCCAATGAGTGTCCAACTGGGCGAAAACCGGACACAGGCAATGCTGGACTGGGTTGCCTTGTGACCTGTGCTAGAGAACTGGCATTAGATGCCGTTAGTGGCTCGGGGCAATGGCGACAATCTCATCGTCTTCGTCATCCTCCGCAGTGCGCGACGCCAGCTCATACGTGTGGCCCCAAGCAGTCCTCTTCTGCGCCTGGTGCACCCTCCACACCTTGACAAGGACCGCAAACAGCAGCAGGGCAAGCGCAGCCGATCCGGCCGCGATGCCGGCCACGGCACCCTTGCCCAGCTTCTTGGGTGCTGCTGGACTGCCGGCTGGCTCATGCAGGGACTTGGTGAAGGTGTCGACAGGGACCCCGACTGTCGAGGCAATAAAGTCGAGGTAGCTGTAGACATGTGTGTAGTATGCAAGGCTCGAGTCCTTGGCACACAAGTCGTAGCCCTCCTTGGACAGGTCTATGTGGTAGCTGTATATCCCAACCAGCTGTTTCTGGCCATCGACATCATGGACCAGCGGCGCTCCAACCTCGCCATTGCACAGGTCGTGGCCCGGGTTCAGCATATTGTCGCTGCACAGCACACGGCCCTCGACCCCGTTGTAGTTTTCTGAGCGCTGGCACCGTGCACTCTCGCCAATGCGCACATCTGTGGTTTTCAGAGTCTCGGACCACTTGGCGCCAATCTGGTCGTCGGCTCCCCAGCCCATCACCTCCATGCGCTCGCGGGCCGAGACGCTGCCTGAGAACACAGGAATGCGGTTGACAGTCTCGGAGAACTCTAGCGGCTCGATCCTAACCAGTGCGATGTTGTTGTGGATGCCATTATGTGTGTACTTTCTGTGTACGGCGATTTCGAGCACCCGCGCATGGCGGAGCTTGCTGCGCTCGACCGAGCCGTAGCCGATCAGCAGCTCGTCTGGACGGATGACCTGCTCTGTGCCCTGGTGAACCACGCAAAAGGCGGGCACCAGAATGATCTGGTCGTGGAGAATCGTGCCAACGCACTGGATGGGCATCTTGTCGCGAGTGTAGCTGAGATGGGCCACAAACGGAAACTCGCCCTGCTTTGCCTCGCGCCCGCCGACTATCCGCTTGTCAAACATGCTTCACTACTGTAGTATCTGTGTGGATGCTTGCTGACTGTATGCTAAGTGAAAAAGGGTATGGAGGGAGCATCTGCCTCGCCGCCAATGCTCCCCCCCCCTTCTCTACCACGTCGCCCTTTGTCGCCCTGCTGTCATTTTTAGCACCCGCTGCATGCCTGGCGTGACCTGGGCGCTTGATTTGCGAATGCCAGCCTTGGAGCAGAACGAGGGATGCACACTATTCCACGTCAAGTCGAAAATCAGCCTTTCTGTTGGCCGCTGTGCAGAACAACGCTCGCCAACGTCCAAACTCAATTCGCAGCAGCAGTTCTCATTTTGTGAACCCAACTAAGCAGAATAGTTGCTTTAAAGCAGTTCTCTGTTGCACTCTAGCGGACAATTTTTACCATCTGTTCTCGCTGTTGATTTCAGCTCCCCCTCTTCGCTCCTGCTAGTGTAAACACTTTTTTTTTTTTGAAACCTGTAAAGATGGCCCGCATTCTTGCTGCCGCTCTGGCTGTTGCACCGCTTGCCGCTTCCCAGTTCGCCTTTGACCCAAGCACATACGATGCCAGTCTTCTCGCCGGGATCATCTCGGCCAACTACGGCCAGTACCAGCAGCAGTGGGATGGCTACCTCGAAACTGCCAAATCCAAGTTCCCAGACGCATACACGAAGCTCACTGCGTACTTTGGAACCGACAGCATCCCTGACACATATGATGCAGCCTGGGTCAGCAAGTTTGCTCAGCAGATGCAAAAGACCGGTCCTACCACCGTTGTTGACAACCAGGTCAACTCGGCCACGTTCATCTTCACAAGCACCTCGGCTGATGCGGTAACAAAGTCTGCTACCGGCACTGCTACCGGCACTGCAACTGGAACCGCAACCGGAACCGCAACCGGAATTGCAACTGAAACTGCGACTAAAACTGACACCGGCACCACTGGAACAACCACACATGACAAATCAAGTGCCAAGCCCCCTACAAAGCCAACATTCACACTGAGCGATTCTGATACTGGCTCCAAATCGGGTTCGCCACCAGGCACAAAGTCCGCCAACGACACGACCGCAGGGTCAACTGCAGGATCAAAGCCAAATAGCGCAAGAATTAACCAGCCCATGGTCGCCCTCGGCCTGTCTCTGTCTGCATTGGTCATACTCTCATCTGGAAACCTGTTTTAGTCACAGCTATCTCCAGCTTTAATGTTATCACTCAAACAAGAGTTCATATATTTAGGTCCAATGTTGTGTGCTCCCTATGCCAACGTGACTCAATGAATCACCAATGTCCAATAGATGTAAAGGATGAATACGCTAGCAGAAGTTGAAATCTTTTGTTTTACTTGCTTAAGGCCTTGTAGAACGTGGCAAACAGCGATAAGTTGAGGCAGCTGCCAATTCCTTTATGGATACATTATTTTTCCGAAATATCAGATGTTATGCCCGTCGTTGACGATCATGAACATGTCGCGGATACGCTCCTAGATCAAGATCAAGATCAAGACATGCAAGACCCACGACTGCCCCGCATCTCTTCTTCTGTTTCAGTCTTAAGCCCACAAGACCAGTTCCATTCCCATGCGACAATGGTCGACCCGGTTACAGGGATCCCTATTGTCCATGCGGCCCCGAGACCATAGCTCAAGTGTGCATCAGTATATATAAGTGCACATCTTATACATGCACATAGATTCGAAGAACTCTGATCCCGCTTTTGACTCTGATTTCCTGAATACAATAATCTCCGACTCAAGCTCTTCTTTCCATTCGGCTCCTTCATTATCACCTGGGCCAGGTGATAACACAGAAATTGGCTTTGGTGCCAGGTCTGCTTTCGTGGCGCAACTGGTTAGCGCGTCTGACTGTTAATCAGGAGGTTGATAGTTCGAGCCTATCCGAGAGCGATCTTTTTGCCTGCTCTCCACAACCTCTTTTCTTCTTTTTTTTTTTGCTTGGGGCTGGGCTGCGCTGTAAGCCGTTCTTTGTTGGCTCGTTTGTTTGCTGGGTGTCCCACCTCACACATGCACACATGCACACACGCACACACGCACCCGCCTGCAGCTATTTATCCAGCCCCTTGATACCGCCTTTGTTTCTCTTTTTGTTACCATTCGTCATTCACAGTCCCCGAAGCAGCTCAGCCCAACGGAAAAACCGCCGCACGCCTCTAGATAGAGTTGCGTTGCTAATTTAGCCTTTTTGGGAACGGCCCGCAACATCCGGCGTGGCGCTGCTGCTTGCAAATCACGCCAGTTGTTGCCGATGCTGTCGAAAACAGGTAAATAGGGGCTGTTGGTTTGGGGTAACAGCGGCATGCTGCTTGCATTAGGTTTAATATGAAGCGACGCAGCCCGGCTCTGGTTTCTGCATGCCGACCAGTCTTTGCTATAAATCCACCGGCTCCCCGGTATCAGCTGGTCCTCTGGCTCTTTATACAGCTCCTGCACACCCCTCGTCTCCCTCCAGTTCCAGCGCTCGATCTGCCTGTCAAGATGCTCGCACCGACCACCAACACTGCTCTTGTCCTCTGCGACCGCGAGTGCACATGCGCCTTATGCCTCAGTGGCCGTGGGTGCTAACCATCGCATCCACTGCCTCTGCATCGCACATGTACATACCACACATACCGACTCGATCTGCCGGCTCGTTCTCCCGACACCTAGTTTCGCCAACCACCAAAAGCACGCAGCACGTGCATTCAAAAGGGCATGCATTCTCCAAGCTGCCATCCGCATGTTTCTTCACCCCAGCCCATGTCAAATAAATTATGATATACCCACTCACTTGTGAGGGGCCGCTTGCCGCATTGCTGTCCACATGCAGTTGATTGCTGTATGCACTTTTCCATCATCCTTACACCCTGAGGCCGATCTAGTAATCACACTTGCTTGTCTATGCCACCCAATAATTCAGGTTTTTGTGATGTAGAGCGCCAACAATGCACGCCACTTCCTATTCAGCCACTACAAACGACAATTGTCTCGAGGACCTATGGGAAACATTCCAACAAACTCCAATAGTGGGAACAGCATAGGGCTGCATGGCTTGTCCTGGCGGAGATTCAGCAATTATTATTCTTGCACTCGAGCGGGAATACTGTATTGTGGTTTGTACATACCCTCCTGTGCTTTCACGCTGTCGCTGTTGCTCAACGGTATGTCGGACCTTCCCTTAAATCTGTGGCCGATGGGGGTGGGCACCTATGTCTCTATTTTTATTTTTCACCTTGGTCATTTCCGATGCCTCTTTCAATGTCTCTTCTAAGCGCTCTTCAGGACCTTGAATGGAAGGAGATGTGTGCATCTCTTTACAGTTCGATAACGCCCACCCACCTACTAGCTGCTGCTGCTGCTCTAGTTGGGTACAAGCTAGTTTATGCCCTCTGTCTCTCGCCTCTCCGCAATATCCCTGGACCCTTCTTCGCCCGTCTATCAAATATTCGACTGGGGTATATTGGTATGTCAGGAAAGATGAGCAAATACGCGATGCACGACTACGAAAAGTACGGCGACCTTTATGTATGCGGACCGAATGCCGTATCTCTGTCGAATCTCGTGGACCTGAAGTCAGCCCTAAGCACCCACGCCTTTGCTAAGCCCGAGTTTTACCACGCATTCCACTTGTTCGGAATCGAAAACATTCTCAGCTCCAGCAACGCAGACCTTGTTGGCATTCGCAAACGTCAAGTCGGACCCTTCTTCAACCTGGGGTATCTGCAAAATATGGAGCCGACGATTCTGAAAGCCGGGTACCAGGCACTCAAGGAGAAATGGGACGCACAGATTGAAGCCGAGGCTAAAGGGAATATCGAAATCAACTACAGCATGTCATATATGCTCACAACACTCGACGTAATCGGCGCCCTCATGTGTGGTCAAGAGTTGGAGTGCATTAAAACCGACAATGTTGTCCCGATTAAATGGGTCCAAGACTCGATGATGCTGCATATGCACAAGGCGGTGTTTCCGATACTCAAGGCGTTCCCCTTTTCGCTACTGGTGCGTGGATTGGAAGATAACTTTGGAAGGGCTACGCGGGCTGTTAGGCGTCTGATAAACAGGCGTCGCGCGATACTCGATAGCGGAGCAGAGAAGCCGGTAGACCTTCTCCAGGCATTCCTTGATGCCGAAGACCCGCATTCCAAGATCCGGATGAGCGAAACCGAAATCCAAGTTGAGAGCATGCTGATGCTGGGTGCTGGCATCGACACTACAGCGAACACGCTTGCTTGGACAACCCATTTGCTTATGTTGCACCCTGATATCTACAGGAGAGCTGTGGACGAGATTCGCAGCCAGTTCGACTCCGGCCATCTCATTACCTACGCTGATGCCAGGGAGAAGCTGCCGTTCACCGAGGCATGTATTTACGAGTCGCTGCGCCTGTGCCCGGTGATCGGCGGGCAGTTGCCGCGCTCTATTCCTTCTGGTGGGGTGACGTTCCAGGGTCATTACTTGCCAGGCGGCACCGAACTCCACATAAACTTCCGAGGTGCGGCAATGAACAAGGATATGTGGCCTGAGCCATACAAGTACAACCCCGACAGGTTCGTCGGCAACAGCGAGGCAAGGCGCAACTTCTTTGCCTTCAGCTCTGGTGTCCGAGTATGCACTGGCCGGAACCTCTCTTGGATGGAGATGCTGACTATCTTTGCCAACATGCTTAAGGACTACGACTGGTCGCTACCTGATGATTACACCCATCTAGGGCCAAAGGTCCTCGATGAGCGCGGGTACCCGAAGAAGATGGAGAGCAGGCACTTTATCATCACTGCGTCAGCTAACCCGGAGCGTGACTGCCGTCTTGTTATCAAGAAGCACGTTGAATGATTACCGATAGTGGTGTTGGCATTAGACCGCCTTCACCGCCCTGTGCCACCATGCTCAAGATTGCCCATGCACTTAAAAGGGCCCCAAGCACCCAACAGTCTACCCTCTCAGTTGATTTTACACGTATTTTTCTCCATATATGCCGATTGTTAACCTTCAGAGAGTCCAGTAGTTATGAGCTTTATGGAATGAATAAAATGGAAAATTTGCTGAGGAGAAAAAGGAGGATGGGGCCGTTCCGGCCCACAAAGTTTATACAGGTGGGGATTTGGATCTGCACATGGTGACGGAGGGCATAGAGTTGCCCGAATGTCAACACCGATAAACGCATTTGTCTGTTTGTTGACAAGTTGAATATATCTTAAGGCTGAAATTGTGCTTGTAGGCTAACTCCACTTCTTAAGCCAACGAAATGTTAATTAAACAGTTAACCTTAGGATTCTCTGGCCCATATACGCCATCGGATTTGCCTGGGATTGTAATCGGCGCTCCACGCTCGTCCTTTCTGTGTGGGCCATACGGGGAATCGCTGGGTAGAGATATGTTGTAGCGACGTAGAATGTTTGCCAGAGTCGTGTACATCTCAACCAGGGCAAGATTCCTTCCAGCACATATGCGTACACCAGTGCTAAACGTAAGAACACTCTTTGCATTCTCGTCAGCATCCTTTCCTAGGAAGCGCTCTGGATCAAACGTACCTGGATGCTTCCACACGCTGGTGTTGTGGTGACATGCTGCAAACGTGAGTGCGATATGCGTACCATGTGGCATGAAGTATCCTTGTATCGTAGCGCCATCACGAGGCAGAGTACGTGGTATTAGTCCCGATGAAACCGACGTCAGACGCATCGACTCTTGCAAAACAGCTGAAAGGTAAGGTAGCTTGGACTTGGCCTCTCCAAACAGAATTGGCTTGGCTGTGTCAGGGAATTGGGAGCGGACCTCATCGGTCACCCGCCGATACACATGCGGGTTATTGAGCATGTGCATGATGGTCCAGGATAGAGTTGTGGCAGTAGTGTCGGTACCGGCAACAAGCATGGTTATAAGCTCCGACAAGAGCTGTGTCTCTGTAAGCTTGTCACCAGTAGCAGGATCGACTGCATCTATAAACTTTTGCATGATGTCAATACGTGGTGGGATGCCAGTCTCAGATACCAGTTGCCTGCGTGCTGCTACCGCATTGCGGATGATGCAGATCAGATTGTATCGTGACCTCTTCAGTTTGGGATATAGCCACGGAATGTGTCGGACGATGGGGAATATGCGGACAGCGTTTTTGAATCGAAATATGTCTTTGAACCAGTCAATAACCTCTGTGTTGCCAGTCTCCAAGATATCGAACGAACGTCCAAATGCCAGTAGGCCGATTGTATCAAACGTCATGTAGTGGAACATGTAGAAGTAGTTAATGCAGGCCGTTTTCCCATTGCGCTCGATGGCGGCGTCCCAAGCTCTCATGAGTGATTTCACACCCACTTCCATGGTTACATCCTCGATATCTCTCAGACTAGCCATTGAGAAGGCCCCTCCCAGCTGACGACGCCTGGTTTTGTTAAGCTCTGGATCTGCGGTGCTGAACATGTTGATGTCGATGACCTTGCCCTTTTCGTAGAGCGGTGATTTTGGGAATGCGTGTGTTGCAAGTACTAGGCGTGTGTCTGATGGGTTGGAAAGAGACACCTGGTTAATTCCAATGCGAACTACCTCGCCATATTGATCGTGCAGCTTGCAAGAGTAGCTATGTATCTGACCAGTAAACAGATGGTAAACAAAAGGCAGGTTGGTGAACTTGTTTATAAACGGACCAGGGATACGAGCAAGGGGAGAGAAGAGTGCATACTGGATGGTTCGTGCCACGTATGCTGCAACAACGAGTGAAATGGCAAGGGAGAGATAAGATAGCCCCCAAAGATCAGAGAGTTTGTCTGCGAAGGACTGAGCTAATGCTGCCATAGGTAGTGCTATAAACCGACTTGTGCGACGAAAGACAAAGCAGCATAGGTGCACCGTTATATACGGTTTATTCTAGGCTGTCGAAAGGCTATTCCGTGTTTCAATAGCACGTGCGTCGCGCAATGTATTTCGGATGTCCGTGCCTGCATCGGGTCTACTATTGTGCAGTAGACACAGGGTTGTCATGTGTAAAGTTGACATTTCACCGAGTCATCAACAGGATCAGGATTAGGAACGGTTTGTTAGGTGTAAACCAGCAGTGCTGTGAATTGCTGAAGTTTTTCTCACTATTGGTCAAAATATATTGCGGTTGATCTGTAATTTAGTAGTGAAGGCAAGAAACAACTGGAGAATCCGTCATATATACAATAGCGTGGAAACATGTGGAGAAATGCGGAGACATGTGGCCTCACAAGTGCTCAGCATATAGCCTTAATAACCCTAAGCCAATTCTTGCTATTACCACCAATGTTTCGAATAACAAAAAGCTCTATGCTATTTTGAATGGGTGGAGCGGTGCCAACTGGCCATCATGCATGGCTGGGAATATGCGCAAAGAATACCAGGTCAAAATGTTGCATCATTTGTCTGATCCGAATGTCTTGCAAGGAGCTCATTCGTATAATTCCACATATCCACGCACTCATTGCGAATGTCGCAGGTAAAGATGGGGGTTGATTTCTTGAACCCAAGGAATCAATTATATAAACCTACTGCCCTAAAAAGTCCCGTAACTCCTCTGATCTGAGTGTTTCGCAACCAACTTCTCAGTAAACTCCCACAGGTCGTCCTGCTCTTTGATACTGTTGGCTGACGGATGGGAGTAGGTGGGCTGACAACGAACAAAGTACTGGCCTGTGGTATCGTTGTACTGCTGATCGAGCACCGCAGCAAGTGTAGTTAGTGAACCCATGACAGTGTTGGTGAATAGCATATTCTGGATCTTGGCCGACAGCCCGACGTGCTGGAAGATGTTGGTGGCAACATATCCTGGGTTAATCGAGTTGGCGGTGATTCCAGTACCCTCAAGCTTTCTGGCCAATGTGGCTGCAGACATGGTGAGTGCGAGCTTTGAGTTGTAATAGGCGCGGGACTTGTCGTACCTGCTCTTGTCTGCGACCAGCTCCTTGTCAATTCCAGCGTTCATGTAGCTGCCAAGCGATGACAAGTTGATGATCTTCGCAGGGCTAGATCTCTTCATCACATCCAAGAGTGCGTCTGTAAGAACGAAGTGACCAATATAGTTTGTGCCGAATTGGAGTTCAATGCCTTCGGCAGTGGTCATATATGGACACATGCAGACACCACCGTTGTTGATAAGAAGGTGTAGGGAGTCGTGGCGCTCCTTGAATTGTTCGACAAACTTGTGAATTGACTCGAACGAGGCGAGGTCCAGTGCCATTAGCTCAAAGTTGTCTAGGTCAGTCTCCTCTATCAGGCTGTTGAGTGCCTTTTCACCGAGTTCCATGTTGCGGCACGCCAGGATCGTGTGGTAGCCGACGCGTCCCAGTGCCTTGGCAGTATCGTAGCCAATTCCAGAGTTAGCACCAGTAATGATAGCAACCTTGCCCTTGCCTGTGCCATTCTTGATAGCGGCTACAACGAGCTTCTCTGTCTCTTTATGCGAGTTGGTTACGATCTTGTAAAGCGTCGCGTAACAAAAGTCAATGAAGGACGCAACAAGGTTACCAAAGACCTGGAACGGTCCAGCGCGCATTAATAGACGGCACGTCCAATAGACCAGCGCGTTGAAAAAGGTAGTGAGAAACATGGTAAAGAGTAAGGAGAGCAGGTGTTCAGGAGATAGCAACGAAAAGAAGAGCCGTTCTGAGATGTCCTCTGTGCTCTCCCCAATATCGGGCCTAGCCCTCCTTGGTTTTAAGTCTGCATTCAATTGGCACAAGCGGGCGAAAGCGCGAAAATGTACACCCAGGCGCATTGCTGCTATGGTGGACAAGGGATCTGCTCCGTAAGGCACTATGGCGAGATCGACAAATTGCTTGGTGCAATCATATGTATAAAAAACATACCTCCTTTGGCCCGGCGCACAGTATATATTCCGGATGAAATCCATGCATGGCCCGCTGTAAGGCAGAGCCAAGTGTCTGCACACTGTCTGAATTATCAGGAGTCAAAGGGCAGCAGCGTGCTTGAGGAACTCGTCAGAAACTGAATGCTGGAGTCGCCCATATATTGCTAGCTTTTCTTTGTTGTTGCCAATTTTTGTGTCACTATAATGCCGCACCGTGGTGCGGTCTTTGATAGAGCCCTAGATTTGCTCCGCCTTTACTATTTTGGTCTGGCAGCGCTTATCGTTGTGCGTTCTCTTTTTTAATAGCAACTTGGGAGCAGGTCTCGGTGTAGAAGGCAATGCACTGTTGAAGATCAGGATCCGCCTCTTGCCTCTTCTTAGCTGAGACCAGGTGCTGCCTGGAATGGTTTGGTGGCCGCCAGAGTGCCCTCGCAGCCCAAGAAGCGGTTTGGTAGAAACAGCTGTTTGATTTGCCCTGGCCGGTAAATACGCACCAATGCTTGCGCGAGTGCGCATTTATACAGTTGCCTTCATTCCAGCTTAGTAAAAAAAACTCGAGAAGGCAGGTGCATGGCGACTACCTGCTACTACTAGCGTCGCTCCAGCAACATGCACGCCAAATATAGTTGGCAAGGGCCATGCCGCGGTATCCTTGGCCGATATCAAGCATAGGCGATTGTTCGAGGGTTGATCGCCCGGATCAAGCCTGAATAATCTGGCTTTCAGGCCTTCAGGGAATACGTTTAAATGCGCTGGCACTATTCCGAGGTTCCCTTGCCAGCCTCTGTTCTTCTCCTCCTATTCAAATTTGTTTCTAAATTCCGTGTACCACCAAAATGACTACGATTTATTCGTTGCTGCATGGAGTCAAAGAGTATCTGAACCCGGTGCTGAAGAACTCAAAGTTCAAGGAGACCGGAGTGTTGACACCCGAAGAGGTGAGTATTGGGTCTTTTTTCCAGTGTGCTAGAGGCTTCAGTAAATGTGTCGTCATTGCTAATTTGTGCTTAATGCATAGTTTGTTGCGGCTGGGGACTACCTGGTATTCAAGTGCCCGACCTGGAGCTGGTACGTAGGACGGAAAAATTATCGACAGCAGACTTAATGCTTGGGAATAGAAAGCTGGCCCCGCATGCTGCAAAGTCACGGCATCTCATGATCGAGCAGCAAGCCAAGCACGGCTTGATTTATGGTCAGGAGAAAGGCGTGGTATAGTGCGTGTGTGAATGGCAGACGGCGCTACTTAAGGAAAGAGGAACGCTGTCTGGCACTGAGAGACTCTGGGCTATTGTAGGGAAAAGGGCAATTCAAACAAGCGTCGGGATTACCTGCCAGAAGACAAGCAGTTCCTTATTACGCGCAATGGTAGGTATTTGCACGCAATTTACCCGGAAGCAGCGAAAGAGGGAGGGGATAATGGCTAAAAAGAGCACTATTGCATTAGTTCCTTGCCTGCGCCGTGCCGATCAAATGTCGTACGGACTCGATGACGAGGTCGAGCAGGTGGGCGACGAGGGCTGGGTGACAACATACGCACGGCATCGCGCAATGACGACTGAGGACGAGGAGGCAATTGAGGAGATTAAGGGTATTGAGGAGGTGCCATCGGCGAGCCAGGTAGGGCAGTTGGCCGAGGGTGTGGAGAATGTCCGAATTGGGGAGCAGGACCTTGACCGGCCACTGGGGCAGAACGATATTGAGGATATCCCCAGCGACCTCGACGATATCCCTGATTTCGAAGAGGAGATGGCCAAGCTCGAGGCGCTCGAGGACGCCGACCCCACCGAGCCTGAGCCTGAGCCTGAGCTTGCTGCCAAGCCCGCCAGCAAGGCGGCCGACGACTCCGAAGACAAGATTCTGCGCACTCGCACATACGACGTCAGCATCTCATACGACAAGTACTACCAGACACCGCGAGTGTGGTTGTTTGGATACGACGAGCAAGGAAGCCCACTGACAGCACGGCAGATCTTTGAAGACATCAGCGAGGACCATGCCCGCAAGACGGTAACCATCGAGACACACCCGCACTTGTCGTTGCAGATGGCGTCGATTCATCCGTGCAAGCATGCCCACGTCATGCGGAAGATTATTGAGAGGGCGCTCGAGAGCGGCAGACGCGAGATCCGGGTAGACCAGTACCTGGTTATCTTTTTAAAGTTCATGAGCAGCGTGCTGCCCACCATAGAGTACGACTATACAATGTCGACCGACATTTGACGTGCTTCAATCTAATTATTATTCCACTCTTCACTTTGTGCAAGTTACCAGCCAGTATCATTTATTGCCCGAAGGGCGTGCTCTAAGGGATTCTATTCGGACAATAGCCAGGATCTGCACATTGGAGAAGGGTGCGTGTATCTGGATACGTGGATTGTTCACGTATTCAACATGTTCCACACCTTTGCCTGGAAAGACATGCGAACAGCCTCGCGCACAGACACAGACAGACGAGATGGGATTGGCCAGAATCCAGCAGGTTCACAGCCAGTGACATGTCACTGCACTGGGGCTTGGCCACAACCAAAAACAGGTTTTCCATTTGCCTACTGGGGCATGGCGGTCATCAACAGCAGCAGCATTGGAGCACACAATCTGCCTGGCTGACCACCGTAACAGCTGCCACTTTCGGGCCGACAGCGCGAGGTCTCATGGAAAGGAATGTGAATTTGCCGATCGCGCTTGCAGAGTCGGAGTTTGGATACACACGCTCCTTTATTGCAAGGCTGCTAGAAAGGGCAAGGTCTTGCAGGCTATCTCTTTCTACTGATATCTAAAGCCGCAAAAAAAGAACATCGGAGGTTCAGTTCTTCTGAATAAACGATAATGCCAGACCTCCTGTGAAAGGGAAATACCCGTGCCCTTGAGCGGGCGACTGGGGCTATTGGCAGCAGCAATGAGGGGCACAATTGTATTCATTCCCAAAAAAAATACAACGGTGCGGCTGACAGGGCGGTAGCATTGAATGACCAGGAAGGATGGACGCTCATACATATGGCCGTCATGCGGGTATGCGGGTCAAGAATTGTGATCCTTTACCTCAGCGTCTAGCTCCTTCTCCCTGTTTTTTTTCCGAGCAAATAGTTATCTCTGCATTCGTTCTTTTTCCCTCAACAATTTTCGCACCTCTAGTCTGATTCCCGCATCTATTCTCTTTTTCGTTTCTTATACGCACTCGCGCACAGCATATATAGGATTGTATCACAGCACATGGATAACAGGCTGGCAAACGCGCAGAGGCGGTTCACGCTGAACAGCAGCGCACACGCCGCAGAGTTCAGCCGTCGCAACAGCACACGCCACCAGAGAGCCAAAAGCATGGGCATACAGGATGGGCACGCACGCGACCCGCCCCGTCCGCGAATGCCTGGTATGCCTGCTACAGCAAACGCGGTGCCCGGACACCGGCGCTCGCGTTCTACCGGCATTGTTAACACAACCATTGACGCCGATTACCACCACCCGATGCCCACAGACGAACAACAGTCGCGTGGCCGGCGCGGGTTTTTAGGAATCGGCTTTCGTCGTTCAAAGAGCCAGTCAGGCAGGCGGCGGTCGCAACACCAGCCGACGCATGACGAACACGGTAGATCCCGCACATGGACCAAAGAGGACGTAGATATGCTGGAAGAGCTAACTGCCATTGCGTGGGCCGGTGGCCAGATCGTCAACTTCAACACCATTTCCAAGGAAATGAACCGTACAGCCAAGGACGTCCAAGAGATGCTCAGGCAGCAGATGCGCACGCTCTTGTATGTGAGTGGCCATGACTTTTTGAGCGAGTTTCCCCGGGCAATCGTTTTACAGTGGGCTGGTATCGAGTTCCCCGACGACCCTTTACTGGGCAGCTATCCGGCACAGGAGGCACGCAAACTGCTGATGCGCGAATCGTGCATTTCTAGCCTGCTGTGCCGCGCTCCACGCCAGGTCATCCCAGAGGTTCCGATTATTGCAAACACGCGGTTTGACCGGAACCATGTCCCGGGCGACCTATACGACGAGATTCGGGCACAGGATACTCGGTACAGGGCACAGAACGCACTCCAGGAGGTTCAGCACGACGACACTGACTTGCGGTCGTCGCGGACTACGCAGCGTGTGGTGACAGAGCCCAGTGCGGTATTACACGCGAGCTCAGCCAATGTGGCAGCGCAGCTGCAGAATGCATTTTCTGAAAAGGCTGCCACGCAGACTCCGAAAACGACACGCAACCGGTCCAAGAGCACGCTGATGCCAAAAGATTCAGATACGCTGCGGCGGTTCCAGTTTTCGGCTGCCCAGCCTGCACGTAGGCCAGCGGCTATTCCGGTCTCGGTTCCAATGCAGTCACCATTGTCGGCGACGTTCGGTCTTGCTCCCCGCACCCCGGAGCTGGCGGTCATGCGGAGGGCAGCTGATGCAGCCACGGCACGGCCCCGGCGCAGGCGCTCACGAAGCCACGCGCCCAAGGTCATCGAGAATCCAGATGCCCAGCGGGCACTCCAGGCCACATCACCCCCAGTCGATCCTGCTGCACTTGCGCAGCCTGTAGAGGATGACACGAGCGTTGCAACTTCGCAGCCGCCGGCTGGTAACCGCATATCCCAGGACAGCGGCCATGTTGACGACCGGACGTGCGGCTCGATTTCCCTGGTCCACAAACTCCGCGAGCTCAAAAAGTACAGCACTATCAATTCGGACCACACCAGGCGGCTTGACCGAGATACGCGCTATACTGTTCGACGGGCCGTGTCCGAGTTCCTCTGCCAGGACGAGCTCGGCAAGCAGGTGTTTGACCATGTGGTGACGAATGTCGACAACAGTTTGTTTATGAGATTCAGCCGATGCTCTGACACGCTGCTTGCACTCCCTAACCACTTCGGAGAAGCGTTCCGTATGCAAGTGGTGAACCTTATGAACTCCAAATATGACCAGGGGATGAAGGCGTATAGCATGGCCATGTACGCATATGTCCTGGAGGCAATCAACGGACCAGACGTAATCGACCGGCCACGCAACTGGGGTGATATTTCAGACTTCGCCTTGGAATGGGCCAACCGCAAGCTCTCTGCTGCCCGGTACATCTCTACGCCCGCGATGGACGAGACCCACCTTCGGATGGCCGCTTACCATGTCGGCTCAGAGGCTGGCCAGTGTTTCTACGACATGTACCGAAGGGACCTGGGTTGGCGCGTTTCCGACAGGGAGCTCCACCTGTTTTTAACTGACGAGCAGCAAACGCCTTCTGGGGAGAGAACCAAGCTGGACCTGCTGAATCTCAAGCATGTCATTGACGTGTGGGTCGACGTGGCTTTCCGGCGGAATGCATCCAAGCACGGCCATCTCACGTTTGCCGCAGCTGCCGAGCTCGTGAACATCAACATGGTGCTAACATGGGGCAACTTGAAGAACGAAAGCGACATTGCCGAAAAGTCGCTGACGTTTGACAGAAACTGCCTTGAAGTCGCTTCTCTCTATGGCATGGACGACATGAAGGGTCTACCGGATTCCAGTGTCGCCAACGAGCTCGCCCGGGCGTTTGCACGAAAGTTTTACGATGACAACCGGGCTGAGCTCTTCCAGCTTGTCCTCTGCCAGCATCAGTTTATTGGTCCCGACTACGACGAGTTTGCCGACTGGGTAGCCCTTGGATACGGATGGGCCGGTGGAGGCATCGACTACAACATACTTTTCCAGCTGAACCAGTATCTGCTTAGCATGGGATTCAAACCTATTCGGAAGTACTGGGATACTATCAAGCAGGATGTAGTCGTCTCTCTCCTCAACCTCGTGCACCATAGCAATACGTCGTTTGACTGGCATACCGTCGATGGGTTCCTCTGGCCGCGCGAGCATGCAGACAAGAAGGATTCCACCACTGGCCAGCCGCTGGATCCGACAGCATCTACTACCATGGCAATCGGGTACAATCGCCTGCTGGGCCCGGCTAATGACAGTCTCCATATATCGCTGGTGGCAGGCGAGCTTCCAGGCGATACGGGTGCTTCAGGGCTTAGTCGTCAGAGAACCATCAAGAGGCTCGATCCCGAAAATGCCTCGCTGGTACATATCCCCGACCTTGCTGGAATCGTTGATGGCCCCTCTCTTGCTGACCAGCGTCGCTATAACAACTCAAACATCGATGCGCCAGAACAGGCTGAATCCTCGTCCGCCAAAGTCAGGCGGCGCCACACCACGGTTGTATCCAAGGCCACCACGGTTACAGCACCTGGTGGGGAGCCTCCAGTAGAACTGGACAGCATCATGCCCGAAGACAGCCACACTAATGGAAGGCAGGCAGAGTACGACTCGCCGTCAGCAAGCGTATCGTTGCGTTTTAGCCGTACCAAGCAGATACTGGACACAGGCTCGCCTGCACGCTCTGGGTCTGCACCTCCTCGCTCGCCCGAGTCCTTTTCGAGTGCATTGACGTCTAACCCAAAAATGTCAGGCGCAACTTCTGCTGAACTTCCACCCAGTAGCACAACTGCAGATGAGGTTCCACCTACATCGCTGCCTGTACTGACATCTCAGCCGGCATTCACCACTGAAGCAGCTGCGCTGCCCATTCCGGCACCGAAGGGATCTCCTGATGGGTTTGCGCCGCGCTCTGACAGCTCAGGACATTTAAATGCAGCTGCGGTACATGTGTCGCTGCCTGTGCACTCGAAGCAGGAGATGATCGAGACAGCGCAAGCGTCTAAGCCGTCCGCATTCTCACATTACAAGACAACCAGCAGTGCCCAGAGGCAGCTGGCAGGTGCTGCGAAAAAGCCAAAATTCACTCTCAAACGGCCAGCATCCCCGCACAACCAGGAAGCAGCTGAAGCTGCAGCCGGGCCATTGATGGCAGTGCAAAGCGCGCCGGATGATATCCAGTCTCAGGCTAGTCATGTTCACGGCAGCGAAGGAAGTCTCCAGGAGGCGTACCGACCAGTGCAGTCTGGTCCACATTCAGCTGCTAGTGCAGCAACTGCACAGGCACCAGTGAGCAATGGCTATGCAACCCCACATATGTTGCAGCAGTCGTACGCCTACCCTCAGTACCTGCAGGCACAGCCACTACCCCCACAATATCCTCAGTATTCTCAGCAGCCAACGCAGCCACCTCAACAGCCGACACAGCCACCCCAGCAGTCAATGACCAGTCCTCAGTTCCATACGCAGAGCTGGCAGTCGATACCCCAGCCGCAATACTACCAGCTGCAACAGCACCCGTCGATGCAGTACGCTCTTCAACAACGGCCAGTCCAGTACGCACCGCAACAACCTGAATACGCGCACCCGCAGCAGTATCCGCAAGGATACCAATTCCAGGCTCCCGGACAGCAGCCTGCCCAGACTGGCGGGTACCCGGTCCAGCCGATGGGCCAGCCTGGCAATTACCCCACACAGCCCATTGGGAATCTGCATCTGGCGCACATGAACGACGCGGAGTGGGAGCGGTACAAGCAGCGGATGGAGTACCAGGTGCAGCTGGCTGAGCGGCTACAAAGGGCGCAGAACCCAGGGTGGAGCGTGTAATAGATGTTTTGGCCACTATTCCCTGCGCTGCAAATGAACCAGTTTTCTGCTTGCAAAACAATACCTGTTGTCGCCCGAGTGGAGCGAATAGTGCAAAGGATGCCATTGCAGATCTCTTTGTTTTTCGCAAGAAAACGGGTGCAAAAACATCTGTGCGCACAGATGGCTCTGCAGCGGTCTCTGGCGGTCCCTTTAGTCCCACCAAAGTCTGTGACAGGGCGGCGGAGCAGCTGTGGCCGGAGTTTGAATCTCCGGAGGATTTCCCCTCTGTCTGTGACACTGTCTGCAGCCAAGAACAAAGGGGACTAATCGGAAATGGTGCTTTATTGCTAGACAATAGCTGCGAGAAACTAATGGGCGGCAATAGAAATCTTCCCCATCCCTTATTACGCGGTCTGGGATCTTCGCCAGCGTCCCTTTTCGGCGCTGGCATCAAGTACATGTCCATGTCACTGGAGACAATACGGGTTTCTTTGCTGCCACCCCTTTTATGCAGTCAGTCAGCCAAACACCAAAGACGACATGACCGCACAGCTGAGCAGACCCATTGTGGCCATTGGCCAGCAGACAGGGGATGCTATGTCTTCGCTGTTACCGAACCAGGGGCTGAAGAAAAACACACAGCAAAGGTATTCCTTTCTTGCTCTTCATGGAGTCGCCTTTTAGTTCCCCTAGCCTTTTATCTCGCTTGTAGAGTACCCTTCTGGCGTCTCCATTTCTCTGTTTATTCAAGCTTTTTCTGGAGGAGTGGAAAGGAGTCGGGCTTCTTTTTATTAATGTTGTCCCTACCGCGTTTATATTTAGTGCGCGACTGACGACACCAGCAGTCGACTTTTTTTTTTTCTGGGCACCATGGATGCGATACACAACGAACAAATGGTTCCCCAGCCAGCAAAGCAGCGACTCAGCATCTTTTCCCGCACACCTGTCCGCACCTCCAAAACGCTCGAGCAGTCAGTCGCAGAGCTCATGAAAATGGTCGACCCTGTATCGCAGGTAGCAATCCCGCGGCACGTCGAATTGCCCTACACTGGCCCGTGGCTCGACTCAACAAACGCACAGACAAACGCGCAGTTAATACAGATAATCGATATACGGTGTCTCGTGGACATGGTGTTATTGGATACATTTGGCACGGTGATTGGGCACAGCCGGCGGCCAGTCGGTAGGCACATCTTGGCGATGAGCGAGACGCAGAGGGCGATGAGGTTTTATGCGCAGATAGCACACAACTTTCGGGAGTCCATTGACCTGCATATGGACCAATTCCCAGCCATCGTACATAGCGTTGTGCTCATAAACAACAACAATGTGCTGCGCGGCGCTCCGCAGTCGTTCGAGATGGTCGGGCTGCCAGACTCCACCACTGTGCCAACATTGGTCGACGAGGGAGCAAAAAAAGCATCACAAGCACAGCTGGCCGAGCGACACCAGGAATTTAGGCGGCGCCAGATCTACATGCGCCAGGCGATGGAGATGGCTCAGAGGTGTGCAGACGACGCATACAGGAATTGCCCGATACTAGTGGAGGCGATGGAAGAGACAAAGGCGCATGTTTGGCCGCTGTGGTCATACATGGTCGATGACCACATGGCTCTTGTTGAGCATGAGCGAAAAATGGCACGGCGGAGACAGCCTGGCACGCTAGGCGAAAGACACGTTAGGTTTAGCGACGGAAACGGCACGGCGCAGGCAGAGACCGAAACGTCGTTTCAGCAGATGGGGGAGGAGCAGCTGGAGCGCGAGGTTGCCTTCCGTCTGCACACACACTGCCTGGAGCTCCTCCACAACGGCAAAGTACCGCACGACCACATCAAGCTGTTCTTGCACACAATGCTGTTCACAGTCATTCTTTTCAACGAAAAGGTCTTTGAGCGGTATGCGCCGCGGCGGGAGTCCAAAGACTCAGCAATGGTCGATCCCCACTCGTCTTCAATGCAGCAGCGGGCAACGCCGATTCCAGCCATGGATGCGGCCGAGAAAAATGGTCTGGTTCCGCCGGTCCCAGGCGGCGAAGGGCAGCCGCTGATGGACAAGGAGCATGTGTGGATGCTGATGGAGTGGAGTTTTGCTAAAGCCATGGGCTATTACCTGGCGCACAGATATTCAAAGCAGGAGCTGGACACTGCGGTTGAGCGGGCAAAGCAGGAGAGATATGTGCAGTCAGTCGAAGTCTCGCCGGCTGCAACGTATCAACCGCTGAATAGCGATGACACAGCGTTCCACGAGATGATCTGGCAGTATGTCCGAGAGCGATATGACCACAGGAAGGAGTTCTCCATACTGGTCATCGATGAGGCAGTCCGGGAGTACAATGCGATCCTCCAGGACATTCGCTTCAAACACCGTTTGCATTTACATTAATCCAGCGATCCATCAGTACATCAACCACCCGTAAATAGACATAATCAATCACGATACTAAATGACAGGATATGAGGAAACATTGCACATGAGTATGTTGGAATATAAACAAGAAAGCCAGTGGAGAAGGGGAGCTAAGAAAGATGAATTTGGGAATATCGCTACTAAAGATTGATATGGAAAGGGGAGGCAGATGGAAAATGGCTGTGAAGGATTAGTCGCCAAGGAAAACATGGCGGACAAGGTACCACATGCTGCCCAGGAAGCGGAAGGCCGACAGACCAGCAACCGACCAGAAGATGAAGCTCAGATACGGGTTGAATGACAGGGTTGCATCGAGCTTCTCAGTGTAGTCAGCCCACCAGGTTGACGAGAAGATCATGGCGACGACAGCGTTGGTGCACATCCAGGCAAGAACCAGCGTGGTACGGAAGTTCTTGTTCTGGTCCTCGCGCTTGGTCTTGGCATCACGCTTCTCCTTGGTCTTGACAACCGGTGTTTTGAGCGTGCCGATAAACTCGTCGTAGTTCTTGTTCACGTCGTTCTCATCGGTGGCAACGTTGATGTGCGCAACCTCCACACCGTCCTTCTTCTCGATCTTGGCGTGGCCGAGATCGCTCTGGAGACCAGTGTCGCCCTTGGTTCCCCACGACACATCGTGGGTGTTACAGAAGGCGTACACCATGAGGATGTTGATTGATGACGGGAGCCACATCATGTACTGGACAAACGAGGTGAACATATGCCACGGCTCGAGGTACAGCAATGACGCGATCATGTACACGCCGTATGTCGATCCAATCGAGATCACAATGTCGCGGAACTTTGGCTGCTTGAGCAGCTCGCCGAGGCCGATTGTCTTGTCTGTGTGCCAGACTGTGTACACAGCACAGTAAATGGCGACATATGTCAAGATAATCATGATGACCGTGAACAGGAACACAGTGAAGCGGTAGATAGCCTTTGTGCCTTGCGGGCGGTTTCCGAGCGACAGCACAAACTGCATGATAAGGGCCAGAATGTACAGCTCGCGGAAAAGCTCCATGACGATGTAGCCGGCACCCTGGAACGGATCAGCATGCAGACTGACAGTGGGGTTATCTTCGTGGTCATTGTGGATCTTGATGACGTTCTGCTCGAGGAAGAAGTAGGCGAGATAAAAGTTGGCCAGCGAGAACCACGAGAAAATCATGTTGATGGTCTGGTACAGGAACTCGATCGTCAGCAGCAGGCGGCGGTACAGGCTGTGCGATGTGCCGAACATGCGCCACCAGTGGACAATGGCGTAGAAGGCAGCAAAGAACGATCCGTTGAGCCAACGGCGGCGCTGCGAAATCAGTTCGGCCAGCGTGTCGGGCACATCAGTCACGGCCTTGGCGCTCTTTACGTAGCGCAGGACGTAGTTGCATTTGCGCTTTGCGACCAGCTCAAAGCACAGGATACGGTCCTCAGCAAGATACATGTTGGCCTCGAAAATGCCGCCCTCCGAGTCGGCACTGTGCATCAGCTCGCCCTTGAAGTATGCAGCCAGCGGGCCGACGCCAGGGGACGTGTTCTGCAGCGCTGAGTAGCGGTAGGCCGAGAAAGCGCCCGGAAGCACGGAAATGTACCCAAACACCGACTCGAGCGGCTTGTCCAGGATATTGGAGATCTTGTACTCAAAGTTCTGCGCAGCCACCAGCGGATTGAACAAGACGCTTGTGCAGCCCTTGCCAAGATCAGCAGCAATTTCGCCACAGGCACCCGCAACCTTGGGGTCGTGGTCGAACGACTTCCACAGATGGTAGATCGAGGTTCCCGTGGGCTTGGTTCCAACATCGATCAGGACACAGATCTTGGGGTTGATCAGCGGCGAGAAGGCATTGAAGAACCAGCGGTGGGAGTTGATCTTTTTGGCGTTCTTCTCCTTCAGGCAGAACAGCACCTGGACGGGCGGCATGCCCTTCGACGGTCCGCGGAAGTTCATGCTGGCGTCCATGCACACCTGCGCGGTGTACTCAAAGATATGCCCTGTTACGGGCTTGTTGTTGACCGAGTTCTGCATTACGCCATCCTGATACACGCCCATGGTGCCAAGCACTGCCAAGACCCGCTCGTTGATTTTGTTGCGGCCATCGGACACAATGCACACAACGACCTTCTTCCACGCATCGGCACCCCAGGTCCGGCTGTTGGTGCGCGAGCACAGATGTGCGATGTTCTTCATGACAGCGGCGAAAGTGCGGTTGAACAGGATCTCGTCCTCGTTGTACATGGTGAGCACGATAAACAGCTCGGTCTCGCGGCCATACAGCACCGGGCGAAGTGTGTACTTTGCGTTCATAAATTCGTTGGGGTCCGAGGTGACCGCCGTGTACCGCATGTGTGTGAACTCGTTGCCCTCACGGTACTTGCCCATCTCAATCACACGGCGCGGCACCGGGCAGTCCAGAACCAGGTTACCGGACGTCAGCTCGACCTGCTTCAGATGGCGCTTGCGGCGCTCCTGGTACCGGTCGTACTGGCGCGCACCAGGAGGCGGGGCATTGTCGGCGTTGTACAGCGACGACAGAGCGGGGTCGGCCTCGGGCATGATCCGCGGATCCAGCTTTTGCTGCTCAGTGAGCACGGATCCGCTCATCTTGTCGCTCATCCCGTCGTTGCTCATCATCGGCGTGCCCGGAATTGAGTGCGCCTCGCGCAGCGGCAGCAAGTGCGGTGAAGGAGCGCCATCGCGATTGATTCCTGCAGCCGGCATCTGCGGAACAGGCAGCGGCTTGTAGGCCTGCGGGGCCTCCATGGGCGGGTACGAGTATGTGTCGCCCGAATTGCCGTAGTTGTTGCCGTACTGGAGAGTGCCGTCGTGGCCGTATTGTCCCTCTACCAAATAAGGCAATCGCAAAGATGGGGTTAGCAGCTATTGTAAAAGAGCGACAATAGGGCTCTCTTTCCGCTCCGGCCATTGCTCCATGTGTTGCTTACCTGGCTCGTAGTAGCCGGCGCCAGCGTCGGCATACAGGCCTGTAGAGGGCTCGGTTGAGTACTGGTAGTAGCTCGCGTTAGGGTCAGGCGCTGTGGTCTCGAGGACGTCAAGCTCGCTGCGGCTGATGTTTTGATGGCCCATGTTGAGCTGCGGGGCCGACGGCGTAGCGTTCGCGCCCTGCGCATAGCCAGACATGTAGTCCCGGTCGAGCATCTCGTACTCTCCCGGATTGCTGGCACTCATGTTTGGGCGATGGGAAGAGCCGTTCTTCCTTCCGTGGTTGTCGGCCATGGTTCTTGCTGAAAAGGTGCCCTAAAATAAAGTATATGCGAGTGTGCAAAGCAAGGTCTGTGAGCGTATGCAGAGGGTGGAGATTGAATATATAAAACAAAAGACGCGGGAGAGAGAGGCGGGAGAGGAAGAAGAGGAGGATGCTGATAACCCTTATAAAAAAGGAACACAGAGCGTGGCCGGGAAAAGCGCGTTTATTTATAGTTCAGCGCGCATGTGCAAGGACAACGAATGGGAACCAAAAAAATATTCGACGGGCAGCGAGGGGAGCGCAGCGGATGGCCAATTGGCAGGGATAAAAATAGTGCAGTGCAAGAGTGGTGTGCTTGTGCAAACTGACTGGTCTGTCACGACCCGCCCCAGCCTGACAACCCAAAAGATTAAAGCGCGAACCACCTGAGCAACGGCACGCCGGAGAGGGGAGCACACTTACCGAGTCGTAATAGCAGAAGGTAAATTGGAAAGAGGACGCGGGAGAGGAAGAGAAGAAAGTAGGGTTTTGGCTTGTTTACCCTGGCCTTCACTCTCTGAAGGAGAAGGGTGCCCATGCGCTGAGGGATCGGCTCTGTGAAAAGGCGATCTGCCTGATGGTCTCTGATGATGTCAATGGGAAGTGGCAACTGCTTTTCTTTCTTCTTCAGTGAGCACAAAAAAGAGCTATTGCCCAACAAACACTGGCGCCTTTGCTTTCCGGATCTCGGCTGTGGTCCTGCCAGGCCACCTCTTTTCTCACACTCTGTTGGTGGTCTGCGCTAATCTGGTTCTGTGGGTGATCCGAAGCTTCGATTTAGCTTGCTTGGGGAGGTGAGCAGGAGCCGCGTGTGCTGGTGCCGTTCGCAGCGAACGCAGGGGCGGTTATACCGCTTATATCCCCATCTATTAGCTTGCATAAAAATGGACGAATGCCATTGGCAACCCCTCCATTCCTTTCTACCTGCGATCAACAACAATATTATTGTTGTTCCTGCGGACGCTGAGGAGGCGCGGTGCACAGTGCCAGTGTTCCGGCAAAGGCGCAGAAAGGAGGCGACTGCCAGACCGCGGGCTGCCATTGTTTGGAAATGGACGCCTTTACCATAGCACTGTGCTCCAAAGATAGCTCAAAAATAACAAACAGTTTTGGTGGGCTAGGAGATTAGTTTGGGCAATTGGAAGTGTGCGGCTCCTGGCGATGTCGATCCTTTTCACAGTTCTATTGCCGGTTCATCCCCACCATGCGCTCCACCTTGCATCCTAATGAAGAGCAGGCTAATGTCTACATGGCTCTCCTCTGCCTCAAAGTCCTCCACGCTTGCTATTTTATTATTCCTTCCCTCTCCCCTTCCGCCTCTATCCCGCACACCCGCCTTCCTCTCACCCTCCCTCCTCCTCCCCCTTAAACCTATTTCACTTATATTACGTTATTATGCTAATGGCTAAGCCTGGACGGATATTCGCCTTGTGTCTCCTTGTTCTCGCCGTGCATGGTCTGCCGGCCGATGATGACAGCAGTAGCCACGCCTCTGTTGTTTCCTCAGCGACATCAAGGGCCAGCTCAAGGACAGCAGCGCAGACCGACTCGGCTACGACAAAGGTGTCAGCATCGGCAAAAAGTAGCTCAGAGTCAGTCCCCGTCTCAGCCTCGACCTCGGCTAGCAGTGCCGCGGCATCCCCAACTGGCTGTGTTGGCGAGTCCACAAAGCCCACATGCGGTGACGGTGAAGTGGCAGTCTACACTGGTGCTACCCTTGACCAATGTCCATACTACGAGTGCCGGGTGGTAGGCGGTTCAGAGAGCAAGCCAAAGTCCAAAGCGATTTCAGTAGCCCTGCCTGCGGTGTTTGGCACGGTATTTGGAATTCTGCTGCTTGTTGGAACCTGGTTCCTGTACCGTCGCTGGAGAAGCACCCGTCATGTACCTGCAGACTCGCAGCGTCTGGGCAGCAGGGACGGCATGCTGCGCCAAGGGCGGCCGTCAGAAACCGAGAAATGGGGCAACCAGGGCATGGTTGGCATCCGGATGCCGACTGACAACCGCGCGTCGGTTCCGATTTTCTACTCGAGCAACGACGAGGACGAGAAGCGCCGGACACAGTTCTATGGATCTGCAGGCAGTCCGTATGGCGCGAAGCGTGGCTCGACAATCGGGAATGTTGTCAACGTCGTGGCATCGGGCGGCAAGGCACAGCTGGTACACCTCAGTGGCTCTGGAGCCGCCAGAGAAGACCAGCCTGCGCTCTGCCAGCCCGCGCCCAGGTAGCTCCCGCACAGTAAGCCCCCATGCAGCTGGTCCGCCGTCGGTTATTCTGCCCAGTGACAGGTCCAGCGCCCGTATGTCGGGTGTCGCACATATCTCTAGCACTGTGAACACGCAGAAGCCGCGCCTTGTGCAGATGGCTAGGCCAAAGATCCTACACAGCCCCAGCGCGCTGCAGCCTGTGCATCTGAACTCGCCGCTACGCATGGACGACCGCCCGGACACTGGCGACTCAATGCTCATCGGCTCAATGAGCAAGCCTGTGTCGCAGGCCGGTGCAAAGAGCGCCAGGCTGTCGATGGGCAATGGCAATGTAGTTGACTAGCGGACTCCGTAATAGACGTCGCTCTTTGTACGATTTTTGACAACCCTCCCCTTGCAACCTCTTTTGATTGACTTGCATCCGGACACGGGAAATCATGCCGCTGCCTGTCTCCCGAAATAGTTCGCCAGGCAAGTGACGCTGCTATTTTGACATCGCTTGCAAGCACCCTTGTTGAGCAGAAAAATAGTGCCCATGCTGGCCAGAGGCGGGTGAGAACCGCTCTTAGTTTTCTCTTCTCTTCTCTTCGGCAACAAGTCCTTTTGTTCTCCAACTCTCCTTTCCGCTTTACCTCTTTTTGCCTTTGCTAACCTGTATATTCTTTTTCGAGCAGCCTTGGAGCGGCGCTGGGTCCTTTGTCTATATATTAATTGTATCACCCAGCTCACGCCCGCGTCACTGGTGCACCCCCGGTGTATTGCACGCGTATTAAACATCGACACACACCAGCAGTCAGGTAGGTGACGGCAGTATATTAATGCCTGGGAGGTTGGCCAGCCCTCAAGGCTGCTGTCGCATGGGCATGGGTGGGCATTTGCTGGAGAAGCTGATTTTTCGGTGCGGCACGCGATTGAACAGCTCGGCCATTATGCTCATACCGCGTCCGTAGCAACAATGGCCATTACCCGTGCCACCTTCCCCCCTGTCCCTGCTACTGAAATGCCCTAATCTGTGCTGCCTTCTTCCTGTCTTCCTCTCCATGTAGGTGTGCCTCAAATCCCCTGTATAAAACATAATCCTGTAAATTACCTAGTGTTTTATGGCAAGTCCTGACGCCAAAGAAGTACCGCTCACTGGTCCCCCCGATAAGCCTGCACTTACCCGCCCTTCTCAGCAACCCGCACAGAGGCTCATCACCATCTCGCAGATAGAGCCCACTATGGGTACCGAAGGTTCGGTGGTCAGCTCTGCGCCCACACGCAGATCCAGTGCGTCGCAGACACGAGCTTCGCCGACCCCCACCTCTGTGGCACAAAGCCCGATAGAATCAGCAGACATGACGTCTTCATCGTCTCTACCATTCATTCCGTATCCGACAACTACGGACAGCCAAGGCTTGCAATGAAAACGAGGTGTACATGTGGATCGTTGACAGCAGCGGCAACGGCAAATACGAGTGCAAGGTCGACCAGCAGTACCGGCCGGCTAAGAGTCACCGTGGGCTGTTATCGGTGGCTCCCTGGCCGCCGTGTTCATTGCGCTTCTGATCATTGCTGCTCTGATCATCTATGGCCGGTACAAGCGCAAGCGCTATGAGCGTCTGGCGTACGAGAAAGACACGGTTGATCTGGCCAACGAACTGTCAGCGGCTCCACTGCTCGGCAATAGTGCCGATTCTGACAACTTCAAGCCGGAGCTTGGTTTAGGCACGAAGCTGGCTCTGGCATTTGGGCTGAGCAAGTCGCGCACATGGAAGAACAGCTCAGAGTCATCCATCAGGCCTCTGATACCGGCACCCGAGGAGGCCGGCACTGAGCTGACTATGGATATTGTGAACCGTCCGATTGAGAAGGATGCGACTCTTGAGCTAATCGAAGGTTCGATTCCCTACCGCACTGAGAAGACTGCAGACGCCTACCCGATTTTGACCCAGTATCCGCTGTTCCAAGATACCGCTGACTACTCGCCCAACTACAGCTCAGCCAGCCTGCCCAACAACAACGGCCGTGGATCTCCCCGCCGCGCCCAGGGATCGCAGCTGACGATGGCCACCAGCCCGCCGGCATTTGAATCCCCCGATCAGATCCTGACCAGAGGGTATGCAATGGCACAGATGACCGGAAACGCTGCTATCGAAGCTGCACGCCAGAGTTCGAGCAAGAGAGACTCCGCCCAGGCATTCAACCCCTTCAATGCCGTACCCAGTGTGCGGAGTTCGCCGACATCGAGCGTGGCACGCAAGCCCAGCGACAAGAGCTGAGTGAGGATTTTATTGACATTTACTGTATTTGAACATTCTATTTTGGGTGTTGGATGTGGTGGAATGCCAATATGTAGTGACGTTCAGATGACTGGCGTGGTGGTGAAAGAAACAGGTATTAGCCCTTGGCAGAGGTTGCACGTGCATTCGCGCCCATGATGGTCCTCGTCGTAGCTGATCCGGAACAGACGCGGCATCCGATCCATCTCCATGAGCAGATGCTTTTGGGCTTTTTGGTGATATCCTGGCTGCAGTAAAAGATGAGAAAGGAGAGCAGAAAGGAGGGTGGGAATGGCACTGCTGAGATGGACCGGGAGGCAAGCTATAAATTGTGTTTGGGTCCACCGCCCTGCGATTCGGTGGAAGGGATAGGCTCTTTGAGGCATGGAGGTTTAGGGTCTTGCGCCGTTAGCAGTGGTTGTAAAAGAACCATACACTCCCATTCGCCCGGTATCAATGGTTGGGCTGGCGTTCTGTTTGCATTTTGATGGACTGAGAGCTGCTGCCAAGTCTGGTGGCGAGGGCATGGGAATCTCCAAAAGAAAATTGATAACTGAATACACTCGCTGGGCACACAATGGATAGGGGCGGACTTGAGAATGGATAACCCAACACGCCGCCAGGGAGCGTTGTCGGAGGTTGGTGGTTCTAGAATGGAAGACGCCTCTCTGCTTCTTGTTTGATTCGCTTGCCAGGTATACGACAGGTATACGACAGGTATATGTGGCCAATGCTCTGTAGAATACCCAAGCGCGCGGAGCGATATGCCATGGCAGTGCATATATCCAGAAAGTCGAGAGCTTAGTGAAATAGTAGCACGCCGCACCGGGGCCGACTCGAGCTCAAGGGGGTAGCCAGCAACAAGGTAGGGGAGGAGCGCAATTTCATTTACAATCGACATTTCCGAACCAGGCTATTCGCTCTGGATTGTTTTCGCTGCCAAGAGCGTTGGGTAAATGTGCCTGCAAACTCCAGTCCGAATCGGCCAATGCTTTTAGACCCACCCTTTCATTTCCAAATGAGCGATTGTTTACCGTTTGCTACTTGGGTTTAGCCATCATCTTGCAAAATCTCAGTCAGTGCAAAGGAGGCTGGGCAACCAGTGTGACAAGTGTGAGTGACGACAAAGCGATTTGTAGATACGAAGCCAACTTATTTTGCAGATTGTTCGCAGTGGAATTCTTGCTGCTATCTAGTACACCACTAACAATCGGATGTATGCAGTAGGATATGTAAATATTATGTACATGTGCTCAGTGATAGAGCGTGCCAAAATGCTGCTTTTCAAAAACGCCAATGCATTTGCCAGCTTCCTCGGCATACGCCTCAAATCTCTCAATGTAGCTTGGAGGAAGGCCGAGTTTCATCAGCACCGGCGCACGCTCAATCAGCAGCCGCACCCACGCTACATCTGATGCACTCAGGACTAGCGCATACGAGCTAATTGCAAACGTCTGCAGGCTCGTGCTGATGGGATCAGTGCTCTCCACAATAACGTCGGGTCCTTCGTCAGGGCTGACCATGGTGGACCGCAGGATCTCGATGGACCACAAGTGAGGCAACTGGCTCAGCATTCGTGCAAAGCCCGTCCAATCGATCAACTCAGTTTCGATTGTCAGCTGGCGTAGCTCTGACCATAGAATGCCCTCGGGAATGGGTAGTGGCAACCCACCCAGCAGGAGCTCTGCATGCTGTACAGGGGATCTGGTCATAAAGAACTTTGTGATGTCCTGATAACTCATATCGGACAAATTCAGATCTTCGTCGCAGATAATCAGGTGCAGCTCGTCCACCTGGGCAATAACCTGCGGATCCACGTCGTGCAGCATGTCAAGGTACTCGCGGAGCTCTAGCGACCTGAGTGGTGAGTCGTGGAACAGCGTGTAGAAGTCGGAGTAAAACATCAGCACGTTCTCCACAACCAGTTTGCGCAGCTTAGGGAACGCCATTTGTAGCTCGTCTTGAATGACAGATAATGATTCGGGCTCGCCATAGCTATACTCTAGTTTGAGCTCCTCCAAGTTCTCGAATATCGCTTGGCTGTTGGTGGGGTCACTCGCAAACATGCTCCACCTAAACTCGCCATCGAGCTCGAATATCTCCATCTGGCGCAGCTGCGGAGCAGGGATTTGTGGGAACTTTGGTAGGTTCGCAAGGAGACTAGCGTCGATCCGTACCTTGGTTACGTTCTGCGGAATGCACTTTAGCCCAACTACCGGAAACGGGTACCAGATATGAAGCGTATGGAGCTGCGGCAGAAAGTGCCGAATAAGCATGTTGGAAACCACCCCTTGTAGCGAATTCGCCGCTGCCAGCTGCGTGTGGTCAACCTCGACAAGTCCAGGCAGCCGCTTTCCAAGGTAAGCACACGCTGAATGTGCTACCTCGCCAACCGAGGCAGTGCCAACTGAAAATATGCCCCCGACAAATGTAATCGACCGCACATTATCCCACTGGCCAGCGCTGAACCCCAGGGTCTCAAGGACTTCATTCAGCACAGCACCCTGCGTGTCAAAAGCGCCTATTACTCGCATATCTTTAGCGCGATCTGACATGCCAGCTGCGACTATGCTGCCAATGTTCGACACCCATCTGCTCTTTGCGGCTGATGCCGGCGCGGACCTTTGGTTCTTCGGGATGGCATTCACGTTCTGGACAATGATAATGCGGGAGAGCAGCCGGTTCGCACTCCTCCGCCAGCTCTGGCACACAGCTGCCAGTTGCACCGCCTTCATGTAGTTGTCCATCCCGACCGTCTGCGCCAAATAGCTGCGGCATGCTATCGCCAGAATGCGCTTGAGAATATCGCCTCCTGCAAGCTCGCTAATGTGCAGCCCGTCATTTGCCATTTGCTGTGAATTAAGTAAATTTGTGGTAAGAGAGTGAGAAAGGGTGTGGAGTTAGTCAGCGCTCGCCAATGCCTATCAGGAGCATCACCAGTGAATTGGAGTGTTTCAACGATGACGCCATTTTCTACCAATAGCATTGCGCGATGAGATCGGATGCTCTTGTACACGCCGTGGGTGCCAGATTCTAGCCGAAGCGCCTACCATTTCGATAATAGCTCTTCAGGCGACGGAAATTCAGGCGTGGACCACCTTGGGGTGCCTACAGCTGATGCAGAATGACACTGGCTGAAGTATGGCTCTGTCCAGCTCCTGATACCACAGCCAATCTGACTCACTATGTTTCATGAATGGCTGGCGCATTCACATACAGCTCAGCTTCATTCAAACTGCCAATTCCATGTACGCAAATAGTCTCCAAAGGTCACTGCCTAATCAGGAGGAGGGCAGGAACAGCAGGTAACCCGTTGGCCCAACTCTGCAGCTGTCTCTCTGCACCCCACCTCAATTCCTGCCACTGTGGCTGTCCCATGTGCAATAGATGACAAGGCTGTGGCAAGTTCTTGTCCATGGTGGATGTGCACTGTAGAGATCGTCCTGGCGCTATTCCTGCGTTGCTGATTGGATCATCTGACACGGTGATAAACACGGTACAGGGACCTGGAATGGTGGCGTTGTCCCTGCAATATGTGAGAGGTAGTGCTGGCATTCACATCTAAAGATGCCTTGTGATAGCTAAATGGTGGCTATATATGTGGCTGGTGATTGTTTTCAATCACAAACACAGTTGTTAAAGACATGTAAATAAATGGCCGGTTGTCTTCAGACATTCAGCAAGCTCATAAACTTGAACATCCCAGAGCGTACAACTGTGGCAGCACCCGAAGGAAAACAATAGCCCGTGTAAATCGTCCCTTGTCATAAGGATGGGCAGTGAGTAAAGTCCGACCATGAAAATCCGATGTCATCCAAAAGGACGCTTGCCTTTCTCTCCCATGCAGAGAGAAATCACGCCTAGTGCTTGAACATTCATCTTTCTTACAGAGCTATAAAGAGTAGCTTGGGTGTCTTTGCGAATATCAAGACACTGCAGAACAGTTTGGCGGTGTTTTTTATGTGTTTTTGAACGCATGGTCGTTTTTGAATACTTAGCGTTGCGGAAAGAGAACGCGCATTTTTACCAGGTTGAATTTCCTCAGACATATAAAAGATGCTGGGTCTCCGAGCAGCCCTTTGCCAGCCCGCATTCGCCATTCGCAACACAACCTTTTCCTCCTTCCTATCACCCAAGTCCCCTGATTCCTTTCTGCCTATCGCCACTACCGTTAACCACGCATACCCTATGATCCAATACAGCATTACACTGCCTGACCCCCCGACTGAAGAGCAAGTCGATAACCTCCTTGATAGCTTTTGATATAGCAATCTAATCTAATACTTGAACCAGTCACTGAACAAACTTGATTATAAATGCTGAGCATTGTTCAAATAGTTTGGAAATATAAACAAGACTATTTCCATCATCAAATAGAGCCAGCTAAAAAGAATGTGCCTTCACCTAAGCTTCAATATACAATTTTAAGAGCCGAAGTAGTTGGAAAAGTGATAGTGAACTGGAATGATCAGTGAACTAAGATCATTTCTATTTTACGGTACATGGCCATGCTTCCTATCGAGTGTTGTCACCCAGAGAACTGCTTCTATGGCAATGGACGTGCTCAAATATAGGACGAGGCTTACCATAATTTTTGCAAGTTGGATTGCAAACTATTGCGGCAAGATATTTATCCGAACTACATGCATAGCCTAGCAGACAGCCGACGTTGCTAGACAGTACTCATTATAACGTGCTATGGTTTGATAATTGATTGTATTGGATAAGATATATGTGATGGCAGTGTATGATGAAAAGGATATGCATGCGCAAGCGTGCAATTTGAGCGATAGCGCGTGTAAGGTGCATGGTAGTGTCTATGGTATTATGTACATATGTGAATATGAATATAAATAAAACAGAGAGGGCTCTCAGCACGACAGACCCCCACGGCACAACGAGCAAGTACACTGGCGATCGTAGCTGACGAATGTCGAGCGAGTATGTGCAACAGCCATTCCAATGAAAACTAAAAAAAAAAAAAAAGGCAACACGAGAAATGTGCTTATCAGACATCTTGCTTTTTGTCCAAAATAACAGGTATTTATACATCTCTCAGAACCCTCTCCGATACACCGAACCGGCGAAAACTATTTTGAATGTTTTGTTTACGGGTCCAAAATGAAAAAAGTACTTTTTGCTAAATAGTAGGTAGAAGAACTCCTCGCTATTTCAAGAAAAAACAACAATTGCGCTGGTTAGCATGCACTTCATTTAGCCATATATGGCATAAAGCATGAGTGAACAAGGGGTTGCTTGGGGACTGTCGGGGACTGTCGGGTTCTCGCAAAACAACCCAAACAATCAAGGGGTGTTCTTTCTTGTGCATTACAAGTTGTTGACGCCGCTGTATGCGAGACAGGGGAGGCTGGTAAAGTATAGCATTTTTCGCTTCTGACGCAACTACTGTTTTTAGAGTTGCCTCCCTCGACCTCCTGATGTGGCGTCTTGAGAGTTTCTTGCAGCAGAAGTAGCATTTTGCAGAGGCTTTTTAGAAAAAAAAATCAACCGACCCTCTTTTATCCATACAGTATGAAAGCTGCGCCATTTGGTCGATCCTGAAAGGCAAAAAAAAAACATGCTATGCAGATGCTGATGAAAAAGGGTGGAAGCGAGAGAAATTAGGTGTATGAAGAAAAGGGAAGCCAAAGGGAGAAGGGAGATGCTATGTTACTAAAAGTGTTTCGGAATAGTAGGCGAGTCCACGGCCGCCGGTGCCGTTCTGCCCATGTATGCACTAGACCGAATCCTTGGCGGTAGCGACGGCAGCCTCGGGTAATCTGCCGACGCCGGCGGCGCCGCAATGGTCTCGACCCGGCGCACCATGCCCGGCACTGTCTGCGCCTTGGGTGCTTGCACAGTCTGGTGCCTCGAGACCGGCTGGGTCTGCCTGGGGACAGGCGGCAGAGGCCGGTAGTCGGCCACGGTCATTGCATTCATATGCTTTGCGATATCGGCATCGTCAATGTAGCAGGGGCTCTCGGGCTGCACGGCGGTTTCGGCAGCCGGGCTGTCCTCGCTGAGCTCACGCGCAATATCAATGAGAATGTCGGACTCACGCAGCATTATTGGAGTCGGCGACAGCGGCCCGGTGGCGGTGCTGGCAGTGTTGGGGAGGGTGATGCCGTAGATGCCCTGGCGGCGGCCTAGCGACTTGCTGCTGATGCTCTGTGCGGATGAGGCGCCAGAGGAGGTTTTGCTGATGATTTGGGCAGATTTTGGCATATTGCCGTCGTCTGGCGACCGCACATCCCACGACTGGCTGGCGCTCACCGAGCCACTAGGCATAGGCAACGCACCGCGCTTGATGCCCGACAAGTCGACGGTCAGCTCTGCTGGTGGCGGCGAGTCGTTGCCAACATTGCTTAGCGCCTGGTCAAACTCCAGCTTCAGGTCATCCGGAATGCCCAAGTTGTCGCCAGCAAGATCGAGCTTCAGCGAAAACACTGACGATCCGTCATCGGGCTTCAAACCCTCGCGTGCCACAACCGACATGGACCGGCGCTTGACGATCTCGTCAGACTTTGTGCTAGCAGACTCATTCAGCTTCACCAGTGAGGGAGACGAGCCAGAGAGGCCGACCGGCAGTGAGCTCAGCGAACCAGTAAAGCTGCCGTATCCGGTCGACTGCGTCGAGAACACGCGCGACAGGCGCTGCAGTGGCGATGAATGGCTCGACGACGCATTGGACGAGGTGCGTGTTCGCGGCTCGCGGCTTGTGTGCGCCCGCTCGCGTATCGCCATCTCCCGCTCACTGCCGAGCTGGTCGGCCGAGCTGCGTGCGAAAATGCCCGCCCGTGGCAGCGTGTCTTTGATAGTGGCCGCTGATGCCGTGCGCAGATGACCAGCCATTCCAGCGCTGAACACGAATCCCTTGGTGCTGCTCTTGGGCGTCACCGGGCGGGTCTGCAGAGATCCAGATTTTGCTAACGACGGGCTGGAGGTTGTTGCTGGGCGCGGCAGCGTCGCACCCGCCGACTGGGGGGGCACAGTGGTGTTTGCGCGGCGGGACGTGCCACTCATGGACGCGCCTTTGCCTTTGGTTCTGTATTTGCCAAACATGGTCGATGCGTGCTGGGTGCTGTGGGTGGCAGCATCCACCGGCTGCTGGGTGCCGTAGGCTGACGCAAACAGATTGCTGGTATCAAGAGACTCGCGATGGTTGGACGAACTGCGCAGGCTGTTGGAGAACAGGTGCTTGGCGCGCGAAAGCAGCTTGCGCGGAGCCGCTGCCACAGCCTCGTTCTTGACCGCCGACGAGCTGCCCAGCGCGTTCCTGTCGAATAGCGAGGCCAGGATGCTGCGGTTGTAGCACTGCTGCACGCGGTGGTGCTCGGGGTACGCCAGCAGCACATACTGGTACATGATGATGGCCTGCTCGACCAGCCGGCACAACGCAGGCCAGCTGTTGACCGTCTCGCGCTCCTCGCTGAGCTCAGCATACGTGTCCTCTGACCCGCCGGCGTGGGCATCCAGCGGCAGCACAGTGGAGGTGATATCAAACCACTCGTTGCCCAGATCGACCACGCGACAGGCCTGGAACGGATAGTACACAGTCGAGTCCTCGCTGCCGCTGTAATCCCAGATCACAGTGAGATCGGCCATCAGCGCGTTTGGGCAGTCGTGGCGCGACCGCGCGTAATCAGCAGAGTCCCAGATACGCACGGCCCACGACTGGCCGCCAACATCGACGCGGTCCAGCTCCGGGTGGCCAAGACTGACGGTCCGGCGGCCCGTGCCAGTGCCCTTGACGCTGCTCGAGCTGCTGCCGTGGCGGCTCAGGCCACCGGTAGACTCGAAGCAGCGCGCGACGCTGCGGTCCCAGGCGGTATTGAGGAACTCGAAAAAGGCATCGCGCGTCAGCGGCGTGTCGACCTCGAACTCGTGCAGCGACTGTGGGTGCCAGTACGCCGCGTCGCCATACGACTCGGTCGTCTCGCTGGGATACAGAATACGCGCAAACTCAACCTGCATCGGATCCTCGCTGGCCTTGCCGCGCCCCCGCGCCCCCGGTGACGACGTCAGCGTGCTTGCCGAGTCGAGCGAGATCACAGAGGCGCCGCTCTTGCCGCTGGCTGTGCCCACGCGCGTGCGCCGCGCCTCACGCGGATCCAGGGCCGACTGGTCGTCGTTGGTCGGGTACCGCAGAACGTAGAAGGCTGTAGCTCCCGGCACCACGCTTTTCTCCAGCACGCTGATCCTGCTGATATCGATCCATCCAGCGAACCGGCCCCATTTTGTCGCACCAGATGCTGCCGAGCCGCTGGCCATGAAGGCAGTTGTTGCTGTGCTCAGCGAGCCACCAGAGCCGCACGTACACGACGCGGCCTCGGCGCTCTTCTTTGCGGCGCCATGCACTGGACACGAGGCTGTGCTGGATTTGCCAGTCACACGGATGTCGCCGTGGCCCTTAGGCGGCCAGTACCGCTCGACCATCATCAGCAGATCAGAGAACACCAGCAGCGCCATGGGCTTCCTGGGCTTGCCAGTGGTCAGATCAAGCTCCGACGCATCGACGGCACCGATGAATTCACGCGATGCGCTGATGAGGTTGGGCGGGCAGCCGTCGACGGTGGTCTGAATGCGGTGCAGCTCAGTAACACTCTCGGCGATCTGGTTGTCAGCCAGCTGGCCGATCTCGTTGATGCGCTCGAGCGCCATCTGGATGCGCTGGAAGTCGGGGTCGTCCTCAGCCACGGCCTTGAGCAGGTCGGTCAGCAGCAGCGTGTACCGCGGAATGCGCTGGACAGGCATGATCAGCAAATCGCTGATCCCCAGCTTGCGGCACTCCTCGCGCTCGCGCGCCTTCTGCAGAAAGCCAGCATACAGTGGGCTCTTGGCCTCCAGCGCGCGCGAGCACTCGAGTGCGTGGTGGTAGCCGTTGATATACCGCTTATACACGTGGAAGTCCACAAAGTGGTCACGGCACAGCGACCCAATGGTTTCCTTTGGATCCATCTCGCCGCGGTGCCATGCCTCCAGGTCGCCCAGGAACCGCTCGTTGACCTCGTATACGCGCTCAATATTGCCAAAGATCACGTGTGCGTCGTATGCTGGAATCAGCGCATTGTTGGCTGACCGCGCTGCTGACCGCAGCGGCACTGCGTAGATGTCAATTAGCGCCCGCAGCTTGGCCACGTAGCTGCGCTCGGTGCTGATCAGCTCCATGATCACATTGCGTCGCTTCGCCTCCAGCTCCGCCTTGGTCTTCTGCCGCCGCGCCTTGCTCTTCGTTGTGCCGTGCTTAGCTGAGCCGTCGCCCGAGTCACCTGCATGTGCTGCGTCAGCGTCGCCGCGCATGCGCGCGCTGGCTCGCTCCAGTGTCCGCAGGAACCGCCGGTGCGGAGCCGCTGTGCCGGAGAGCTGCACGTGATCCTGCGCTCCCTCCACTACAAAGTCAATGCGCAGCCGGCGGCGGTACAGCTTGGGCTCCAGGCTACGCAGCAGCGGCTTCAGGTGCTCGTCGCGCAGCTCGGTCAGGCTCTCGGTGGCCACGGCCAGATCCCGCGCATACCGCTCGTTGGCCAGGAACACGTCTATTTGTGCCTTCAGCACCGGGTCGTCGCCTGCGTCCGTAGCGCCAATGGCTGCCCGCCGCTCGCGCACCGGCGCATTGAGCGTCGGGCTGTCGCTGGTAAACAGACTGTCCATGAAGCTGCTGATTTCTTCGCGCCTCAGCTCCGTCGACCGCTTAGCACCCGCCGACTTGATGGCCTGCCGGGCGGGCGCCGTCTGGCTCCATGCGTCTGCTGATTTGAGGGCTGCAGCATCGGCGCGGCTGGCGTTCTCGGTGGTGAGCCGGCGGTTGCGTAGCGCTGTGACCAGATACCCACGCCGCTCCTCGTCGGCCTGCTGGAAGTAAATCCGCAGCGCATGGTACAGCAATATCTTCTGCGGAGTGGGGCTCGAGAGCCGGTCCAAGTCGGTGCCGAAGATCGGCTCGTCAATGACCATTGTTGGCACAAACACCACCCCGAACTTGAACGGCGTACGCACCAGCGCCTTATAGCACTCGTGCGACTCGCGCGTGCTGATTGAGATGCAGATGGGCCCAATCGACGACTCGTACCCGAAGAAGTTTGTATGCGGCTTTGCCACCAGCGCATTGAGCCAGAACTCCATTGCATACTGTCCGTCGTTTTCGTTGTCATTTGGGATCTCGTACATGTTGCGGGCCACCGGCTCCTCGATGATCTCGCTCGCCCGCTTCTTCCGAGTGTTGCTGCGCGTCACGCTTGCGTCTGCCAGCGCCAGCTCCTTGGTGCGTCGCCGCACCGTCCCGGCCTGCCGGTTCTTCTCTTCTGTCACCGTCGCCCGCCGCGTCAGCGACGGCAGGAGCGCTGCCCCGACTGACTCCAGTTTCTGCTGCTGCTGTATGATCCCCGGCGATGTCGGCGAGGACCGGAATGTAAACTCGGCGTGTGTCGTGGCCGCCGACGGTGTTGTTGGTGTTGTTTTGGTTCCGCTGCGAATGGGAGTGTTTCGGCGGTCGAACCGGCGCGTGCTGCTGCTCTTCAGCCCTGCTGAATGTGTCTGCGTGTTAGTGGGTCGCCGCAACGATGTCTTTCTGTCTGGAAACACCTGTTTGTCCTCTGAATGCAGCGTGCCAGTCTACAAAGCGCAACCCCAGTTAGTCTTTCTTTTAGTCTCCTCAAATGTCGCCTGCTGGCTCTTGATTGCCTTGCCTGCATTTACCATTGTAGCATTAACAATAATAATAAAAAGTACAAATTTATGAAACCCGAACAAACGAAGTGAAAAAAAAAAAAAAGAAAACAAAAAGCGCATGCTTTTTTCAGTCCACTATTTGGTGTTTTTGTGCTGCTTACCCCGCGTGGTTTATTTTGTTGCCCTCGCCAAGCTTCGCTCTGAGCCAAAAGCGGGTTTTTCTAAAGTATAACAAAAATATCGGTGTGACAGAAGAGGAACCAAGCTTGGCCTTTTAAACCACCAGCGATAGAGCGTGAAAAGAAAAAAAAAAAACGAGCTCCCAGTGCGCTGCAAATCCACGTCTTCATCAAGGCTGCCAGGCGCCTGTTCTAAAAACAAACTAACCAAAACAATCCCTCGGTATTAATAGCTGCATATTTTTAGCCCTCACCCAGACCGCGTCCACGATAGACAGGAGCGGTCTGCGCGGTCTATGGGCCCCTCTACAGCGGCAAAAAAGTAAATAAACCTGGCCCGGAAAAACCGCTGGGGCCGATCGCACGACGCCCAGCCCAGTGGAATTACAGGCTCTTAATTTCCTGGTCGATTACGCCACATGATCACCGTTCCTGAGTGGTGAGCCACGGCTTTCACATGCACCCCCTTGCTGCCAAAGCCTGGTCGAGCACGGTACTGGCGCGGCGAATTATTTTGGGTCTAGTCGGTATCTAGGAGCTTTTGCAGGAGCTTAGGAAAATTAATTGGCCATACTCTGCCCGGGCAAATCCTGCCTCCACTATGCCTGGGACATAGGGGCATGAACCTTGAGATCGCAGGTCCTCCCGATAACTGAGTCACAGCCCGCCTTGCTTCTGTCCCCGTTTTCCGCTAGCCGCGCCCGCATGGGTCTGCCAGAGTACGGGTGAACTAGGAAACCAGTTCGTTTGGGTCGGAGCAAATTTTTCTGCCCTTCCCAAACGAGGAATAAGAAATCCTCCTATCCACAGCTCAAGGCTTTCATTCTTGTCCTGCCCTCTCTCCCCTAGCAAGCCCTCTTTCTTCTTCTCTCCATTGCTTTTACTTCTTTTTCCTTGGCCCCAGGTACAACTGGCATTAGCGCTCTCCTGCTCTATCAAAATCGCTCTTTGGGTAAGCACGCATTGTGCCACCGGCTCGCCTATCATCCTCTCGTCTGCCCGGCTGGGGCGAAGGGAGAGAATCGCAATCATACCAGTCACAGTGCGTGCCTCAATTAGGCAACCCTCCCTTTCGACGACGAGTACACCCAGTCAACATGCCAAACTCAACGCTTCTCTGCTCTTCTCTCCTGTAGGCAACCCTTTGCGTTTCTTTTCTTTTCACCTCGACAAAATCACCATGACGGCAGGCAGATCCCAGCAGCGGCTTTCCAGCATCGAAATCGAACGGCTTTCGGAAGTTTTTGACACACATGCAACCGTTGCATCGGATGGGGCAAAATACCTGACACCAGACGGCTTTACGCGGGCGATCACACCGGCATTGCACCAGCAGCAGCAGTCTTCTTATTCGGCCTTTTTCTCCGTAGCCGATAAGCATGCTTCAGGCCGGGTTTCCAAGGATGAGTTCCTAGAGTTCCAAAGCCTGCTAGTGCGTCACGACGCAGCCTCCAGCCTGTCGTTCAAGGCTGTCACGCAGTCTGATTCGGCGGCAGCCCCCGCCTTGGGCGCGCTCATTGGTGACTCGCTGATTGCCAATTACCTGAAGAGCCAGGGCCAGGTTTCGTATGCCGAGTTTGCCCAGCTCGTGGAGTCTGTGCGGGCCGACCGCATCCGCCAGGCATTCGCGGCTGTCGACAGAGAAAAGACCGGCTTCATCCAGGTCGACCAGCTGGTGGCTACCGCCAGCGAGTTCACCCCCGTGGCAGTGCAGAGTACGCTGGCGGAGAGACTGGCGCTGGTGGCGACCGAGGGCAAGGTTGGATACCCGACATTCCTCGCTGTTGTCAGTCTGCTGAGCGACCCGACCAAGATCGCCCATGCCGCTGCCGAGGTCGCAAAGGCGCCAAGCCAGATTTCTGCTAGCGAATTCGCCGCCACCACTGACATCCTGACGCCGCTCGAGGCCAGCGTGCTGTTCACGCTTGCCAGCGGCCAGGCCGGCGCCGAGACGGCAACCACAGCCAGCATCACAGGAATCCTGGACTCCCTGCACGACAGCCTGGTGCCTGCAGGCCGGAAATCCGACGTACCCATCACGCACAAGAAGCCCGAGCGTACGCTATTGATGGAGCTGCTGTTCCAGGCGTACAACTTTGGCGTCGGTGCCATTGCCGGTGGAATTGGCGCGACTGTCGTCTACCCGATCGACCTGGTCAAGACGCGTATGCAAAACCAGCGGGCGGCTGTGGTCGGTGAAATGATGTACAAGAACAGCATTGACTGCTTCAAAAAGGTCATCCGCAACGAGGGCATTCTCGGCTTGTACCGCGGGCTGGGCCCGCAGCTCGTCGGCGTGGCACCCGAGAAGGCCATCAAGCTGACCATGAACGACTTTGTGCGCTCGCGCATGAAGAACAAGGATACTGGCGAGATCACCTTTGCGGCCGAGCTGCTGGCTGGTGCAGCCGCTGGAGGCTCGCAAGTGGTGTTCACGAACCCGCTGGAGATCGTCAAGATCCGCCTCCAGACGCAGGGCGAGATGCTCAAGGATGCGACTGGGCTGGGCGCCAAGGCTACCGGAACCTCGCCGGCTGTGCGGCGCGGCGCCATCACCATCGTCAAGGAGCTGGGTCTGATGGGCCTGTACAAGGGTGCCTCGGCCTGTCTGCTGCGCGACGTGCCATTCTCGGCCATTTACTTCCCGTGCTACTCGCACCTGAAGAAGGATCTGTTCCACGAGGGCGAGCGCGAGCTCAGCATCACCGACCTGCTGCTGGCTGGTGCCATCGCTGGCATGCCAGCAGCCTACTTTACCACGCCTGCCGATGTCATCAAGACACGTCTACAGGTTGAGGCAAAGAAGGGTGAGACCGTCTACACCGGCCTGATGGACGCCGCGCGCAAGATCTACAAGGAGGAGGGCTTCAAGGCCTTTTTCAAGGGCGGCCCGGCGCGCATCCTGCGGTCGTCGCCGCAGTTCGGCACCACGCTCATGTGCTACGAGCTGATCCACCGCATGGTGCCGTTCCCGGGCGAGGAGACACATAAGCGCAGGGATGTGGGCGAGGAGCGCGCCCGTGAGGTGTCGTCGCAGATGGCGCTGTTCAACGCTAGCAACGCGCTGCGCCTGATGCACGACGGGAACTACAAGTTTGGTGCCATGCCGAAGACTACCACTGCCTAAAACCGAAATGCCCTTTTTTGCTTTTGTTTATTGATAGAGTTTTACTAGAATTGCTCTGCTCGCGATGCGAGCTCGACTGCTAGTCAGCATGGGTTGACACGTCGATACGAGCATCACGGCGAGCCGGTCATTTGAACGTGTCGGATGGTTGTTGGTGCAATATCGACCATGGGCATCTCCCACCTTGGTGGTCTGCTCAGCGCAGGCGCTTCAGCGGTGGCTCGCCACTACTGGCAGCAGAACCGCCTGCTGCTGCACGCCTCTTGCGCGACCTCTTTGTTGCAGGAGTGGTGCCAGAAGCATCGGCAGCAATGGCCGTAAAGCGATGGAACCGTTCAAGAATACTGTCTGAATCACAGAGTGACTGGAAAATGAGTCTGAAGTTTAGAACTGCTGCGAGATCGCGGTTCAAGAGCTGAGACGAATAGGCTCGCCTGTATTGTGTCATGGCCCGCTTACATGACTCGCTTGTACAGCGGAGAAGGCCATGGCACTTCACAGTTGGGTTCTTCGATCTCTTGTGGGGCCGCGGGTTGGGAACATGCCGGAATGTCTGCTGCGACTTTTCGCAGCAGAACGGGCACATCGACGGTGTCCAGAATTCGTCGATCAGATAGACTTCAAAGCCATGGTGCTTGAACTTGTCACACCATCCCTTGCCACGAATCGGCGCATGGTGTCGGGCCATCGGCGCACTCCAATTGCCCATGATCAGCACTGGATCTGGGCCGAACTTGCTCCGGAGTTTCGCGGCAAGCCTGTGGTCTGCACGGGCCTGGTTCATGAATGAATCAAGGCGCAGCTTGCGGTGAAGCGGGTACACCTTGGGACTGGTACTGACACCTGGATGGGCCTTCCAGCGCCTTTGGTGCTGCTTGTTTGACTTAGTGGGCTGCTGCTCTGGTAACCTTCGCGCTGTCATCGTGTTGGCATAAAACGGTGCTAGGACACACCGCACAGATGCATGGGCAGTAACGTAGGCACGGAATTTTGCTGGGCTAAGGGTCCGGCTGCAGTGCTTGGAAAGCTCTGCCTCTGCTCTGCGGACAGCATCTTCTGGGACTTGATCCTTTGTAGCCTGACGAATCCTGTCATAGTGGCGCAGCTTGAGCTCCTTATTGCGCTGCTGCCGTGTGTAGCGGTAGAGCATTTTTTCACCTTCTTTCCCATTGCTGCTATTTTCGTGCATCATGTATAGCAAATTGCCCCGACCTGGATCGATGAATACACAGCGGCCTTTCAGATTCTGCAGCTCTGGCTGTGGGATCTGGTGGATATAGCGACAGTCAGCTATAGTATTGCCTCCCGCAGCATTGCCTCCCACAGCATTGCCTCCCGCAGCATCAGCATCTACTGCAGCACCAGCCTTAGGTACCTTGTCTTGTAGCAAAATCCATATTGTTACACCATCTGTTGTCGCCATTCCGTGGAATCTTCTATCACCATGCGCCTTAAATGGCTTTGATGTTAGATCTGCAACCCGGCCCCACACATCCCACACAGATTGTGTGATCCCTTGGACTGTGTCGTGTGCATAGACTGGGAGTGCTGGTGCATATTCATTGTTAAGTACTGCAACAGTGTCTGCTGCTGCCGCCGATGCAGCAGCAAGTGGATTTGCCTTCATGTTATGATAGATAAATAAATAAGTAGAACAAAAGAATCCCTTTTTCACAAATGTTGCAGGGTCAAAGGCATCATTGTCAGCTAGTTGATGGAGTAGTATCCATCGTGCAAGCATGTATGTATGCTCTTTGATGATATTGACGCTGCGTACAAATTGCTCTAGGCGGGGCAACATAGAATCACGGAAGCCAATCCCACCAAGTGATGTCTTTATGACAGTAGTGCTGCGGGTAATGTTCATTTGAGAAATTCAATAGGCAAGTAAGAAGAGAAATGATGCTGTTCAGTTTTGCTTTATTGCGTATGCATAGCATTAAAAACTTTTTATTAAAAATGATCTGGCTTGCATGGTTCTTGGGGCCCTTAGCACTGATATAGTCTCTTGAATCAGTCTATACATACTGGGTCCGTTGTGACCCAAATACTACCGCTTACGCATGTTCATAAGACAAATTAATTTATAAAATAAGTCCACAAATATTGCATAACCACCAGAGGAGCTACATGGCCTCATTCAATAGGTGCTCATAAATAAACATCCTAAGAGTGTTGCGCAGCCGGTGATGACCACCATGATGACGCCATAGAAGTTATCAGGCCGACCGACAATGAGACCAGCTCTTGCGCTGAACCAATGGAGATATCTAGTGGAGACCTGTGGCCACTACAATAACAACTTGTCACCCTGGTTTCACCGATAAGGTCAGATGCCGCACAAGATCAAAAGGAGTTTACGGAGCAAGTCACCTAAACCCGTGTTGACGCTTAAGAGTTTTATTTTTTAACCAAATAAAAAATTTCTAGCGGACGGTCAGACACTTCGACTATAAAATCTTATATATAGGTAAAGATTGCGTGTGTTACGACATAAAGTGGTCGCCCAGTGCGCGCATAATGTTCAGCGACCGCTTCATCACATTGGCCGACACGCCGACAGCGCCTTCGACGAGCTCAAACGAGCTGACCAGCATCTGGTGCGAGTGCTTGTGGATTGTGTTGATGGACTCGCGCACCGTAAACTGCACCATGCTCAGCGGGCACACCAGATACGTCACCCCCATCGTATGCATCACACCGCTGAATCCCATGGCCGTATACGTTGCGTCCACAACATATTCAATTTCAAGCGGCGGCGATTCACGCAGGTTCCGGCACTTGCTCATCAGGTCGCCGAAAATCCGCATATCTGTGTCCCGCCGCATATCGTAATTGAAGTCGACCTTCTGCACAAACACTGTGTTCCCGCGCTTCTCCAGAATACGGTCATGCACTGTCGTGCGGAATATAAACTGCTCTGTGCCCTTCAGCCGCCCCCGCAAGTGTACTGTGTCTACATGCACTGTAACCAGGTTGGGATTGTACACCGTTATCTCTAATGGCAACTTCAGGTCAATTGTCTGGTGTCTCACTTGCACATCAGAAGGCTCCGTGCCTGGAATGCCCGACAGATAGATTTGCGGTGGCAGCCGTAGGTACTTTACGTAGAACGCTGTGCTAGCAACTGCCAGACACACAATCATTAGCGCTTGCATTAACTGGGCCTGCCATGAATGCAACACTGGTTTATATGGCTTTGATTTTAGCTTTTTCATAGTGGCTTTCATATATGTGATAGAAACTATAATTAAGCGGAAGTAGAGAAGGAAACATGCGACCTCGCTAGCTCTTGGCGTCAAAATATATATCTGGAGAAGTAAAAACATGCGCCTGTCGCTTTTGGGGCGGCACTGGGGACATCTACTGTGACGCCAGTCGTCTATGAGTACAGCGCCTCCAAAAACAATACTGCTTCCGACCTTGCTGTTGGCATAGTGCAGTGTCTATTGGTTAGCAGCATTTCCAAAACCCTTAGTTGTAGAAAAGACAAAAGCATGCAGCTGAGAAAAAGAAGCAAAAAAGCGACCGATCACGGGATCGAACCGTGGACTTCTCGCATCGGAAACGAGCGCTCTAGCCTCTGAGCTAAGCGGCCTAAGCCTTAACGGCTAACACATCTGAATATTCCTGGAAATTCACTCCTATATTATGTTACGCATTAGCCTGCCCTCCATTGCCTCCTTTGTTTGGCAAAACCAACCTCCTAGCAATCCACAGCTTTGTTTATCATGCCCCTGATGGCTGATCTTTAACAGCCTCTACAGTTCTGCACATTGTGGTTCCCATATTGCTACTCGCAACTCTTTGTTGATAAACTGGATATCCATTACACATATCTACCAGGATTCCATATACGTTGTTTTGTAGTTGTTTTGTAGTCATTTTGATTACTAGTCGGACGTATCACTACTGCGGTGTATGCTTTATCTCATGGGTCGATGCTAGACTATTTTCCCATTATTTTCATGTCTGCTCCAGGAGTTCAGCGCCAGATGTGCTTTACATATCAGTTAACCACATGTGGCACATTCTTATCAACCAGCTAAGGCAAGTGCATTTCATGGTTGAAAATTTGAAGCAGCGTGAGCACTTAACAGGTAACTGTGGACAAGAATCTACAGGAACAATTTAAATTGCCTCCCATCTCCACTTGGCGTCAACGCTATTTCCTCGAACCCTCTGCCAAGCTTGGAGATAGTGATCGTCAGTGCGGAACTTGTACACATAAACGATTCCCTTGGTGTCAACCAAACGGAACTTCACATCACAGCCCGGTGGTGATGTGATACTTCTGCCAAGAGTACCCGCTGCGACTGCTGCATTAAAGCCAGAGTCGCTTCCCTTGAACCGGCAAATTATTCTCACCAGATCGTCCATATCCTCGACTTTCTCGTCATTGACCTCAGTAATGAAGGCAGGCCAGTTTTTCATCCAGCGGGCTGGGGACCCAGCAGCGATTCCATAGATAAGACACTTGGAGGGAACAGAGTGTGCATATCGATATATGCTGACATAGGGCTCCTGAATGGTAAGTCCAGACCATCTTAGAACGCGACGGGTGTTGGTCTCGTGGGGAGGGACTGTTCTGACAGTGATTGCAACCTCCTGGCCCTGGCGCAATATAACAAGATCGACTGCATCCTTTCCGTATATCGTGGCAATATCGTCGATTCTACTCACTAGCTTGCCGTCAATAGACAAGATAATATCGCCGACCTCAACTCCGGGAGATTTCACCGCGCTCTTGATGTCGATTTGGTGAACCTGGAACAAGCAATTTCCACAGGCTGGGCTGGCAGCAAATTTCTCAACCCATCTGCTGGTGAGTCCAAACTTGCAGGCTGTCGAGAGTCGGACCTTGGCAAACTTTGCGTTCAGCGTTCTCACAATATCCGGGTACTCGTTGCTCGACCTTAACGCCTTGGTAATCTCGCGGAGATGCGAGACATCTAGCCCAACTAATGGATCAGGATTGTGCCTGTTGCCGCAGAGAGGCAAATGAATCCAAAGCCCTAGAGCATAGCCATCAGCACTGCATAATACACCCGCCATACTCTCTGAATCGCGAGCTGTGGCAAGGCTGACAAGATCCACATTGAAGTGTGATGGAGAATAGTGCTTCTTGCAGTGCTTAGTGCCGTCGTAGAGGTACCGATCGCTGATGTGTGTCTTTGTGAAATACGGGGATCCATTTTTGTTGGCGCCAACGAGAACAACATCTTGGCCGACAGTAAGACAGGCCTCGCCTCCCCAGTAGTTGCTGTCGACAGGGAGGTCGCTCACCAAGCCATTTCCAGCGGGGCCGAGATCAGAAGGGTCATACTTGAGGAAGATCAGTGGATACAACGGGTGAATATACACTATAGTTGCTGCGGTCTGGAAAGTGTTGCGGATGGTAATTGAGATGTTGGATGCTGATCCAGTGAACACTGCAGCACTGCATACAACAATTCCGTTTGACCTGTCAAGGACAACCCCATTTCCGTCTACAGTTCCCTCACATGTCTCATCCATGCTGCCATCACGACTGCTTGTGATATGAACGATACTCTGCCAAACCCGGTCCAAATTAGAGTGACCATCCACAAGATGACCGTCAGTGAAGCCGAGATGAGGAATACTGCCGCCCATGTCTTGCAAATCGCCTCGAATAGCACCACTGCACATCTCGATCCGCTCTTCAGACCAAAATCCGCTCTCTATATCTCGCGTGAGCACTCTAAACGGCCCAGAATCCCCTGGAAGCGTAGCGATGGTAATAATATGATCGTTACCATTAATATGACCAATAGCCTTGATAACCATGGACTGACCGACTTGGATGGTACGGAATATACTCAGAAGCGCTGTGAGATCCGGGGTAGGTATACCGTTCACAGACATGATGATGCGATGCTCCTTAAAGATGGTCGCAGGTAGAAACTCCTCAGACATGGTTGCAATATATACGCCCTTAACCTCTAGAGAATATCTGTTGGCCAGCATCAGGGACATATCATGGAGCGTAGCATGCCCAAGAGAAAGGAGCTGGGTAGGTGAGACGTCATACATGTCCTGCACTCGAACCGAGACAGGAACAGACCTGCCCTTGCGCCAAACGACGAAATCAACAGTGCAGCCAATATTGGCATCCAGCACTGACTCCAAACCAACGAAATCGCAGATAGGCTTGCCATCCATACTGATGACAATGTCGCCGACTTCGAGAGCCCCGTACGCTGGGCCCTTGTGCAGAATCTTGTCAACAACTATCATGCCCTCGGACTTTGGGTTAGCCAGGCGAGACTCCTCGATTTCCTGCTCTGCCAGCCCCAGGCGCTGCACTTCCTGATACGTCTCGAATACAAACACCGCCTGGATAGTTCCGCGGGGGGCGCGCTCGCCACGCCTCATGTACTCGAGTGAATACACAACCCGCTCAAGCGGCAAGAAGAAGCTTCCACCGTCATTGACGTTCTTAGCCGCCTTGATTGCAATTGCAGCTCCGTTGATATCCAGCAATGGTGAACCCGAAGAGCCTCCAGCCGAAGTGGTGGAGGCTTGATAGTAAAATGTGTTTGAATCTCGATTGTCACCCACATTAGGCGTATTCCGGTTGATCTGGGACAGAGTGCCCGCGCAAACTGTCATCTTCTCTCCAGCAGAATTGCCGATAATTTGGAAAGGAACACCTGGCCTTGCACCTGCAGGGAACAGCCTAATTGCCTTCGGCTGGGTGTACTTCAATGCCGCAGGGTCGTAGCGGAAGAAGGCAAAATCGTGGATTGGGTCGTAGTGAACTGGCTGGAGGTAAACGAACTCATTCGTGTCGAACGTGGCTTTGTGGATTCCTGGGCCAAATTCAAGGACGTGCCTGTTCGAGAGAATGATCCCCTGGTCGCTATCGACTACAAACCCAGTAGCACATGAGCATGTTGGTCCAACGGCCCCAAACCCAAATGGACGGATGATACTGATTGCCACAATAGAGTTTCGAACTTCAGCATGGACATCCTCCCACGTACGCCCAAGGCTTCTGGTGGGAGCAGGCGTGGTTGAAGAGTGCGGGTGCGGGTGCTCGTTGATGGTGTCAATAGTCATATTTGTTTACTAGTAAGCGAAAAACTGCAGAAAAGAAAAAGAGCTGAAACGTGGCAGTGCAGCTTTCATCTCATAAGCGTCACAGTAGATTTCACACTGCTGCCCATGTTGACAACTTCCCACACATGGCTGCAAGCCACCATGCCAAAATTGACGCATGACGATCTTTGATTTTGGGATCACACCGAGAATTGAGTGTGGATACCTGGTTGTCAAAGTGAGTCACATCTGCTGTTATCACTATGGAATGCATATTGTAAGACTACGTGATGTTTTACTATGTTACACTTTTACACAGCCATACATTTCAGAAGTCTACTTTGGGCTATTGGACAAGAACCATGAATGAGAGAAAAGTGAGGAACTAGAGGGCCTTGAGCTTGAGAACCCCATAGCCTTATGGTGCTATGAACCGCCTTTGCTTTCAAACGCAAGGCAAAGTGAGAGACATGCTATATCTAAACGAGTTGAAATGGTATGCATGGTATGAAAGTATACTGATTACCATACATCTTCCACGTAACGATTGGCCGCAACCAGGTCAGCAAGGTACTTGCTTGCATCGGCGGAAGAAAGGTGACCATGGGTCTGGAAAACATCAACCATGGTCCTGACAACGTCCTTGGCCAGTTTATCTGCTGAGCCACAGACATAGATGCGGCCACCCGCTCTGTAGATGTGACCAGATCTGGGCACCATCGGCAGAAATGTGGTGCCTGCACGTACTTGTGCTCACTACCAACACGCGAAAAACGCAGGCTGGTAGCTTGGCCAGTGTGCCACTCTGGATGTATTGCTCGAGCTCGTCCTTGTAGAGGTAGTCATACTCTGGGCTGCGGCAGCCAAAGTACAGCGTGGCATCGCCGGTGCCTGTGTGATTCATCTCTTGCAGGAAGCCGCGGAACGACGCGATTCCAGTGCCAGCACCGATGAACAGGACTGGTATAGCAGATGAGGACGGCAGGTGGAAGGCTGACTGAGGCGGGAAGATGAGAGACCGAAAGACGAGAGCCAGACTCCAGTGATGCAAGGTACTCAGTTGCCAGACCGCCATACAAGCGACCATTGATGATGTCATCAACAATCGCAACCGAAAGATGTACTTCGTTTCCGGACTACGGCCTGGCAACTGGCGATCGAGTAGCGACGAGGAGCCATGGCCGACACAAAGTGCAGAATCGACCCGAACGGAACCTGCCGCACAAGGGGAGCATAATGACGAAGCACATCTAGGACTGTGCGAGTCTGCGAAATGAACTCGCTCCAGCCAAGCGACTGCTTTCCCAGCGTATTGACATCGTCAGCCGCCTTGCGCAGGACATTGTACGCAGCATCGTCACCAGCAACCTCGTCCAGCGCAACAACCAGCTCGCGCGAGGGCGCTTCCTTCCAGTCACATACGTACTGAAGTGCGTCAGAGACCGAGCATGTTGCTCCTTGGATAGCAGCGGCAGCCGAACGACTGAAACGGGAAGCATTTGAAACCTGCTCGATTTTGAGTACGCTTGCTATATCCATGCCAAGAATTGCAGCAACCTCATGCACCACACCGGGCTTGTTGGCTGGGTACACGTTGAGATGGTCACCGGTCTGATACTGAATACCCGAGGACTGATCCAGCACAATCTCGATGTGCCGAGTACTGCGGCCGCTCTTGCTGACATCTTGCAACTCTTGGTTAATCTTGATGCTAGCATTCTCAGAAGCGATTCTGAACGGAGCCGCGGTGCCACCGACTAGGCTGATGTTGAATGGCAACGACTTTGGAGCTGAAACTGCCTCGACAAGCCCTTCGGTGCCCGAGCCGTAGTGATCAGTGACAAGTGCACAGATACGCAGAGACCACTGCAAGAAATCCTCGTCCAAATCGTCATTAGAGTTGCCAAATTGGAATTCGCTTAGAGGAGTCGCACCAAGCATACCAAGACGCTTGTGGATATGGCGCGGGAACTTCTGGTACGTACGCCAGAGTGAGTTGCCACATCCAAACACAACATAGTCGACACCGTGCAGTAGATCAGCCTGGCTTGTTCCATCGAGCGACTTGGCGAACTGGGTTGCGTTATCGGGCGGCAAGCCGTTGTAAGTGCTCGTGATCACGATGGCCAGAGTGCGCTTACCACCAGCGGCCTTGGCTGATAAGATATCCCAGTCGTCAAGCGCCTGGACAGATGTGTCCTCAAAACCCATGCGCACAACCTGCTCGCTTAATTGTGCAGCGTATTCCTCACTCACACCCATGTTGGACCCAAACAGGATTGAAACCCGCGGCAGCTCATCGGAATTTGTGACAACAACAGGAGCACTGATCTTGCTGACACTGGCGGCTGGTGCTGTGGCATGTGTGGAGTCTGAAATGAAGGTCTCGGCGCCAGGCGCTGGGAAGTTGATCCGCTTGTGTGCCGCCATTACTAGATTGAGTGGTTTTGTTGTAATGCTTTGCGGATCATAGATGGCCTCTACATCATCGATGCAACAAAACTCATAGTTGGATAGCAACCGAGCCAAAATAATGCGCATCTCGATCATTGCAAGTTGGAATCCGATGCAGCTGCGCTGGCCTGCCGAGAATGGCAACCAGGCGCTCTCTGGGATCAACTTCATGTTCTCGTCTGAAAAGCGGTCAGGGTCGAAGCGATGTGGGTCCTTGTAGACATCTGGACTCCTGTGCATCGACCATATGTTGATGGTAAACACCTGGCCGCGTTTGACTTGGAAGCCGCCTGGAATAACACAATCCTTGGCACAGTACTTGTTGATCGACGGGACAGGTGGATACAGGCGCAAGGTTTCCTTGATGACTTGCGTCAGGTACTTGAGCGAGTTCGCCTCCTTGACACTGATTGGCTGACCAGGCTTGATTCCAGTATCGGCCAACTCTTGCAGAACGCGATGTTGGGCATGCGGATTGCGGACGAGCAGATATAGCACCCATGATAGCGTCACAGCACTTGTCTCACTGCCAGCAATGCCCAGCGTGATGATTTGGTCGAAGATGTTGGCGTCGTCGAGTCCGACAAGGTTGCCGGTCCTCATCAGGAGCACGCGCATTGAGCATGAAGCCGAGCAGATCCTTCCTCATATTGGTTGCGTCAACCGAGGCCCGGCGCTCGTCAATAACCTCTTGGACAATACTGCGCATTACCTGCATCTGCTTCTTGTACTCGTAGTTTCCGCGTGTAGGTAGCATTTTCCAATATGAAGTTCTTTTGAACCGCTTCTGTATCTCGCCCAGGCAAAAGTTCATGGCATACAGAAACGGGTGCTTTTCAGTGTATGTCGGATCGAGAAGATGAAAATCATAACCGAAACCAACAATACCAATTGTCTGGAACGTCATGTTGGTAGTAAAGTCGACGACAGTGAACGGCTCGTTCAGACGGGGGTTGAGCCAGCTGGATGCCTCCTCAGCTACCATGAGTATCTTATTGCTGTAGATCCTCATAGCGCTGGCAGAGAAAGCCGGCAGGAGAAGTCGGTGGGCAAGTTGCCACGCAGGATCAGATGCAGTCGTTGTGAATAGCCCCTTCCCGCCAAGTTCCTGCAATTCAGCAAATGGCTGCTCTTCAGCACGCTTGAAAAAAATACTCGCTCTCGTACATGATCGCCTTTGCTACAGTCGGGTCACGCGTCACAAAAAACCTTTGGCTGAAAATGTAGAGCTGAACAGTGTCGCCATGAGAATCGTGCATGCTGCTCAATCCTTCGCGGAAATTCCTCATAAACCGTGGCAAAGCCCCAATAAGTGGGTATCCGGGTACCAAGGGTGCCTCTCGGACAGAAACTGGCTTTGCCAAGAACGCGACCTTGCAGGCAGATAGATGACCGATGCTCTCAATGACCTTGCCGTTAATATCCTCGAGCTGGATTGCCTCAGGAACGAACAATGCACCGGGACTACGCTTTGCGATCGACTGGCGGAAGTTGGACAGGTCGGCATCGGCAAGGGTAGTGGAGACGATGAAGCCATCAGTCTCTGGCGCCTTCCCCTTCTCAACGACGACAATATACACAGTCTGCAGGTCAATGGCAGGACAAGCGGAGGTGTTGGAGACAGCCGCAAGGCACGACAAGGAAGTGATAGATGCCACAGAGTAGTTGCTGCTGGAAAGCATAGTTGGTTGATTGGTTGAACCAGGTTATAACTGAAGTAAGTATATGGTAAAGTTATAATGGAAATGTTGATTGCCTAGGCACTACAAGCTGGCTTGGGTATGTCCACTATTTAACCAGGCTCTCTAAAGTAGCGTTCAAGCTCATTTCTTGGCAAAAAAATTGATAACGCCACAAAAGGAGAACAATATGTATGCTATAGATTTTATTTCGCTCAGGATAGAGATTGGTGGTGGCCGACATCGCATCCGAGTCAGGTGCAATTTCCCGATGCATGCCTAAAACACAGAATGAGACGGAATGCCCGTGTCTCTTGATCTACGGCCATGGCAAATGCCTGTCTCATGGACATTTATTACCTCCAGGACTAATCCGGAGCCTAGCTGGTTAACTTTTAACTGGCATTTCATATAATATATATGACAATTCATCAGCTCGAGCATAATTAAAAATGTGCTTCTTTGCCTGTTCCCTGATAGCCAGAACATATCGGACTATGGAAAATCTTATCATAGCACGAGTCTCAAAAGCAAGTTCGTGTTATATTTCACCCCTAACATTACCAGATATTAAAGCTTGGCCTTGTGCTTCTGCGACTCGCGCTCCTTCAGAACACGCCGGAGGATCTTCCCGGTTGCTGACTTGGGAACGGCATCGATGACCTCAATTCCACCACGCAGCCGCTTGTAATGAGTGACGCGCGAGTTCAGCCATGAGTGAATCTCATCAACAATACCTGTTTTGTTGGCATTGGGCTTGATAACGACGAATCCCTTGGGAACCTCAGTTGCCCGAGTGTCGTCATAGACACCAATGACTGCTGCGTCCAGAATCGCTGGGTGATCAAGCAGCAGGCCCTCAATTTCAGCGGGTGGGATCTGGAAGCCCTTGTACTTGATCAGTTCCTTCTTGCGGTCGGTGATGAAGTTGTAGCCGTCCTTGTCGATATAGCCAACATCTCCGGTATGGAGATAGCCCTCAGAGTCCAAGGTCTCGGCAGTAGCCGCTGGATTCTTCAGGTAGCCCACCATGATGTTGGGACCGCGGTAGCACAGCTCGCCAACCTCACCAGGACCAACCTCCTTGCCATCATCGTCAATGACCTTGGCAGTCATGTTTGGAATGAGCTGGCCTGATGAGCCATACACAACCTTACCAGGGCTAATCCGGGTAATCACTGGGCTTGATTCAGAAAGGCCATATCCCTGGCAAACTGGGAATCCCAGAACCTTCTGTGCCTCCTGCTGCAGCTCCTTGGTGAGTGGAGCAGCCCCACTGTTGATAAACAGCAGGCTCGAGATGTCGTACCTTTTGACAACCGGGCTCTTGGTCAGACCGAGGATAATAGGCGGCACCAGGTGGGCAGCGCGGCAGCGGTACTGCTGCACTAGCTGGCAGAACTTTTCAAGGTCGAACTGGGGCATGATCACAAGTGGGCGGCCCTGGCACAGCTGCAAGTGCATGATGCATGTCAGGCCGTAGATGTGGAAGAACGGGAGGACAGCGATCATATGTGCATTAGGCTCGATATGTGCGTAGGCGTCGGTAAGGTACTTGTCGCTCTTGTCAACTGCCAGGTTCTGCGTGATGTTGGCGACGACGTTGCGGTGGCTGAGCATGACACCCTTGGGATTGCCGCTGGTACCAGAACTGAAGACAATAAACGAAAGCGCATTCTTCGTCTCTTCCTCAGTGCGCAGATAGACGCGCGGGAAGGGCTTGGTTGAGAGGATGTTGAAAATAGGGTTGGCACCATCTAGCGTAAAGATGAGGTTGTCAGGAATAGACGACGCAGCAGAATTCACTGCTTCCTTGATGGCAGGGACCTTGGCGTCAATCGAAACCACCATCTTTGCGCCAGTCAGCTTGATCTGGTGGGCAAGCTCGCGCGCAGTGTACAGTGGGTTGGCGGTGGTGACGACAGCACCGACCATCTGTGTCGCCAGGGTGATTGCTGGGTAGTAGACGTTGTTTGGGAGGACGACCAGCAGTGTATCGCCCTTATTCAGACCGGTGTTGTTGAAAAGGCCCGAGGCGAGAGCATTGGTGAGCTTCTCCAGATCAGCAAACGACAGGGTCTTGGACTCGCTGACAAGGAAGGGCAGCTCGGGCTTCTGCCCAAATAGCGTCGAATTCTTTACTGTGTTGAAAAAGAATGTCGGCAGATCAACCGATGGGATGGCGATGCTGGGGGCGAGAGAGGCAATGGGCATGATGGAGAGATTGAGCAGACGTACAGATAAAGAGCGGAAGCAGTCACAGTTACCAGGGAGACCAGCAGTCTTTGCTGTGCCTTTTATACGGTTGTGCAGCAGCATATCCTACGGGTGGCCGGAGGTGTTTTTGCAGCCGAAATCCACCGGTACAGTCCTGACTGGCTCCAAACACGAATTTCTGTCGTTTGGAAGGTTTCCGCTTGAGCGTGGTAATCGAAAATTGTACGGACGGAATGGTCAGGCATTTAGGGATCGCCCGGCTTTTCGCAAATGGGAAGAACGGAGCGGAGCAGTGGTTTCAAAAGCCGATCCGCACGAGCCGGGTGGACTACATATTAGGCAGAGTTTAGGGAACACTTGTTCCGGCCAGAAGGGCGCATGGTGAGAGTATTTGGCGACAAGATAGACATTTGAGCAAGCTGTACTCAAATGGGACTTCACATGGACATGGGGGCTTATGCAACGGATACACAGTATATAAACTGCGGGTTCTAAGTACCAGCACATATGTTATCATATACACAGCTGCCGAGAGGGTAAGGGGTCAAATATCAGCGGTAGCATGCACAAAGTAGAGCAGTGTTGATTGCATGCAGGCTAGCCTCAGTAAACAAAGGTGACGATGGAGAGTGTGAATGCGTAACATAGCATAGGAGTGGATTTCCATGACCCTCAGACGTGTTAGCCGTTAAGGCTTAGGCCGCTTAGCTCAGAGGCTAGAGCGCTCGTTTCCGATGCGAGAAGTCCACGGTTCGATCCCGTGATCGGTCGCTTTTTGCACTTTTGCAGTCGATGCGTATCGACATGTGGATATGCTTTTACTCTTTGAATCTCATAGATGGTACGAATGCTACATTTAAAGGTGTCCACGACGAGGCCACAACTTGTTTTATATCAAACTGGGGGGTGGCCGCGCTTCCCGTGATGTGTTTTTCCGCAGCCGCTCCGTGTGCTTCCGGCCACCGCCAGCAAGATCGCCTTTATCTTTTCCACCGACATACCGTGTTGCAGACTGTGCGCCTAGATCTGTGGCAGTGCCAGTCTGGTGTTCCGGCGTGACCTGGGCCGAGGGGGTGAGCATGGACAGGGGGGCTTCAAGGCGCGGGCGCTTCTCAGGAGTGGTCTGGCACTCAGAATCGCGGACCATGTCGTCGAAATCAATATTTTTGCGCTTGGCGGCAGCCAGGATCTTGGGCGACAGCAGGGATGGTGGGGGTGGCATGGAACGAAGATTCGTCGGGGTGGCAGGGCGCGAATTGTGGCGCTTGCGGTGCGGGCGTCCGCCGCCCTCAACATCGCCCTGCCGCCAGTTGTCGACGTATCTTGGCTTCTCGGCAGCCTTTCCGGTTTGTGACTTGGGAGTGGTCATAGCGCTGCGTGTGACAGTGGTCTTTCGCGGTGGTGTTTGCGGTGGTTGCTGGATCGAAGCAAAGTCCAGGGCGGGTGGCGGTTGGTCATGGAGGGCGCGACTGGTGCGGCTCAGGCGCCGGTCGTGTTTGGCCGAAAGCAGGGCGCTAGGAGATTCCGCAATCACAGTATTCTCGATGTCAATGGTGTCGGCGCTAATCATGGATGAGCTAGCGTGCTGCGGCGTCTGGGCGAGCTGTGACGACGTCGGATCAATAGCATGGCTAGGTGCTTCCTCCTCTGATTCCAACGACGATCTCCGAGCTGCAAGCCGCGTTGGCCGCCGTGCGCTGCGCATCAGCACATCCTCTGAGGGACTGGCAGGCATAGAGTCACCATCGATGTGCATGGCTGTTGGTGTGTCCGGGACGTAGATCCGCTGAGGCTGAAGGCTGCGGGTGATTGCAGCAAGGTCATCCATGGTCTGCGGTGCGGGTTCTGGCGAGAACGGGTTGGGTGACGTCTCAGGGTCGAAAATAAGTTGTGGATGGGCGGGCAAATCCAGAGAGTCATCCGGTGAGCTGAAGAAGCCGGGCGGGAACGACCCTGACTGGCGGATCGACGAATACACATCTAGTGTCGGCGGCTCCAGGCGGTCCAACACAGCACCCAAATACACAACCAGCCGGTTTGCAAACGCATGTGGTGACTTGAGCTCAGCCAGTTCCGTGATAGCTGCATCGGCTGTGCGCTTGCTCCTCATCTTCCTGGCCAGTTCTTTGATCCCAATCAATTCTTGGTCCAAGTCTGCCGCCAACTGTGAAGTTGCTGCGCCCCACAGCTCCGGGTATAGTGTGGTGCGTCCCTGATCTGCATCTGGGCCGACGTAATCCAGCGCTGCAACTACCTGGTCATTCGAATACTCGCCAAACACGCTGCTTGCCAGGGCCAGCTGCGCCAGCAGCATAGAAAGAATCGAGAACCACTCGGCGCCCACCGACACCTGCGTCAGCGTCTCGCTGTGGGCACCATGGAACACCACCAGCTGCTGCGACAGATCCAGGAATATCTGCAAGATTGTTTGCGGCGGGCGGTTCGGGCGCATCAGCGACCACATCGGGTGGGCCGTCATATCGTCCTCTCGCGGATCGTAGGCGGTGAGTGGCCACTGGCGCACACTTCCGAACTGCTCGCCGTGGCGCCGATCGGAGATAGGAAGAATGTCGCTGAAGCATGATCCGATAAGCTCGTAAACGCGTGTGCGCACCCGGAACCCCTCGGTGGAGCCAGTGACGCAGCCTCGCTGCCGCAGCTTCTCCACGACCCCAAACGTACTTTGCAGCTGCGGAGTCAGAGCCTTCAGCTCATCAAAGTACCGTGCAGCATCGCTGTAGAGCGTCTCAGTATCGTCCCTGTGCCGCCGCTCCTGGATGCGACCAAGGCGCATGCGTAGTGTTAGGAGCCGCAGCGCGTAGCGCGTCGCCTGGTCCAAAAACGACTCTAAAAGCATGGACTGCGCCAGGGCTGCTGTTGGTGACTCATCCGCCATGAGTTGAATTCAAAAGTAGGCTGTTAAAAAAGTGCAGGGAAATAGAAAGGGCTGAATTGGGCAGGCTAAGAAAAAGTGTCTCTACAGTGTAAAAAAGTATAGGAAAGAGGAGGCGAAAGACAAAACGCGTTTCATGGGCACACAAGAATTACAAAACCGATGACGCCGCAAGTCGAGACAAAAAAGCCATCTTTCCTGATCCGCTCGCGTGTCTGGCTATATGCACTCGCGTCAAGTTTGGCGATGCCAGTAAATAATAGTACATTAGTCGTCCTTGTCCTGGTCCTTCATGGCCAGCTCGCGCTCTAGATCCAGGAATGCGCGCATGGTTGGGTCAATTGAGTCGCGCAGGTTCTCAGGCTTTAGCTCCTCGGGCACAGGTTTCCCTTGCTTTTCGAATTCCTCGCTGATCGCCTTTGCTTGCTGCTGGTACTCACGCATGTCGTCGTCGTATAGATCCCACACGCAGAATTCACACCCTGTCAGGCAGCATGAGTCGTCCTCGGGCGGCTCGGGTTTGGGCGGCAGCGTGCGCATTAACGCCTTCAGGTCCTTTGAGGGCGCGGGGGTTGTGGAGAACAATAGACGGTGTGGGAGGCCGAGCGCTGGTCGCCGGACTAATTTGAACAGTGAATTCATACAGAGTGTATTGAGTAGCAGAGGAGATAACAAAAGATTAGTTGCTGGCAAAGTCCACAGGCTATAGCCTGCGACTGTCCTGGAGACCAACAGTAAAGAGGCCTGCAGACCGCAGAGGGCGGAAAAGCGGAATCTTGTGTTCCTGTCACACGGGGGGAGCTGGTGCTGCAACTCGTGGCTCGGCTCGATGCTGGAAGCGACGTTCTAGTGCCGCTCAGCACTATATTTAGATTCGCACAAAGATGCCAGGCTGCTGTGCTGCGCGCCAAGAGCAGCTTCATCTTAAAATAGTGCAGAAAGGAAGGGTCTCGGGCTGCACATCTCCAGTTGCTAATAGCCAGGTTCTTTGGCAGGCCAACCCATCTTCCGCCACCATTCATTTCCTCTCTCTCCACACATACCAGCTTTTCACCTGTATTTATACACTTTTAGACACACTCATGGCACCTGTATATCCATCCGATACATTGCACTTTGCCAAGCGCGCCCTCACAAAAGACCAGATTGTCGAAGGCCTGACGCCGACACATGACCAAAAGATAACCTTGGTGGTTATCGGCGCCTACGCGCTGGCCATCCTCATCCTCTGGAACATGCCGTATGTAAACTACATCCTGTATCCGTTCAAGCTGGTAACAGTAGCCCTACACGAGTTCAGTCACGCCGCCGCGGGGCTGTGCACAGGCGCCAAAATCAAATCCATCACAATCGATCCCGACGAGGGCGGCCTGACGCGCATGGTCGGCGGCAAGTGGTTCTGCACGATGCCTGCGGGATATCTGGGCAGCTCGTTCCTGGGCGCGCTGATGGTGTTTGCCGGGTTCAATGTCCTGGCGTCGAAAGTCGTCTCGGTGTTTATTGGCGTCTGCCTACTGGCTACGCTGTTCTGGGCACGCAACTGGCTGACGCGCGGCATCACACTGCTGTTTGTTGGGCTGATTGTCGGCCTGTGGTTCACGCCCAGAGGTATTGGGCTGAAATACGTGGTGCTGTTCATGGGCGTCATGAGCTCTCTGTACAGCGTCTGGGACATCATGGATGACACTATTCGGAGAAAGGTCAACGAGAGCGACGCGTCGCGGTTCGCAAAGGAGACGCACTGCAGCTCGCGGTGCTGTGGACTCATATGGCTTATCATTGCCCTGGTGTTCCTTGTTGCTGCCATCCTGCTCGGCATTGCCTTCTTGAAAAATGACCCGGCGGTGGCGTCCAAGTAAACTCCTTTGCAGCTGTGCTGAGTTTTGGCAGCCAGCCCTTGTGGAAAAATTAAATCAAAAATCACTGTTTTTTCTTTCGTCAACAGCCAAAGGGCTGTCAGGGAACGCAAAGGTCAAGCACCATTCTCCTTCCGCAAAAACTCAGCAAATATTCGTTTTATTTTTGTTTCTATAGCGCACAGTCATATTCTTTTGTAACATGGAGACTGCAGAGTCCCTTTGCGAGCAGCCTCTCGAGCTGAATATAATTAAGCAGATTCAACAAGGCGAATGGAGCGGCCTCAACGACAAACTGTAAGCAAGCCACGAACACCGTCATTCCGTTCTCCTCCTTGGCAACTGACCAGTTCAAGACAGCAACGCGTTATTATGAAAGCATTTCCGAACTAAAACTCCCCCTCCCCACGAGACATCGTTCTATTTTTCTCTCCACTTAGCACCAACGCGCTTTTGTCTGGTGCGCCCGAGGGTGCTGAGGCCGTGCTCTGCACACAGCTGCTGATTGCAGCGTGCACAAAGACCGACAGCCATGGATTCCCGGACGCCAGCACATTCGCGCAAGGCATCTCACAGTGGGTCTCACACCACACAGACACACTCCGCAACACAACCAACGACGACGACGCAGAGCACGCACGGCGGCGCCTCAGCGAGGCCCTGGCAGACACGGTGTGGGCGCTAGGCGTCGAGTGGGCGCCGGACACTCATGAGACGAATACGGAAATAGAGGCTTGGTGGAGGACGCAGCAGATGCGCGTACTGGAGCAAAGCAATCAGCTCACGATGGTGGCGAAGGCGCTGCTAGCAAAGAAACTGGTCACAAATACGTCAGCGCTGCAGCGGTGGGAGGGCAAGATGCTGGAGGCCACAGGCGTGGTGAAGAGCGCCGACATATATAACCGCAAGTACGTGCGGCTGTACACGACGCTGAATTTCAAGCAGACAAAGTACAATCTGGTGCGCGAGCAGTCCGAGGGGTTCTCGAAGCTGCTGACGATGATCATGTGGGCCACGATGAAGGTTCCGCAGAGCGAAATTACGCCTGAAATCCTGGAACGCCTCGACTCTGGTTCGGACCGGCTTGGACCGCGTTCCATGGCGGCGATTCGCGAGATTCCTGTCCTGCAGGAGTGCGTGGGAGACCTGTTGCGTAGCATTAAGGGGGTGATTGGTCAGTTCAGCCTTGACCCGAACCGTGTAGTCGATATTCTGCTCGACTGCTTCATCACCGACGTGCGTGTCAGCTGGGCGTTCTTCCTGGCGCTGATTGACGCATCGCCGTGGGCTCGATCCGACCGGCTGGCGCAGCTTGTCGGCTGGCGCTTTCAGATTGCAGCTAAATCAGCCAAAAACACAAAGCCAGCCGAAGAGCTCGTCACAGTGGCAGCGCTGCTCATCTCCCACGACCTCATCTCCCTGTCGGCACTGTACCCGTATCTGATGCCCAGCAAAGATGTACCGTTTTTGGCAGAGTTGAATGCGTGGCGTGACTCGCTCAGAGACTTGCAAGGCAGCCCGCTCAATGCGCTGGCATCAATGGGAGCGCTCGAGGGCGACGGCAGCGGCGGCAGCGGCGATGGCGGTGAAGACGAAGAGGAAGTCAAAGAGCCTGACGTCAACCAGCACGCGCTGTTGTGCGCGAAGCTGCTGGCGGTGGGCGATGCAGACAGCGCGCTGCGGTATCTGAAGAAGGAGCCAGACATGGCCCGCGTGAACCCAGAGATTGCTGACATTGTGGTGCGCATGATCGACGAGGCCACGCGCTCGGTTTACGAAGCCACCGACTGCGTGCGGCTGCCAAGTCGGCCGCGGATCCGCGTGAAGATCTCGGTTCCAAGCAAGCCGCAGGCGGAGTGCAACACGTGGGGGCTGCCAGCACACGCCAAGCCCGAGGACGATGGGCATGGGCGGACGATCATTGTGCTGACGCCGCTGGTTACCCGATCGGTTGAGGGCTTCTTTTACGACAAGTTCTGGCTCCGCGGGCGCCTACCCACGGCTACAGCGCTGAGGGATATGCCGATGGTTCTGGCGCCGTGGTTGCGTGTGGCGTTTGTGCGACTCGCGGAGTCTCCGCAGCTTCTGACTCGGTTCATCCGGCTCTGCCGGTTCGGCATGCGGACCGATTTCGAGAGGTGGTATGGGTTCCTGTGCTCATGGGTGGTCCCAGCCTACTCGCTGGCCAAGTCGATGCCCGGGCTGTCGAACGAGCTGTGGTCGCTTGTCGGTGCCCTGCCGCTGAGCAGGCGCTACGAGTTCTACAACATGTGGGAGGCGCTACTGGCTACTTGGGAGTCGAGGCTTCCCGAGATTGTGTCTGATGGTGAGCGCCCGGGCTCTAAGGCCAGTCAGCCGATTGACCTGATGTCAATGTCGCTGGAGGAAACATTCGATGATGATGACGAAGAAGTCATGGTCAGTAATGAAAAGGCGGTGCAGCTGTCGATGGTCGAAATCGAGGTGCTGATGAAGAAGGCGCGACGCGACGTCAACTCTGTGATGCGGCGGCTATCGGGCGAGAACGCGCGGGCCATGGGGCGACGCCTGTGCCACCTGTGCCATGCCACGCCAACATTCTCTCTTGCGGTGATTCTGGGCCAGGTAACATCGTACGACAACCTTGTTGAGCCCGTGGTCGAGGCATTCCGGTACCTGTCGCCGATGGACGCTGACATCTTATTCTACTTGATCATCCAAATGATCAACGACCCGGAGCGCGACAACCTGAAGCGCAAGAAGCTGAAGTCAGACAACGTCAACCCGGCACACTGGCTGCAGAGCTTGGCGGCGTTTGTTGCAGCATACAGCCATCGGTACGAGTACGCGGGACTGGGCTTGGTCCTTGAATATCTGCTGAAGCGCATGCTGCGGGTTACACGCAACATTGACAATGAGCCAGTATACGAGCTGGTAATTGTCTCCGAGTGCATTCGGCGGTTGGCAGGCATTGAGCCGCTGTCGTCGCCCACAGACGACCAGACCCTGGCGCTGCAGGGCGGGCCACATTTGCGGCTCGAGGCGTACGGCATGAACAGCTCATGGCTGGTATCTTCAGAGGCGTCCGTGGAAGCATTGCTGGCAATCAACACGACTAACAAGCTGACGCATCGGCTGGCTGTCTGGCTGACGGACTTGCTGGTGGAGCGCAACCTGGTGCTGGGGTATATTGTCGGCATGTGCACGCACGCTGAAGCGATTGCGCGCACAATGACGCTATCAGTGAGCAACGCGTCGATATTCTATGACCGTGAGGTGGAGCACATCAACCAGCTGTTTAATTTGCTGGTGTCATATCTGCCGCCAGAGCGCTACGCATCCCTGGTGCCACCTCCTGAGGTGCTGGCGCAGAAATACGGGCTGACATGGCAGTGGGCGGTTTTGTTTGGGCGGCCAGTGTTGTCACAGCAGCTGGCCAAGGGGCTGAAGCAGTGGGAGGCGGATGGAGCCAGTGTAGAAGTGGAGATTGTCGAATCTGATACTCCAGCCCAGGAAGAGGAGGAAGAGAAGGAAGATCGGGAGGAGGCCAGCGGCACTGAGACCGACAGCGACGACCGACAGCCGCGGGTGGTGCGGGACCTCACATACAAGGCGCCACTAGTTTCGCGCGAATTCGTAGACTACATCAGCAAGATAGTTCCAGCAGCGTCGCTTGAGCGTGGCATCACAGCGGACTTTGTTGCGGTGTTTTGGGTCCTGACGCTGTACGACACGGAGGTGCCTGCGCTGCGGTACAAGAAGGAGATCGAGATTTTGCGCTCGCTGACCAAGCGGATTGACGCGGTGGAGCGGTCGGCGTCGCGGTCGCAGCGCCATAACTTGGAGAATCTGCGGAAACGGGCGAAGCTGCTGGCAGAGGAGTTAGAGCGCGAGCACCAAGAGCAGCAGCAGCACGTGGGACGGATCCGCAAATGGCTGACAGTGCAAAAGGACTACTGGTTCTGCATGGCCCTGGTGCAGCGCAAGTTCACGGTCGAGGCTATATTGGACCACTGCGTGCTGCCGCGCAGCATGCAATCGGCGGCGGATGCCAGCTTCTGCGCCAAGTTCCTGTGGATGATGCATTTCCCGCTGGCGACCAACAAGTTCAGCATTGTGTCGGTGTACGATCACGTATTCTGCAAGAAGGCTGCTGATATCCTGAGGTCAATGACCGAGAACGAGACACGCTACTACGCGCGCTTTATGGATATTTCGCTGATGTACCTGACCAATATGCGGGCGAACGAGAGGCTCTACAATGACCGGGCGCTGAACGCATGGCGCGGGTTGATTGGATTCTGCCGCACGTGGACGTACCAGCGTGGGTTCCTGCCGCCGCCGTCGCGGACGATCGGACGAGCGCGGGGCCCGGCGACGCCCGGCGACTACTCGCGCATCAAAAAGAACGTGGTGCAGATGACATTTGATGATTTCCGCTCGGTGATGTTCAAGTTCCAGGCGGAGCTGTACAATGGCATTGAGCTGGCTCTGGACAAGGGCAACAAAAACACCGTGCGCAATGCGATCCTGGCGCTCAAGGAGATGCACAAGTCGTTCCCGGCCACCCAGCGGCTGGGCGAAAAGATCCAGGCTAAAATCGACGTAATCACCACTAGCGACGAGACGAACCTCAAGGTCTTGGCCATCTCGTACAATGCCGTGCTGAGCGCGGCCAGAAGGTCCATGCTGCCCGAGTCCGAGTACTGCCCGAACCCCAGAAGTGCTGTCCGGCCGTCAACCGCCAGCTCGGCAGTCTCGTCGCCCAAGGAGCCCGCCAAGGACATTGCCAAGTCACGCAATGAACCGCCCAAGACCAAGCCGCCAAAAGCCGAGCCAACCCGCAGTACTCAAGACGGCTCGCCGCGTCGCCCTGCACCCAAGCAACCAGCAGCTCGCGATACGCACCGTGCAGTGACTGCCGCCGCAGCAGCAGCCGCCGCCTCCACCAGCCAGGCAGCCGGGCGCCGCACCGACCGAAAGCCAGCTGAGGCCAAAAACGAATCCATGGCCCGTCGCCAAAATGAGCCCAACCCGGAACCGCCTGCGAAACGCGCACGCGACCCGCCCGCCGACAATGTGCCGGATGTGAAGCGCTCGCGTGCGGATCGCCCCGCAGAGCCCCAGCAGGACGCGAAACGCGCACCACCCGAGCATGGCGTCAAGCGCAGGCGGGACACACCAGATCGGGCCCAGGAGGCCGTGCCAGCCAAGCGCATGCGCGACACGCCTGAGCACGGCGTCAAACGCAGGCACGACACGCCCGATCGGGCCCAGGAGGCGGTGCCGGCCAAGCGCATGCGCGAGTCGCCAAAAACTGAGCGCAAGGACGAGCCATCTGGTGAGTCACCGGCAGCCGAATCGGTTGGGCAGAGGACAGAGCAGCGGAAGCAGGAGCTGCGCGCGCTGGTGCGCCAGCAACAAAACCAGCGTCAGCACGAGAAGGAGCGCGCGCCGAGGCAGGGTCGTGGCAGCCGCAATAGCTCCAGGGGGCGTGAGCCCGAGAAGCCACGGGAGTATGAGTCGCCCAGGCACCAGAATAATCGCCGCAAGGATGACCGCGGTGTGGCCAGCAGACTCGGCCCTGAGCAGAAGAAGCAAGAGCCGAAACCAGAGCCCAGGCAGCAGCAGCGCCAACAGCAGCGCCAGGACCAGCGCCAACAGCAACAGCAGCAGCAACAGCAGCAGGTACCGGATCGCCACCACCGCCGCAACCGCGGCAATGACAGCCGTGGAAATGACAGCAGAGGCAGCGATGGCAGAGCCGATAACCGTGGCAGCCGCCGCGCATCGCCTGACTATAACGGTCGCCAGCAGCCGCAGTCGCAGCCGCAGCAGGCGCGACGCGACAACCAGCAAAATGACGGTCGCAGCGACAACCAGCGCGGCCCACCTCCCCGGCGCGGCGGACGCGGGGCTGATCAGCGGCACCGCAACGACAGGCGGCACCGCAAGTAGAAACCACGTGCATTTTTCCCAGCAACCAATATCTCTATTATAAACCTCATCCACTGAAACACTCGGCCTGCAGTATGCTACTTGAACGAGATGCTTGCGCTGCGGTTCAGATCAATGCTGAGACCCTCCACTGTGGTGCTGTCGTTCTCTGACAAAATTTTGGCTGCGCTCTGCGATGCACCGCTAACCCTGACTGTCTTGACATTATCGACACCAAGCAATACGACTTTGGTGAGCTTGGGGGCCACTCTGTAGTTGCCACTGTCCTGTGAGACCGACAGCCTACCGTTCTTGTACTCCAGCGAGATCCAGCGATGCGGAGTATCGAAGGTCTCGCCATCATCCAGGTACAGCTTTCCCTCAGCACGACCACGCTCATCTACGGCAACGACAAGATAATAGTCGTTCTTGCGCGAGTCGGTGGTCGTCATGGCGGGAACCTGGGCCGGCAGAATCGCACCACCACGGACATGCACGTTGACGTGCTCCAGCGGGGCATCTAATGTGATTTCCTTGTTCTCGCCCTTGACTGCCTTGTATGTGTACCAGTCGTACCAGACGCCCTTGGGGAAGAACGCATCGACAGTGACTGCACCTTGAGTCAGCACCGGTGAGATCAGGAGCCCATCGCCGATCAGGAACTGCTTGTCAATTGCAGAGGTGGCTGCGATCTCGGGGTACTGGAACACGAGCGGGCGGGCAACTGGCCAGCCATTCTCGACAGCATGCTGGTAGTTGGTGTAGAAGTATGGCAGCAGAGCATAGCGAACAGCAAGGGCACAGCGGCTGGCCTCGGCCACAGACTCCCACCGGTAGAGCTCCTGCGGGATGGCGCCAATGACATTGTGGTCGCGCGAGAACGGATAGAAGGCACCGACCTCAATCCAGCGTGCGCACAGCTCCTCGGTTGTATTGCCGTTGAAACCGCAGATATCAGCACCCACCATCGGGATGCCAAAAATACCAAAATCCAGCATCGATGCAATTGACACATGCAGGTCCTTGAACGACGACTCGTTGTCGCCGGTCCAGTGGCTGACCAGGGCGCCGGAGCCGGCAAACGTGGAGCGCGAGAGCAGGAACGGCCGCGTGTTTGGCCTGTAGGTTGTCAGGAACTTGTGCGTGGCAATAGACATCATCAGTCCATAGATGTTGTGCACATGGTAATCCAGGACGCCATTGGCATGCAGGGCTGTGGTCTCGATGGTCTTGTTGGAGAGCTCCACCCATGGATTGTGGATAGCATACGGTGGTACCAGCATCGGGTTGCTTATGTTGAGCGGCCGGTAGACCGGTGGCGGGTCGGCATTCCAGGGCAATGGCGGCACAACATCTTCAGGGATTCCTGAGCCACAGCTGCCAGTGCAGAAGCTGGCAGCCTCGTTCATGTCAATCCACATGCCATCAATTGGCAGCGCTTCAAAGTAGCGCTTCAGCTCGCCACTCCACCACTTGTCGGCGTTGGGCGCGAACCAGTCCGGGAATGCCGTGTACCCGGGCCATACCTGGCCTACAAACACGCTACCGTCAGAATTCTTGACAAACACGTCCTGCTCATGGCCGCGCGCATACGGGCCGTAAGAAGAGTTGCGCTGGATGGCTGGGTCGGTCATAAGCACCATCTTCTGATTGTGCGCGTGCAGGTACTTGAGCTGCTTCTGCATCTCACTGAGCGGGAAGTTGACTGGGTCAAAGGTGAAGTCGCGCGTGCGGTCCATGTAGTCGATGTCGGTCCAGGCCACCTCCAGTGGGATCTCGGCCTTGGAGTAGTTGGCAATCACGTCGTTGACCTCATAGACGCTCTTGTAGCCATACCGGCAGTTCTGGAACCCCAGTGCCCAGTACGGTATGCGGTTCGGACGGCCAACCAGCTCCGTGTACTGGTCGATGACATCGAGCGCCGTCGGTCCGTTGAAGAAGTAAAAGTCGGCGGTGCCGCCCAGCACGCGGTACTGGATTGTGTTGTTGGCGAGCACAATGTCCATGCCGTGCGAGTTGTGCAGGTAGGCGCCGTGGAATTTGCCATTGCGCAGCTCCATGTGGATCGAATGCGAGCCGTAGACATTCTCCTGGAACGGATCTGCTGCATCGCGGTTCCACAGTGTCTTGATTGTGTTGGCGGTATCACGCCGGAACCAGTCGGGTGTCTCACCAATGCCGTAGATGTTGGCATTGCTGGGCAGGTTCGATGTCACTTCAATGTACTGGTCCTCGAAGATCAGCGGGTGACCGGTGGTGTCGAAAACTGTGTCCTTGCCGCGCGACACCTTGAAGCCGAAGCCATGCTTGGCGTCCTGGAAGTAGTTGAACTTGAGGCTCGCCTTGCTCTTGTTTGTCTGTTTGCTCGCATCCAGCTTCAGCACCGATGCTGGGATCTGGTACTGTTTGCCGGCTGAATCTTGCACATGCACATGCAGTCGGTCCTGGCTGTCAAAATCGACATTGAGCTTCAGATCGCTAACGTCATTGCCATAGGCATTGCAAGGTTTGCCGGCAAGCTTGAGCGTGGCTGAGAACCCGCTAGCCGTATCTTGCTTGGAGACGATCTTGTAGCCGGGGCAAGAGGCAATATTGCCGCGCTTGCCCAAGTCACTGTGTGCTCGGACAGCGATGGCTTGGACGAGCAGTGCCAGAATGCTGTACTTGAATAGCATTGACGAAGTGAAGGATGCTACCAGCGAGGAATTAGGCAGGGCTGAAGGTGCTTATGGATTATTAGGTAAGAAGAGAGAACGAATCTGCTTTAGCTTGTTGCTGAGGTGAGCCTGCAGTTTCTGGTGGGGGTGCGTGCGCTCGGCTTTATATGTGACAGAAGCCCAGCTATGTATTTGGAGAATGGGGGTGGGCAGCTGCATGTGTCAGGAAGGCGAGTTGGGGATCTCTGTGGTGAAATACAGACCGAGGCACAAAAATCGCCTGTCGCTCAGATGGCCGAGGGACTCAACTGCATAGAACGGTGCAGTTTCTCGCAGATAGAGAATTCTCACCGTCCTAGTGGCATTTGATGCTCAGAGCAGTCCTCAGAACACACATGATTTACATGCATTTCTCTCAGTATGTATCATCTGCAGGTGGACATCCCCAGAGGGAGAGTGACCTGTCTGCTGCGCTCACGATACAAACATTGGGTATGCCGAGACCTCCCTCTATTAGCAATTCGGCTGCCGCCGCTGCAATACAGGCAAGGCTAAAGCTTGGACGATTTGCATCTAGCCAATCTCCTTCATCCCCTACTCCACCAGCCCCATTATGCAAGTGGTTGCTTGGGCCTGCTGCTGCTTTTCGACAGAGAAATTCTCCTCTCGCCACACATGCGTTTCCTTAGTAGCACTGAAGCTTGGAGAGACAGGTCGATCTTGTCTTTTTTTCTTATCAAGATAATCCTGATGCCGAATGGACGATGCACTTTCCGGCCATTCTCATTATTAATAGAGGCCAGAATCTAGCTGGCCTCATACCAGTATTGATGCTGTCGCATGAAAAGTGGAGAGGATTCTTTCGAAGCCGGCAGTTAAGCTGACAACAGGTCGTGTGCTGGATTGGCAGGCGGATTCCGCTCTGACAGGTGCCTAGTGTGGCAGGTGGGGGTTCTTTTGGAGACCGCGTTCAGCGACAATGGTGATCAGGACTTTTGTCTGGCAGAGCAACATCAGCTTCAAACAGCCTAGCGTCTCGGCCCAACTAATGCTATCATTGTGTGTGGTGACATTCATGCTTGCTGCAGCGGAGGTCCGCACATCCGCATGCCAGAGCCTTTCTGCCTTGGTCTGGCTCTTGGGAGAACAATTATTCATGTACATAAGCATGTACATAGCAGTTTAACAAGATGCGATGTTGCATAGTATGAGAATATAGCCCCAACAAGTCCAAAGGGCTTATAAAGGCTACATAATTTATGTGCTCTAAGAATGTTCACATGTTAAAAATATGCTATGCTCTATACTGCATGACCACGCATCATCAGGCAATGAAAATAGATGGGTAGGGACCAGGGTTCGTTGGCTTAATACGAATGGTCTTAGGGCGGTTAGGGTTGGATCTGACCTTGCCTGAACTCTTCTTAGAGCTGACGCGTTGGTTGCCGTCATTGGTTCTCTTTACAAACATGTCGAGAATCGAGGCAATGTCACCTGGGCTTACTGCATCACCAATTCTGCCGAGCCCACGACCAATACCTCTACCAAATCCGCCACGCTGGTTGTAGGAATCTACGTAGTATTCGTTGTCATGCTCGTAATCGTAATCGTCGCTGCGCTTGCTGAGACCAGGAAGCTCGAAAGTGTCGGGGAAGAACGGCGGGCTCTGGTAAGGCAGCCTGGTGCCAATCCGGCCTCTGCCAGCACCCGACTTCCTCCCCGTGCCCCTGTAAGTAGCGCCATTCGAACCGCGCTGGTTGGTGTTTCCCTCAAGATCGACAAAGGAATCGTAGGGAACTCTACCCAAGCCCATGGCATGGTAGTAGGAAGCATCCGCAAAATCTGCGTCGCCAATGGGGATTGCTTGGTTGGCGGCAGCAGTAGCGGCGAAGAAGGCGAGTGAGGCAGCAAGAGTAACACGCATTGTATCAGAGCTGTTATTGGCGGGGATGCAGATGCAAAAGTAGGTGTGAGATGTGTTGCTTGGTGAAGCAGGTGAAGCAGGTGATGCTGTTGATGCTGTTGATGATGGTGATGGTGGTGATGATGATGTGGGATGTGGAATGCAGCAGCAGCGCCGGGCTTTTATACACCGATCAAACGGCTTCAAGGAGACCCCCTGTCATGCGCTGAACGCATCTAGGGTTTGTTCTCACTAGTATTCTAATTTTAGTGGCCCCAGTAAACCTCATCCTTCAGACGACGCGGACAAAATGCCATTAGCGTATCAAAAGGCACGCCGATCGGCGCTATGCGTGGCCGATAGGTCCCTAGAAAACTTGCTTATGCAGGCCAAGAAATACTGGGCACGGCCTCTCAGAAAGAAGCTGCAAAGAAATGGTAGGTTTCCGCAAATACTTCTGGGGACTGCAGATGCTCCCATCGTGTAGCTGTATGCCGACAACCGGAATTTCATGGTAGGTTTCTAAAAATGTGCACTGGCCAAGCAAGCCATTGCAGCACAGGTTTGCGCTTTAATACTTTCTACACGAGTTTCTGCACGCGGTGGTCTTGGCAACTACTAAAAATATTAGTAATTTGTGATGACAAAAAAAACAACAAGAATTATGTGAGCGGCTGTCACAGTTGAGCGCAGATGATATACAAATCCCGCGATTAGCGGAGGCACCACATTCTCCTTCATCGCCTGAGAGCATGGCTACTGTCGCAATCTGGTAATTGTATGTGTATATTACCGGGTCCTTGTGCCCATCGCCAAAGTTACAAAGTCAGACATTGCTTTAGTTTACAGCCCAAGGCAAACCTACGGGCACTGCTTGGCAACTTTGTATATTCAGATACACTAAATGATATTTACCATGAATTGAATGATACGGTATCAAGCCATTTATGGAGATACAGGCCTAGTCCAGCTTGAACGAGTTGCCAATGCGATCAAGAGCAAGAACAAGTTGCTCTTTGGTAATGGCGAACGTGAATCGGAACCATCCAGGCTCAGTCGAGCAGAATGATTGGCCGGTAGGGAAGTACACGCGCTCGTTTAGGACGATGTGTTCCCATGCCGTGAGATCGGTCTCCTTTGTCCACAGCTTGGCCACTTCAGTGGCCTGCAGAGCGCCAAGTGCACGATGTGCCTTTGTGCTGGCAGCAATAGGCAGCTTGAACCAGATATAGTGACCTGCCGAGCATGGCACATACTCCACACTGTGCTTATCAAAGAACTCTGTAGTCAGTGCGTAATTCTCGGCCAGGTTCTTGCGGCTAGTGGAGAGCAGATTGTCGACGAACGCGTGGTTAGCAAGGAAATCGGCAATGATGTGGTCAAAATCTAGCTTGCCTCATACCAGTATTGATGCTGTCGCGCAGGAGGCGGAGGGGATTCTTTCGAAGCCAGCAGCTGACAGCAGATCGCGTGTTGGATTGACAAGTGGAGAATCCACTCTGCCAGATATCGAGCTCAGATCAGTGAGCACAGGGAAACCAGCTCGCTGCCCCAGATGGCTCGGCTCGGCTCATTCCTGTGGACGATGGCATGCATCTTTTTTGCTCAAGTGACCCCCCTCGCTTGCTTTGGATACAAATAGAGAGGGCGGTTAATCCACAGAAGCAGCACACGTTTTTGCCTTGTTTCGCAGTCACCGCCTATAACCCGCCAACCTCGACAATATCCCGCCATATTACCAGCTCCAGCGTATAGTGTCTGAGGGTGCTGCGCATGTGCACCGATTTTGCACTGACAGTGGCGGTAGCTGCACGGTGCAAGGCCTCTCTCGTCATACCATTGGCTGCCGTCGCAAACAGGTGACCATTCACACACAAATCGCAAAGCTCACATCCCCCTGTTCTGCGCACGTTTTAAAATTACACCTTAACTCCACTTACTGCCAAACTATCTCTCTTTTTCTCTACTTGAGAAGCTATTACCCGCTACTTTCTCTTGACTTTTCTTCCCAATTTGCCAACCTGCTATTATTATTTGCAAATGAAGTACCTTGACGTCGAGTCGTTCAGAAACATCAACTCGCTCTTGTCGTTCCCAACAACCAGCGGCGACCGGCATGTGGTCGGCAGAGTTGAGGCATATTCATGTAGGTGCTCCAAAAGTCTTGGGCGGGCTGGTGCTTTTGGAGGGAGGGTGTGTTAGAAAGACACTCTGCTTCCCGCCCTTGACACCTGCACGCGTCTCAGTCCCTTGTACATACTAACATCCTACTCCGCCACGTGAGCACACCACTGCAACCCGCTTCCCACACATTGTCTGTAGGCAAGGCTGCAGGAACCGACAAGAAGCTGTACAAGTACTTGGAAAACAAGTACCAGGAAGACCTTGAGGAGGCCAAGAGCCTCTCGCCAGAGCAGAGCTCGTTGACTAACATTATTTCGCCGTTCGGCCCGCTGACACAATCGGCATCGAGGAAGACGCTGTTCTATCTCATTGGCACGCTGAACGCCAGCTTCCCTGATTACGACTTTAGGTACCGTAGCAGTGTGTTTCCTTTATGTCTGCCGCTTTGCCTGCGCAGTCTAGACCCTGTGCGGCTTTTGTTGGGGAGAGGCGTGGTTCCGGATCGAGGATGAGCGGTCCAGCCCTGATCGTCCATTGGCCTTTTTGGGGGAGGGGAATGGACATTCTCCCAGAGCTGGTACCGTGAGCTAACAGTGCTAACCGGTACTCTCCTCCTCATTCAGCTACACTCCTGCGTTCGCCAAGATGCTTGCTAACTCCACCCATACCACCATGCGTTTTCAAACTGTAGCTCGCTGAGCGCGGACCAGTTCGTCAAGGAGCCATCGACTGGCGACACGATCAAGTCAATCAACACGACCTTGATCAACGTCGGCTGCCCCGCTGGCCTGCGCACCAGCCGCATGTGGGATGTCATCGACAACACTATCAACATCGACGAGTGCGACATTTACACGTACACACCCGATGCCGAGTCGGACCCGTACGAGGAGGACGGGCCGGTGTGGTCGTTCAATTACTTCTTCTTCAACAAGCGCATGAAGCGGATCGTGTTCTTTACGTGTCGCTGTGTGAGCAATCTGGACGAGCTCGAGACCTCGAGTGACAATGGCTTTGTGTTTGGCGACGTCGAGGACGACGAACCGGTCGAGCTCGAGTTCTACCCTACCAGCCAGCATGCCCTGAAAGGCATGATGATTGGCGGTGGGCTCAAGCTCTAGCGGAAGGAGGCTCTCCGTTGTACGTGCTTTTGCGCTGCTCATGTTTGCTCTCTCGCAGGTCCCAGCTCATTCTCCGCCTTTTTGCGACATAGTGTTGCGTCTATTTCTAGAGCACACATGTCCGCCAACGCCTTCCATCCATATTACGTGGACTTCTTTGTGAGCGCTTGGGATCTCACGCCTGCCTTTATGGTGGGCTTGGCCAGTTCAATCCTGGCAGAAGTTCTTTTCTCTTTTGTTTTATATTGCTTGGGCCATTCAGCCGGGTGCAATAAATCGACGATGTTTCCGAGCTCGAATGGATGAACCACAAGTGCGCTTTGCGGATTGATGAGGATGGACTGCAGCATTTATGTGATTCGCGATTTTTTTATAGAACTCTGACAATTTGCGCTTTCATTTACCTTCCCTGCTATCGCCAATGAGTACGCTCCAGTCTACACAAACAGCTGCAGCACCGGTGACAACTGCAGCCTCAGACACCCCCATTATCGCTGCAGCAACCACGCCAGCAGTCGCTGCACCAGCAACTGCTGCTGCTGTCTCCACGAATGCAGACATTGCAAGCAAAACAGAAACCGCTAATGGCGAAACCAAGCCTGAGCCAGCAGAAGAAAAGTCAGCTCTGAACGAGAGGCCGCGGATATGGCGTTCAGGTAAGTTGCTTCACCGCTACCACAGCCAAAATTGCAGGTTGACCTTCGCCGGCATTCAACATAGTACTAATTCACCCTGCTGGACATCACTAGACGCTCCCCACCCACCACTGCCAAAAGACACAGAGAAAATCATTGAGGAGGCGACCCGGCCGCTCGACACAGTTGCGGATGCCCTGCAGCGGCCGTACGTGCAAAAGACGCTGAGCAGCAACCTGATGGAGATTATGGCGTGGGACCTGATGGAGACGATGACGACGGAGAACGAGTACAACCAGCATATTCGGCGCTTCTTGAATATCTTGCTGGGCGACGACCCGGAGACCGCGCACCTGGAGCTGATCGATAACTACAATATGGAAGATGTGCGCGCGCGTGACCAGCTTTTGCAGCTGGTGTATGAGTCGCTGGCGCGCAGCGACGAGTTTCTGCATAGGGTCGACGAGTCACGCAGCAAGATCACGTTTGCTATCGAGCAGCGGAACCAGCTCAAGACGCGGATGGAGAAGACTGCCGGTGTAAGGCCAAAACAGAAGGAATAAGCGGTAGGCACCTTTTGCGGGATTGGTATTAAATGCTACTACTTTTTGGTTTCTGGAGGAGCTGTATTTAATTGCCAGGTCCAGCTAGGGCTCGTCAACATGCTAGTTGTGCACAAAATTCTTTGGGTGGGGCTCACACTCACAGACGTACTACCCCATCACATACATGCCTATATCAATGAAGAACGCATCGGCCATAGCGAGACAGCAGAGCTGCTGAAGGGGCTGGAGGATGCCCGGGCCCAATACAAGGCATCGTGGCAGCGGGCACGCGAGCTTGCTGTTGCCCTTGATCCCGATACTCCTGGTCCCCAGCTCGACAGCAGCGATTCAGCCGATCAGCGGAGCAAACTGCAAGAGGAGCGCGACCGCCTATACGCCGAGGCCGTGGACAAGTCGAACCAGATACATAATCTCCTGGAGTGCGCCCGTCAGCTCCAGCTTACCTCGGCGCAGCTCCTGCAGGTTTCAAAGTGAGCAGCAGTGGCTGCTCCCAACATGGAATACGCAGTTACCAGAGTCTGGCCTGCCAATCGCGAACTCGCGGTGCTGCATACATGAATTTTCTCGCTTTGGCAATATAAAATGCACACTGGTGGCCACTATGGCGGCTACGGGCAGGTGTAGGGCTGGGGGTGTCTTGTGCAGACAATGTGCGGCTCTTCGATTTATCCTTTTGGAGCGGGCAGTGGCGGCGTGCTGCTGCCGTTTTGCTGGGGGAGTTTACTTTACCCAAACATGTAGCAAGCAATTGTATAAAGAATTCTCTGTCTCCAGAACGGGGGTGTCCTTGGGTGAATGCTGCTGAGCCTAAGGATTTGAAACACAGATAATGGAGGACTAATATGAACCTCCTGGATTCAGTAAATAAATCTGAAGACCTCACCACTGTGAGCGGCATGTTTGGGGGTTCTGCCGGGCTCTCACAGTCAGGAACCGCAGTCGGTCGCCGCCGATCTGTTGCGTATAAAAGCCGACCGAATTGGTGCCCAGGCAACTCCTCTCCTGCATCTCACCACCCCACACCCTCTGCACTCGTCCCTCAACTCAAAATCCACTGAAAACGATGAATTCGCTGCCGTCCTTTGTCCTCCACACCTGCGACCGCGAGTGCTCGTGCAGCCTGTGCAGCATCGGCGAAAAGTGCTGAGATGTCAAGGGAACCCTGGCTTCCGTCATCCTCTAACCATCCAGAACCAAGCCTGCTGTACGCCGATTGGCGCCTTTGGCTACCAAAACCCATCTGTTTATAGCCATCTCTTTGCACAATACATTTCTTAACAATCGATAATCGGCTGGAAATGGCCATGGTATTTGGACTGCAGGCAACGAAGAGCGCGCAGCTATGGCGAGTGAAGCACAGGTGCTGCTGACCTCAGCCTATGAGCATCTCAAATATCCGCCGTGGAATTGCCAATCTGGGAGCGTGGTACGCACCTATTGTGAGGTGGAGCAGAGCCAAGGGGCGAGGCTGTTCAGCATAACCCATGGTGAGGGGTTAACAGCTCGTCCTGTCTCGTATACTCGCAAGAATTAGTGCGCATGTAGTCTGTGTAGAGGATGCAGCAGGCGTCGATAAGGAGAAATGGCCAAATAGTGGTAGGATAGGAACAAAAGCATATGCAATAAAAGTTGCAACAACATTAGATAAGAAGTATTGAGATATGCTAGAGCATATAAGGCTAATGAAATCACAACAGAATACGCCGACCACAGCACTAGATCATGGTCTAACATGTACTCACTTTGCATCGGTGACACAAATGATAACTGGTGTTGGTCAATCCACGTGCATGTGTCTTTGTTTCCAGGTGGTATATTTATACTCTAGTCAAGAGCTATGTAGAACGTGGCAAACAGCGATAAGTTCAGAGGCAGCTTCCAATTCATTTATATATATATTATTTTCTGAAATATCAGAAATTGGCTTTGGTGCCAGGTCTGCTTTCGTGGCGCAACTGGTTAGCGCGTCTGACTGTTAATCAGGAGGTTGATAGTTCGAGCCTATCCGAGAGCGATCTTTTTGCCTGCTCTCCACAACCACCTTTTGCTTGGAGCTGTGCTGTGCTGTAAGCCGTTCTTTGTTGGCTCGTTTGTTTGCTGGGCATCCCACCTCACACACGCACACATGCACCCGCCTGCACCTATTTATCCAGCCCCTTGATACCACCTTTGTTTCTCTTTTTATTACCATTCGTCATTCGTCATTCACAGTGCCTGAAGCAGCTCAGCCCAACGGAAAAACCGCCGCACGCCTCCAGATAGAGTTGCGCTGCTAATTTAGCCTTTTTGGGAACGGCCCGCAACATCCGGCGTGGCGCTGCTGCTTGCAAATCACGCCAGTTGTTGCCGATGCTGTCGAAAACAGGTAAATAGGGGCTGCTGGTTTGGGGTAACGGCGGCATGCTGCTTGCATTAGGTTTAATATGAAGCGACGCAGCCCGGCTCTGGTTTCTGCATGCCGACCAGTCTTTGCTATAAATCCACCGGCTCCCCGGTATCAGCTGGTCTTCTGGCTCTTTATACAGCTCCTGCACACCCCTCGTCTACCTCCAGTTCCAGCGCTCGATCTGCCTGTCAAGATGCTCGCACCGACCACCAACACTGCTCTTGTCCTCTGCGACCGCGAGTGCACATGCGCCTTATGCCTCAGTGGCCGTGGGTACTAACCATCGCATCCACCGCCTCTGCATCGCACATGTACATACCACACATACCGACTCGATCTGCCGGCTCCTTCTCCTCCCGACACCTAGTTTCGGCCAACCACCAAAAGCACGCAGCACGTGCATTCAAAAGGGCATGCATTCTCCAAGCTGCCATCCGCATATTTCCTCACCCCAGCCCATGTCAAATAAACTATGATATATACATTCACTCATGACGGCATACTTACCTTATTTCTGTGTATATATGCAGTTGATTACTCGCTATATGCATTTTCCCATCACATTTACATATAGAGGCTGATCAAGTAATTATTATATCGCTCGGAGAACAGGCAATACATATTGACACTGAGCTATTGAGGCCACAAATAAGCCGAGTTACTGAACTCGTTAGATGCATGCCAGTATGTGATTACTATAAGATTCAGGTCTCCAATGGTGTGGTTGCTTGACTTGCAAAAGTCGCATCTCAGAACATATCCATGTATTTAGTTTGAAAGAATCATACAGTGTTGGCTATTTATTTTGTTTTGTTGGTTATTCACATATTTCTGCTGTCAAGCTCTCTATGGAGCTGAGCATTAAGCTGGCGCTCTTCCTCAAGCTCTTGCCGGAGACGCTCCCTTGTTTCAATGGTGCTTGCTATGAGAGATTCGAATCCGCGCTCTATTTCGTCCTCCATATTGGACTTGACCTGTGAATTGGGGGTCTGCTTCCATTCAGCGATTAATCCTTGGACGTACTCGAAGTTGGGAGTAGTGGGGGTAGACATGGCTTATTGTGGTACGAAATTTGAGGGTGATGTAGAAGGTGGGGTGCGGCGGGAGAGTTTTTGGTACACAGAAATATATTTAGGATACTTTTTTTTTGAGAGGATGAAAGAAGGGGGAGAGGGGAATAATGAAGCTATTTCGGTGCATGCTGCTGCAGCGCTAGCCTGCAGTTATATATATGCGCAGGTCACAAATTGCAGCATATCCTTCACAGAAAGAAGCACCTTAGTTATCTTTGTCGCAATGGTATGCCCCGCCAGAAACCAAACTTTCGTCTGGTTTTCATTTCTTCAAGCGAGTGAGCTAAAAATAGAACTTGCTCTGATGCAAAAATAAATTCGTGCAGGATTTGTTATGCTTTCGGCTTACAGCATCAGCCTTCAAAGTTATGCTGCATCGATATGCGGGGGATTTGCAGCAGAAAGTTGCAGTGGGCAGGTTTTGTTCTAAGCTGATGGGCCTTTTGGACATGTCTTTTTTTGAAGTGGAAGGCTTATGTAAGTTCACAGTAATTTGTAATTGGTCTAGGAATGCAGTCCCTTTTCATGCAGTATGCATTGATGTCGCAAGAGTAAAGAGCTGTAGAAAGGCATGCGGGATCTGCAGTTTGTTTTCAGTAAGGTTGGTGGTGGTGGGATTCATCCCTACAGGCTGCTGGCTTTGTCCAATTCACCCGACAACGCTGATGGTTTGGATATCAGCCAGCATAGTATCTATTTTTAGTTGGGTTGATATCCAGTTGGTAAAGCAAGGCTAGCGACACGCCAAAAAGGATGGCGAGAATGCAACACTATAGGATGCATATAAAGGTATGCTATTGAGGACATGTAGTAAGTGCTGGGTTGATTGTTCACGATATGGAGGAAGCCAAGGTTGTTTAAAAATAGTTACTCCGCATCAGCAATTAGATACGCCCAGGCTGCCAGTGCCGCAGCACTGCGTCTGAGCTGGCCAGCATCAATGACCTCGACGCGATCGCTGTTGGCGTGGTGGTGGCGGAAGTAGTGGTCGCCCCAGTTCGGGTGGTCGGGCGCCAAGTTGCCCTCGGGATTGACACTCAACCACCCGCCGCAGGGGACACCAGCCTCGCACAGAATCGCAATGTCCTCAGCTGGCGGCTCCTCCGCCTTGGTGATGTTGCCAGCGCCCAGCACTTTCACATAGTCCTTGCCGTACCCAACCAGCGTGTCAATCACCTTCTGGTCGGCCTGGACGTCCATGCCCCAGGGCTCAAACACACCGATATCGCTCTCAATAGCAAACTTGTGCTTGGCGATCTCGTTCTTGTGCTGGGCGAAATACGCCTGGGCGCCGCGCTGCAGCGTCTCCTCGTTGTTCCACATGACCACGCGCACAGTGCGCTTCGGCCGCCGGCCCTCCTTGGCAATCAACGCGCGGCCTCCCACGCCAAAAACGCACCAGCCGCATCGTCCATGGCGCCAACGCCGACATCCCACGAGTCAAAGTGGCCCGACAGCAGCACAATCTCATCGGGCCGCTCACTGCCCTTCAGATCAAAGATGATGTTGGCCGACTGGGTTGCGTTCTCCTTGAATGTGTTCTGCAGTGCCAGATTGACCTTCGGGTGGACAAAGCCGGATTCGCCCGCCTCCGCGCGCTTGTACAGGCGCTCGATCAGATTGGCATCCGCCGGCGAAATCGACGCAGCCGGGATGGTCGTGCGCGCCGAGTTTCCGGTGTGCACCGACGCCACCGACGAGTCTGGCGTGGCCGTGCGCACCAGCGCCGCCAGCGCCCCGTATTTAGCCGCCTCCTGGGCGCCGCGGCTCCGGAACTTGACCACCTCGCCGTAATTTGTGAAATGGAAGTTGTACAGCACGATGTTGCCCGAAATCACCTTTTTGCCCAGCTTCGCCTAGCTCCTCAAATGAGCGCACCGGGATGACCTTGGCCGTGATGCCCTTCTTGGGTGTCGACACGGAATTGCCCAGGGCCAGCACTGGAATGTCAACGGAGCCGTTGGGCCGCGTTGGCACATACAAGCGCAGGGACTCGCTGCCGCGCTCCCACCGGTTGACCCACACGGGCTCGGTCCAGACCGAAAAGTCCTTGTCGTGCTTCTTGACCGTCTTGACCACCCACTCGGCGCTCTTGTCGTAGGCCTTGCTGCCGGTCATGCGGTTGCCGTACAGGTCGGTCATTTCGGCCAGCCGGTCCCATGCCACTGTGTTGGATTCGTTGAACCCAGCGTTCAGGAGATTCACGACCGTCGCTTCGGTGCCGGTTGCCCGACGCATAAAACGCACTTGCTTGGGCTGGGAAGTAGGGTGTGCAGAGCACTGGGTAAGGGATGCGAGTCCGCCGATTGTCACAAGGCCAAGAACAAGCACAGAGAGGCTCTTGGTGCGGCTGGATGATGCCACAGGCTCGTACTTGTTGAGGGACATATTAATGACGAAGAATTAAAATATGGACTGTTGGATTGGGAATGTAGTGAAAAAAACAAGGTTGAGGAGGGAGAGAAGCTTGCCTTATAAGCTTGTGAGCCAGCGAGCAGGGAGGGAGCTCGTGGGAAGCGCTAGTACAGCTTGACGACATCGCCACACTCTCTAGAAATTGTGCAATACTAGAGATCCACACATTTCGGCGCTACACATCTGTGGGTGTTTTGCACAAGGTTGGCATCATGCATGTCTTGCAGAGCTGATGTTTATACGGCGAATGCTATAGGGCCGTGCCGCAGCGGCATGGGATTGCTGAATAATTAGCTGCTAGTTGCCAGGTAGCTCTTTTAGGGGAGATTGTTTTCCGCAACTGCAGAACTTTCGCGACATGTACATTGCAGGAAGAGTAAAAATAGATGTATCGGGAGAGGATTGCCCAAGGTGTCGCTGGATCTAGGCAACACCTGCCGCAAAAGGAATGTGCTGGGTTGGTCACGTCATTATCACAAAAGCTGGTGAATAGAATGCGTGAGCAAGAAGCCAATGGGTATGTGGGAGTATCCAACTGACACTATATTGAACAGCGGGTGTTCATGTATGCAGCTTATGTAGGATCCAGTGACTTGCCGAATTAGCAGCCGATAGTAGATGTGTCTGGATAAGTGGATTACAGGATCTAGGCTGCTCTGGTTTGGGGGCGGGTTGAGGTGTGGATCGGATTTCCAGGTACCTCCTTCCTAACACAGGGTGCTGCTCCTTTTCCGGATAGACGTGCTGCGTATACAAAAAAGCAGCAAAACATGCGAGGGTTCCTGGCGGGGTTTCCAGGCCATGGCTGCGGAAAACTGCCGGTATTTAAACCGCTGCCCACTACTACCAACCTTGCCACTTTTGTTATTCATCATCACTACAAACAATGGGCAATACTGTAAGTACCGGGGCATTTCACGACGAGGGCCGCTCACTCGACCTGCATCCAGGATCTACGATTGAGTCGCAGCGGGGGGTATCTCAGGACTCTAGTCGGCTGTCGCCACGGGAGGCAGCACGCAAGGCAGCGCTGGATCGGCTGAAAAAGACTGAGGAAAAACTAGGCAAGACAAAACAGAGCAGGCAGCTGAGGGGCCTGTATGCGCAGACAAGCACACTGCCAGCAGCAAATCTCGAAGTAAGTCGTAGCATGAAGACTGCACAGACATGTATTTGCGTGCTACTAACCCTGTGACACATGTTTCTTTAGTGGAGGCAAGACTAAGATATTCAGGTGGAAAGGTTTATTAGAGGGCTGTGGAAATAAACAAAAAAGCCTAAAAAAGCAAAAGGAACTGTAGCAGACCAGCCCGGTCCAGAAATGCTTACGCAGCACGGAACTACATCAACGACATTTCAGTGAACCCCTGGAAGCTTTCTCAGAAGAATTCTCAAATCGAACAGTTATCCATTTGCTGCCCACGATTCTCCCCCTCTTGGCACAACCTATTTTTCTCTTCCACACATACTTTTTTTATTTTTAGAGCAAATGGGCAATTGTTGCAGCGGTAATGCCGACCGTACGCCGGCACACAAGAAAGTCAAGGCATTCCAGGGCGAGGGCCACACGCTTGGCGGACACGGCCAGCGCAGCACATTGAAATGCAGGTGGCCGAGCCCGAGGTCGCGCGGACACGCAAGGAGAGGATGCCCAAGGGCCCTGGACGGCGGCTGACAGACCAGGGGGTGGATGAGCAGCTGGCGCCGCAGGAGGCCGCACGTCGGGCGGCGCTGGAGCGTGCGCAGAAGAACGACCAGAGACTAGGGAAGGCCAACCCCAGCGAGCGGCTGAAGAACATGCAGGCACAGGCGTCGGAGATGCCGACTGGGGGGATGGAGGTAAGTGGGTGTTTGGCAGGAGGCACTATGCGGGGGGTGTGACCATGCGTGCTAAGTTTTTTATTTGCACCTGTAGTGGCGGCAGGACTGACTTTCCCATTCGAGTTACAAGCGCCACTGGGCGCGTTATCAGGTATTTTGTTCCCTTGTTTTAACGAGCCAGCAAATAAAAGATTTCTTAAGAGGACGAGTGGTGTTTTTTTTACACGGGCAGCTTGAACTCCTTGCCCTTGAGCACCCGTGTAAAGTACACGTAGAAGAAGTCGGCGTAGAGACCGGTCTGCACGATGCCAGCAACCCAGGCAATGTAATCGGAGTATTTATCCTCGGAGTAGTACCGGTAGATCCAGTTGACGATATATAGGGCGCGGTAGCCACCCAGGGCGAAGATATAATGGCTGGTGATGTTGTCAGCCTCGCCCGTGCGCGTCATCATGAACAGCTGGGGCATGATGGCCACGGCCTCAAGGTAGATGGAGAACGACCAGAGGATTTCAACGACCTTGTACTTGTGCGGGAACACCAGGGCGAACAGGGCGGCGCCGACCAGGACGTACTCGACGCGGAAGGTGTCCAGGGCCCTGTCGTAGGTGGCTTCAGGGGCTTCAGCATCATGTAGACGATGTAGCCGGCCGAGCACAGGAAAAACAGCTTCATCAAGGTGTTGTAGATGGACACGAAGGACGTGAACAGATCAAGGTAGCGCGTCACGAACACGAGGAAATAGAGAGCCTGGGTCTTCAGAGAAATTCCAGCGCACGACCTTGTCTGATGTATGCGCGCAATGAGAATGAAAATTGACCCCAGGTGGAGCAAATCGGCGACGAGTCTGAACACGTTCATAATGCTAAATTGAGTATAGACAGATGATTGCGAAATGAGGAAAGCTGGAAAGAGAAGGCGGCCAGCGCGACGTGTGGGCGGGGGTCTATTAAAATGTTCTATCAGCAGCGTGGGCGGGCTATTGGATGAGCCAGGGGTGAACTGCACGTGATGGGGTGTGTCTGGACACAGTTTTGCAAAAAAGAGGAGGACCTCAGCGGATATTAGGCAGGCAGCTCGGCTAGTGTTTTTCTATTCCTTTTAAATTATTTCTGTACTTTTTTTTTTTTTTTTAATTTCCAGTGGGCACATTTTAAACTTTGTACTGAGGCCCTCCCCCAGCACAAATATTCAGAGTCAAACTCGTATTATGCACTAGTGCATACCAAGCACACACACTCGCGATAAGCACATAGTAGAAACAGCAACAACAAAAAAAATGTACAGCAGCAACAAGAGCTCAATGTCGCCTGAAATGCGTCTGGCGCCACTACACCACCACTCGCAGAGCGCAGTAGCGGCATCGGAATGTCCGGCCGAAGGTTGTGGGGGACCAGTACAGCTACCGTCGCTGAGCGCGCTCGGAATAGCCGACAAGCTGCCGGTTACGGACAGCCAAGCGGGCGAGGCGAATTCGTTCGTGGTGACTGGGGCAGCGGCAGCGGCCTCCAAGCGGTGCCTGTGGTCGACGTGCACGCAGATATTCGGGACGCTGGACGAGCTGGTCCGGCATCTGTACAAGCTGCATGTGGCGACGAACCGGTCCAGCGCGATCGCGGACCTGCAGGCGTCGTTCCTGTGCAAATGGCGCGCATGCACAGCACACGCATCGGACACGGATGCGCTGATCACGCACGTCTGCCAGGAGCACCTGGAGGCAGGGCGGATCCTGCATAGGTGCGGGTGGCAGCAGTGCGGGCGGCAGTTCGACACGATAGCGCAGCTGACGGAGCACATAACCACGGAGCATGTGGGCAGTGGCCATAGCCTGTACGTGTGCATGTGGGACGGGTGCGAGCGCCAGGGGCGGGCGTTTGCGCAGCGGCAGCGGGCGCTGCGGCATATCCAGACGCACACGGGCGCCAAGCCGTTTGGCTGCTCGGTGTGCCACAAGCGGTTCAGCGAGCAGCACATCATGCAGCAGCATCTGCGCGTGCATACGGGCGAGAAGCCGTTCAAGTGCGACCAGGACAAGTGCGGCAAGCAGTTCGCCGTGTCGTCGGCGCTGACCATCCATAGAAGGACGCATACCGGCGAGCGCCCGTATGCGTGTCGGTTTGCCGGCTGCGAGCGCCGGTTCGCCGAGTCGTCCAATCTCACAAAGCACATGCGCATACATACCGGCGAGCGCCCGTTCAAGTGCCCCGAGACGTCGTGCGGCAAGACCTTCTCCCGGCCCGACCAGGTCGCCCGCCACCAGCGCATGCATAGCGGCGACAAGCCGTTTGTCTGCCAGGCCGAGCGCTGCAATAAGAAGTTTGCGTCGCCGGCCACCCGCCTCAACCACATGAGGTCGCTGCATCCGCCTGGTCTGCAGGCTGACGAGCCCGCGCCCAAGCTGCCACGGACCGACAGCTGATCCGCTTTGGTCTATGGCGAGTCCCGGACGGAAAAAAAAAAAGAAGCGTGAGCTCGTACTGTACACAAATAGGCGTTGGTCCTATTTTTTCTATACTTTCTTTTGCACATAAAATTCTACCACCTATTGAGCCTTCTGCATGCGCTCGAACTCGGCCTGCTGCCGGTCGTCCTCCTTGAGCCGATCCCACTTCTCCTGGACCTTGGTACGCCGGGCGCGCGCCTCGATCAGCTGCTTCTTGCGGCGCACCTCGAACTCGGCACCGAGACAGGCGTTCAGCGCCTCGCTGAGCGCATTGCATTTGCCAAAGAACTTGGCAAACCGGTGGTCGGCATGGCAGTTCATCAGGCGGTTGACCAGGTCCACGCACCCAGGGTTCAAATGGTCTGCCAGCTGAGGATGCATTATGAAATTTACCTAAATAGCGATAAGCAAAAAGAGGGGAAAAAGGGGGTGGAAAAAGGATGTATTTTTTCCTTGTGAAATAGAAAGTGATATCCCTCCCCAGCTTTACAGCACATTGGCCTCGGTGCGGAGCTTGCTCAGCAGCTCGTCGACGCTCTCAACGATCTTGCCGCCCTGGCGCTTCGGCGGCTCAGTGACCTTGATAGTCTGCAGCCTGGGGGCAACCTCGACGCCGAGGTCCGCGGGCGAGACAGTCTTGAGCGGCTTCTTCTTCGCCTTCATGATGTTGGGCAGCGACGCGTACCGCGGCTCATTCAGGCGCAAATCCGTCGTCACCACCGCCGGCAGCTCCGCCTTGACCGTCTCCAGGCCGCCGTCCACCTCGCGCACAACCTCCAAGGCACCGCCATCCACCGTGACCTTGCTTGCAAACGTCGCCTGCGGCCATCCCAGCAGTCCCGCCAGCATCTGGCCCGTCTGGTTCGCATCATCGTCAATCGCCTGCTTGCCCAGGATCACCAGGTCCGGCTTCTCCTCCGCCGCCACCTTGCTCAGCAGCTTCGCCACCGACAGCGGCTCCAGCGCCGAATCCGTCTTCACGTGGATCGCCCGGTCCGCGCCCATCGCCAGCGCCGTGCGCAGGGTCTCCGTCGCCTTGGTCGGCCCGCACGAAACCGCGATGATCTCAGACACCAGCTTGCCGTGCTTCTCGCGCAGACGCACCGCCTCCTCCACGGCGATTTCGTCAAACGGGTTCATGCTGTGCTTGACGTTGGTGGTTTCGACGCCGGTCAGCGCCTTGTTCACACGCACCTTGACGGCCGAGTCGACCACGCGCTTGACGCCAACGAGGATTCTGAGGCTGGACATTTGGTTCTATGAATTCTAAAGCAAAAAGAAGGGGGAAATATAACTGGTTTCTGTGACTGATAAAGACAAGAGGGGAAAAGACCTGTTCTTGAACATGCTGCCCGGGCATAGACGCAGTAGAGGGGACCCGGGCATGTGACGACGCATTGGACCAGATAAGAGAACCTCGGAGAAAATGTTTATGCCTGGAGAGTTTATCGCCGGGAACGTGGGTAAAAATGGGCCAGAGCGTATATTCTGTGAGAAAAAATAAATAATTACTCGGTGGTCTCTGCAGCCTCAGCAGTCTCCGTAGCCTCAGCAGCCTCCGTATCCTCAGTAGCCTCAGTAGTCTCAGCAGCCTCAGCAGCCACAACGTTGGAGCGGCGGTTGTTGGACATCTTGTAGCCCAGGTTCTCCTTGCGATCCACAGTCTTGCCCAGGACGCGCTGGATCAGCGACCTAAGCTGATGCTTGTCCATATGAACGCTCAGCGAGGCCTTTCCTCGCCAGCACGGCAGCGCCAGCGCAGCAGTCAGCCTGGTAGCCGGGCCCTCCTCGCCCTGATGCTCCTTGGGGTCGAACCTAACGATAACACTAGACGACACCGGCACCTGCTCGATTTTCTTCTGGGTCTCCTCGCTGAGCAGGTTCAGCAGCGGGTTGATTTCGCTAAGCAGCGTCTTGAGATCAGCAAACCCGGCATCCACGACAAAGCGCTGGTCCAGGTGCGGCAGGACCTGGGGCGTGCCCTCGCAGACAAGGCGGAAGGCGCAGTGGGCATCGCGGACGGCGTTGCGGGAGAACACGCGGATGCCGGTGTTGACGATGCGCAGGCGCTGGCCGGCCAGGTTCATCAGGTGGCGGACCGGCTCCGACACAAAGTAGACGGAGCGGAAGCTGCCCTTTTCGATGCGCGAGAGGAACCCGCGGCGGGACATGGTGGGCGCGATGCCGTAGAAGGAGAGGATCTCCTGCAGCTCGGCTGTGTTTTCGTCCAGGAACACGAACGGGTTCTCCAACAGCGCCGGGTCTGCCCGCGGTTCGTCGGGGAGGTACACGCGCCTGCTGACGCCGGCCTCCTTGGAGTCGGTCTCATCCTTGGATTCGGTCTCGTCGGCCCTGGACTCGGTCTCCTCATTTTCCTCGTCCTTGGACTCGGTCTCGTCAACCTTGGCGCGCTTGGGCTCGGGCTCAGCGCTGTCCCCAGCCTCCGCTTCCTTCGCCTGGGCATCGCCCTCTTCGCGCGCCCGACGCATGGCCTCGGCAAAGGCCTCGGCATCGCGCTCAGCCTTGCGCTTCTCATTGACGGTGATGGGCTTGACCTTCTCGATCACGGCGACAAAGAAGCCGCCGGTGTTCTGCAGATGCGAGTAGATGCGCAGGCAGCGCTCCATGTGCAGCTTCTCCATCTCGTGCTCCGGCAGCGGGAAGAAGCGCGGCGAGTACTTGCGGCGGTTCCTGCCGTGCTCGCCCGCCGGGATATCTTCGAACTTGTCGAACAGCTGGCCGTCCCTGGTCATGACCTTCCAGGTGTTTAGGCCGGGGCGGCGCTTGAGCTCGGGCAACTCACTGCTGACGTCGACCAGCTTCAGCGCGCCCTCAAAGTGATGCAGAACATTGGCCACCACGGCCTCGTTCTCGATTGGATTCAGCGAGCACGTCGAGTAGACCAGCCGGCCGCCAGTCTTGAGCAGGTAGGCCGCGCGCTGCAGAATCTTGGTCTGCACCGGATGCAGGCTGTGGGCGTCGTCGGCGCGCCATTTCTCCCACACCCGCACGTTCTTGCGCGTGGTGCCGTCGCCCGAGCACGGCACATCGCACAGGATCCGGTCAAACTGCACCACATTGCCGTCCTCGTAGATATTCGGGAACCGCTCGCCGCTGTGGTTCGTCACCACCACGCTCGGGCTGTTGAGCCGGCTCACCTGGTGCACCAGCATGCACGCACGCTTGTAGTCCGCGTCATTGGCCACCACCACGCCTGGCGGGCACTCGCCCATAGCGGTGTCCTTGTGCAGCGCCTCGATCAGCTGCGCAGTCTTGGAGCCGGGCGCCGCGCACATATCCAGGACAAAGTGCTCTGGCTGCACGTCCAGGAGAAGCGGCGGCACCATGCTCACGGCCTCCTGCCGGCTGATATTGCCCACCTCGGTTTCGGTCACCAGGAACGAGTGGAATTTGGCCAGCTCCGGCGACTTCTTCAGCGCCACGCGCGGAATCGTGAACTGCCAGCCGAACCGCTCCGGGTACCAGGGCAGGATGTGCGGCGGCTCAATGGCCTCCCCGTCGATGGTCGTTTGCGAGATAAACGGCACGAATTCGCGCTCGATCTGCTCGCGGATGTCCTGTGCTTGCTCGCGCGAGCCCGTGATCCGGAAGCTCGTCGGAAGCACCGTGCGCATCGACTCCATTAGGTCCGGGAACTCGGCTTCGGGCACGATCTGCTGCGCCAGGTAGTACTTGCGGAACGAATCGTTGTCGCGCCGCAGCTCGCTGAAGCTCTTGTAGACGCGGCGCTCGCCATCCACGTGCTGCCCGCCCTGCGCCTTGTTGCTGCCGTTCTTCCACTTGGGGTTCTTTCTTCCCTTGCCGCGAGCCATAGTGTCAAAAATAATGTTTTTTCTTGGGTAGAGATGGAGTGAAAAAAAAGTTTTCCTTGACATCTCGATATTTTTTTTTTGTTTGGTAGGTTTTGTGATTTGTGATCACGGCAGATTGTGATTTAGCCTGCACAAGCCTTCCTGCTGGTGCTGGGCCATGTCAGCAGCTTGCGGAAATTCATGCTCCTCCAGCTAAAAACATACCGGCCAAGGTCACATCACCTCTACTTTTCAATTTTGCAAACACGCATACTACATTTACCGGTTTATTTTTTTTCCATAATGGCTGCTGCTGGACAAGATGGCTCTAACTTCGCTGAAGAAATTCAAGCTGGTGTTCCTGGGCGAGCAGAGCGGTAAGAATAAGCGAGGAGAATGGTCGGCGTGCAGAGAAAGAGGGTGCTTGCCTGTTCCTTAAAATGCCCTTTTACACCTTGTAGTCGGCAAGACGTCGATTATCACTCGGTTCATGTACGATACGTTCGACACGACATACCAGGCGACAATCGGCATTGACTTTTTGTCAAAGACAATGTACCTGGAGGACCGCACGGTGCGGCTGCAGCTGTGGGACACGGCAGGGCAGGAGCGGTTCCGGTCACTGATTCCATCGTACATCCGGGACTCGTCGGTGGCGGTGGTGATATACGACATCACGAGCCACGCGTCGTTTGCGCAGACGAGCAAGTGGATCGAGGACGTGCGGGCGGAGCGCGGCAACGAGGTGGTGATTGTTTTGGTGGGGAACAAGACGGACCTGAACGATAAGCGCCAGGTGTCGACCGAGGAGGGCGAGAAGAAGGCGCGCGATCTGAATGTTATGTTTATGGAGACCAGCGCCAAGGCCGGACATAACGTCAAGGCGCTGTTCAAGAAGATTGCCCAGGCCCTGCCTGGCATGGATGGGGGCGCGCAGGAGCAGGCCAGGGCGTCGATGATTGATGTCACGCTGAACCCGGCTACGCAGAATGGCGCCGATGGGTCGGCGTGTGCGTGCTAATCAGTTTTTTCTTATATGCCAACACTATCACCAATGCCATAAATTGTGCTTATTCATGGTTTCGCACAACAAGTTGAAAGGAGCGACTGGGGGGGACATGAGCCGGGTTCTCTCCTCTTTTTTTTCTCAATTTGCTTTTAGTCTACTTTGAAACGAAGAAATGACTACCTGCACGCGCAACGGCTGCGGCAAGACATACGACGAGGCCACAAACACGGCCATGTCCTGCCAGTACCACACGGGGCAGCCAAAGTTCCACGAGGGCCGGCGCGGGTGGACATGCTGCCCAGCGCGCGTGCTCTCGTTCGACGAGTTCCTGGAGATCCCCGGGTGCACGCTAGGGCCCGCACGCCCACACGCCCAAAAACGACCCCTTCAAGGCCGACCTGACCAAATACGACGACGTGCTGCCGGAGCCGGTCAAGAAAGCTGAAGCAACCCCCGAGAAGGAAGCCGAGAAGGAGCCCGAAAAGGAGCCCGAGCCGGTCATTGAAGAGGACCCGGTAGATGCGGTGGTGCCCGCAGGCGCTACTTGCAAGCGCAGCGGCTGCAACAGAAAATACGATGGCCCGTCTTCGTGCGTGTTCCACCCGGGCCACGCCGTGTTCCACGAGGGCCGCCAGGGCTGGTCGTGCTGCCGCGCACGGGCCACGGGCTTCGACGAGTTCCTGCAAATCCCGGGCTGCACCACCGGCCGCCATTTGTTCATAGGCAAGGCGGAGCAGGCCAAGTGCCGCATGGACTTCTTCCAGAGCAGTGCCAAGCTGGTGGTGTCGGTTTATGCGCGCAAGCTCGACAAGCAGAAAAGCAAGGTGGTGGTAGAAAGGCAGTCGCTTTCCCTGCATGTCGAGTACATGGACGGCAAGGTGTATGACGACGTAATCGAGCTGTTCGCCGAGGTCGACCCGGAAAACTCGACGTTTGAACTGCTGACGACCAAGATCGAGATTTCGCTGGCCAAGGCTGCGCCTGGCGAGTGGCCGCGCCTCGCATCCAAATGAAGCGCAAGGAGCCCGCACAGAGAAAGCATTTTAGACATTTGTAGCAGGTGAAAAAAAAAAAAAAGCCTCATTTATCAACATTGTTACAGGGTGCGCAGGGCAAAAAAGGCCTCGAATTCGTCGAGCAAATGCACGTGGTGCGGCTGGAATGCCCACAACTCGTCCTGCTTGATGTGCTTCAGACGCACGCCGTGGCGGGACTTTGGTGCGCAGCACGGCATGCGGTCGTTCAGCGCCAGCATGCCATTAGGGGAGACCGCAGCCTTTAAGCGCTTGATGAAGCGGACCGCGGGCCAGACCTTTGCAAACTTCATGCCCGTGCACTCCCCGAACACCTGGGCGTCGACCACGCCACCGAACGTAAAAGCACGCGGCGGCGAGCTCCGACGCCCTGAACTGCAGCGCCTCCTGGCAATGCAAAAGCAAGTCGGCGTAATCGCAAGCCACGGCAAACCTATCCCTGCTGAATCCGCACGGAATACTGGCCGGGCACTCGTTCTTCCACCGCAGCACGCCAGCCTGGGTCTCCTTTGAATCTAATAGTGCGGCGCGCTGGAAAAACATGGCCAGGAACTCGTGCAATGTGGGGACGGCCAGGTGCCAGCTGAGCGCAGTCAGGACCGAAATCTCGGCCGCCTTCAGCTGGTCGCGCGTAAACGCGTCTTTGGAGAAATCCGTCAGCTCCGATAATGTCGGCACCCGCTGCTCCTCGGCCTTCATGGCCAAAGAGAGACAGGCTGTGCCAAAGCACTGGCAGCTGGCTGGGCCGGACGTGCAAATCGGTGTTTTTGAGGAACCGGTCCAGATACTGCACCGTCAGATGCAGCGTCTGCCTATGCATGCGATAGTCGGCTGCCACTTCCATCAGCCAGTCGACCAGAATCGGCCGCATGCGCGCCGACAGCTCCGGGTGCCGCATCAGCCCCGACGAAAGCCCCGATGCATGCTTTGCCTCGATCTCCAGAAGCCATGCCAGCAATGGCGTGTATGTCTCTGCCAGCTCCGGCCCGCTCCTCTCCCTTTCCGCGCCCTCTGCCTCGTCCTTGTCCAGCGCCTCGAATATACGCGGCTGGCGAGGACGGTGCAATCAGCGTCAGCTGCGATTCCAGCCCACAGTCAGCGTTCTCCTGATGATGTCTCTATGTCCTCTGATGCCGCATCGTCTGATGGCAATGCCACCACTGTGGCCTCGGACGACAGATCGCCTGTGTAAGGTATGCCCACGTACCAGCCGCCGGCCGTTGCTCTGCTTTTTGCTGCTGCTTTGCCAGTTTGCTGCCATGCGCCTCGTGCATTGACGAGAGTGACGCGTATTTTTTGATCCCGAGCTCTGTGCACCCGCGCTTGATTGCCTTTTTGGCTGTCTCCACGAAGCACCCGTCATGCCGGTCGCTGTCGGTGCGCGCGCGCTTGCGCATATTGTACGGGTGCCGAGGGGCATCCACTGCTGTGTTTTCCTTGTTATGTGAGGGACATTTAGAGAAAGAATATCTATGATGGAGAAGCAAAAAAGAGGGGAGGGTATCCGGTGCAGTTCTCGCAGTTGATATCCAGGGCGTCAACGCGAAAAATTTAAATAAAAAACCCAGACACGACGCGCATTAAAAAAAAACTCCCCACCCCCGCCCAATCACACCGCAGTATCGGGTACGCGTGATCCCGCACGCTCATTGGGCGGACTGGAAGCACCGGAACTGGATCTGGGTGCGGCGCGTGCAGTCGCGCAGAATGTGGTCGACCGTTTCCCAGTGCTCAGGCGACAGCGTCACGCCGTCGCGCTCCACCAGCCGGTCGTCGCCGGTCTCAGGCACCGGCAGTCCCTGCTGGGCTGCCTGCTTGCGGGCCTTGGCCTGGGCACGGCTATACACGGCCCGGACGTACGCGTGCAGCAGGCGGAACGACTCCAGCGCGCGCGGCGTCATGTAGTCGGCCAGCGTGCGGACGGACAAACACCGCCTCCAGCACGCTCTGCAGCATGCCGCCCTCGCTGAACACGTCGACCCGCCGCACGCTCTCCAGCATCTCCTGCAGCAGATCCGCCGCCAGCTTCTCCAGCACGCGGCGCGCGATCGGCTGGTGCTTGACCGTGTGGTGCTCGGCCCCCAGGCCCACCTCGCCGATCATATCCATGACCTCAGCATGCGTGAACACCAGGAACAGCAGCGCCTCGGCCACAGTAGGCCTGCGTGTCCCGTGGCATGGCGTGGGTCGCCCAGCTCACCCCGCCCAGCAGCACCCCGCGCCGCACAATCTGCGCCAGCTGCGCCGACCGCCCGCCCACGTAGAACCCAAACACCAGCTCGTCCAGCCGCTGGAACGGCTTGCCCAGCTGCTGCAGCGACCCGCCCACCTCCAGCTTGAACACATGTCTGATCGCATGCGCATGCAGCAGATCCGGGATCACATATGCCCGGAACGCCGTCAGATTGCACAGCGACGCCAGCAGGAAGAAACTGCGGGTGCTGTGCCGTGCCTTGCTGGGCTCGGTGCTCTGCTTGGCTGCCAGCCGGAACGACTGCCGCCGCCCCTCCCCCGCCACCCCCTGCGGTGACAATGCGCTGCTGACGCTATATGGCAGCGACGCCAGCATGCCTGCCTCTGCCACCGGCTGTGTCTTGAACGCCAGCATGTGCAGCGTGTCCAGGAACCCATACAGCGTGCCAAAGAACGTGTGCTTGACGTGGGCCACCGCCAGGTCGTTCATCTCACGTGCCCGCTCGCCCTGCGCGCGCTGGCCCTCGTCGAATCCCGCGTCAAACTGCTGCTGCGGCGCCCGCCCGCCCTTGCGCGGCTGCAGTGCTGCCACATGCAGCGTCCCCAGCTGCCGGATGATCGTCTGTGCGGTCCGCAGGAACAGCGGCAGCAGCTCTGTGTTTGCAATCGTCTCCGCCAGCTCGGCCGCACTGGCGCCGCGCTCGGTCCGCTCCCGCCGCGCAATGTAGAATGTCGGCCAGTATGCTGTGCCATGGTGCAGCTGCCACGTCTCGTGCTGCCCCATGGCCTGTGCGTCGCGGTCCCACAGCTCGCACAGGAACAGCTCCAGCCCCGCCTTGAGCTGGCTGATCAGATTCGCCAGGATGATTGCTGCCTCGGCCGCCATATCAATCGCCTCGATGTCGTTGGCCGTGTTCACCACAAGCTCCATGATCGCCGTCATGAAATGCCCCGCCAGCAGTGCGTGCGTCTGTGGCAGCCGCTGCACGGTGCTGCCGATGCTCCCGGGCCGCAGGCTGGCCACGTCCACTGCCTCATCGCTGTCTCCCAGCACCCCCGTCAGCCGCAGCACGTGCTGGCTGTACTTGTTGATCAAGTCCTCCAGCAGCGCATGGCATTTCGTGACTCGGTCCAGGTTCTGCCCCTGCCGCCGCCGCCGGTTCGGCCCCCGCAGCTCCTCCGGGCCGCCGGTACATGTCCTCCATGTACGCTTGGCTGAGCTTCCAAAAGTCCGGCAGGCTGCGCACCAGCGTCTGCGACAGCGTGCGCAGCGTATTGTACATGTGCTTCCACGCGTGGAACTCGACATCGCGCCCATGGCCAAGCACCGGGAAATCTGCAAACGACTCGATCCGCAGTGCCCGCGTCAGCTCGTCTGCGCGCTGCTCGACTGCCGTCTCCACCTCCACGCTGGACTGCCGCCAGTCCTGCCCCCCGCGCTGCCGGAACGACTGCACCACATCGTGCATCTGCCCCACTATCCACTTGTGCTGGTGCTCGAGGAAGAAAGCGACTGGGTCTGTGTCGCCCGGATCAATCTCCAGCAGATGCCGGATCACTGTCTCCTGCTCGCCGTACGCCCGCCACGCCTGGCTCAGGTGCCGGAACAGCGCGTTGCGCAGCTCCACCACGCTCTCCTGCACCTCCTTCCACACATGCTGGAAAATCCGGCTCAGCCCCGTCGCCCCCGACTCGCCCCCCTCCGCGATTGCTCCCTCGGCCGCCGAAGACCCAATGTCGCCGCTGGTCACCGCCTGCAGCAGCTGCCGCCCCTTCTTGTACTCACGCACCGCAATGTCAAACTTGCCCTTGCGCGTGTACTCGATCAGGCTGAACGGCAGGTTGAAGTAGAACTTGTACCGCTCCACCACGCTCAGCGTCGCCCGGATCTTCTCAGCGCGCGCCCGCCGGTCAATGATCGGATTGTAGATCTCGTCTGCCTTCTGCGTTGTGTCCTGCAGCGCCTGCCCGAATGCCCGCGTCCCGTACTCCTGCGCCGAGTTGAGCGACCGCGACTTCATCTCCTCGTACAGCAAGTCGATCTTGTTGCGCGCATCCACGAACCGGTCAAAGTTATTATGCACCAGGATCTTCAGCGCCTCCGAGCCTTGCGACATCGACTCGCGCAGCAGCCGCGCCCCCTGCACCAGATCCGCATACGATGTGTCGCTGTGCACCACCTGCATGAAAGCCCCTGGCGAAAACCCCTTGTGCGACACGCTGAACTTGGCCCGGTACTGCAGGTCCCCCAGCGCCCGTGCGTCGCTCTTGCGCTCTAGCACCTGCGTTACCGACGCGTGTACATGTAGCGGGTCTCTATCACTGATTGCCACCGAATGCGATGTCGCTGCCACTGAGCCGCCGTCGCCAAGCATGCCCGCTCCCTCGTCATCGTCGTCATCGTCATCGTCGTCATCGTAGTCCTCAGTGCTAGCATCGCCTGCCTGCAACCGAGAGTGATGCGAATGACTGCCTTCATTGAGTTCTTCCATTCCGAGCTCATCCTGCCCATCACCGCCCTGTGCCCGCCCTGTGCCATCACCATGGGGCACCACGCTGTCGCCAAATGCCGGGCTCTCGAAATTGTCCAGTCCGTAGTGGTTTAGAATCTCTGCGTCGTCAATCGCCATTCGACAAATGTGCTGAAAATACAAGGAATATTAGTTAAAGGTGCCTTCATGCGGGGCTGCTGGGGAATGTGATGATGACCTGTCACTAGCTCTCCCGCACCACCCCGAACTAATCGCTGCTGATACTAGGCCCCGGATTAGAAGAGCAGTCTAACCCTCCGGAACACTGCTAAAACTCAAACAGCCGTTTCACAGGGAAAAAAAAAGCACTGGCCACGGTGTCCCTTAATCGCAGAGCAGGCGCGTTTGTTGGAGCGCTTGATGGATTTGCCGTAGCAGTGACTGCCAACCAGCCCCGCACCCTCCTCTACTCGTCTCCAACACTGCTATATTCACACCTAATGGACCAGTTCACCAACCGCGACAAATCCGCCATGATCCTGGCGCTGTGGGCCAAGGGATTCAGCGCCAAGGACATCCATGCCGCCCTGGGGTCCATCATACAGAATCAGTCGCCCTCGCTTAACTTTGTCTACGCCGCCTGCCGCCGCTTCAAGGCCGGTGATCTCACACTGGATCCCTGCCGTTCCCGCCGCCACACCAGCCGCACCCACTATCCCGCCTGCCAAACGCCAGCTCACTCCTACCGCTGAGCCCACCACTAAGCCTGCCGCCAAAGCGCCCGCGCACCCCTGCGGCTGAGCCAGTCCTCAAGCCGGAGGCCAAGCCGGAGGCCAAGCTGGAGGCTAAGCCTGCTACCAAGCCTGCTACCAAGCCTGCTACCAAGCCTGTAACTAAGCCCGAGACTAAGCCCGCTGTAAAATCCGCTGTCCAAGTCTGCTGCCAAGCCCGTAGCCAAACCCCAGGTGGAGCCCATGGAGCTGGACGACGACGACAGTAAGGCCAAGCCAGCATCGCACGCCGTGCAGCTGGACCGCGTAGCATTCTGCGAGCGCACCCTGGAGACCTACAAGGGCAAGTCTGCTGACGACATCGTAACGTGCGCCCACACGCAAATCAAGCCAAACTCGATCTCTAAACAGGTCATGTATGTGATTGTGTTTTTCTCGCGCAAGGAAATCATCTACGCCGACTTCACCATTACCGAGGCAAAGTTTGACGCCAACCACTACATTGAGCGCGGCATCAAGCCCATGATTGCCGTCTGGAAGGAGAAGCACCCGAGGACTCAAGCTGGACCGCCTTGTGCTGAACCACGATAACTCGCCTGCATACCGCGCCGAGAAGACCAGGAGCTTTTTGGAAGGGCGCCGGTGTCCCGACGCTGCTGATGCCGGCCAGATCGCGTGACCTCCTGCCCGGCCACTTTTGGCTGGTGCCCGAGATCGAAAAGTCCCTGCGGTACACGTCAGTAGATAACCTCGAGGAGGCAAAGATGGCGTGGATACACGCGCTTGGCAGACTGCAACCTGATGACTTCAAGGAGTGCTTCAGTCTGTGGTTCAAGCGCATGGCCATTGTTGTCGAAAAGAACGGCAAGGCATATTGACCTGTCTCAAAAAAAAAAACTGTCTAATACATCACCCAGCTTCAACCCTTGTATTGCAAGCGGTCTGTGAATCTGCGTATCCTCCCTGCTGGTGGAAATACCGTTTCTCATTTGCTGGTTCAGCGGAAAGCCGGCCAACACGCGCTATTTTTGCAACCTTCCTTGCGGCGCAGTCTATGTCAATCTCATTTATTAGGGTGAAGTCACCCCCCCCCCAATACTTGTCGACTGTTTGCAACTCTCAAACCCTATCCCAGCCTCTCCTTTCCCTTGTAGACACACATGCGCCATCATTCTCCCACCAGCCCCGCGCCAGAATTCATCTCTGCCACTTGGCAGTACTGGTGGCAAATGCACATAGTTGTTGAAACCACGCCATGCATTTTGTCGAATGCACGTAGCCGACATCCATCCCCAACACGCGCCGCACTCTTTGCCATAGACAAAGTAGCGAGGCTATTGCTGCCGTGCCTGCGCAGCTGATACGCAGCTGATACGCAGCAGCTTGCACCAGGGACCTGCTCTTTCTTTTACCACCCGCGGTGCCAGAGTGAGAACCCTTATCTATTGCCAGCAACACAGCTACAATTGCAATTGCAATTGCATGAAGCGTCCGCTTCTAGCACTGTTCATGCATGAAATTTGCCGAGCTGATAGACTCTCTCCACGAATACAGCCTGAAAATTCACAATGTGTTGGCTTGACTCTGGTTTCGTTGAACTCGGAGTGTATCCGTGGGGAAAGACTCTTTTGGAATGGATGAGGCGGATGGACAAAATAGACTCGCCATCTGCTCCCTGGAATAGATAGTGTCAGGTCAATGTATCCTTTTTCGGCGCATGACGTTCAAATACGGTGCCCTCCCTCCCACCCACCTACCTATGCCGTCCTGCTCCGTCGGACTGCATAAAAACTTTCAAGGCTGGTCTGCAGTATTATGCGGGACTGAAATAGAAAAAACGACGGTGTCAACGGGAATGGGGGATGTGCCTGGAAGATTTACTCCACTCTTGTAAGTGATTCTCTAAACCCCCTCTCTCAGAAGGGCAATTCCCAAATACATGCTGTTTGAACGTCCCTCTCCATGCAATTGGGTACCCAGGAGAAAAACGAGCGATAAACGGAGTGCAAACACAGGCTTTGCTGCTCATTGACATCGGATACCGAGCTGTAGGCACTTGGCTCTCTAATCCAAGTCTTCTCATATAAAAAAGACTGCAGACGCCCTGCGATTTCAAAATGAAAGCATCGCTCATCAACCGATAACTCCCTTCCTCTGCTCCCCGCCCCCTGGATACGTGGCATCCTGGTCTTTTTTCCCTAGAATTCCTGTCTACAACCATGATTGATTCCGCATGCGGTGCTAACCGGGAGTGCACCTGCTCGCTGTGCACAAACGGCCGGTCGTGCTGAGAATACCGACATGGATCAAGACCGTCGTCCTCAAGCTTTCCCTACAGCTACATCGGCCTTCCTCTGCTTCGTCTTGATCGAGCAACCAACGCTCCTCGCATGCAATTGTACATACATCCATCGGTCGCGGTGCTCTCCTTCTCTCATCTTCCAAAAATGCAGCCCGAATCTCGCCTGCCCATCAGCTTTGTCTGTCTCCGCCTTTGGCAGCCATTGATTCCTGGCCTTTCTCTTCCTCTTTCTCAGAAACCTGGTCGTCCAAGTCAATATTTTTGAATACATCTAATTTATTCACATCACTCTCGGTGCAAAGCCGCTGTTTATTGCATCAATTGTACGTGTAAGAGTGACATAGACTGGCGTCATGTCGCTCACTTGCGTCAAACCTATCATCAACAATGGCTGTAAGCATCGGGTGTTACAAGAAATCCCAACTCAGTCCTCGGCCGGCATATACTTATGCATATAACTTTTCCTAATATAGTGTCAAGGAGGCGCAGCAACCACAATTGTGCAGGAAAATCCGCTCATAATGCGTGAAAAACGCGGGTCCTGCAGTGTATACAGGCTGCCTGCACCAAGGTGCATAGCTAGCAGCTGGGGGCCTGCGGTGTGCTAAATGCAATAGAATGTCTGTAGCCACCTGTGCCTGTATGCAATCTGGCCTTGACGGCCTTCTGCTGAGACTCAGGCATGTCAGCGGCTAGCAAGCGGCCGTCCACTTGGCAAGCACGCCTTGTTGCTCCAGACTTACTCCCAATTGAACAATTGCGAGCGGGATATTTTGTGCTCAGTTGGTGGCAAACCACCAGCTAGCTGCATATATTGGCAGCCGCTTCCCCCATTGCCTAGCGCCCAGAGAGCACATTTCTGGCCCTCGTGCAGCCATTCTCGGTGACGAAAATCCAACATGAGTGCCTCATACTGACTGAGGAAGAGTACGCAGATTTAATATGACCTTTTTTGGAAAGAGGGATGCTCGACTGACCTGCTCGTTTAACCTCCCCGCGGCCCAACCGCCTATCACGTCCCACGGGGTCCTGCGGAATTGGGCATAAATAGTCGGTAAGCGACAGGGGTTAGGTGGCTTATAGCAAGCGGGTTGCTTCTTTTTGTTGCTGGGCAGCTTTATAATGCTGGCTGTACAAATATTCATGGGTGACAGGCGTGCAACCTGCCAGTTTGCACACCTCCTTGCAGCCTAGCAAGGCAGGCAGTGGCAAGCGCAGTTTTTGCCTTCCTGCAACCCCTCCGAGAGGCAATTGCAGCAGCTGTGCGTAATAATGATCAATGTGGCCTGCACTGCTTCCTAGCAGTCGCCCTTGGTTGGTATTTAGGTATAAGAGTGTACAAATCCTAGGCTACTCAGATCTTCCTGTCATCCTGCTCTTTTCTTCGTCTTTTCCCGACATGTATACCAAGCATAGCGACTACAATCCAGACACCAGCCTCTGCAAGTCTTAACTAAACAAAATATTTTATTGTCTATTTGCACGCGCATCGGTATATTGTACATATCGCTTATACATAGAAACCATGGTCGCCAATGCCACCTGCCATCTTGTTCTACATAACACTGACGAGTGCAGTCGTGAGTGCACATGCGAATTGTGTCGGACCACCCGATAGTTGCTGCACCTAAAAGCCTGTACCAATCGCATCTTAGATAGTTGCCTATATTGACAGCCAACGACAGTGACGGCGTGGAGACTGTCCTTTTTGACCGACAACCCCAAAAAAAAATGGACATGGCACTGGAGCCGTTCCTAAAAATGCTGCATTTCATCCACTGTCAAATAAAACCACTTTACATTCCTCTCGGACCTCACTCTGTCAAATGATCCTATTTGCCGTAATCAGCACAGGGACATGTATACTTACGTATCTGTTATCTGCATCTGCATAGATGCACCGGTGTGATTCCCTCATTGCCTGATGTCATACAGGGCGATCCGATAAATAGCCACCATAGACCATAGGTTCTCATATCGGACCAAAAAGAGCTTGACGTCATTGATCGAGCAAGTGCTGTCGGACATACACCTGCTCTCTACTTGTGCAAGGGGGTGGTGATTTTGCACTATGTGCTGTATGTAAAGCCCTACATAGCCAAATACATACACATTAGGCCATATATGTGATATCTGTGCCCCAGCTGTTGCACATGCATGTGTTTGTTGAAATGCGACAGAAATGTTGTCGTCTTCAACTGATAACGCCATTGCAAGTCATATTTGTGTTTTGTTTTTCATGCAGCACATCCCCATTTAGAAACGGCATTCTCAACCCGTGAATATCCAGGCCCATTCCCGTGAATATCCAGGCCCATTCCCGTTTCTATCCTGGACCATCAATGCAACCCGATGCACATCTTGAGGCGAAGCCGAGTGCCGCCACCTCACCTACGATGCGCCTTGTGCAAACAGAAAATAATCGACCAAATAATGGAAATCTGTCCGTTTGCACTGCTGTAAAAGGCTAAATTATCTGTACGTTGGGGAGGACGGGATTGAAACTTGTGACATGACTGCAGTGGCTGCAGTGCCTAGTCGCCTGCGACAAGCCGTGAGTGTTTCCGAGCACACCAATGCAGCTGCCAGACAGTGGTTAGTTTCACAATGCCAGAAGTGAGGGCAACCTTGCAGTTTAGAAGAAAATACTCTGTGCTTTCTTTTTCTTTTTTTGCTGGCCCGGTGTAAGGTCGCCTCACTCCTTCCTTCAGCTAAGATTACCCCTTGCCCAGTTCCTGGCTGCATCCTCTTCTCCTCCAACTGCAACTGTAACCAGCAATAAACCCCTTGCGCTTTTTCTTAACCCTTCGCACTCTATTTTCAAGCTACGCTAAACTGGCCAGAAAACGACAAGACATGCATTGCACTTGGACTACAAATATGCGCTTCGGATCGTGCTATGGACTTGTCTTGCAGCGGGAATGTACATGCAAAAACTGCCAGCTAGGCCATTTTAGCCTCTAGATTCGAGGCCCATGTCTGCCTCGCTCTCTGCATCCTCAATTTGTTTCTCATCAAGCATTTTTACCAAAAACGCCTCCTGCAATTTCCATCCCGCCCCCCTTCAATAAAATTGCCGACGGCACCTTGTGACATTACAAAAAGCAGCAAATTTTACTCGTATTTGAGGGATAAAGTGATTAACTAACCATATCAAAAATGGATATCTAATATGACTTATTTGGGCGTCTTGCGCGTGCTCGACATGCGGCCAGTGAGTTTCTTGAACTCAAACGGCATCATCGGTGGGCGTGCATAGGCACCGGTGCCAAATGGCGTATACACGCGGATCTTTGCCGACTGGAACCTGCCGGCGATGGCTACCCATCCTATCCCGGCAAAGGCAATGTCGATAGAGGCATTTCTTGGGTGGGTTCCCTCAAACTCGTGCTCAAAAGGCCAACTTGAGCTCTGGGAAATTGCGCAGACGCTCTTCATCGCCGATCGGCGGCTTCAGCACTGTCTGCTCGCCGTTGTTCATTCCTTGCCACCAGCTCATCGGCGCGCTTCGATACGGGTAAAGTGCGGGCGGATACTGGAAAACACTGTGACGTAAATGCGCTCTGCCCCGCCGACCAGATCAATGCGGCCCAGGCCACCAAGCATCATCGACTGGTTACGGTTCAGCAGGAACGTGAACGGCGAGACCCGCTTTTGGCACATGGCCAGCTTCAGCTCCTCGTTGGTCAGGTAGCTGATCGCCGACTTGCTGCTGAACACACCATGGGGTATCGTACAGGTACGATTGTCGGTCTTGGGGCCGCGCACCCTCAATGGGCACTAGTGCCTTGACAAAGTGCTTCAGCGGAACACCGTACAGGCCCATAGTGGTTCCGGGGATATGCGACGAGAGCACGCGGTGTTTGGATCCCACCAATGCTGATGCGCAGCAGCGCGTTGAGCAGCTCAGATTTGCCGACGTTGGCACGGCCGACCATGTAAATGTCCTGGCCTGCACGGCGTCGCTCGGTGATATCAGCAGCCAGCTCACGCACACCCTGGTTCTTTTGCGCTGAGACCAGGTGGATTCCGAGAAGGTTGATGTCCAAATCCTTTGTGAAACGACGCAGCCATGCCTCGATGCGCGCTGGGATGATAGTCCTTGGGCAGCAGATCGGCCTTGTTAGCTACCAGCAGAACCGGGTGCCGCTGTCCAATGTACTGGCCCAAATGCGGGATCAAGCTGCCTGGGATATCAAACAGATCGCACACTACGACCACGATCAGGTTTGACCGGTACTGTAGAAACCGGAGGGCACGTGGATCGGACACGATATCCTGCTTCCAATGGTGGTCGATCTTGTTGTAGTTTTTGAGTGAGTGGCACCGCTGACACACAATCCGGTCGTGGCCCTGCTCGGACTTCCACCGCTTCTTCTCCTTCGACTGCGGCATCAAACGCCTCAGGCTTCGGCAGAATCCCGTTCGGCTTCACCGGTCAGCGCCAGGATCGAGTTTTCCATCTCGCCAGTGAACACCGCTTTGAGCTCGGGGTCATCGAGATTCTCGATCATCTTTTTCGTACTGCTCGTCGCTCATAACGTTGCTGCTGCCATCCAGACTGTTGCACAGGCTTGGGCTTATCTGCCTCTGTGCTCACAGCTGCGATACCCTTGGCCAGGTTGGCCTCGTTCAACTCCTTCCACTTTTCGCTATTCAAGTATCCCGGCGCACCAGGCTTCTCTGTCTGGAAGGCAGCACCGCATGTCGGGCATTGTGGTGCCTTCTTCTTTGCTGCCTGGCGGTAGATCGCGTACGCACGCGACTGATGGCTATGTGCACAGGCCGACAACCCACCCTCTAGGATCCTTGTGGCGATAGCAGTATGTCCTGGTAGCCAAGCTAGAGTGGCACTGCGGGGCGATGCGACTGATCTGTGGCGCTAACCGCCACAGCGTCGGTCGAGCTGACCGAGCGGCACGGGTAAGGACTTGCATTGGCAGTAAATGTATATGCAATTCAGAGAAAGAAAATCCGACGTTGCGCACACAGGTCTTGCTGCCGGTGAGATTTATTTTGCAAAAGCAGGGCCTGCCAAACGCCGCAATCGCGAGCCATGGCAGTGATTCCCCAGATCTTGTGATCAGCAACCAGGTGATCAGATCTCTCGCTAGGGGCTCTTGAACTTGGGCACAGGCTTGAAGTCGACACCCAGCATAGCGAGTGAGGATTCAACCCTTTTTCTTTCGATAAAACGAAAATATTGGAACAATGGTAAGCCTATCGGCGGATTTGTGAGCGGGCAGAGTCGGGCGACGGATGCGCTTTCCTGTAACCAGTATCGGCGAGGCGAATCCATCGGCGTATCCAAAGTGTGCAGGCAGAGAGCGCTGCGGCTGGACGGGAATATTCAAAACCTACTGAATGCAATTGCGCCATGGAGACATTTGGTTGAATTCTGCGCCCCGCCCAATTGGAGGAACTGGAATCGCCCCTCCACGAGTCTTGAATTGGCAAGAATGAAAGTGAGGAGACCACGAAGTGTGCAGAGCCGTCGCGCTAATTCCAGGTCGCACCATGCAATTTGCACCATTGATTTGTAGACCACCAAGCGCAGGAACCACGGACGTAACAAGAAGGGACGCGGACACGTCAAGTTCATCCGCTGCGAGAACTGCTCGCAGGCTTGCCCCAAGGACAAGGCCATCAAGCGCTTCATGGTCCGCAACATGATCGAGGCTGCTGCCCAGCGTGATATGGCTGAGGCTTCGGTCTACGACTCGTACGCCATCCCCAAGCTGTACATCAAGGTCCAGTACTGCGTCGGCTGCGCCATCCATCTGCACATCGTCCGCGTGCGCTCGCGCACTGGCCGCCGCAACCGTGCTCCTCCTCCCCGTGTCCGCTTCAACAAGGACGGCAAGAAGATCACCGCGACCAACACCCCCGCCAAGGCCCAGGCCTAAGCTTGATTGCACTCCAATGTATCGGGTACAGTTGATGTTTAGCTCTTGTTGAGTGTGTTTATCTTTTTATAAATGCCCATCCTCAAACCTGCCTTTGTTCGATGGAAAGAAAACATCATATTTGCACATGTAAAGTAGGGTACTACATGTGTCTGGGCATGAGCGATGTGCTCGTGGGAAGTGCAGTATGCAAGGGCAGAAAATGCTGAAACCTGGTCATATGAGCTACATGGACTATTGACGTAGCCACCAGTAATTGTTTTTCACAAGTGCGGCTGGAAAGGTACCATGCATGTATTCCGCGTCTAGCAGCAACAGCACAGCAGCGGCAGCGGCAGCAGCGGCAGAGTTGGGAGGCACTGCTGGTCAATGTGTCCATTTTTTCTTTCCGCCAGGATCAGTGAAGGGGTTGCTGTTTTTGCTGCGCTCTGCTGCCAACATACTTTTATCGCCATTGCATTTGCTTCTTCTCATAAAGCTACTGGTTTTGTTGCAAGTGAGACTAAACAATTCATATTTCTGAGCACCAATACACTCTTGTCGTTGTCGATCCTGCTTTGTATCTCACGGATTATATTTTGACACATTAGAGTATCCTGCCATCAGGCTGAGGGCAGCAAATATGAACGACACACTAGTCTACAACTACACCCTAGGCAACGACTATCCCCCGCCAGCGCTCCAATACGACCCGGTCCGGTGGATTGCGTACTTGATGGCAGCAATATGCCTTCCGATTGGAGTGCAGGTGGGCATTGTTGGACACAGGACAAATTCGCTGTGGTTGGGCGTCGCGGGAATAGCGTCGGTGCTGATGTTCATATCACTGGTTCTGCGCGGGGCCATGGGGAAAACTGACGCGGATCCATTCAAGATGTACGAGGCCGAGGTGTCGCTGCACCTATGCGCTGGATTCATGCTGACTGGCGTCCTGTTTGTGTTCTCCGCAAAATGGTACAGGAACAAATTATTTAGAAACCCCTCCAGTGCGGGGATTTTCATTAACAGTTGTGAAACCACACAGTTTCTCACATTGCCCAAAACATTTGTGTAGGATCGAGAGCACCGGGCAAAGCGTGCTAGGCATATTCCTCGTGCACATGGGGATTGGATACGGCATCGCAACCACAATATGCGCTAGCATCGGCGTTCCGTTGCTATTTGAGGTAGCCGAGTGGAAGAGGCAGAGCGGGTACAAGCTCATCTCAGTATCCTTGATTCTTTCAATAGTTGCCTGTTGTCTGGCCGGCCTGCTTACGCTGTACCACACAAAGACGCCTGCGCCAAGCACGGATCCCGCGCATCACTGTGGTGTTCGTGCCTGCAGTATTGTCGACAATATGGATATCGTTTATGCTGGCGCGCTTCACCATGCCGATGGATAGTGCCGCAAACACCAGTGAGGCCCTGTTTTACTGTTTTTCCATCCTGCCGGCTATTGTCTTGACTGGGATGTGGGCGGGATCAGCCCAAGATTTCCTCAGTGGGCTTGGCACTCCGCAAAGCCATTCGGACGCGTGCCTGGAGTGCTGCTGCTGCCCGGAACATGACGGCTCCCAGTATTATGAAATGACTGTGGTCAGCGGGAACGCGTGTCACGACGATGCACAGCTGCCCATCAGGTGTACCAAATGCAGACACGAGGCGATGCTCCAGCGCGCCATACGCCGGTACACATGAAAGGCTGGCTTTGGAAGAATGAATGTTTATTTACAAAAAATGTATGCTGCGGTATCAATAGCAGGGAATAATGTAGAAATGCTAGGAGAGGAAAGTCAGCACATGTAGCGCTGGCCGTCGACGCCGCCGTTATAGAACACAGCCCCGTTCATATCGTACACGCCTAGGTCGATAATCTGGCCGTCGGGGGACACGATGACAATGACTCTGCTTGGGTCCTCGCTCGGCGACAGCGGTTCGTCGTCCGGCGCAATGCAAAAGTTGCTGGGCAGGTCGATGACTGAGATCAGAGTCATCCTGCGGATATCCTGTTGCGTATCGCACAGCTCGCTGAACGTCTTTCCAACTAGCTGCGGTGCCCAGAAAGAGACCTAGCTCTTCGTTCGCCATTTTCACCTTGTCTGCCAATGTGGCTGGCTGCACGCTGGTGTTGATGCACAGGCAGCCGGTCTTTTGCTTGCCAACATGATAGGCGTTAAAGGTATCAATCATATTTTTGTAACAGACTAAGGAGGGGTCGGGGAGGAGGAGAAGATTAACTAAGACACCGAGAAAACGGGTGTAATCTGCAAGTGCGGTTTCTGTTTGAGAATGTTTGCTCAGGTGCAAGGAGGCTATAAAGGTGAGAATGCAGTGAGTAGTAGACGGGATTTTTTTTAGAGAAGCATCTGGTCCGGTATATATAGATCCGTGCAAGCACTCTTACCCGAGTAATTTTTCGCCGACCCACCGCTGTGGATTTTCGACTCGGGTATTCCCCAAGCACGAAGTCGAGTGTGCCAAAAACAACAACAATAGCCTGTTCCTCAACAACTATTCCGCCTTTTGGGCCGTGGCTTTTTTCTGCTACTGCGTGCAAAGTACACCACCAAACAGTGAGAAGGGGAGGCTGGCTGTGTGAAATCTCGGCTTTTGGACAGCGCGGGAAACCCTTCACTGTGCAACAGCGCCTTGCCTAACCCTGTGCGTGGTTTTATTTTTGCCCACTGCGCACCAGCATTCTCGTTAAATCAAGCTACCTTTTGAGAAAAATCTTCAAAAATAACTGTGGCCGTTGCGCATGCTGCACTGTGACTGGCTCGAAAATCGCAACTATGTCGCGGGCCATGATCGGCAGATAGCGAGAGACTTGCGATACCGCGTGGAAGCCCTGGGATTCATCGGTCGAGGACACGATGTGGCCACATGGGAAGGGGATATCTCTTTTTCTCTGGGCACTGTGGGCAAAGGCACTGTGAGCAGCGACTAGCCGATTTCCCTAACGAAAACACACATGCTGGTAGAGGCTGGCCCTTTTCTGTTGGGTATAAGCGGTATCCCAACTGCTTTTTGATAAGGTTTCAGGCACCTGCAAATATATGCCTCCGGCAAGTCATATGCTCACAATCAAGCACAGGCTGCAGCGCTCAGAGAGTTAAAAAATACAATACTGCATATGCAACCACCTGCCTATCTTCGGAACAGGAAACATCCTGTTTGCCAGCTGAAATATTTAGTTGCAGGAGCCCTTATCGCTGACAATGGGGGACATTTATTAGACGCATTGACAAGGCTATTAACACAGAATAGGGAGCTGACAGTGCTTGCTTGACGGCGCAGTGGTGGCTGCTCACTGGCGGGGCGTGCTGGTATCCGTCTTGTCTTTGTAGTACTCGTAATCTACCTCACCATAGCCGTAGTTTGGATCGACTTGGCGGTTCTGTGCAATGTATGCACATACAGAGGTGGTCATGGAGCCTGAAGCCGCTGCGGGCAGAAATGCAGTCGCAGATCATGATAGAGTATTCGCAGGTATTTGTGCAAGTGCCAAACCTCTTGTTGATGACGACTTTATTGGCACTACTTAGTCAATGGCCACAGAGCCCGCTGCTGCTAAACAGACGTCTATGGCCTACAAAGCAGGCTTTATCGTCTGGAGAGCAAGTGTGAATGCCGGATCATGGATATATTGACTGAGTAAAAGGCAGGACCGGTGGCCAGAGAGCGAGGGAAACGGGATTTGCCTTTGGTCCATGTTCAGCTCGCTGCCGGACTTGGAGGGGAGACCAGGCAGAAGTATCAGAGAAGGAGTATCAGAGCTCGGATCCAAACAGCATCTGGAAGCACAATCCCAAAAAGGTCCATTGCTCGCGTGGTTCAGGTTGGTTGTGTTCAGATATATTTAGAAAAAGGACGACCTCGCCGGCTCCAGGTTCCTCCAGCACGAGGAACAGCTTGGATACGGCAGACGATCCATAGGCAGAAAGAAATAGTGAAAAATTAGAAAGAGTGGAAAGGGGAAATGAGGGGGAGGATATAGACAGCGCGAAGCGAGGGGTAGCTACAATGCAAGAGGCAGCTCTTCAGAGCCCAAACGGCGACGAGCAGGCAGACGAAAGCTGCGACTCGTACTGCTTCAGGCGCAGGGCCATTTCCCTCGCGTTCTGCTCGGCGAGCTCGCGCGCCTTCTCCATCTCAGCGACCTTCTTGGCCAGCGACTCGTTCTCGTTCTCGAGCTCCGAGACACGGCCCTCCAGGGTCTCGATGCGCAGAATCTTGCGCATGCGCGAGCGGCGCGCAGCGTCAGTGTTCTTCTTGCGCTTCAGGGCGGCGGCATCGAGGCCGCTGCCATCCTCTTCGGGCTCCTCAGACGAGTCCTTCTTCGGGCTCTTCTTGGCCTTCTTGGCCACAGGCTCAGCCACGACATCAGCAGCCTTGGGCGCGTCGGTCGACAGCAGCTCAGCGAGGATCTTCTCCTTCTGCTTCATGTTCGACGTGCGACGGCGCTTGAGGGCCAGCTGGGGCGGCAGCGACGCCAGGAACTCTGTGTCACGACGCTTGCGCGACTGGTCGACCTGGGGATCGGCGGTAGCGACCGACAGGACGATCGACGAGGCGCCAGCGTCGGCCCTGGCAACGGCCGGCTCGGGGTTCTGGACCTCGGCCACCGGGTTCTGGGCGATCATGGCGGGCTTCGCGTCAAACAGACCGGCAAAGTCGACGGTTGACCAGTTCAGCGGCGCCTCGGTGGGCGGCGACATGACCGCAGGGGTCTGCACAACACTGCACGGCTCCGACACGGTGCTGGTGAGGGCACCAGAGATCGTCGCAGCCAGATCCGGGAACAGCGCGGCGGCGTAATCAGCAACGGTGAGCGGCTGCGACACGGCCTGCTGCTGCTGCTGCTGCGGCAGGAACGAGACGAGAGACGTAGCGCTGGCGCTCTTCTGCAGCGAGCTGGCCAGGCTCAGGGCGAGGTCGTTGGCCAGCAGCGGCGAGTTGTTGGTGGAGCCGTCGATCGAGGGCGAGCCCGAGAAGGTCACTGCAGGCGAGATCATCGGGGCCTGGTTGGGCATGGCCGGCGACGTGGCCACAGTGGGCGGCGGCGTCGCGGTGCTGATCCAGTCGTCAAAGACGGCCTGCTGGTGCTCGGGGTACGCCCAAGCCTCGTAGTTGTCGGCAAAGGACGGCATGATGTACGGGTTGTTGTCGTCGTGCTGGACGACCGGCGCTGCCTGCGCCGAAGCGTTGTTGACAATTGCAAAGAGCTTGTCCATAGTGTCAGACTTCTTGTTGGTGATGGTGGTGGCGGTGCTGGTAATCGGGGCTGTGTTGGCCATGTTGGCAGCAGTGGTGAAACGCGACATTGCTGGTTTCTTAGTTATCGGTTGGTTGACTTGATTCAGTGGAGGAGGAAGCACGAATAGTAAATGCAGGAGCACTCGCGAGACTTGGGTTCAGTAGACTGGGCTGTCCGAGGACATTGGGTAGTGAGGTTGAAGGACGCCATAATGACCAAAAAGGTACAGTTAGGCGATCGACTTGTATGTTAAAAAAGACTTAAAACGTTGTTGGTAAAGTAGTTCTTGCAGCGAGTAACCGCAAGATGATTTAGAAGGTACGAGCAGCCATGGTGGGCGTGCCTATGTGCTCGTATATGTGTCTTCTAAAAAGGGGTGGTAAAGGGGGAAGCGGGAGGGGCGCCAAGGGGGTGTAATAAGTGTTGGGCGCAATAAAATATACGATAGGCTGGCGGGCTAATTAGAGGTCGGGATATGGCGAAAGCAAGCGTATGAATTCTGTGCTCTGGAAAAATAAAATTGGAGAACGGAAGAGAAGAGAAAAGTGCAACTGCAGATACTGACTCACAAGGGAAAACGCCTGGGATATAAAGAAACCACGCCGCCCGCCCCATGCCCGCCCCCAGCCAGCCTCGAAACTTTTTCTCCCATTTCCTCTATTCCGCCGCTGCGCTACTGCTCGGGCTGATTTGCTGGGGGAGGGGCACCCCCTTGTCTCTGCCTCTGCCAAAACGAGCATAAGCCAGATTCAGTGTGCATAGATGACTCTTCAAATCCAAATTGGCATTGATTTCAGCCCGCCCCGCCCCAACCGCAAGGCGCCGGCAGCCAATCAGCCGCCGCTAGCAGGGCCAAAGCGATATTCGCCGCTGCAGCTCGCTGCAGAAATTGTGCTTGCTTATTGTCGCCAAGCTCACGGAAGTTTGGTTTTCGCGAAATAGCGGGACCAGCTGGGAGCGCGCCAGCTGGCGACCAAGCTCCCAATCCCAGTCAGCAGGGAGTTCTTTTTGCAGCACTGTGTTTCATGTGATGTGGTCTGGCTGTTCAAGCTGGCACAGGCGATCTGAGGAGTTGCAAACTTTCCACATCCGGCGCTCAATGCCGGGGAAGGATCGTCCTGCGAGTGCATCGGGAACGAAGAAGCCTCTCCCAGCAGCGCAGTGGCAACTGTCGCAGATCAAACACAGCGCTTGTTTGCTTCCATTCTGCAGCACAACGTTTTGCAGGGAGTCTGGAAAGAGTGTTCTACTCGTTTCAAAAACAACACAATGGAAAACGTGCGGCTTTCCGCGCCGTTCCTCTGAGTCAAAAGCAAGCTATGAAGCCAGCTTCAGTGGCGGCGCGAGGCACGGGCGAACGGGCCGAGCGGCTTGCCCTCGCGCTGCAGCTTTTGCTTGATGTCGCGCGCCTTGTCCTTCAGGTTGACAGTGGTGCGGTTCCGCAGGATCTGGTCGGCTATGCCGTCCTTGCCGTGGTGCCTCAGGATCCGGGTCCACTTGTACCCAAACTCGCCCACCGCCTGGATGAAGCACGCCTCCTCCTCGGCGGTCCAGTACCGGTAGCCCTGCTTCTGGTGCCTCCTGCGCTGCACCGCCAAATCCTCGGAAGAGCTGTCAGATTCGCTGATGGCCTGGCGGGGTGACCGGCGAGTCTGGCGGGGCTGGCGCAGTGAAGCAGCCCTGTGTACCGCCAGTTTCAGCGGCCGATAATGACCGTACCGCGGTGGCGCCTCATTGCCTGATTCGTTGGCCGCTGCTGTGCTACCGTTCGCCGGGTTCCCAGTGTCAGAGCGTTCAGGCGATGCTGGCGGCGATGGCGTGAATCCGACCGGGTTCAGCACTTCATGGTCACCGCTCAGGTCCTCAGCGGCAATGCCACGCCGCCCACGGAACTGGGTGCCAGCTCTGTCATGCTGTGCGTGCCGATAATCTGGCGCTCGGCCGCGCTTGGGCGGTCGCCGGACCGTGTCGAGGGTGGCCTCGGGTGTGTCAGGCCCGCATGGACTCTCTTGGCGAGGCCGCTTCGTCAGCGTGCGAGCACTGGGATTCGCGCTTATAGACTCGCTACGACCCGTCTGCGGCTGACGGCTCCGCAGGGAGTACTTTGACCTCGGAGAGATAACTGGCACATCCTGCTCAGACACCTCCACGTCCTCCTCCTCCTCATCGTCGTCGCCCTTGTCTAGATTGAACTGGCCTTGTTCCTGGGGTTTCTGGTCAAGATCACGCAGCACTTTTGGCAACGGATCGCAGACAGTGCGGTTGAACTTTTGGCGTGTCTGCTCCAGCTCGCGCAGCATCGTCGATGTCCATCCGGGCTGCCGGTCTCGAGGCAGTTCGCTGATCGGCTCAATATGGATGGGCTCAGCCCTCTTAATGACCTCGTTCAAGAATGGGTCGCCAGACATCTGACGGATTGCCGAGGCCACCTTCCGTGTCTCCAGAAACCCAGACGCAGCGTCTCGGTTGGGCTGCCATTCTGGTACGCTACCAGCCCTGTTGCTTGTTTCAGGAGCTGGCTTCTCTTTTGGTTTGACAATCGCAACCTCAAAATCGCCCTCAATCGATCCGCTATTACTCGACCTGCCCGCTGCACTCGTGTCAACTGTATACTCGCCTGCCGACTCAACATCATCCCGATGCGCCGCATCTCCCAAGCCAAGCAATACTGGTTGCGGAAGAGCACCACTACACTGCTGAACAAACGCTGCAACTTGCCGAAGCACCGCTTCCCGGCCAAAGAGGGCGCGTGCGCCAGCCAGCGTGCTCCCCGATAGCTTGCTCAGACGCTGAGCCAGGACAGCCCGGTACTGATCCACATCACGTGTTTCTGGTCCTTGCGAATCCTCACCAGCTGCCAACAGCACTGCCAGATCGACATCGCTAACAGCCCGCTGCTCCCTGACAATCCTTTGCAGTTCAGCCTCATTCAGCGCGCCCAGCACCCACTGCTGCGTCTGCAGCTCCACCAGCAGCTCGAATGCCTTAGTGTTTCGCCGATTTACCGGTACGATATTCTCAAAGAACCCGGCCGCTGCTTCTCCCATTCCGCGACTCTGCACGACACCCTTGCGATTTGGTACGGTGTCGCTCACTGCCTCGGGAATGGCTGCCTGAGGTGCAAACACCAGCAGGAGGAATGTCGCCAGATTGACCCGCTGCATGCTCGCGATCCAGCGGAGGATGTCCGGCTCATCCTCGGGCTGCTCGCTGCTGCCCAGGAACAGAGATCGGGTGAAATGGTGCCTACGGAACAGGACATGCTCGCGAGCCAAGCAACCAAGCTGCCGCCTCTGCAGCGTGGCTGGTGTACCCCGCAGAGGGGGCATGGGCGACGACACCACGGACGCACGCATCACAGTCTCGATAATACGCGCAGACATGTAGTCCAGGACAGCCAAGTCTGCTGATGTATGCAGGCCCTCATAGTTCCAGTCCTCCATATCGTCTCCATCACTCGCTGCTGTACTGTCATCAACCAGAGGCATTTGCAGATCGACTTCAGCAATCGGCGTGTCCTCCGACATAATATCATCGGACTCGTCAGCCAGTCCTGTCAGCTCGTATTCCAAGCTGTCTGCCGGCCGCCTGTGATGCTGACCCAGAACTTGAGACCCCTCGCCAGATTCCTCGTCAGAGTCCACGGCTACCTCGTCGGCAACCTCTGACTCGTCATCTACTTGTTCGCCACCTTGGTTCTCTAACTGCTGGTGCTGCTGGTGCTGCTGGTGCTGCTGGCTGCTGGGGTGTACTCATGCCCACAGATGCCTTGGAGCCGTCGTCAGATTCAATGGCCACCTCGTCAGCTTCCTCCGACTCGTCATCTGCCTGGCCGGACTCGTCGCCTTCCAGTTCTAGCTGCTCGGACACACTCTTTTCTACGGCAGTACCAGATCCTCTGTCAACAACTGGTCCATCCTCAGAAACGCCCTCCTCTGAGCTCGACGAATCGCTGTCATTGTCCTCATCATCCTCACCATCGATGATATCGCTGCTAGTATACTCCTCCTCATTGCCATCATCAGCTGGCTTTGGCTCCACATCCTCCTTCACGTACTGACTAGTAGTGCCCTCCTCAGCTTCGCTTACAGGCATGTTCAGACTGATTTTCTCTGCGCGGGCAGCGCCTGGTTTCATGAGGTGGCGGTTGCCCTCAACCCCTTTGGCTAGCGACTGCCGCGGCATATACCGATCGCGCGTGGTAGATATGTTTCCATCCCTGTCCCTGTTCTCTGGTGCCTGTCTAGTCAGCGCTGGTGATGCCTTGAGTGTCGGACTCGCGACGAGGTGCGCTTTTGGTGGCACGGCTAGGACCTTGTCTCACGGAAGGTTTAGACCTTTTTGACATTTGTCAGTGCCTAAATGGAGAAATTGGTTGCAACTTGAAATGAATAGCTGTATCAGCGCGTTGAGTGCGGAATTGAAAGGGCAAATTGAGTTTAGGGGGCTGCGAGCCTACGAGCCTGCGCGTCAGACGCGAACACAGCCTGACAAAGGCGAGAGAGGAGCCAAAAATAATCGAAGTCAGCCTTCAAAGTCCCGTGAAACCCTGTGATTGGCTGTTTACGCAAAGCTGATACAAAATCTAATTGTCGCTAATTAGACCAACCTTCAACGGCTGCTGCCTCAGCCTGGTAGCAGTGACGATTGCTTCCCCTCTAGATGATGATGGTGAAGCCATGTTTATTGCTAAACTGCGCCCCATTGCGGGGATGACGCTGGTCGAATGGCCTATGGTGCTCTTTAACGGAGCCCTGTGCTGTTTGACCACATTTGTGAAAATAAGTACTCTGCGACCGTCGTCCCAGCGCCTCCCCGGGTAGACCCATGGGTTTGATTGCTTCCTCCTCTAGCAAAATGGCGGCAGGACCTTTCCCACTCCATGTTCGCAGCAGGCTATGGGTCAGTGACTGGTGGGAGGGACTGGCTTGCGTTGTGTTTGCGCAAAAACGATTCTCGCCTTAGCAACAAGGTCACGACAATCTCCAGCTGCACTCATTTTCTCGAGCAGGTTTTCTCCTCCTTATCTTCTCTGCATACCAGCTTACCAGAGCGATCTTCCGGTCACACCGCTCACACCACGATGGTCAGCCAGCTAAATGAGGCAAATGAGGTGCACAGCCATGTAGTTGAGTTGTCCCAACCGTGTGGGTGACAGGCGCTATAAATTCCCTGTATGACTTCACCAATATCAGGTGTTACACAATTATATCGGAAAGGAATCACCGCTTGGTTACCAAATGATTTTCTGTGTATCCATGTCACCAGCGACTCATTTTGAGTTTTGGGCAAGCCGATTCGGATGGATAATTCAGCCTTGAAGGTTAGGGGATATGGACTACGCACACCATGTCCCTTCTCAAGGTATGATCTAGCACCAGATATCAGCATACGCAGAGAAGCACATCCATATTTTATTTCCAGCTCTGCCCCGTGCTGGTTATGAGGATCCCTGTCTACTGTATGGGTAGATAAAAATATACAGCAGATCTGCTCTGGCCAAGCGCCATGACGACAGTGGCGATGAGTGCACATCCACCGTCAAGACATTATAGGAAGCATGCAGCACACCAAACCAAACCCCAGAACAGGAGGGGCGCCATTGAATTGCACATGCATTCAATAAGTAGTTGGCGGCATATTTCCAGTGCTGTTTAAGGCTTATACTGCGGGTACTGCAGGTGTGTGCGGACATGCTTCATATTACTGAGCCACAGAAATGAACACCGGCACTGGGAACAACCAAGGTGAGCGGACCACAAGCTGTGTTTGCGGATATTGCAAAAATTAGATAAAACTCTGGCTGAGCCGAATTAGACGTGGCTCCCCTGTGCCGTGCACCATGCCGACCCTTTCTTGTTATCCCTGCCAGTGAGCGTTTCCCAGTTACTGCTGGGTGTCTCTATCACAAGTGACTCGGGAATGGGAAAAGGCACGGCAGCAGTAATGCAGTGAGCGGAGGGGAGTGTCAAGCACCCGTTGCTAGTAGCAAATAAGATCGTGGTAAAAGAGCCATGGCGCGACAGAACAGCTGTCGTCTCAGAAGCTTCCTCAGTCAGTATGCTACAAGCTGGAAAAGGGCATTGCCTGCTCAATATCAGAGCGCCACTACTAGAAAACCTGATGGGCTTGGGAACAATCGGTGTCCAAGTATATCCAGCCTAATAAAACGCGTTTCCATGTTGCCCTACAAAGCAATTTGGAAATGCATCATGCAAGGCGTGCATACATTTCCACAACAAGGCCCCGCTTGTTTTTACGCCCAGTCCCAACGATAAGACGCTCGGTCTGCGCTGGGCGATCCTCAGGCTCGGCGCTGTGAAGTGACGTGAACTGCTGGACTGAGCCCGAAAAAAAGGGAGAGATGGCAATTACTGCGACAGCATCGAATAATGGTTAAGGTGCGAATAGTGTCAAAAGGGAAAGAAATTATGTGGGGTAATGCGAAAAATGAATAGGGAAAAGGGACGCCAGACATCGGGAAACCCCCAAATATGGACGGCGATAGGCAAGCGCAGGAAACGTGTGGCCCGACGAGCGGGAGGGAGGAGGGACCGACGTGGCTAGACGACGACGGGCTGCCATGAGCAAAAAAAAGAGCGCGCCATCCCCCTTCCAAGAAGTGCTGTGGGCAAGAGGATTCTCTCTTCCGCATCGTACCCTTTCTCTCCCTTTCATCGCAGCCGCCTACTTTGCTTCTACTCCGTTTCGTACTTTATTTTGCTTTGCGCCGTGTTCTGGGCCTGGTGTCAAACCGTTCTTTCTTGTTGCGGACTCCAACAGCCATAGTCTTATTCTGACTTTTGGTGCAAATCTTTCGAGCAGCGCTTCTCGGCTCCACTTTCTATTTTTCTTGTGTATTCATCGATAAAGGGCTCCGTTCCTAGTTTTTGCTCCATTTTTTGAATTATCGCCTTCGCCGGTGCCTGTATTCACGCTTGTTCCCTGCCGTGCGCCACAGCTGTTCTTGCCAGCCTTTATTGCAAAGCTGCGGCGGTTCCTTATTGCCCACACCCCCACAAACAAAAGCATCCATTCACGCGCTCCAACTCTCCCGCCACCTGTTGAGTGTGCATTTTTTCTTTTCTGCTAGTCCCTCGCCCCACACAGCCTATCCCCGTACCTCACGCCCCGGCTGGTGTTCCTGACTGTGCTGATTCCAGCATCCCATCCAAAATCGTCGCGCAATTGCGAATACGAGTCCTAGCCCTAGGTTGGCAGCGCATTCATCCATAACAAAAAAGGTGCTTTCATAACGCGCTTGACGGGGAGACTGCCCAAGAAGAGGAAGAAAAGCCAAAGCAACATTGCACACGCTTTCTCCTTTCTGCTCTTTGTTTCCAATTATTTTTTCTTTCCCGCTCCTATTTCCCCACTCTTTTCTTTTCCCTTTTCACATACACTATGCATCTCACAGCACGCGCATCGTCGCTCAGCCCAACCAGCAGCGGCAGCGGCACAAAGCTATCGGCGCCAAGGTGCATTATCCGGTCAACGCACAGCTACCACGCCCAGACCGCCAAGGAGCTATCGTTTGAAAAGGGGGAGTTTTTCCATGTCGTAGAGCGCGAAAACGATCCAGTGTGGTTTGACGCCTGCAATCCCCTGACAGGCAGGCGCGGCCTTGTGCCCGTTGCACTGTTTGAGGTCATGGAGACACGGCAGGAGCGCATGCGCAGGACGCAGCGGTCCATGTCGACAGTACCGGGCCTCCAGTCAAACCCTGTCACGCCGGTCCCCACATCGCAGTCCGATATCTTCCCGCACTCTCACCATGCCTCGGTCAGCAGCCCCTCTCGCACATCGCTGGGCATTTCGCGCAGCTTCTCCAACATGTCTGCCGGCATGCAGCAGACACACAGCCCCCTGATGGGCTCGTCGCCGCCGTCGCAGCGGAGACCCAGCGAGGGCGCAACGCTTGTTGAGGGCATGTCGAGCATGTCGTTGCGGTCACGGGCAGCGAGCACTCTGCACCAGCGCCAGACCAGCAGCGCTGGCCAGTCCCCAGCGCCGTCAGTCCCCGCGCAGATTCAACTCTACGGCGCAATGCTGTACGACTTTGAAGCAGAGACCAGTGATGAGATTTCGCTCAAGGCTGAGGAATCCGTGCTTATTGTTGCACAGAGCACTGAGGACTGGTTTGTCGCCAAGCCAGCCATGCGTGCATGTGCCCCTGGCCTCGTGCCTGTCGCATACGTCAAGCTCCATGACCACATCTCAGGCGGGGCCATTGATGATCTGCAAGCGTATCTGCGTCGCTACCACCTACGGCTGCCGAGCGTGGCTGAGTGGAAGAAAAAGTCCTTGGCCACGCGCTCGTCACGCAGCTCAGGGACCGCAGGCAGCGACACTGCCAGCAGTAACAGCATCGAGGGCCAGTCTACGCCACCTGGAAGCACTACCGGAAATCGGGAGAGCATTCTCGGGCAGTGGCCCCCTCAGATGAAGCCGCGGACCAGAGCCCGGACCGCCAGCTCGTCAACCAGCTCGATTGCAGACCGCAGCTCACTGCGCCCCCTGCACAAGGGCCGGCAGGCGTCAGCCAGCTCGTTGCAGTATCTGGCCATGGAGAACCTGCCGCCCTTCCACCCGCAGGACTTGGCATCGGCGTCGGTACCCACGTTCATCTGCAAAGACGGCGCCTATTTGTTTTTGATCTCGCTCAAATTCAAGACCGGCGACGAGCGCAATCTATATCGTGGCTATGATGACTTTGTGCACTTCCACATCCAGCTCACTGACCTGTTCCCGGATGACATGAAGCGCTTGGCATCACCGCACTTCTTGAATGCCAACATGGCATCTGGTGGCTACGTCAACGACGGTATTGCAGAGAAGCGCCGCAGCGACATTCGACGACTACGTGCAGGGTCTCATGAATATGCCACAGCCTGTTGTAATCAACCATGTCTTCCAGCGCATGTTTGGCTCGGGATCCAGCTCCACAGGCATTCCTCTCAACCGGACACCCTCGACACGGTCCCACACGACGTCACCAGCGTCGTACCAGACCCAGCATGTGCCCTCGCTGTCAGTCGATAGTGGTGTAGACACTGGTTCGACCCACAGCACATCGCCAAAGTCTGCTGCACGCTCAAGTACTGTACTGTCGCCCGCTGAAGCGATCTTGTCATCGACGCGATCAGCCCTGGCTGCAAAGTACGGTGAGCGCGGCTCCATGCAGCCGCCATCTCGGTCACCCCCGCGCATTGTCCACAAGTCAAGCACGCTGACTCTGGTAGGAAATATACCGATGATCAAGGTCAAGGTGCGCGTGGGCGGCGACATGGTGGCCATGCGGCTACCGTCGACGCTAGGTGTTGAGCAGATCAAGGCCCGCATAGCCGAAAAGTTGGAGCACGAGGATTTCGCGGCGGAAAGCAAAAAATTCTCGCGGATCTCTTACTGCTCGCCCTCGGGCGAGTCTATGCCTCTCAACGCTGATGTCGACTGGAAGGCAGCGCTGGAAGTCACAAACAACAAGCCTGTGTTGACCCTTGTTCAGTAAAAAAAATCCATAGTTATTTCGTTATCCATTTTCCTTATTCGTTTCATTAAAACCACCCATCCCACGTTCCCAGCCATCACCGTTGCGGCATTAGACCGCACAGCCTGTTTGGACCAGCTTCAAGATCGGTTTATGATTTTGTGACTCGGGCCAAGAATAGAATAAGCGTTCAGTAATGCGTGTATCTCCGTGTGGGGGATGCTCAATTTGGCGATCCAGATGCATGTAGCAACACATGTCATACTGCAGCCATTGGTCTTTCTGCTCCACCGCATTGCACATCTACATTGCGCATCTACATTGCATATATACACGAGTTTACAATATATGGTGGGATGGAGCGGAAAACAAGGTGAGATGATGCAAAGACAAGCTGGCGGATCAGCACCAAGTTGGAACCCCCACTTTCAGGTGCGACCTGATTTGCACTTTTCCGCGAACTGGCCAACGCATGCAGATGTGTGCTGGATGTGTCAGCAAGGCCAAAGAAGGTCTTTGTGGGTATCTACCCACGTTCTATAAAAAGAAAAGCAGTGATTGGCAGGATGTGCTTTTGTCAACAACATTGTGCATGGTAACAAACACATGAATATGCATCAGGAATTCTGCCAGGTCCAAATTAACGGCCAATGCAGAAAGCAAGGACGACCGCCTTTGGTACTAATCGGCTGATGCCAAATATCAATTCCATGAAATGTAGAGCGTAAACAATAAAAAAACTATCCCTATGCTGCAAACTCACACGCATGCCGAGATGGTTGGCAGGATTCCCTTGTTAATGCCAATCCAGGCCACTAGCCGCTCGAGCTGATCCTTGGACGGGTAGCTTGTAAGTTTGCCGTCTTCATCTAGCATATCATCAAGCAGCGGCGCTTCGTTTGGGTATGTGGCTATCGAAATTTTCACGACCTCCAAGATGCGGTCCGTGTTGGCTGGCCAGTGGCGCCTCAAGCACATGTACTGCTCGCCACTCAGGGTCTGAGGAGTTATATACGCAGCGCTACACAAAGCAGCTAGTCCAGAGAGCACGGGGATAAAACGCATTATGTGGTATGCAGACGTGTAGCAAAGTTGGTGCACTAGGGTGTTTGATTCAGCGTTTCTGCGAAGGGAAGGTAATGGTTCGGGCTTGGCCTATATATCTGGAAGGTCTTGTGAGCAGGTTGGGCGGCTGTTTTTGTAATGCACCCATGCTGAGCTAGACTAAGAGCACCTGCCCACCGTCCCCACAACCAATTTGATGCCATCCTGTCACATCTCCTCCCCCACACAGCTACATATAATTCGGCCAGAGGACACATTTTGCTGGTCATCGGTAGAGTTGGTAAGGTGGTGCAGCTGCAATATCGCAGTATTTGTCCAGATTCTGGCTGCCATGCTGCCAACAGCAGAAATTCACCGATGGCCTAGGAACTAGGGCAGAACCAGGTAGCTGATCCTTGGCCACCAGTGTTCCAGTCCACAGCGACCAGCGGTATCCACGAGAATCTGCTGGTGCAGCTAGGCGTACCAGCCCCTTGCACCGCCTGCGCACGCCTAAACCAGGCGTGAATTTGATTAGTGATCAAGCCTTGTTTTCTTTTCTAAATCCCAGGAAGTCCACAGAACATCAGTGCCAGGTCCTCGCTTTCACGACAGAGGTCTCCTTTTCCAGCTCTTCAATTTTCTTTCCTACAATCTCCGCTTTGAAAAATGTCCGCGACGCAGATCTTCAATGAGGGAGCGACCCAGGAGCGGGCCGAGAATGCGCGTCTCAGCAACATCATTGGTGCCATCGCAGTCGGCGATTTGGTGAAGAGCACTCTTGGCCCCAAGGGCATGGACAAGATCCTGCAGTCGTCGACCCGGGGCGGCGACGACGGCCTTGTGGTGACAAACGACGGGGCCACGATCCTCAAATCGATTCCGCTCGACAACGCAGCAGCCAAGGTCCTGGTCAACATTTCAAAGGTGCAAGACGACGAGGTTGGTGATGGCACCACATCGGTGTGCGTTTTGGCAGCAGAGATCCTGCGGCAGGCTGAGCAGCTGCTGGACCAGCGGATCCACCCGCAGACTATCATCGATGGGTTCCGCCTGGCGACAAGCAGCGCGCGCACGGCTCTAGAGAACGCAGCGGTTTCGCACAAGGACAACGCCGAGCAGTGGCGCGAAGACCTGCTGTGCATTGCCCGCACCACGCTCAGCTCCAAGGTGCTAGCGTCGGATAAGGACATGTTTGCCGAGATGTGCGTGGACGCCGTGCTGCGCCTGCAGGGCAGCACCAACCTGGACCGGATCCAGATCATCAAGAAGGCGGGAGGTAAGGTGTCGGACTCGTATCTGTCGGATGGTTTCATTCTGAACAAGAAGATCGGCGTCAACCAGCCGCGCACCATCAAGGGAGCACGCATCCTGGTGGCCAATACGCCTATGGATACCGACAAGGTCAAGGTGTTTGGCGCCCACATCAAGGTGTCGGACACCGCACAGCTTGCAGAGCTGGAGCGCGCTGAGCGCGAGAAGATGCGCGCCAAGGTGCAGAAGATTGCGGCCCTCGGTATCAACGTGTTTGTCAACCGCCAGCTGATTTACAACTGGCCCGAGCAGCTGTTTGCCGACGCCGGTATCATGGCCATTGAGCACGCCGACTTTGACGGCGTCGAGCGCCTGGCGCTGGTTACAGGCGGCGAGATCGCGTCGTCGTTTGATTCTCCGGAGCTGCTCAAGCTCGGATCGTGCGAGACTGTCGAGGAGATCATCATTGGTGAGGACCGTATGGTCAAGTTCAGCGGTGTGGCGGCTGGCCAGGCATGTACCATTGTGCTGCGCGGTGGCACCCAGCAGATGCTGGACGAGGCCGAGCGCTCGATCCACGACGCCATTGCCGTCCTGAGTCAGACGGTGGCCGAGCCCCGGATCGTCTACGGTGGAGGCTGCTCCGAGACGCTGATGAGCAAGGCTGTTGATGAGGCTGCCAAGACTGTCGCTGGCAAGAAGTCGATCGCCATGGAGGCCTTTGCGCGTGCCCTGCGCCAGATGCCCACGATCCTGGCTGACAACGCTGGTCTTGACAGCGCCGATCTGGTTGCCAAGCTGCGTGCCGCCCACTATGACGGCAAGAACACCGCTGGTCTGGACCTGTACAACGGTGAGGTCATTGACGTCAAGGGCAAGGTCACTGAGAGCTTCAAGCTCAAGCGCCAGGTGCTGCTCAGCGCATCGGAGGCCGCCGAGATGATCCTGCGCGTCGATGACATTATTCGCTGCGCGCCGAGACAGAGGAGGAACTAGATGGGTGAAGCTATGCAAGACGGTGCCTGCTCTCATTTATAATATCCCTTTTGGCAATAAAAAGATCGAAATATCCTGCTGCATGTGGACTGCTTGCTAGAAAAGACCTTCGCGGTGGAGGCTCTGCAGCATCTGGTAGAAGCGGGCGCACGGGAAGCCCATGACGTTGTAGAAATCGCCTTGGATCTCCTTAATGAAGAAGCACGCCAGCGACTGATAAGCGTATGACCCGGCCTTGTCCATCGGCTCGCCCGTGGCCACATATGCCCGTACCAGCTCGTCGTCAAGTTCGCCAAACGTCACTGTAGTTGACTCAATCGCGCTCTCAATCCGGGGCTCGTCCTGGCCAGGGACTTGGATAATCAGGCACACGCCCGTGAACACCGTGTTGGTCTTGCCACTCAGTCCCTTAAGTGTCGCCAATGCATTGGCCTCGGATGCAGGCTTCTCCAGGATCACCCCCTCGGAGCTGACAACGACTGTGTCGGATCCGATAACCAGTACGGGTTTGTCCGATGCCGGCATATGCTGGTGCACATCATGTGCTTTACGCACTGCATTTTCCAGCACATAGTCGCCGGCTGACGCGAATTGCGATTTGTCCAGGTCCTCGGCAAACTGAGAAGGGATGACCTCGTATTGGAAGTCCTAGTGTTTTCCAGTGCAAATCAGCAACAGAGCGGAAATGCGCGGACGAGCAGCCGTGGGCAGGGGAGGCCATTGGATACATTGCAGGTACTTACAAGGCGGTCGAGCAGCTCGCGCCGGCGCGGAGATCCAGACGCGAGAATCACCCGGTACTTGCTGCTTAGGGTCTTCAGGAACGGAATACGGAGACTGGCCATGGTGCAGAGTGTCTGAAAGAGGCAGGTGCTTGGGAAATATGCAGCTTCAACTGAAAAGACAAATTTCTATAACTCACCTCGTGCCATCCCCATAGCATCCATCGCCGCGCTTTCAACTATGGTGCAAGATAATGCAGTCCATATATCGGATTGCGCCCTACTTGCTGTCCGGAGGTCTCTGCAGTTCCCCAGTCTGCTTACTTTGCAGGAAAATAACAGCCGGCCATGTACACGGATTTCAGCAGCCATGTCTTTGCATTCCATAGAAAACTGATACATGTGCGGCGATCCAATGGGGATGGTCCATGAACTGCAGTTGGCACCATGCACTTTAACTCAGCAAATTGTCGCTTGTCCTTGGCCCGTCTGGTGTGATGAAGCGCAATTGCATGATTTAAACCTCCAAGCACGGAATCTCATGGGGACGGTGGGGATTGCTGCCCAGCGAATCCTTTGTGTGCTGCTGGCCATACCAGCCGAGCAGACTCCGTCAGGCCTGCTATAAAAAGGGCGAGGGTGAGGGCATGTCCCACAGCATTGTTTCATCGACACCACTTCCGCTACTTGAATTTCAAATCTTTATCTACTGTGTAAACTGCCTTCGATACTGTTGAAGCTATTTTTATTTTTATTTTCCCGGCTTTGCAAATGAGTCTCGGTGGGCGCAAGGTCTCTTGGTGGGTGTCGGCTGTCGCAGTGGCTATTGGGAGCTATTATGCGTTCTCGTTTGTGCAAAAGGCGAGCATGCTCGTCGGCGTGGGCTCAGAATACGAGAATGTGAACACTTCTTCCTGCAGGAAGGTTGGCCAGGGTAAGAATCGGTTTGCAATAATTTGGCTGACGGATCAGCGATGCCAGCACAATTGGATATGTAAATTGAACTCTCTATATCTTCTAACCAAAGCGCCACTCCATATGGGTGATTGTTTAGGTGTTTTGCATGGTTGCGAGGATATTGTTGTCGACCCCGATACTGGCATGGCCTATTTGGCATGCGGTGCCATTAAGCCACGTCCAGCATTGGCTACTTCCTGATATGGAGTATGACCTCGCCAACGAGGTCGAGAAGGACCACATCTATATAATGGACGAGAAGGACCAGTACTCTGAGCTGAAGGCCATGGAGCGTACTGCTGACGGTGCCCTTGTGCCCTTTAGTCAGGATTTCCGCGTCCACGGCTTCGATATATACTGGGACCCCGTTGATCCCGAGGACATGACCTTTATGTTTGTCAACCACCAGCTCGACCACAACGCCATTTCGATCTTCTCTCACAGGCGCGGCTCCGACTACTTGGAGCATATGGAGACAGTTAAATCTCCGCTTCTTCACTCACCCAACAACATCGTGGCTATGTCCAAGCGTGCCTTCTATGCAACCAACGACATGATGTTTATTCGGGGTGCCCTGCGTGAGATCACCAACAACTTGGGTATGGCGCTGTCGCATGTTGTGTATCGCGATGATGATGGCGAGTTCAGAGTCGCGGCCAAGAATATCCGCTATGCTAATGGAATTGCACGCCACGGCGAGTTCATCTATGTCGCGTCATGCATGGACCCGGGGGTCCAGATATATACAATCGGGGATGACCACATGCTGGTGTACCAAGGTCGCTCCTTCTTCCCAGACAGTGATTCCTGATCAATCGTCTTTGTCGATAAGCCCACTGGCCACGTATACGCGACCGGTTTCCTGCGAGTCCTCGAGGTTGGCAAGTTCTTCCATGATCCCGTCGTTCAATGGCTCATCAACCTGTGCTGCTGAAGTTCTGAGGCTCACACAGAACAAAGACCCGAAGAAGGGTTTTGCGATTGAGAGCCTACTGCAAGACAGTGGGCTTGATGATGCCCACTGCCACTATTGCTGCCATCCAGCGCAGAAATAGTATCGAGCGTATGCTTGTAGGCTGCGTTGTATGCGATGCTGTCGTGGCCTGCGACAGCGCACATTAAGGGGCACATGTCTTGAACTCTTGTACTTTTCAATCTACAACAATCTCTGGTACTTGATTTTCTCTACAAATCCGTTTCCAATGGCAGCGTCTATCGAGGATGGTCATGGCTGCTTGTTTACAAGCATCCTGTCATCAAAACTATCCGAAAGAGCAGCGCTCCATGGTGGGGAGATATCTGCTAAATGGGAGGTCGTCAATTGAGGCCGGTTCGACAAACCCGTGCGCCGATCAGTGGATTTGTCTGATAGACTTGAGGGGCAGAGATCAGGAACTAGGCTTGTGTAATCTGGCGAGATCGGGCACTGCTTCTTTATCATCACTCTTTCTTCATACATTTCTCCTTAATATACCCCCAATGCAGCGGTCCAGTGACGGCGATATTGCGCAGGTCGGTTCAGCAGAGCCCGCTACGGGCCTACGCCTATGCACCAGTACAGCACGGAGAGCGAATTATTCAAAGGGACGCCAAAATTCACCCGTGTCGAGCCTAAGGGAAAGCGGCCAAGCAAGCCCGACTCTGTCCATGCCGCACGGAACGAATGGGGGTCGACTGGGCGTGTTGAGTTGAATTCGACAAATTTGCGGCGACTGGCTACGATGGGTGTGCTGGCAGTTGCTGGGCTGGGGCTTGTCGGCGTGGCCACATACTACGGTAGCACATACTACTATCTGTGCTCTCGCTGGCCGGTGCCCGCCGAGATTTCCGATTCGAATACGAGGAATCTGCTTTATCTGGCTACATACTATGAGCAGCTGGCACCCGATTACGATAAGGCACTGCAGGCGCTGGAAAAGGCGCTGGAGCTTATCAAGAAGCACGGCAAGCTGCCCATGGTCTCGCCGACTGTAGTTGAGCTCAAAATCCGTATAGCCGAGTGCCTTGTCAAGCTGGGCGAGTCTGGAAAGGTTCCAGAGCTGATGGCTCCGGTGCAGGAGTACCTGAGTTGCACCGCCAGCGATCCTAGCGACAAGGATCCAATTAGCACCTGCATGTTGATGTACCGCGTGTCGGTGGCAATTGGTGATGCCAATATGGAGTCAGGAGTGTTCAGTGGTGCTAGGAAATCCTATGGCTTAGGACTTGCGGCAGTGAAGGATATGAAAAAGCTGCTATCTCAGCAGTTCAAGGGCGAGTATCTGGACAGCTATACAACGCTCGATCAGATCAACCTGAAGGAGGCAGAGCTCAGCATGCGGTTGGGAGAGGCATTCCACCGCGGCGGCGATATTGATACTGCGGAGACGCTATTCAAAGGAACACTGTACGCAACCAAACAGCATTATGCGCAGCTGGACCTGACGCCGCGCGTTGTGGTCGATATGCGCACATTTGTCGACGGCTGGGTGTGCTTGGATTCAAAAGGCTATGCTGGCTCTTCGCACGCATCGAGGCGGATCGCGGTAGTTTCGACAAGGCCGTGGAGTGGATTGGAGCCAGCACGCGAACTCGCCAAGTCCCAAGACAAGGCCAAGCAGGCGCCATGCGTTGCATGCTACTCGCAGGTGCTGGCGCAGCTGGGGCAGATAGCCGAGAGGCAGGGGGATCAGACTAAGGCGCTGCGTCGATTCAGAGAAGCGTACGAGCATGCACGGCTGAACTTTGCCGGCGATTTGGACAGGATATGCTGCAGAGGTAGAGCGGCTGTCAGCGTAGCGTTTTACAGAATTGTTTATTAAAAGAGACGAGCTAGTATCACATATCAGCATGCGAGGAACTTCTGACCCAGCTGACATGTTTGTGTGCGAGGTCTGCCACCTGCTCATCGCCATCGTAGATACGTACGATATTATTGGCAAAGCACAGTTCGGCTTGAACGGTGGCTCTAGTGATCGGTGCCGCTGCTTCGAGAGACCAGCGGCGGTGGTGCCAAACCGATTCGTAGCCAGAGTACACGGATCGCTAGCAGTTTTGCAGTGGTGTCGCACTCGGTTTGGGCAATGTCCCGACGTGCATCCGAGCCAGGATCCCAAGGCTGCAGCAGCAATCTACGAGCAGGTGGAAGTAGTGATATGCGGCATAGTCTGCCGGGTGGTCGGCAGTCCACTGGAGCATGTTTTGAACCTCCAATCCGATCGAGTTCATTGATGCTATGCGTGCTAGAGATCTGCTGGTACATCCACCACCGATATGCCCAGCAGTGGTAGTTCCGTGGATATCGTACACAGCACTCGCTGGTTATCTTGGTCTCCGCCTTCCACCGCACCTTAGCATCTGCATTTATGTCGCATCTCTCGATGATCCATCGCCGGTGGTGCCAAACAAGACTTGCCTTGCAATGGCGCTTGTACGTTACAAGTATGTCGAGAAATCGCAGCTCATCGTCATATACGATTTCGCCACTTTGGAGCAGTGTCTTTCGGCGGTTCCAGGCTGTGTGGTGGTCAGGGTTCAATGCAACAATACACCGTGTCAGCTTATCTAGATGGCTAGCATCGCTGGGTCCAGCAACCTACTTGGCTCCACGCTGCTTCCAATACCGGACACACTGCAATGAGGGGAATGCCGAGACATCCGCCGCCGATCACAAACGGGTAGTATTTGTCCTCTGCACTTCCAGGTGATATCGGAATCAGGTCGACAGCCATGACCTGTGGGTCAAGCAATGCCTGGATCGAGACTGTCGATTAATTTATTCGCTGGAATGTCGAGGAGCGGATGTAGAATCGACCATGGGGTACAGATAGAGATAAAAAGAACAGAACTGAAAGAAATGAGGGCGCGGCAGCAATGGCTTGGTAAAAGTAAAAGCTCAAGGCCGCAATAAGAGTAGGAAATGTGAACATAAACGCCAGTGGTGTGATATGGGGGGTGCATGGTCAATAGATCTGGCCCTTGATGTCAACCTTTTCGAATTTTTGCATGGAGGCATTGGCGATCGGGAGGGCTGCTTTGCCATCAATGGCCTTTTCGCCATCGGTAGTATCTACGATAGGGATGCTGTGCTCGACCAGGAACTTTAGGCATTTTCTCGTGCTGCTGAAGGCCAGTTCGTGAGTGACAAACGAAACCCTGATTGTAGGCCGGTATGCCTTGCACATGGTGCGCAGTGCGGCGCATCTCTCACGGTCTGCAAAGTGGTCCATAAGGAATACGCCCATGTTGGGTGCAATCTGGTACAGCTCAAAGAAGCGGTGGTAGTTGCCAGGAGGCCCAGGCTGCACGCACCCGCAGGGCATGGTCGACCTCAGAGCTGAACCTCTCCTTCTCCGTCATCGTCGCCAATGCTTCGTTGAGCGCCGACTTGTTCCGCGTGTACACGTAGTAGAGAATCCTATAAGCAAGAAATTCCAGGGCGTGGCCGGGCTGGCCCTGGCTGTACAGCTGCTTGAGCTGTGTCTGGCACTGATTGTACTCACCCAGGTCTTTGGTCTCGAGTGCAATGCGTGCATGCATCTCGTAGACCTCGACCGTAAACTCGTTCGCGATGTGCTGCACCGTCAGATCCTGTCCGCATCGATTTGAAACTGGTCGCAAATGTACGTATAGTTGCTCTCCTCCTTCCACTTCTTCATCAGCAGCTTCAGTGTCTGCCGCAGTACCGATAGTGGACGCACCTTTGATGGGTCTGGGTCAGGATGTCAGTCTGAAAAAGTTCTTCTCCAGCGACATACACGTTCCAACAATAGCGCCTGAACTGCTGGCCTCATCTCCAGGGGTGTGGGCATGCAGCGTACTGCCATCTGTGTTGTCGTCCGGATGTGCTGCTGCCGCTTCTTGCTGGAACCGTCTCAGCCGCTCCCTTTTCTTCTCTTCTGAATCATACGAGCTATTTGATACCTCAGCAAGCCCAACAAGCGACAGGGGCTGCTTTGGATGGGGTTGGTGTGTGTTGGTGTTGCTGCTGCTGTGGCTTGCGTGTGAGTGGATGGGGTCTATCGCAAGCCTTGGGGAGTGCACGGCTGTCCCAGTCGATGTCATTCAGCTTCTTGTTGTTCATAGCTGACGTAACAATCTGCGTCAGCTGGGATTCTAGCTTGCGTCTCGCTTTCTCCGAGCACGCGTCATACGAGCGCTTGACAAATTTTCTCAGCGGTTCTGGCCACATGGGGTCTGACATAGTGGGGCTGATTACTACCTTATGTGCGTGCTTGCCAAACATCGGGTCGTGGCGGCCCTGCTTCGACTTCTTGCTAACCTTGACCGCGGTGTACAAAGGCTGCTTGTCTGCATGGCCATTTTGGTACAGTGAAATGCCTGATACTCCCTGAGTCATGTCTCTTGTGAGCGATGGCGATCTTGCCCGCGTGATATGCAGATTGGTGGGCTTTTTCGCGTAAGCATATTGTTGAGGGGGGCGGGCAGTGGACCAGGGAAGGAGGGACAAGGGCCTGCCGAGAATACTGGCTGTCAGTGCTGGCCTGAGCCGTGGGCAGTGGCGGCGGCGGGCGCTGGGAGTTGGGCAGATACGAAGGTTGCTGATACTGGCCATTTTGCGCGGAATAAGAATATGCGGTGCTGTCAGATGCTGGGGCATACGCGTGTTGATTATTGAGTGGTGAGGTAGGTGAGGCAGGGGGCATGGCATATTGGTGCGGCTGTTGTTGCTGTTGTTGCTGCTGCTGGGGTGTTCCATACGTTTGGTAGTACCATTGGGTGTAAGCAGCATACTGCTCTGACGTGTAGTTTGTCGGTGGTGCTGCTGCAGTGGCGGTTGCAGCTGAAGCAAGTTGGGCATGGTTCTGCTGCTGTTGCTGCTGCTTCTGGTTTTGGATATGATGACTCCATGTACTGGTAGTACTGCGCCCAGTTCTGAGTGTCGTTGGCTACATTGGCCTGACTTCCATTCTGCGTCTGATCCCACCTACACAATTTACAATTCTTTGAGCAGACTCGTTTGCATAAATAGCTAGGCCCAGGCGCGATAGCAGGACGTTAATATCTGATGACTCACCAGCTGGTGCCGTTGTCGCCATTTGCAGGATTGCCGTTGCTCATTGTTTGCGAAGGATTGCTAGCTCTGTTTAAAAAGTATGGAAAAAGTTTGCATCAAGGGAAACAAAGGAGCACAGCCAAGCAAAGCAAGAAAAATTTTGGATGTCTACAGAACATGCTCGCAATCGGTGATTGGCTGCACGTGCGGGTCACTGTTGATTGGAGGCTCTTTGAGCTTGAGGGTTCCAGGTCGCCGCAAAGGAGTTCTGACGATTCTGGTGTCCAGATGTGCACCCACCGACAGCACCAGCCGGGCGGCCAAAGGTGTGCTGCACCTCGTCTATCATCCGAGGTCTGTGCCACTGTCTCTGTCAGATCCCTGCCGCGTGACCACGGTACATGGTGCTGACAAAGAAAGTAAAGTGTGCTTGCTCTATCAGAAATCATCGACATCTGCCAATGCTGGCATCGCCAGCAGGAGCAATTCCCCTCGGAAAATCTGAAGAATTGACTTGTCCAAATTCGTCTGCACATAAGACGAGGCAGCATGCAAGCCGTAGGTGCATAGCCGAGCTGGACACCTTTTTCTCATCGCTTGGTAAGGGATGCAGAATAGTGCTGAGAAAGATAAACATGTACACAGCCGGATGTGTGCAAGGACAATGGAGGACTGGTCAAGAGCCAATTTGCTCTGCAGCTGCCATCAGCCGGGCTTGCATTGGGCAAGAGATTTTCTACAGACATGCTCGCTCACTCCCACACACAGGCATACCTGTGTATCTGCTGTCGCTGTGAGGAGCTTCGGACTAGGCCGGATGCTGTGTGGCCAGTGGGAACTCCGCTTGCCTCCGGCTGAAAGTCACTGTGGGGAGAGGATTGCGGGTATATAATGTCGCCGACACCTGCACTGCCAAAAGTCATTAATTTCATACTCCGCCCTGCCTGTTTGGGGTGGGGGCGGCGCATACTCAGCAGGACAGATGCTCAGCATTGGCTTATCCACTGCTTCCAAAACATGCTGGCCATTGCATATTGCCAAGCAAGAGTGTTCGCCCTTTTCACTAGCGGGATATCGAGCGTAAAACAAAAATAAGGAAACGGGGCGGGCGATCCCCAGCTCTTCATATCCTTAGAATCGGCGTTGCAGGTCTGCATGTTCAGGCAGCGGTGATCGCCAATTCCTAGCGGCCATCCGGGAGTGAACAAAACCCCAAGCGATTTTGTTGATTGTCAGAAAGGCACTACGACACCACAAACGCAGCAATTTGTTCATGTTGCAAGAAGCTGGCCCGCACCGCAGATAATGCACCTCTTTTCTACTCTTCACTCTCCCGGCTGACCTTTCATTCTCTATTTGGAGCCTTTCGCCTCACAAACCGTCCCGGCTTGCCATTTCTTTCTCGAGAGGGGCGGCGGAAAAAACGCAGACGCAAGGGCGTCAAAATTTTACATAAATTGAAACTCATGCTGGCAGCCTTGCCACCTCCCTATCCACATTCCTCCTTTTGTCGGGTGTAGCCACACTTATTGATTCGCAGCTTCGCGCTTCCTCTTTTTACTACCTTGGGCTCTCTTTTTATTACTTCGCCAGGCAGGGACCTTTTCTTTCTCCTTGCATCTCCCCTCCGTTTCGCCGTAGCGCCTGTCCCCTTCGCCTCTTTTCCATCATGCTTTTGCAACTGTACAAGAGCAAGGCATTTGTCAACTGCGTCGTCCTGCTTGGCATCATTGTTTACATGTACAAGACATATACGCGGCGTGCTGAGGTGTTTGGCATTGGGACCACCCACGAGAGCGCCAATACCACTAATTGCTACCAATTCGGCCAAGGTAAGACTGATGAATCTACATGCCATTGTTGGTTGTCTTGTGCTGCCACACATATCAGCTACGTTCGTGTCTGTTTCCCATCATCGTCATTACTGACCAAGCCTTTCCCTATACTGCTAGACCTGGACATGGTGCAGGGCTGTGAGGATATCCACGTTGACCCGCGCTCCGGCCTCGCCTATCTAGCGTGTGGCAACATCAAGGCGCGCACGCGCTGGATCCTTCCTGGAACGCCATACAATACTGACTTTGAGCAGTACAAAGACCACGTCGTCGTTATCGACGAGCAGGTAGAGTAACTCTAGGCTAAATGTGCAAAATAGAGTTTGGCCGTTGTTTGCGTTCAAACCACTCCTAACTTTATTTCTTGCTGATAATCCGCGCCTGCTGGCACACAATCCACACTACTTACTCAACACAATTCCAACCGTGTCCCTCAATTCTGTGCATTGTAGAACAACATTCGCGCACTCGATGTCCTCGAGCGCACGCAGTCAGGCGCACTAGTCCCATTCACACAGGACCTGCGTTTGCATGGCTTCGATATCTTCTTTGATGACCTGGAGCCTGGCCTGCTGACATTTATGTTTGTCAATCACCAGCGCACAGGCAATGCCATCTCCATCTTCTCGCACCGCCTTGGAACCATCCAGCTGGTGCATGAGGAGACTGTTTCATCGCCACTGTTGCCGTCGCCAAACGACGTGGTGGCCATGTCCCACACTACCTTTTACGCAACAAACGATGTCCGCCATACCAAGGGCGGCAGATTGCGCAGTGTCGAAGAGTTCTTCGGCATGCCTTGGGGCCACCTCGTCTACCGCGGCCCCGAGGGCATGTTTTCGATTGCCGCCGAGTCCTTGTCGTACCCAAACGGCATCACAAAGAGTGCTGACGGCTCACTCATCTACGTTGCATGCTCAAGCGAACCCGGTGTCAGGACATTCAGGCCAAACCCAGACGGTTCGCTCGAGTATCTAGGCGGAATCGTGTTCAAAGGGCTGATTCCAGACAACCTCTTTGTCGATGCTCCCACTGGCCACATCTACGTAGCAGGTAAGCACAATACAAATGGCAGAATCGACCCGGGTCTACGCTGTTCGCGGCCTATTTTCCCTGGATAGGCCAGAACATGCATTTGGCCAAGAGCGCGGAGAGATCCTCAGTCTGGCCTGACTGTGTACTGCTCGTTGGTTTTTCCTTACCTTTGCTGAAGGATTTGTACAAAACATGCTATTTATTGTAGGGTACCTGAACACGATGGAGATGTTCCGATACAACCGCGAGTCTATCCATGGCACCACCGCACGCCCTGCGGCTGGTATATACCGTCTCAAGGTTCGTAATGATCCACGCCAGGGCTTCATATGCGAGAATGTGATGGTCGACGGTGGTGACTTGCTACCAACCACGACAGTCTCTGCTGTGCAGCGTCGCGGCGGAGTCACCCGAATACTTCTGGGGTCAGTCATGTCCAAAGGCCTTGCCATCTGCGACCACGGGCGCAATCTGTAATCAATATTCCACTTTTCCAGTTGCTTTTCTTTTTCATCTGTCCGTGTCTCGTCTAATAGTATATTCATATCCGCGTCTTCTTCATCCACTCATCCACAAGCACGACACATGCTACTTGTGAGTAGCGAGGTAGATGTTGAGCTTGGTTGGCTCCGAAAACCTTTTGGCCAATATCTGAATCTCTGGTGGCACAATCCCCTCGCCAGCTGGAGACGTGTCTGGGTCTGGCTGGTTCTCCAAAGTGGCATTTTCGTCGCTGTCGGCATCCAAGTCTTCTGTCTTGGCTATATCTGGCTCAATACCGGCACTCGCTGCATCTATGACTATCGCATCAGCCGACCGAGAGTTGTAGTACTGGCACACAAGTTGCTGCGCCAGTCGTTGCTTGCCCCTATCCAGACAGGCTTGGACTGCTGCTACCAGTTTATCGTTGCGCATCCTGTTCTGTACGTAGGCGCGGACGGCACGACCCGCGGGCGGGCGCAGCAGTGCTTGCCCATGGAGACCACGAGCATCAATGACATCAAATATCAGTGTTAGTGCTCGCGACCGTGACCAGTCAACAAATAGCTGTGAATCTCCAGCTTTCGACGACAGGCCAGCAAATTCGAGAACGAGCAGAATATCCTCGTGTACCAGGGCAGGGCTACGGCTGCTGATATACCGCCGCAGGAGCTCTGCAGCATCGTTACCGCCCGGAAGTACCTCATATGAAACAAAAGCCAATTGCAGAGCTGCCGCATTGTCGCCAGAGCTCTCATCCAAGCACTGCAGCAGGGAATCCACAATGTTGCCTGTGCTGATATCAGGAAGGTAGAGCGAACGAATGCAGGCGCCGAGCACAAATATGGTGTCTTCGATCCAGCCTGGGGCCTGGCACTGAGCGATCTGCACTAGACTGCCTGACACCGCCTGGTTCCAGAACACTGGCAGTTCTGGGATCATAGAGAAATGCGTCATTCTGCTGATGATCTCCAGTGCACCTGTCACGTACCGGAACGCCTTTGCTGAAACCAGCTGTGTGAGAATTCGCACCAGCAGATCGCTGTCCTGGACATCAAAGTCCAAGCACAAGTTGCAGATGAGCTGCGCAACACGGGAGTCCTCGTGGTAATCGACCCAAATCGACCGTGCCAGGGCTGCCTTCGAGCACTCGATAAAGTCTGCTGTCGACTGCGGGATTCCGACAAAGTCAAAGTCTGCCAGGTAGAGTAGGGCCAGGAAGTATCGCTTCACATGCTCGGGGCTTTGTAGCGCCGCAATATCGTTGTCGGAAGCCAGCGAGAGCACAATGTCCAACGCACGCGCACGGCACAGGCACGAAATACCGGTGGGGTTATTGTACGCGAATTTCAGAAGCAGCCTGACCATATCGGAAACACTATATGCACGCAGAACATAGACAATGCAGCGTCTCAGCTGCGCTTCCCGCGATGACGGCATGCGCAGGGATGCCTGGTACCGCGTCGAGGGAAGCAGCAGGCTCTCCGTGCTGGGGTCAAGAACAATGGCTGTGCTCAGGTATGTGTCAAGCATCGTTTCCAGCAGCTTGTCCATCTCAAATCCGTAGATCTCAGCCAGCGTGCGCACAATCTCATGCAGAACATGGCGCCCCTCGTGCTTCGGCTCACACATTGCAGAATCGCACTGGCCCTCATAGATAGCAGTCAAGGCGCGCAGCATAGCTTCGCTGCCCTGTGCATCTGTGAATAAGTGCAGGTACTGCTCCAGCCCGTGTTTACGCAGTGCGACCTCAACCGACGAATCCGTGTAGCTCTTTTGAAAGTGCGTGTATATTGTCTCTGCCTTGACCAGGACCTCGCTGCGCTCTGGCTCGCTCATGCGCTTAGTGTACTGCGCCCACTTTGTCAGCAGCTTAATGCCCATCTTCAGTGCGGCAAGCCTATCGGGTCCACACGGCAGCTCATCAGCGAAATGCTTGAGTGTGCTGACCGCTGCTTCGGGGTCTTTGAAGCATCGTATCAGTGGCTGGATTGCATTAAAACGTGTTGGCGTCTTGCTCGTCACAACCGAGAATGCCATACCGCGTGTAAGTTCAGACGGACTATTGCGCTTCCACTGCTTTAGCATCGAATCGATCAGGTTCATGTAAAAGTCGTCCTGGTTTAGGCCCAGTGGCTTGGCCAGTACCACCAGCAAATCAACTGTATCTGCACTGAGCTCTGGTAGCAACGCCGCCCACGGATTCGAGTTCACGATTGAGTGGAATGGCAGCCGCTTCGCTGCTAATGGATACTGGGCAAGGAGTGTCGACAGCGGCGGTGTCTGGCCAGTGTTCTGCGTTACCGGCTCGTCTGATGCAGCAAACTGTTGCGACACCTCGCGTGCAGAGCGTGTTCTGGTCCATTCTAGAGTCAGCTCCTCAATCCCCGGCTCACCGCGGCGGTCGTATGTGCACAGGATATCCAGAACTGTCGTATAACTAGTGACTACCTCATCCTGCGGACGCAGCTCCTCAAGTCGCTGCACAACAAACTGCAAGCGCTCGTAATCGTATGCAGAAATCCCGCTCTCCATGGCATCGACGTATGTCCGCTCCAGCAGCTTCGTGTTGGCGACCTCATCCGCAATTCCCAGGATCCGCGCCTGATAGCCGTCAATGCCGGGTGCCGAGCAACACAGAGAAATGTACTCGAGGATCACAAAGGTCTCGTCAAGCCGGAACTCATTGGCAAACTCGAGCACAGTGGTGATATCCATGCTTGTTTTTACCAACATTGGTCGGATCAGTGTCTCCAGCAGCTGGGGCTTCGGGTTGTTGAGCAGCGCAACGTCAAACTTGATGTGCAAAAGTTGCAGCTGCTCGCTCCACCGTGCAGCAGCGGCAACAGACCGACAGCGGTCCAAAAGGGCCTGCTGCTGCCACACCAGCGAGCAGGCTGACCCAATATTGGCCAGAGTGATCACACGCGACGGCAGCAGCCCCGAATGGCTCATTGCTGTCGACAGATGCTGGTACGCTTTGACCGGTGGCGTCATGATCATGGACGAAAATATGAACACCATATCGACTCCACGCTGCTGCTGCAGCGAGCGCACCAGAGCCTTGCCAGTCAGCGACTGGATATCCAGGGGGTTTGCTGTCTCCCCAACGCCAAACAGCGTGTCCAGCTCGCCCTCACTGACACCGCCTGAGCTCAACCGCTGGCGTAGCAGGTTAAGCGACTCGACTGATTCTTCGACATCGGCACTGACCACAAATGACGACCGTGCCAGCTGCGAAATGGTGAGCTCCAGTGCCTGAGTGGCCAGAATCCAGTGGCGGTTGGCCGACAGATGCGCTGCCAGACTTCGGCAGCAGCTGATTGCCTCGCTCCGAAGGTCATCGGCCTCGAGCTCGCCTAGTTTCGAAATGTCGCGGTCATCGGCGCTCTTCTCTGAGGATTTGGACCGGCTGCTTCTCAGGGAGTCGGCGCTATCTCTCGTTCCAGGTCGTAGTCCGGTGGTTGTCGTGGGCAAACGACGCAGCAGTGTAATAAGCCGATATACTAGCTTCATCGTCTTTTCAGTCTCTAGGACCAGCCCGCGCTCAACATAGATGTTTGAAAACAGCGGGCCAAGCCAGCTAGACACCGCGCCCTCACCGACCTCTCCCGATTCCTCGTACCCAGCCGCTATAGGCGAACCCGACGACGGACCGGCGACAGCATGCGTTGAAAAGGACCGTGACGACGATGGTAGAGGCACAGCTGGCGTTGGTTTCGGCGCCAGCTTTCGCGTCAACGTAGCAAAATCGCCATCAGCTGTCTGTTTGAAGATGGCAGCAGCAAACTCCCAGCTCGAGAATGCATCAAGAAACCCGACCAAGTGTGTTTGGGAGGCACACTTCAGACTCGCTGCTTGGCATAAAACCACCAATCGCTTGATGAGCGCGCCCTGCAGGGACCCAGGCAGACCCGGTGTTTCTGCGTCAGTCTGCACAGAGCCGTCATGGAGACCAGCGAGGTGTGCGCTGATCACCTGCTCACACTTGGCCAATGCACCGATCGCCGCATGCCAGTCATCCACGGTAGACATAGGAACTGTCATCCTCGCACTCTGTCCAGGTAGGTCCTCTGACGGTAACGGTCTCAGCGTCTCGATCAGATCCTGGCACGTGTCGAGAGCAGCACCGAACACCCCATGCGATAACGCAAGCGAAATGATGCGCTGACTTAGCTGTGCTGGGGAAAACTTTAGCATTGCTGCCAGGCTCTTAATATTGGTCGGAATTGACGGCAGGCTGAGCAGCTCCAGAGCTGCAGGTTTAGCAGGGCCACGGATCTGCTTGCCCTTACCCTTCGGTCTGCCACTACTAGCGCACTCGCTGACATATGGCTGAAGCCAGCGCTGTTCCAGAAGCTCGTCTAGAATTTGTCGCCTTGCAGACCGATGCTCCAGTTCACCTGGCGAAACCATGATTTCGCCCTCCGTTAGCAGCTGCCACACAACGCCCATGGTGGCCTTCTCGCCAGAAACGAAGTCCCTGATCTTGTCGAGCAAATGCTGCGGCAAAGCGTGTACCCTATGTGAGCCGCTGGTGCCTTCAGCAAGCGCCTGGGCAGCTGCCGTGTGCTTCTTGCAGAGTGCATCCAGGGTGCGGATCATGGCCATACTCGCTTCAGCGTACTGCGAAAACTGGGTCTTGCTCGACTCACCCGTGAATGTCATGCTGTCGAGGAACTCGCGTACCCAGCATATCCCCCTTCTAACAATCTCCATCGGCACATATCGGGACGCGGTCTGATCGTCCTTGGTCGCACTGCTACCTGAATCAAGCGGCGTGTGGTGCTCAGTCGGAGGTAAATGAACACTGCCCGCTTCTTTGATGGTCGGCCCGTGCTCAGTCTTGTCAATATACTCGATCAGGCTGGAGACCTTGTCTGGATCGCCTGCCTCGCACAGCGCCTGCAGTCGCAGAACATACGCGGTGGTCCGGCTCAGCTGGTGATAGGCATCGACTAGCTGCAATGCATCAGCCATGATTCCTGGACTGTCGGTTTTGCGCACAAGCCATTGCAGTAGCGGATACGCCATGCGCGTGTTGGAAATGTGGAAGTCAGGCAACCCATACGAGAAGAGCATGCGCTTCAAACACATCAGTCGGTACTGCTCACCGATCTCTACCTTCCGGCGGGCCGAGCTCAGGGTCAATATCAGCAGGGCCGTCCAGTAGCTTGAGGCTGTCGCCAATTGCCTTGTCGATACCGGTCGACCAGGGAATATTGCTTCGCCGCATCACTTCCAACATGATGTCCAAGTATGTCGCCAGTATGGTCTCGCCAGTAATAGCAGATGAGGGCCGCATTGGCGCAAGCCTTTTGGTTGAACTGGACTCATTGGCTGGCATATGCATTCTGCCATTGGTGCTCTCAGCTAGACACTCCAGAAGCTGCAGCACACGGGGCTCCCACGAGTCGAATCCTTGAGCTGGTGCAACCGCCGAATTCGATACCATTGCAATATCCTCCCCATGGACGGCACCATGGCTAGCCGTATCAATGTCATCCATGGTTGTTATACAGTATTGCTGGAGGAGCTGCGGGTAGTCGAGCTGATGGCTGAGCGCGTACGGCACAAAGTGGTCAAAGTAAGCTTGCCGTAGGAGTTCGGGGGCAGCAACGCGGTCCAGGAATTCGATCGCGATCATCGAATATGAGAGCAAGTCATATTCCTCGAGGGCCAACTGCATGCTATGTTGTTCCCGTAGATACACCAGGTCCTGCAGCTGCTTGTGCAAGAATGCGCAGCTCTGTGCTTCATCTTCATAGCTGCCGGCAGCAATCTCGTCGCTGCTCGATTCTGAAGGCCGTATATCCACGCCACTGAAACGGGCTAAGCCGAGCATCCACTGTGACATTCGCTGCGACCCATCTACAAAGCTCTGCGGCGTAACTGCAAACTGGCCCTTGGCCAACGTACTCGCTGCCTGGCCGCCGCCTGCATCGTTGCCCTGATAGGTCGACCATGACCCAGGATCCAGCAGCTTAACCAGGACTAGCGCATCATATGGCTGCTTCTGCTTTGCCTCCAGCAACCGTGCGCGTTGCTCGGTCCACGCTGCAATGTCGTGCCACTGTTGTGCTGTATGTATCACTGGTAGAACCTCTTGCCGCAGCCATGCCGCCAATGCCTTAGAATCAATACTTAGCGGAAACCCGTGAATCGCATCTGAGATATCCGAAACCATGCGCCTATCGTCCTGATGCCGCCGCCAGACCGTACTGGCACGCAAAATGTCACCCATGGCTATATACGACCGCAGACATGTTGCCAGATCGGCATCACGGAATACACGCCAACCCTCCGCAGAGAACTGGCTGGTACTGCTAGCAGGGTGCCCCAGCATCAGCCATGTCCCCAGCCGCTGGATCACCTTCTCCACGGCAGCTTTGCGTGGGCTACCGAACTCTATCGCCAGCTGCTGAGCATGCTTCAGCAGCCGCCACATGCCAGCATACGATGGTACAGACAGACGCATACAGACATCAATAGCGAACTCTGAATCCTGGTCGCCATCCTCGTCAAGTTGCAGCAACATCTCGAGAACGTTATCCACAAACCTCGCAACCTCCTCGATTGTATCCAGATTTGCTGTCGCATGCGTCGAGTCCTTGGCCAGCTCTTCTAGCCGCGTGCGGTATACGCGTCCCATTGAAATCCCGCACTCCTCTGCAAACCGCCCAGCCTCAGCATACCGGCCGTCCCGCAGGTAATGCGCTAGGCGGTCCATTGGCACTGTTTCGTACAAGCGGCGGAGGAATAGGGTGCGCGTGTCCTCGCTAGTAGTGCCTTCGACAAACATGATCGTGTCGGTAATATCGGCAGTGGACCTGATATCAGTGGCCAGCCATGTCCACAGGGAGACGTCCATGGCATAGATGGTTTCCATTTGCGGTAAGGACACAACAAACAGACGTCGGCACTGCTCTCTAAGATTGCCAGCGTCGCCATCGCTATCGTCCTCATAATCGTGACTGGATACCGATACTGGCTTGCTGACTGCAACGACCAATAGCGATGCGGGCGACCGAGCTGACTCTGGCGTCGAATTGCTAGGACCAAGCAGACTAAAATCGTCAACCAGCGTATCAGTATAGCGGAAAACAGGTGTCAATGTTGAGCGTTCGTAGATATCCAGCGATCCGTGCTCACTGAGTGCTACCAGGTACCGCTGATCCAACGACACCAGCATTTTGATATAAGCAGATCCCGAGCACTGCTCGCTGACCAGATCCACCAGATGTGTCGTCCTAGCCTCTTCCGTTGCAGCATCTGCCTCTGAGCGCTTCCAGCTGCTCATGCTCGCACTGCCGCTGCCTGAAATATCGATCCGCGATTCAGTCTTTTCATGGCTAACCACCATGCTACTGATCCCTCCGCCATGCACGCTGCGTCCACATACGCTCAGGCCCACAAACTCGACGCAGATCCGCCTCTTAATCTCCATGGCCAGCTCCATATCAGCGGAGACAATCGCAGTGTTAAGTTGGCCCAGTTGGATATCCGAGAACCGTACCAGCGTGGTGTTGTCGCATACAAGCACCAACTCCTCACACGCTGTATCGCCGTGCGCCACAGCAAACCGTATGGCTGTAATCCCTGCTACATCCCCGCCCGGTGGCCGGATCAGCTGCGAAAACACTGCACTTCGTGTCTGCACATGCACAATAAACAGCGTGCCGGTATCATCTCCAAAGGCTACAAACGACGAGTCGCCGTTCAGTGCTGCTGCTGTAATCGGGTAGTCATGGCGGATCACTGCTTCCTGCGTCTTGCAGTCTGCCGAAAGGACATGGATCTGGTTCCCAATCGCCACTGCAACATGCTTTGATGAAGCAATGGCGTCGCACCAGCGGTCTGAGGAAGAGCATGTGTCGGAGGTGGTTTGCTCGGCAATGGCGAGTGTTTCGAGACGGTACGAGTCAAACGCAGTGGTGGCAGCAGGGTGTGGGGTGGTGCCTGGCAGCCGGTTTAGCTGCAGGGTTTCGTCTTGGTCGGAGCGCAGCTCGAAAGTCCAGGTGCTGCGCGAATCGTCCTGCAATTTCCGACGCTTGGGCGGCTGGTCCTGGTCCGCACCATGTGGGCTGCGCTTCGACTTCTCGGCAGCAGAGACCATTATGCAAGGAAATGGTTGTAATTGGAGAGGACTCTGAAAAAAAAAAAATTAAAATGCAAACTGAGTGGACCGGAGAAGAGAGTTTCTATTAATCTGCAAGTATTGGTGTTAAACAGCCCTCGCTAAAAAAAAAAACTGGACCTTTTTCTCTTCATTTCCACTCTTCCTAATTCCTTTTTTTTTAATGCAATGAAGAAGGACCGCAAGCGACGCAGGTGGATGGTTGTCTCCGATCCAGCCGACTCCAACCCGACCTCAGCCACCACACCGACACCGGCAGCCAACGACCTCGACATGAACATAACAACCCACGGCAAGATCCGCGCCTACGTCCAGTTCATCGCCAAAACCCTGAGTCAAGCCCCTAAAACATCAATACACATGTACGCAAAGGAAACAGCTGCCGGCAAACTAGTCACGGTGCTCGAGATCCTAAAGCGCCAAAACATCGAGGGCCTAACACACGAGCTACAGTTTGGCGATACCGCAAGGTCACCATGTGTGAGAGTCGCCGGAAAGGAGGACGGGCAGGCACAGAAACGGCAAAAGATCGATGGCGAGCCGTGGCTGCTGGCAACACTAAAGGTCGTGTAGACTTAGAAGTCAAAGTACCACCATATAAAGCGGTACGCTGTGTAGAGGGTGAAGGGAACAGGCATGATCATGAAGGCGAGTGGGATTACAACGCGACCGATGCGCAGGAGCGCCTTCACAGCAACACGGCCAACACGAACGGTTCCTCGAAGCACCGAGGCTACAGTGAGATCCATTATAAATAGCAGCTAGCAATAGGAGACAAGAGGCATGTCGTGCAAAGTATGTACGACTGCGTGGCTCGTGTATTCGCCGATCGGGTTCCAGCACCCTTCTCTTCGGCCTAGAAGCTCCGGGGTTCAGTTTAGTGTGTTGTTGGCAATGTAGAGGCTTTTGAAAAACATAGGGGCGTGAATTCCTTGCAACTAGTAGAACTTCTTGTGGACAATATCCGGATCCTCCTGGTACTCTTCAGCCGACACCCACATCTTCTTGAAGGTGCTGAGCGACGCCAGAATGGAGCCACCAATCCATGTCGAGTATTTGCGCTCGGGCGGCGCCGAGATCTTGATCTTGCTGTCCTTGACGGCCTGCTTCCGGAGCTCCGACAGCAACCGATCGCCGAATCCCTTGGTCAGCGTAGTGCCGCCAGACAAAACAACGTTCGTGTACAGCGAGCGACGCAGATCAATGTCGGCACGGTTAATCGAGTCAACCACGATCTGGTGGACACCAGGGTGCTCGAGACCAATGATATCGGGATGGAACAGAATCTCGGTGGCACGGAACCGCTCATGGCCGAGGTTGATGATGTGGCCATCGGGCAACTTGAACACGTCACTGCGCGACTTGGCCTCGTTGCCTGAGCCGCCAACAGACTCCAAGCGGGCACTGCCCACGGAGGCCAGCTCCTTCTCCTCCTTGGCAGCATCCAGCGCCACGTAGCAGATTTTCTCCTTGATCTGGCGCACAATCTCGTGCTCAGCGGTCGTGTTGAACCTGTAGCCAGCCTTTTGCAGCAGCACCTGCAAGTAATCAGTCACATCCCGACCGGCAATGTCCACCCGGCGGATCGCGTGCTGCAGGGCAAAGCCCTCAAATACCGGCACCGCGTGCGAGACACCATCGCCTGAATCCAGCACGATTCCCGTGGTGCGCCCCGACGCATAAAGACTCAGCACGGCCTGGATTGCCGTGTAGAATGCCGGTACATTGAACGTTTCAAAGAAGATCTGCGCTGCCTGCTCGCGGTTCGACGACGGGTTCAATGGTGCCTCGGTCAGCAGAACCGGGTGCTCCTCCGACAGGGTCTTCAGTTCGTCGTTGTAGATGTACGACCAGATCTTCTCCATGTCCTCCCAGTCTGTCACCACGCCGTGCTCCAGCGGGTAGTTCATGCGCAGAAGGCCCCGCAGCTCCTCGGCTTGCCGCCCGATGAAATAGTCGCCCTCCACGGCGCCCGCCATCATGCGCAGGTGCTTTGGGCGCCCCACGGACGCGGAGAAGAACGACTTTGGCTGGTCATCGCCTGCGAAGCCTGCTTTGATCACGCCCGACCCGTTGTCAATAACGACCGGCTGATTGGTGAGCACATCCTCGAATTCCATGATTGCTGAATAAAGCTGGCTTGTGCTAGGTAATTAAAGGACAGTAGTAACGGAGGGGGGTGTGCTGGATGCGAGATACAGGTGTGCGGGTTGCTGTTGGAATCAGGGTAGAGATGAGTAAGAAAATAGAGGGAAAAAGAAAGAGGGCTGTAGAGAGAAAAGTAAACACCCGGCGTGTTTGCTTGTTTTGATCGGAGGGGTATCTGGTGTTGTTTTCAGGTCCAGAATGACAGGCACGTCGAGGATCTGGTCCATCGCCGCCTGCCATTGGCTGGGTAGATTTGTCTTCACGTGATTTCATGTCCAGAGCCGTACGCCTTCGCTTGAACAAGGCGCATGCAGCCTAATGGCTGCGTTCCACCATTTTCGGCTTCGCTCATCCTTGCAACTGCCACATTTAATTTGCCCCTCTCAATTTCACATTTCGCGATGTCTGACCCATTCGTTATCGTGCAAGACGACGTAGTGTCGGCGTTTGGCCAGATAAAGTCGCTGTTTGCAGCATGGAAGCGGCTGAGCGGCAAGCGGCGCTCGCAGCAGGAGGAAAACGAGTTCCAGTTCACAACCGACGAGCTGTATAGCACAATCAGCTCCATCAGCACAGACCTCGAGGACCTGCAAGAAACCATCAACGTGGCCCGCGGCTCGCCCGAGGAGTATGGGCTGACGCCAGCGCAAATTAAGGACCGACAGGCGTTTGTGGCAACCAAGCAGAAGGCGCTGGAAGACATGCGCAGAGCGCTAGCACAGCCAGAGAGGCGGACAGCAGCCCAGGACACAGACAACAGCCAAGGCGACCATTTTGCAGTCGAGTTCGGCGGACAGCAGCAGGAGCAGCAGATGATCATCAACCAGCAGGACCAGCACCTGGACTCCATGCTGGACACAGTGCGCAACCTGCACGGGATTGCTGGTACCATGAACACAGAGCTCGACGACCAGGCGATTCTGCTGGACGAGATGGGCGACCTGGTCGAGCGCACCCAGTCCAAGATCGATGTGGCCCGGAAAAAGGTCAACGAGTTCCTGCGGGACAAGAGTAACCGCTCGCTGCGTGCCATTCTCATACTGTTCCTGGTGATCCTCGTCTTGCTGGTGCTGATCATCTTTACATAGGTTACTTGTTAATCGAATACATCTAGTGGAGCCTGCGCGGCAGCAGCGGATTCTGGCGTACCTCGTCGACACGATTGCGGTGGATCTGGAATGACGGTGTCACCCATTTGCCGCACGAGCACTGCGCACCCGCCCAGTTGAACGCGCCCAGCTTTGCGTCGCACTTTGGACAGCACACCTTGTTCTCCACCAGTCCGGTGTCTACACCCTCCATCCACGCCATCGGCTCGATAAACAGCGACGAGCACGCGCGGTTCTGCGGGAACGCATGCGGCGTATCCATCCCACTCGCATTGCGCTTGTTCCACGAAAACGCAACCTGCCCAGGACCCGGCTGGTGCTCCAGCACATTTGCCTCGGTCACCAACGGCCGACGACACTTTTTGCACCGCCACTGCCGCTGCGCCGGCATCGGCTGCGCCAGCGGATCAGCCCCCAGCTCTACGTGCTCAACAGACCCGTACTCCCTAAAGTGCTCGGCACTGTGGTTGATCAAGAACCGCCGATACAGCGGCTTTGACGGTGTCACCTCGTACCGCAGATCGTGGTACAGCTCCAGCTGGTCCATGAAGCCTGGATTCGGATGCACCTGCGGCCGCCTGGCCTTCATCGCCTCTAGCGCTTCATCCCGCCCCACATCGTCTTTCTGCATGATGTACGCCAGCGCCACCGTAGCGCTGCGCGACTGCCCCGCCAGGCAGTGCACCAGAATCTGTCCCCCTGATGAAATCGCATCCTTAATGTACTCGTTGCACTCGGGAAGTACTGGATAATGTTTTCCTGCTCCATGTCTTCGATGGAAATGCTCTTATATGCGAACTGGTTCGGGTACGAGGGCGTGTAGTTGGACGCGACTGTCAGGATATGTGTGATGCCGTGCTCCTGCAGCTTTGCGCGGTCACTCTCTGCCATGGCGCTGCCCACAAACAGTCCGTCGATAATCTTGTCCATAGTGTGCTGTATTACAAACCCTTGATGCCCGTTCATTAAAAGGATGAATTGCAAAGAAATTCAAAGAAAAGCATTGAGCAGCTCGAGAGCCGAGCAGCCAAAAAAAAAACCTATATCTGGAGTTTGTCACCAAAAGACTGAGCGCACAATTGATTTGATCGTGAATTAAACCAGGGTACATGCACAGCTGCTCTCGCCATGTCGCCTCGTCCGGCTAGCCGGTACAAGGAAGATTCTGGTGCCCTGCAGCTGGGCCCAAGACGGGTTTGGTCCCACCGGGGACAAAATGTGGTTTTCTACGAAGCTCTTATCTAAGGGCTAGGAGTGAATATGAATATACCCAGCTTCATCATCAGAGCTCGATATGCAACTCGTTGATATGAGGTGTAGGCGTCGGTGTCTCGGGCACAAGCGAGGTCGCATCAGCACTGGCTGGCATGAGCTCAACGGTATCCAGCTCCTCTTCGCTCGACCCTGCATCATCGTCGTCCTCATACGGCAGATAATACTCCGGCCGTGGGTTGTCTTCGAACGCAGTATATGCTAGCTGAGCAACCCGAAATGGTATTTGACTCACAAACTCGACAGTCTTGGTGTATTGTGTTACGCTGTCGCTGTACACGGCTTCATACACACCACCACATGCGAAATCCACGTAATCAGGTGTCGCTGTAGTGGTATATAGTATCCAGCTGTACTTTGGCCGATTTTCATTCTCGCCGCTGCTCATAGTCGCCAAGCAACCTGGATGTGGGTAGCAGGGTAGAAAATCCTCACCAACAAATGTGTATGGCCCTGGTGTAGATTCGGGGCATGTACCGCGCATGTCAATGTTGTAGCGAGCAGGCCCGACATCGCTCTTAGTCTTGACCAGTTCAATGCTGAGCCTGTAATCGGCATTGGCCATCACGCCAAAAGGGTAGTGAAGTGTTGTCCAGACAATACTAGATGTCGATGCTGCCTCAGTTTCCTCATCCCCGCTTGTGACGCGCTCATCTGTATTGTGAGGAGGCGCTAGGGTCTCAAGCACTGACTCCCTCGATTCGTTTCCTGTTGGTGTGGGGTCAGAAGTACTGTAATCAGTCGCGCTTGACACCTTACTACGATACCCTGAGCTATACCAGCTATGGCTAGTTGGATTTGGGTTATCCTCGAACGCAGTCAGGCCCTGGTTAACCAGCTCATGTGCAGAACGGCTTGAGTATTCGGCAGACTTGGTATACTGGTCATTACTGTCGTTATATGCCGCCAAGTATGCGCCATTGCATTTCATGCGCAAATCTCTATATGAAGTCGTATGTGTATGTGTCACCCAGGAACGAACACCTAACTCCCCTTGGTTGCTATTGTCTCCGCTTTCCATAGAATACGAGTCTGCGTTATACCCGTCAAAGTGTGTATAAGTGAAGGTTCGTGGTTCTGGAATAAACTGTTCGCACTTGCCGCTGACATTGACATTATAGCGAGCGGGCCCAGCGTCACTCTTGGTTTTTACAACCTCAAAGTCGAGCTTATACTGAGCACCCGCCAGGATTCCAATTGGATATTTAATGATGGAGAATAATGATTGGTCTTCTTCACTAGCTGCATCTAGAGTGCTACCAGTAGCCGTTTCCTGGGCATGCGCGTGAAGGGCTACCGCAACGAGGATAGCAGAGACGAGACCGAGTTTCAGCATTATCTAAATTTCAGCAAGTAATTGAAATAAATGGAGAGTTGGAGGCGACTCCAAGGTATGTACACCACATAGCCTATTTAAATATTTTGGTGCGAGAATTTCTGGGCTGACGATATTGCATGAAGGAGCTCATCGAGCTGGCATTTGTTTGGCAGCAAAGCAGAAGATCCCTTTGATTTCCTCAAAAACTGACACGTCAACTATATCGCAAAGCCGGCCCTTACACATGCTGCCACATCCACATCTCACATGTGCCTGCCTATCAGCATGCTACAGCAAACATAAGTAGCATGAACTACGTGTGGTACAGGACTCCCGTTTGCAAGTGCCTTATCCAGATGGCCATCTCTTGCGCCTGGCACACAATAATAACGCTCGGAAGTGTAGCAATCTCTCGAGCCAATGTAGCTCTAGGATCGCTGGAGAACTACAATCCTGACATATGAGAGATGATGATATCACTAATCTCGCATCATTGCTCGTACAGCTGTGCTATGGCGGCTGGCTCGGACCATGAGGACCGCTCCGGCTCGGACTAGTTCGGCTCGGTCTGACAGGCCGCACATGCTCTTGTGGGGCTTGTAGCACAATATATGAGCAGCCAGCTCGCAGCGTCGCTTATGCCGGCCTTTCCAGGATTATTTTATAAACAATGGGAATAGCTGTACTTCCATTCGGAAACACCTCGGCAAAGGGCCTTGTACAGAGGCACAATCAAGACACAGCACTACAGCAGTGAAAAATAAGGTGAGCCCACCATTCTCAAAAGGGTTGGATAGTTTGCATTCTCTTAATAAGATGCAGGGCTTATTCTAGTTGCCAGTGTATTCACTACATAAACAATAGCAACAATGGCATGGTGGCGGCACAAAAGCCACTTAAACACTATGATATTGGGAATGTATACAGCTCCACTGCCGTAGGGCTCAGGGGCTCAGGGGCTCCGTTCGTCGAAGCGACCTAAAATGGCCCTAGCATCCCCATCTGTGAAAAGCTAACATATAATATCGAATACGCTTCTTCTTTGCAGCTCCAGATATATCATGCTCGCCAAGACTCTCGCCATAACTTTCCTTGCTGCTGTTGTATCGGCCCAAAAAGTCAGCGACCTATGCAGGCTTGGTAATGATAAATGCCTGGGACTCTTCTCTGGATTGAAGTGTGCCGATGGACGGTATGAGGAACTTATTTGCGGGCATTATAAATCCTGCATAGTTAATAACGGTGAAGCTGACTGTGACTATGTAATTGATCAGTGATCCAAAAGCTTGCAGAGACATTGAGAGTTGCTTCTGAGGTGGTAGTATTCAATACTCAGTCACTGCCGTACCATACAGCGGGCCGATATATTAATACCACCCTCACACAAGTCCTGTTGACAATATTTATGATTGGTTGCTTCCAAATATATTCCTAAATGCATTTTGCGATAACCATTGAGGTGATATAACTTACAGCGTGATACCGAAATTCTGTATTGCCTACAACCTGCATACCCAGATCGATGGTACACAGCTGTGCTGCTGATAGTGTGTGCACAGTAAGCTAATCGACAACATATGACCATGTGAATAGCAAGTGTCGTTAAGCAACTGTTGGTAGGGCTGCATTTTTAGAATCCATAAAAAAACCCGAGCAAAAGGTGATAGCGTAGGGCTATGATCCCTGCATATATATATATATATGCTGTACGGCTCTTGTCAATATCACCACATAGTTTGGTGCTAATATCACCTGTAAATCCAAAGCCATTGTCTTCACTTGATAATTACTTTACGTTTTAAGAAGCAGTGTAGGTAGCAATCATTTGGATAAGAACACCTGCAGGCAGGAGTCCTGCACTACACGGAATTCATACTAAGTGCTTGAACTCTAGATACAGGCCAGTCAGTGGCCAATGTGCCCTTGTGCCTAACCTGTATCGATATAACTCCGAGAACGGGTGGTCTTTGGAGCTAACTGTGGTTCTAGGATCGCTACAAGACTGCAGTCCACTATTCACTATACTCGAAGATTCATATACTCGGACAGTATCGCAATAATGGCTGCCCAATGAGCGTATATGTCTGATAACAAGACCGCAGCCGGTATTGCCCAACAACAGAAGCATGAATGCCTAGACATTTCCTAAAATATCTTTCTTCTCTAGCCTATTCTTTATACTACCGCAAAAAAGTTCTAGTCAACTTTATTGAGAGATCTAGTTTGCTAAAAGGTACAGTTACCGAATAATACTGATCGCTCGTAATCGTCAAATACTCCAAGCACAGCCTCTGCTTGTAATTGGGTGGGGTTTGTGATAAATTGGAGTGTGACATTTATACCTGGTGTTTGGCCCTCATCAAAAACAGCATCAAGTGCCTTTTTTTGTTCACGGGTAAGACTGCTGGGGTCAATCTGGACGATTCTACTCTCAATATAACCAGAGTTGAATGCCCATATTTCCTTCACGCAAATGTACTGCTCGCGGGTTAGCTTAAACACTGCCGAAAGAGCAATGCCAGCGAGTCCAAGATTCAGACCAACAAATGATAGTGAAGGCAGTTTCATTTTAAAAGCTGAGCAAACAAATGCAATGTTTTGGATCCCTGGTCAGAATAGTAATTATTTATAGGAGCTTGACTCAGGAATCCTTGTCGATATGCTCGAATATGTTGCAAAGCCCCGTTTGGAGTATCAGTGAAGGATATACTGGGAAATTACAGTACTATTTATTCCACAGGAATGACTTCGCTTCGTTTAGTTCAAACCGTTATCAATGTTTGCGTTGTATATACGCCACAAGGGCCTGGCAATTGTTAAATTCCCAATATTGCGTGGGTAGCTGTATATGGCGTATTGCTGGTACGTTTATTTGGTGTGTAAGTTAAGAAATCTTTAAGGGGTATGTTTTGTGTTGGAGGGAAGTAAAAAAGGGAAAGGGTGTGCTACGCAGCCGCGCTAGTGCGCCACTATATCTAGCTGGTGAAGTTAATATTAAAACGGACTACAGCTCATGATTGGTCATATGGCATACCTTTTACTATCAGAAAATTAGATTACTTCTCCTCATCCTTTTCCTATTCTTTCGTTTTGTTCTCGAATCGGTCCAGTCACCGGTCTGGTCTCTCTTCTTCTCTTTTTTCGCTAACTCCCTATTGATCTCTTTAAGACTGCCTTGGTCTGTCTCTTTTCCAATATATTCTCTTTTGCGTGGGTGCTACAGCCCGACCAAACTCAATAGCTCGTAACCTCAAACAGTCACTAGTTACCACGCTTCCCCACTACAGCGATATTTAATATTGATATATGTTGACATTCGGGGTCCGGAGTCCCCTTGCGCCACCATAGACAAGGCCGAAACGCATACGTACAAAGGCCCAGACAGACGACTAGCCTTCCTTCTTCCCCTCAGTCAATTTTTGGAGAAGTTATTTTGTTCCATATATTCGATAACCACCCATTCCCCAAGTTAACACTTGCAAATTGAGGTAGCTAGAAATAAAGTTAGCATTGGAGTTGAAAACGTCGTTCGCCTGGTTGACGCTGATATTGTTGGTATACAGAGTGTTCTCGTTGAAGCTGGCATGGTAGAAGGCACTGTTAATGTTATTAAACACACACAAACGGAAAGCCCCAACCCTAGCCCTAGCCGTATTGAGCATGAATAAGCTCGGACTCAGCAGCAGGCACAGGATTGCTTGACAGTGCAATTAAAGCCAGGGCGATGAGAGCAAAAGTTGAGGTACAGGCGTTGACTATAGTAAACAGAAGAACATTTTTAAGATAGGTGTTGAAACAAATCGATGCTGATACCAAGTATATGTAGGAAATTGGTTGTTGGCTGCTACCTATATAGTCAAGAGCGATATAGCATCTGTATGTGTCCAGCGATCTATCAGGGAGTTCCGCTGATACCAATTTTCGACATGTCAACCAACATACGTCTGCTCAAACAGCTTGTTCACATTGCCTGTTGTCTTATGCACCAAATGAATGGATCCATTTTTGCTAGATGCAGGAACGCTATTCATCGAGTTGGTAACAGTCTTGGCTGGAGTCTAGAGGCACCCTCCAGACAGCAACGAAGAGACACTTGCTCATGGCGTTGGTCAACAGAGTATCTACTTTATGATGCACTTCATTCTAGCGGAGACCCTTTTTATTAACCCCGTCTGTACACCAAGTAAGCCTATCTTTCCTAGCTGATGTAGAAAATATGCACAAGTCCGCTGTTGCTGTATTATCAAGAGAAATGATGGTAGAGTGTATAGCTAGACGTTGGTGCTAGAATCTACCTGCAATGCTACGAAATTCAAAAACTGACTTTAATCAGGAGAATCCACTCGATGTAGCGAGCTGTTTCTATCTTCTTCGTTTTCAAAAGTCTCAGACCGAGATATAGCCATGCTTAGCTTTCTCTGCCTCATACTCGGCCATTTCGATGATGTGCTTGGCTTTCTCTCTTTCGAATCGTGCCCTATCTTCCTCATATTGCTTGATGTATGGCCTCTTTTCGTCGTCTGTCAAGCCACACCACTCAGAGGCCACGAGTCTGCCAATCTCATCAGAGAGAGCGTTGGGGTTCTCTTTACAGAGGCGGTTGCGGTTAGTTACGCCATAAAACAAATATGGAGTGAGAGGAAGCTTGGGACCTTTTGGTCCCTTTAGACTAAATTCATTGTTGCTTGCGGCTTGTTCGACAGATTCGCCAGACATGTTCGTGGAAGCAGCAGAGGAAGACATCTGAAAGGAACGATAGACTGCTTGGGGTGTGCTGAAGAATAAATTGCCAATAGATAGTTGTGGATGAGTGGAGGAGGGAGTCGACACAACCCAGCTTTATATCCAACGAAAGACAGCAGAGAAACTGTGCATGGCTGCGCAATTTTCCATGGAGAGCGTGAAACCAAGTCGAGCAGTGGATTTACAGCCTGTTCCCAGCAAGCGTGGGGCAGCCAATCATTTGTATATTTATCGGTAGCTTTCTTGGTATACCATCACCTTCTCTTTAGCATGCGCTCCTTGCAAACTGTCTGGCATAGTGGTTAACCTGGTCAGTGTCATCTGAGATAATGTGTTGGCACGTCCGACAACATTGATATTTGAACATACCGCATTGTTCTGTCTCGAGGGGGTGGTTATTGGTGAGAAGTGGCCCAGAGACATGCTTTCAGCAATGGCAGTTTTGGGCTATACAAACTACATGAGCTTGGTGAACATCTGTTGGCTCTAGACTGGCAGCAGCAACCGTGTACAGCCCATGTGTGAATCCAAGCATTGCTTTGATACTTGATCTCACGTGCCTCATACCAGCGCACCAATCGGAGTCCAGATCGTTGACTATCGAGAGTTGCTGTGATGACACGCTTGCTTGTGTACGCGTTCTGGGTAATGTTCGTGTCGAAAATTTTTTTAACATAATCCCTGTTCTCTTCAATTGAGCTACCCAATTCTCTGTTTTCTGGCACCACTTGTACTGTTCAATCTTTCCTACTCCGACAACTGGGGTATGGTTAAAATGCGCGAGCCACGGGTCCGCGAACATTCAGACTCTGAGGACGTGGTCGTCAAAGCAAGTATCGGCCTTTTGTTTCTGCTGGCTGCGCAAAAAGTGCAAGTGCATTCGGCATTCTAGGTAAATTGGGGCACCCTGCTAATACTGACCTCTGGCTGTAGTCAAAGAAAGCGAAGGCGACGCACTCCAGAACGCTTGACAATGGAACCCGGGGTGACCACACAGGCGTGGTTCGCACGCGCGGAGTCCAGCAAAGGAGCGGCGCACAGGGCGTTGTGCCGGATATTGGCATTGTCGAGTGTGTCGAGTTGGTGGACTTTATGTGCCACGAGCACGTCAAAGTCAACCTGTGTCCCAAGGTGAACTTCATCACTGGCCAGAATGGCAGCGGCAAGAGTGCAATTCTGACCGCGCTGATTATTGCGCTGGGCGGGAAGGCGACCCTGACTAATCGCGCATCGAACCTAAAGGGCTTCATTCGTGAGGGCCAAGGCAAAGCGACAGTGCGGGTGCAGCTGCGCAATTGTGGTCCCGAGGCGTACCATCCGGAGCTGTTTGGTGCGTCGATTCTGGTGGAGCGGGTGCTGAGCAGCAGTGACTCGGGGTCGGCTTCACAGTTCAAGATCAAAAACGGCGAGAGCGGGGCAGTGGTGTCGCGCAAGAAGGAGGACTTGGTGGCCATTGTCGACCACATGGCGATTCAGATCGATAACCCGATCAACATTCTGTCACAGGACGCAGCGCGCGAGTTCCTAGCCAGCACCAGTCCCGACAAGATGTACCATTTCTTCCTTAAAGGCACGCAGCTGATGCAGCTGAGCGACGACTTGGAGGCTGTGTGCAAGGCGATTACCCGGGCACAGGCCAGCATCGACCGCAAAAAGGAAGTGCTTCCGGAGATGAAGGCCGAGCGGCAGCGGTGGAAACAGCATTACGACGACATGAAACAGGCACGCAATCTCTCTGAGCAGGTCACAGACCTCAGCAAGCAGATGGCATGGGCGATTGTTGAGGAGGCGGAGAAGGAGGCAAGTGGAATCGAAGAGACATTGCAGGTGCATCAGCGAAAGATTGAGAAAATCGACGAAAAGGTCGCTGAAGAGAGTGCACGAATGGAGGAGATTCAGAGCAAGTCCAAGGAGCTGGCGGAGAAGGCAGACCGAGAGCTGGCGCAACTGGAGCCATTACAAGCCGAACGCAGCGTCCCGTATCACGAGCTCAGCGAGATCAACGCTGCACTCCGCGAGTTTAAGCAGACAGAAGATGAGATGAACTCGGTTGCGCGCTCTACCCGACAGCGCCGCGACGCCATTGCCAAGGAGCTCGAGGCAGAGCGGGCACGGCTGCAGGGTGATGACAGGACAGGCCGCATCGCCATACAGAAGCAGGTCGGCACCAAGGAGGAGCAGACCAAGGCCGAGGAGGCCAAGGTCACGCAGTTGCAGGAGAAGCAGCTTGAGTACGAGAACAAATCGGCAGGGTTGCGCGAAAGCAAGAGTGCGCGGTACCGTGACGTTGACAAGCACACGGTTGCGGTAACCAAGTGCAGGAATGCGCTGGACAGCCTGGAGAAGCAGACCACCAACCATATGAATGCGTTTGGGAGGGGCGTGCCGGAAGTACTGGGTCTAGTTGACCGGGCACAGTGGCGCGGTATGAAGCCAGTTGGGCCGCTGGGCAAGTTCCTGAAGCTGCGCGACTCCAAGTGGTCCCGGGTCATCGAGAGCTTGCTGGACAAAGTTCTGAATGCGTTCCTGGTTGAATCGCATGCAGACCGACAAACTCTGGACGCCATTATGCGTCGGTGCGGGTGCCAATCACGCATAATTATTTGCAACACAGAGCTGTTTGATTATTCGCATGGCGAGCCCGAACAGCGGTTTACAACTGTTCTGCGTGCACTGGATGTCAGCAACGAAGTGGTGAAGCGGCAGCTGATTAACCTGAACCGCATCGAGCAAGTGATTCTGGTCGAGCAGCGCGCGATGGGTGACAAGATCATGCAATCGAACAAGGGGGGATTCCCACGCAACGTGATAGCGTGTCTGACAGCCGAAGGGTACAGCGTGGGCACGCGGTCCGGGGGTCTGTCAACGCAGGCAATGCGAATGGTGCCGCAGTCCGGCCGCCTGGGTGAAGATGTGGCCCGGATGATTGAGCGCGAGAAGAAGCAGCTGGCGCAGCACAACGGAGAGCTGAACAAGGCGCAGCGTGCGCTGCAGCAGGTTGAGCGCGAGCAGGAGGGGCTCAAGACGAAGCACATGGATGGCAACAATGCGATCCGACTGGCGCGCAGCCATGTAAACAAGCTGCAGGCCGAGATCCAGCAGCTGCGCGACCAGCTACTGAGTGATGAGCCAGCCAAGATCTCAGCGCTGGAGACCGAGCACGGGCACCTGACACAGCAGCTAGAGTCGATCAAGAGCCAGTTCCGTGACCTCTTTGCGCAGCAGCAGGCGAAAAAGGAGGAGATGGAACAGATTGAGAGCAACATTGCGCTGGTGGATGCCAAGATTGCGCGTACCAGAGAGCATGCGGCGCAGCTGCGGCAAGAGGCTGACGACATGGCGTCGGAGCGGCAAAAGCACATCAACAACACTGATTACTGGAACGCCAAGCGTGTTAGCCTGCAAGAGAAGGCCGCAGCACTGGAGCGGCAGCACGCCGATGCCGAGGCAGTGGTCCAGGAGCAGCAGGTGCAGGCGAGACGGGTCAGCGAGGAGCGCGTGCGCGTCAAGCACCCGGCAGCGACACTGGACCGCATGATCAGTGAGTGCAAGGCGCGGCTGGACGAGATCGAAAAGTCCAGCCGCATGTCGCTGGACCAGGTGGCCGAGAAAGCCGACCTCCACATCACGGCGTATGCCAAGGCCAAGGAGGAAGTGCGCAGCATCAGCAAACTCGTGGCTGTGTTGAAGACAGCGCACCAGCAAAGGCTGCAAAAGTGGATCCAGTTCCGCGACTCGATGACGGTGCGCACCAAGATGCAGTTCACGCAGCACCTGTATCAGCGCGGATACATGGGCAAGCTCGAGTTTGACCACGCCAATCGCACACTGGTGCCCAAGGTGCAGACAGATCAGGATCTGGTCAGCGGGCACAACTCGAGGAACAGCCAGCCACAGAACGGCGAGGGATTCCAGCGAAAGGACACCAAGTCGCTGTCGGGCGGCGAAAAGTCGTTCACAACCATCTGCCTGCTGCTGTCGCTGTGGGAGGCCATGAGCTGTCCGGTCCGGGCGCTGGACGAGTTTGATGTGTTTATGGATGCAGCCAACAGAGCCATCGCCATGCGGATGATGGTCGACAGCGCAAAGTCCAGCAGCACAACGCAGTTTATCCTGATCACCCCGCAGGACATGAACGTCAAGCCCGACGCCGATGTGGCAATCTTCAGGCTTAGCCAGCCGCGGCGGGCTCCGGCTGCGCGGTAGCCGATATCTAGATTTACGTTAATTTATCACCTGTTCAGATCACATGCCTGCTTGGTGCTGATAATGGCTCGGTTTTTCACCTGCTTCATTTTGAAATCGCCTGTGCATTTGCTTTTTCAGTCAGCAACATTCATTTTCCGACCCAATTCAACTTCGCTTTAGTCAAAATGGAGAGTGCGTTCGCGAGGCTGTACCGCACATCGAAGCTGGCGAGCTTTGACCCGAAGATCAAGCAGGTGTACACAACGTTCTCGGAGGCAGCAACACACGGCGACTGGGGCCTGAAGCGCACGATGCCGTCCAAGGTGCACACGCGTTTGGTGACGATCGGGTCTCTGGATACCAAGGAGCAGATCACACCGTTTGAGAGCGCGAACCAGCAGGTGATGATGGTGAACGCGTGGAAGGAGAACTTCCCCGAGTCGCGGTCGCCGCGCTCGGCGCCAGCCAGCAACAGCATGTTCTCGGCAACGCTGAGCCGCTTCGACGGCGAGCAGGCGGAGGAGGCGGATGCCAAGAGCTCAGGACCAGTGCGTAACATCGGCCTGATGACACGGAAGCAGTGGGAGGAGTTTTTGGACGAGGCGCGGGCGCGGCGCGGCGAGTGGAAGCAGGCAGTGAAGGACGGCAAGGTTGTAGTGGAGGAGGCGCTGTCGTTTATGAATGCGACCAACATGCGGAACACGTCCGAGGACGGCATCCACAACTCGCCGACCTACCACGACTACGTGCCAGCGAGTGAGGAGCTGCAGGTGCAGGGCCGTGTGCTGAACCGTGCGGCTGGCGGCTATGCTGTTGCTGTGCAGGGCATTATTGCGTACCTGCCGCTGCCAAGTCACTCGGCCGAGGAGGGCTTCCAGTACCGCGATGTCAAGACGTTCTATGTCGCGTCGGCCAAGTTTGACAGCCACGGCAAGCCCGATGTCATTCTGTCGACACGGCCGCGTGGCACGCGCGAGTCAGCGCTGGTGTTTGAGACCGGATCGAGGGGTGGATTCTCGTACTCCAAGGGAAGAAACGCGAAGCCGAGCGAGCTGCAGTCGGCCTACCTTGGAAGGATCAAGGAGCTGCTCCATTCCAGCAACATGGCTGGTGTGACCAAGAAGGGTGGAGCAAAGACGAAGCCCACCGATCCTGTCGCCGATGCCATTGATCTGCTCAACAAGCCTGACCGCAAGTAAAAACACATTCAAAACGTCGTTGGAGGCAACAAATATATTAAAATTCTTTGTCTAGAGTTCCTCGCGAGCAGTGGATCTGTCGTCGTAAGTCTGGATGTGCGCGTTGCGCACAATATTGGCAACCGGTGGCTCAGTGGTGGCAGAGTCGATGATATGGCGCAGGTTGGGCGTGAACGGTAGAGGCGTGAAGATGCGTGTGTCGGATGCGGTCGTGGTCATTCCGGGCCGGTATGTAGTCTCCATTGTCAGCGTGATGGCTGGCACCGGCGTGCGGACTGGCGGCTCCTCTGCAGCAAAAACTGCTACGGCGGCAGCAAGAATCGAAAGCAGGTATGTGTGCATATGTTGGCTATGGGCTATCCGTGTGCTGGCCACTTCTGGTGCTGGTTCGAGGCCTAGTTGGAGTTTTTATATGGTCAAGGTCGCAATTTCAAAATCGGCCCCCACCCCCTGACCCATGAGCTCAGCTGCTGATCGAAGCTGGCGTTTCATCGCAGGCGTCTTTTTTGTTCTTCATTTTTTGTGTTTTATCAATTAGTTACCTTGTTAAGAAATGCCGCCAAAGAACGACTCGGATGCCAAGAAAAAGGCACGCGACGACGCTCTGCAGTTCCTGGAGACACTCGAAATCGCTGATGAGGCCGAGGCCGAAGCTGATGCTGCCGAGAATGCCTCCGCCAATGCAAAGGATGCTGCCAAGGAGAGCGACGGCGAAAAGGCAAAGGAGGACCCCAAGACCATGCTCAAGTTTATTGATGACCTGACAGAGTCAGCGGAGCAGCCAGCACAGCCAGCGCACCAAGCGCAGAGCGGCAGCTGGTCGTGGGGCGGGATTTGGGGCCAGGCGGCAGCTCTGGTTGAGCAGAACGCGCAGCTCAAGAGTGGCATCGGCAAGCTAAAGTCATCGATTGATCAGGTGCGCAGCACCGAGGCATCGAAGATGATCGAGGGGCGGGTGAAGACGCTGGTGAACCAGGAGAATATCACCAAGTTCAGCGGCGAGCTGAAGCGGTCGCTGGACTCGGTCATCGACACGATCGCACCGCCGATCCAGGATCACGAAGTGTTTACGGTCCGGCTGGTGGATAACCTGCAGGACAGCAACATAGAGAGCGTCGTGTACCGGACCATGGACTCGGTGTTTGACTTCCACGGCCACGGCGAGATTACCGTGAAGAGCGCGGCTAAGGAGCTGGAGGGTGCTCCCGAGATGCAGGCTAAGCGCGGCGACACCTTCACGCTGCCCAAGGGCTTTGACGGCGGCTATGGCGCGGCAGTCACGGCTATCCAGTTTGTGCAGCACGCGGTGGAGGGAATGGCGCAGCCAGCGGAGGCTGCTGGGGAGGAGCCGAAGGCGCACGCCGAGAGCCCGCTGTTCTACAAGGCGCACAAGACCGAGCTGCTGCTGGGAATCCAGCCGTTCTCGGTGATGCCTATTGAGGACCAGGGATTCCTGGGTCTCTGCGTGGTGCTGCGTGACCCGGCGCGCAAGCAGACGCTGCGGACATTCTCGCAGATGCTGCCGCTTGCATGCTGGGCTGAGCCGCGCGACCAGATTGTGGATGCTGACGTGGACGTCGCACTGGGCAGCACCGTGACCATGGCCACCGATAGCGCCGTGCAGCGCAAGCAGGAGATGAACGAGGAGTGCCTCTACGAGGCCGTCATGCTAGCCGTCAAGAGTATTGCCAACGAGTACCTGACGATGCGGCCAGCCGAAAAGTAGCTTCTTGGCAAGTATCAACTCAATCGACTCACATGTGGCCAGGATGGCTTGTCCCCGTGCAAATGGATGTTCTAGAAAAAGCTGGCCCATTGAGCTCGACAATTGCTGCGTATGTAAAAGGCGCGTCCCAAACAAAGGGGCTCGCAGGCTTCGGTGTGCGGGGGAGGGGATTGCTGACCCTGGCCTCGGTCTTCTAGAAGCGCGTATCTGCAGCCAAAAAATAAAAATGCTCGACTATGAGCCCCGTGAGAGCACAGATAAAAGGCGCAGCAGCGGATCTCCCTCCTGGTCGCAATGACGGAATTCTGCGGTCTGCTGTTTGTTGTGCCTCCTTGGTTGTTCACACGTGCCCGCTGAGCAACAAGATCCGAGCATACGCTGTCTGCTAGGGCACCGTTTTTTTGGATATAAAAAGTTCCGCATCCAGCGCCTGACTCTTGTCCAGCACTCTAACCTACTCTCCTTTTCTGCCTCTAAATCTCTCTTACCAGGCCAAAGAGTCAGCTACAAACTCACAGCACACTACCCCCAAGCACCAAGCCCAGAGCCCTCGCCTTTAGCAATTTCTCTCCTGACCCAAGTCAATGGTAAACCCTGTTCGTAATGGAAGTTCCTATATCACCGAAGATTTAAACCCCTCTGTACCCGGCGACGCCCATGCTGCTGCTACAGCTATCGCCACCGCTGCCTCACCCGAGGCATCCTCTGCCTCCATCGACGTGTGCCCTGCCGATATGCCGGTGCTTGATGGCAAGGAATCGGTCGAGTTCCAGATCGGCATCCATGTTGTCGACCTGTTCGACATCCACGCCGCGCGTGCTCAGCGTGGCCACGGACGCCGCTACCAGCTCGTCCACAACAATCCGCTCTTGCGTCAGCTGCGCCGCTCGCCCTCAGCAACCACCGTGGGATCGGCCGAATCCGAGCAGACCGCCGGCGCCCAGCAGCCCCAGCCTCGCGAGGTGGCTGCTGCCGATGTATCGCTGACCGAGGTGCTCGACAGCCTGCAGTATGTGGTCGATTTTCGTCTGAAGTCGCGCCAGCAGCCGCACCTGGACATTGGGCTGATGCGCCGCCTGTGCGATGCCCTGCTGATGACCATGGTTGACGAGGAGGGCTCGTTTCTGAAGAAGCGCCTGTCCAGAGAACGCAAGGTCGGCGTACTTTTTGTTTGGCCAGTTCATCGAAGAGGTCATCGAGTTCCAGCAGTGCGTGGGCGGCAAGCCTGTGGCTGACCTGCGCCGCGCGCTCAAGCTCCACAAGCGGATTTCGGACAATGGCCCTGACGAAGAAAGGCTGGCGGCTGTCACCATGCTTAGGCTCACGCTAGCATGCCTGCCCCAAGGCAACGACTGGCGTGACCTGGTCGACGAGCATGAGCAGCGCGCGCTGGCGCCGATCATCGACAAGTTCGGCAAGATCATCGACGACGACGGCCATTCGTACCATATGCCAGTCACCGGTGGAGCCGTGTTCCCGCCGCCCAGCCTGTACTTTGACCGCACGATCGAGAAGCTCGTCGCCATGTTCCGCACTGACCTCAACAATGGCCTGTCGCCCGAGCAGGTTCTCAAGCACCGCGAATTCTACGGCACCAACGAGCTGCCGCGACCCGTGCGCCGCCCCTGGTGGAAGATTGTCTGGGTCCAACTGACTGATGTCATGGTACTGATGCTGTGTGCGGCCATCGTTGCCACCGCCATCGATGGCGAGTGGAAGTCGTCGATCGTCTTGGCTGTCGTGGTCGTGCTCAACACGATCGTCGGCTCGTGGCAGGAGATCAAGGCCGGCCGAACCCTCTCGGCACTGGAGAATTTGAGCACGCCGCACGCGCAGGTCATCCGCGACGGCAGTCTGGAGACCATTGATGCAGCTGACCTGGTTCCTGGCGATCTAGTCGAGGTCAGCGAAGGCGAATCAATCCCTGCCGACTTGCGACTTGTTTCATGCGCGCAGCTCGAAATCGTCGAAAGCGTGCTGACTGGCGAGAGCATTGGTGTGCGCAAGGATCCAAAGGAAATCAAGGTGCGTACCCGCCAGCTGCCTCTGGGCGACTGCAAAGGCAACGCGTTCATGTCAACGCTGGTGGCTCGCGGTCGTGGCCGCGGCATCGTCATCCGCACCGGTGCAAAAACCGAGATTGGCAAGATCAGTGTTGCCATCAACCGGTCGGCATCGTCGGTGAGACGCACGCCGATCCAGCGCAAACTTGCCCGCCTCGGACTCTGGCTCGTGGTCTTGGCCCTGTCGCTATGCGCCTGCATTGTAATTTGTGGTGTTGCCTGGGGCCGCAAGTTTGTGCCCATCTTCATTACCGGCATTTCGCTCGCTGTGTCTGTGATCCCTGAGGGCCTGGTGGCCGTGACCACAGTCACTATGTCGCTTGGTGTTCATCGCTTGGCACGCCGGAATGCCCTGGTGCGGACCCTTCCGGCTGTTGAGACTCTTGGCAGTGTAACAGTGATTTGCTCCGACAAGACCGGCACGCTGACTGAGGGCAAGATGGGTGCTAGCGAGCTGGTTGATGCCAACGGCATATTGTTCGAGTTCACAAAGTCGACATCGCAGGACCCAAATGAGGGCGAGGTTGTGTATCGCGGTCATGTCAGTAGGCGCACCGCACCGCCCATGGATATGACGCAGACAGAGAAGTATGGCACAGCGGCTGCTGACATGTCGATGGTTGCCAGCGCGTTATGCAACAACGCAGAGGTGTTTTACGACGAAGCCGAGGCTCGGTGGAAGAGTATTGGAGACCCAACCGAAGTCGCCATGGCCATTGCTGCGCAAAAGGCGGGTGTGCGCAAGCGGGAGTTTGCCAGTGCTGATCCGGCTGCCACGCTCAAGCTTCTAGTCGAGAATGCATTCGACTCGGACCGCAAGCGCATGAGTGTTGTGTACGAGGTCCCCATGCACAGTACCAGCGGTGGGTCGACCACAAGACGCTGCCTGCTGGTGGCAGTCAAGGGCGCTCCTGAAGAGGTGCTTTCGAAGTGCACACATCAGCTCACCAGTGCCGCTGGATTCCTTACCAGTGCTTCATCGTCGGAGGACATTGCTCGCTCAGCTACTTCCAATGCAGTATCCCTCCTAGGTAATAACAGCGCGCCGCTTACTGACGATCTTACCGCTGCCACTGGCGAGCACTGCGAGGGCATGGCCGCCCGCGGTCTGCGCGTGCTGGGTCTTGCGGCCAAGGTACTCTACGTCGACAGTGACCTGCCGCTCACTGAAGAGACGCTGGGTGAAGCGTGGGCGGAATGTGATTTGGTGTTTGCTGGCCTGATCGGTCTGATAGACCCACCCAGATCGGGCATCGTCGAGTCGGTGCACCGCTGCCATGAGGCCGGTATCAAGGTCATTATGATCACCGGCGACCACATTGGCACTGCGTCGGCCATTGCTGAGTCTATCGGCATTCTGCAGCCAGACCATGTTGAGAACAGCCGCGCGATTACTGGTGCTGAACTAGACTTACTCTCTGACGAAGCCACCGCTATGCTTGACCCCTTCCCCAGCGTCTTTGCGCGCGTGTCGCCGGAGAACAAGATCAAGATCGTCAAGGCACTGCAACAGACCGGCCACATCGTTGCTATGACTGGTGATGGTGTCAACGATGCAGCAGCGGTCAAAGGCGCAGATATCGGCGTTGCCATGGGCCTCGGTGGCACCGACATCACCAAGGAGGCAGCAGACATGGTCCTTGTCGACGACAACTTCACAACCATTGTGGCAGCGGTTGAAGAGGGCAGGCGCATTTTCGACAACATCCTGAAGTTTATCCTGTACCTGCTCAGCTGCAACTCGGCCGAGATCTTCCTGTTCCTGTTCGCCTCGGTGCTCAATCTGGACCTGCCGTTCACAACAATCATGATTCTGTGGGCAAACATCATTGCCGACGTCCCGCCTGCGCTGTCGCTTGGTATGGACCCGCCCGAGTCCAACATTATGCGCCGCCCGCCAAGGAACCCAAAGAGCGGCATCCTAGTTTGGCGCACAACGCTGGTCCTGCTTGCGCAGGCGTTCTTCATGGCCGCGGTCACCTTTGGTGTCTTTTTGTTCGCTGCCCTGACACCCTTTGGCGTCACTGTGCTGGCAAGCAAGGATGGCACAAGCCCCGACCTCTACACAGCCTCGATCTTCCATCGGGGCAACCCAGAGACCAATGCCGACGAGAACATGTTTCCACATATTGCCGGCGCCCGCTCTGTGGCATTCGGTGTTCTCACCGTCTTGCAGCTGAATCAGGCATTCCTGTCACGCTCTGTGGACCGCAGTTTGCTTGATACGGGGCTGCGTTCCAACATGTGGATGGTCGGTGGTGTGCTTCTGTCGTTTGTTCTGTACATCATTGGCACATATGTACCCAGGCTCAATGACTGGCTCGAGCTGGTGCCACTGGCTGGCCGGCTTGGGTCGTCATTGCTGTTGCCGTTGTGCTGCAGGTCGTCTTCAGTGAGCTCCTCAAGCTGGTGTTGCGCAAGACAGCCACATCCGCAGCCGGTTACGTGGCACATCGACGCAACGCCTCTTCGGCGTGATACTTTCTTTTTGCATACAGAAAATACATGTGGTAATATGCAAACACTCGTACATGTAGCCTCTGATGTATGCGATAGTGGATATCGATGGGAAATAATATGATATTAGACAGATAAAAAGGAAAGTAAATGCAAGTTAGAAAGTATAAACGCTGGGGGATGTGTGTGGTGGGTTTGGTCTACCGAGCAACACTCTGGCGCGGCTGCGGTTGAGGCTGTGCAGTGAATCCGCCCTTGGGAGTCGCGCCGTTGCGAGCACCAGGCAGTGAAGCTGGCGGCGGCACGCTGTTGGGTTTTTCAGCTTTCTGCTGCCTATCCGGTGTCTCTTGGCGTGGCTGTGGTGAGGGTCCAGCCGCACAGCTCTGCGCTGAAGACGATGACGATGAAGTGTATCCAACTGTATCTTCGCCCGTCGATGCAGGGGCACCAGTGTTCAGGCGCTTCATCGGGTGACCAACTGTGTCAGGGCCAGAGCCGCCGTTTGTGTGGCCGTTGGCTGGCGCCTCAGATGGCCGCACGCGCTTCACTCCAGCTGCAGCTGGTGGCAGAGGCGGTCTGGCTGCTGGCCGCACTGTTGGCCGGAACGGTGGTCTAGTGGCTGCGGCCGGTCTGGGGGTTGAAATTGGCCTAGGTGCCCCCACTGGCCTGGGTGCTGCCACTGGCCTGGGTGCTGCTGCTGCTGGCCTCGGTACTGCCACTGGCCGAGGGGTAGAAACAGGGCGCTGCTGCTGCTGCTGCTGCTGCTGGACAGGGCCTGGTGCTGGCCTTGGCCTTGGCTGCAGGTGGTGGCCAGCACCAACCGCTGGCCGTGGGCTAGGTCTCGGCCTCGGTGGCTGCTGCTGGCCAGCACCAATCTTGGGCATAAGCTGTGGCGGAGGGCCATTTGCCCGCTGTGCATTTGGGCTAGCATCCTCTGGCAACGGACTCCACCGGCAGGCCCTTCCGTGCCCGCTCCTGCTCGCGCTCCTGCTGCATTGCCTTCTTTGTCCTACGTGTGCGCTTGTACACGCCGTTCGAGAACTGGCCTTTGTACGCATCGTCGATGGCCCAGTACGACCCCTTCCCAGGCTCATTGCTCGCACGCAGAACCTTGACAAAGGCCTTGTTCAGCGACAGGTTGTGGCGGATAGAGTTTTGCCAGCCGTTCTGCGCGTTTTTGTAGTACGGGTAGTTGTTCATGATGAATGTGTAAATGCCGTTCAGGGTCACCTTCTTCTCGGGTGTCGCATTTATCGCCTGCGCAATCAGAGACGCATACGAGTATGTTGGCTTCGCCAGCTCCAGGCTCTGCTCGGGCGGCGGTGGGGGTGGACGCTGCGTCGACGGCAGTATCCGGACACTGCTAGAGGCACTGCCAGGCGTCTGCGTCTGGGGCTGGTTCGGCTGCGGGCGTGGCTGGAACTGCTTGGAAGTTGAGTTCTGCTGTGGGAAATGTGCTGCCGACTGGGTGTAGGATCCGGTTGGGCTGACGCTGCTGCCGCCCGACCCTCCGCCACTATTCGCGTACACCGGTGGTTCGCCAAACGACAATGGGGCGGGCGGCTTGCCGTCATGACTCAAAATATTTGCGCCTGGAGGTGGCGGGCCAGGGCTGTACTGCGGAGTGCCAATGTATTCTGTCTTCACCACCGGCCGCGAGTACTTTGACTGGCGTGGATGGCCCGGCAGCGTGGGCATCATCATCATGTCTGCGCTCCCGTCCAGTGGGGGCGGCGGAACCGGGCGATTGTACAGGTTCAGCCGCTGTGGAGTAATAGTGCTGACCGGGTACACATCGTGCTGCGCAGCTATTTCAGCCGCAAGCGTGTTGCGGCCCAGAGTGCCCAGCGGCCCGCCGGTCTCCAGGGCTGCCGCTGGGGCTGCCACTTTGGGCAGCAGAAATGAGAACTCGGTATCGCCTATCTGAATCATCATCTTGTGCCGCAGGGTCACCGCCTGCCCGCGCTTGAAGTATTCGTCATCCACCAGACACCCGTTCTTCCCAAACACCTGCAGCTCAAAGCTCTGCGACACAAAGTTGTAGAATATTTTGGCGTGCCGCCGCGACACTGCCTTGCTGTCGCCCAGATCAATATCGACCGATTCGTGGTGTGCGCTTGTCGGGTGGCGCCCCAGCGTCACCTCCAGCGTCCGCACATAATAGCAGAAATCAGGGCCCTCGAGCTTTGCGTATGCCTGGACCGGTGCCTGTGTGCTGTCCATATGCAGCTCTGTTGCGCCATTCTGGGCCTCGTCATCGACTATATGCCGCCGGCTGTGGCTGTTTACTGGCGTTGTGTATTCGCTGTCGAATGTATGGTGTGTCGCCAGCTTTGGCGTCCGCAGAGGGTCTGAGTTTTTGCTCATTTCTGGGGACAATTGGGAAGGAGCGTGTGTAAATGCGCAGCGTATGTTTAGAGATAGTAGAAAAGAGTGAGAAGACAAAGGCGTAGCGAGAGTTTTTTCCCCACCGTCCCTTCAGATCATCAAAAAGAGCAACAAAAAACCTGTCCCAATAGTGTTTAAAATAGTGGCAATAATGGACGAAAAAGCGGACGAGAGAAACAACAAACAGTGGAATGTAAGAGTTCTGGTAAATAATGAGGATGGTATGCGCTTTTGTATTTTGAGCAAAGGGGGAGGAAAATGCGCGGGGAAAGAAGAGGGGGTGGAGCAGGGCAATATTTTGGCTTTGGTGTTTTTTGTTATCTCTTTCTGGCCGACAGCCTGGGCTGAGTATGAAAGAAAAAACAGCACTGTTGCAATTTTTTGAGGAGAAAATAATGGCACGCAATTAACTGCGCAGCCAGGCAAAATCGAGCAGTAACTCCCCTGGCTAGGAATAAGAAACGCCCACGCGTGCACACAAAGAGAGGTTATCGAAAGCAAGGGCTGAAAATCAAGTTCAGCGATGCAGTTAACACAGATGCCTGTGGCCTTGGGGGAAGGGTTTCCCAGACCAGCGTACTATTCTCTGCGAGTCTTGATGCTATACACGCTAGTTGCGATGCGTGCAGCAGAGTGGGGCAATCGCAATCTGGTGTAGAAAGCAGAGGAGGGCGCAGAGGTAGAGGGTGCGCTGGCGAGTGGCAGAAAGAGTAGGAGAATATAAACAAGGCTCAGGCTTGGGAAAAAGAAAACAAACAAAACTCATCTGATCTGCTGCAGCTCGCTGCCTGCGCGTGCTCGGCTGCACGGTGTGCCACCCACCCGCCAGCACATGGCCATCAGCATTTAACAGCAACAATGATTACATCAGGATTAAACACAAGCCGACGTGAAATGAGATGATATTACACTACATAGCCAAGATGGTAGGGGTGCACAATAGCCGGTCCCTCCCCACTCACAAGAGTTTATAGATGGCGCCTGGACCACCGGTGTCTGTGTGATCTTGTGCTCATATCGTGTCAAGTCTGAGAATGCAGTACATCGGGCACACATGGCCCGGCGCACATTGGCTGCTGCACCCGATGGTGTCTACTGGTGTGGAAATGTGAATGGGCCCACCAAACCCGACGTGAGGCAGCAGCACCGCCGCCACTGACTGCTTCAGCAACGAGGTAGTTTCTGTTGGCCGTGTTACCGTATGCCCTGCGCTGTCGCTATCGCTGTCACCGCACTTGTCCGCCATGCTTTCGCCACCAACGCCAGAACCCAGCAGAACTGCAGTAGTTAGGAGTGAATGCCTGATTTTCATTTGATGTTACCTTTGATGAACAAATACACAGCAAAGAGATGATGGCTGTCCTTGTATATGTAGTGGTTAGGTTGCAGGTGCCCCTCCTGCTGTTGAAAGGGTGGCCGAATATCGACAAGTCTCGTCCTCCTGGTCACTTGGCTGGACAAGACACTGGGCAGATCCGCCTTGGGCGTAAACAAACAATGCAAGGCGTCTATTGATCAGTAACGCAATATAATCCACATTTTCCACCTATTCGCCCATTGGCGAACTGCATCCACACGAATATATCCATAAATGTATCATCAGTTCCTCATGGTCATGAGGAATAACACCGGACAACTATTCTTCTCATTCGCTTATCGAAAAATATCATACACTCTTCAAGCCAACAGTCCAGCTATTGTCTGCTGCGCATCAAACCTCAGCGAAACAAAGGCACTGAAATCACACCTGCCACATAATGAGCAAGCTGTGGAGTCTATTTTTCAAAGGTGCGGTGTTGGTTGCGCCCACTGCCACGTATGTCATACCGAAAGCAACCAACGCCATGCATAAGACATTCACACAAACAACCGAATCGCCAGTAGTGACAGACATTAGCTCGACAGGATCATCGTCCTGACGGGTGCTTTTATTTTTGCCCCCACTGTCCACGCGGCTACTGCCTTTTCAGATGCATGACGCTATGCCCAGATTTCGTGCCTGCAACATCCGCACATTCGATAACAACAGTGCCGATGTCTAGCGAAACACCGACTACAGCATATACGCCAACACAAACAACTGTCTTAACCACAGATGGTGCTGAAGGAACAAAGAGGCATAGTATCGCAAGGCATTATCTTACCGCTTTGCTGCCGACGCTCTATTGATAGTTGATTAGTCCAAGAAAGCATTGTGCTTATCGCTATCAGGCTGTCGTTCATGTGCTGTGCTTGACAGATCACGATTCCCACCATGGAAGCGATTCATTTGTCCGCCAAGGGTAAGTGCCTAAATGGCTGGTGTTGATGGGGTGGTTATTCGATAGCTCTTTAGGTCCAGTACCGTAAACATCTATATGTCTGTTAAATATATATGTAATCGATGTAAGCGCTTGGTATGTTGTCGACTCATGCTGTAAACACAACCCCTGTAGCTTTGTTGTTTATTGGACATGTTTGATTATCAACTCGTCTGATACTGACTCGCACTTTCCGCCTACTCGCCCAGCATCATGGTGGAATATGCAGCTGGGTTAATGCGTGGTATATACTTGCATATTTATTTAGCTTTAAGTCTACCAGTGGCTTTAGTGGCTGAAGTCAAAGCACAAGAATGCTGCGATTCACTAGAGGGCACCCAGGTCTTATTCACCATGGGTTTCGTGGTTTTCATTGCTGGCGAGCGGGCTAGTGTCCATGTTCTTTACTCCAGGTGGAATAGGTACCCAGCATTCGCCCTTTTTGCACTGGTCTGGGTTTGGACACGGCAAGCAATCGAGCTTCACGATCAGGCCGCTGGCGACATAGCTGAGGGTGATTATGGCGAGCGTCCACTTCATTCTTTTCGGTATGTAGAAGACAGGGAAGAGGTGATAGTGTGAGGGTATGTAGGGCGAGGTAATAGAGAAAGAAAACCGGCTTGTTTGCAGCAAGTTCAAGGACGAGAAATAACAAAGAGAGAAAATGTGAATGTTGGTTTGTCGGCTAGCATATGCCAATGTAGATGCCGAAAAATGGGCAGCATTTATACTGGAGGCGATTGCCGGCAAATGGCAATTGATCAAGGGCATGTAGCTACATTCTTCCCCAAATTGATTGGTGTGGTGGAATAAAGCGTATACTTTAGGATTCAGCCTCCAATCCTTTTAGCACTTGATAGTCGAGCTTGACAAACTGGGCGCATTTTTCTACTTCCATTGAAAATGTATATACAAGCAAATCAGTGAGTCCAAGCTGCCCAAAAAAAAGCAGATGCCACTTGGGGCGGTTGTCAGATACACGTATCCAACCCCATTCCGCTTCCTTCATTTATGATAAATATGCAGTCAAATACATTTCAATCTAAATATTAATGTCGGCCCAATTCAGTTTGTCGGACAGTTGAGGACATTTGGCGGAATGAAACGAAGAGGACAGTGGTGAGAAAGATTGTTTGCATGTCGCCCAAAATTTTTGACTCGGCAATATAACGGAAATGATGTATTTGGTATGCCGGTCATGAGAGCACGCCTACTCAGCTTTGGACTTTTTGTTCTTCTTGTCCTTGGATTTCTTGTCCTTGGACTTCTCACTCTTTTCCGACTTGTCCTTCTTGTCCTTCTTGTCCTTCTTGTCCTTCTTGTCCTTCTTTATCCTTCTTTTCCTTCTTCGCCTTGGGCTTGCCCTCCTCGTCATTATCATCGTCGGCCTTGCGCTTCTTGCCCTTGTCCTTTTTCTCGGCCTTGTCCCTTTTTCTCCTTCTTCTCCTTCTCCTTCTTCTCCTCCTCAGCCTTTTCCTTTTCGATCTGCTCCGCCTTATTCTTCAACTGCTCCACGGTGGACGTTGGCACGTTAGGCTTCTGCTTGTTGGCACCCTTGGCATTGGCTTTGGTATTACCCTTGTAGAGCTTGCCCTCGTACTTTTGCGCCTCGGTCATGCACGATGTGTGCTGGCGGTAGGTTGTGCCGACAAAATCAACACCGCAGTCAATGCATGAGAAGGACGCGTAGTGGCAGCGCTGAGCGTGCTGATCGAGCTTTGGCTTTTTGATCGTTTCCTGGCACGAATTGCAGACAAAAGAAACCATAGCTGATGATACAGGGGCTTTGGGGGAGGGAGGGAAGTGTTGGTAACAGCAGTGGAGAAGAGAAAGGGCTGGCTTTTTGCGGTCTGGGATGGGTTCCGCTGCTAGACAGCTGAAAAAAAAAACGGCTGTGCAGAGGATGAATCTTTGGAAGTTTTCTAGATCGGACTGATTAATATTACGGGCCGATCACGGACACCTTCGGCTACGTAGGCTATGTTGGTTTACTAGGACATCAATTTAGTGATAGGGGTGAACTTGGTAAAGTGAAGAAAGAAATAATAGGGAAGGGGGATGCAGACGCGACTTACTCCCACGCCTTCTTGATATCCATGTTCCAGTCCCACTCCAGGTGCACGTTGTTGTCGTCGTCGACAAACTTGCCCTTGACTGCATAGCTGCCGCGCGCCAGCATGCCCGACGGCGCCTCGTCGGGCGGGAACTGCTTCTCGTACGGCTCCACATTCGGGCCGTAGCTGCCCAGCATCTCCTCGCTGCGGTCAACCCGAATGCCCTTGCGCTTCACCACCTGCAGGAACTTGAGCCCGGACACCACATCGTGCTGGATCTTGAAGCGGATCGTCAGACTGTACACGACGCCCTCCTTGATCACAATAGTGCGCTTCGACAGTGCCTCGACAGCCGCCGCCGACGACAGGTCCATTACCACGTCGTCGCGGCCGTCAACCTTCAGGATAAGCGCAAGCACCACGACCTTGCGCGGGTCGTCCGACGGCGCAGCCGCTATATAAACATAGACTTTAATGTTTTTGTTGTTTGGAAAAATTGGCAAAACGCAGATGAGGCTCAATGGCAGTAGGGGGTTTGCGAATTCCCTAAGGTCTATGGTTAATACTTACCACCGGAGGCGTTGAGGCCCAGCGACGCCTTCCACTTGTTGAGCGACTCGTCATTGGCGTCCAGGGTCTGGTACTCCTCAAGAGTCTTCTTCTCACCGACCTTGTACCCCTCTGTCTGGGTGGGCAGGAGGTCCTCGTTATCTTGGTGCTGCGACATTGCTGGTACGATGGGGGAAAATACTACTAAGGTGCAGAAATCTAGTTTGGAGAAAAACAAAAAGTAAAAAAATCAAAACACGCAAAAGCGACGGGCAGGTTTAGTCTCAAAGACTAAACAAATTACAGTGGCCGTCACCAGCAGACGGGGGCGGTAGCTGTAACGCCGTGCGGGCTATTGCGCCGAGAGGGAAAAAGATTGGCAACTTTTTTTTTTAATTGTCGGTTGCGCTGTTTAGCCCAAAACACAAGCGGGTATTGTTGCAGCACATGTGCAGCCGAGGGGATAAGTGCAGCAGGTACATTGGGCACAGAAAAAGGTACATTTTGAAGACACAGAAACATGGGGGTGAGGAAGAGCTAGTGCTTGGCGTGAGCCCGGGCCTTCAGCTCCTTGCGCTTCATCCGCATGCGCTTCCGCGCCGACATCTCCCGGTCGTACTTCTCCTTGGCCTCCTTCTCGGCAGCCTTCTTCCGGCGCTCAATGATCTTGTTGCGGTGGGCGTCCTTCTCGGCCTTCTTTTCGGCCTGCAGCTCCTGTTCGGCCAGACGGGTGGAGCTCTTGTCTATGCGCTCCTGCTGGCGCTTCGCCCAGGACTTTGACAGGGTCTTGGACATCATGGTGCGGTTGGTCGGCTTTTTGGCAATCTTCCAGGCCTTGCCCGATACCCGGGTCAGCGGAGCGCTCTTGGGTGCTGTTGTGGTGGACATAAGTTACTTCTGAAGGGCGGGGAATGCGGAGAGGTGGGAATGTGGGAAGAGAGGGTGCGCTTGCAGCACCTTCAGAAAAAGCACAAAAATGAATCGAAGAAAAAAACCTGGGCGTTCTGATCGCGGATCTCCAGATCAGCGGACCTGACTGCTTGGCTGCCAAAGTGGAAGGCGTCAGTGCCCAGTGGGGCTGGTGCTGCATGGGGCACGCGGGATGGGAAGCGGCAAGACAGGCAGAGCGAGAGACTCGCAGCCATCTCTTTGCAACTCCACCCCCTAGCCCTGGGCAAGGAAACAGCGGAAAGAGGGCCCAGGCACAAAGGGGAGTGTGGCGATGTGCAAACACGTCCATTCCGGCACTTTTATTCTAAACCCCTTTCACCTTTCACTACAAAAAACACACACCATAAAAAAACAGGGTACGTAATCTACAAAAAGCAGCAGCACGCATCTCTGGTTCTCTCATTCGCTCCTTACAGACAGCCCGGGAACTTAACAAGCGTTCTTTTAGCACACTTTTATCCCTTTGTTTTTCGCAGAGCATGGATTCGGAAAAGACAACACTGAGCGAGAACCACGCAGAGTACGAGGCGGAGATCATAGAGGTGCTAGGAGAGCTCCGCGAGGCGGTGTTCAGGCGGCAGCCGTCGGACATCTACCAGTTCTGCGCAACATACTTCAACGAGAAGCTGGCGGAGCAGCGCGAGGGCCTTCTGGAGCTGGTGAAAATGAACCCGTCGATCCTGGACAGCGGGCCGGCGACCGCGCACACAGGCGTGGGCAGCAGCCGGGCCACGGCAAGCGAGGTGCCGCGCGAAACGCGGCCGTCGACGCGCGACAGCCAAGAGGACTTCCGCATGCGGCAGGCGTCATCGCACGCGTGGAGCGAGGGCGTGCCAGCCGAGGCAGCAAACGGACTGCTGAATCCGGACTTTAGCTTTGGGGCGGCGATGGAGGAGGACGAGACCGATGAGGCGCGCGACAAGTTCTCGCGCCTGGTGCATCTGCCGCCGAACAGCGCCGTGCAGCCGTTTGCGGGGCGGCGGTTCAGCGTGTCGGCCGAGTCAATGAACCCGACGACGGAGGCGGAGTTTGAGCGCAAGTTTGTGCCCAAGACCGAGTCGCAGAAGCAGCGGATCCGGCAGGCGCTCAGCAACAACTTTTTGTTCAAGAACCTGGACGAGGACGCCTACAGGGACGTGGTGGATGCCATGGAGGAGAAGCAGGTGGCAGCCGGCCAGGACATCATCACGCAGGGCGGCGTCGGCGACTTTTTCTATATTGTCGAGCGCGGCTCGTTTGACATTTTCGTCACAAAGGGCGACGAGCCGCCCAGCAAGGTGGCGACGGCCGGCGACGGCGGCAGCTTTGGCGAGCTGGCGCTGATGTATAACGCGCCGCGTGCGGCCACAGTCCATGCCACCACCGCTGCCACGCTGTGGGCGCTGGACCGCATCACGTTCCGCCGCCTGCTGATGGAGCGCACGTCGCGCAAGCGCCGGCTGTACGAGCGGTTCCTGGAGACGGTTCCGCTGCTCAAGTCGCTGGAGCCGTACGAGCGGCAGAAGATCGCCGATGCGCTCGAGTCCATTACCTTCAATGACGGAGACGTGGTGGTGCGGCAGGGCGACAAGGGCGATGCGTTCTATTTGATCGAGCAAGGAACCGTCCGTGTCATCAAGGCCGACCAGGACGGCGTTGAGCGCGAGTACCCGTCGCTGGACCAGGGCGGATATTTCGGCGAGCTGGCGCTGCTCGACGACCAGCCGCGCCAGGCCACGCTGGTCGCCCAGGGCCGCACAAAGTGCGCGCGCATGAGCAAGGACGCGTTTGATCGCCTGCTTGGCCCCGTCATCAACATTATCCGCCGCGAGGCTGGCAACTACACCCGCATCCAGTCCCTGGGCCAGGCCCATCTGGACCACTAGCTCTTTATTGGATTTATCATTAACAGTTCCTCTCCCGCTCGGCCTCCTTGATCTTGGCCTCCACTGCCCTGACTGCCTCCTGAACGCTGCATGTGCGCGTGATCTTCAGGTCCGCCTTTGGCTGCGGCGACTCGCCCTCGCCGCCGTTAACGACCTTGCACCACTGGGGCAGGAACCCACACAGCGCAGTCACATGCTGTACCACCTCCGCCCTGTCCAGCCCCTTGGCCTCAGCCAGCTTCTCGACCACATAGTAGAACGGCAGGACCGTATGCCGCTCCGCGTAGAACAGGAACGACAGCGACTCGACCAGCGCCGGCAGCCGCCCATGCATGGTACGCGTGGCCGCGGGGACCTCCGCGCTGGCTGCCTGCTCCTTGGCCTTCTGCTTGGCGCGGATCCGCTCCAGCAGGCTCTGTGCGCGCACCACCGGCTTTTCCTCCGCCGGCTTCTGCGTCGGCTCGGGGGTAGTGGGCTGCGGCCGATCTGCTGGCTGGCTCTTTGCGCTGGCCAACAGGTGCTTCAGACGGTCCTTGCTGAATGCCGCCATGCCCTTCTGGCACGGCTGTTGGACCGGCGGCAATGCCACAGGGACCACAGCAGGCACTGTCTCGATATCAAACTCCCTGTGCAGGCCGCTACCGGAGGGTTCGCTGGCGAATCCGCGGCTGACCAGAAACAGCCGGTGCGCCTCTGCGACTCTCTCCATTAGCCGCGCATGGAACTCCTTGCGTCTTTGCTCCATCTCCACCGCCTGCATGGCGCCGGTGACATTGGGCGTCAATACCACTGATGTGACTTTGCGGCCGTCATGGGCAATCTCCACGGGCTCGTAGCTGTAGGCCTCAGGGAACACGCGCATGACCTGCCCGAGCTCCCGCCACCCAAACGTGCGCCTGGCCATGGACTCGACGGCCTTGCGCACGCGGTGATACACCACAGAGCGTGCATTCTGGAACAGCACCGCGTGCTCCAGGCCCTGGAACAGCTCGTCCAGTTTGCGCAGCTCCCGTGGTAGCCGGCGCGCCGGCTGCATTACGAAGCCGCGCGCCAGCTGCTTCACCTCCGACCCCTTATCTGTCACTGTCTCGAAGCTGCTAGCAGCTAATGCTGGCTCGCTAACCGCACTGGGCATGCGTCGCATGCGCAGCTCTTCTTGGATCTCCCGCGTCTCTGCCAGCCGCGCGCCGGGCTTCCCAGCGATGGCCGGACGGCTGTGCAGTCTGGCCAAAAGAGCTTGGGCGCGTGTGTTTAGCGATTTCTTCGGCTCCGCTGTTTCCTCCACCCGCTCCTGGGCCGTATCTATATTGCTCTCGTCCTTGTTGCTCTCTTCGGCCTGCGCTCTGACTGCCTGCGCTTTTTTCACTGTCTGCTTGCGCGGGCTCTTTGCTGTCGGAAAGTACTGTCCGATTGTCATCTTGCGCTTCCGCGCCGGGCTGTCTGGGAGCGCCCCGGTGGGCTTGCGCTTGCGTGCTGGTGTCTCTACAACTATGTCGGGTGTTTTGGCCGTGCGGCTACGTGTGGTCATTCGCCTAGGTGATTGAACCGGTGCCAATTTCGTTTCGCCTTTGCCCGCCGCCGCGTCGCGTGTCTTGCTGACGCGCACAAACGACTTTAACGTTGAGGCACGCGGCTGAACGCTCATTATTATATATGCTGATTTCTGCTGATTTGAATTGGGAGAAATACAGGGAATAAAAAGCATGCAAACGGTGGGGGCATGCCGCCTGTCGTCAACTTCAAGTCTTGTAAACAACAAAATCCAAACGCGCTGCCGTTGACAACTGTGATCACAGGATTAGCATCTCACATATGTTACTTATTATTAAAATCATATCATTACCAGAGTTGCTCTGCTCGCGATGCGAGCTCGGCTGCTAGTCAGCATGGGTTGACACGTCGACAAGAGCATCACGGCGAACCGGTCATTTGAACGTGTCGGATAGTTGTTGGTGCAATAGCGATCATAGATATCTCCCATCTTGATAGCCTGCTGCTGCACGCCTCTTGCGCGGCCTCTTTGTTGCAGGGGTGGTGCCAGAAGCATCGGCAGCAATGGCCGTAGAACGACGGAACCGTTCAGGAATACTGCCTGAATCACAGAGTGACTGGAAAATGAGCCTGAAGTTTAGAACTGCTGCGAGATCGCGGTTCAAGAGCCGAGACGAATAGACTCGCCTGCATTGTGCCATGGCCCGCTTACATGACTCGCTTGTACAGCGGAGAAGGCCATGGCACTTCACAGTTGGGTTCTTCGATCTCTGGTAGGGCCGCGGGTTGGGAACATGCTGGAATGTCTGCTGCTGCAGCCGATGCACCTGCAAATGAATCAGCCGCTACTGCTGCAGTTGCTGCAGTGGCCTCTGTTGCATCCGATGGCATCTTCGCTGCTTCGTGTGCAGCCTTCTTGGCCAATCTTTCGCCCTTTTCTGCTGCTTTCCTTGCCTCTGTTGCTGCCCTCTTTGCTGCGTTGATCTTGGTAACTTCCTCATGTGTTTTCGAAATAAACACCTGCTTGATTATTTGCTTGTCTAAGCGCACATGGCCTGGGATCCATGATATCCGCAGAGGCAAGCATTGGGAGGAGACTTGCCAAGCTGCTCATTCTCAATAAGCTGGCATAGGCGAATGTATGCACACAGATGCTGAAGTGGATTTACCTTGGCATCATAGGCATTGGGGATTGGTGCCAGCTTGCTGTAGATTGCAAGCATCGGTGGGGTGAGCACACTAAGATCAGGGTGCCTAGAGGCAACTGCCTGGCGGAGCTTCTGTGCAGGTGTATAAATACACACTTGACATGCATTATTGAACTCAGCCTTGGACACATTGCCCATTATACTGTGCAGTGTGGTTTTGCGGCTGCGAATATCAACTAATTTGGCCAGAATCCACTGTAGGCAAGTGCCATAGTGCAACACAATGTTATTCTTGTATGCTGTCATCAGCTCGGTATCCACGTATGTCGCTATCTGATTCATTTCGCGTACGTCATGTAGCTCGATATCGCCATTATGCAATAGATAATCATAAATATGGTATCTAATTTCATCACCGAAATTTGCGGTTAACAGTTCTGGCCTGTCCTGGTTAACAAAATCCTCAGCAGATATGGTCATCTTTGCCTTCAGATTGTGGTAAATGAATAAATAAATGGAATGAAAGAATCCCTTTTTCACAAATGTTGCAGGGTCAAAGGCATCATCATCAGCTAGTTGATGGAGTAATATCCATCGTGCAAGCATGTATGTATGCTCTTTGATGATATTGACGCTGTGTACAAATTGCTCTGGGCAGGGCAACATAGAATCGCGGAAGCCAATATCACCAAGTGATGTCTTTATGACAGTAGTGCTGCGGTAATATTCATTTGAGAAATTCAATAGGCAAAGTAAGTAGAGAAATGATGCTGCTCAGTTTTGCTTTATTGCGTATGCATAGCATTAAGAACTTTTTATTAAAAATGATCTGGCTTGCATGGTTCTTGGGATCCTTAGCACTGATACAGTCTCTTGAATCAGTCTATACAGACTGGGTCCATTGTGGCCCAAATACTACCGCTTACGCATGTTCATAAGACAAATTAATTTAAAAATAAACCCACAAACATTGCATGACCGCTAGAAGAGCTACATGGCCTTATTCAATAGGTGCTCATTAATAAATATCCAAAGAGTGTTGCGCAGCCGGTGATGATCACCATGATGACGCCATGGAAGTTATCAGGCCGACCGACAACAAGAGCAGCTCTTGCGCTGAACCAATGGAGATATATAGTGGAGACCTGTGACCACTACAATAACAACTTGTCGCCCTGGTTTCACCGATGAGGTCAGATGCCGCGCAAGATCAAAAGGAGTTTACAGAGCAAGTCACCCAAACTCGCTTTGAAGTTTACGAGTTTTATCTTTTAACCAATTTAAAAGGTTCTAGCGGACGGTCAGACACTTTTTCGGACTATAAAATCGTCATAAAGGTAAAGATTTCACCTGCTAATATGCGCCATGAGCCGGGTAATATGGCTGGCGTTGCTGGTTGCTGCTGGTGCTGCGGTGCATGCACCGGGTACTGGTTCCATCCTGGCTGCTGTGGTGCCTGGTGTCGGGGCTGCTGCTGTTGCTGCTGGGACTCGGCAAACCGCCGCTCCAGGCACGATTCGCAGCAAGGCCGCGAGTCAATCTCACCAAACGGCATCCGCGGTGTAATGACCTTGCGGCAAGTCGCTGCAGCAGAAGCAGTCCGGGTGGTATGCGCAGTCGTTGTGCTTGACAAACACCCCCTCAATCACATTCTGGCATGACCCACACACCAGCTGCGAATCCGCCGACTGCCGCCCATCATTGTGCGCGCTGTGCGCGTATTTTTCCACACAGTGATGGTGGTACTCGCGACCCTCAAAGCACACATATGACCCCTCGTCGAACCGCTGCTTGCACCCTGCACACGCAAAGCAGTCCGGGTGGTACCGCTTGCCGTTTGACAGCTGGAACCGCGGCCCAGACAGCAGCTGCTGGCACGAGTCGCACCGCTCCTCCTTGCCTCGGCGCCCGCGGGCCACGTGGCTTCCCGGGCAGAGCTGACGAACCCGACCGGCTCGACGGCACCGGCGACACCGACACCACTGGCGGAGTCGGCGGAACGCACGGCGGGTGGTACTCCACGCCGTCCTCCAGCACATACACTCCGTCGTCAATCAGCTGGCTGCATCCCCGGCATGTGAAGCACTCGACATGTACCTGCCGGTCGTCCGAAAGCCGGAACCATGTGTCCTCAATTGGCTTGCTGCACCGCGCACAGTGGTTCGGAATAAACCCTTGCACATCGCCCTCGCCCTCTGACGATGATGACGCAATGTTCTCAGGCGCCCGCTGGTCAGGGCTGCTGTCGCTGCTCTGCGCCTGCGCCGCCCACTGTGGGGGCTGTTTATCCTTGCCGCTCTGCTGCGACTGCGTGGGCCCACGCCGGTTGCCGTTGCGTGGCCGGCCCTTCAGCAGCTTGCTGTGCTTCTCAAGCACCGGGATCGTAGGGCTTAGGTCGGCGGCTCACGGTGGTGCGTGCGGATCATATCGCGCAGCTCCGGCAGTTGTGACTTGTCAACTGTCGGCTGTCGCTTCGGCTTGCTGCGTCTGCCAGCCGTACCGGTGCCATCGCCCGACTCACTTAGGAACGCGCTGGCGCTGAACTTTTTGATCGTATCGGCTACCGACGGCAACGTGCTCTTGGCCTTGCGCGTGCCGCTCGCCTTGCTCAGCACATAATCGGCTAGCGACTTTTCGTTCTCTGCCTCATCGTGTAGCGTGCCGTTGGATCCGCCCGACTCGCCGTTTGCTGCTCCATCACTCTGCTCGTCGCTCACTTCATTATCCCCATCATCGTCCTCAGATGTCGTACGCTCCTCGCTCTCCTCTTCCTCCTCATCACATTCCTCCTCATAGCCCTGACGCGACAGCTGTGATGGCTGGAGTGCAGGCCGATCGACCATGAAGCTAACTGACCGTGACGCCGACCGGCTCGTTGGAGCATTGGGGCTCTTTAACGAAGACCGTGGCGAGGACGGTACCGCCGGCTCCTGCGGGTACATTGCCGAATTGAGCTTGGTCTTGATGGCATCAATCTTTGATGATGGCGGTGTCGGCGATGACCTGTGTTGTTGAGGAGATGACGTACGCGAGCCAGATGACGTGGGGCGCGGCCCGGGCGTCGGAGACACTGCTGTGGCCTCTGACTCGGACCTCGAGATCGCACTGATATCTGGATCAACGATCGACCGTGGCAACGGCAGACCTTCCTTTTCTGCTATTTCATCCGGCGACAGAATGCGCTCCAGCACATCATGCCCTGCGTCCATCTCATTGAACTTTCCTGTCACCATTGACACATCTGTGATGCCATTACCTAATGACTGGTGGCTGGGTGCCCGGTCATACTGCGTCAGAACCGGCGTCAGGATTGATTCAGTCGAGGGCACTTTGGCTGGCGTCGGTGACAGCGGTGAGCGTACTGTAGGACTCGATGTGTACCCCCGGTAAATGGGCTCACGTGTCGATGATGTCGGGCTAGTAGGAACAGGCGATGTCGCGCCAATACCACCGCCCATTGCAGACGGAATCGGCGGCTCAATCCTTGGCCGCGGCGGAATTGTGATTTTCTGTCCAGCCATACCAATTTGTGGTGCATTTGCTGGCTGCGTCCGAGGCCTTATGTCTGCTAACGATGATGCAGGCTTGGCTGGTGGCGCTTGGTCCTTGGGCATGAAGCGGGGTGTGCTGTTCGGCTCCTGCTTGGTAAAGCACGGCTCACAGATAGGCAGCCCCTCCAAATCAACCAGCGGTGTCATCAGCATTTTGTTGCATGAGCGGCATCGGATGCACAGCTTGTGCCAGACCTTGTCGCCATACTGCACCCATGGCCGGCCACCTGTTAGCACAATCTTCTGGCACCCAGCGCAGAATCCACGGCTGTAACTCGAATGGTAGCAGTCTGTGCAGTAAATTATACCAGGTTTTGAAGCAAACTGCCGTCGCTCTTCTGCCCGCAGTGCCTTCCCGCACGTCGTACACGGTCCGTGTCTCGCTCATATCGATATGATGGTCTGGCAATGTTGCAGACCGCGATCGCAGTGTGTGGGCAGACGTGTCAACCCCACTGTCTGCACGAGACTCTTGGTTGTCGCGAGACGACATTACTGGCCGCCTGGTGTCGAACGCTGATGATGTCTGGCGTGGCGATGGCATCGACGTGATTGGAGAGGGGAGAATTGGGGTCTTGCAGCTCAGCCCAGGCGACTCGTATAGCGATGTGGCTGTAGGCATCCGGTATTCCCGCTCAACGGTTGCAGGTGCCCGGTTCGCTGCTGCGTGACTTGAGCCATCGTCAGTCCGGAACCCGCTGCTGAGCCGGCGCGTGTTTTGGTCAACCAGCTGTGAATGCGCCATACCTGCTGCCTCGACACCTGCAGCCGCAGCAATAGTCTGCTGCTTAGTTTTGGGCTGCTGCTGTTGTGGCGGCGGCGACGGGCGATATACACTCCCTGTCGCCTCATGTCTACGCTCCATCCCTGTTAAATCTTTGTGTGCATCTTCGTGTGTGTACGGGGCAGGCATGGTCTCGCTACGCATGCGCGCTCCGGGGACCACTGGACTAGGGCCTGCTGCTTGTGGCGACGCTGTGCTAGTAAAATACTGTGACCACCGCGGCTTCATCTGTTTGCTAGGCGACGATGAGGGCGATGCCGACATAGGTGCTGCTGCTGGCATCGATGGACTACTGAGCGACGGCGACTTGTAGTGCGAGTACCGGCTGCTTGCATTCAGCACAGGCGAGATATTGTATGGCTTGTTTCCGTTTAGAGCCGCTGACCGTTGCGCCGCCGCCACCACCTGTACTGGCGAATGCTGTGTATTGTTGGTAGCGTACATTGATGCTGGCCGGGCTGCTGGTGAGTCACGCAGACCACGCGCCCGAGGTACTGGGATGCCATCGCGCCAGTTATCACCACCGCTCGACGCAGCTACGGCTGCCGCCTGAACTGCACGGTGGGCCGTCGGCTTAAGAACCGGCGAAGCATTGGCTACTCAGATTACTGATTGCCACTGGCGACCCCGACTTGGGCGAGCCGGTCTTGCGGTATAGGCCGCCGGGCTCGCCATACATGTGGTTGTTATCGTTTCCATGCGCCGGCGGGTACACTGTCGACAGGGGTCTCGCTGACGGGCTGCTGCCGCTGCCGCCGGGGTTGCCGCTGCCCGGGTGGAAGCGCCGCTCAAGGTATGTGGATGTCCACGGGTCCCTTCGCTCGCCTTGGGCTGCTGCCGCCCCCGTTGTCGATTCTACATGCACAAAGCAGTGTTGATTGTACAGCCCTGTTAGCGACAATGCACTCTAATCCCTAGGCAGCCGAGGCTATTGTGTGTCCCACTCCTTTTCGGAGTTTTTCGCTGCCAGTGTCGGTATACTTACCTACTGGCCTGCCGCCGCAGCGCTTGCAGCGGTCGCTGTACACTATATCTCCACAGCGTTTGCAGTACATTGGGAGAGTGTCCTTTGTGATGTATGTCTAACGGTGCTTCCCCCTCGAAGCCAGAGCAGTAATCAGCAGTTCAGCTTCCCCTCGTCACTATCGAAATGTTTTGTATGCAGATGGTGCCCAGGTATCGAAAAAAAAAAAAAGCTGGGGAGAAATGTACGAGGAAAGCCTGTGTGTATGTGAACGGCAAGTGTCTTACTGCGCAGAGTTCCCGCTCTATAAGACTGGGGACTACTGGTGCTAAGCGTGCGAGATAATGAGTATTGACGAGGCAGTAGGTCTGGTCAATAGCGCTGCGATGACCGTGAAGAAAAAGAAATGAAATAGGCTGCTGCAGCGCTATTCAAGGAGCTAAATTAGAAGAAATTCGAGGCAAAAGAGACGAAGGCTGCTGCTGTGGGATAGTCCAAGGAAACCTGCTAGCAAGCTTTTTTGTATGTGCGTGTATGATGCGAGTGAAAAGTGGTGCCGCCAGGATGTTTTCAACAAAAGCGCTGATTACAAGTGCTGAAAGATGGATACAGAACCAAGCCGTGCGCTCGGTCGACAACAAAAGAAGAGAATAGGACTGGCTACAAAGGGAAAAAGACAAAATTGTCGATGGGAGACAAGAAAGGAGCGAGAGCCAAAGGTTGTCTTCAAAACAGTAGTTGCCCTTGAGTTCCTTGGAAAAATATAGCGAAGAGCACTGAAAAATTGCTAGTTGCAATAGTGCTGGGTAGATGTTCACGATTCTGGCACCGAATCAACCAATCACATCCGCGCTGTGGGGTTTTTGGAATAAACAGAGGCCGAATAGCAGGGTGTCCTGCCTCTGTCCCAGGCAAGGGACTGATCGCTCAAACTCCCGATATAGTGGCTAGCCAACGCACCCGCCCGCATGACAGACGGAGGAGCCTTCTGCAGCATACTCTCCCTCGCATGCTGCGAGCTCTGTTTACTATACTGGGGCAGCTTGTTAGGTGAGCGCCCAGCCGTTGTTTTGCGATACGCGGTGCACAAACTCCTGGTTGCCAATTAAGGTCACTCGGGCAGCACTATTGTGTCGAGTGCCATTCTTGGACCATATCGGCAAATCTGTCCGTCATAGCACTTCCTGTCCAAGGATATCTTTGCAGCCTCCTTTGTTTTATATGGGTGCAGCTAGCCTGAGCTGGTGATATCTGCTTCCATACCGACAGCCCAGAAAAAAAAGTCATACAGCAGGACTATCACACATGCTATCTATTCTTCACATGAGACAATTCACGTCAGACAAGTAAGGCACGTTAATAAAGGCTGTTCAGCTGGCGCCAACATTCCTTTCACAGCCAGTGGTCACTAGGGCAACACGCCGAGTCAGCAGGCTTCCTTCTACCGCTGTTCCACCGCAACACCGAGTATGCGATTTTCGTCTCTTACCTCCCTCACCTCTGCATGCCACTTACTTTTATACACTACTCTTTTCCTGAGCAGCTCCATGAACGTAGAAACAACCCAGCCGTTGCTTGCCCCTGCAATTGCCGCACCCGCGAGCTATGACTCGATACCAACCAATGTTGTCCATCCATCGCTGGACCCCGCACAGGAACCGCACGTACACACACGCTATCAGCCGTAGCACATTCCATTATTCTGTGGCTCATCCTCGACGCTGCAATTGTCATCTACTGCTACAACGACACAACACATGCCGCAATCGGGCGTATCAAGAATATGTCGAAGCACTCAATCCTTTTCAGTTTTGCCGCGATACTACTGCTCATGTCACCTACATATCTGACTGCTCTCCGACAATACCGTTTCGCCACGGTACATCAGATTCGAAAAGAATATACACGCTCACAAGGTCGCCGCGTATACACTTGTTAGGCTGGACAGCCATCCACACAAGTAAGTGCTACAACGACATTCTATCTGGCATGCATGGAACAACTCTGTCGCTGCCCTTCAATGAATCTGATTGTGGCTAACCATTGACCTGCCTCACCGTGCCTACTGCTTGTGTAGTAATGCACTATCAGGATTATATCCGCACCAGGCGGCCGAGGATGGAGAATGGGGAGCACGTTGACGGCACGCCTCTGCTGTATAGTCTGTTTATCAAGCAGTCGGGGTGGACAGGACATTTGATGCTGGCGAGCATAGTCGCAATGTGCTCAACTGCCTACCAGCAAATTCGCAGCAGGCTCTTCGAGCTTTTCTACTACACGCACCAGCTCTTTTTATTATGCGTGGCTTTATTATTTATTCACGACGAAAACGTTTTGGTTCGCTGGTACATAAGTGTTCCGTTAGTGGTGTACTTTACGGACCGCATCTACCGATGCATCCGTGTACGTCTCAACAGAGCACAGCTGCAGGAAATCACTCAGCTTCCAGCTGGCGTCATGAAACTTCGGCTGACCAAGGGCAGGGTCAAATCGCAGCCTGGCCAATATCTCAGGGTATGCTGTCCAGCAGCCTCAATGCTGCAGTGGCACCCAGTGACGATCACAAGTTCTCCCGAAGACAACCACCTTACTCTACATCTACGCGTAGAAGGAAGTTGGACCCGCAACCTCTCTCATCTTTTCGGATGTGACTTTGGAAAGGATCCACGGTTATCTACGGCTGCACAAACATTAAGACACCTGTCCAATGGCAGCAGCCACCAACTAGAATACCAGGAGAAACAACATACTGCTAGAGGATTTTGCCGTCAGCAGCTCATTGCCGCTTGTTCTTGTTGACGGTCCATACTACTCTCCATTCCAGCAGGCGCTGAAATACGAGGCTACTGTCATGATTGCTGCTGGAATAGGCATCACACCTGCAGTGTCTGTATTGCGTACTATGTGTTGGCGATACAAACAAGACAACCAAATCTTTCTTACCCAAGGTCCACTATATACTGGGTTTTTCGCGATAGCAAGTGCTCTCCAGTGGTTCCCCAGCCTATTTAAGACACTAGGGCAAGATCTTTGGCATGTAGTTGATATTCATCTGTACTATACTGGTGGCGACCCTATCTGCCATGTTCCGAGCGCTTCATCATTTAACCTTGGCCGGCCGTCATTCAGATGTGTGTTTGAACAGATCGCATCAACATACCACAACTGTAGTATTGGTGTATTTTTTTGCGGCCCAGCCTCTATAGCAAACATAGCAGAGAGTGAGGCTGAGAAATGGGAAAGCATAGAGTTTTACAGCGAATCTTTTAGTTAAATGCACCTTATTTTATGATATGTGCTTGCTTGGTATAATTATTGTTGGACACTATCGATGACTACAGTTATCTAAATCGCAAGTCACTGTGAGAAAATCCTGACAGCACCAACTATGTGACATTGAGTTTCTCGAAAGAAATTTTCTTTTTCTTTCTTCTTTATCGGTTTAGCGCTTAGTATTTTCTCATTTCTTATTTATAAACTTTGGTATAACGCCAGTTTACTTTAATTATATACAACACCGGTTTAGTGGTAGCGGCGATATTCGTTGTATATCGATACCATTGTTCACATCAAGAAAAAGTTAACTGCATAGTATTGAATGGTCCAAATCTGACTATTGAGCCCTGAAAAAGGATAATAAAATCAGCAACCAGCAGGGACAGAGTAGTCCTCAACATGGGTTCCGAGGCTGACACCCGAAGCCTTGGGGCCAACACCGCGCTTGGCAAAGCCCTTCCAGATGGCACACTTGTTCTTGCCACCAGTCAGGTTCTGCTCAGCCTGGAGAATGGCATCACGAGCGTTAATGAATGTCGGCCTGCACGGCTGCAACTTCATTCCATCAAGGATAATCTGGAGTGCAATCGAGTTACCCTTGGTCAGATCGTGCGAGAACAGGTCTGCCGCCATACCGTTGGCGTCAATGAGGTTCCAGATCACCTCATACAAGGATCTCAGCCCACACCTCACCAATGGCGTGCACTTCCCTGTAGGTCGACTTGTTGAGGTATGCGTATGTAGACGGGTTGGTGCTAGTCGATGTGGAGTACGGATAGTTGCGAATGCCCTTGACCGTACGAGTACTGGCCGAGAAGGAGGTTGCGTGAGCGGGTATCTCCAGACTTGAGACGCATCAGGTTAGGCAATCAGCTGTCACTCCATCCTTCACCCATACCTCCAGGTTCGCCACTGCCCAGGCAGTTAGAGTTAGATGGGCCACCAGGTCAGACGGTTAGAGATACCGTGAGTGAACTCGTGAGCAACGATGTCCTGCTCGAGATCGCCATCGCGGTTCGGGTTGGTTTGAGTCCAGGTGTACATGCGCATGACACCGTTCTGGCCGTCGGGGGAGTGGCAAAGTTGGCATTGTTGGTGCCAGATCCATCCTGAGCATAGGCAACGACATAGTCGCCGCCAACACCACTGCCGCTGTAGTTCACATCCTGGAAGTTACCAGCAGCCTCAGTGAATCCGTAAAGGAACGACAGGTCATGCATGGTGTTGACAGTGTAGAACAGCTGTGTAATAGCAGAGTCAATGTAGGACGAAGGAGCCTTGGTCAGGTCCAGTGGGAAGTTGAAGGCACCGTTGGAAGAGTTCGGACGGTAGTTGTTTTTCCACGTGCTACCGCCAGTAGGGTTGTTCTGTGCCCATACATTGTTGCCGGTGGTAGTAGTGCCAGTAACCCAGCCCTTAGGGCTAGCATTGGTGTTGGCTGGGCTCGACACGATTGAGCGGCTGCCTTCCAGAGGATCGTTTACATTGCGCGGGTAGACGTTGTACGACTCGGCGTGCGATACCCAGTCGTTGATAGCCTCAATGCTGCCGGTGTCCTGGTTGATGTGGGCACTCCACCAATGGCTATCCTGCTTCAGGGTGATCTCCCAGACATGCGCCAGAGATCCATCAGCCTTCTGGATCAGTGCCTTCTTGCCGGTGGCCGAGCCGTCGACAGCAGACTTCTGAGGCACATTGGAAATAGTGAACTGCGGGTCACCACCAACAAGGCTTCCCGGTCGACGCAACGGTGATCTTGCTCAGGTCGCTGTCAGACACAGCGGTCTTGACGTAGTCGTTCAGCGACTTGAATGCATTCTTCAGCGAGGCATCGTCGCTAGCACGCTGCAACAAGAGAGCCGTTAGGAGCGCTTGACCTTGCTCAGAGCATCAGCCGAGGCGAATGACTGGCTGGACGAGATGATGCGGCCCTTGGAGTCAACGTTGACATTGGCAAGACCGTTGGCGACATCAACACCGCCGACTGGTCTGGCGGACATAGACGTGAGTGATACCTGAGCGAGCATCGGTGTAGGCATCGGTGACCTTGATGCTCTGAGCTGGGATGTTGTGGTTCTTGGCCAGATACGCAACAGCGATATCGGCCTTAGACTTGACGGCAGAGTCCTTCTTTGTGTTTCCGACGAAGGATGCAGCCTGAGTAGAGGAATCAGCAGTGACGGAGACCAGGCTTGTCATAGACCTTGAACTGGCCGCTGCTCTGCAACACCGGGCTGAAGGTAACAACATCCTGATGGTAGTCTGGTGCGGCACTAACAGTAGCAAGAGTGGCGGCAAGGAGGCCGACAATAGACGAGAGCTTGACCATTATTGGTATTATTAGGAATTCGAGGATTTGGATGAGTAGCTAATATCTTTGCTGAGTGGTGCATGAATCCAGGACACCCCGTTCATATCCCCTTTTATACCTTTCGCATGCCCTGCCATCAATAATTTATGTACTCTAGAATTGGATCTTTAGCTGGATTCATGTCGGCCGTGTGCATGTAGTGGGGTTCACATCCGCTTTCGGCCGGCCAGTTGCAGACACTGCAGTACCCACGCCATTGCATGCTTTTGCTCTAGCGTTCCACTCAGGTCCACAGATGTTCACGCATATACAGTGAGTTTTGCTCACCTCCTATCGTACGAAGGTCGGTTGAACACCAGTAAAACCTTGCTTGATAGTTGCAAGCAGGTTGTAGACAGCAGTCAATCCAGCATTCGCCAAACTTGAAGGCGTGCCTGGGAACTGTACTGCCTGGCTTTTCCCAAGCTTCTTTTGGAACTTTCGTTTGGTTTGCAGCTGAAGCACCATGTGATGGCAGCCCAAAAAGATGAGCTTTATCGAGGAGGAAGGAATCACGACTGGTCCCTACCAGCTGAGAATAAGTTTATATTGCGGTTCGGTGGTTCATCGTGATGTGTCCCTCTCAAAACCTGATGGCAAACTAGATCCCTGTACATTCTTTTCTGGCCAGATTTGCACTATATTTGTTGCTTGTCATGGGCCCATTTGCAATACATGTCCGCACTCTATGGCATCTTCCCTCCAATGCAGTCTCTGCATCACATGGATAGCTTTAGATTGACCAGGTCATTCTCTAATCCCGAGCCGAGCCAGTCTACTCAGTCTTTCTCACGGAGAGACTGAAAAGAATTTTCCTGTGTGCCGGCAGAGTTTCAGTAGATAGCAGTGCGTGTAGGCGTTTACACCATGTGCAGTGGCCAAGTATATCTCATCTCTTAATTCTCTGCTAACCTCCTATAGCTTGGAAAGCATGCTGCATTGTGCCTCCCCAACCTCAGCAAGCTTATTCGCAGGCGATGTCGCAATTAGTATCGCTCATCTTTCCCCACGCCCACCCCTCTTTCTGGCAGTACATATGCATGCACGTCATGTCCGTGAATACCTAAGGCGCAATTCGGCTGCGATGCTTTATCCCTCTCCTGGAACCTTCTCTGGAGAACCCAGCCTTCCTGATTTTCCTGTCCTAGATATGCGCTCCTCGTGGGAATCGATATAGAATTTTTATCCTACTCGGCGGAAGCTCACACTCGCTTTAGAGAATGAATCAAAAAAGGGACCATTCCATATGCCGGTTGTAAATCAAGCTTGCATGGTGTTGTTTAAATCCTCAAGGTAAAAATAAACTTGCTCGACTGAGAGCGAGCATCAGGACTCACCCATGTGAAACGCTGTCCTGTTTAATTCATGTCTCGAACATCACCTGCTATGTGCGGTTTTGCAACCGTTTCGAGGAGAATGAGCGTGGGGACGCGCATCAGGTTTGGTGCATATATAGCCAAAACTGGTTTCTGGCGGAATGCCGCTTAAATGCCGCTCATTTGTCTCCGTCACTCCTGCGCGATGGCTGACTGTCTCAATTAGTTGAACAAATCGGCTATCCATGATTTGCTCTGGTGATCAGGATCTATCAGATATCTTCCGACGATCGGACATGTCGGGTTTTCCGGAATGTCTTTTTCCGAGACTGCTCAAAAACAGATAACGGGTTAGGCCGAGCGCAGTTGGAATATTCGACTTGCGCGGGGCAATCGCAAAAGGGAGCTTTTGGGCCGGTGGCGAGAAAGTACGGATAGTCCGGCTGCCTGTTGGTGCGGCAGCTTTGACGAATGGCTCGGTCATTCCGCCAGAATGCACCTTTTGTGCGTGGTGAGTAGAGGGCATGCCAAGTAATGCGCCTGAGCGTTCATCAGATATGCCTTCCACGTAGAAGTGGTCACGTTTGCCCTTGGAAATTGAAAAGTACGGCACCCTCCCTGAATTAAATGGCCAAAAATCAACCTGTTCTTTTCAGTTCCTCCATTGACTTTTCCTATTTGCCACCTCCTTCGTTCAGCGTCGGTTTATTGCTCATTGGAGACACTTGGCCCACGGATTGGTGGTTTTCTTTACCGGACAACTTGTTTTGCAGTTAGGCTAGAACGGCAGTGCTCCATTTCTTGACCTCCTTTCAGATTTATTCCTCACCCTCTGTTTCTGTTGCTGTTTATTGCCTATCACGAAACCACTAGTGTGTGTGCTCAGCAGTATACCCACATGACTTCGACAATCATGCATCCACCGCTCAGCTGGCAGCAGCCACCCCAGCAGCCACTACTTGCCTCTGCACGTTCCTCGGCCAGCAGCTACAATTCGGTGTCTGTGTCCTCGACAGCAGTGAGTTCGAGTGACAGTACCGATAGAGCTGGCCCAGATAAGCGTCAGGCCAAAAGCCGACCGGACCTTGTCATTCGTCGGGGCATCTTTCTAGGTACTCTGGGCTTTACCGCATATGCTCATTGTCCTGCGCTTTGGTGTCTTTGGCAGAAAATCGCTATTTAAGCGTGCTAACGATGTCCTGGTAAACGCGATCCTTTTTGACGTTGCAGCTATCCTCGTTCTCATGTCGCCCACCTTTATCGGCCTCATGCAAAAGACGTTCTTGCCCAGATACATCTCATTTGAGAGGAATGTTGCCGCACATACGACAGCGGCGGAGTACTTACTCATATGGTCACTCATCCATATGGGCCTTTACTATAAGCATTACATCGACCAGTCGTATCCACAGGTGAAAAATGGCAGAACGGTACCTGGGAAATCGCTATCACACAATCTTTTTTACAAGGCGACCGGATGGACTGGCCATTTTTTGCTGATGTTCTACATTGTTATCATCATATCAGCAATCGGCTCTATCCGCAGACGGGTCTACGAGCGCTTCTACTGGCTGCACCACCTCTTTGTTTTTTACATCCTCTTTCTGTTTATACACCACAGGAACAAGGAGGCGTACAAGTACCTCTACGGGCCAATGGCACTATACTGCCACAGATCGTGCCTATCGTGGCATGCGCAGCGCTTTCGGACGGTCGCCCATTCAGTGCGTTGTGCAGCACCCATCAGGCGTCGTCGAGCTGAAGCTTGCAAAGATGATAACTGGAATTCGCCCAGGCCAATATGTCAAGGTGTGCTGCCCGTCAATCTCCCCTTACCAGTGGCATCCAATAACCATATCGGGCGCTTCAGGCGATGGCTCTCTAACGCTTCATTTCCGGGTAGAGGGTAGCTGGACTCGTCGGTTGGCGGAGCGCGTTAATTGTGATTTTGGCAAAGATCCCCGCAAATCAACAGCACAGAAGACCTTTGTGGTGGGTAGCGCTGACGCTCTATGTGAGTCTGGAACTGCTGGTGCCGCAGCTGTAGGTGGCCTACGCATCGTCGACCTGCCTCAAATATTCGTTGATGGACCCTACTCTGCATCTTCACAAAACTTCCGCCTACACAATGTCAACATCCTTATTGCGGCAGGCATTGGCGTTACACCGGCAGCATCTGTTATCGCCAGCTTGAAGTCAGAAGTCGGTCACGGAAAGGGCAGCACAAGAGCAAAGAAGGTGTACCTGTTTTGGGCGTTCCGTGACATTGGTGCGATAGAGTGGTTCAAGGATCTGTTTGTATCACTGGAGGACGATGGTCTTAGTTCCACTTATTTGCGTGTGTATGTACTATACGGGCAAGGAACTCCACGGGCTCTCAGCGCTACCAGCAGAAGATAGGGATGTATTTGGCGACAAACACGTTCACACCGCATCCTGGTCTACGCGTCTACCTCGGCCGCCCAGATATCAACACCATATTCCAGTATGTCGGCAAATCGCACCCTGACGAAAACGTAGGTGTATTTATGTGTGGTCCAAAGCTCATGATTCGGGACACACAGAAGTTGGCTGTAAAGTGGGATAAAATTTTGCACGAAGCTTGCAATACTCAGCTAGATTTCCATGCTGAGTCCTTCTTTTAGATTGTAATTTTCCTTTTCATAGAATTCAAATACATTGCGAATTTGCACATGAATGATACGTTCAAAGACCTAGCAACCACTGGGAACAGTGTAGTCCTCGGTGTGCGACCACCAGTCGCTGGAGGCGTTGACACCGAGACCGCGCTTGGCGAAGCCCTTCCAGATGGCACACTTGTTCTTGCCGCCAGTCAGGTTCTGCTCAGCCTGGATGATGGCATCACGGGCATCAATGAAAGTTGGGTTGCACGGCTGCAGTTTCATTCCGTCAAGGATAATCTGGAGTGCAATCGAGTTACCCTTGGTCAGATCGTGCGAGAACAGGTCTGCCGCCATACCGTTGGCGTCAATGAGGTTCCAGATCACCTCATACAGGATCTCAGCCCACACCTCACCAATGGCATGCACCTCCTGGTAGTTAGGGTCATCAAGATATCCGTACGTCGAAGGGTTGGTGCTAGTCGATGTGGAGTATGGATAGTTGCGAATTCCCTGACCGTACACGTACTGACCGAGAAGGAGGTCACGTGAGCGGGTATTTCCAGACTTGAGACGCATCAGGTTAGCAACAGTGTCACTCCATCCTTCACCCATGCCTCCTGCCTCGCCATCATTGAGGCAGTTGGTGTTAGACGGGCCACCAGTCAGACGGTTAGAGATACCGTGAGTGAACTCGTGAGCAACAATGTCCTGCTCGAGATCACCATCGCGGTTCGGGTTGGTTTGAGTCCAGGTGTACATGCGCATGACACCGTTCTGGCCGTCAGGGAGGAGTGGCAAAGTTGGCATTGTTGGTGCCAGATCCATCCTGAGCATAGGCAACGACATAGTCGCCGCCAACACCACTGCCGCTGTAGTTCACATCCTGGAAGTTACCAGCAGCCTCAGTGAATCCGTAGAGGAACGACAGGTCATGCATGGTGTTGACAGTGTAGAACAGCTGCGTAATAGCAGAGTCAATGTAGGACGAAGGAGCCTTGGTCAGGTCCAGCGGGAAGTTGAAGGCGCCGTTGCTCGAGGTTAGGACGGTGGTTGTTTTTCCACGTGCTACCGCCAGTAGGGTTGTTCTGTGCCCATACATTGTTGCCAGTGGTAGTAGTGCCAGTAACCCAGCCCTTAGGGCTAGCATTGGTGTTGGCTGGGCTCGACACGATTGAGCGGCTGCCTTCCAGAGGATCGTTTACATTGCGCGGGTAGACGTTGTACGACTCGGCGTGCGATACCCAGTCGTTGATAGCCTCAATGCTGCCAGGTGTCCTGGTTGATGTGGGCGCTCCACCAATGGCTATCCTGCTTCAGGGTGATCTCCCAGACATGTCGCCAGGGATCCCATCAGCCTTCTGGATCAGTGCCTTCTTTGCGGTGGCCGAGCCGTCGACAGCAGACTTCTGAGGCACATTGGAAATAGTGAACTGCGGGTCACCGCCAACAAGGACTCGCGGTCGACGCAACGGTGATCTTGCTCAGGTCGCTGTCAGACACAGCGGTCTTGACGTAGTCGTTCAGAGACTTGAATGCATTCTTCAGCGAGGCATCGTCGCTAGCACGCTGCAACAAGAGAGCCGTTGGAGCGCTTGACCTTGCTCAGAGCGTCAGCCGAGGCGAACGACTGGCTGGACGAGATGATGCGGCCCTTGGAGTCAACGTTGACATTGGCAAGACCGTTGGCGACATCAACACCGCCACTGGTCTGGCGGACATAGACGTGAGTGATACCCTGAGCGAGCATCGGTGTAGGCATCGGTGACCTTGATGCTCTGAGCTGGGATGTTGTGGTTCTTGGCCAGATACGCAACAGCGATATCGGCCTTAGACTTGACGGCAGAGTCCTTCTTTGTGTTTCCGACGAAGGACGCAGTCCTGAGTAGAGGAATCAGCAGTGACGGAGACAGGCTTGTCATAGACCTTGAACTGGCCTCTGTTCTTCAGCACCGGGCTGAAGGTAACGACATCCTGATGGCTGTGCTGAGCTGCACTGGCAGTAGCAAGAGTGGCGGCAAGGAGGCCGACAGATAGAAGTAAGCTTGACCATTGCTGATACTATTAAACAAAGGGATCGTTGGGTATTTAGAACAATAATTAGAAGATTGTGCTTAGTAGCTAGTTGTTGATGCTGTGTGATTTAGTACAAACGACCTGGCTTTATATACCAATTGGACAAGACTAGTAGGCTATACCTAATATCGAATTCCAGCTGATAGTGTGGACACAAAGCTATTCCATCTACCCCTTGATTCATGTCTTCCGTCAAGTCCACTTGTTTCTTCCATTCGTACATTCCACAGCCATAGACTTGAATGTATCCGGACTAGATCTGGTTTCTTACTCGGTGCGTGAGAGTAGATTGGGAGGGTGTGCGATGGGTCCTACTCGGACTGAGAACAGGAGATATTGCTATCCCCCTTTTTGCCGGACTTATGCTGGCAATAATCCGCAGGCATATAACGACCAAACATCATGTGAGGAGAGTGGTAGGGAAAAAGACATCGGTGGATCTTCAATCTTGGAGAAACTGCAAGCTTCATCCCCTTGATTGCCGCTATGCGTCGTTCATCCACTCCCTACTTTTAACGGAAAATAAAACACATGGCCAACCTTTGGTCCAGCTTTGATCCGTTGCGTGAATAATAGAGGACTGTCGATAAGCCTTTCATGCGATGGTATAGATGGTTTGAATGTGTAAAGAAACCGCGGCGCAGACCTCATTTCCGCTCGGCCTTTCTCACAGGCAAGTGTTGTTATTTCGTAAAAGGCAATTCGTTTCTTACAATAAAACCATGCTTCTCGAACCGTTTTTCACAATTCAGGAAGTTATTGGTTAGCTCCGCCTTCTCTGACATATGAATCTGGACTATATTCCTTAAAAGAACGGTGGGGTTTATAGGGCCAACATTGATTAAATACGAATTTTGTCGCCTTTCCCTTGATCAGAGCAGGAAATAAATCCAGACGCTGGCTGTTGCAGCTTTCAAAAATAGTAGCCTTGGGGTAGCGTCCAGATCCCAAGAATATTAGAAAAGAGCAATGACCTAGTGTTCAAATATATATAAAATGGGTACTATCACAATATACTCACTACCCATTATGTCTTGCGTGTCCCCTCCTATCCAACAGAATGCCACATACAGAATATATATATAAAGTCCATTAAACTACGTTCTGCCTGTATGACTAAAGTTACCATACTGACAATCATATCAATGGTGCCAATTCTGTTATTGACAGACACAAATAATCATGAGTCATGGTACTGCATGGCAATTCTTAACAGCAATACAGCAGCACGTTTTTACAGAAGTATCATTTCGGTGCAGGTAATACAGCAGAAATGTAGAAATACGCCATAGAGGCTCTGCTCTTTAATTTATTGGTCAAATTATGCTGCTGGATATTCTGATAACAATTACAATAGGCATAGTGTGACAACAAGGCATGTAGACTACCTCTGATAATAAATGTAGTACTGTATAGAATATATGAATGAAAGCGACATGTATGTATTCTGGTTATTGGAAAGGCACAATGGAGATAATATCATCATCCAGCTAATCGGTATCGTCACCCAGACTTTTGGTATATTTTCAGAGATCTATGCAGATTACAAACTTCCGTAAACCCATAGGTGTATGCATAATAATAGACCTCAACATATATTCATAATTATGTTCAATTTAGTTTCAATTCAAGCAGTGTGCTCAAAAAGTTTTTATCTTATTTGTGTGCCACAACTTGACCGAAAGTATTGTATCAAGTGGATTATGTACAACTCCCACTTTGAACCAGCATATTTTTTCATCTCTGGATATGTCGCTTTAGGCTCATACTTAACCTGGCGGTATTTCTAAGTCTTAAGCATCCACTATTGACTCATGAGATCTAATAATAAAACAGCACACCATATAACCCTGCCTTCACCGAATAAGTAAATTCTTTGTTTGGCGACTTCATAACAAACGTAAACAATATTGGTACTGGGATTAGCAGCCACTGGGAACAGTGTAGTCCTCGGTGTGGGACGAGCTGTCGCTGGAGGCATTGACACCGAGACCGCGCTTGGCAAAGCCGTTCCAGATGGCGCAGTTGTTCTTGCCACCAGTCAGGTTCTGCTCAGCCTGGATGATGGCATCACGGGCATCAATGAAAGTTGGGTTGCACGGCTGCAGCTTCATTCCGTCAAGGATGAATCTGGAGCGCAATCGAGTTACCCTTGGTCAGATCATGCGAGAACAGGTCTGCCGCCATACCGTTGGCGTCAATGAGGTTCCAGATCACCTCATACAGGATCTCCAGCCCACACCTCACCAATCGCATGCACCTCCTGGTAGTTAGGGTCATCAAGATATCCGTACGTCGAAGGGTTGGTGCTAGTCGATGTGGAGTACGGATAGTTGCGAATTCCCTGACCGTACACGTACTGGCCGAGAAGGAGGTCACGCGAACGAGTATCTCCAGACTTGAGGCGCATCAGGTTAGCAACAGTGTCACTCCATCCTTCACCCATACCTCCTGCCTCGCCATCATTGAGGCAGTTGGTGTTAGATGGGCCACCGGTCAGACGGTTAGAGATACCGTGAGTGAACTCGTGAGCAACGATGTCCTGCTCGAAATCGCCATCGCGGTTCGGGTTGGTTTGAGTCCAGGTGTACATGCGCATGACACCGTTCTGACCATCGGGAGGAGTGGCAAAGTTGGCATTGTTAGTACCAGATCCATCTTGAGCGAAAGCAACAACATAGTCGCCACCAACACCACTGCCGCTGTAGTTCACATCCTGGAAGTTACCAGCAGCCTCAGTGAATCCGTAGAGGAACGACAGGTCGTGCATGGTGTTGACAGTGTAGAACAGCTGTGTAATAGCAGAGTCAATGTAGGACGAAGGAGCCTTGGTCAGGTCCAGTGGGAAGTTGAAGGCGCCGTTGGAAGAGTTCGGACGGTAGTTGTTTTTCCACGTGCTACCGCCGGTGGGGTTGTTCTGTGCCCATACATTGTTGCCGGTGGTGGTAGTGCCAGTAACCCAGCCCTTAGGGCTAGCATTGGTGTTGGCTGGGCTCGACACGATTGAGCGGCTGCCTTCCAGAGGATCGTTTACATTGCGTGGGTAGACGTTGTACGACTCGGCGTGCGATACCCAGTCGTTGATAGCCTCAACGCTGCCAGTGTCCTGGTTGACGTGGGCACTCCACCAGTGGTCCGCCTGCTGCAGAGTGATCTCCCAGACATGCGCCAGAGACCCGTCAGCCTTCTGGATCAGTGCCTTCTTGGCAGTGGCCGAGCCGTCGACAGCAGACTTCTGAGGCACATTGGAAATAGTGAACTGCGGGTCGCCACCAACAAGACTCGCGGTCGACGCAACAGTGATCTTGCTCAGGTCGCTGTCAGACACAGCGGTCTTGACGTAGTCGTTCAGCGACTTGAATGCGTTCTTCAGCGAGGCATCGTCGCTAGCACGCGCAACAAGAGAGCCGTTAGAGCGCTTGACCTTGCTCAGAGCATCAGCCGAGGCGAACGACTGGCTGGACGAGATGATGCGGCCCTTGGAATCAACATTGACATTGGCAAGACCGTTGGCGACATCAACACCGCCGCTGGTCTGGCGGACATAGACGTGAGTGATACCTGAGCGAGCATCGGTGTAGGCATCGGTGACCTTGATGTTCTGAGCTGGGATGTTGTGGTTCTTGGCCAGATACGCAACAGCGATATCGGCCTTAGACTTGACGGCAGAGTCCTTCTTTGTGTTTCCGACGAAGGACGCAGTCTGAGTAGAGGAATCAGCAGTGACGGAGACAGGCTTGTCATAGACCTTGAACTGGCCTCTGTTCTTCAGCACCGGGCTGAAGGTAACGACATCCTGATGGCTGTGCTGAGCTGCACTGGCAGTAGCAAGAGTGGCGGCAAGGAGGCCGACGATAGACGAGAGCTTGACCATGGTAGTTGATTAGTTTGCCAAGAGAACTAGTCGAGGAATCGGGCGAGTTGGTAGTATTAAGTTGTGCGTTGGTAGCTGGGTATGTGGTTATGAGAAATGCTCGTGCGCTATTGTCTTTTTATACAAAATTGTGTATTGTTGTGTGGGTATGCCAATATGAGCTGAAGATGGATTCTGCTAGGCAACATTCCATCTTTGCCCCTTTCTGGACATTCTATCAGAAATTCGTTCCCATGCCCGTACCTATCCGGTTTGCTTACCAGACTCCAACCAGCCCGAAGCTTGCTTCAAGAATGGGGTGTGGGAGGAAGGGGGTGTTAAGACTTTCACCTTTACACCTCATTCTAACGAGCATCATTTCCGCGAATAGTAGACATGTTATATTCGACATCACGCAAGCGTAAAAGTAGGGACAGGCTATTTCGGCGGATTTTCAATGTCGCGCAACCACTGGTTTCATTCTGCGATTGCCACCATGCATCACTATCCGTCTGCTCAGACCAAATTTCTTGTCAAATGCTAGTCTGGCATTCATTAATACAGTGCCGTTGCAGCATTCAAGGCTGGCAGCATGTCGGACTGGTTCACTGTTCCCACGAAGAAATAATCAGCGTTTAGCCAAAACGACTTTTGAGCTCGTTATCCTTCGGGGGTTCTCACGAGGAATTAGCACTGCAAGTACCTCGCTTGGCCACATAGGTAGCAAACCACAAAGTCGTCGCTGTAGAGGACTGCTGTTGGTAGCAAGTGCGATTGCCCTGTTAATAGTGTTCACCAAATCCGCCAATTCTGGTACATGCGATACGAGTTTGAGCGGATGACGAGGACTATCTGGCAAAGTTCCAGATTTGGAATGGATAGCGCGCGCATAATACGCAGCTCTGTCTCCCGAGCGAGTCGGCCAATGCAAATGGGCAGCGGTGTCAGGATGCCGTGTTTACGCAATCTCAGGAGGGGTTTGCCAGTCGTGCGAAAAAAACGGGGACCATTTTTCATGCAGTCTGGAAAATTGGTTGATCACAGCGACAATGAATACGCATGAAGACAATAAGCTTGATATGCACATCTGTATGTGCCAAACCACCCAGCTTAGATGATCCCTCATTGCGGACTACAGGGGACTTTCTGGTGGAGGATCGGCGCTGCCCACACACAAAGTGCTGTAATTACCGCTGCCGCTGCTATACCAAATTCTCCAGCCAACCCTGGCACGTCTGACGACATGGCGGCCGTACTTGCCATTGGTATTCAGGCAATCTTGCTTCAGTTCCCGCAACAGCTTGCCTATAGCATCGTCCTCCGCTAAATCACCAGCTAGCAAGTACCTCTTCTATCGTCGATTACCTGTGGACGCCAATGCCTTACTGAAGTATGTTTTCACTGGCAATTCATAATAGCAAGCAGTGCAGAAATGAAAAAAAAGGAGCATATGGTATATTTCTTCCTGCAAGTCAAGCATAGACTCAAAACTCGTACTCAGGTTGTTCTCACAACGTATTGCCGTTATTGAGCACAGAGAGTACCGGCCCAACAACATCCCGGACACGGTCGAGGGTCATATCACCGCAGGCAGCGGCAACAACACGCTCGAATTTCATCAGCCTCTGTTCATCGACCTCCAGCGCAGCATTGATCGCCTGGACATCTGCCGACTCCGAGCTGATTCCAACAACCTCGCGGTGCTTGCGCAGCGACCCATTGGTAGCACGCTTCTGGGTCCAAAGTGGGTCGTTGTTGGACAGTGTAGAGTCGTTGTCGTCATCAAACATGCCGACCAGCGATAATGCCGGGGGGCGCGGCCACGGCTTGACTACTGAGGCCAGCTCTGCATACTCGTCAGCCAGCTTCAGCGAGTTCGCATGGTATCCGTTTGCCTGTGAGCGCAGTCTCAGATACTCTGAGCGCAAATCTTCGTCCGACTGCCTTCTCAGTCAGCGGGGAGCCGGGCACTGCCGGCGTTGTGCTTGCTGTCAGCGACGGCTGAATACCCAGCGATGCGCGCGCCGACTGCTGCAAACAGATTACCGAGCTGATCCGGTGCTTGAGCGACAGCTCCTGGTCGCGGATCTGCTTCGCAATGCGCAGCCAGCTTCTCGTGCACAGCTGTCTCCTCCTTCAGCGTGTCGCGCTCGGTACTCAACTCTAGCAGCAGCTGCGCTGCATACTCGGAATCGTCATCAAGCGCCTTGCGCTGGGCCTCGTGCTCCTTGCGCATCTCGTAGGTGGTTGCGTTGATGATATCGATTGCCCGGTTGGTAACTACATCGTAGCGGCTCAACGGTAGCCTGCCCCGACCCTGCACAGAGGCGTCATTGCATCCGATGGCTGAAATAGACGGGATCCTCTGAGGACCAGACGCTGCGCTCCGTGGCTGATCAGTGCCGCTCTGCGGAGTGTTCTTGTTCTGATGGATCGGCGGGATCGGCGGTAACACCGACGACTTACCGGGTTTGTGTCTGTTGTCAATCCGTGACTCGGGAATTTCAAGCAGCGACTGGAGCGAATGGATCAGGCGCGGGTCGATTGGGGTCTGGCACGCAGATGCCAGTAGGGATGTGACCTGGGCAAGATGGGCCAGGCTCGCCAGCTGGCTGGCGCTACGATGCAGATAGTCCTCCCACGACAGGACCTGCAAGTTGTTGCACTGGTACAGTTTCAGCACAAGCGACCGGGTATAGTACAATGACACGTCAGGGCCAGTTTGCCGGCGCGTCGATCGGCCGTGTGCATGCCCAGTGGACTGCTGTGCGACCCTGCTTGTCACGGTTCACCAGCGCCGGGCCAAGCACGTCCAGCAGCCACTGGAACGTGTATGTGGACCGACTCTGCCATGCAAGCGTGCTCTGGACCGCAATCATCAGTGGCGTCTTTCCTTCACGGTTCATCACACCGGGGTCCACACCGCGGTCCACTAGCATCTGGACCACATCCCAGTGGCCGTTCTGGGTCCGCAAGGTGAAGAAGCGTGTTGCTGTCATCAGAGGTCACCTTGTTCGGCTCGAAGGAACTGTCAGCAGAGCACAGACTCCACAACATTCGGCAGTGGTTGCTGGCACCGCGGAGCTGACAGGAAGTCTAAGACAGTGGCAACAGATAGCGCGAGGCTGCTGCTGACCTGCATCACACTGGACACGAACGATCCGCGTGGGGGCATGGGTGGCTGCTGAGTCTGATTGGCGCCTGTTGTAGCTGCTGCCGTTACTGCCAAAGAACTCTTGGGGTTGGGACACCGTGGACGCTGAGCGCGAGTGGTTCGGTGTTGATAGTGAAATAGACCCGATGCTGCCGCTGTAGCTGCGTGCCGGCCGGCTTGTCACCGATGCAGCAGCCGACATGTGGTAGTTGGCACGGCCAGGGGCTTGACGCGGCTGAGTGGTTAGGCAGGCCGAGCCGCGGCATTATTATCTCATTGGCCAGGGGCGACGCGTTCGACGGGTAATGGCCGTGGCCAAAGACCGGTGGTGGTGGCGGCGGCTGCAGCGGACGCGAGGTCGCAGGTTGGGCGGTTGGGGTTGACTGCATCGAAGTGGGCGACATGGTGTGCATGGACCGCGGGTTGCCAGGTGCTCCAGTGCGACGGACAGACGACGACGACGGTGGAGTCATCAGGGCTGAGCTGGCAATATCAAGGGTGCTGCTAGGCTTTGCATTGGGCGGCGGTACCTTGCTGTAGCCCTGGGCGGGAGTCATGTCTGTGTATGTGTTGCTGATATCGCGCAGGGCCCTGGCCGGCGTCTTGTACGCGTTACCAGCAGAGGCAGGGGTGGCCTGTGGCGGACCCTGGCGTGTCATAGGCGAAGCCAGGCTGTTGCGATCCGGCATCGACACACGGAAGCTGCTTTGGTACTGGGCTGCAGAGTTGCCAGTCGGCGTCATTGGGGGCTGCTGGGACATGGCAGCAGCCGTTGCCAGCCGGCGACTCGGGAGTCATGAACATGTGGTGCGAGGGCCCAGAGGCCAGCGATCCGTCATGGGCATTCCCCGCTCGGCGCGGCGCTGGCGTGTAGGGGTCCGCACGCCAGTTCATAGGCGGCCCCGCTTGCGGGAGTTGTAGGCAGGCGGCAGCTGTTGGGTGTTGTGTGTGGCTGGTGGGAGCGCGGTGGCATTGTTGCTAGCGGTATAGTAGTGCGAGGGCGGCGGCTGAGTCTGCGATAGCGCTGCCGGATGCATGTTTTGGTCGCCAGGCTTGTTCAGGATACTCGACAGCGAGCCAGATGAGGGGTACCGGCGCAGAGTCCCCGACGCACGCCGCTTTGTAGCCGAGCCTGGCCCCGAGGCCTTGAGAGTTGCGCTCTTGCGCTTGCGGAGCGACTCCAGGCTGCGCGGCGCCGTTGGGGGTTTCTCGCCAGGCGCCGGGCTGTACTCGAGCACGTATTTCAGTGCATCGTACACATTCAGTTGCTTGGCCAGCGAAATTGCCCGATCAAGCGGCACCCAGGTCCCTAAGAAGAAATCGGCTTCAGTGAATCAGGCTGCCAGGGAAAAATGCATGCACAAAACACCCAAACGCGTGCATCCTGGTTGACCTGCCTCGAGATGCAGATCCACCAACAGCAACAAGGCCCAAACCCAAAATGTGCAGCCAAGCAGGTGGAGCGAGTGAGAGAGCCCGTTCTGCGTTGCTCAGGTTTCCCAAAAATAGAACCAGTAAACATGGGCAGGCCAGGCTCAGCTAATAATAGACAGAGGAAAACAGAGTATCCAACACACTGCGAACGCATCCTCGCACACCACACTGGCAGCAAAAAGGATGTCTGAGGCGCTGGGATATGAAAACAACAAGGTTTTGTTCTTTTGTTGCCCGCTCTTCGTTTGAGGAACCTACCTTGATATTTTCCATAGCCACCCTGGACCTTTTCGTGGATACCAGTGTGAATTTCGCGCTCAAGGAACCGAGTGCGGTGTGGCTTGTCGTACTGGGCACACTTTAGGATCTGCGTCACATTCACGTACGAGTCCTTGCGCCGACGCATCACCGCCGTTCCGTTGTACAGCTGCTGGAACACCTCCACGCCAGCATATGCTGCCGACCACACCTGCGTTGAGCTGATGCTGCCGTCGTCGTGGTTGCTGCTGCTACCGTTGTTGATCCTGTCGACCATGTCTTGTACCCCTTACTGTATAGGGAAGAGAGAGAAAAGATGGGTCCTATTGCTACGGTGTCTTGTGTGTGTTTTCCGTGTGTGACGATGTCTGTATGTATATGAAGAGGGCGTGTGATGTATGTGTAGGGAGGGAGCTAAAAAGTAGGGTGATGTACAGAGAGGGATAAGAGGATATGAGTTGGAATATGAAACAGCAAAAAGATACGAGCACACCAATGGAAAGGCCCCCTGCAGAAAGAAAAGAAAAAGGAGCGAGAAGAGAAAAGTCAAAGGAGGTCCAAATAGAAACACAAAAATCGCCAATTTAGGCGCAGGTCGCTTGGGTATGTGTTGCGCGGCTCATCGCCAAACATTGGACAGGCAGATCCAAGCCAAGCAGCTCGTGCCATGCCTGTGTGGGTGGCTCACAAAACATTGGCCAACAGGGGATCTGGATCATACATGATCGGCTCACTTGGCTCAGAGCTGCCAGTGAGCTGGAGGCGTCACGCGTATGCCCGGCGAATTGCAGCATTGAAAATTGAACGGCCCTGCAATTCGCTCCACCAAAACGAGCATTCGGCCCTTCTAGCATTGCACGCCCAGCGTCGTAGCGCAAAGGCGGCCCTAAAAAGCTGGCTGCGCGTTTGGCCACATGAGCCTAAAACGGGGGCACAGGAGAGTCTTGTGTGTGGTGCCCAAAATGCAAATGTGGACTTTGGGAAATGCCGCAATACTTACACTATTCGATGTAGGGTCTTCCGGTTGCTGGTGGGGATGGTTCTGTAGCCAGTTAGCACCCCTGGCAAGCCGCGAGAGCGCAATGGAGCAGAATTCAGGGAGAGCTTGTTTGCGTGAGGCTTCCCGAATTGAGGGAGGGGTTTGCTCAATGTGTGTCAGGAAATGAGAACAGGAGGGGTGGCAGAGCGGAGAGAAATTCAGAAAGGAGAGGCCAAGGGAGGAGAGCGACGAGTAGAAAGGAAACCCCAGTAGAACAGCGGGCAAAGATTTTTCACAGCCAGCAAAGTGGTGAGCCTCTTGGCCGCTCTCGGCTTACACTGGACGATTTGCCAGAACCGAAAAGGTGCGGCGCGCCATTTTTACTTTTGCCCCCTACTTGTTTGGCATTTTAATGGCCACTGGCGCTGCACCAGGGCCAGACGCGTGAGGTGCTGCTGCAGCGCGCGCGTCATCGCGATGGCCGCCCTTTTGGCGCTGGATCGCTCGTTGGGCTGGACGGCTTGGGCCGTAGGCAGCTCGTGGCAGACAGTAGCCTGGAAACTGCCAGCATTGCTACACCGCTGGGGGGCAGCGCTGAATCGGCTGGAGACTGCAGCCAAAGGCAGAGAGCGGCGTCTCTAGTCTGAATGCGTTAGTTTGCAGCAGCCATACCTGTCGCCACTGATGCAATCATCCCGCAGGGGATAACTCCGCTCAGTCCATGCCCTCCCAACATCGTCTAGTGGCTGTAGCCGTGCAGCTATCCTTGCTGAGCCCCAATGTGTCGCTGGGCACGCTGCCCATCATGAGGCAGGCTCCGTGGTCTGGCCAGAGCAGCCGACTTGCAGAGGAGATCGGGTCGAGCTGCTCGCACAGTTTGCGACATGGCTTGTACTGACGGCAAACGTGTGATCAAATGAGACAACGCGCCAATCACGCGAAAAAAAACAAATTTTCTGCGCAAAGAGGACAAAAATACAAAAAGCTCCAATCGGCCGCCAAATTGCGCGTGGCCCTTTTGCTTCTGTTGCAATCCATTTTCCCAGTTTCCCCTTCTTTTCTCTCTTTCTCGCGTCTCTAATATTTCTGTACGTGGACACTTCCTCTCTCCCTCATTTCCACCCCTCCAAGTCACTTTTTGAAATGGACATTGCCGCCATGCCCGCCGACTCGGCCGAAAAAAGCAGCGCGACACAGGAGACGCCAGAACCCCAGCACCCAACCAGTAACGGTAGTGCGGCGGCGGCAGCAGCAGAAGCAGCAGCAGCAGCAGCAGCAGAAAGCAAGGCTGACGAAAGCTCCATGCCTCCTGCACCCACTGCTCTGCCTGCATCTCCCAATTCAGCAGTGCCAATGACAGGCAATGCAGCCGCGCAGGAGAATAAATACAGCTTGGCAGTCAAGAGTGAGGATACGGCAGAACCACCGGCAGCAGCAGCAGCAGCAGCAGCAGCAGCAGCAGCAGCAGCAAGCACCAATGTAGATGACAGCGGTTTGGGGACAAAGACAGCAGCTACAGTAGCGGAGCTTAGTGGCATTGACACCAGCATTGCCCGCAATTTCAACGCGGTTCCAGTCGACAACTCGAGTGAGGTAAGATTAATCTACTGCCCAACAAAGCGGCAGGCCCATTGTTCGCCTGGGGCTTTTTTTCTTTCGCTAAACAAGGAGCAGGCGTTTCTGGCATGAACTAATCCAATATACACTCTCAATGCTGTGCATAGAACGGCGAGGACATTGTGACAAAGGACCGGCTGCTGCCCAAGGTAAAGCAAGTGAGCCGGTGCTGCTACTGCGACCAGAACTCTGCCGAATCGCTAAAGACCGTCCCGTGTCTGGACTGTGGCTCGCGGTGCCACATTGACTGCATCCAGTGCACGACCAAGTTCAACGACAAGATCCTGCTGGGCGATGACTTTTTCCACTTCCGGTGCTCGAAATGCACGGGCGGGCGCGAGCGATTCAAGCGGTACCACCTGTCATGGGTGGACGTGGTACACATCACGCTGTTCAACCTGACGCACAACCCAAAGCGCCGACCGAACAATCCGCTGAGCCGTGGAGGGCGGTCCGACGACCCAACCGGCCAGTTCAGCAGCAGCGAGCACGGGCCGCAAGAATACGGCGACTCGCGGATATACTTCCACTATAAAGCCGACGTCGCAAAGTTTATCGACCAGCACTGGAACTACTTTTGGACAAAGTCCAGAGGCGAAACATGGATCAACAGCGCGTCGTCGGCGCTGTCAACTAACAGCACCGAGAATGTGCCCGAGGACGGGCGGTTCGAGTCGGGCAAAGCAAAGTACAACAAAAATGGCATGTGGGCTCTGACCGATGACTCGCGCTTTCCGTCGTCGTATGACTCGGTGCAGCAGCAAAAGACACGCACCATCATGTACAGCTTTGCGGAGGACGGCTCGCTGATCGAACTACGCACACAGACTGGCGCCGGCCGGCGGAAGCGCCGCACTGAGCCGGGCGCTGGCCGGGGAACACAGGCACGCGTCAAGAAGGCACGCTCTGGCGTTGCATCTGACACGCCGCTGTCGGCGGGACTGGGTGACTACGGAGCGCCTGCATCGTCATCGAAGCGGGGACGGCGCAAGCACGAGCCGCGCAGCACGTGGTCGATTGAAATGTGGCCTGATATCGACAACCCCCAGGGCCCAGCACACATGTCGCGCGAGGAGACGCACGCGGCAGCGCAGTTTGTGATCGAGAGCGACCGGCTGACGGTATGGAATGACAAGGGATACCGCATGGCCAAGGCGTCGCATGGTGTCGAGACCGGTGCCTGGTACTTTGAGGTTGACGTGCTGGAGCCAGTGCGACCCGAGTACAACCTGCGAATCGGTTGGTCGCAGATCTCGGGTGAGCTGCAGGCGCCCTGCGGCTTCGATGTGTTTTCGTACTCGGTGCGCGCCAAGCCTAGCACACGCTTCCACGCGGCCATTGGGTCTCCATACGGGGAGGAATATGGGCCCGGGGACACGCTAGGCGTGCTGATATACTTGCCGCTGTTGGACAGCGATGAGCGGCAGGACCTGAACGACCGCAAGTGGAAGCTGGGCGAGCGGTACCGCCAGTGGGCATATTCGCGGCCCGAGTGGCAGCGGCCGCGCGGCGACATGGACCTGCCGCCCCTGCCAGTGCTCAACGGCAGCGAGCTGGTGTACTTTAAGAACGGTCGGTGCCTGGGGCCAGCTTTCCAGAAGCTGTATCTCGGCAAGTACTATCCGGCTATCTCGTCGTATATGGGCGGCAAGGTCAAGGTCAACATGGGTCCTGCCTTCAAGTTCCCACCACCCGCCACATGGCACCAAGACACGCCGATTCGGCCCATCACAGATCTTGAGTACACATTGCCGGCACCAGAACCCGCCAGTACCACAACCACTGATCCTGCACCACCGACAGCAGCTGCATCGTCATCATTGCCATCACCACCGGTGCTGCCGGACAAACCAGAAGCACCGGTAGTCGCCACTGCAGTTACCAGCACGCAAAGTCAGCCACCGGCTCCATCGGACGCGCCTGCAGCAGTCGATGTGCCACCCGGGGTCTAATCACGTTCTTTTTCTTGATCCGGCATTAAATCTCACCTATTTTGAAGTTTTTTTTTTTTGGGTTCCAAGCTGCTGCACACGGCTTGCCTCCGTTTTCTGCATTCCTCAACCCCTTTTATTCGCACCCAATTAACACATACAGACACACGCCATGGGTCTTGCTGAGCCAAAGAGCCGTACGCTGTACAGCGCGGATCCGCGCAACTTGCACTGGAGTGAAGGTAAGTCAGAAAGATACCTAATATCCACTGGAGACCGCAGCGAACGCATATATGCGCTGACAGTGTTTGCATGCATCCGTAGACAAGAGCCGGTTTGGGTTCAAGATGCTGGAGAAGATGGGGTGGAGCGAGGGCAAGGGCCTGGGCGCAAACGAGGACGGCCGCAAAGAGCATGTCAAGATCAAGCTCAAGTCGAACAACCACGGCATCGGCGCGGACAAGAAAACGATCCGCAACTGGCTGGAAAACACAGACGGCTTTTTCTGAGCTGCTGTCGCGCCTGAACTCGGACTCGGCAACGCCGTCTGACGCTCCAAAGGCCGAAGCGAAGAAGTCCGGAGACAAAGACCTGTGCTGACTGCGGCCAGCGCCCGCCTGAATCGCCTTAGCCATCGCACAAAGTTCCGCAACATGAAGCGCATGGCGATGCAGGACGACAAGGGTCTAGCAGGAGATCCTGGGCGTTAGCAGCAAGACATCGACGGCCAAGGACACGCCCTGCAAGCACTGTATCCTGATTCTGAGAGGCAATCAGGCGAGAGCACGCCGTCGCTGCAGACAGAGATTGTGGATTCTGGCGTTAACGTTGCGGATTACTTTGCGCAGAAGATGAGGAGCAATCCGGCGTTGGCAGGCGATTTATGGACTCGCACCGAGTGAGGAGAAGGTTAAGGAGGATGATTCCGACAGCAGCTGCAGCAAGAAGCGCAAGGCGGACGATGATGGCAGTGACGATGATCACCGTCGAGAAAAAGGACAAGAAGCACAAGGACAAAAAGGACAAAAAGGACAAGAAGCATAAGAAGCATAAGAAGGATAGGAGCAAGAAGCGCAAGGCCGACGATGACAGTCGATGATGGAGGAGGAGCCCAAGGTACGAGGAAGGAGAAGAAGGACAAGTCGGAAAAGAGGGAGAAGAAGAGCAGGAAGGACAAGAAGGAGAAAGCGAGAAGAGCAAGAAGGACAAGAAATCCAAGGACAAAAAGCACAAGAGCAAGTCTAAGTCGACATAGCCTGGCAGACACTCACAACTCTGTTTGGGAATAAATGCCATGTATTCATCGTCACCATCCACCAGTACTGGCACATGTGCTCTGCTCTACGTATGTGTGGGGTTTTGAAATTACAAACAAAAAGGGAGACTTGAAGATAGAAGCTGGGAGGCCAAGAGACAACTATAAGAACGTGGCTAATTAATCTCTCAGCTCCACAGATATCCTGGATATGATAATAGATTGTGCTAGCCAGATGCGCCTGGGCGTTCAGCACGCGCAGCCGTCGGCGTTCGCCCGGTTGCCTGCCTCGCCAGCAGAACCAAAGCCGTTCTCCCCAAGCAGGTTGACATTGACATTTCCCGAGTTCAGCTGGCCAGATCTGGCCGCACGCGAGTTGCTGGCAATCTGGTTGAGATCCAGCTTCTTTGCAATCTCCGTGAAGGTCTCGACAACGCCCTCACCCGACTTTGCGCTCGTCTCCAAGAACAGCAGTCCAGCCTCGTCCGCATATGCACGCGCCGTAGCCGTTGCCACCTGGCGACCAATGCCCTCGCTGGCAGCACGCGTCTCGTCAGTCTCCTCCTCGCCCTCCTCGCTACCCTCATCAGCCGCGTCCGACTCGCCGGTGGCCGCCGATTCTGTCGGCTCGGGCGTGCCAGCCAAATCCAGCTTGTTACCAACCAGCGCAATCACAATGTTCGGGTTTGCCTGCCGCTGCAGCTCCTTGATCCAAGACTTTGCACGGTCAAGCGACGACTCGCGCGTGATATCGTACACCACTACCGCCGCCTGCGCGTTGCGGTAGTACATGGGCGCCAGCGAATGGAACCGCTCCTGGCCGGCCGTGTCCCAAATGTCAAGCTTCAGCACAGCATCGTCCAGCCTCACCTTCTGCGTCAGGAATGCCGCTACATGTGTGAAAATCGCGTTGGGGGAGAGGGATGCGTGTGAGCAGTATGAAACAGCCAGCGACTTTTCTGGCTGCAGTGCCAGGAGCCATGCATTTCTTGGCATTTCACGACTTACCTCCGATAGTTGGCTCCTTGTTCTCCTGGAACTCGTCGTTGACAAAGCGAAGGACCAGGCTTGACTTTCCGACCGCAGCTTCGCCTAAGAACAGATGTGCCAATGGTTAGTGCAAGGTGTCTAAAGGCCAAGGGCGTGGAGCCGCCACCATTTTTCCGCATACCTAGCAAAACGACTTTAATCTGAATGGGCTTGGACTGGTGCTGAGCTGTGTGTCCCGGCATTGGCAGCCCCAGATGCGGGAGCCGGACTGTTCTGGGTAGTGCTTGCTTGCGACATGATTTCAGGTCAATACAAAAGCTGCGAGTAATAAAGTGTGCAAATTAAAATTCGAAAGCTCGAAAATTCAAAAAAGCAATAAAAGCGTGCCTAGAGAAAAGTGACGATGCACTGCTGCCAATGCAGGATGCCCGATCACGTGGCAGATGATTGCTGATTCGATTCTGCCAATACGGCGTTTGTAAAATCCCGCTGGTGATTAGGGTAAGAGCGGCCACGCCAGCGCTGGAGCTTATTACCAAAGTGCCAAGCATTATGCCGACGACCGACCCGAACCGGCTGAGGCGACCACCTCCCTCTGCTGCCCTAGAACCACTTTCTTTCCCTTTTTTTTTCCTTCTCAGGCCCACATTTGATTTCCGTCAGCGATTATATATTTTGAATTTGGGAACTGCTAGCCAAACTTTACCTCTCTTATCTTTCATTTATTAGCGAAAAATGTTGTCTGCTCCCGCGCGCATTTTTCCTCACGGCCGGACAGCAGCGCTGAACAGCCTGGTGCGGCGACTGGCACAGCCTCTGATGCCCCTGCAGACGGGTCTTCCCCCCCTGGGGCTCTCAGCGCAGTCGATCCATAGCAAGCCGCGCGGCAAGTCAGTGTTTTCTGGGCTGCGCGAGATCCATAGCACAGCCCGGTGGGCCGACAGTAACAAGGACAATAAGAGCGACGAAAACATACCTGCTGGCTTCGAGAACTTTGTAAACAAGCACGGCAAGGAGGGAAGCAGGAAATGGCGCTCGGACGCCAGCAAGTCAGACGAGGCACAGGAGCCGCGGCAAGAGAAGAAGACGTCTGAGGCTGAGAAGACAGACGCCAAGGTCGATGCGAAGGAGCAGAAGTCTGAGGAGCCAAAGGCGGATGGCGCCGGTGGAGGCAAGAAGAAGATCCCCAAGAGAGACTCGAGCAAGAAGGAGGAAGACTTCTTTGGCATGCCAGGATCAAACAACTGGCTGCCGTGGGCTGTTGGTGGTCTGATTACATACCAGCTCATGTCGTCAAACAATAGCGAGGAGAACCGGCAGATCACTTGGCAGGAGTTCCGCCGCGTGTACATGGATCGCGGTCTGGTCGATCGGCTGGTGGTGGTCAACCGTAACCGCGTCCGCGCCATTCTGCGCCCGGGTGCTGCCAATGGCAACAGTGCCCAGGGTGTGAGCATGTCGCCGCCCAGTGTCATGTTCTCGATTGGCTCTGTCGAGTCGTTTGAGAAGCAGCTTGATGATGCGCAGGATGAGCTCGGCATTCCGCCCTCCCAGCGCATCCCAGTCGAGTACCGCGACGAGGTCAGCGTGTTCTCGACATTGCTGCACTTTGCCCCGACGCTGCTGCTGATTGGTGCCTTTGTGTGGCTATCGCGCAAGGCCCCCGGCGCTGGCGGCGCTGGCGGTAGTTCGGGTGGAATCTTCGGCATTGGCAAGAGCCGCGCCAAGATGTACAACAAGGAGACTGATGTCAAAATCGCCTTCAAGGACGTGGCCGGATGTGACGAGGCCAAAGAGGAGATCATGGAGTTTGTCAAGTTCCTGAAGGAGCCTGAGGTCTACGAGCGCCTCGGTGCCAAGATTCCCAAGGGTGCGATCCTGTCGGGCCCGCCTGGTACCGGTAAGACGCTGCTGGCCAAGGCCACTGCTGGCGAGGCTGGTGTGCCGTTCCTGTCGGTGTCAGGATCTGAGTTTGTCGAGATGTTTGTTGGTGTCGGTTCGGCCCGTATCCGCGACCTGTTCCAGACAGCCAAGAAGAACGCTCCGTGCATTATCTTCATTGACGAGATTGACGCTATTGGCAAGGCGCGCGGCCGCGGTGGTGCCATGGGCGGCAACGATGAGCGCGAGGCTACGCTGAATCAGCTTTTGGTCGAGATGGACGGCTTTGGCTCCAGCGAGCACGTCGTGATCCTGGCCGGTACCAACCGGCCTGATGTGCTGGATCCGGCGCTGATGCGCCCTGGTCGTTTCGATCGGCACATTTCCATCGACCGGCCTGACATCAAGGGCCGTGCCGACATCTTCCGTGTCCACCTGGGCCCGATTCTGACCAGCGAGGACAAGCACAAGCTGGCCAACAAGATGGCAGCAATGACGCCTGGGTTCTCCGGCGCCGACATCGCCAATGTCTGTAACGAGGCGGCCCTGATTGCTGCTCGTGCGGGCTCACAGCAGGTCATGCACACTCACTTTGAGCAGGCCATTGAGCGTGTCATTGCCGGTCTGGAGAAGAAGTCGCGCGTGCTCTCCCCCGAGGAGAAGAAGACGGTGGCGTACCACGAGGCTGGGCACGCCGTTGTGGGGTGGTTTATGCGCCACGCGGACCCGCTGCTCAAGGTGTCGATCATCCCGCGCGGAGCCGGCGCCCTTGGATACGCGCAGTATCTGCCCAAGGACCAGTACCTGTTCTCAACCGAGCAGCTGCACGACCGCATGTGCATGACGCTTGGCGGCCGTGCCTCGGAGGAGCTCTTCTTCAAGGTCATCACCACGGGTGCGTCCGACGACCTGCAAAAGGTCACCAAGATGGCGTATGCACAGATTGTACAGTACGGCATGAACAAGCGGGTCGGGCAGCTCAACTTTGTGGATTCGCAGCAGCAGGAGTCGTTCAGCAAGCCGTACTCGGAGGCCACTGCCGAAATGATCGACCAGGAGGTGCGCAAGATGGTCAACGACGCGTACCAGACCACGATTAACCTTCTGACCGACAAGCGCGACGCTGTGGAGAAGGTCGCCCAGCTGCTGCTCAAGAAGGAGGTTCTGAACCGCGAGGATATGGTTGACCTGCTGGGCCCGCGGCCGTTCAAGGAGAAGATCCAGTATCGAGGAGTTTGTCCTTGACAAGTCGTCGTCAATGGAGTCCAGGCCTGAGGCTGAGCCCAAGGCTGAGCCCAAGGCTGAGCCCAAGAAGGAGTAAGCCGGCGATCTTTACTAGATTCTTTTATTCTTCGTTTACATAAAGCTGTTTGCAATCCTGTCCAAGTTGGCCTGAGACTTGAAGCAAAATCAGCTGCGCATGGTTTTTTCATTGGAGATTTTTGCTTCAAGTCACGAAGCGCGTTGAGGAATAGTGTCAGCTCGTTTTCCTTTCCGCTTTCCTGTATATTTTTTTTACATATAGAACGCCCTCTCCTTGTGCTATTTCATGGCTGCCAGCATTCTCACAGGGAGGGGCCAGCTCACAACCAGCATACGACCTGTACTACATACCCCGGTCGCTTATCAGTATGTCGCATAAATATAGGACGCAGATAGCCACAGCAGCAAGGATACAGGCATTAACCTCGGTTTCGCCGTTTGTAGGGCTCGCAGTGGACTGGCTAGCCCAGCTGTTTCCCTCGACAGACAGCCCGGGCTCTCGGCTCAAGGGGCGGAATCGGGCAGTAGACTCGCGGCAATACCCGGACTTTAAGCATTTTATCGAGACGCTGCTGTTCAATGGGCGGATATCCTCAGCAACGCTGGTCCACGGACTGATATACCTGGGGCGGTTTCCACAAGCGGCTGCCAAGGCGAGCAATAATCGAGGACGGCGCCAAGCACAAGATATTCCTGGCAGCGCTCCTGGTGGCCAGCAAATTCTGCGACGACCGGTACCCTTTATCGACGTGCTTCGTCTGCGGGTTCCTCTCCTGAGGGCCTGTTTCCGGCGCCAGGATGTCAACCGGATGGAGCGCGCGTTTCTGTCGCAAATCAAGTACAACCTGGTAGTGAGTCCCGACGAGCTTTCAGGCGGTTTTGCTGAAGCACGGGGTTGACATTAAGCAGATTGCCCGGATGGTTGCCGAGAAGACAAACACCAGGTTTTACGAGACGCCTGTCAACCCAAGGCTGTATCCGAAGACGGAGAAGCCAGCGAACCTGCCCTCTATCTCGAAGGTTATTGCCAATCGGGCTGTTGCCGGCCATTCGGCTAGCGCCAGGGCTACAGGCACAGCGAGAGGCATGGGCCTGACCATGGGCACTGCGAGGCTGACAGATGGCAGTGCGGTTTTAGCATAGCGCGCATTTGGAGAGCACCGTCCATAGAGACCAGTATGCGAAGCCATTGCCGGTGGTTCCACGGTGACAGCAGTGGCTGCTCTATCCGGTTCTTTTTGCTTATCGATTTAGTCGGGTAGTAAATATTTCCATATCGATTGTACTGCCAGTATACGCTGCGAGCTCTGCGCAGCAACAGCTCTCCGGGTCCCTCCATATGCAATCGACAGCGCTCGCACCACCTGCCTACCGGCCATTCAACGCCAGCTCGCTATGCGTCGGGGCAGCCCAGGAATCAGGGACGCGCTGGGCACGCATCTGCCTCCAGCAGAGGCAAAAGATCAAGGCGGCTGATCTTATCGCCATAACTGAATCGGGACATGGGGCGACGGCATGGCCCATGTTTTGGGGGGTGAGCGTGAGGCACCAGGGGTTTCACGGCTTCTCTCAGCAATCTTGTTTCCAACTCTAGGCGCTTTACAGATACCATGGCCATGCGCGTGTTCTCGGGGATCCAGCCAACGGGCGTCCCGCAGCTAGGCAACTACCTGGGCTCGCTGCAGAACTGGGTGAAGCTCCAGCAAAACAGCACGGCCGACGACTCGCTGCTGTTCAGCATCGTTGACCTGCACGCGCTGACAGTGCCGCGCAGCCCGCAGAAGCTGCGGCAGGAGACGCTGGAGATGGCAGCGTCGATTGTCGCGTGCGGGGTGGACCCGAGCAAGTCGCTTTTGTTCCGGCAGTCGGCGGTGGCAGCGCACACGCAGCTTCTGTGGGTGCTCGGGTGCATCACGCCGGTCGGGTGGCTCAACCGCATGACGCAGTGGAAAAGCAAGCTGCAGCAGCAAGGGCAGCTTGTGGGCCAGACAGAGGCGCTCAACGTGCATGCGCCGGCGGCCCAGGGCCTGCTGGCCGGGCTGTTCACATATCCGGTCCTGATGGCGGCAGACATCCTGCTGTACAAGGCCACGCACATTCCGGTGGGCGACGACCAGGTGCAGCATCTGGAGCTGGCGCGCGACATTGCAGAGCATTTCAACAAGACATACAAGACGCGGCTGTTCCCGCTGCCAGCGCCGCTGCTGACCGAGTCCAAGCGCGTGATGTCGCTGCGCGACCCACAGCGCAAGATGTCAAAGTCCGACCCGAACGAGCAGTCGCGGATTATGCTCAGCGACTCGGACGATTCGAATCCGCCGCAAAATCAAAAAGGCGCCGACTGACTCGATCCGCGGGATCACGTTCGATGCGAAAGGAGCGGCCGGGCGTGGCCAACCTGCTGGCGATCTATGCGGCGCTCAGGGAGACCGAGTGCGAGCAGGCGGCGGCAGAGCTGCGCGACTGCTCCAATGCCCAGCTGAAGGAGGCGGTGGCCGAGGCGGTTGTGCAGTTTGTCGGCCCGGTGCGCAGCGAGATGCAGCGGCTGCTGGCGAATGCCGGCGATCTGGAGAAGATGCTGGCCGAGAACGAAGAAAAGGTCAATGGCATTGCAAGGGCAAACTGGAAAGAAATCGCCACGTGTGTTGGGCTTCAATAAAGAAAGAGTTTTATGCGTGGGTGAAGATGGAGCCGGAGCCAGCCAGGCTGGCGGCGATCTTGTTAATGGAGTTGGTCATGGCGGCGGTGCGGTAGTCGATCTCCTTGAGGTTGGCGGTCTGGCGGGTCTCGTTGCAGGCAACAATCATTGTGTCCTCCAGACCCGAATACACCAGCTCATGCTCCTCGGCGCCGTGGATCAGCTCACGGCGCTCGCCCTCCGACAGCGGGCGCCCGGCGTTGCCCTCGACCAGCGCCAGCAGCTGCTCCTTGCTGCGCTCGTCCCAGCGCTTGTTCATGCGGCCAAACCGCAGGTGCGACAGGTTCTTGGCCCACTCAAAGTACGACACACACACTCCGCCAGCGTTCAGCAGCAGGTCCGGCACAATAACCTTGCCGTTTGCACGCAGCACCTCGTCGGCTGCCGGCGTCACCGGGCCATTGGCAGCCTCGCCGATCAGCTTGGCCTTGATCTTGTGGGCATTGCGCAGGCCGATCTGGCGCTCCAGCGCTGCGGGGATCAGCACGTCGCACTCGCTCTCCAGCACAGTCATGGGCTGGTCGACGATCTTGGCGTCGGGGAAGCCCTTGAACGACCCGTGCTCCTTGCGCCACAGGAACAGGTGCTCGACGTTGATGCCGGCCTCGTTGTACGCAGCATAGTCGTGCTCGACGATGCCGCGGATCTTGGCGCCGTTCGACTCAAAGAACTTGGCCGCCCAGTAGCCCACATTGCCGAAGCCCTGGATGATCACGCTGGTGTCCTGGATCTTGCCGTGGTGCCCAATCTTCTTCTGCACCTCGGGGTATGTCAGGAACTCGCGCACGCCGTAGTACACGCCCAGCCCGGTGGCCTCTGTGCGCCCACGCACGCCGCCCAGCGACAGCGCCTTGCCCGTCACACACGCGGCTCCGCTGACGTCCTGCGGGTTGAAGTTGCGGTATGTGTCTGCAATCCACCCCATCTCGCGTGCCCCCGTGCCCACGTCCGGAGCCGGCACGTCCACGCCCGGGCCAATAAAGTTCTTCTGGCACAGCTCCAGCGTGAACCGCCGCGTGATGCGCTCCAGCTCCGCCTCGGTCCAGTCCGCCGGGTTGATCATGATGCCGCCCTTGCCGCCGCCAAACGGCACGTCCACCACCGCACACTTGTACGTCATCAGCGCCGACAGAGCCTCCACCTCCTGCAGATCCACCGCCGACGAGAACCGGATCCCGCCCTTGCACGGCAGCCGGTGCCGCGAGTGCTGCGACCGGTACCCGCGGATCATCACTGTCTTGCCGTCCTTCTCCACCGGGAACGTCACGCTCAGCACGCTGTCCGTGGCCTTGATGTGCTTGAGCGTCTCGGCTGTTGCATTGCTGTACTTGGCTGCGCGGTCAAAGTACATGCCGACCGCCTGCAGGAACTTTGGCTCGTTGTCCTCGGTGGCCTGGTAGCCAGTGGTCGAGTGCGAGCGCGCGGGCACTGCAGCGAGGGACTTGGCCAGAGCGCCAGACTTGCGACTACACAGGCACCCTGTTAGTTGTATGCAGCTGCTGCAGCGCCTTATATCGCGAGGGCGACTGGTAACTTACCTGATGGCACCTCTGAGCTGTGCAGACATAAGCAAAGCCATCTTGGGACAAAAGGAGTTGTTCTACTAGTTAGGGAAAAGTGTATAAAAATGAAGAGATACCGAAAAGAAAGGGGAGGAGGGAAGCCGCCCGCCGGCCATCGAGTTATATGCGAGGCAAGACCTGGAGGCATGGCGCGGTGTTGGCTGCTGAGGAGCTGTTGCGTGCGAAACAAAGGCGCACAGGCCACTTTGAACCCCCGCAGGGAATGCCCGCCCCCAAACCTGAAAATAAAATCGATTGCCACAGCCTGCCCGCCCATCTGCACTTTGCTTCGCCGTGGAAACGCTGCAAAGCCACCGTTTTGGCGCACTTTTCCCACACGAGTGATGGACAGAACTATTTGCTATGGCTGCAAAAAAAAAAAAAGTAATTAAACATGCAAGGTCTATGCAGTCTTGGTCGTGGGAGCCCGCTCAAGGTACGGAATGAACCCCAGCATCCGCGTTGCCCGGTACTGGTCGACCGTGCCCAGCATCACCAGCCGCAAATACTGCTGGTACACAATGCTGGCATAGCACCCCAGGGCCGTGCCAATGTGCCAGTACGCGTGGAGCTGGAAGAACGGCGCCAGCACCGGATGCACCCACCCGCGCAGCTCGCGCAAGGTTCCGCACCAGACGTTGTCGATGTTCCACAGCACAAATGCCATGCCAAACGAGCCCGCGCCCAGCAGGAACAGATGCCGCATTTCCGTGTATGCCCGTACATTCGTCTTGCGGATCTCCATCTGGTAGAATGTGCTGCGCACAAGAATCACCGCCACCTCAATCGCGTATGCCACCTGGTGAAACACCGGGTTGCGGTTCTGCAGGTACACCAGCGTCACCATCGCAGAGTATCCAAACAGCGCCAGCGACACAACCAGGTCATTGCCCGCCTTGACGTTCGCCTGCAGCACACAATATATGCACACGCATGTGCAGTACACCACTACAGCAAGGCCCATTCAGCAAATTGCAATCCACCCAGGTCACTCGCGATGGCCCATTTAATACTTACTAGGGAGCTCGTCGGCCAGCTGCCACTGGTACTGGAGGGTCATATGGAACAGCCACCTACAGCAATGATCGCCCAATGGCCATGGATTCGGTCAGCAGGTCATGAAACACCCGGCTAAAGTCGCAATGCCGACCCCCCGCTCCCCCTCCCACTAATGTACTTACGACCCCATGCCGACAACCAACATGCCCAAGTAGCAGAGCAGGAACCGGTTCTCCTGCCCTGTTGCCCGCACCTTGTGCATGCCAAACAGCGCCAGTCCCAAGAACGCAATGTTGGTTGTCGTGTTCCAGAACTCGGCAATGTACTTGCACATCACATAGTTTTCCTACAAACAATGTGGCGGGTGCTTGAGCAAACAAACAAACTACTGCCGATGATTTCCCTCCCTCGCCTACTGATTTCCTCCCCTCGCCTCGGAATACCCTACCTCGCACCAGTCGATCGTCGACGTCCTACATGATGTTGCACCGAGTGCGGAAACCCCCCACCATAGCCGACTTCTTTAGCAATTAAAGCGACATTCTGTGGGGCCCACTCATGGGGAAGAGAGAGAACAGGAACTCCTTACGCTTCGCCCCAATAGTACGCATCGCGACCAACCATGGTGTCTAGCATCAAGTGCATGCTGAAGCTGCGCGCCCAAAGTACAGAGGTAGGTTTAGTGAAAAGAGTAATGGGGGTCAAAGGTAAAAATGAAAGCAGAGGCGAAGAGCACGCATTGCTCGCCCAGCAGACGTGCTGCTTTTTAAGCAAGCGCTTCTGTGGGCGACACAAACACTGCCGGCGTCTGTTTTATGCAGCGAGCCGTGTGAGAAAGGAAGGCCTGCAAATACACGCCAGCGGCTGACCCTCTACGCATCGCTGGTTGGCCCGCCGCTGTAAATGCCCGTCTTGCACATTAGCTGCACTTGGCATCATGGTGCATATCCCCTGGCTTGGCACGTCGGTGATCTGAATCCCAGACGATCACCAAGAGACGCCGCTAATGTAATCTAGCCGGCCTAGCCCGCCGACTGGTTTTTTTTTGCAGGCATCTGAGACTGCTGGTGCACAGCCAGCCGCCCAATGGGACAGCAGGTCTTGTGTGTCTGTGTATCTGTGTGCCTGTGTGCCGGCCACCGCCCCAACTTTCGCCCGAGCCTGAGGTATTCTGGACTTGTCTTTTTCCGTGTTTCCTTTTCGAAATACCAACCGGTTTCGGCCCCCTGTGTAATATTGGCTTCTTGCTTTTCAGTCGCTCACTTCTTTACTTCTTCCCTGTCCCCTTTCATAGTACTTTTCTTACGTTCATTTCTTTGACGGCCCTGAAATTGCCAGCCAGGAAGCAGAGTTCAGTTCCTTGGCCACGAGAAAGAAAGAAACCTGATATCTCCGCACTACCGCCTTTAATGGAGTCAGCCTAGCTTCCCTATCATCACTCTTCCCGCTTCACCACACTTTTCCACCCTTCTTACACATACCTCCCCTGTCTCTCACACGTTTTACTGCGTTCGAAACCATGGGCATGATCATCATGGACAACGCTTCTAATGCGACCAACCACTTCTGGGGCGAAAGGTAAGGCTGTCCGGGGAACAGCGGTACGGTACAGCCAAGAGGAGGGGGAGACATGGCGAGGCGCTATTGCCAGAGGAGCACGCCCTCCACTCGTAAGAGCCTGGGCGACTGCACGCTTGCCAATGCCTACACGGGGTAGGGTGGGCATCACTTCCGCATTCACGGCTGGAGAAGAGGGCCAGCAGTCTTGGCAATGTAGGCAGTCGATCCCCATGCTTGGCCGAACGAGCTAGGCTGGTTTGGGAATGGTTTAGAGAGGAATGTTGGCTATTCTTTAGGAACCGATCTTCTGCTGATATTTGCACCTTCCCCATTTCACATGGATCCTGTAGGACGTCGACGATTGATTGGTGCGAGGTAAGATGCATTGCTGGATCCAGGTGCGCCGTGGCGTGACAAGTGTGCAACACCCATGTCTCGTCGATTATCTCTCATCTCCGCGAGCGTCTTTCTTTTTTCGGTCTCCCTCGCACTTGAAACAAGGCGTCAGGGCTTCTGCACAGCGCATTTCCGCACCTGCTGCTGGTCGTCAAAAGGAATCCTCATGCACGGATCTCAAACACTATACCAGCTCGGGGCCCAGACCGCTGTCTATCATATACTGCAACCTAAAGCTGCCCGGAATCATTGTGTAGGAAAACTACGTTGTGACACAGTTCATCGCCGAGTTCTGGAACTCGATAACAAACTCGCTTTTCGTGGTCCTGGCCGGGCTTGGGATCTGGTCGGTGATTAAGCACCAGCAGGGCAAGCGCATGCTGTTCTGCTACGTCGCCCTGATGACGGTCGGATTCGGCTCGGGCTTCTTCCACGCCACGCTCAAATACACAACACAGCTCCTGGACGAGCTTCCCATGCTCTACACCTGCGCGCTCTCCTTCTACGCGCTGGTCGAAATCGACCGCCGGGTGCAGCACGGCTGGAGGCTGCCCGTGGGCATCGGCGCGCTGCAGCTGGCCATCACCCTGATATACATCTTTTGGCTGCAGTCGCCTGCCTTCCACCAGGTCGCATTTGCCTTCACTGCCATGGGCACGGTCGGGTTTGGATACAAGCGCATGAAGCAGATGCGCATCGACCGGCGCACGAAGCGCCTGATGACCCGGCTCCTGGTGTTTGGCCACATTGGCATGTACGGCGGGTTTTTGGTGTGGAACCTCGACAACATCTTCTGCCACCGGCTACGGTCCTACAGGCAGATGGTCAACTCGCCGCTGGATGTGTTCCTGCAGCTGCACGGGTGGTGGCACATCCTCACTGCCTACGGCTCGACGTACCTGATCCTGTGGGTGCACTTTGCCCGCATTACGTGGCTCGGGCACGACCACCTGTTCACTGTCAAGCACAAGTTTGGGCTGTTCCCGCATGTCGCTATGCGGACGCCCAAAAAGGTCGAGTAGTCACTTTTGTCCTTGCCTCTGTAGTTCCAGCGCCATACAGTTAGCGTATATAAAGCTTTTTTTTTTCTAAAAAGTGGAAGCTTTGCATGGCCGACGTGTCTGTGCGCATGCGTGTCACCTGAGCACACCGCTTCGGATTCGCGTCCGAAGCACGCCCTCGCAAAACTCGAGGAGCCTCGCTTTATTTGCACGCAAGCGCAGTAGCTTTTTGGGCCCAGGATCCCTCCCTGAAATCACACAGCTCGGATGTAAACAAACCCGCCCGGTCGCCCAGCACTGTAGCAGCCATTCCGAGGGGCAGGCAAGGCGGCACAGAGGCGTGTGGGAGAAAGCTCTTAGCATCCTGCATTTGCACATAGGCGAACAATCGAGATGGCAGAAACGGAAATGACCACTATTTCCGCCTGCTAGTTACACCCTATAATTGGCGTCTCTCCTAGCACACAGGCTGATGTACCAAACCAAGGTCTCTGCCGCCCGAAGCTGCGCCTCCCTCGCAACAGCCCTCGCTGTTTTGGCAGGGAAGCGAGGGGACATGGCGCTTTGTTGGCTAGAATGCGTGAAACAAAACCTCTGAGCGGCACCACTTTGTTTTTCTACGCAGCTGGAAGAGGGGGCGGCGAGGCGCTGGGGGGGGAGCCATGCGGCCAGCGTCTCAGACCAGAATTGCCTTCATTGTTCAAATGTTGTGTGAAAACAATATTCCGGGGAGAGTAGAGGAGGGGCGAGAGTCCAGAGAACTGCCATATAGGCAATGGGACAGGCCGGGTTCAGTCTGGTCTGCCTCTCGTTTCTTTGCTGTCACCTCGACCCCTCCTATTTCCCCTTCTCTCATTTCCTTTCCTTGTGCATTGGCAGGATAGCATATACACCAGGGCATATCTTGCTTTTTGTCCTTTCTCGCACAGGTTTCTACGGATCATTGTACACACATGCAGCTAAAGGTGTACCTCGTGGCCGGTCTGGCTGCCTTCACAACGATGGCCTTGGCGGCGTCGCACTCACCAGCAGCTGGCAGCGATGCTGGCTCCCTCGTTGACAGCATCAAGGTTGGCGGCGATGCCTCTGACAAGCCCGCTGCCGGCGGCAAGCCTGCAGGCGCAGATAAACCAGCGACTCCCGCTGCCCCAGCCCTCCCAGCCCTCCCTCCATCGCCAGCCAAGCACGCCAAGGGCGAAGGCACGTATGGCTGTTGGCAAAAAGACCCTTGGCGACAACCCCTCCGTCCACGATGCCGCCAGCGGAGGCAGCAAGAAGAGCAAGCGCCGGGCATTCCGCCAGGCCTCCTCGGCATTTGATCCCAGCACAGTTGACATGGGCATCAAGAGCACGTGGTGCAACGACAACACAAACTTCTGCAACAACGTGTGTCTCAACATGACGTGGGGTGCGCCCATCAACGACGGGTGCGAGGCGTCCAACCTCCAGTGGCACTGCACGTGCGGCAACGGCAAGAACCCGGACCCGGATATCTACACGTTCCCGGTCATGCACTACACCTGCCAGCACGAGGTGCAGCAGTGCCAGGACCACTGCTCGACCGGCGACATCAGGTGCACCCAGGAGTGCCAAGGGGACAGGAACTGCACGGCGCCCAAGGACCCGAATGCTGGCAAGACGATGGCGCCAGAGTCCGACGGCGAAGACGGGCTGGACTCGATGACAGGCAATGGAATGCTGGACTCGGATAAGCCAAACTTCTTCAACTCAGCGGCGCTAGCCAGTGCAGGCGGATATGTATTTATCACCTGCTATCGTGGCGTCGTCTCTACATCTGATGGGTCTGCCTTAGGACCTGTCTCGCTCACAACCACAGACTCTTTTTTACCTTCACATTATTTCTGAACAACACCATCGCCATCTCACATGCAGAAAACAAATGTCTAGGCATCCTCATCAGGGTCCGCGTGGTCGCCAAACGGCGACTCGTGGGGGTATGAGAAGGTGCGGTTGAACTTGAGCAGCCTGTTGATATCGTGGGTCCAGCCGGCAGCCAGGTTCTCTCTATTGATACACATCAGCGGGTACGCCGACCGGCGGATCTCAATCGACTGGTCCTGCCGCAGCTCGCCGCAATTCCTTCCGTCAATGTACGCGGCAGCCCGGCCGCGGCTATCCTTGTGCACCTGCAGGCGCACCACAGCGCTTGCGGGGAGGATCAGTGGACGGAAATGACAAGGACCGAGGACACACTGGCGTCAGGATCATGCTGCTGACCAAGGGATGCACAATTGGGCCGCCCGCCGACAAGGAGTATGCAGTCGAGCCCGTCGGCGTACCAACAATGATCCCGTCGCCGACCGAGGTCGTCAGCAGCTGGTTATTGATATAGCATGCAATTGTAGTCAGGTGCGGGTATGTGCCACGGTGAATGCACGCTTCGTTTGTGATGTTCAAATGCCCATCCGCCAGTCAGCCTGCCATCCTCGTCGTATTTCGAGTACGACAGACGCATGCGCGGCAGCACAGTCGATCCGCCCGCAATAACGCCCCGTAGCTGCTCCTTGTATGTGGCCACATTGAACGGCAGCAGAAAGCCAAGCGTGCCCATTGAAAATGGGATAATTGGCGGCACATGCGTCTTGAACAGCGACGAGACATGCAAAAACGTGCCGTCGCCGCCCAGCGTAATCACAAAGTCCTACCACCCGAGAGTACTCGTCTGGCTCGCCTTCGGGAATTGTGCGCACAAATGGAATTGTCTGCTGCTACCTGCGTGTACACAGCTGGCTCCAGTCACAACGTTCATATCGGTGATATGTGCGGTGTAGCCAGCTGGCAATGTCCACCAGGGCGCTGTCGACCTTTTGGTCATTGGCCTTTTTGATTATCAGCACGGTCTTTGGCCCGCCTGTCGCCCAGTCCAGCCGGTACCGCTGGTCAGTATCAGACTCCAGGTACAGATTGCCATTGCCGTTGCCAGGTCATAGCTCGAGTGATCTCGGGCAGGCTTCTTTGTAGGGATGTCGGCTGTGCTCAGAAACGTCCGCCGCTGGATGCCTGTCCATTGAAGGCGCTGCTGCTGGCCGGGAGAGACCCACGCACTCGGGCAAGGTCGGAGAGGCGTGGACCGGAAGAGCCGAAAGACACGCGAATTCATCAAATTTCTTTTTTAAAGTAATAGAATGGTTTCAGATATGACGAGAGCAGCTGAAGGCTGGAGGGGTAAGCAGAGCCGGACTTTTGGATTCCCCCGCCGCTCTCTGCCTGTCCTCCCCGCATCAGCGGATCAGCATCCTGGAATCATGTCAGCCGACCTGTTGGTCCCAAACATCTCTGTCCGCCTCTGCTAAAAATACAGCACTGCCGCCTCCCAAGCCTCCTTTGAGCAAGCACGCTTCTGCTCTGCTTTCTCGTTTGTTCCCCACCCCTTTCTTGCATTTCCCCATCGCATTTACTCCGCTATAGCCATGGTCCAAATCACAGAGTTCGACGACGAGAATGTGCCGCTCATCGAGTCCATGAAGGAGCTGACTCCGGGGCTGCCACGACAGCGACGAGACCGCACACAACTCGCCCAAGCTCGAGTACCCGAGCGTCTCACGCATCGTGCGTGCTGGGCCAAAGCTTGGCCCTGATGGCAAGCCAAAGTACCTGATTGACGACATCCCCGACCACGAGAAGATGCGGCTGATCCGCGAGTCAGGCGTGCTGAAGCAGATGAAGCAGGACGGCAAGGAGGTCGACTACGACGAGCTAGACCGGCTCGAGGCCGAGGCAGAGCGTGCCGAAGACGAAATTCCCACGTGGATGAATGCTCTCATCTACACGCTGGCGCTGTCGTCCGTGTACGGGCTGTTTGAGGCCCTGGTCAGCCAGCAGTACAGCATCGAGATCACGGCAACAGAGATCCTGAAGCGCATGCTAAACATGTCGCCAGCCATATACTTTATGGTGTATGTCACATACAAGTTCCGGTTCTCTCGGGCCATGTCGCTGGTGATGCTGGTCTTTGCCTGCGCCAGCGGATGCTACTTTGTGCACCTGAGCCTGCACGCTCCGCGTCTGGGTATCATGAAGCGCGCTCCAGGACTTGTTACCATCTGGATCTACCTGACGTTTATGCAGGATGTGCGCCCAGCCATCATCAACGCGTTCGTCGTGTGCGCGTTCTGGCTAGCAGATCCGTTCAAGTTCCGGCTTTAACAAAGGAGTTTACTCATAAATACATTTCTCCTACTTCACCGGATCAGCGTGTATTCGGTCTGTGACTGCTCGATTTCAAGCTGCCGCAGGTGCCTAGCAACCTTGCGCTCCAGCAGCCTGTCTGGTTGCAAATCACGCACGTTCACTGTGTGAGAGCACCCGGCCACCGGACACGGGCACGAGCCATGCCTGGCCCTCAGCATGCTCATGATCGAGTCCTTCGAATAGCTGTGCTTGCACGTCCTGCTGGTGACTGGGTTATTCAGCCACGCCATCGAGATCGGGCATTTGTACGTGAGACGCGCCCCCGAAACCACCAGGTCGTCGTCGTCACTGCTATCCTCGCCACCCTCAAACAGACTTGGCATTGGCTCGCCCTCATGGTTGACCTCCCACACCTGCTCGCGGAACTCCCTGTACTGTCCATTGCGACCGAACTTTTGTGCATCACTCTGCTTCTCGTACTTGGTCACACTCCGCTTCCACGACCGTTCGTAGCTCTGTGCCACATCGTCAGCATCAGCGTGTCGCATCGCCTGCGAGAGTAGCTCGGTCTCGATATCCATGCGCTTTTTGGCGCTTAGAAGCATCCGCAATGACTCGTCGACTTCGTCTACTTTTGGCTGTCTCGTTGAGTTCCTCGAGATCTGTCCCCACAAGCTTGCACGCATCGATGGCTTTGTCGGCAATGTCGGCAACGTTCTGGATGTCGGTGCTGACTGAACTCAGGCGGCCCACTAGCTGGCCCTGTGCGTTGCTGTTGCTGGCTGCTGCCTCCCTGTGTGAATAGCTGGCTCATGGTATGATTAGAATGTGGAATGTGGTGTCGAACCTCCAATCATATGGTGACCCAAAAATCAACCTGCAAATTTAGGGACTGCGGACAAACATTTGTATTTATGGCAATGTACACCAATAAGTTAGACTTCACGTGGCAGAATCTACGCCTCCTCTAGCTTCTGCCGCATACCAATATAGTCGGTGTACAGCAGCTTCGCCTTCTTGCTCTGGTACCGTGTGAGCTTGACAGACTCGCGCATTTCCCTGGTAATCGTCCATTCATACCCGCCCTTGCGCAGCAGCTGATCCACCGTCTTTTCCTTTGACCACCCCTGCTCCTCGGCAATCTCGGGCAAGAAGGTCGCGGTTTGGCGCCGTCCGTTTGGCATCCTAAACTCCACCCACACCCCATGCTTTCCAATCTCCCAATCCAAGTAGTCGTCGGCTTCCTCAAAGTCTGTCAAGAGCGAGACCGAACACGACAGCTGTGGGAGCTCGCGCAGGGTGATAGGGTTAAACCGGGTATCGCGGAGCGCACTTGTCAGGGCATATTCGCGCAGACCGTTTCCAAGCTTCATGGCCGAGAAGTTGCCAATGCAGCCGCGTAGCCGGTCGTCGTCGCCACGGTACTGCTTACTCCATGTAACAAAGAGCGGGTAGCAGGCGCTTGCGTCAAAGCCTGTAGGGATGCGGCTGGTCGGCTTGCCCTCAAGGTGAGACACCAGGACATCGAAGCAATAGGCGCAGTGCTGCTTGGTAGCCATATGTAACAAATCAAAGCAGTTGAAAAAAGTAGAGAGCAGTTTACAAACAGAAGGAGAGCTGGCCTGGGCTGCAATTTCCGGTGGTGGCTGAGGTGGTCACAGGCACAGTTCGAGCCGTCATGCAGCTCGATTTATTGGGCAGCTCGCGGTCCAGATTTTTCACGCGCTCTTTCCATTTCTGGGCCGTTGCGAGCGCGTAGGACCGTTTGTCCTCGCACCCCTCGCCAAAACGAGAAGATTACCAGACCACCCATGCTTTCTGTCTCCCCAATCCCACGACCGCTCCTAATTTCCCTACTTCTTCCATGACGCCCTTAGCACCCCTCCATCTACTCCTTACATTTGCCACCTTGTCTCTCGGCTCCATGATTGGCAGCCAGAGCATTACACCGCACGACTACCAGAGCCTGGGCAATGCATTGGCCATCTCTGCGCCCTCGTGTGGATATCCGTATGCCACACTGGACATTAGTCGAATCACAGCAGTGCAGAAAATGAACACCGGCTATGAGTGCGGCACATGCCTGCGTGTTGAGACAGACCTATCCAACTACATCGAGTACGGTGAGACTGTTGGGCTGCCAGGTGTCGCAATGGCCACACACTTTGAGGCAACCACAACCAAATTTGAAGTTCTGCCAACCACATCCGTGTCACCGGTGCGCAGACGCCAGCAGATAGCAAAGCGCGCCGACACAGTCCGGTATGTCTACGTCCTGGCTGTCGATACTGGTGGCCTGGGACTGGACATGGCACAGGTTAGCTTTACTGCACTGTTCGGCCAGAGCATGTCGCCAATGCCTGCCGTGTGGTTCCCGGTTGACGGCAAGTATTGCTCAGATATCTGGCGCAACTCAACAAAGAAGCAAATGCAAGTCCCAACTTCGATGCGCAAGATTCCTGTACGCTCTGGCCCTTCGCAGGCTCCCGCTGATATCCCCCATACGGGAACCAATTCCGGTAGCACGGTAGATGCACCAGTCAACACTGCCAGCTCATTAGCTGGTGGTATGGCGCCTACGGCTTACCTAATGCCCTCAATAATGATAGTGATATGCTGCGTTATTCCTTTGCTTTAATGAATGCCCTAAGCTTTGTACCACCTCTGCAGCACTAAGCATTCAATGACCTGTATGAGCGTCTGTATATGTGAGCGACAAGGAATAATACCCATCGCAAACAATCACCGAAATGTAATACAAATGTTACCCTATACATTTTATTAGGAGCCACCCAAGGAGTAAGCCCACCGAGGAATCTATCCTTTTAATCCCGCCCGTCCTTAACGCCATTTAGAACCCGTGATACCTGACCTTCGTACATTATCTGTTTGATATTAGGATATATTAGATTTACTGAAATCTAAAACCAGTATGGAAACTAGCGTTTATAGTTTCGCTCTCCAACGCTATCTCACAACCCGCAGGTTTATTTTAGCCTGGACACACCGCAGCCACTAATTTTGGACATGGTCATACTACTTGATGTTGCTATTGTACTCATCGTCGCTGTCCATGCCAGCCACTGCGCCATGCACTGAGTAGCTGGCTGCTTCAGTCAGAAGCGTATGAAGATAGTGCCAGGCAGGTACGAATAGTACAAAGGTTTCTGCTATGTAGCTCAACCTCATTTTTACTGCGACTAAATGTCAGACATAAATATGCGTACCTTCAATATCAGCCCTTTACTTTCCATTCAGCTATGGCATTCGAATCTGTACTGGACGACATGTTGCGCGTATGCAGATACTAACAGTTCTGGCCAACATGCTAAAGGATTTCGACTGGTCACTTCCCGGAGACTACAAGCATCTCGACCCATATGTACTTGACAAGAACGGCTACCCTAAAATCATGGACTATTACCACTTTGTCGCTAGTACGCCAGCCAACCTGAAGCGCGACTGCTGACTGGTAGTTACAAAGCACATCTACTAACTTGGTATAATATGGATTATTTTGACGCTGCTGAGTGTGAAGACCGAGCAGTAATGGCACCACCTGATGGGTGTTCATTGCCTCGGGTTACTGAATGGTATATGGTAGATAAACATTAGGTTTGGCAAACCCACAAAATATGGACAGGTGATTAAGGAATTTAAACCAGCCGTGATCTGAGGCGAGACTTGCCAAACTTGTGTACAACAATTCTTTTCCAGCACTCCTACTATCAGCAATGGCGACAGGAAGCTGCAGCAGCGACGACGAGCTCATGTTTCCCTCGTTCTCCAGCGCACCAAAGTCAGTGGCAGCGATCGAGGTCAAAAGATCCAGTAAGGAGAGGCGACACCCTTCGTCACACCGCGACAAACGGAAGACCCATGATAAGCATCGGCACTCCTCTCAGAGCTCTTTGACTAAATACAAGCCCAGCGGCAAAGCGTACCAGCCATCAGCATTACACAGGCTATTGGAAAGCGGCGATCTGACCATGGACCGGTATGGAGATCGAGACCTTCTGCGCTACCAGTCTACCAGCACATCTGGCACACCCAAATTTCGCCGAAATGGCGGCCGACGTGTTCTGGGTCTCCGAGGATCAATGCGTATTGTGGAAACAGAAAGTGATAGCCGCTTTGTCCAACTGGCTCCTCCAACAACACGAGCCCTACGCTACGTAGACACCCCCCAGGTGGGCTCAGATTGCGGAACCGACTATGTAGCAGCTTCGACAGAAATGGCCACACTGTCTGAACTGCACACTGGTTATATTGCACTCACTGACTCGGCATCTGGGGACGAAGTCAAAGAGTCGCTTTACGATAGTGACCAGAGCGGGGTGGATTTCCGCAGCTTTGATGGTATGGCAAAGTCCACGCCTAGACCGCGCAAGGCACCGCGGCAGCTTCAATCTGACCCGGTTCATGACCAGCTCCGGGCAAAGATTGCAATAATCGAGGCTAAGCTCAATTCCGACAAGCATGATGTCGACGCATGGATCAGTTACATTGGGCTGCAAGAGCAGATCGCTATGTCAGCATTCACGAAGCGAATGCGCGGCAATATGGCTATAGCCAGGATGCAGATCGAGATGTTCCAGCGAGCGATTGGCCTGAATCCAAAATCTAAAAGGCTTTGGATGGAGTACCTGAGGCGGTGTCAGGATGTGCTAGAGACGACGGAGCTGCTGGCAGAATGGATTAAGGCGCTGTCTGAGACTGAGGATCCTGACATGATCTTCAGCTACGTGGACTTCTGTCAAGGTTTGAGTGACAGATTCACCGTGAGCTGGATGATAGACAGGTTTGACTATGCGATTCAGCTACTGACCCGAGTTTTGTGCAGCAGCCGACGGGACGCAGCAGTGGTGCGGAGGACATCGATCCTGATTACCCATATCATACATCGCTCATGTTTACTGCTGCGTGAATCTGGGTACTGCGAGCGTGCGACATCCCTGTACCAGGCAGTGATCGAATGGTTTATGTTCTGTCCAGAACATTTGAAAATGGCGTCGCTGGGGCACAGAAAACACGCATTTGAGAGATTCTGGGATAGTGGAATGCCTCGAATTGGTTCTCCTGGCGCAAATGGGTGGAGTTCGTTTGGCAAAGGGGCCTACAGCAGCAGTGAGATGGCGCTTGCCAAAGCCAGCACCATTGGGACTGCACTGGAGTCTGAATGGCTAGGCAAAGAGATTGAGTATTCGCAAGAGTGCAACGAACCGCCCACAATACCAACCCTCGACATTCCCACCGAGCCCACCAGTATGTTTGATCCCTTTGCGGTAACTCTATTCGAGGATATCGAGCCATTTCTCGCTGATATTCCATGGGACAAGGATGTGTTTGCTGTATTGCTGGATAACCTTCTTCGGTTCCTTGGTCTAATCAGCCCCGACACCTGCGTGTTTTCAGATCGACAAGCTGGACAGCTTCAAGGGGTGTCCAGGGACTTTGAGTGGTCAATGACATCCAGCGATGAGGGGATTCTGCCATCAGTTAAGCGAACTGCTGCTTGGCAGCCAATGGGCAGCTCAAACGACTCGACTGACGGCGGAGGTGGCGGCGGTAGAAGCGGAGGTGGCGAGTGGATTGACGGAATGCTTGTAGCCAGGCAATCAAAGACGGCATTCGAAAATATACATGACACGGGCCGGCCACATTTCGCGTATATCTCAGTGCCCATTACACTCGATTTGGTGGAGACACCTCTGCCGTATCGCTTCTCTTGCCCGTGGCTCAAGCCGGCTTCAGAGTGGTGGCGGGGTATGACGCAACGGACGTTGGAAAAGCTAAGTATAGCCGCCAGCCTCGACACACGGCAGCGGCTGATGGTCCGCGTGGCTCTTGTTGAGTGGTCAGGTGCGCACTGGCCAGAATATTTTGATCAATTAAGTAGCCAAATCCGAGACCGAAAGCCGGTGTGCCTGCCGCTGCTAAACTCATTGGCCAAGACCTATGCGCATAGAGGCTGCTGGGAGCAGGCGCGGACAATTTGGTCTCAAGCACTCGGCAGCATCAGCGACAAATCAGCAGCAGAGGACTGGGCATGGGCAGCGGTTGTTCAGAAATCATGGGCAGTTAGCGAACTTTTGCACGGCCAGGGCATCGGCAAATTCCAGCAGATTTCCCAGGTGCAGGCAGATCTCAGCTGCAACAGGAACTACTCCGAGTTTGAGACCATCGAAACAAGATGCGCAGCATATGAATTACAGATGTGGTCAGCGTATCTGCATGGCCGCAGCACAGATTCGGCTGATGCTGCGCATGCACATGCCGCAGCAGGTGGTCCACGGGAAGAAGAACAACTGGGGCTGGTTCTGACATCAATTTATTTCTACCACATGCAGAGCTGTCGGCTCGCGCCGCCACGAGCCATGCGCTTGCACCTCAAAAACCAGCTTGCCAAGTTCCCGCATTTGACGATATATTGGGAAATGCTGCTTGCCAGCGAATCGCATTCAGCCGCCGGATTCCACATTTTGCGCCAAGTGGAAGACACGCCACCTTCACCTCTGCTTGCGATGCATGTCTTGGCCACTATGAACGTGCCATGGGAATCTCGGCTGACTCGAATGCAATGCAGGTCGGCATTGGTGTGGGCTGTGTGTCTGGCAGCAGGAGCAGCAAGGGGTGGACGGATGGGTGCTAGTCGCATGAAACGCCTGGCGTTTATGGCAGTCAAGATGTGTCCGTGGGCAAAGCCGCTGTATCTCTTGGCAATGGGGATGGGCTGCATGTCAGGTGTAGAAAAGACTCAGCTGCTGACGGCGGTAGTAACAAGGGGGCTGCGCACGCGGGTGTTTGTTGCTGAAAGGGCGCAAAAATAAATTGGCGGTGCCTCACCACCTGCATTCGCTGTGATCCTGCCTTACTGACCAGCTGCGAAAGCAGTAGATAGCGCATGCTGGGCAGTCTTGGCTAACCGGCTTGTCGATGGCGTTGGATCTGATGTGCCAGAAAGAGATAATGCTGGGAGGTAGTGCGCCAAGAATTCGCCTGCAAGGCAGCATCATGTGAGCAGCGGCACCATACATTAGCCGACACTCACAGCTGTGGTAAACACGTACTGCTTTTGTTGCTCTCCCTGTTTGAAAAATTGTTTAAAAACTGTCTATACTTGCTATTTGGTGCTACTGCGTATCGTGTTCCCACCTGCTATCTCCACGCACTTGAAGCAAAAGGTGCCGAGATAGCCCGCACAATCTACTAATACTCGAGGATGTCGCAATCCGTACCAGAGTCCGCCGAATTGCTGCCGCTGGAACGCCACCAGACACAGTCGACAATCAGTGCCTTCAGCGCTACCGGGGCAGAGAGAAACGTTACTGCAGAGCTCAATCCTCACATACTCTACGAAGATAGTGATTTGCAAGTATCCCAAGAGGGGCTGACAATTAAGAGGTACTACTTCCCAATCCCAATGTCCAAATTTATTCCGTGGGGCAAGATTGAGACTGTGCAGACAGCGAGCGAGGCCAATGTCCAGTTGTACGAGCTCAAGATGTGGGGGATGGGTTTCGGTAATATCTGGTGGGCGCAAAAGTTCCGGATTATCAATGACCAACGCAACGGCCAGCTTAGGGTGAACACACTCCCAGACATAATGGGGGCAAATATCGTAGTCAAGATCAGAGGCCAGTGGGTACGTCCTGGGTGCCATGTTGAGTATGCCCAGGAGGCGATACGTGCTATTCGCAGAATGCTGGTTCGTACACACCAACATGCAGAATGAGCCCGCAGTTATCGACTGATGCTATTATTAGGCGCAGCATTGTTTGTTCTGGCCAGTATTTTATCGACGAAGCATATTGTTAGCGGGAGGGGACAGACCATTATGTCTAAGCCTCTCTCGCTCGCTCGCTCGCTCGGCTATTATCCTTCCTGCTGCCAGACTACCTAATCTTTCATCTTGGGATGCTACAAAAACATTAATGATTTAACCTTGCTGGCATGAATGTGCAATTGACGATATTAAGAGTCACGCTGCTGCGGCCAAGTGTTGCCAAGAGGGGAAATCACGAAACCAACTTCTCAACCGTTAATTTCGTGGTGGGCGGGAAAAACAGGGAGCCGAGGGACGACGCCATCAAATATTAAAAATGGCCATATAGTCAAGGGAACGGGCTTGGGGCGATAATGGCTGGAATGGGACCAACGGACGACGGCCAGGATGGCATGTACTCATCCTACTGCGGATATGCCGTGCTTGGGAGACGACAAAATCCCGCTCCCTTGCTTGGTATCTTCTCCGTGGTGCACACGACCACGCACATGCCCTCCACAACCACCATCCCCAAAAGAATGCACCGGCGTGCTGCTTGCCGACATGAAAAAGGGGGGAGAGAAAAAGACTCAATATGCAATGGAAGATATTCAGCACAAAACCATCGGGTTGCGGCACATGAGCAAAAAGGAAAGCGGTAAAAAAGGCACACAGCATCCAATTAATTGCCATGTCGTATTGGCCACCTACCAGTGTTCATATAAATCATGTGCCCTGAGTACATGACGGTAATTGCGAATGTATGTCCAAAAATATTTATTTTATATACACAGGAATGTAAAGTGGATCACCAAAAAATAGTGCAGCACCTTGGCAGAAGAGGATTTGCAACAAGGACGGCGATGCAGAAAGGGAGAAGAAAAATAATGTGCAAAGGAGAGCCGGAACAGCATGTATGCTCGGCATTTTTGTATCTTGAGGGGAGCGCGGCTCGCCGATTGGGGTTGGGTGCACGAGGGCAGCTTCTTTTGGTGGGCATGGTTCATTTACATGACGCAGAATTCGTTGTCATCAGCGTCGATGGCCTGGATCTGTGCCCTCAGCGAGTTGTACACACGCTCAGGCTGCACTCTCCAGGGCCGGGGACCTGCAGTCATCGGCTGATGAGGGCATTCGGTGTCCAGCTCCATCTCAAACACGCCATCGAATTCAGGACAGTCCGCCTCCCAGTCCCCGTCAAGGGTCTTGTCGTCGACCTCGCTCTCACTGTCGCTGGCAAGCGATAGTTTGCTTTGGTGGCTGTCAATCAGCTTGACTTCCGAGAACGAGGGGAGAGCAAATGTCGTCGACAGCATCGACTGCTGCATAAGCGACTCGTTGGCTGGCGACGGTGGCGGTGAGGGGAGAGCGATAGCGGTAATGTACGTCTGGCTCGAGATCGAGGGCAGGCGACTGCGGATGAGTGTGCGAGTGGACTTGCGAGGAGCCAGGTACAGAGGAGAGGTGTATGTGTTCATGGAGGATAAGTATTGATATATACAGCCGCTAAAAGAGCTCGGCACAATAAGACTGGGACTGAGGGGGTAAGGAAAGGAAGGAGAAAGCGAGAGCCAGGGGCAGGCTAAGGCCAGTTTATATATCCGTGATAATGGAGCGCCTCTGCAGGCGAAATATGCAAGAAAATAGTGAAATGCAGAACCAAGATCTGAGCACTATAAAATGACGAGCGAGTGAGAGAGAGAAAGATACACTGCAATGGGAGGCGTTCAAGGTTGGCACCCTTTTTATGCTAAAGCGTTGGGGGGTTGAGCAAGGGAGAGCTGTAGACGACTATTTATGATTCTTCCAGCGGAGGGGTGGCAGTATGAAAGAGTAGCGAAGGCTGGCAAGGCTGTGAATGTTTGCGAGCACGCCTTCTTTTTGTGCTGCTGTAGGCAGGTAGCAGCAAGGGTTGGGAAAAATGTGCTGGCTGTGTATGAGAAGCGAGGCAGTAAGGCAAGCTGATGACGTTGCCTGTAGAGACGAAACGAAAAAAATAATGAGAGCGGAGGGGCGGTTGGGGGATGTTTGAGGGTGCTTGGGTGAAGCTGATGGAAAAGGCGGGTGGAGAGACGGCGGTATGCTGCCTATTTATTCATCACTTGCATATGAATAGACATACGAGTCGGAAAGCCTTTGGAGCGGAATGCGAAACGGCTACAGCCAAGTGGGCAAGGAGAGAAATACCGGCTCTGCCCACTGTTGGCCACCACACTCGGCAATCAGGGCAGTAGGCGGAGCATGCCGGGTGCCCACCCTCCCCCCGCACACCCCCTGCCCAATAAATCCTGACAGCAAAACAAAAGTCGGGAGTGGGCGGCAGGCATGCGGCAGCTGGCCCCCACCTAACAAACCCGGGCTCTCAACCCGCCCTCTTCTCACAGATGCCGTTTCTTTTTGTTTCAGCAGGCAACTGGGATGTTTTTAATTCCTTCTGGCGGCCCACTCGGAAAATAACGATGAGAAATCCCAGGGGCCGTGTTCTGGCCATGCCCCTCCCCCATCGATGCCGCATCACTTGCGCTGTGCATGGTGCACGCTTGCCAATGTTTCTTCGCAGCAGCTGCTTTGGCAGAAAGAGCCTGCTCCATGTCGGCATTTAAGATCGCAGTGCATCAGCAACAGCCAGCATTAAGCTGCGGCCGGAAAAGAACTCGACAGAACGCTGTGTCCTGGAAAATGCCCTCTGCTAAGCCCATCTGAGAATTGCGGTTCACGCAGGAGACATCAGGTATGCTTGATTTCCATTTTGCCTCTTGTTGCGGGCTCGGCTTGATTACAAAGGCAGTAGAGTGAAGGAAACGGTACAGGAACTATGCATATTGTGTATGTGAATGAACCGCTTGGAAAGCCACCTTGGTGCCGGCCGCGAGTTCCAGCAAGCCTGGCTGGTGACCTGGTGGTTCGCTGGCCCAGGTGGCGAAAGCAGTGGTGCCCAGACAGGCCGACAATCGCTCTCGGGTGATATTTTTAGTCGTATATCGACAACCACAGATATACCGATTCACTCAGCTGAGTATTTCCGGATGCTTGCCGTCGGCGGCGAATGCGCATTATTCCATTGCGCAAGGCTCAGATAATAACATCCACATTGCGCATACGCACAGCATCAGCCCAGCAAAGGCTGTTTTGCTGAAAATCGGGATACATTGCTTTTATGCCAAAGCTCCGCACCTTCACGGAAAGGAGATTCCCGACGAGCTACTCATCCTCGGCTAGCTACTGTTGCCGTCGGCAAAATGATATATGCTGGAATGGATATGCGAGCACCAGGGTTCAATTGGGCGGTACACTAGAAAACGGGGGATGAGAATTGCAGAGCCAGCGAGCAAACGTTTCAGCGCAGCCTAGTAGCACGGCCGGGCCTAGAAATCGTCTCCGAACCTTTGCCGCTTCCGTCTCCTACTGACTTTTTCTCACAATTGGCCCAAGATGACCAGTTTCCGGGTATTATATTTTACCTCTCACATATATCCCCTCTCCGTAAGGGAGGAATAAGGGTGTAGATACGTGGGATTCTGGAGAAACGCCAAGCATATCGGCCCAGCAGCGCATGCCTTGCCCCTTCACTTTCCAATCGAACAGCGCCGAACCTCCACGTAACTGCTAATTGCAGCTTACTGTTGGGTACATGCCCTAGTGCTTTGATTTCCAACTGTGACATGGTTTGAGGAAGCGCCGTGCCTTTTCAACATGGGGTAGGTGAAAAATGCATGGCCCAGAGAGATAAGCCGGGCCTGAATAGCCTTGCCCCTTGAATTCTTACATGTCGTGCTCCCGCCCTTCCCCACATGTCTCTCGGCAATAGCTTATGAAGAATAGAACCAGCTCTACTGTCCATTTCCTAACCCCCTCCCTTTTGTGCGCAGCCGCTGGAAATAGAAAAGACCGAGCCTTTTGCTCCATGCTGGCACACGACCTCCACATACCCTACCTAGCCGAGAAAGGGCAAGGACGAAATAGTGACATAGTGTTCGGCTATGCATATGGCGATCTGAGCACAAAATTTTTGCTGAGTGACCATGATCTGCGGTGTGCGCTTTCCAGATCCCTCATAATACGCGCAGACTTTATGACCTTTTTTGCCGAGCATGCGCCTCTCACAATCCACTATCGCCTTCTTCCCGCTAAGGAAATGATGTAGGGAACAGGTCCTGACAATGGGGCTGGCGTGAGCTTTTTTTTCGCCAGTTCGTCTGTCCGCCCGCCCGCTTGCTCGCCTGCTTGCCCGCCTGCTCGCTCGGGCAAGAGCCGTGTAGGAACCTAAATGGCACTCACGACGCATTCAGCTTGCATAGCACAATGACACACCGCCTTGTCAATATACCCGTGGACGCAAATAAATATAGAATGATGCGTGAATCCTTTATTTCTCTTCTGCTGTTTATTGGCACGCGGTTGTAAGAAGACCTTGTAAACCATGGCACACTACCTCTGTTCCTCTCGCCTGCCTCGACCCCCACCCCCCAAACGCCTGCAGGCGCAATTGTCAGATTCCACATGATTTGCGACAAAAAGGAACCACGAGTGACAATAGGCTCAAGTTCTATGCCTACATTGCAGCTATTGATTGTCTCCCGTTGAGCCGCGCCCTTTGGCTCTTGTGCGGTTCTCCTCAATTGGCAGGCTTAACGACGCTTTCTCTTCCCAAGCCTCCCCCGCCCTGTCGAGGTGCTCGGACACAAAAACTGGTTGGTGCTGGCGTTGCTGCCAAACTAGCCGACAAATATGTAGTTGGGAAAGCGGATATGCACTTATCTGCACCTACATAAATGGAGTACCAAACGCTCATATAGTTCCTGTCTCACTGCCCCAAAAAGCGGTCCATTTCTCCCCTATTCGTTGGCACGGGACATACCAAAGCTGTGCCTATCCATACATACATTAACAGAATTTCTGGCGGAAAACCAAAACAGACCTAGTGTCTCTCGCTGCTGTTGTCTTTGGCCATCCAATCTGTGCCAGGCCGTTCTGAATGCACATGTGCATCCACCCAATGGCATTTTTTCTTTTTATAATGGTGGTATGCCTATGTTGGCCACCATCTAAACAGGTTTTGCTTATGAGCAATTTAGGTCGGGCGGGCAACACGCCGGAATTTTGGTGATTGGGGTGAGCACATGGACAGACACCGTTCAGCTTGGGAATCTACACAAATAGGTGATTTGATCCACTGTGAAGACACCTCGTTGCACTGAATGTTAGGCAGTCAACGGTCGCACTCGCCCAGTAATAGAGACGAATCACAGCGGATAGCTTGGAGGTGGTATTCCTTCACATTGGTGTACCTGCTAGACTCCCAAGCTGAATAGGTGACTGGGGAGAGGGGTCCAATCCTGTTTCGGGGTGGCAAAATAACTGCGAAGGATGTTACTGTGGTGCTAATAGCGACTGTCTTATTGAAGGCCAACTTGGAATGCTCCCACTGCTCACTTTCTCAGCCCAAATGCGATTTTCATTGCAAAAACTCAATGACAACATCTGAATACAGGGTGCCCGCCAATAGCGCGGCCCCCGCATCTCCTCCAAAATGATGCAAACTGCTATTGAGTGTTGCCTGTATTTTTAGATGCCGATTCGGCAGTTGAGTCCATCCCCATCTATCGCCAAACGCGGCACCACAACCTGCTGATTTCTCTCTTGTGGATTGGTACACCAAATGCTGGCGGAACGGCAAAACATCAGCGTAAGCGGCGGAGGCGGCCAGTATAGGGCGGATGAATAGAGAAGAAAGAACCTATTCTTGCGGCGCTTGTCCGGCATGAGCGCACATTTGAGCGAGATTCCAAAACAACCACCATTAGCACAGCCAGGCATTGTGCTTGCCAGTTTCAGTTAGAATCCCCAATGAGTAGCGCTTGGCTTCTTGATTTCTGCAAGTGGGTCAAGTTATACGGGAATGGCACCACTTTTTTTTTTTATTTTGTAAGGGGCTCACGTCGCAGTTACCAATGGGTAAAAAGCTCCGAGCCCATTCCGGGCTGATTGTTCGCAACACCCCCTCCCCTCAATATTCTACTACACTTGCAAATGGCTCTCCCCCACGTTCAAGTGCTAAGGGGAGCCAGTTAGCTAGTCCCTCTCAATTTAGTATACCGTCCACGTTCAGTGTCGTTCGGTGTCTGTATATACCTGCTGGGCTAAATAGTGCTATGTCACGCTGTCCCGCCCCCTATTTCGGTTACTGATATCATTGAAGACATTTGCCGAGCTGTCCCTCGAATGATAGACTGCAAAAGTGTACCCGAACACCCAGGTTCTGGCGCTACATCGTTTTTTTTTGCATTGTAGCCGATGCAGTATCTATCTTCCGGCCCAAGGAATAACGTATCGAAAGACCAAGTAAAGGCCCGATGGTGTTCATTGTGCCATTGCCGGTGGGATTTTATAGCCGGCATGAGCTCCACAGAACGAAGCTGGATCACAAAAATAACCCGGCGGGTATTTCCAGGGCCTGCATTTACGCAGTGCCAGCACCTCTGGCGATCAGTCACGATCTTGATACCGAGATGGCGTTGTTGTTTTATGTGCCACTGCCATCAGCAGCAAGCGGCGGCTCGGCTCCTCGAGCAATTTGTGTGGAGCAGGATGATCGCCCTCGTAGTCGACTCGACTCCAAGGAAAAAACTCTGGGCATGTCTTCTTTGTGGTCCGGCTTCTGAGTGGTCTGCGCCTTTTTAAGCTCCAGCACAGTTATTTCTGCGCTTGATTCGCCAATTTCCAGTATTCTTCAGCGTTTCTCTCCCTTTTTGGTCTCACGCCTAGCCTTTTATTCCACAGTTTTGCTCTCCTTGTAACTTTACAGTAAACATTTCGGATGCTTCACAATTACGAGAGCGCCGGGTCCTGGAGTGACCCAGCACAAAACGCAGATAGCAATGGCGCAGCAGCAGCAGCAACCGCAGGCGGTGTGCTTGCCCAGGGCACGATGCTCCAAGTTGGGCAGCAGTCGTGCGCGGTAAAGCAGTTCCTCTCTGAAGGTACAGTACCAGACAGCCCAGAGATCGGCAGTGCACAATCACAGCTTCCTTTGCGAAGGGAGCATTCAAACACCCAGGCCCGAGTTGCGAACCCTTGCTCATGCTCACCACCATTGCATATTTTCACAACTGCGTTACCTAGGTGGCCATGCCAACGTATACCTGGTAACAATGATCAGCACGGGGACGACAAAGGTCCTCAAGCACATAAAGTTTGCGCACGACGAGCCCGAGCACAGACAGCGCGTCGAGAAGGAGATTCAGCTCATGGTAAGGACAGACGAATGCGCCGAAAGAAGCGCGACAAAGAGCAGGTTGTGATTTGCAGTGGGCGAAAACGGAAATAGAAAAACTCTGTTGGCCATCACCAACCAAAACAACATTCTCTGCAGGCTGTAATTTATTGGGCTGTTTCCAAAATAACGCGAAAACAATACAGCAGCACATCCTACGGTCCGCAGTGCCGGGGGAGGAGGCCGAGAAAGCACCCATTGCTAACAGACACTGTTGTTTGTAGCGTCAACTCTCGGGACACGCAAACATTGTAGCGCTCGATGACGCGGAGATTGGCGACGGGCAGGCGCTCCTGCTGATGGAGCCAGTGCCACGGTGATATTCTTGGGCTGATAAACAACCACCTGCCGCGGCACTTGGACGAAAAGACAATTCTGCACATATTTGGCGACGCGTGCAAGGCCGTCGCGCACATGCACTACCAGCGGCCACCCTGTGCTGCACCGCGATTTGAAAGTGGAGAATATCTTGGTTGGCGACAGCGACTACAAGCTGTGCGACTTTGGATCGGCCACAGACCAGCTGGTGCAACCCGACAGACGTGTGGCGCGTGACCAGGTCGTGGCGCTGGAAGAAGAAATCCAGCGGTACACAACGCTAGAATACCGCGCGCCCGAGATGATCGACCTGTATTTGCAGCGCGGCATCACTGAAAAGGCAGACATCTGGGCACTGGGCGTGCTTCTGTATAAGCTGTGCTACTACTGCACACCGTTTGACAATGCATCGCCTCTGGCCATCCTGAATGCCGAGTACTCGATCCCAGAACGGCCATCGTACTCGAAGCAGCTGAAGCACATTTTCCAGATCACCATGCGGGAGGAGCCGCGCGAGCGCTGCACAATCTACACGCTGTGTGCATATGTATGCGGACTGCGCGGCGAGCAGTGTATGCTTGAAGACATCTATGCTAGCCCTCCATCGTCGCCGGCTGGAACGCCTATGATGCACAGCATATCGAATAAGCAGCTCAAGGTCGGGGACTCCCGGCGCAGCATCAGCCAAAGCGGTATGCGGCGAAGCAGACGCCAGCTGCGGACGACTTTTGCAGACCAGAACGCGATTACCGAGCTGGACTCGGATGCAATTGTGCCGATGCGCCGTGGGCGGCCGACAAAGAAGCCCGATGCGACAGGAGCTGCCGTATCGGCGCTACCGAGTGCCAAATCAACTGCATTCGATGCGGCAACGCCACCCCCAAAGCCGGCACGCCTCTACAGTGCAAGCAAGGTTGGCTTCAAGTCAAAGATGGACTATGTTTCACCGTACCCGTCCCACATGTCGATGAGCCAGCCGACAACGCCGGTAAACCACCAGGAGACCACCAGCGGCCTGGGCATCTACAGCAAGACGGAGCGCGCATCAGGGCCGGGTAAGGAAAGCAGGGACACGTTGCCGGTTAGTGCACACACAACATTGGACGGCCTGGAGAGCCTGTCGATGGACTTTGTCGAGGGCGCTGTGTTTGGGTCGACGCGGCGGACATCAATGGTGCGGCGCAAGCCCAGCCAGCGCACCAGCGTCGCCTCCAGCCCGGCATCGGCCTTCAGCGATGTGGCCACACCCATGCCAGCCGACAATGTGCGTGGGACGCCGCATGCAGAAGCTGTGGCGCAGTCAGGGCAGCCACCGATTCTGCCAAATTTTGTTCACCAGCCCTTACCTCCTCCGCCGCAGTCCGCTGGCAGCGGGCTGGCCGCAAACAATCTCCAAGCCCATGGCGCTCAGACCGTGCAGCTGGCGTCGCCTCCCGTTTCAAGAAAATCGCTGGGTGCTCCGGACGACGCCATAGCGTCGCCATTGTCCATGGACACACTGTTGCGACAAGGGCAGCAGCAGCTGCAGACAATGCCGAGTGACGCGCAGTTTGGCGTGTCACCCAGCAACAACCTTGACGATGCATTCGACACTTCACACAATGGGTGGGATGTGCGGCAGAGCATCGGTGCGCAAAGCAACAATTCGCTTCGGCTATCGACCATTCTAGAAGCATACCAGGACATGGACCTGGGCGAGAGCGACATGAACAAGTCGGCTGTGCCACAGCCGAAGGCCCGTGTAAAGTCCATCTACGACATGACATGGGACAAGCTGGAGGGCGACAGCAACCGCTACAGCACATTGTTCGACGACCAGCTGTTCAATGCCAAGGCGCAGTATGCAAAGCAGCGCACATCGGTTTATCCAGAACCCTGAAAACTACTACAAGTCGACGAAGCCCTCGGAGGAGGCGCAGAACAGCTGGAAGTCGATGCCAGCCAGTACCCTCGACGATATGCTGAGTCGTATGGAGGAGTACAACAAGCAGCTCACACCAACCACACCGGCGGCTAAATCAGACCTGTGGGCAACCCAGCCGCCCACCCAGCCGCCCACCCAGCCACCTCCAGCACTCGCTGCGGTGCCCGAGGAGGCGGATGTGCTGCCTGTTGACACCGGCCAGCTCGATATTGACGAGCTGGTGCGCCGGGCAGGCGACCGCAACCGCAAGAAACTTGTAGCCCAAAACAACCGCCGGTCGATGTACATTTCGAACAACGCCGCATTGGCTGCAACGGCTGAGCTCCTGCCCGAGGACGTCGACGACGGGATGCGGGTTCTGTCAGACAATGAAATGGAGGATCTGCTGCAAAAGATGGACATGTACAACCGCGAGCTGCTGAACGAGCAGGAAAAGTGGCAGGCACCGAGCGAGGCTGGCATGGACGGAAAGGTTGATTTGACCAAGATCGACCAGGTGCTGGAGATGACCAACGACCGCCTGCTGCGGGAGGAGCAGCAGAACGCGATTCGCCAGAGCGAGCCCCAGGCTGCCAAGCCCAAAGCCAGCGGGCTGTTCGACAAGGTCAAGTCGGTCGCCATGGCCAAGTTTGCAAAGCCGGCTGTCAGCCCCGTGCTGTCAGCGGCTGCTGCTGAGCATGGCTCAACGCCGGTTGGCCATACCCCTGCGTCCGGCTGATTCACTGCCGGCTGCTGATCCTGTCGCTGCATCCGAGCTGCCTGCGGTTGCGGCCGCGCCACTGAAGCCTCCACGCACTTTTGCCCACACGACTGCTACCACGCCACCAGCCGAATCTGCTGCTGCTGTTGTTGCTGATGAGCCAAGCGTGCTAGAGGGAGAGGCTGGAGGCGGTGTCTGCACCCAAGGCTGAAGCAGAACCCGAAGTGCTCAAGGCTTGAAGCAGTACCCGAAGCGCCCAAGATCCAAGCAACTCCTGAAGTCCCCAAGGCTGAGGCAACCCCTGAAGTCCCCAAGGCTGAGGCAACGCTCGTGGCCAAGGAAGAACCAAAGGTTGAGCCAAAGGCTTGAGCCAAAGTCAGTGCTGGCACCCAAGTCGATGTCTACCAGCAGCCCCAGATCGACCGCCTCTACACCCAACCTGTCGTCCGCGGCCAGCTCCGGACACTCCAGCCCGAAGCCTCCCGCTAGAAAAGACAGAGTCTGCGGCAGCTGATCCGCTAGCTGAGGTGCGCGCACGGCTGAAGAAAAAGAAAAGCACACCTGTTTTGAATACGTCAGACCCGCCAGGCAGCCCCAAGAGCCCACTGGGCACATCGCTGGTGCTAAAGAACCGGGCAGCATTCCTGAACAAGCCGCCTGGGTCGCCGCTAGCAGGCAAGCCTGCAGCAGGCCGGCCAGCCAAGTCGGTCAAGAACCTTGTCTCGTTCTTTGAGACATCGTAATGATATTGTTGGTCTAAGCTCAGTGAATAAAAGCTCAGACAAGGTGATATGCCGCACATGCTGACCAAAGGCGAGCTTACCAAACTGCGGCTAAAATAGGCTCGGCATGAGCGACACAGCAAAGTAACGTGGAGGCTTCCGTCGGACTGGCCAGCCAGACAGCGGGGGTGAGGCTATAAAACCTCCAAGCGGCACCCAGCCTGCCCTGGTACGACCTGGACCACCAAGCTCACATCTTTCTTGTCACTCACCATTCAGCCCATTTCTTCAAGACCAACTGTGACTACGACAACTCGAAAATGAAATATCCACGCGATATTCTGAACTTTTTTAGGCTAGCACCGGCATTCTCTGGCAAACTCGACGGCATGTCATCCGAGAGCTGGCTCGGTATTATGCCCGCCTACGTACATGATTTTCTTGAAGGCTACCCTGACTACATCATCGTCCAGTGCCTGCAGCGCAAGCTTTCTGGGGTTGCCTATGAGACCGTCGGCAGGCGCCGTTACGCAACACCAGCACAGCTGCTGGAGGACCTGGCCAGATGGTTCCCGCAGGAGATATACAGAAAGGAGGCACAGAACCAGATTGATGCTGGCCTGAGACTGGCTAATGGCCGTGTGTATCAGGTCAGAGTTGCTGCACTTTCTGTGTTCGACAGGGCTGGTAGGAATGATGGGAATGCGGTGGAGATTTGTCGCCAGATCAGCCAGGAGTACCCAAAGATCTGGGAGAAACTAGAGGTTGATCCAGATATGGTTACGGCCGGTCGGTTCGAGCAGATGTTGGTTCGTTTCGACAGCCAGGTCCAGGAAAGCGCGATGCATTTAAGTGGCTCGCCATTTGGCCACAAGGTGTATGATAGTGACCATGGGACGGAGCCTACTCAGGAGAATGGCTGTGGCCATGGTCGCGGTCGTGGTCGTGGACGCAGTCGTGGTGGTAAGGGTAATCGCCTCTAGTTTCGTAACGGTAGCGGGCGCAGAAACGATGATTTTGACAATCGCTGCGACTATGTAATGACCAGCCCTCAGGACAGGCAGGCTGAGATGGAGGTTGCTGAGTAGCGCCCTTTATTCACTTCGCTTTCCAAATTATCAATAAATTCATCTGGCTCGAGCCCAGCCAGACCGGTGCACCACCACGCGTCGTGGCGCAAAAAGCTCTGATTTGGCTGTTTCTCCCGGTGCTGCCAAAGCGTAAACAAAGCTCTCGGCATTGCTTTTCTTTTCCTGAATTGGCTCGAATTTTCAGCGCACCAGACTTATTTGCATTAGACACAAAGAGACAATAGCTGAAAACGCAGCAACATGTCGCTGAAGCCGTTCAGAATACCAGAGACGCGTCTGATAGTGGCCAGCGATCTCGTGGTACAGGTGACGTTGACGTTCCGGACAGACGACGACGAGGAGCTGAGCTACCGGTACGCGCACGACATGGAGCTGCAGTCTCTGGTGCAGACATCAGTAGTATCACTAGTGAACTGCGGATACACCAACGGGGTGGCTCGGGGACCCGGGTTCGTGCTGCACCAAATGCGCAAAAAGTGGCCGATAGGTAAGCGGTACATATTCACGCGCGACGGCGAGCCACTGCATTCGAGTCAGCACAAGTACTTCTTCCAGCTGGAGTTCGTGGACGACCAGCAGACAAGTGACCAGGTACCAGCTCTAGAGGTTGTGGAGCTGCGCGGAGCCCCGGTGTCGCCGAGCGCATCGTCGATTGCGGGATCGGTGATTGAGGGGCTGGACGCGCTGCCGCTGCCACCAGTGGCGCCTCTTGGATATGGAGAGCAGCTGGACGAGACTGCATATAATGGACTGCAGGCTCCTGTTGTTGAAAGAAGACGCGGGTCGGATGTGTCTATGCGCGGGGCAGCGTCTCCGGGAATCAGAAATCAGCTCATGGCGCGGGACGGCGAGGCAATGGATGTATCGCCACGTAGTGCTGGTAGGGTGCGCCGGCTTGTGCAGCATTCGATACAACAGCCAGCGCATTTCTCACCACGGCAGCCGCAGCAGCCAGCGCATTTCTCACCTCGGCGGTACCAACCGCAGTCGCCGCCAACGAGCCCCCGGCTTCGGCGTCCGACCTCCCGAAGCAGCACAGTGTCTATGAGCGAGCCCCGAAGCGGTCGGCCGCCGGTTCCTCCTGATGGAGCAGCCCAGAGAACGCCCGGCAGCGCACACCAGAGACAGCGCCCGGCCCATTCGAGCTGGTACCGGCCATTGCATGGGGTTTCGCCATTGTCCCGGCAGCCCAAATCGCTGAGCAGTGAAGTTGAGTTTCTGTCGGCGCGGGAAGAAAGCTTCCAGGAGAGCAGCCATGAGATTCTGCGCGACCCACATGCCATAGGCGACGCTCAGCCGCGGGAGGCCGTGACTAGCAAGTTCAAGCGCAAGATGCTTCATCCGGTTGACCTGCGCAGATCCAGTCGTCGCCGCAGCAGCCTGTCGCGCGAAATACCCGTGCTGGAGTCCGATACGGATGTCAATACCAGCGATTTCACGAACATCGATACGCCAGCAGCCCCAACGCCCGACAGAGGCAGCAGCCTGAAGGTTAGAATGCTGGCTGCTCCGCAGTCGCGGATCTCCAGGGGGTCTTTGCGCAGTCGCGGGCTAAGCGGCGCCAGCCAGCAGAGCAGAGCATCGACCAACTCGCACCACCGGCAGACCGAAGATGAGGAGGACGGGCAAGCGAGCACTGTGGCGCTGACAGGGACGGGCTCAACGTCGTCTGTGGGGTCGGTAGCAGCAAGCCCTCATTGTCAGGCAGAGCTGCCGCACTCGCCCCCAGTGTCTAAACCGCCGCGCGCTGCCCCGACAAGGGCCATGACGGCGTCTGATATCCAGCCGACCAAGAGCTCGTTGTGGAGCCGGCTGCGAGCGCCGTTTGGCGGACGGGTAGACAAATCGCCAATCAGGCCCAGTGTACGCGAGCGCATTGCTGCGTTCAACTCGATGGACCAGCTGGGTACTGACAATAGCCACACATTCGCTGCCAGACCGCAAAGCACAGAAAGCACATATGCGTTTATCGGCTCCAATTCTCGCAGGTCGTCGCTGATATCACCGGTGGGCGTGCGGGCGGAGAGCCGTACCGGCGGCTCGACCCGCACAGCCTCGCCAGCGCAGTCCAATACCAGCATGGTGTCGGCGCGTGTGCAGGAGGCTATCAATCTGTTCACAGGTACCACTCCCGACAAGGACACTGGTGCGCTGGTTGGTGGCAGAAGATCGGCTACTAGTGGAGTCAAGCATGCAAAGCCCGTCGATTATGATGATGATTTCATCTCACCGACCAAGCGTCAGCGAGCACATACGCAGGACGAGTATCGCATGGCGTATGCTAGCAATAAGCCAGACCGATCCATGGGCGCATCGTCGGGAGTCGGTGGACTGAACCCCGTCACGCTGGTCCAGCGCATGGCCCAGCGCTACCCACGCCCGTAGCATGCTGTGTCTGGTTTTAGTAATGTCTGGTGAATATAGCTATTTTGCGGAACCCTGCTTCCTACTACGTTGCATCCGAATGCGGTTTGACGACGCGAGTCTGCTGCTCAATCATGCGCTCAGTCGAGTATCTCTCGGTGCCCAGACGGTCGGGCGGTACTGCATTCATGAATATGTTGATAGCTGTCGCGACATCGTGCTCGTTTACCTCGGCCATCTGTCGACTAATGCCCTGTGTCTTCATCTTGCTTGCGCAGGGAATCGACGTGGCTTGCATGACAAACAGCCTGTACTTGTGGACGCGGAACATCCGGTCGTGCAGCACGAGCCTGGCCACGTAGTTGCGCCTCCTCAAGAACATGTGCATGGCCCAGAACCGTGGCCGCACGGTATTCAGGTATTCCGGCGTGAACCGTGGCTTGTCGACGAATCTTATAAATGCCTTTTCCAGCGCAAAGAACCCGAGGTCAATGAAATGACGGTGGTTCAGGAACTGGACTACCGTTTGGCTGACAATGCGTTGCTGGAACCCTGCCGAATCTACAGCTGTGTGGCCCAGGATGTGCTGGAACAGCCGAATGAGCCACCGCCGGCTTTGTGCTGCCTTGAGTAGCTGCTGCTCGTAGAATGCCTGCATCACCATGCTGCTTCTGCTGCATCTGGATGTCAGCGATGGCGGAATATCCCCGAATATGTTGGCTGCTAGCTTATTTGCGCCCTTATCGCCGGTGCCAGCCATGTGTAAGTAGAAGATTGTCAGGGCCTCTACAGGTGGCTCGATACCCCGGCTAAGGTATGTTGCAAGCAGTGCACGTCTGGTCAATCTGAACGCGTGTAGTGGATCGGTGTACCGAACTGGCCCATAGGAAGATGTACGCGATGCGAGTGGGGTTAACGTAATGTAATGATCCTTGTTTCTCGGGATACCATTTTTATCCGCGTAATGAACCATCGAGATGTTGCGAAGGATCATGGTAAGCTCATGGAGCAGTACCAGCACCCCCTGCGGGCCTAGCGTCGTCGACTTGCGTAGCAGGGTGTTCACCAACATCTCTACAGGCTCGGTCGATTGCACCCGGAACGCCCAGGCTCCAGCTTCAGAAACCAGTGCCTTTATGAGGTCAGCATCTAGCGAGTCGCTCAAGCCGAGAATCTCTCCAGCTCGCATATAGTAGCCGGCGAATAGCTCTCTAACTCCAGGTATGTCCATATTGTAACGCAGGTTTGGAATAAAGAACGCGGTCACCGGAAGCCTCTTCAGCTCTGAGCTAGGCGTATGTGTCTGCAGTCTGATCTCGAGCTCGTCTGCTAAAAGTGACACCATGACATTGGGCTGTCGAAACGCTAGCAGTTTGCCTGCCAGCGACACGTATTGCGCGTAGTTTCTCGTTGCGATTGACCGGACCAATTCCAGAGCATCAGAATCCCTGCCAGTCGCGAGTATTTCCGCGATAATGGCTGGAAGAGCAGTAAGTGGCCACTCTGCGCTGGTCGACATATGCGACGCGAGGCCAACCAAGTTGCGGGCTTTGGCATGCTGGCCCTGCGCAATTAGAAGGTGAGCCAGAGCAAGCAGTGTCTGCCACTGGCTAGCACCAGGCGCAGGTGATCCATTTGCCTGAGCAGTTGCGTCATGGGATCGCGCTAGCGATGCCCGGATGCCATACGGAATGACGGTCTCCTCTTCGCGCATCGCCGCAATGTAGAATGCAGTTGCAACCCGTGGGCTTGCTTGCACCACCTCTGCAGACCTTTTGTGCAAGTCAACAAGCATCTCCCGACCAATAGACCTAGGTGACTGAACCACTTCAAGCAGTAGATCAACGTCAGCCTCCGCAAACCGAAGAGGCCGCAGTTCAGACGCATACTTATCAACGCTGGCCCCTGCTCTGTACGCCAGAAAGCGAAGCAAACTCCACAGCGTATTGTCTGTCGGGTGTCCGGTCCGCCACGCAATCTCTTCTATGATGCCTGCTGTATCGCCTATCTCCTTATGCCGCCCTTTTGCTCCTATGAACAGCCTGACCAGTCGATGTGCACATTTATCAAGCAGCTCAGCCGATACTCCGGTTGGCTTCATCTGCCGCACGCTATCGTCAAGCATCCGCTTCAGCACCGTGTGCAGCCTACCAATCGAGCGTATGGCTAGTGCGTGCGTCAGAAACTGCGTGTATGTCAGATATACGGGCTGTGCATGGGCCCAAGCTACTTTCTGCTTGACGTGCAGCTTTGTCAGCCGCGTCTTCGCAGTCCCTCGCACGATGCTCTTTGCGAGCGGTGATCGGTTAGCGGCAGCTATGGATGCGATCCGCCCATGCACACTCGTTGCTGGTACCAGTGCCCGCGATAGCCGTTGCATTTACGTGAAATTGGCAGGCGTACTGAGGGAATTTGGAAAAAGGAATGTACGAGGAGAAGAGCAGGAAACAGACCGATTCATGATCTAGTTCTTTTGGCAGCCAATGTAAGCAGGCTCGGCTCAGTCCCCTTCGGCTCGGACATCTTCAGACACTACTACACGGCTGGTCATGTCGGGCATGATGTACATTTGCACACCTCTAGGGTGAATATCTGCTTGCAATATTGCTGTTGTAATTAGAACTTGAATACATCCCGTTGCCGGAACCCCAGCTCGCGTAGAATCCCAGATAGCGGCCCTTGGCTCGGTCCAATTGGCCTCAATCCACTGACACACTTCATCATTGGGTCCGGGCCGCTGACCAGCACGATATCCTTGCCCCCGGTGAACCCCTTGGTAAAGTCCCTGAGCAGCTGCGGAGTCGGATATCCAACAAGAGGTAACTCAGTTGGGCCCTGGTCGACCATGTACCAAATGTCGAGCCTGTCCTTGTGCTCAATCGCCATCTTGTCCAGCTGTTCCCGATATATTATGTCCTTTTCTGTCCGTGATCCATACAGCAGCGAAATCTTCGTGTCCTTGTCCTCCGGGTTCTTCAAGACCCGGTCAATAAGCTGGTACATGGGTGCAATGCCTGTCCCACCAGCAACCATGTATATATGCTTATGCTGGCCAGGCTTATACGGCATGGTCAGGATCGGTCCGCGCATCTCGACCTGGTCTCCAACCCGTGTCCCATGCAGGAACCGCGACAAGCTACCGCGGGGATACCGCTTGACGACCAGGTCAACGTACCCGTGCGTGAGGCAGTTTCCTCATCGACTTCGCCATCCATGTGCATATCAACAGGCGTGTATGTGCGGTACGTTTGTACCATGTGGTCCTTGACGTCGATGGCCCAGGCGCCCGACTGAATGATTTCGTCGACAGTGTGCTCGCGCTCTCCATCATGTCGCGGACGGTTGATGCGGAACCGGAACCGCATAGTGTCGTGGGTCAGCTTCTCTTTTTCGAGCAGTGTGAAAGGCGTGTATGCGGTGGGCGTCAGGCACTCTTTCACTTCTGGCTTCAGCACGTCAGTAAAGCGGTTCAGACCATACAGGAGAGCACACGTCGCTCCAATCGCCTCCATGGCCCAAATCGTGTATGTACCGGGCGGCTTGTCGCCATTATTCCGTATTCTGTCTTTGGCTTCTCCTCGGGTTTAACTGGCTTCTCCTCGTGGTTTGTTGGCTGATCTCTGGGTGCTGATGCAACGAACCGGCGACTGCTCACCACCATAGACCGCATAGTTGCCCTGCGGGCCATGGCGGGGAAACCCACCCGTGTGGACAAAAGAGAGCGAAGCATACGGCAGAGTTTGAAGGGCTGATAGGGTGTAGAGAAGAGCTGGATCGCAAAAGTCGTCTAGAAAGCGCCCAGCAAGATAAGCGCCGCTGGACAATAATTTGCAGCTGCAAACCGGATCAGCGCTGCTGATTACTTTGGCGGCTCATCGTCACCAGCACAGCAGCGTGTTTTGACTGGGATGTTTTGTTGTTATTTCTCTGAACCACATATTTTTATCTACTTTCATACTTGTACTTCTTTCTTTTTCCTCTTTGCCATGTCAACCAGCACTGCCTCAAAGTACGCCAATTTACCTGACATTGACCGCGAGCAGCCGGACGTGTATGAGACTCCTGATGTGCCGCAAGATGAGATGAATTTGGACGAGCCCGAGGTGCCGGTGTCCGAGGATATCTCGACCTCGGCGGTTTCCTGTCAACAATGCTGCGGCACGCTTCCGCCTAGCGTCTGGCGATGTGGATAGTGCAACAGCACTGAAAAAGTACCAGAGCTCGCTCCTGCGCACCCTGCAGCTGGAGTCGCTGTCTGGCGACCTGGAGGTATCGTCGCAGTCGGCACTGAGCGAGACGCCCGAACAGAGGCTGCGGCGGCTGGTGTTTGAGACGCAGGAGCTGCGTGCGCAGCTGGAGCAGGATGGGAACGGGAAGCAGGAGAAGAAGGCTGTTGCTCTGATGCAGCTGGCCAGTGGGCTGCAGGAAGAGCTGGGCCAGCTCTCTGTCAAGGCTGAGGGAGGATCTAGCCAGGCACGCGCCATATGGGATCAGCTAGGAGAGCGCTCCAGAAGCCCCGGCTAAGCGACCGGTGCGGGCAGTCGGCGGCCAGGACGTGGCGGTTATGGAGAAGCGGATTGCGGCACTGGAAAAGACACTGGGCGCAAAGGATTCGGCGACGGGCCCAGCGCTGGTTGACGCTGTAGCGCGCCTGCGGCAGCAGCTGGATGTGATTGCGGACCCGCAGCGCATTGAGGGTATCCAGAGGCGCGTCAAGCAGGCGCTGATAGATTTTGACCGGCTGGATCATGCGCAGACGCAGGCGATTAAGGCAGCTGAGGGCGAGCGCAGCGCGGGCCTGGATGCCAATGCGGTGAAGCGCATTGATGAGCTGTACGAGAAGTTCTCCAACATTGACTCACTTGTCGAGCTAGGCACCGGCCACGGCACAGCGGCTCCAGTCGCTGGCGACCCTGCACGTCGAGGCATCCGAGGCAGTCGCGCGCATCGGGAAGATCGAGAAGGAGCAAGGCAGCATGACCGAGGAGCTGTCGACTGTCAAGGAAATCGCTAGTAGTCTGCGCGACTCGATCTCCGAGAACACCAGCACACTGAAGGAAAATGTCAAGTACCTGGACGACCGCATTGCCAAGCTTAATGAACGCATCTCGGCTTTATAAACCTGACGTTTTTCTGGGGCTCCATTTCAAAAGTAATACCACATGTTAAGACATCTACAGGCTGAGAGGGCTGTGCGACTCGATAGACTTGAGATCGATGTGCTTGAAGCGCTCCGGGTTGCGCCGGTACATCTGTGCAAAGGGGCATTCGCCAGGGATCTCAACCTCCAGTGGATTGGTGTCCTCAGCCTTTGCTGGCTTGGGCAGTTCGGCGAGGATGGTGCTGAGCGGCGTCTTGATCTCAAGCGCGGTGGCATTATCACCCCAGAGCCACGCTTGTGCAGCGTTGAATTCAATCTCCAGTGCACTGGAGAACTCGAGCGTACGCGCGCGCTGTAGTGCTGCGATTCGCAACTGGACCAGCTCCCTGCCCTTTTCAGAAGCCGCAAATGCCACGTACTGCTCTGCCCATGGCTTGTTGAGCGCCGTCAGCTCGCAAATCAAGTCGTCAACGCTCTTGGATCCACTGGCCAGTGGGGCAAAGTACTCGGCGATCTCGCGTCTCCATACCTGCACCTTGGACGGGCCAGGATACGAGGACTCTACTACGTATGCCTTGCGCAAGGCACCGCGAGTGTGCGGTGGCGGGCAGGACGCTGCCATCAGAATGCGCTCCATGGCTCCCTCCAGTTTCCGGTGGGCAATGAATCCATGGCTCAATCCAAGCGCCGCCAGCTCACTGCTGCGGAGCACTAGATCCGGACGACACAGAATGTACTCCACCGTGCCCTGCTCTGCCGCCAGGTGTGCCCAGTCAAAAAGCGCCGGAACCACTGCTGAGCCCTCATCAGCTACGTTCTCGGGGAACAGCCTTGTCGAGAAGTACTCGGTTGTGATCAGCTCGGCCGTTGACAGGACTATGCCCAGGACGCTGGCATCGACAGACCCGCTAGCAAACACAACCACTGGCTTGGCGCCGTTGATCCTGCGCAGCTCAATCTGCAGGGCAATAGCCGCCTTCAAGGCTGCGGAGCCATCCTCGCCTGGCCCAAGCGCAGGCAGGAATACAGGCGTGCCGTCAGAATCAGACCCAAGGCTGCTGCGCACAATAGCCAGCGCATAGTACTGGTCCTGGTATGCCTCTTTAGCTTCGTCATGAATCCTGCCCAGCACTGCCGCAGAGAGCCTCACTGTTGCGCCGTTGTCAACGAAGTCAGCAATATCGATAATCTTGACGTTGGCGAAGTTTTTGGTGTTGGCTGACCCAGGTGCCTTGTCCTCATCCCACAGGTGCTGGTACGGACAGACCGGCTTGGGCTTTGTCGCCTCCTTGAAATCAACATACGCCTGGTAATCGAGTTTCTCAACATTCTCGTTGTAGTACTTTGCCTTAGCCCGTGTCATACGTGTATCGAGTTCATGCTTGCTCACACCGTCAGTATCATATACGTCGCCCAGCATCGCATTGAATCCAGGTGCAGTCGAAAAGTCGTATGCTTCGAATCGATCATACAGCTTGTGCTGGTCCGACTTTTCTGTCTCATCGATGATCCCCATGGTACGAAGCCAAGCACGCAGCCGTCCAGGGTCAATGGTGGTGTCAACTGTGGAGGTGAAGTAGGCCATGCGCTCGGTTAATGAGGCCTGCTCGAGGCTCACCGTGTTCCACTCAAACCTGTAGTACTGATGGTACTGCTGCAGCTCCTCCGTGCTGAATTCGCAGCCTTCAACCTGAGTAATTCGAGAAGACATGTTTTTGGTAAAGTACAAATAATAGCGGTAGGGATATCGGAGCAAAGATTGATGAAAGGAGACTAGAGATAGGTGCAGCATTTAAATCTTGCGGGCTATTATTAATGCAGCTAGAAAATAGCCGCAGTCTGTGGTCGGTAAAAATTAATGAACCGCAATGCTCTATTTGGATGTCGAGACTGGCTGACAAAGCATATCTACGAAGTTGAACACCGTCTAAGCGGATGTGGGGACGGGTGAGGGAGCAGCATCGCTAGCATCGGCAGTCGGACGGCTATGCGTACGCGAGTGACTCGGGCGACCGCTCTTGCTACGGACGGGGCGGCTGTGTTCCTCGCCACCACTCTCCTCACCGCTCTTGCTGTGGCGACCATGGTGACCATAGTGGCCACGGGGGCTGCTGCAGTGCTCAGATCCACTAAACTCCTCATCATCCTCAAGGTTGCTCTCCTCACCGCTCTTGCTAAGCCGGGTATGGTGCTTGCCACCCTTGCCGTGGGAACCAGTGGGACCAGCATGGACATCGAAGCCGTACTTACCACCCTGATGGAGCTGACTAGCGGAGACACGGCTGTGGTGCTCACCATCTTCGGAGGATTCCTCAGAGTCGCTATGGTTATGGCTGTGGCAGCCATGGGGGCTGTGGTGGCCATGGTGGCTGCCACGGCGCTTGCCGTTTCCGCTGTAGGGGTAGTGCTCGTCATTCTCAGAGCTGCTGAACTGCAGATGGTCGAGATCACCGAGGACAGTAGGGAAACCACTGGGGAGACCAGTAGGCTGACCAGCAGAGAACACGCTGGGGAACACGCTGGCTGAACGGCCAGAATTGAACCAGCCGATCGGACTAGCAACAGAGGCGGCGGCAAAAACTGAGGCGAAAATGATGGAGGCCTTCATTTTAGTTGTAAATGTATCGGCGATTGGAAGAGGGTTGGTAGAAATGCAGCTATTTGTAAAAATATAGACCAGCTATATTTTGAAATGAACGGGGAAACGTAAAATTGGTGAGATGTAGGGAATCACTAAAGGAATGAGTGTTGGGTTTTCCAACATTCTGCTATCACCAGAGAGCCATTTTATATTCGCTAGCACGATGGATGCAAACACACAGGTAAGGCATGGTCGAGTGCCAATTCCTTAGGAGTGTCTGTACTAAAGGTTGCCAGCAAGTGTATGCAAATTAAACATACCTGGCAAACTGACATTGCAGAAATCACCGGCCTGCTGGACCTGTCCCAGACCGTTAGCACTACAAATGATCCTCTCTGTTTACGGTTTCTTGGCAAAAACCACCATTCTTACAGCGCTCCTATCGCAAACTGCAAAGCCGCTTATGCAATACAGCTTCTATCTACTTTAGTGTGCTCCACGAGGCTGGTTCGTCGTCCAAACGACCACATGGACCCACCTGGAGGCACCTGGACGACGATCGCTGCTTTGGCTTGCCTCATTTATGTGTAGGAACGTGTGCCTTCCAGTTCTGCCAAGAGTGATGCAATAGAGACGATTTTCGGTGAGCCGATCTCCACGCCGCTGTATTCTGCTCTCTCTCTCTTTTATTTTTATGAGAAATGCCAAGTGTGAACACTGCTAGCGGCGCATACATTTTTGGATTGAGGGGCTAGGCAGAAGCGAAATGCGCTCCAAAACTGGAGGAAGTGAAAGGCAAGTCTGAAGTTTGGATTCTGCATTCTGCATTCTGCATACAAGCAGGCAGACTAAGCGAGGATACCTTTGAGCATATGACGGATTGCAAACATAATCGCCCTCAAGTTAAAGAGGTCTTCATAAAAGTTTATTGCCAATGCATCTACAAAGCAGTGAGACCTCATTCCGTTGAAAAACTACAGAGTCCAGTTGAAGTCTGTAAACATGCACCGTATACTGAGATCAGGACTCACTAGTAGACAGGCTCGTAAGTGTTGTAAGCGCCGCCTGTGGGGACAGTATTGCCTTGGCTGTAGTTGTTCAAATCCCGTGTCATCGACGGATGAGCCCTGCTGTGCCTTGGCTGTCCACGGCAGCGCCCCCGATGCCCGCAGTTCTTTTTGATCTGGTCAATCTTGCTTTGAATCAACTCAACCACATCTGACGGAAGGTTGGACGGAAGATCAATAGTGTCACCTCCCTCGCAGTCATCCTCGACAGATGTAGCTGGGCCGTCTGTTGGATAACTACTACCTCCAGCGGAAGTAACCCCGCTGGCAACATCGGTGTATGCGCCGCCAGAGGCCTCAGGGGTGGGGTTCTCACCAGTCACATATGCCGACGGCTCGGCTGTAGTAGCAGCACTGGCGACGCTAGTATAGACATTGCTCGAATCCTCGGGGCCTAAAGTATCACTAGTAGTGATCACGTTGGTAGCATCGGTGTATGCGCCAGTAGAGGTCGCAGGGGCGGGACTCTCACCAGTCGCATATGCAGACGATTCGGCTGCAGTGGTAACTGCGCTGCCAACATTGGTATATACGTTGCTCGATGCCACTGCGCTTGAGTAGACACCAGTGTCAGTGGGTGGGATCCCGGCGGAGGAATAGCCATACGCTCCAGCAGGGCTGGCCATAGATGCGGTGGCGAAGATAGAAGCAAAAACGATGGAGGTCTTCATTGTTCGGATATTGAGCGTGCCTGATAGTCTGCGGATATCTAGATGGGTAGGATAGTAGTCCAGCTATAGCCTTACGGATGTGTGTGTATAAAGAAAAATGCAAAAGAAAAGATGCGTGTGGACTGTGTGATAAGTTTATGATCTAGTTGCTGCTAGGCCACCAGGCGGCTCTGTTTTATAGCCTGAACCTCATGTGCCTAGTCTGCACTGCTGCTTACAATACGGGCACAGATCTTGATATTTTTAGAATTCGGTATTCGCAGTCCGTAGGCACTTGGGTCTGACGCAACAATGATCTGCTACCACCAGATCATCTTTAGTCTATACTATAGCCTACACAGCTACAGTATGCGTCTGCATTACATCATGTGCGGATTATATATTTAATCCTAGCCGTTGTGTTCGGGGCTGAAGCCAGCTATTATTAGCATGTTCTTGCACCACGCAGAGTCTTGACCACTCCCTTCTTAGTGACTCTAACAGGCGCCGCTTGATGTGAACCTGGGTTTGTATAGGAAGACTAGAATGCATCGAGGAGCCCTGTCAATGCTGAAGGCATTGCTCGAATAGTATCGGGTGTTCCATATTGCCATCCTTATGCCCATCAGCATGTGGTCGGGTCCTATTTTTAGGGGATCTGGTTGTGAATACAAATGAGTGATAGTATGGCAACTGCATAGTGAAAGGTATAGCAGATTGCACCAAATTTGGCATTCGCTGGAGATGTTTTGTATTGAATGACATTGGTCTGCAGCAACAAATGGAAGCATACTTATGTTTACAGCGACAAATAGGGGCTGTCAACACATGACGCTGCCTACAGGCTTTGCCCTACATTATGCGATTTAGTCTCTGACATGAGTGCCGGTGGGCTTAGCGTGGTACACGTTGTCAGTGGGAACACCGAAGTTGGTCCAGTACGAGGGGCGACCATGGCTGTTATGCGAGTGAGGGGAACGGGAGTGGCGAGAGTGGGGGTGACGGCTATGGCGCGAAGGGCGGGAGCGGGAGTGACGGTTGCGGCGTTCCTCGCAAAGCTTCTCGACCTCGGCAATCTTGCTCTCAATCAGCTCAATGACATCTGAAGGGAGGCCAGATGGGAGCTCGATCTCAGGGAAACCGCTCTCCTCATCATTGGACCCGTCGTCGGATTCAAGCTCGCTGAGCTCGACATCCGAGGTGGCAGGAATATCGGTAGGAAGCACAGTCGGATAGTCGGTGGGGATAGTGGTAGCGTCGGTAGTCTCCTCAGCCGAAGAATCAGCAGCCGTTGTGATATCATCAAGGACAGAGCTGGAGTCCCCAGCAGACGAGTAGTCAGTAGGAATGGCAGTGGTCTCAGCGGCAGTCGACTCGATAGCAGTGGTCTCGGCAGCAGACGAGTAGCCAGTCGGGATGCCGCTAACATCGGTGGTCTCAGCAACAGTCGATTCAACAGCGGTCGACTCAACAGCGGTCGACTCACCACCGGTGGTCTCAACAGCGGTGGTCTCGACAGCGGTGGTCTCAACAGCGGTGGTCTCGACAGCGGTGGTCTCAACAGCGGTGGTCTCGGCAGGAGTCGACTCAGCAGCAGATGAGTAGTCGGTCGGGATGCCGCTAACATCGGTGGTCTCAGCAACAGTCGACTCAACATCGGTGGTCTCAACAGCGGTGGTCTCAACAGCGGTGGTCTCGACAGCGGTGGTCTCAACAGCGGTGGTCTCAACAGCGGTGGTCTCGGCAGGAGTCGACTCAGCAGCAGATGAGTAGTCGGTCGGGATGCCGCTAACATCGGTGGTCTCAGCAACAGTCGACTCAACATCGGTGGTCTCAACAGCAGTGGTCTCAACAGCGGTGGTCTCGACAGCGGTGGTCTCGGCAGGAGTCGACTCAGCAGCAGATGAGTAGTCGGTCGGAATGCCGCTAACATCGGTGGTCTCAACAGCAGTGGTCTCAACAGCGGTAGTCTCAACAGCGGTAGTCTCAACAGGAGTTGACTCAGCAACTGATGAATCAGCACCAGTGGTCTCAGCGGCTGTGCTTTCCTCAGCTGAAGAATCCGCAATGGATGAGTAGTCGCTAGAGTCGTCCTCCGAGATGATGGAGGACTCATCCTCTGAAGAGGAGTCAGCGGCAGTAGTGATCTCATCGAGGACGGAGCTAGAGCCAAGGGTGGGGAACGAGCTCGGAGCAGCGCTGGAGATATCGGTGGGATAATAATCGCTGGGAATTGCAACAGTCGAATAGCCGCCCGCAAAGCGTGCCTGGTTGGCAATGTTGATGGGGGTGGCCATGGCCGCGACAGCGAGAACAGTGGAAAGGACGATGGAAACCTTCATTATTATGTAACTGGCGTTATTTTGGTTTCGTAAGGATGCGAGTAATTCTTCAAGAATATAGACCGGCTATATCTTTAAGATGTAGGAGGAATGTAAGAGAGAGGAAGGGGAAGGGTAATGGAGCGGAGCACCGTGGAACGAGTGATGACTTGCTAGCATTGCCGGGTCTCTCGACGCCTCTGTTTTATAGGCAGAGACTCGTTGGTTCCATCGGCCGCGGTACTGGCCAGAAAGAAGAGGATTCCACACGAGTTTGTTGGTGTTTGAGTTCATGGGAATGTACACATGCACTGCCTGTGATAGATTGCGACACTATTGCGATCTGCAACCACCGGACCGCTTGGGGACCACGGTTTGCTTAGCTGTGAGCACAATTTTATCCCCATTTGTGTGATACACGATGCATGTGTCGTAATGTTCGCCTGCTCGTGCATTTGACTACTCAACAAAGCGGTGTGTGGGTCGTGAGAGCAACTACACATGAGCACGGTATGAACTATTTATAGCAGGCGATCGTTGCTTAATGCTTTCCTGGTTCAAATCGATTCTGAACTCTAGAGAGTTTATTGTTCCACACTACCAATTGTTCAAACAACTTTGTTTTTATTACATCATTGATAATGCAAGGTACATCCCCGCGAGGTGTCACCGAGTTGGGGTAGCCTTGTCTTCACAGGCCAGCAGAACAGCCCCTTTGGGTTCCAGAGCGGCAATGCGCTGCACGATGATGGAAGTGATTGTATAAAGCAACCATAAAAGAAAATTCCTTGAACCTAAATTACAATTAACTAATTTTCTACTTGTGATGTAAACAGCAGTGCGACTTGGTATTGGTGAGCTGGAGCAATTACGCAACAGCATGAGAAGCGGTCAGAACGGTCAGAGCGGCGGAAAGAAGTGCTCTTTAATCAAGTGATCACGTGCAGCAAGCAGATTTGAGAACAACTCGCCACACACATTGCACTTGAATGCCTGTGGAATTGTCGGCCGATGAATTCTGAAATCCATAGTGATAGGGGATCTTTAAGGTTGTGCTGTGGGGGAAATGTAAAATGTATAAAAGGCAATTTGGTGGTCCGGCGACGGAGATTGCAGACTGCCCTTTTTATGCCTATCTGTGATCGATGCCCAGCCCGTCCGCTCGGCAAGGGCCACTGGTCGGGGATATTTGTCATCAGAAAAATATATTGGTCAGTTGCCTCCAATCGCGCCCCACTGGTCGAGTTCCCTCAAAAATAGCTTGCACCCGCCAACAATCCCAGTGAATCCCGCTTATATTGGCTCTGCGCAGGAATTGCTTACAAACCAACCCCGCACTACAATCAAGACCGACTAGATTTTGCACTATCCTCATTGAAGACACGACAAACCAACTCCAGACACTGAACCAGGGGCTGCCTTTCGTGGGACACAGAAGCAGCGCCAAGTGGTCCGCCTCTGAGAACCTCTAGTTGTTAAATGGAGACTCTATCCCTGGTTTCCTGGGCAGATTCAGAAGGCAAATAACACCCCACCGCCTATGCAGGTAGCTCATTTGGATGCGTCATTTCTACGTGCTGCGTGCAGATGATTGATATACAATACCTCCCAACACCTGCCAGCTGGTAGAGGGTCAGGTAACTCTGAAAGTTTAGGACTGTATCAAAATTGAATTGCACCTTTTTGCCTTTAGAAAAATTATATTGAGCTCGTTGACCGACAGTGTAGTAAGGAAGGACCAGTCGGCGCTCAACGTCCATTCTGTTCAACAGGTTGGTAGGCTGGAGAGGCATTGGTAGCATTGAGAGCAGTGTACAGGCTCTACGAGTTCTCCAGCGGGGGGAAGAAGTGTAGAGTGCGCACATGCTCAGTGGCAGCAGTATTGGAGACGAAGCTGGTGTTACAGTAGGGGCAGGTGTCCATGGCTTGTAAGTGAAGCGTAGATGTCGTAGAGGTAACAGGGGTGGTATAGTTTTGGGAATTGGAAATGTGTAGTAAGTGCGAATGGTATAGACAAGGGCTGAAAAGCGGCTCAGGAGATCTAGATGAATGCCCGTCCTGTTTACTGGGGGTCCAGGCTTTATAAACAGCACCACAGAACAAACCAGTACCCGTCAACTGTTGCTCCTTGATTTCTGCTGAAAAGAGGAAACCAGAATGACAAGGGAAATCAAACAAACCACCCAATCTGTCAAGGCTTAGGCTCCTGTGCTCTCTTGTCATTCCTTGTAAGGTAGCCAACACCCTCCCAAGACCACTTAAACGACCAGCCCATAAACCTTGTCAGTCAAATGACCAGGCCCGATTGTAGCGACAGCATGTTGCAGTAGTTAAGTGGTGTTTGGATCCAGCCCAGGTATCAACTAAAGCTACTTACATTGCCAAATTGAGAGAAAACGCGGTGCTGATATGTGTCTATCTGGAAGCCTGCACGCTCCATGCCAGTTTCCTTTGCAGAGATTCAAGTGGTGAGTTAGTGCCACTAATTATGACAGCGCTGGGTGCTGGATATGTCAACTGCAGGCTGGATGAAATGAATTCTCTTGGCAAAATGCTTTGACAATAGAGACCCTAAATTACATTGAGCGCATGGCAAACGATGGGCTGTGTAGACCTGACTACTTGTCAGTTTTTAGCAACTGAGCTATGGGCCAGCATCGCTCATGCTCAGGATAGGCATACAGCCATTGAGTTTACGAGTGCGGCATTTTTAGCTGTGTCTATGCGGCCTGCCCCATGGTCTGAGATTTGGGATCAGGACGCCCAGATTAGCGCCTCCCAGCATCTGCTCTATGACCTCAGCGAACGCACTTGCGTCACATGCTCCATAGTATTTTTGGACCATTAGCTGCATATATGGGCATACACGCTGCATGTGTGGGAAGCAGCAAAAGTAGGGACAGCGAGTTTTACGCAAGCGGCTAATGGCCTGCTTCCTTGTTTTCTTTCTTACCAATGAAAGCCTTGATTATTTCCATACACTATCCATTTGACTGTTCAATATGAAATTCACTATTGTTGCTTCTGTAGCTGCTCTAGCTTTTGCCGGGCATGCTGCGGGCAAATCCGGTGTTGCTATTCGTCTAAAGGCAACTCCCCCGGAGCTGTTCAGCCCGTGCCTCAAGAACCCGTGCCCGTCTGGCAAGGGCTGTGCTGAACTTCAGCCGGCCTGCCTTGTTGGCCCGTGCTTCCCAGAGGTCAAATGTATTTAAGTTAACTGGCGTTACCCAAATAAAGCCACTGCCCTTTACTGGGCAGCAGTTGTTGCAAACATTACGATATCGCGCCCAAAGGCCGCATACTCCAGCGGCTCAATAGCAAATGAAGAATCAATGGTTTCTGCTGCAACAGCTGGTACACCACCACTTCCAACTAGCACAGGCGCAGTGGTTGTGATGAGACGGTCGGTTAGCCTGCTGGTCATGAAGAGCTGAATTATCTGAGCGCCTCCCTCGACCATCAGACTACTGATCCCAAGGTTGGAAATCTCCTTGAGCACGGCAGCCAGCATTGGGCGACCTGCTCCATCGACCTTATCAATGACAATGACACGCGCACCAGCAGCCTCCAACCTTGCTCTCATGCCAGCATCATATACAGGTCCACAAACGATCCACGGTAGCTTCAGTCTGTGGTTCTCCTTGGGCCCGGCCAGCAGATTGGCAGTGGGTGGGAATCGCAGGTGAGTGTCCAGTACTATCGGCTGCGGCTGCTCTACCAGATGACACTCAGGGGCGGGCAGCAGTCGTGCATTAAGCCGCGGGTTATCGCACAGGACCGTGCCAATGCCAACCAGTATTCCATCGTGGATTGCTCGCAGCCGATGGGTCATGGCCATAGATTCCTTGCCGCTGAGAAGTAGCTGCCGGCCGGGGCGCGAAATTTTGCCGTCGAGGCTCTGCGCGAAGGTCAGAGTTACAGTTGGCCGATTGTCCGGCGCTGGAAGCGACTTGGCAAGGTTGCGTTGGAGAAAGTCTTTGGCAAGGGCAAATGAATCAGTCATCGTGGAAGGCAGGCAAGTAAGGTGGCGGACAGGGCTGGGCTCACATCTAAGCACCTCAGTGTTTTTGTACTGCTAGATGGGCCCAGAGCAGCATATGGTATGGACATGCTAGTTTCGCCCCACGCCCTTGTGTCTGATAAACGCGGAAAATGCGGTTGTTTGGTGCACCAGCCCAGCAGTCTGTTGACTCTCGCAGTCCGCTGCGTAGAAGCAGTGCCTGGAGCTTGCAGCCTAATGAATCGGTCAGGCACGGGTATTTCTGGGACTTCGATCCGACGTCACGCAGCTCCTAAGCGCCTGATCTGTCCTAGATCACCGGCAAATGGCAGGTTGCGCGGTACTTTCAAAAGCACAGGCTGTGAGTGGGACCATGCCTTTTTAGAGATCGTGCGGGACAGCGGGTCCAGCGGGGGATTTTCGCCCCGCTGCCTAAACACGCCGTCAGCGAAATGGGCACGGTGGCAAAGAGGCAGACTGGCAGTCACTTTCGCACCAGGAATTCACCGCGCCAATTTTTAACAAAAAAACTGACAGCGCATATTTACATCTGCTTGTGAACGAAAAAAATTCCCAAGAGGCCCACCAGCTGATAACAAAAAGGGAAGAGGGCCCGGCGCACCCACTGGCCTTGAGAAAATACCCATCTTCCCTCCACTGTACCTCGTGTTTTCAAGAGTTTTATACCTACACAAGCAAAAAATGATGCTCCAGACCACCCGCCGCCTTGCTTCGCAGCACACCGTGCGTGCCAGTGTGCGAGCCATGTCGAAGTTTGCCGTGTCGAGCGAGAGCGTGCTGAACCAGCCGCTGTCACAGGCCGACCCCGAGCTGTACAACATCATTGAGCTGGAGAAGGCGCGGCAGCGTGCCGGTATCTGCCTGATCCCGAGCGAGAACTTCACGTCGCGCGCAGTGATGGATGCTCTGGGCTCAGTGATGCAGAACAAGTACTCGGAGGGCTATCCGGGCGCGCGCTACTACGGTGGCAACGAGTACATCGACCAGTCCGAGTCGCTGTGCCAGAAGCGGGCGCTGGAGACGTTCCATCTGGACAGCAGCAAGTGGGGCGTCAACGTGCAGTCGCTGTCGGGAGCGCCAGCCAACCTGTACGTATACGGAGCGCTGCTGAAGCCGCACGACCGGCTGATGGGTCTGGATCTGCCGCACGGCGGCCATCTGTCGCACGGATTCCAGACGCCCACCAAGCGTGTGTCGTACTCGTCGGTGTACTTTGAGACCATGCCGTACCAGTGCAACGAGGAGACTGGCCTGATCGACTACGACGCGCTGGAGAAGAACGCCAAGCTGTTCCGTCCCAAGATCATCGTTGCTGGAGCCAGCGCCTATGCGCGCACCATCGACTATGCGCGCATGCGCAAGATCGCTGACTCTGTTGGCGCCTACCTGATGGCCGACATGGCCCATATCTCGGGTCTGGTCGCTGCTGGTGTGCTGGAGTCGCCATTCGACTATGCCGACATCGTCACCACCACCACCCACAAGTCGCTGCGTGGTCCCCGCGGCGCCATGATCTTCTTCCGCAAGGGCGTCCGTAGTGTCAACAAGAAGGGCGTCGAGACTCTGTACGACCTGGAGCGCCCGATCAACATGTCCGTGTTCCCTGGCCACCAGGGCGGCCCCCACAACCACACCATCTCTGCCCTGGCCGTTGCCCTCAAGCAGGCGCAGTCGCCCGAGTTCGTCCAGTACCAGAAGCAGGTGCTGTCCAACGCCCAGGCCTTCGCCAAGGGCTTTGCTGAGCGCGACTACAAGCTCGTCTCTGACGGCACCGACACCCACCTGCTGCTCGTCAACCTGATTGCCTCCAAGGGCATCGATGGCGCGCGCGTCGAGCGTGTCCTGGAGATGGCCAAGATTGCCGCCAACAAGAACACTGTTCCGGGTGACCGCTCTGCCATGGTCCCTGGCGGTCTCCGCATGGGCACTCCGGCCATGACCACCCGTGGTCTGAAGGAGCAGGACTTTGCTCAGATCGCCGAGTATGTCGACCGGGCCGTCATCATTGCCAAGGATGTCAGCAAGGACGTGTCGTCCAAGAAGTTCGCCGACTTCAAGGCCACCCTGGGCGATGACGTCGATGCGGTTCCGGGTCTGGCAGCTCTCAAGAAGGAGGTTGTTGACTTCTCGCGCAGCTTCCCGGCTGTTGGCTTCTCGGTTGATACCATGGTCTACAGGGACTAGATAGCGGATTTAATTTTAGTTTCTAGAAATACACGTCTTTCAAAGCCTCTTTTTTGCCTTTATGAAACGGAAGCGTCGACGATATCCTGAGGCAACTCGTGCCGCTGTTGACTCGGAGCTGAACGAGACAAGGTCGGCGCTCATTTCTTGGCATTGCGTATCTGGAAGCTTCTGTGCGCATGCAAAGGACATTTTTGCTCTTCGCTTTCCGCCGCCGTCTCCATGCTCGTATCCACAGTTGCAGGGATGAGGGGTGAAGGAGAAACTCCCCCAACTGAACCCTGTTGCGGCATTTCGTATCATCGCTGTCTGCCATTTTCCAACTCCGAACATGCTAGACAATCGGGTATAAATGACGACCACACCACCCTCGTCATCCCGTCATCTCTGAAGGCTTCACACCAGCTCTCTTTTCCTTTTTCTTTTTCTCTTGCATTTTTGTACTACGTCTTGTCTTTTTCAAGGAACTTACTCTATTCAAGCATGAGCTACAACGAAAACTACGGCGGGCCGCAGCCATCGCGGTACAACCCAGCCGACCACCAGGGCAACAACGAGGATTCCGGCAGCCGTCGCAATGACGATGGCCGCCCAGATGGCAGCCGTGGCGGGCAGATTGGCGACCCGTTGTTTGTCAGCAACCCGGACCAGTACAGCCAGCACGGCGGGTCGCGCGAGCCCCAGCCCTCGCAGTACGGCCAACGCCCGCCCCAGCAGGGCCCCCCTCAGGGCCAGCATGGCTCACAATATGGCGGTCCTCCCCAGGGCTCTCAGTATGGCGGCCCTCCTTCTCAGTACGGTGGCCCTCCTCAGTACGGTGGATCCCAGTATGGCGGCCCTCCCTCGCAGCATGGCTCGCAGTACGGTGGTCCCCCGCAGAACCAGTATGGCCAGCGCCCGCCTCAGGGTCAGTATGACCAGCGTCCGCCTCAGGGTCCCCCGTATGGCGGCCCTCAGGGACCTCCCCAAGGCCCGTATGGACAGCGCCCACCTCAGCAGGGGCCCCCGTATGGCAGTCCTTCGCAGCATGGCTCGCAGTACGGCGGCCCTCCTCCCCAGGGCCCGTATGGACAGCGTCCGCCGCAGGGACCTCCGTATGGTGGTCCTCCTTCGCAGCATGGCTCGCAGTACGGTGGCCCTCCTCCCCAGGGCCAATACGGCCAGCGGCCTCCTCAGGGACCTCCATACGGCGGACCTCCTTCTCAGCACGGCGGGCCTCCCCAGGGCTCACCGTACGGCGGACCTCCGCCCCCCGGTTCCCAGCACGGCTCTCAGCACAGCAGCACTCCTCAGCCGCAGAAGCAGGATGATGACGATGAGGAGAAGGAGGGGGAGAAGAAGAGTAACTGGAAGAACACTGCTGGCAAGGCTGCGCTGGGCGTGCTTGCTGGCGGAGCGCTTGCTTACGGCGTCCACGAGGTGTTTGACGATTCTGACTCTGATGAGGAGAGGAAGGAGCGCCGCCGTGAGGAGGAAGAGCATCGTCGGCGCGAGGAAGACCGCCGCCGGCGCGAGGAGGAGAACCGTCGGCGGGAGGAGGAGAACCGTCGGCGCGAGGAGGAGAACCGTCGGTGGGAGGAGGCGAACCGGTACGAAGCGAACCGGTACCAGGACCACGGGTACCACCGCCGCCGCCGCAACAGCGGCTCGTCTCGCAGCTCGTCTCGCAGCAGCCGCTCGTCGTCTGGTAGCCGGCACCGCGGCTACGGCTCGACGCCGCACGAGTACCCGCTTCTGCACCAGGACTACAACGACTCTGCCATCAAGTTCGGTACAGTCATCTCGCTCAAGCACAACATGACTGGACGGTACCTGCATTCGGACCGCTCGCACTCGACACACTCGGGGTCGAACCAGCAGCTTGTGTTTGGTTTCCGCTGGAGCCAGGACGAGAACGACTGGTGGCAGGTACTGCCGGCCAATGGCGACTCGCCCAACCCTGGCGAGCACGTCACCTTTGGCTCGCGTATCCGCCTGCGTCACGTCGAGACCCGTGCGCACCTGCACTCGCACCCGTGGACCGACCAGGCGTCGGGCCAGAACGAGATTACGGCGTTTGGCGACACCAACTATTCAGACGAGAACGACATCTGGATTGTTGAGCGCTGGGGCGACGACGAGCAGGGCGATGTGTGGGACGCCAACGAGGTGGTCGTATTCAGGCATGAGAACTCGGGCTACGCGCTGCATTCGCATGACATTATGATCAGCGACGACGTGCAGTCGGTGACCTGCTTCGGCGACGGCCATGAGGAGAACGACAAGTGGCGGATCCATTTGACCCAGGAGTAAACGAGTTTTTGAATGATATCATTTTCTCTTCCCAGACAACCTATCGCTGTTGCACAGCACAGGATCCTCCTGCAAACGAACGGTGCTAAAAATACCCGCCACGCCTATTTCGCCCACTGTTATTGCTGGTGCTTGTTTGTTGGCAAGCTATGACTTGCGTCCCCTGATCCTGACGCAATGGCTCCTTCCAGAATAAGGAGCTGCACAATGGATAGTGCGCAGAACGGATGCCCCCCGCGCTCTTGTCCGGATGTGCAGGATGACTTACCTTCCAGCTTGGCGCTTTTCCTTGTGCGACAAAGAGAGTTCCTCGATTGATTGGCACGGGTAAAGCGTGGGCAGGCAACTGCATATATAAAGGGGGTCGGCCGGGCAAGGACACGCCCCGAACCCCTCAACTCCAGACAACATTCACTTTCCAACTTCATCATGAGCGGCTACAACAACCAGGGCTACGGCAACCAGGGCTACGGCTCCAACAACTCGGGCAACCGCCAGAACTCGTACGATGACGAGGAGACCCAGGACCGCGGCCTCTTCAGCAGCTCCAAGAAGCAGCAGCAGCAGCAGCAGGGCTACGGCCAACAGCAGCAGCAGGGCTACGGCCAGCAGCAGGCGGGTCCCCAGCAGGGCTACGGCCGCCAGCAGCAGCACCAGGCTGGCCCCCAGGGCAACGCTCCGTCCAACTACGGCTCGTCTGCCGGCGGCCGTGCCAACATGCCCGGCAACGACTACTCGCAGGAGGAGGTCGACAAGGATGCCCGCAACACCAAGTACAAGGACTGGGCAGGCACTGCCGGCAAGGTTGCGCTGGGTGCGCTGGCTGCAGGTGCCGCAGCCTACGGTGTCCACGAGTACAAGGAGCACCGCGATGAGAAGAAGGAGCGGGAGGAGGAGGAGCGCCGCAAGCAGAACCAGCAGTACCACAACGACGAGGGCAAGTGGAACAATGCTCCGGGTCAGGGCAACAGCCAGAACAACAACCAGAACAACAACCAGGGTAACAACCAGGGCAACAACCAGGGCTACGGCCAGGACAACAACCAGGGTAACAACCAGGGCAACCAGGGCCAGCAGCAGCACCGCCCCTCGCCGCCTCCCCAGCAGGGCGGTTCCGGCTTCCGCCCGCCCGCCCCCCTCGGCCGCCCTCCCTACTCGTACGACCAGAACGACGTCCGCCACGCCGACCCGTCGCGCAACTCTGAGAACTCGCCCACGCCGCACGAGTACCCGCAGCTGCGCCAGAACTCCAGCGACACCACCATCAAGATTGGCACCGTCATTGCGCTCAAGCACAACATGACCGGCCGCTTCCTGCACACCGACCGCCAGCACAACACCCAGACCGGCTCGAGCCAGCAGCTTGTCTTCGGCTACCGCTGGAACCCCGACCAGAACGATTGGTGGCAGGTGCTGCCCGCCAACCGCGACGTGCCCGTGCCTGGCCAGATTGTCTCGTACGGCACCCAGATCCGCCTGCGCCATATTGAGACCGGCCACCACCTGCACTCCCACTACAACTACCACTGCTCCAAGTCGGGCCAGAACGAGGTCACCGCCTACGGCGACTCCAACCTGTCCGATGAGAACGACCACTGGGTCATTGAGCGCTACGGCGACGGCGGCTACGGCCAGACCTGGAGCGCCGGCGACGTCGTTGTTCTGCGCCACTATGTCAGCGGCATGGCTCTGCACTCCCATGACCTGCTGTACTCTGAGGACGTCCAGTCTGTGACCTGCTTCGGCCCTGGCGGCGAGGAGAACGACAAGTGGCGTGTTCACCTGACTGCTTAATCATTTCTTTTTCTCCAACTGGCATCAAAGGCATCACTAAATTTTCAGACTCAGCAATCACCACCAACCCCTCCCCGATCACTGGAATGCAGCTGAACGCCTTGGACCCGCACCAAAGGATACTGAACAATAAGCCTTGCGGCCTGCCGCTGCATTCTAGTCCAGGTGATTGGCGACATCAGGGCCGGCCCGCTTGCCATCAGGCCGCAGGTTCACATGAAAACGGATGTGCGTGCCCTCATCTGCCGCTGACAAAAAGCCAAAAATAGACCGGGCAAGGTTTGTAATTTCTCTCTAAACCGCTCGATGGCCCGCATCTCATGTGGGCCAGCACGCCTCCCCCAACCCCATTTGCACTGATTTCCTCATGCACGGTTAGAAAAGAATCGAGGGCGCTGGAGCTAGTGTAACATTTGTCTCTGTCCAGTGATTTCCTTGCGGCTTAATGCTTGCTGTAAGGAACAACCCGCCGCCTGGCGAACCCTCTTTGGGGGCCGGGGTGGATACGTAGGTGATCACTTGTTTTCGGTCGCTGATTTCCTGTGCTTTTTTTATGCCGCCTGTTGGGAGACAGACAAGAGCGAACGCGTAGAATTGGCAAGGCCACTGCATTCTGAGATGCGAGCTGGTTTCCTGGCCCTAGGGCAAATATAAAAGGAAAACTGTTCGCCAGCCCTCTTCAATATTTTTGTGTTCCCTTACCAACCCACTCCATCAACAAATAGTAACTCATCATCCACCTCATTAGGGCAGCGCACGCGGCGATCGAAGCACACACACGTTTCACACTGCATTCGCATTTCAATCCATCCCTGTTGCACTTCTTCTTCTCCCCACCACTGCATCTAATTCCATCCTAATCATTTCTCCCCATGGCATACTACAAGACCTCCTCGATCGGCCTCCCGACCTTCCGGTGCTTTGGTGTGCAGAGCGGATACCAGTGCACCGTGTGCGGCGCCTACTTCCCCTCTGCACATGCTGCCAGCGAACACGTCCGTGAGCTGCATTTCTTCCCCGAGCTCTGAAAAGCAATGCCGTTTTTCTCCTGTTATTTCACGCATTTTCGGCCACCCCATTTTTCATTATCGATTCGCGATTGACGGGCTCTTCTCAAGCTCTTTTTACGACTCGGGTCGCCAGCAGACCCCGACATGCCTCTCGCCCACTTGCACCTTTTTTTTTTTAGTAAATATCCTTAGCATTATTCTTATCTTTATCGTCGACAATAGTACTGTTTCAAAAACACCACGCGTAGGACAGGCTGTTTCCATAGAACACCATGAAGGAGCCCGGTTATTGAGCTCCGTGGGAGATCTGCATGTCTTGATAGAGAAATCAATGTGCATGATCCTCTGGACAGGCTGGTCGATCACAGGCACCAAAAGGAATCGCCTCAGGTATCCTGGCTATCAGTCTTTCTACGACTTGCACCCACGGCGGATTGTTAACCCCCCACGGGAGTGAATGGTATCGAGCTTTATGGAAAATAAGATGGGATCAAAAATGACCGAAGAGCAAGAAGGCTAGACCGGGCAGTCCTGGATATCAGGCTTATATGCGGCTGACTTGGCATGATGGCTATGCAGTGCGCAGCCCTTTCGAGGCCAACAGACCCTGATGGCTTGAAGAAATTACATGAGTATCCTCAAATTCATGCCATACGGGGTGTAGCTATGTACCAGAAGCTGCTGGAGGTCCTTTGACACTGCGCCACAAGCCCCAGGTAAAAGCAGCGAACGTATCCCAGCTGGTACCCTCGTCATGTCTAAGAGTAGACTGCATTTGGAACTGTTGCATGGAGCATCTGGCCCAGGCATCCCAAATAGCTGTTGATCTGGTTGCCAGTAATTAGATCGAGATGTGACTTCTTGGGCTGGTGTCGAGGAGAATACTGGGACAAGCCGCTATGTTGACGCACATTTCTCACAACCCCACAGGATACCAGCATGAGAGTTCATAACACGGTGTGAGCGAGAGATATCAAACAGCCAGGAACATACTGGCTTGGAGTATTACCCCCAGTATCTCGATGTGATCTCTGTGATGCTCGCTAGAGAACCCAATCTTTAGCCAGAAGGATTTTATTAGCTTTTGGTGGCCACTAGCAATAACATACTCTGCATGGTATTGGAAGTATATAGGGCCGCCATTTACCCAGGGCTTCCTCCGAACGACCATTTTTTTTTCTGCGAGCGTGCTTTTCTTGGCTCAATGATTTGGATCTATGTCCGGTTCATTATCGGAATACTGGCATACTCTTGAATCGGTTGGATACGAGTAAGCTCCAGCTTAAGGTTAGTTAGTACGAACCTAATTAGTCTTTTCTTGATCTGCTCAACAATAGCAATAGAGACCCTGCCAAAGTCCGAGTGGAGAGTGGCACGACTAAACAGAGAAGAGAGATCGGGGCTGAAAATATACTACGTCGTATATGAGTATCAGACGCCTGATGTGTATAAAAGCTAGTATCGCGAGAGAAGCTAAGGAGTCTCTTCGACGCCTTGGGTTGGTAGTTGCTTATATAGTAGGCTGGTAGGAGCCGTGCAAGCTGTATTTTGCGATAAGATATGTAGGTTCTTTGTTCCAGGGCCTCTGTGGCGGGGTTTCAAAGAAAGGAATTGCCAAACTACAGAGAACCCAAAAAGGGGAAGGGGAATAGAAACTACAAGCCCGCATGCTGCCCTTTTTTTTTTTTTTTTTTTGAAAATGTCGTTGTCGCGTTTAGATGTTGCGCAGCAATGAAACCAATGCAACGAGCTGAAATCTGTGTCTATTGGGTTAGCTGGGAAGCTACTCTCATTGTCGGCCAATGTGACGACTGGCATGGCATCGCCATGTTGGACATCATCAATTGCGCAACACTATTGCCATTAGCACATAGCATAAGATACATCCACAGTCGAACCCGGAACATGGAGCGGATTCACTTTTGAGTCCACTGATGCTTCTCAACTGCTTTTTTCCAAAAGGTAGGCAAAACAGATACCCCTCTATTCACACATGCTAAAAATACCTTGGGTGGCTGGAGCAATTATTACCGTATGCATATTACAATGTCCCCATTCTGGTCAGACATTGTTGGAGGCAGAAAAGTGAGAATGACTTTGCTGACAATTGAACCAAAGTATCCAGCTGACAGCGGATTGCAACAAGCGTAAAATCCTTCTGCCACCGTGTAGAACGCTCGGACATCAAGGCATTGCCTAATACCACAAGATAAAGGCGTACATCAGATATTGGAATGCACATAGGCAGATAGTGTTTTATGGGGATTGCGCCGTACACCGAGTCGAGTCTTACAGCATGCTACGGCAGAAAGAGAAACGAACAATTGACAAGGCGGACATTCCACGCCTGTCATGTCATGCTCTTCAAGACCAAAAACAAGCTCTGCCCTTCTGCTCACAAGCAAGCTTATTTATTGTGTAATAGAACTGACAGCCTCCCTCATGCGCACACACCCTCATTTTTACAATTTGTGCAATAAGAGCTTGTTTTCTCCGAGTCTTGTCAAACAAGAGATCTGCAATTGCTGTATGTGCCGCTGTATTTTTAGGATGGCAAGTGCTGCGGCAGCCAGTAGAATGATGGGTGGGTGGGTGGGGGGACAGGGCTTCCCACATAGGCACGAGCAATCCAATTCCCCTCATGACATTGGGCCTGCCACTCTGCCCTAGAAATCGTTCTTGAAAAGCAAGAGGGTTTTTAGCTGGGGCTGTGACAGCCGTTGGCCTAAAATTAAATGCTGGCCCAGTACTACATAGGCAATGCCAGGTTCATTTTGGAGCCACACACCACGGAAATCCATTATGGCTACCAGAGATTTTACGTGCACTCTGTGGATATGACAGATACAACAGGTGCTTAAGGAAATAAAGGCACCCGTGCGTAAAAGGCCGCACGCTTTGTCTAGCTGAGCATAATTGCTGCCACCCACCCCCACTGTCCTCATGATATCCAGGTGCATATCGTGGCCAGCTGAACAACACGCAGGCAATTGTGCGTGTTATTTTCGAGCGAGATGCCAGCCCTCATCAAGTTCCCCCAAAGCACATCCGACAGATAGTGGCTAGTCTGTCGACTACTCATTCGTTGGAAGGAGGAATGCGAAAAGATTTCCATGCAGACTTTGCTTGTTTTTTTGCATGGAAGTAGAGTCGCGCCAGGCGTGAAATAGATGATGCTTAGTAGCTGGCAGAGCGTTGACACTCTTTAAAACCCCCCGGGTGTGCAATCCCCGATGGCAGCAGCACTTTCACCCTAACCTCCTCAACCCACAAAATACGATTAGCTTTCGTTTAACACCCTCTAACATGTCTACCCACCCAGAAATGCCACCCGTCATGTCCTTGTATCATATAGTGAATAGCTGTGATACAGAGCTTGGAGCTATCCACCCTTTGCACCCTGAAGAGGTGACCAGAGAGAAGCTGAAGGCTGCGTGCAGGAAAGCCCAGCACGAGATGTCGACTGTAGCTGACTACTTGCCGTTCGCCAAGTTCTACCAAAACTACCCCTTTTTACGCTCATATCTACCCGAGTTCATGAAGAAGGTCCCGCTCATACTGGAGTGCCAGGTCAAATGCTCATGCACCGTCAGAAGCTGCAAGAAGAGCCATCGGCGCATATGGAAGAGCAACATCGAAGAGCTGAAGGCGTGTGGCCTGCTATCCTCGGTGAGCGAACTTCGCGTAATCCTGTATAACGACTCTCCAAAGGATCTCCATCTCGACGAGGCTATCCAGGAGCTTGGTATTCCCCGTGGCGCGATCGCCACCACAAAGCTTATCAAGTTCCTGGGACATGGTCTCTTTCTTGCAGGTGATGATCAGAGTCAAGAGGACGCAAAAAAGGAGGCGGCTCGTACTATCCAGATTATCCTCGGACACTGCCCCCATGTCGAGGAACTATGGTACGATACATATCGAGCCCGGGGCTCAAGCGGGGAGCTCCTTCGGGACCAGCCTGGTGTCGGAACAGAAATAATGACGACGCTTCGCAGTGTGCTCCACTCGCGCCTAACAATGATGCAGGTCGCGCGGCCGTTCGCAACCTATACTGCCCAGCCATTCTCGCCAAATCTCCGGTATCTCGTGCTAGACCTGAAGCTCGTCCCGGAGCTTGGGCACTTACCGCCTATCCCCACAGACAACATGAACCATCTTGAACTAACCACAATCTCGAGCAGCATCAACTGGGACCTGTTCAAGACTAGGGCAGACGGAAGGGTGCATTTCCCAAACCTCAAGACGCTCGTGATGCGGTTTAAAGAGCCTGAGAAAGGTCTCATACAGTCCTCGCTTGACATGTCTAAAGTTGTGATACCAGCAACCGTTGGTGTCATTGTGTATGGGATAAACAACGGTAAACGTGCCGTCTGGGAATACTTCAAGAAAGGATGCCGCCAACTGACACTTTTTGAATGCCCATCAGCATTTAAAGATATTGATGTGTATAACCTCCAGTGCTCTGAACATTTCCAGCTTAGGCTAATCCCAGAGGAAGGCGATTCTAGTAAGCCTCTCCCATTTGCAGGGTTGAGGCATTTCTTTGGCCACAGAAACTATGTAATCCGCAAGATGGAAGTGATTGGCATTGAGCTCATAGTACCGCCGACTGTAAATTTGCATATCGTGGAAGACCTTCATTTATCTCTAGGAATCGCAGACAGCAACACCATTCTCAATCTGGCACACAGGCTGACGAGACTCAGGATTCTGCGCATCCGCTGCTTCTCCATGTACCGCAAAGATTTGAATAATCCTGGGCGCGGGGTTCACTTTGCCAACGAAGCCCACGAGCTGGATATCATTGCTGAATATGCAAGCGATATCCCAATGAAAGCCAGCAAGAATATGCACTGCTTGCACTTGTACTCACACATGGCGATTGACCCAAACAGGTTCATCGAACTAATGGCTCGGTTCCCGAACTTGGCCGAGATACAAGTTAATGGTGAGATAGTTGAGTATGTGAAGTGGGCTTTTCGTCCTCGTAATGTCATAACCAGCGCGATTGATCCAAGCACCGTGTAGCTCAGCCTTTCTCTTTCGATTCACACTCTCACTATTTTATATTAGCACCTGCCTGTACAGACAACACCTGCGAACAAGCAAATACAGAAGTGGCGCATTGGCTACAAGCAAGCATGCGGAGTGCTGCAAAGCGGCCTTTGCTATCAGGGTCGCTGTTATGTGACCGGTTATGCATGACATAATCAACCACACTTCCTGGATCACCAGCGTGCATCACATTGCCCACTGAATCTTGTACCATACCAGCAGCTCAGGGTTGACTGAATATGGCTATATTGCGACACACCAACACACAGGAACAGCTCTCTAGAACAAAACTTGTCACACAGGTGGTGTCAAGTTTTGAATTGTCTAGTTTACTGACACTCAAATAGCTGAGCACCTGTATATAAAAGGAGCTGCTGATCAGATCGGGGCAGCGGCTACTATAAGAGGAAAACAAACCTCAAAACTAATGGTTAATCGGCCCGCACACAGACAGCGCTTATGAGTGTGATAGATGTATTACCAGCCCACAGGACGAGCCGCACAATCGAACATCGGGATTCAACAGTTGCAAAGTGAGGTATGTGCTAGTGAAGATAGACATTGCTTTCCCCTTGGCAGAGATAACAGCTGTCGATATAAACACTGGAAATATTCATTCACAGCTTCATATTTATCGAGATTAGGATATTTCCTGTTAGTCAGGACCCGAGTGCATAGCGAAAATTCAATAGGGTGATGCATTGTGTTCGCAGCTTTCTCACCTTTTCTCCATCTATTTCCCTCTTTTGTATTTTTATTCCTTAGTATGTAGATATTAGTGCTGATGCGTGTATATTGGGAATACAAATTATAATCAAAACATAAGAAAGGTTGCTGGCTTTCAACTTCTGCAGTTGTGTCTCCAGGCAAGCAAGTGGCGCAAGGGTCTGAAGCTCCGATGGATGGACGGCTTGGTCAGTCGTCACTGAGCAACAGGTAATCCAATGCAAGCTAAGGTAAAACAAGAACAGATAGATGGCCTCTATGTTCATTCCCAAATCGTCGAACTTTGTTGTCCATTCAGCTGTAGTGTACGGGCACGTGAGACTAGCCACGAGGGAACTAGCACACCCCCAGAACGCACAGATAAAAGGCCGTATGCGACGGGGATACAGATTGTTTCCACAGGTTTATTCTTTTACTCAAAATACAAACACGTCACAAGTGACATAGAATCCCCATATCCAAGGCATGTGAGCATTTCGCTGACCACCGACGCCGAGTGAAGTCTTCCCTTATTTATATAGCGGGTGTCATATGTTACGCTTGGACCGTGCACGTAGTAGCATCACAGGTGCGCCCGTGTTCATGTGTTCTCTCGGACAAAGAGTAAAAGGGACGAGGGAGGAGCGTGACCAGCGGATGTCGGTAGGTTTATATGAGCCGCGTGACCTGGCAATACACAGCCCACCCCCCTTATCCTACGCCGAGAATTACTGCTTTTTTACTCAAAGGTCTTACATCGTGTGAACTGGCGAGCATAAAGAGGGGCAGGGAGCACGGCCGAAACACGCCCGCTCTCTACTTCTCAGCCAGCAACTCCCTCACTTTAATATCAACGTTCCAAGTTTTATTTTTACCAGCAAGCTGTACTACCTCTATTTATTAATCCTAAACTATGCAGCGACACATGTCCTATTTGCAGAAGCACCGGAGCATCACAAATTCCCGGGTCAACAACTTCCTGGATGACGGACAGTGGAAGGACGTCAACATTCAGGCAGTACTTTACGACCTTCGCGTGAGCGGCTCGCCACACATAAACCTGGAAGTATGGTCGGCACCAGGTCAAGACCGTCCAACATTTGAGCACGCAGTCAAGCAGAAGTTCCGGCCAACGCACCAAGGCGAGTCCTTTGGTCCCTCGTGGACTACTCATTGGTTTCATGTCACAGTGCAGATCCCAAAGGAGTTTGCCGGCAAACCCGTGCAGTTTCTGTTTGACTCAAACAGCGAAGCCATGATATGGTCCGCTGATGGCGAGCCTCTCCAGGGAATTACTGGCGGCGGAGGCGACGAGCGCCATGTTGACTATTTGCTAACTCGCAAGGCTACCGATAACGAGGGAATTCGCGAGTTCTATGTGGAAATGGCAGCTAATGACCTGTTTGGCAACGGCGACTACCATCAGCATCCGCAGGACCGAGCCATCTACTACAATCTCAGCACAGTCGAGCTCGTAGCGCCCAATCTCGACGCCTGGGCGCTATACCACGATCTTGAAGTTATTGTGGAGATGGCTGGGCGACTGCCTCAGGATTCGGCGCGCTCCTGGCAGGCACTCAAAGCAGCCAATGCAATGGTCAATGTGTTTGACCACCGCAACATCGACACTATTGCGCCTGCGCGCGAGATCGCCGAGCAGTTCTTTAGCGTAAACGGCGCGCACACCAGGCATCAAGTGTATGCTATCGGCAACTGCCACATCGACACTGCATGGCTATGGCCATTCGCCGAGACCAAACGCAAGAGCGCGCGTAGCTGGGCGACGCAGCTACAGTTGATGGACCAGTACCCCGAGTACAAGTTTGCCGCCAGCCAGGCACAGCAGTTTGAATGGCTAAAGCAAAACTACCCGGGGCTGTTTGCTCGTATCCAGGACAAGGCCAAGTCAGGCCAGTTCATTCCTATCGGCGCTACCTGGGTCGAGATGGACTGCAATCTGCCGTCGGGAGAGTCGCTGGCGCGCCAGTTCCTTCTGGGGCAGCAGTTCTACCAGGAGCATTTTGACGAAACTTGCAAGGTGTTCTGGCTGCCTGACACGTTTGGGTACTCATCACAACTGCCCCAGATTGTGCGGCTCTCTGGTGCCAAGTACTTCTTCACGCAGAAGCTCTCGTGGAACAACATCAACAGGTTCCCAAACACCACGTTCCGGTGGATCGGGCTGGATGGTAGCCACGTCTTGACGCATATGGCGCCATCCAACACCTATGGCGCGCAGTGCCGCCCTGGTGAGCTCATCGATAGCGAGCACAACCACAAGGACATTGTGTATACCAACGAAAGCATGCTGCTGTACGGCAACGGCGACGGTGGCGGTGGTCCACTGAAGGCTATGCTGGAGCGTCTTCGTCGTATGGCGGATACTGACGGGCTGCCGCGTGTCAAGAATGCGCATCCAAATGAGTTCTACGAGCATGTTGAGAAGACTGCGACTGAGCTCGTATCATGGAAGGGCGAGCTGTACTTTGAGCTGCATCGTGGAACCTATACGTCGCAGTCCAACAACAAGCGCAACAACCGTCAGGCCGAGTTCCTTATGCGCGACGTCGAGCTGCTCAACACTGTAGCCAAAGCCTCGTCGTTTGGTCTCTACGACTACCCAATGGAGGCTATTAGGAAACTCTGGAAGCAGGTGTGCCTGAACCAGTTCCATGATGTCTTGCCTGGCTCAGCTATTGGCATGGTGTACCGCGACAGCGACAAGATATACAACGAGATTTTCACCATTGGAGATGCCCTGCGCAAGCGTGCAACTGACTTCCTTTACGGCGATGTGGTTGCCAAGGCTCCTGAAGACATGTCGGCCGTTTTGCTTGTAAACACCGCTGCATGGATGCGTACCGATATCATTGCTGTGCCGGAACTGCCGCTGTCACTGCTTTCCAAGGCGGGTGCCAATGTGCAGATTCGCAGGAAGGATGGCGCCCCGCTTGTTCTGGCCACCAATGTCTGTGGCAACCGGGCACAGCTTCTTGACCCAGCCCAGACCACCGAATTCCATTCAAGCCCTGTCAAGGTGTACCAGGAAGGCGACGATTTTGTGCTCGAGAACACCATGGTCAAAGTCACCATTGGCCACAATGGCAGAGTCAAGAGCTTTATTGACATCCGTGAAGATCGTGAGCTTGTGCCTGAAGGCGCCCAGGGCAATGTGTTTGAGCTATACGACGACGTGCCGTTATACTGGGACGCGTGGGATATTGAAATCTACAACCTTGAGAAGTACCAGTCGCTGCCAGGCACCGATATCACTATGGTTGACAAGGGCCCTCTGGTAGCTTCGCTGATCGTGCGCGTCCCCATTGGTGACACCAGCGTATTGGTCCAAACGATCACGCTGACAGCCATTTCGCCACGCCTTGAGTTTGACTGCCACATCGGCTGGCATGAGAACCGCAAGTGCTTGAAGGTATCGTTCACCTGGGACATCCACAGCGATGTGGCCACGTACGAGACCCAGTTTGGTGTGGTGCAGCGTCCCACGCACCGCAACACGTCGTGGGATATGGCCAAATTTGAAGTGTGCGGTCACAAGTTTGCCGATCTCTCAGAGTACGGCTACGGGGTGGCTTTGCTCAACGACTGCAAGTACGGATACTCGACACTCGAGAACACCATGACGCTGACGCTGCTGCGCAGCCCCAAGGCACCAGACGAGAACTGCGACATGGGCCCTCACGTCTTCCGCTACGCTGTGTTCCCGCACAAGGGCACGTTTGCAGAGTCCACCGTGGTCAAGGAGGCATATAACTTCAATGTCCCACTACTGCACCTGCCAGCAAATGCCGACAGATTCAGCATGAAGGGTGGGATGGCCGGTGCTGCTCACCCGTACTTTTCGCTCTCCAATGCACCCAATGTGGTCCTGGACACTGTCAAGGCGGCAGAGGACGGCAGTAGCTCGTTTGTGGTGCGCATGTACGAGGCCTATGGCGGCCATGCAAAGGCGCTCTTGACGACAGCGCTGCCAGCCATGAAGGCAGAGATTGTCAATATTCTCGAAGGCCATGTCAGTGATCTGGAGTGGCTTCCGCACTCCAAGTCGACAGCCATCAAATTCAAGCCGTTTGAGATTGTCACTGTCAAGTTCTCCATCTAGCTACTCCCGTTACAGTCCTGGGATGCACACATGTCGCTCGTTCCAAACACTAATATATGCCATTCTTAAATAGCCGGCAGAAACTGCCAAAACGGTCTCCACCGACCAATCACTGTCAGACGATGGTAACTGATCATTTTAACGGCTCTGTTGATGGGCGGACGACTCCTCCATCCCAAGGATTTCCTCTGCCGAATGCAAATCTGGAGCCGCGGAAGTATTCTCAGAAAAGGTGGTGGGGCTACGAAAATCATCACATACCAAATTGATAGCTCCCAGGAAGGCATGGCCACAGATGAGGCCGATCACCTATCAAATGGCTCGCGCTGGGACAAGACTCAGTCCAACCTCGCCGACGCCCAGGAAAGGCGCGGTTTCTAAAAATGTATTTTAGGGAAGGCATCAAATCGGTGGTCAAATCTCGATGGACACGGTAGCCCCACCACCCAAGTTTCTGGGTTTGGTAGCAGGTCGATTAGGCAAGTGAGAGATACTGCGTGGTAGTTGCGTTGCATGTCTCCCAAGCGCCTGCTAGTCCAGCATGTCTGAAACCTGGCTCTTGTTCGTATTAAGATTCTGGCAAGATTGGCTACCGGCAGCTGCTGCGTTTGGTGCAAAGGAGCAGCTTCTCGCCGGCTTGCACTGAGTGGAAAATCAAACACCCGGCTGGGCCGATTACTTACGCAGTGTGCCCGACAGACCGAGGCAGTAGATCGCTGGGCTGCCATAGGACCGCACCTCCGTCGGTGTGAGGCCAATGCGAGGGCATATATGAGGTTGCATTTCCACATACATGCTGCACCGTGAGAGCAGCAATCTTCGCATACCGGTTTGATTGCTGGCGATCAACCGGCTCTTTCTCTCATTCGCGTCCTCTTAATAAGGGAATGCCTGTCCTTTGTGCAGGTTTATTTCTGGAACCCAGGCTTGGAAATAAACAGCAGATGCCAAAAAGAGCCGGCGGGCCGCTATCGGGACACCGTTTAGGCAGCGCCTTTACAAGAGTGCGCAAGGCATGGATGCGCGCCCAATCAATGCACACTGGCCAAGTGTTGACAGAAAATCTCCTCCCCACTACACGCAACGTGAGATACCGATTGCCACTCCTCGCTGCAACATTGGTGCTGCTCTTGTCAGCTGGGCTGGCAAGGAGTAGATTGGAGCATCGGTCTGGCTGCAACTGATACCCGCATCTGCCGCCTTGAATATCACACGGACACGGACTGAGTTTTCATCAAGATGTCTTTCGCCCAACTGCCAAAAAAGGAGGCCGGCCCGGTACTGGGCATCTGAGCAGAAAGAGGAATCCGATATATAAACCTCGCTGGTGACCCGCATTCACGAAGGCGGTATGTTATTTTTTAGTTCCGATTCCTCTATTCACGACCTCATTTTTAATTTCCACCCTCTACATTTTCTCATACCATGAGTGGCAGGGAAAGCCCGATATTTTCAAACTACCATGTCCGAGATGACATCAATTTTGAGTCTTACTTAAAACGCAACACAGACCATTCCGACACAAGCGGGTTTGCTGCGCCGCTCGATGAGGAAAAGGCAAAGCTGAGCTCGTGGGGCCGTAACTCGCTCAGCGATGGCCGGGTCATGTCCACAGTGCAGAGCGAGGACTCGCCCTACAGCATGGTGCGTGCAGCAGTTGCGCCGAAGGACACGCATGTGCCCTCGCTCACGTTCCGGTCGACTTTGATTGGACTGACACTAGCAACGGTCCTTAGTTTTGTCAACCAGCTGCTGTGGTTCAAGACGACGCCCATTATCATTGGCGGGTTCTTCGTGCAGATTATCTCGTTCCCGATGGGCTACATTCTATCGCGGATACTGCCAACACGGGAGTTCACCACGTTCGGCTACACGTGGACGCTCAACCCAGGCCCGTTCAGCATCAAGGAGCATGCCATCATATCTATTTTCACTGCGTCGGCATCCAATGCTGCTTACGCGATTGACATTGTGGTGGTCGAGAACGTGTGGTATAACCGGGGGATGGGTTTTACGCCGGCGATTCTAATCACCCTGTCATCGATGATGCTAGGCTACAGCTACGCCGGCCTGCTGCGAGAGTTGCTCGTGTATCCGGCAGCCATGATCTGGCCGGTGTCATTGGTCAGTGTGACGCTGTTCCGGTCATTCCACGAAAAAACGCCATACCTCTACCACACCTCGCGCACAAAGATCTTCTGGATCGTGTTTGCGTGTGCATTTGTGTACCAGTTCTTTCCCGGATTCATCATGCCAGTGCTGACGTTTGTTCCGGTACTATGCTTGGCAGCGCCCAACAATGTGATCGCACATCAGGTCGGCGACTCGTTCCACGGGCTGGGCGTGCTCAACTTTACCTTTGACTGGACCTCGATATCGACCATCTTTGGCTCCCCGATTGCCATTCCATGGTACCTTGGCTGCAATATGTTTGCAGCCTTTGTCCTGACCATGTGGATCGTTACGCCTGCGGCATACTACAACAATGTGTGGGGATCTGGCAACCTGCCGATCTACTCGAGCAGCATCTTTCGGGCCAACGGTTCGCTCTACAATACCTCAGAGGTTATGGACGCTGATGGCGCCTTTGGATCCGAAAAAGTACGCAGAATATGGCCAAATCCACATGCCGTTCCAGCTAGCGCTAATGTACGGCCTGTCGTTTGTGAGCATCGTCACCCTCGTTGTCTACACAGGCTCTGAATCACAGCAAGGATATCTACAACCGCCTTCGGCATTTGAATGTGGGCGACGACGATGTGCATGCACGGCTGATGCGAAGGTACCCAGAGGTTCCCCGGTGGTGGTATGCGATCACACTGATCACAATGCTTGCGTTGGGCATCACTGCATGCGAGGTATATGACATGCTTCCCTGGTACTACATGCTGCTCGCCATTGCCATGTCAATCACCTTCCTTGTGCCTGTGGGCATTGTCCAGGCATTGAGCAACCAGCAGCCGGGCTTGAATGTCATTACAGAGCTGGTGATCGGATTCGCTCTCCCCGGCAATCCACTGGCCAACGTGACATTCAAGCTGTTCGGCTACATCAGCGTTACCCAGGCGCTGGGGCTGGTTGCCGACCAGAAAATCGGCCACTACATGAAGATTCCGCCCCGACACGTATTCATCGCACAGCTCTCTGGCACCATTGTCACGGCCTTTGTGCAGTGCGGCACGGCAATTTGGATCATGGGCTCAGTCAAGGACATTTGCATGACCAATGCCGCGTGGATGTGCAATAACGCGCGGTTGTTTTACGCTGCATCGATTATCTGGGGCCTGGTCGGCCCGCAGCGGCTGTTTGGCAGCGAGTCCGACTACCACCCGTTGATCTACTTGTTCATTATCGGCGCACTGCTGCCCATACCGGTGTGGTATTTGCAGCAGCGGTACCCGAACAGCTTCTGGCGGTGGGTGAACCTGCCGGTGTTTTTCGCAGGCCTGAATGCCACGCCGCCGGCGGCCAGCGCGTCAGTCGTCGCGTGGTTCCTTGTCTGCTTTGTATTCCAGTTCATCATCCATAGGTACCGGTACGGATTCTGGCAGAGGTATGCATTCGCTATCTCGGCAGCCCTGGACTCGAGCGCGGCATTCGCCACCGTGGTGATCTACCTGGCGTTCACTTTGTCCAATATCTCAATGCCTGACTACTGGGGCTCAAAGACAAACCTTTGCCCACTGGCGAACTGGCGGCGGCGGCTACAAAAACTACCAGGACTTCCACCAGCCGTCGTAATGAGAACACTTTATAAAAAGCACATGTATTATCGGTTTCTTATCGTCAATAAAACGTTTAGCAAATATCCACCAGCTGTATATATCAAAGTACAAGGAGGGCATATCAAGCCTGCTGCTCGCAAGCCATCTTGCCATCGCTCTCACATTGCTCCCGAGTTCAGGATAGTGTAGCGGCTGCCAAGGACACAGTGGAAGACCAACTTGTATGAACAGCGACGACAGTCTTCGACTCTATAGCCCTTGGTTTCGGGCAAAAAGAAGAAGCAGAAGACAAAGGCCAGGATATTGAAGCCCATGAAGAAAAAGAATGTATAGTCGCCTAGCGCCTCCTGCATGGGCGGGAAGAACACGCCGATGGCAAAAGTAAAGGCATAATTGACAGCGCCGCCGATAGCCGCCATGGCCGTCATGGCGTACGCTGGCTGTCATCTCGGATGCTGTCGCCCAGGGCAGCGGCCCGACACCAAAATTGAAAAAAGATGGCGAAACAAAAACACCATGGTGATGACCAGGGCGTTGGTGCCAGTAATAGGACCCGACGACCATCAGCAGCGAGAAAGAGAGCCATGGTGCCGATGCGACAGCAGCATCAGAGTGCGGCGGCCGAAGCGCGCGCACAGGAGCATGCCAGGCGAACACCGAAATGGCAGCCACAATGGAAATGACAAGGGAGAGGATCTGGGCGGTGGTTGGGATCTGCGACGGGTCGTCATGGGTTGTGCGGTTGAAGATCTGCGTGGAATAAAAAATAACTGCATTGATGCCCGACATTTGCTGAAACAGCATCACGGTGCTGACCACCACCAGCTGGTGCCGCAAGTTATCGGGCGTGCGGCCCATTAGCACATCCAGAACATTGGCCTTGGGTGCCTTCTCTGCCTGGGTCGCCTGCCGCGCAGCATCCGCAATCATATCCTGGAGCTCCAAAGTAATATCAGCGTTCTTGCGCAGCCGTGCCAGCGCACTATGCGCCTGGTCAGTGCGGCCATGCGCCACCAACCATTTGGGCGACTCGACGCAGACAGGAAACAACAGAGTTGTCAGGACGCCAATCACTCCGGTGACAGCAAATAAAACGCGCCACAGCGGCGGCCTCGACAGCCCCAGAGACAAGGTATTCGCCAGCATAATGCCGATACCCGTGGCTAGCTGAATCGTGCCGCTCAGGATATCGCGCGACCTGGGAGTCGTTGATTTCGCTCACATACACCGACACAGTGCCATTGCAGAGCCCAGCGGCAATGCCGACGAATATCCGGCCGATAATGAACTGCGCCAGGGTGGTTGATAGCGACAGTAGTAGGGCGCCGCATACAGATAGTAGAGGAGCCCAGGTGAGCACGAATTTGCGTCCATGCTTGTCGGCCAGCGGGCTACCGGCGATTGAGCCGATCAGAGCGCCAATGGCGAAGCAACCAACAGCCACGCCCCAGATGGTGGACTCGGTCTGGGATGCATGAGGGGAAGGGACCGTTGTAGTGGACTGGGACCAGTGACACAGTTGGAGATAACGTCACCGGGGATGTTGATGACGCCGATGTTCCAGCCAAAGTTTACGCTGCCCAGGGCGGCCATTGTGGCGCAAAATACCTGGTATTTGGTTACGCCCAGTGAACGTGAGTCGACGGACATTATGTAGTTACTACTAGTTTGAATGTATGGAGGTTAGTGAGGAATACGGGAATTTGTAGAAAACAACGGGCGACTTCTCTTCCTTGCGCATGCTGGCTTTTATAGGAGAGAATTGGAGGAGGAGGGAGGAGGAGGAGGAGGGCACACAGGCATGCTGCGGTATCTGCATGTGCTGGCATAATTTCACAGAGCATCCCTCCATCACCATTACTAGAGGTGTAGGTTCTCCGAAATGCAATTTCCATTGGAATGGTTTGTAAGCAGAGGGCAGTGAGCCAATAAGAGAGGATCAGAATGGGAGTATATTGCGTGGAGGTATGCTAGTGCCGCACATTGTCAGTCCGAGGATAGACGGGAGCCAAATATAGGGTTGGCAAAGATACTCCGGCGACAGAACCACTGGACAGGTCTGGCGAGCTTTACAGAGGAGTCGTTTTGCTGGTCTAGTTGCGGGACTGTGTATCAGAGCCATTGGGTTGGGGGAGAGATCATGGGTGGATCACCCGAACGAAAGAGTAGAGATTTACCTTCACAGGATTTCAGCAGAGCAATCAGTCCGAGGCCGTCATTCGGCTTTGGGCGCTTGGGCATTCATTGGGGCCGTTCAGGTTCGAATCCCAGAGGGTTCAGCTAACAAACACCCAGTCGACGATGACAGTACTGCGCTAATACTGTGCCACCAACTTGCAAGCGGGGGCCAGATCTATCCTTCTGGATTGATAACTGCGCTCTGAGTCGACTTTTTGCATTTTAAAACAGTAGCATGGAGTGCACATTTTTAATGCAAGTGGCGATGTGTGTTTCTGGGTAGGGCAGTTGAGGTTCAGTTTATTTTTTCTTGTTGCGCAGGCGGCTGAGCATCTTCATGGGGGTGAGGAAGAAGCTCTCGTTCTTGTCGTCGTTGTCGTCATGATGGGCGTGCGGTGAGGGCAGGTGGTGGTGGCTGGAGGACTGGCGCGCGGTACTGCGCGAGCGGGCGCGAATTGGGGTGTAGAGCACCGGCTGCTTGTTTTCTTCAGGGACAGCGGCGGCAGCAGCGCGCGCGGGCGGCGGACGGGCAACCGCCGGTGATTTTGCATTCAGGGTGGAAATAGTGTCGTCCTCGAAATCCGAGTTCTCTGGGTCAACACTCAGCACGGTGCGGTTAGCGCGCAGCCTGCGCTTCTTCTTGCCAGACGGCGGGCGGCTGCTGGGGGTCCGGGTGACGGTGGGCATGGGGACATCGTCGGCCATTGGGACATCATCTGGGGGGATTTCGGATTTGCGCGAGCGCTTGGAGCCCTGGGGGCTGGGCGGTTCGGCGTCGGAGATACTGCCGGCGACCGCTGGATCAATAGGCAGATCGTGGACCTCCTGGCTGGTGAAGGTGACGCTGACGCCACCAGTAGGCTGGGCAACGATAGGGCCGGAGTAGACGACGGAGCGCACCTTGGGCGGGCGCAAATCGGCATGCGACATGCTTCCGGGTGCGTCCTCAGCCAGGGTGCGCAGGCCGCCCTCAAAAGACAGCACCTCAGCCGAGTAATTGCCAAGGCGACGAATGGAATGGCTGCGGTTGCGGCGCGACTCGGGCGCCAAGTGCTGGAAGACGCGGCTCACCACGCGCTTGGCCTTTTGCTCGAACCGGCTGCTCAGCATCGACTGGTCGCTTGGGGCAAAGGACTCGGTGGAGGCGAAATGACGCGACGGCACATGGCGCTGCAACGCCGAGGGCTTGGGCTCAGGCATGGCGTGGGCGCCCAGCGGATTGCCGCCGTTGATGGCCTCAATGGAGTTGATGGACTTCAGCGACACCTTGCAGAATGACCCGTCCTCGCTGTCGCTGGGCGTCGACGCCCTCACCTGCGTCTCCAGACCCGTCGACGCCGGCAGCGCATCTGTAAGCTCGCTGCCGCGCACCTGGGCCTGCAGGCGACGGATCTCGCGCATCAGCACATCGTTCTGGGCCGACAGCTGCGAGTTGCGTTCCTGCTCGCGCGACCACCACGCAAACGCGTCGTCGCGCTCCCGACACGCGTGCTGCAGAAGCTCGTCGGGCATGGCGTCGGTGACGGCCTGGCGCGCACTGATCAGCTGGCGCAGGCGCTCCTGCACCGGCAGGAGCTCCTGGGTCTCCCACTGCCGCCGCGCCCGTGCTGCGTGGGATTCGGCATCACGCAGTTGGCCCTTGAGCATGGCGGCTTGCGCCAGGAGCTCTGCACGCTCCTGCACGTGCGCTGGATGGCGGGCGTGGTCGGCGCGCGCGTCCTGCAATGCGTGCTGGAGCGCATCACGTGCCATGCGCTCGGCCGCCCGTGCCTGGTTAGCCAGGTCCAGTTGTGCTCGCTGCGCCGCACACTGCGCGTCCAACGCATCGATGCGCGAGCGCAGGCGGACGATCTCGGTACTCTCGCCGGCCGACACCGACGTGACTTTGTTGGCCCGCTTGCTCTGTGCGCGGCTGACAGCCCGACGCAAGGCTGTGCGTGGCGAGACAGTCTGCGCGGCGTCGGTCTGCCCAATGGCTGCGCTCAATGCGTCCTCCAGTTCCTCGGCGCTGGGCATGTGCGGGGCACGCACACGCGACAGGATATCCAGCTTATGTGCTGCCTTGGCCTCGCCGCGCCGCACCTCCTCGGATAGCCGCTGCCGCCAGGCATTCTGCAGCTCGGAAATCCGTGCCACGAAAAACCCACACGCCTCCTGCCGCGTCTCGGCCTCGACACTTGCCAGCCGCTCCAATGCCGCAGTGTGTTCTGAGCGCAGCCCGTCGTATGCAGTCTGCAGGGCCGCCGCATAGTCCACCAGCGCTGCCAGTTCGCGCGGGTCGGTTCGCGAAAACCCAAACTGAGCGCCCTGTGTCATAGCCCGCCACTCGCCTGTGGGTGTACTGGGAACCACAGGCTTGGCTGCCCGCCTGCTGGGCGTCGCTGGAGTGCTGGGGAGTACCGAGGACGGATCGCGATAGGCGCCGCCCAGATCGGCACGCACGCGCTTGGCCGAAGGACCGGCGTCACGTGCAGCTGCCCGCTTCGACCCATCCACCCCGGCATTCTCCTCAGGCGGATCCTCGACACGCCGCACATGGGCGACCAAAGCACTGGCGACCTGGGCAAAATCCAGCACACTGCGGGTCTCTGCGGCCACATCAGTATCGCCAGCATCGTACGGATCCACACAAACAACCATGACGGTGCGGGCGCCGCCCTCAAGCGCCGGCTGCAGCAGCCGCGTGACCTTGGACTCATTGTACGGCACCAGCGCCGGCGGCTCACCAGGCGCCCGCTGCGCATTGAAGCGCTTGACGTCAAGACATTTCTTCAGAGTCATCAGGACTGGTGTTGATTTTGCCAGCCTCGGCCAGCCGCGCCCCGTGCGCCTGCGTGCGTCTCACCCGCTCGCTGCCCGCCAAATCCACAACTGTCAGGGTCCGCACCGACGCCCGCGCCCCGACGATGCCCAGTGGGCTGGCCGTAGCCGTGCGCTGCGCCTTGACTAGCCGCGCCTGCAAAAGCACGTGCGAGCGCGACGACCCGGCGTTGGCGCCGGTTGCGTGGACTGCGCGGCGCAGCTGCCCGTGGATCAGCACGCGGGCCAGGTCACGCGTGGTCCTTACCCTGACCGCCGTCGCTCCCTCCACAAACGCCTCCTGCCCCTCGGCCCGCACCAGCAGCGGTGTCCTCTGCTTGCTCGCAATCTGCTTTCCCGACATTGCCTGCGGATCGTCCCCACGCCGCCGCCGCCTGCGCGCCCCAGGCACTGCCGTCAATGTCGTCAGATCCAGCAGATCGTATACTGTCTCGTTGTGGATCTCCACGTATGTCACATACAGTTGGTATATCCAGTCACCGGGCTCCTCACCGAGCGCCGCCGGGCCCTGCAAAGCCTCTACCCACGCGTCCTCGCCGGGCGCTGCGCGGAACACTGGTGCTGAGACGCGTGCATCGGAACAGAACTCCACCTGCGTCGCATACTTGGGCCTGATCGCCAGGTCGCCGTGTGCATTCAGCCTATCCACCTCATGCAGAACCGCTGCAACGCTGCGCGCCAGCACCCCCGGGTCCTGCCCATGGCCCTGCACTGTATGCGTCTTGCCCGAGTTCGTCACGCCATATGCAAATAGCAGAGTGTTGTAGCCGCGGAACAAGTCCCGCACCACCGGCGCCCCACACACCTCATATACCCGTGCCTGTGCTGTCTGCCCCGGCAATACCCCACTGAACAGGTACCGCGACCCGCCCATCTCCACCTCCTTGTCGCTGACCACCTGCAATACGCTGCCGGGCATCGCTTCGCCCTCTAGCATTGACGCTGATGCAGGCTTCAGCCGCAGGTACGTCGTGATTGGGTCTGTTTCTGCCGCATATTTTCCGATCGTCCGCTTCACCGAGTAGGGCGTCCGTGCTACGGTGTGGGTACGCCTTGGCGTTGCGGGAATGTTGCTGGTGTCGCTTCTGTATCCGCTCTCTGTCTTGCGCACCCCCACCTCTCTTGTGCTGCCTGCTTTCTCTGCTGTGCGCGTTCCCATGCCGAACTGCTAAATGCTAAACTATAAATGGCTAAATGAAAAAGTAAACAAAAGAGCCGTACTGTTTATCCTTTGCGGTTTTTGTAGATTTGAGCGTTCATGCTGCCAATTGGCTTTTATTTCTTAATCACAGGTCACGTTTTCTTGATTCTAGTTGTTAACAAATCCTCGGTTGATCAGCCGTCCGAAGATCATGCCCAGTGTCCGCCCAATGCGCTGGTTGTACTCGTCGTCACCGCCGAACCCCTCCTGCGCAAAGTCATCCACATCCTGGTAATCTACTTGTCCACTGCGCTTGGCCTTGCTCGAGTGCTTCTTGGTCTTCGAGGGCTTTCTCTTCGGCCACCTCCACTGGGTGGAGAACTTTGGCGGAAATCCGTCGCATCCGGTCGTGGGACAATCCTGCGTGGTTATCAGACGCTTGGCCTTGCTCGAGTGCTTCTTGGAGTTCTTGGACTTCACTGGCTGGCGCGTCGGGCGGTTCCACTGGATAAGGTCTGGCTTGTCGCGCCAGCAGCCTGTGATGCTACATTCCTGCAGAATCATCATGCGCTTAGCCAGCGCTGCCTGGTTGTTGTCTTCCGCGCGCTCACCGCCGTATCCGACTTGGCTGGCTGCGGTCACTGCTGCAAGCAGCGTAAAAGAGGTCGTAAGAGTAAGACGCATGGTGCTGGTTTTTTGGCTTGGATTGAAATGCAAATGCAGAGTGTGTTGGAATGATGTTGTTGATGTGTTTGTTGTTAATTTAGGTGAATCTACCCCTCCATCCAGACCTTTTATATGTGGAATCACAAACTTCTGGATACTCTTCCCCTCTCCTGGATATGCCACCTAGATATCCCTATTTTCTATCTTTAGTCTGTGCCAAGATGCAACAATGCGGGATAAAAATGGACACCATCTACCTTTGGTCTGCCCGAACCCGCTACATTACCAAACATCTATAAAGGCAATCCTTGGCTATTTATCGGAAAATCGTCCGATGACATCTCAAAAAGATGTGTGCAGAGTCTCACAAAGAAATGTCCCTCTCCTCCAAAATAGATATGCATGTGGTGGTCTTATAAATAAACGAAATCGAATTCTAGAAAATCCAATGTGCATAAATCCAATCTCCTAGTACGTCATCCTGGCGCAAACGCGACTATGCTTCCTCATATCCAAACGCACCCTCATATGCCTTGCCATAGAGGGACACCGGGTCAAGAAACCGCGCCCGGAACGTAATTCCATTGATTCTTGAAAAATCCTCGTCTGTAATCTCAATACGCTCAAAGTTCTCCACCAACCGCTCCTGGCAGTTTGTCTTTGGAATAACACTGTACCCGCGCTTGACTCCCCACGCCAGCAGTACCTGCGCTGCCGACACACCACGCTCCCTGGCAATCTCATTGATAACCGGGTCTTCGCGCAAATTAAACTTTGCAATCGAACCCAGCGGCGAGTGGCCCGTTATTGTAATGCCCTTTGACTGGCAGAACTCCACTAGTTTTGGCTGCGGCAGGTATGGATGCAGCTCAACCTGGTTCACCGCAGGAACAACTGTGGTGTTAGCAAGCAGGTGTTCGAGTCGTGCGGCAGAAAAGTTAGATACCCCAATTGCCTTTACCCTGCCGGTCTCCAACAGCTTCTCCATCGCCCTGTATGTGTCTACGACGTCAATCTGCAGATCCGACTCGTGGATACCGTCAGTATGTGCAACGGGCTCACTCACGCATAGCGGACCATGCATCAAGTACAGGTCGATGTAGTCCAGGCCCAGCTTCGCCAGCGACTCGCTCAGACCAGTGGCCACGTCTTCAGGCCGGTGGAACGAGTTCCAGAGCTTGGTTGTGACGAATATCTCGGAGCGCGCTATGCCGCTGTTGCGAATACCTTCGCCCACTGCTGCCTCGGTGTCGTACATCCAGGCAGTATCGATATGGCGGTAGCCAGCCCGGATTGCCTCTTCAACTACCTTGGCCAAAATATCGTTCTTGCCAAGCCAGGTACCAAAGCCTATTATAGGCATCTTTGCGCCCGTGTTGAGGGTTAGTACTTGGGTATATTGGGAAGATACCGTCATTTTCCGCCTTCAAGATACGATTTATACAGTGTTCAATATGTGAATAAAAGACGTTGTCTTTATGAATACAAATACCTTGCTTCTTGTTGGATGGTTATATGCCCCTTAGGAATAAGTATTCACTTACCTCATATTCTCCAGGATTAGGGCTGTGTGAGAATTATCCACCATCTAAGAGCAATGGAAGCTGAGGTGGCTTGGGTCCACACGAAACAAACAACCACCTCTTTCCACAATAGCAATCAAGGCAAGAGGCGCTGCCGCAATCTACGCACAATGTCAGCGAATATTAAGAGGTGGGGACATTCAGTGCTGCTTTTTAGCTAGAGGTAGATGCAAGCTAGCTGATCTTAACAAGTGTACCGTATATTTCTTGTGGTGTCAGCAGAAGAGAACATGAATTCCACCCATGGCGTACATCGGCACACTCAATAATGTTAATGGAGCAGTTAAATCTGCTACCACTTCCAAAGCTGACAGCGGCCACGCTTCTTCAGATCCAAAGAAATCAGTATACTCCTTGCCGAAATAGACTACTGGGTCAAGATAACGAGCCAGATATACTATTGCATTGATTTTAGCCACATCTGTATTAGTAATGTCCGCCTGCTGCAGGTTCTCTACTATCTACCCCTTCTTGGTTAACCCTGCCAGTACATTGCTCTCCCATCTGATTTCCCACGCAAGCAGTGCCTGTGCTGCCGAGATTCCATGCCCCTGGAAATCTCATTGATAGCTGGATCTTTGTGCAAACCGAACTTTGCATCCGAGTCCAATGGCAGGCACAGCGCCACTGCAATGCCCTTTGACTGGCAAAACTCTGCTAATTCTGGCTATGGGAGGTACGGGTGCAGCCCGACTTGGTTCACCGCCGTAGCAGCTGTGGTGTTTGTTGGCAGATACTCAATGTTTGGCATAGGAAAATTTGGCATGCCAATCGCCCTAGCCTTGTATGTCTACAAAGTCAATCTGCGGATTACCATCTGTGGTGCCTTCATTTGAATTGCCTATGAGGTTTATACATAGCGGCCAATGCATCAAGCGAAGATCGACGTAATTTAGACCTAGGTTTGTCAGCGACTTGTTCAACCCATTGGCTACATCCTCGGGCCGGTGAAACAAGCTTCAGAGCTTGGTCGTTATAAATACCTTTGAGCATGGGATGCCGCTGTTGCAAATGCCGTCGTCGACCGCTGCCTCATTTTGGTACAATCAGGCAGTATCGGTATGGCAGTATCCGGTGCGAATGGCCTCTTCAGTTGATCTAGTCCCATGTTCGAGATCAGCAAACCAAGCTCCATGGCCCATGACGGGTATTTCAGCATCTGTTTAACATTGTATTTGCCAGTGAGCGGGGATATCCTAGCATGATCAGTATTCAGAACAAACAGCTGCTATTACTAGTTCAGTGAGGAATAAAGCCCACAGACATACGATGCGATGTAGCCTAGAGCTATGTTTCTTGAACCTGCAACAATGCCGAAATGCAAATTCTCTTTGTGGCAAGGGGCGCAATGTTGGGGAGGTACTGCGGATGGAGGCTGAGTTGGCACAAAGCTATGCGGCAGTGTGCTCACACGCCATAGGGGCAGCTATAAAATGGACTGAAATAAATAATATAGGTATCTCCGCCAAACTTGTAGCTGGAGGATGGCAGCTTTGGGGGGTATGTGAGAAAGTAAGCAAGCAAATATGAACATTGTTGAAAGCAGCACAGTCGCTATCACTATGACGATATGGCATCAAAAGCATCAGCCAAAGTAGAAGCTGGTCTGACAGCAGTGGTTGTAAGAAAAGTACACCCTGTTGCCATCGTCGCTCGCTCATGTTATGACATGCTGTGCATCATATCGTTTCGTGGCCCAATTCTGTAACAGCGTTTCGAGCCAGGATGTTGAAAATAGACCTGAGTCGATGGCTACTCTGTGCTGGTAATTGCGCCCTAGATTTGTTGACCAATTAATGCATCGGACACGGACTTTGGTCTTGTTTGGCACCTAATGTATTACGGTTGCCCACATGACACTTAGTGCATATGTGTGCACGGATGCAGATCATCAGAGGGGATGGAAAGAGGGATATGTGTCGATCAACAGGCATTCGTGGCCAGCCTCATTTTCCTAGCAGAGCAAGCAGTGCAGGCGTAGAAGCAAATATGCACTAACGGGCGAGACGGAAGACATGTCGGGCCGCCCACTGACCCTTATTACCCCGAATGCTGTCCACTAAGCGCCAAGGAATTGCTGCATCTATATAGCCAAGCGGGCAAAGACCGAAAAAAATCCTGCGTGGAGGGAATTAGGTCTGAGAGCCCTTCTCCGTAGTTCATTATTACTGCTGCTTTCCAGAATAGCAGTCTTGAGATAGGTGGAATAGTGGGTCCCAGTGTTTGCATAAAAAGGGTGGCAACGCCAGATCACTTGCTGTCCTCCATTCACCACACAAACCTCTCCACCTTTTTATCTCTTCTTGACCACAAACACGCTAGTCTACCGCAGCTATGATTCAAGATATCAAGGGCCATGTCGCTGTTGTCACTGGTGGTGCACAGTCAATGGGCCTCCTTACTTCCAAGGAGCTCGTAAAACTCGGTGCCAAGGTAGTCATTGGGGATGTCCTCCCAGTTGGAGCTGAAGAAGTTGCCAAGATCAACGCCGAAGCTGGATCTACTGTTGCAGTGTTCCAGACTTGCGATGTGTGCGACCCCGATGCACTGCAGGCCCTTATTGACCGTGCGGTCTCTGAATTTGGAAGATTCGACATTCTAGTCAACAACGCTGGTGTTCTCGACAAGCCCTGGGAGCAGGATCCGACCGGCGAGTACGCGCGCCGCTGCATCGACATTAACGTGCGTGCGTTGATTGACGGAACTAACCGGGCTCTCCATCACTGGAGTCAGGAGGAGGGCCGCACTGGCACAGTAGTTAATCTAGCCTCATCTGCCGGCTACGCACCGATATCGTTTATGGCGGCCTATACTGCCTCGAAGGCCGCTGTTATCATGTATACAAAGTCATTGGCAAGCCTGGCTCCCAAGGTGCGTGTCAATGCAGTGGCTCCAGTGTGGGTCGATACAAAGTTCATCATGGCCGACCACATTGGCCAGGACCACTATACTATCAAGGTAACAGGGCTAATCCACCCAGACACCGTTGTCGCTGAGATTATCAAGCTTGTCGTCGACAGCCAGTATGCCGGTGACATTGTTCGAATCGAAAACGGCAAGGAACCTTATTTTGACAGCGCGCCCAAGTCAACCCACGTGGAGGCCAGGCTCAAGAGCGCTGCTCAGGCCTTGTAAAGTATGTCCTTTTTAGCATTGTCCACATAACCTGTTCAGTCAGTAGCAAGTTTGTTACAGAGGCAAGTAAAGTGTGCGTGTTTTGCAGTAATGGGGCAAATACTACTCTATTTGAATACTCTGGTTGTCTACCTGTGCAGCATTGACATAACGAGTGTGAGGCTACTTGTTCAAATAAAAAGGCACAGAGGGATGCTGTGTGGGTGTATTGGTTGTCTGGCGCCTGACCTATCCACAGAGTAGCGCCGATAACCTTCATGTCTGCTTAGCTACGCTAGCAAAACATTCAATAATAGAGCCTATCGATTTAGCTCTGACGAATCCAGCCAATGGGTGCACCTCAACTTGTGCCCATTGATAATCTTTACCTATATGTAAGATTTTATAGTCCAAAAAGTATCCGACCGTCCGCTAAAATCATTTTAGTTGGTTAAAAATAAAACTCTTAAGCTTCAACATGGGTTTGAGTGACTTACTCTATAAACTCCTTTTTGATCTTGTGCGGCATCTGACCTCATCGGTGAAACCAGAGTGACGAGTTGTTATTGTAGTGGTCACAGGTCTCCACTAGATATCTCCATTGGTTCAGCACAAGAGCTGCTCTCATTGTCGGTCGGCCTGATAACTTCCATGGCATCATCATGGTGGTCATCACCGGCTGCGCAACACTCTTAGGATGTTTATCTATGAGCACCTATTGAATAAGGCCATATAGCTCTTCTGGTGGTTATGCAATATTTGTGGGTTTATTTTATAAATTAATTTGTCTTATGAACATGCGTAAGCGGTAGTATTTGGGCCACAATGGATCCAGTCTATATAGACTGATTCAAGAGACTGTATCAGTGCTAAGGGCCCCAAGAACCATGCAAGCCAGATCATTTTTAATAAAAAGTTCTTAATGCTATGCATACGCAATAAAGCAAAACTGAACAGCATCATTTCTCTACTTTGCCTATTGAATTTCTCAAATGAATATTACCCGCAGCACTACTGTCATAAAGACATCACTTGGTGGTATTGGCTTCTGTGATTCTATGTTGCCCCGCCTAGAGCAATTTGTATACAGCGTCAATATCATCAAAGAGCATGTATACATGCTTGCACGATGGATATTACTCCATCAACTAGCTGATGATTATGCCTTTGACCCTGCAACATTTGTGAAAAAGGGGGGGGGTTCGTTCTATTTATTTATTTATCTATCATAACATGAAGGCAAATCCACTTGCTGCTGCATCGGCGGCAGCAGCAGACACTGTTGCAGTACTTAACAATGAATATGCACCAGCACCCCCAGTCTATGCATACGACCCGGTCCAAGGGATCACACAACCTGTGTGGGATGTGTGGGGCCGGGTCGCAGATCTAACATCAAAGCCATTTAAGGCGCATGGTGATAGAAAATTCCACGGAATGGCGACAACAGATGGTGTAACAATATGCATTTTGTTGCAAGATAAGATATCCAAGGCTGGTGGTGCAGTAGATGCCGATGGTGCAGGAGACGATGCTGCGGGAGGCAATGCTGCGGGAGGCAATACTATAACTGACTGTCGCTATATCCACCAGATCCCACAGCCAGAGCTGCAGAATCTGAAAGGCCGCTGTGTATTCATCGATCCAGGTCAGGGCGATTTACTGTATATGATGCACGAAAATAGCAGCAATGGGAAAGAGGGTGAAAAAAATGCTCTACCGCTACACACGGCAGCAGCGCAATAAGGAGCTCAAGCTGCGCCACTATGACAGGATTCACTGGGCTACAAAGGATCAAGTCCCAGAAGATGCTGTCCGCAGAGCAGAGGCAGAGCTTTCCAAGCACTGCTGCCGGACCCTTAGCCCAGCAAAATTCCGTGCCTGCGTTGCTGCCCGTGCATCTGTGCGGTGTGTCCTAGCACCGTTTTATGCCAGCACGATGACAGCGCGAAGGTTACCAGAGTAACAACTCACTAAGTCAAACAAGAAGCACCAGGGGCGCTGGAAGGCCCATCCGGGTGTCGGGACCAGTCCCAAGGTGTACCCGCTTCACCGCAAGCTGCGCCTTGATTCATTCATGAACCAGGCCCGTGCAGACCACAGGCTTGCCGCGAAACTCCGGAGCAAGTTCGGTCCAGATCCAGTGCTGGTCATGGGCAATTGGAGTGCGCCGATGGCCCGACACCATGCACCGATTCGTGGCAAGGGATGGCGCGACAAATTCAAGCACCATGGCTTTGAAGTCTATCTGATCGACGAATTCTGGACATCGTCGATGTGCCCGTTCTGCTGCGAAAAGTCACTGCAGACATTCCGGCATGTTCCCAACCCGCGGCCCTACCAGAGATCGAAGAACCCAACTGTGAAGTGCCATGGCCTTCTCCGCTGTACAAGCGAGTCATGTAAGCAGGCCATGGCACAATACAGGCGAGCCTATTCGTCTCGGCTCTTGAACCGCGACCTCGCAGCAGTTCTAAACTTCAGACTCGTTTTCCAGTCACTCTGTGATTCAGGCAGTATTCCTGAACGGTTCTGTTGCCCTACGGCCATTGTTGCCGATGCTTCTGGCACCACCCCTGAAACAAAGAGGCCGCGCAAGAAGCGTGCAGCAGCAGGCGATTCTGCTGCTAGCAGCAGCGAGCCAGCGCTGAAGCGCCTACGCTGAGCAGACCACCAAGGTGGGAGATGTCCATGGTCGACATTGCACCAACAACCATCCGACACGTTCAAATGACCGGTTCGCCGTGATGCCCTTATCGACGTGTCAACCCATGCTGACTAGCAGCCGAGCTCGCATCGCGAGCAGAGCAATTCTAGTACTACTAAAACTACACAACGGTTCATACACCCGTTTTTCTGTGTGCTTGGGGTGAGAGTGTTGTGTATGATATTATTATGTGACGGCTTAGGTTCATATTTTCACTTGAACACCAACTACCAACTCTCTACCATAGCATTACTCTGGACTAAAACAACCCCGACTCTCTGCAGGCCCTGATTGACTGTGCCGTCTCTGAGCTTGGAAGATTCGACACCCTAGCCAACAGCGCTGGTGTTCTCGACAGGCCCTGGGAGCAGAATCCCACGGGTGAGTATGCCCGCCGCTGTACCGACACCAATCTGCGCAGCCTAGTCGATGGTACCAACCGTGCTCTGCATTACTGGAAACAGGGCAGGGGCTGCACTGGAGCCGCAGTGAGTATGTTTACAAAATCATTGGAAGCTCTGGTAGCAAAGGTACGCGCCAGTGCAATGGCGCCTGTATAGGTTGATACGGATTTTGTCATGACCGATATTGTCAGCCATGACAACCTCACTGTCCACTGCAGTAAGCTGTTAGAGCCATCAGGGGCCATTGGGGAAGTCATGAAGCATATCACTGATTATCAATATTCAGGCAGCATTGTAGACATAGTTAATAGCAAAGAACCGCTCCTGGACAGTCGTCCCAGGTCCATCCAACCTGAGGCAACTATCCACACTGGCAAGCCTCTGGGATATTAGCGGTTTTCTGTTTTTCATAGTCGCATTGCAGCAATTGAAAGCGTATCCTTATCGGCTTTACGAGATATATGAACCTTTGGCTTGACCATCGTATCTGACATGAATCCATATCCCATGCTGTGTGTCGTATGTGCTACTCCCAGCTCCATCCTTTTTGTCTCTGCGTCTTGCCTCAACAAAATGACACCGGCATTTCGGGTATGATAGGATTCCAGTGCCTTGGTGGTAGTAAATCCGACAAAGCACTGGTTAAGAACGGTGAACATGTCACCCCTTTTCTGCGCACACTCCCTGGCCAGCATCACGCGCATAATCTGCTCGCCAGTGCCTGTGACACTGCACGCAACAGCGTCGCTCTTGGTACTCCGCTCGGCCCAGCACCCACACCCAAACATGGCAGCCTCACCGACCCGGCCAGGCAGTTTCAAGGCAATACCACCCGAGCTGACTCCTGCACAAGCGTCTCCCTCCATGTCGATGCATACAGCGCCAACAGTATCTTGCATGGCTTCGTCATTAACAGCATCTGCCTTATCAGCAGTTACCTGCTTCATATACGTTTCGTATTTGTGCATGGCTTCCTCCGTGATCTTGTGCCGCACGTTGTCGTCCGTCACAACGCTGTTGCTTCGCGCCCACTCATCAGCTCCATGGCCAACTAGCATCATAGGTGGAACTAGTCCGTGCATATCTGGACCTTGGCTCGACTTCAGCATCACTGCGTGTGCAGCTTCGATCGGATTGCGGATTGCTTCGATTGCACCAACAGCTCCAAATGCGTCGGGATGAGTTGCCATTATCGCAGCATCACATTCGACTTGACCCAGACGATTGAGGTTCGATCCAATGCCGGCGTTGGTAACGGGGTCGTCCTCCAGAACCCTGATCGCGCTCTCAACGACTTCGTGCGCTGGATGCCCAGCCCTCAGCTTTTCAATCGCCAGTTGGCAGGCATTGCGCATTGCCTGTTTGTATCTCTTGACCTTTGACTCGCCGTGTGTCCCAGCACCCACGTGCACGACGATACAGCACCGACTGGGCATACTTATTCTTTGGATAAACAAATGGGTTCGAGCGCAGTCTTCAGTGTCAGACAGGAATAAACAGAGACAATCCGCCACAATGTGGTCCAGACCATGATGGGGCGTGTAGGCCGGGCAGTTCGTGTACACTCATGCATGGTGCATTATGGATGTAACAAGCAAATTGGGGTACGCTTTTAGAAGGGTTATATTCGTATTTACGGAGAGCAAGAGAATAAGAGTAAGCAAGGGGACCTGGAGTGATGTTTTGGTTTGTTTGGGTCAAAGCCAGAGGCGTAGTGGTGGAGTACTCGGGTTCTCGTTGCTGCCCAAGCGGCAATCTGCCGGAAACCAGTTGCTAGGCAGAGCTCCAAGATAACTCCAAAAGAAAACAGAATCCGCTGAAGAGAGACGATCAACGTCCGCCGCCTCATGGAAAGCTATTATCCAAAAGAGTTGGATCCTGGGCCACGAAAAACAGGGTCAGAGAACCCAAGAGCAGCATCACTGCACCAGGCAATCGAAAAAAACACATCCTTCCTTCCCCGAAACCCCAGGGATAAGTTAAGAAGTAGCGGATGAAAGAGAAGAAAGAGAAAGGAGAGCCGGCTCCTTGGAGTCTCTATCGACATGAAGTGTACATCAAGAACTGGCTGCAGAGTTTATCAGGCAACCAAATCAGCACACATGAGTATGCGACTTAGCAGTCGACAAACGACCAGGAGATGGAGATACGGCCATCGTCAAAGTTGCCGATCTTCTCAAAGGCCGACGGGCTGAGATCCAGGTCGCCGGTCTTGCACACGGGGCAACGGTCGACGATCTTGACCTTGACCTGGCCCTTGGGGCCGTTGACAAGAGCACACTTGCCGCAGATAGGGGCATTGTTCGGGTTGGCGGTGGTGCCGTACTGGGGGGCGCTGATGGCGGCGATCATATCGGTGTCAGTGTTAGTCAGACCGCAGGATCCAAGGCCCGGGGTGTAGAAGGTACCATCACCGGAGAACGCATCGGAGCTGCCAGTGCCAGAGGTCGACGAGGTCGGCTGAGCAGCGGCAGAAGAGGTGCTGCTGGTCTGGGCGGCGTGGCCAATGTTCGCGGGGCTGGATGACGACGACGACGAAGAAGAAGAAGTAGTCGAGACAACCACCTCCTCAGGGGTAGTCGAAACAGCCTGCTCGGTAGTTGACGGGACAGCAACCTCGGTGGTCGAAGGGGCAACGTACGACGACGTCGAAGTAGCCTCCTCAGTGGTCGACGGGGCAGCCTCCTCCGAAGTTGTGATCTGGACGACCTCCTCGGTGGTAGATGGAGCAGCCTCCTCCGAAGCTGTGGTCTGGACAACCTCCTCGGATACAGTAGTCGGAACAGCAGCCTCAATGGTGGTCGACGGGGCAGCAGTCGTCTGCGCAGCACCAGCAGTGACAACCTGGGTCAGGTACACAGTGTTACCCTTGCTGGCAGGAGCGGTCTGAACCTCTGTGACAACAACAACGTTTCCCTTGGTAACGGGGGCGAGAGCGGTGGTGGCAGCGGGGGCAGCGGCGTCGACAGTGGCGGTAACAACCTGGGTGACAACGATGGTACGCAGAGCACGCGGGTAGAACACCCGGTTGTACTCGGCGGTTGCGTGCATGTCAGTGCGATCTGCGTTCTGGAGAGCAACGGGCATCGCGATGGCGACAGAGAACATAAGGGCGAAAAGGTTGGAAATGGTAGCGAACTGCATTTTTCGATATTGATTTACCAGAAATGTGGCGTGGGGTCTGTAGAATTTCAGGCAAGTGCGTTAGCGGGGACAAAAGTTTGAGAGTATTTACGTGACCGGCGCGTAAATGAAAGGGCAAGAGAAGGGGGTGTTGCAAGAGATAGCTCTGGCAGAAGGGGGAATAAGGTTAAAGGTTGGAGGGGCTGGTTTCAAGGGGGAAAGCGTAAGGAAAAACGGAATCAACAGAAGCGGGATGCTGAGGAATCCTGGGAGTATTTATACTTGCTTGCTACAGAACACTGACCGTGTATCGATAGCGGTTCATCGGGGGAAAGGTAGCTGCAGACCTACTTGCTCGGAGGGGCTTCCCGGCAAGGAGCAGGCGCATTAATCCATGGCGCTATTCTACCCAAACTCCACACATTGCGCACGGGCTTGAGTGCTCCGCAAATGATCCTCGCTCGTTGCACCGCAAAAGCCTGGTGGGCTAGAGCCAATGGGTGAGGGTGGCCATAGTGCGCTCTTCGTCCGTCGCCCTGTTCGTGAGTACGTAAGCCCTATTAAAGCACAGCGCAGGCGCGGCTGGGAATGTCATCCGATTCCGCTCAATCAGCCATTTCCACCAGCAATATTCCCGAACGCAATGTTGTTTATTCGGAGATCACTTGCGCACACACTCTCACTCAGCAGGTATGCGCCGCCACGGATTGGCTTAGCGATCACGGCTGGGCGCTAAGTTCCTGCGCTTTCCTGCATTCAGCGGCCCAGTGTAACCACTGAGCGCGCTCAACAACGGTCATTCAAAATGGGTCTCAAGTTGAGTGTCGTGCTACCAGCGCACCCTATTCGATCGCGTCAATAGCCAATTTCATTACATTGACATCCGCGAAATAACGCGAGAAAAAGGAAAGGTCTAGAAGAGAATCTGGCAGCATGTCACCGAGCGCAGACTGGTGCAGAAGCTCTTGACTAAATGTTGGGGGATGTGAGGTACACAAGTGGACAATGTAAAAACTCCAAGGATTTTAGTATTTCCACACAGACATTTCCAGGCTTTTCAGATGCTTGAACTGTGCCTCGGACCTATCATCGCACAGCAGCTCCTTGATCCAACTGCGGATAGCCTTGCATGTCCACTCCTCGCTCTTCAGCACCAACAACGACGGGACCCGGGCGACAACACAGGTTAGCTCGCGTTCCACATCCCAACTGCCACACCCAATGCTCTCACCACAATCGACATCTGCCACATATGCCACCAGTTGCGTGAGGCTGCGGCTCAGTGCGGGCAGATACGGCAAGAGTTGCGGACCCCACGTCCCTGGGCTGCGGTCCGATCGGGAACTGATGACTGGATGGAGGTGCACAGCCAGGCAGCGGAGATTCGGGAGGCGTGAGAGCAGATTCGGCAGGCAGCCAATGTCCAAACGCAAGCCCAGCGACAAGGATGTCAGACTGCTGAGGCCAATGATGTCTGGCAGCGTTACCGGAACTTGGACCGACGCCTGCAGCTGCAGACTCGATATATATGATGCCACTGAAAACACGCAGTTTAACCAGGATTGGAATTGGCCAGAGTCTTCGATGGGTCGAGAGAGGAAGACGCGCAAGCTTTTCATTTCTGTAATAGCCGGTGCTGCCAGTCCCTCGTAGCCGTGCGAGACATCGCGCAGCGAGACATACGGGATCCGGCCCACGTCAAAGTACTTCAGGACTCGCATGATTGAGTGAGGGTACTTTAGCACACCTAGATGCTCAAGCTTGTGAAAGACTGGATGAACTTGCTTCCCCGTAACCTCCACGAGATCGTCCTCAGCAGAGATGCAAAGCTCACCATCGCCCATGCAGTCTGCAAAGAGGCTTGGAGTGCGGCGCTGCTTGACCTCCTTGCTCACCGGCTCAGTGTACTCGAGCACCAGCGACTCCAGCTGTGTGAACGCAATACAGCCCGTGTTGCTCGTGTAGAATCTCTGCCACAGCGTCTCGGCTGAGGTAAAGCACATGTGCAGCGAGACAAGTGATTCGGAAAACACCATTGGCAGGGCTGCTGCACCGTCAGGCATTGGACAGCAGATCGTCATCCTTGTGAGCTTGGGCAGGAATGACGTTGCGTTGAACACTGGAATCAAACCAGAGTTTACCCTGATTTCGCTTAGCTGGCTCAGTGTAGATCCCAAGAGCCCGTCGAGCGGGAACTCTGAATAGTGCGCTCGATCGTCGGCCGAGCAGTATGTCACCGATGACAGATTGGGCAGTGTATGCAGAAGGAATGCATTGAATCGCGCCACTGAGTCTCGCGCGTAGAGGTGGCTATCAGCAGCATGTCGGTGATGCAGGTGCAGTGCCGAGATGTTTTGCCAGCTCGCATTGGCAAACCCCTCGTTTTTCAGAACAGTTACCGGCAGATCGGGTCGCGTATCTCCTGCCAGATCAATAACAAGCCTCTGCACAATGTCTGTGTATCCATTGGTAAGTATCAGTCCGACATTTGACCGTCTGGCGTGTCTTGGGCGGTCATTAGCTGACTGTCCCTTTCGCCGGGGCAGTGCCTTGATGTGGCATACGGCTGAACGATAGAACAGCGGCAGTGCCGCCTGTCGCCAGGACCGGCACACTGCAGCCAGCGGCTGCAAGTCGTACAGCTTGTCAATGAGCGGGTCGTTCAGTGCACGCAGATCGCTGCCAATGTTGGGAAGCAAAAATTGATCAAACAGCTGCTTGAGAACAGCGGCGTTCAGCGACACGTCCTGGCGCTTAGGCGGGTTTATGGCAGAGGGCTCAGGTGCTGGAGCTTCCTGTAGCTGAGGTGTCTCAGAGATGTGGGCGGGTTCAGTGGGGCCTGCCTGCTCAGCTTTTGCCTTTTTCTCGGTGTGCTCTGGTTCCGAGTCCAGCAGCTGGCACATGTTCTGAAACCGCTCGTTTTCCAGACGCTGCCGTTTCCGTGTCTGGCGCTGCCGTGCTTTGGCCTGCGCTCTCTTTCTGCTCTTCGCGTTGCCCATGTCAAAGAAAATTTGTGCAGTAATTTGACAGAAAAACACCAGGTTGAAAAAAAAAACCTCCAAAGGGCAAAAAACTGACCAGCTGAAATATTCAAACTGTTTACTATAAAAGCAGTTGAGCCGCGAGCTATCTGCCAATTCCATGAAGACGATGGTTCAACACTGACACCATGCTATTCATTATTCACAGCTACATAAAGGACGCTATGCAGCAAAGTACCGGCAGCAGCTGCATCGTTACTGTCGGGTACTCAAAGACAGGCCGATTATGGTGCTAACGCGTAGCTGGTGTTTGAGCTTCAACATTGCCCTGCATGCTTAATGGAATCTAATCCAATCTCGATATGTGGACACGGTGAGTAGATTTGGGTGCATTTTGTTATGACCTTGCATGCGTAATCCAGTGTAGATGTGGTGCCGTCACTGCAGCGGCACATCGTTCTTTCTTTCCATTGCTTTCACACCACGCAAATAGTATTTCGCACGATATTTATCCACTTATCATGGCGCAGCTCCAAGGACAAGAGCTTAGGCAGCAGCTTGCAAAGGACAAGAGCCACCATCTCCCGAACGGACGGTTCAAGAACCCCTGGAACTCGTTCCAGCCAGCTTCATGGCTGTCGTACGTGTCGTACCTTCTGTTCAGAAGGAGCACCAAGCTTGTCACGCAGTCCATCGAAGAGGGCCGTGCGCCCGAAGTGCTCGTTCTCGATACAGATGCCTTGAGCAACCCGCCCAAAGACAAGATTCAGTTTACCTGGCTGGGCCAGTCTTCGCTGTTTGTGCAGATTGACGGCGCCAACATTTTGTTCGACCCGGCTCTCTCTGAGCGCTGCTCGCCGGTGCAGTGGATAGGGCCGAAGCGTATCACCAAGGCTCCATGCGCAGTTGCTGAACTGCCACGAATCGACGCTGTTGTGCTTTCGCACGACCATGTTGATCATCTGGACTGGAACACGCTTACCGATGTGGTTGCAAAGTACCCAGAGATCCAGATTCTTGCGCCGCTTGGCAACGGTCCGATTTTGAAGAGTATCGGGTTCAAAAACATCCGCCTAGCCGACTGGTGGGACGAGCTTGAGATAGAGCTTGGTGCTGAAAACAAGTCGCTCACCTTTGCCTGCACGCCTGCACAGCACTCATCTGGCCGAGGCTTTTTCGACAAGGACGCGTCGCTGTGGGCCTCTTGGGTCGTCCAAGGGTCTGGCAGGTTTTTCTTCTCTGGCGATTCTGGATACTCTGCATCCAACAACAATCCGACGGGTGCCAAGAACCCAGCATTCGAGCAAATTGGCAAGGTCTATGGCCCTATTGACTTGGCAGCAATTGCGATTGGTATCTACAGCCCACCAGAGATTCTAGACTCGTTGAACATGCAGCCTGAGCAGTCGGTAAAGGTGCACGAGGAAATCCGGTCGCGCCGTTCTATTGGCGTGCACTGGGGCACTCTGGCGGTCACCGAGGAGCCAGTGGACGAGCCGCCGCAGAGGCTGGCAGCCGAGGTACTGGCGCGTGGGCATCAGGCCGAGGACTTTGGTGTCATCAGGATTGGAGAGACTGTTCAGCAAGCGTGGAACTAAGTGCTAACGCGGATTCATCGGGTGATGGCTTGGACACACCATCCCTATGCCTGGCTGGCTATGAGCGCTCAACACATCCGGGCGGCTTCCCTTGCTCCTGCCTCTTCCGTACTGCTTACGTATTCATATTACAATGCCTTCTGTTTTTTACAAGAACACTGCCTTCCGCATACATGCCAGAAGCCGGTGATCACCGTCGGAGCCAACACCCAGTGTTTATATGGCACAAACATTGGGTGAGAATCACCACCAAGATCATCTTGGCTCTCGCTTTTTCTGCCAAGACCAGTCAATTGCTGGCCCTGCCTCCCCTCTCCCGCAACACCGCTTAAAAACTAGTGCCTTTGTTCTTGGTGATTTCCTCTCTACCTCTCCATTCTTGTACGTTTTTGGTAGCTACATATGTTTTTTTGGCGGACCCTTTCACGCCAACAACGCAGTAAAGTTGCCAGCATTCCTAAGCCTCGCGCCACAGCATACTCTACCGCACAGCTCGCAACCACACCCGTACAGCATATGCCAGACCAGCAGCAGACCCGCGAAACTCTACGGCAGCGGCTCTCGGCATCAAAGACGCACCACAACAACGGGCGGTTCAGAAACCCCTGGGAGTCGTTCGAGATGCCGACAGCAAAGATGCTGCTGAAGCACTTTTTCTTTAGCAGCGATACCAAGCCCGTGAAGCAGTCAATTGCTGAGGGCCGTGCGCCCGAGGTTGTGCCGCTGGACATGCAAGCCTTGGAGAACCCGCCCAACGGGAGGCTGCAGTTTACGTGGCTGGGCCACTCGTCGTTGTTTTTGCAGGCTGACGGCGCCAATATCCTGCTGGATCCGGTTTTGTCGGAGCGCTGCTCGCCGGTGCAGTGGATTGGACCAAAGCGGTACACTAGAGCACCATGCAAGATTGCCGAGCTTCCACGAATCGACGCCGTCGTGCTTTCGCATAATCACTACGACCATCTGGACTGGAACACGCTTACAGATGTTGTGAGGCAGTATCCGGATGTGCAGGTGTTTGCGCCGCTCGGCAATCAGCCAATTCTAACGTCCATTGGATTCAGGCATATCACCACCATGGACTGGTGGGACGAGCTCGAGGTGACGCTCAACAACAGCACGTTCAAGCTGGCGTGCACCCCGGCGCAGCACGCTACAAACCGCGGGCTGCTTGACCGGTTCGCCACGCTATGGGCCAGCTGGGTCATCGTGGCTCCGTCGGGCGGCAAGTTCTTCTTTTCCGGCGACACGTCGTACTCGGCACTGGTCGGTAACCCGACGGGTGCTTACTGCCCGGCGTTTGAGCAGATTGGACAGGTGTATGGTCCGATAGACCTGTCAGCAGTTGCGATTGGCGCATATGGCCCGGAGAAGGTGTTTTCAGGCGTGCATGTGTCGCCGGAGCAGGCGGTCAAAATCCACGAGGCAATCCAGTCGCGCCGCTCCATCGGAGTCCATTGGGGGACGTTCGTTCTGACCGACGAACCCGTAGACGAGCCACCACACAGGCTTGACGCAGAGATGCTGGCTCGCGGACATGCGAGCAGCGAGTTCACTGTGATAAAAATTGGCCAGACAATCGATCAAGGTATCCAGAACTAGTCTCTTCTGTCTTTAATATGGACTGCCACCAGCAAATGATGCCCTCGCCTCATTTTGAACCACCGGAAGACTGCTTCTCGCGCCGATTCCAGTAAACAAGCATTTCGCAATTTCGTTGAACAAAGAGGCCAAAGAGCTTTGTGACGACATTGCTCACGCTAGCTCCGTCCCCATCCCCGTCCCTCCCCCACGTTGAGGAAACAAGCGTACACGTTTGTTGGGCAGGGGTGGCGAATGTGCGACAGGGGGCGCAGAAATTGGCCGAGCTTTCTCCCTGAATTCCATCGTCCACATACCGAATATGCCCATGGCCAATGTCCAGGCACATTGTCTGCCCGACACTTCACACACCCAACATAGACAGCACCCGCCAATTATTATGCCCGTCCACCACGCCGAGAGCTTCGCAGGGTGGCGGCTTGCCCGCTAGGTAGAACTTGCTACAATTACGCAGTCAATGTGTAATTCTGGCCGCTCCTTCTATTTATAGTTAGCCTGGAGCGGGATGGCCAAGGGTTGTCAACCCAACAGAAAAAAGTAGCAGGTCCTGCTGGCTCCCCGCTTGCTTGCCCACCTCAGCCTGCCCATTGCCGCGAGGTGGCTCAAGAAACAAGAGGGGCAGGTCCGGCAGACTCCACTGTTTGGGCACTTGGCACTTGGCTCGTCGCCTTTGTTGCGGGATGCCATTCAAGGGGGATGCGCACGGCTTTCGCTTGCATCCGCGCTGATTCAGCACGACTCCTGCGGACGACCGTGTTGGGAAAATGCAGCTGGAGTTCACACGTATCTGCCAACAGATGCTACCACTCAGATCCAATCTAGCGGGACAGGGTGACTATATATACCGCCCAGGTTGGCCCTTTTTTGCCTTACCAAAAATGCGCTTTATCCTAAACCCCAAGGCGTCCCTCTAGCCCACACACTCTCGTTTCGCACACTATCCCATCTCACTATTCCCAGCCCGAACACTAATCGGATTCCATCCCTATCTCTCGCAGAGCACAAGGCAAGTACAAAAATAGGGGTGACGTTGGATGATCACTTGGGGTACTCTGTGCGTCCGAGAGCGCCGGCTGGCACTGAGAGCAGTAGACGTGATTTGCGCTGGCCGTGCCTTTGCCTTCCTTTGTCCTAGTTCATTGGCCAGCACTCCGTCCAGAGGCTGGAGACGCGCTGCCGGTCCATCGGCATCTGCCTTCAATCTGCCCAACATCCACAAAAATGAGCGCCGCCAGGGAGGTCAGAGATCAGGCCAGGCGTGCTCTAGACTGCAATACTCTCTATTAATGACTGCAGGCTATCTGCGCTGCGCTTTGGGAGATGAAGTTATTATCGGCGGTCTGGTTCTAACCAGAAAACCGCTGGCTGTGCGTGCGGGGAGGGAGAGCAGATGCCACACGCGTGTAGAATGTTGGGCAGCAGGCTCCTGTGTGTTTGGTCTCTAAAAAAAGGCGGTTAAAAAAGTGATTTTCTCCACTTTGAATGCGCTCTGCCCCATTTTCACGCTTTTCTCTCTGCCTTGTATTCATTTTCTCGCTCCCTCTTGACCTTTTTCTTCTCTTTAGCGCTTTCGTATTTTATATTATTTTTCGCTTTTCTTTATTGTTTATTGTTTCCTTCTCAGCCCGACTGCACTCTTGCACTGTATGTTATATGTATTCCCAGCCAGGACGACTATTTCCGAAGCGCCACCGTGTATAAGCCGCGATTGCACCATTTTTACTAACCCGGCCTACTTTTGTTTTGGTTTCTTGCACATAGACCGAGGCCATATCTCAACCCCACCTTTCCCTGTATACCTTTTTCTAGTCTAGGTACATACACGCAGGCATATGGCTACCGGTAACTACGACGACGACGGGTTTGATAATCCGTCGTCCAACAACAGCCCGTATCTGCGGAATCAGCAGCCAGCAGCGCGCCAGCACCAGGATGAGAGCGGATTCGACGGATACTACAGCTCGCCGCCGCCGCAGGCCGGATACTTTGGGCTGCCGGACCACAGTAACAACCAGCACAGCCACCACCGCGGCAGCAGCGCCGGCGGCGTCGAGCTCGAGGTGCTCTCCAACACCAGCTCGAACACGCGCAACAACGAGTCCAAGGGCGACCACCGGTCCGACTACTCGTCACAGGGCGGCGGCCAGCCCGACCGGCCTCTAATTTCGGGCGAGCCGCTCATCCAAGGCATCAGCGAGATTGCGCCACCCATCCCCGTTGCCTCCAAGGTCGAGGATGGCAAGCGGCTGCAGCGCCGTGCGAACCGGAGCGCGAACTACGACGATGAGGAGGCTGCTGTCGGCTCGTCTTCCGCATACCAGTCGTACCAGCCGCCGACCCGCGGCCGCTCGCTGGTCAGGCCCGGGCGCACAGTGTCCGATGACGCTGAGTATGGCTCGGCCGACAAGCAGCAGGTGCTGACCCGCAACAGCGAGAGCGGCCGGGCCAGGGCATCGACTGCCAGTGCCCGGCGTCGGCGCAAGCAGCAGGCCATGTACACACCGCCCAAGCGCCGCTGCTGCGCGTCGCCATGGCAGACATATTGCCGGGTGGTCACGTTCTATGCGCCCAATAGAGTGCTAAAGTGCTTTGGCATGCCGCAGGAGGAGGTGCAGATGGCGTGGCGCGAGAAGATGGGCCTGGTGACGATCATCATCCTCATCATGGGCTGCATTGCGTTCCTGACATTCGGATTCCAGCAGGTGCTGTGCGGCCTGTCGGGCAAGCAGACGCGCATCAAGTGGAACGAGGTCGGCAACGGGTACGTGGTGGTGCAGGGCCGCGCCTACGACATCACCAGGTTCCAGCACGAGAAGGCCACGCCGTGGACAGGCCAGGAGAACGCCAACCTCATGGGCGAGCCCGCCAATGCGGGCGGCAAGGACCTCAGCTTCCTGTTCCAGAACCCAAACAGCAACTGCCGCGGCGTGCTTTCGTACGACAAGAACCTGGTTGATGACAACGACAACGTGGTCAAGGTGTTCCCGTGTGTGTACGTTAACCAGACCGACATTATCAATCCGAGCCAGATCCCGAACGACCAGGGCTGCCACAACACCGCCGCCGGCCGCCGCGCTCTGCGCAACCTGCCCAACACTCCCATCCAGTACTCGTGGAAGGACGTGCGCAAGCAGCCCAACCTGGTCGTGTTCAACGGTGCCGTGCTTGACCTGGCTCGCGGCCAGTTCTTCTTGGATGGCGTGCACATGCCCCTGACCATGCAGAATCTGATCAACCAGGGCTCGATGCGCGGCAAGGATATCTCGCTGTTTCTGCCCAGCGGCGACCGCAAGCGCATTGGCCGCTGCATGATGGACCTGTTCCGCGTTGGCTCCATTGACTCGTCGTCGCTCGGCTGCATTGCTGCCAACATCGAGCTGTACGTATCTCTGATTGTCATTCTTGGCGGCGTGTTTGCAAAGTTCTTCATGGCCATCTACTTTGGCTGGTTCATGGGCCGCCGCATTGGTCAGATCAAGGAGGAGACGCCCGAGACGCGTCGCGAGCGCCAGGCCGAGATCGAGGCCTGGGCCGACGTCAACAACCACTACGGCAAGGAGAAGCTGGAGCGCAAGTATACAGTGCTCAACAACAACAAGGACAACCGCAAGTCGCGCTTCTTCCCCACCACCTCGCGCTACTCGCACTACATGCCTGGTGACGAGCCGGGATCGCGCGACAAGAGCCGCCAGAGCCGCCAGTCGCGCGCCATCGGCTCGTCAGCCATGCCGCGCCAGTCGGCGTTCTTCTCGGACCACCGCTCCAGCCAGTTCTCGCAGACCCAGAGCATGGTGTTCCCGAACAGCGGCGGAGACCAGCTGCTGCCCAAGACCAGCGATGGCATCGACATCAAGGCGCTCTCCATGCCGCCTGGCCCGCCCGTGCCTGTTGCCTCGCCGTGGAACTTTGAACTCGCCTACACCATGCTGCTCGTGACCTGTTACTCGGAGGGAGCCCACGGAATCCGCACTACCCTAGACTCGCTGTGCGGCACCGACTACCCGACCTCGCACAAGTGCTTGTTTATCATCTGTGACGGCCTGATCAAGGGTGCCGGCGAAGACATGTACACGCCCGACGTGTGCTTGTCGATGATGACTGATTTCGTGATCCCGCCCGACCGCGTGCAGCCGTACTCGTATGTGTCGATTGCGCAGGGCTCGAAGCGCCACAACATGGCCAAGCTGTATGCTGGATACTACGCGCCGAGCGAGAACTCGCCCAAGAACGCGCGCGAGAACCGCGTCCCCATGATTCTCGTTGTCAAGTGCGGTACGCCCGAGGAGGCAAACGAGCCCAAGCCCGGTAACCGCGGCAAGCGCGACTCGCAGATCATCCTGATGAGCTTCCTCCAGCGCGTCATGTTTGACGAGCGCATGACCGAGCTCGAGTACGAGCTGTTCAATGCCATGTGGAACGTGACAGGCGTGACCCCCGACAACTTTGAGATTGTGCTCATGGTGGATGCCGACACCAAGGTCTATGTGGATAGCGTCACGCGCATGGTCAAGGCCATGGTCGACGACCCGACCATCATGGGCCTGTGCGGCGAGACCAAGATTGCCAACAAGACCGACTCGTGGGTGTCGATGATCCAGGTGTTTCGAGTACTACATTGCGCATCACCAGGCCAAGGCCTTCGAGTCTGTGTTTGGCGGTGTGACCTGTCTGCCTGGCTGCTTCTGCATGTACCGTATCAAGGCACCCAAGGGCCAGCACGGCTACTGGGTTCCCATCCTGGCCAACCCCGACATTGTTGAGAACTACTCGGAGAACGTCGTCGACACGCTGCACCGCAAGAATCTGCTGCTGCTCGGAGAGGACCGCTATCTGACGACCCTGATGCTGCGCACGTTCCCCAAGCGCAAGATGATGTTTGTGCCATCGGCTGTGTGCAAGACCATCGTGCCCGACGAGTTCAAGGTTCTGCTGTCGCAGCGCCGTCGCTGGATCAACTCGACTGTCCACAACCTGGCCGAGCTGGTTCTTGTCAACGACCTGTGCGGAACCTTCTGCCTGTCGATGCAGTTTATCATTTTCATGGATCTGGTTGGCACCCTGGCTCTCCCTGCTGCCATCGTGTTCACGCTGTACGTTATTGTCATCTCGACATTCACGCGCCCCGTGCCCTGGCTGCCGCTGGCCCTTCTGGCGGTCATTCTTGGTCTGCCTGCGGTCCTGATCGGTCTGACCTCGCGCAAGCTCGTGTACATTGGCTGGATGCTCATCTACCTGGGATCCCTGCCCATTTGGAACTTTGTCCTTCCGACATACGCATACTGGCACTTTGACGACTTCTCGTGGGGCCAGACCCGTATGGTGCAGGGCGAAGGCAAGGATACGGGCCATGGCAGCGGCGACGGCGAGTTTGACTCGTCGCAGATTGTCATGAAGCGCTGGTGTGACTTTGAGGCTGACAAGCGCCGCAAGACGCAGATGATTCTGGGGTCGGTGCCCAGCCTGGCCGCCCTCGCCATGACCAACTCGTCCGACCCGTCGGTCAATGCGCGCAGCTCGCGCGTTGTCTCCATGCGTCCATCGTCGGTCATGTCGCCCCAGATCACCACTACGTCAACGAACCAGACTGCCGACTCCACCGACCAGCTCATTGCCACCGTTGGCCCCGCCGCGCAGCTGCAGCAGGCTGCCAGCCAGATTGCTGATTCGGAGGCACAGGCTGCTGCGGGCTCAATCGAGCGCCTCGGCTACATGACCCCCAACATCATCCCTGTGCTGGCGTCCCAAGGGCATGTCGGCACGCAACTCGACTGTGCAGCTGCCGACGTCGCCTGGCATGTACTCGAACCAGTACAACACGAGTCCGGAATGCGTCGTTCTCGCCCGATAACAATGCGCCGTTCTACGCCGGGTCGTCGGGCAACACATCGTCAGTGCACTTTGCTCAGGGTACGGTGCCACAGGGCCCGAGCTCCAACGGATCGAGCAACCACAACGAGTCGTCAGGGTCGCTGCCGTCGGTCAAGAAACAGTAATTTCATCAAAACACACTGCAAGCATATCGTCCCTTCTCTTTCCCTAGTAACACCTTCCATTCTTAGTTCCTTCCATTCTTTTTGCTTAACACCTCATAAATATCTTTTGTGTTTCTTGGCATATCTGACGATAGGGCGTGCTGAGGTTTGGGTGGTAGCAGCCATGGTTCCAGGTAGTAGAGCCTTCAGGCGACCCAGGAAAAGGACAGGGGGCAGCTCCACACTACTCAGTCATGGCCAGCGCAGCGCTCGGCGCCAGCCCCAGCTCCGCCAGCGTCTTGGTCTGGTGCTTCTCGCCAAACTCCTTGCGCGGGAACGTCATTGCCAGCTTGAAGTGCTTTACACCCGTCTTCCTGCTTCACGTAATCGACCACATCCGCCAGCGTCTGCGAGGACTCGAAAACATGCGTAATGTGGCCAATGTCTCCGAGCCCCTTCGACATCGGCCTAATCTGCAGCCTTGCCTGGCTGCCAGCTGCAACCTTCGGCACGCCCGCCTGCAGCATTGATGGCTTCTGCTGCTGCTGCTGCTTGGCCGCATCCTGCGCAGAGTCCCGCCGCCTCCTCGCCTCGCGCTCCTTGCGGTCGCTCTCAATCTGCTCCTTGACCCTCTGGCGCGCCAGCTTGTCCAGCTCCTTCTCCTGCCGCTGCTTTGCAATTGCCTTCAGCTGCTCCTGCGTCTGCAGCTTCTCCCGGATATCCTGCTCTTCCTGGCCAGCCTTCCGTCTGATCATCTCGTTCCGCCGCTGCTCCTCCTTGTCCTTGTCCGCCTGCGCCTTGCGCTTTGCCGCAATCTTATCCTGGATCTCGGCAAGCCTCGCCGCCTTCTCCTCCTCGGTCAGCGGCTTCACTGCCTCCGTTGACTCGGAAAAATCGCTGTGGCCTTGATTTCGACGCGTGGTAGGACGCCTTGTCATGCGACGAAAACTGCTTGCCGCACTCGTTGCACACGAGTGACTGCGCAGGCGCCGAAGCAGCCGGGGCTTCTTCGGTGTCCGTGGAATCGACAGTCTGTGCTGGTGCCTCTTCAATGGGGTCATCGATGCCAGCGTCGTTCTGATGGGAGTCCAGCCAGTCTAGCGCTGCCTGCAAGCCCTTGCCTTGCGTAGCCTTCAGCGCCTTGTCGATGCGTACGGGCGGGAAGCCAAATTCAATTAGCGTGTCTTTGTCGGACGCCATGGTAAAAGAAGAGCGTTTACAGTTATTTCTCTTTTAAAATGAATAGTACAGGGGAGTTAAAGGGAAAAGACCTGCAGAAGCGCGCTCTAGGCTTCGACTCAAGAACGCCTAAATGGACCAGGCTCTAGTCTGTTTGACGAGAGTAAAGCATGACGTAGTGTCTTGATCTCATCCGGTGATCCTGCGAATTGGCAAATCCCCCAAATGACCAGCATATGCCACACCGCTCAGCACATGTCGCCATGTTATGAGCTAGTGCCAAGACACATGCACATGTGGCGGTCTTCCTGATTTGCCACATATTAAGCGCGCCAATCATGCTTTGCAAATATCGATGCTCTTCCATGCCAGGAAAAGTGAACATGAAAACTGCCATCGATACTATTATCTAATGCGCATCTGGCCGCAGCACCAAAGAAGGGGTGGGAACGAAGATGAAAAAGTATGAGAAGGATGTGCTGCGCTTTCATAATTATCATGCGCAAATGCGAAGAGTCCTTTGCACTAATCATTGACGCGCTCGCCAGCTGCCAAGAGGGCACAATGAAAATAGGCCATCAAGGATACCCGCAGCATTAACCAGAAAGGATATTGACAAATAGATGCCTTGTTTTCTTTTAATTAGAACGTATGGCCAAAAGGAAATGCCGAGCCCAGCTGCATTTCATAGGCTTGGGCCATTTCCAACTCAGGGAACCTCAGCGAATCCTCGTGTTCTTGGCCCAAAGCCTCACGTTTCAAATCACGCTCCCCTCGCACGCACCCCATCTGCAGCCAGTAGTTCATGGCTGTTATAAATAGGATGCTGGAAAGCGACTCACCATCCTTGTCTTTTTTTTCGACTCTACAGTGACTCCACTTTTTTTATATTCATTCTTGTATTTTTATGTCTTGTCTACAGCCTGATACCCTGAAATGCACATTCACACCACGCCTGCCTGTCGCCTCCAGGACAAACTCGTCTGCTATCTGTGTGGACACGTTTTCAAAGATGTACCAGCAGTTACCAACCATCTGAGAGAGTGGCACTTCTTCCCGCCCCTAGAAGACTAGGGGGTCATGGAATTGCCTGTCGAGGCGCGAATCCGCAGTGCCGTATTTCTTATCCTTTTCAGATTCGAACATGGTCTACGCGCTTGCAGGTTATTCCTTGATCCTTTTTTCTTCAAGCCTGACGCCTTTTGTGCTGGGCCCGATTCTAGATGTCCAAAGTTTTTAAATAGATATCCTTTTTGCTGTACTCACAACACAAGGGATTCGCCATGTGTGCAGGTTTACGATTGTTTTTTTGGGCTGGCCAAAGGAGGTGCGGATTCCGCAGAAATGTAGAGAGGAAAAGCGGCTCAATCCTCTGAACTTCCCCGCGTATTTCTACGTGTTGTGCTTGGCGTGTTTATCTAAGAAAGCAGGGACTACCTATCGATACCTCGCCTCCTTGCACAGCACTGCATCGAAATCAACGCACTAACCGACAAAGTTCATGATTTCTGAGTAAACATCGAGAATTTTACCATCGAGCTGGCGTGTTTCCCGGTATATCTAGCTTGATTTCCTCTATCAGGCAGTGGGCTTGTGGTGATTCTTTTCCCATCCTTCAGTGAAAACATCCGCATGCATTGAGGAGCCTGTCTGGGGCGGGGGGGGGGCTATTTTTGGACATTATGCATCGATTTGGACCACGTCGCTGCCGGCTGATACTTATCCGCTGTGGGCAGGCTGAACCATGCCGATCCAACACTCATGGTGATGTTTGATTTGCGTATCTTGATTTCCGACCCATTTTTAGCATGCGGGTCTTGGCACCACCTTCTGGCCACGCCATGGCGGAAAGCCGCAAAAAAAAATCAGGCTGCATGGAGCTGATGTCAGTAGTCGAATCTACTGCGCAAAAGCGAGCTCGGGCACAGACCTGCACAGACCAGGTCTGATGAGCTTGTGTGAAGTCAGCAATAAGCTTCTGCTAAATAAATACACCAGGCATGGGCGGTTACTAGGCTAATGGGCACAGCTCACCAGTAGCTCATATACTCTCCTTCTTCGGGCTTCCGTTAATAGCTTTGAGATGTCTCTGCAAACATGCTTGGCAGAATACCCAGTGCACTCTACAGCACACAGTAGGTATCAGTTCTTTGGGGCCCACGGCGTCTGGCACTGCAAACTGTGCAATGCATGCTGTGCTACACAGCAAGACCTGGTTAACCACATACATCTTGTTCATTTTTACCCTGAACTGTAAAACGTACAACAGGTATCCCTTGGCGCAGAAAACGGTGAGTACCTACCACAGACCTAGGTCAGCAATGCGAATGGGCGCCGAATAGCAGTTCAAGATGCACTCTCCTCCATCAGCACGCCATGCAGTTCGTTGGTGACTACAGGTAATAGTCACGGGAAACATGCACCATCACCATCCATCCACACGATCACAAGCAGCACATAAAGTGCTGTTAAAGGTATGCAGGGGAGCACTCCACGCACAGTTTTTAGAGGCGACTACCCCAGGACCAAGATTGTGTGGTGCTATCACTCCAATGTGGATTTTTCTATCTCCTTTCATCTATCAGTATATAACAATAGATAAAGTGCAGTGACTGTCGCATCAATAAGGCTTGGAGGTGTAATTTAATGAGTCGCACATATGGTGCTTAAAATGACGTGCAGGGCAGTGCCCACCCAAACCACATACCGGCTATGGTGTAGCAGCTAGAAAAGAAAGGAAAAGCACGATTATGAAACTAAAACATAGAGGCTGAAGTGATGTGCTCTCATTTTGTTTGTGCTGCGGAAATTGAAAAAAGCAGGGCAGGGATTTGCGCAGGAAAGGAATTGCGCAGCCATCAATAATTGTTCTTTGATAGTGCATTTTTCTTTGCTATGGCCCTTTACAGCTAGTTAGTTAGCCATGACTTTCATCCCCACCATGTCAACGCCGATATTGCAGTCGGCACAGAGTTATGCTATCCTACAGTGCTCTTTCGTCGCTTGCGCCTGTTTGATGGTACTGGTGTGCCATCAATGTGAGCCGTCGCTATGCGGGTGTCTACATATCCTATATGTGGGTATCTGCCTCGGCTATATCTTTTCTTGGAAGGTCTCTGCTCTGAATGCATACTTGCCAAGCTCACTGGATGTTCCACGGATTGCCATCATGGCGAGAAAAGGCCCATGAGACGTAAATCAAACAGGGACATTTATTCGTTTTCTTTTTAGAAAGCGTACAGCTGCGAATTACCGCAACCAACGCGGATAAGGGATGTAGTAATCAATCTTGTTGCAGGCAGCTGTGTGCTGCGCAGCCACTGCAAGGACTGCATGATCGCAGGTATAAATTCCATCGTCTGAATCATTCCTTCGCAGTGATATACTCTACACAACAAACCTCATAATTTCTTTTACAGCAAGTATTCTCAATTCCAGCACATAATCCCAATTTCAGCCATGTCGCGCTTCTCGTCAACCTGCACGTTCATCAAGTCTTCGCCAATGTCGTCAGAGCTTTTCGTACCTCGGCTAAATGCATCCAACAGCTACTGCTGCAATATCTGTGGAGTCGTTCTCGGGTCAGTGGAGGAGGCAGACAACCATGTCAAGCTGAACCATTTCTTCCCTGAGCTCTAATGGCCGGTGCCCGAAACGAAAAAGTGTAAAATCTTCCAATTCCTTTCCCCATGTATACATTAAATCTACTTTCATCTATCACAGTGATAGAGCTGCACTGCTCATCATCACATTACGGATAAGTGTATCGGAGCGTGAGGGTTTGTGCTTGCGCAGCAAGACCAGCCTACTATGAATCGTTTCTCCGCAGCCACGCCGCATGTGCATAGGCTACAAAAGTGCATCGTTTGCGCGCTCGCGGTGATTTGCTCCATTGCCAAGGGATGTATTGTCTCAGATAGATCGAGAGGCATCATAATTGAGAGATGCAATGCTGGAATAGTTCTGCTTGGACTGATATCTACGGAGAAAACAAGCTGCCCAGAAGCGATATTTCTAAGCATCTCTGATACCGGTGACTTCGCCCAAAAGATAGGCATGTGCGAGCGCAGCCACAACTTGATATCTCATGCTCCAGCTATCCCAATCCCAGTGCGAAGAAAAGGGATGAGTGAGCGTGCCAGGACACATGGGAACAAGTACTTGCTTGATGTTTTACTTGACCCTGCAGTTCCGCATCTGCCCCTCTTGATTTCTCAGTCATCTTATGCTCATCCCCGCAACTCTTGATTTCTTGGGCTTGCTCTCCAATGAAATTATTCGCAGCGCCCCGCTTGCCCATTGTTCATCGCTCTAGCCTGCATCTATTCTGGGAACCGGCTTGGCAGTTGGGTTGTCTCCATCTCAGTTTCAGGTGCTGCAGGACCAAACTCAATGTGGTCTGTTTATTTTTGGAATGCGACTGATCGGGCCGTGTGCAGCGAAATGGCAATGGTTACTCGCCTTTACTTCCAAGGAGAAAGCTGGCTATGGCTGTAGCCATCAAACTTGCTTGATTGCTGACTGCAACGACAGCTGAGACGCTAACCTGTTTGGCGTCATTATCCGCATTCTAAAGGCTGCTAACCTTTTTGCAGCGGTCGAGTACTGTCTATTAATAGAACTGGGATTTTTGTATATAAGTTGCAGTGCCAGTTCCACAACATATTCAGATACCGCAACCTCCACTCATTCATACCATATCATCGCATCTGCACCACCACACTCACGACACCATGAACTCTACCTGTACATTCTCATTCAAGCTGCATCACACCTCTGGTTACCGTTGCCGCATATGCGGGGTGACCCTTGCTACCATCCAAGATGCTGACGACCATGTCAAGATCAACCACTTCTTCCCAGAACTCTAAGCACCAATACATCACTCGACCAGCATGCAGATACAAAGGCAATAGTAAAAGTGAAAGAAGTTTGATATAGAAATGAAAAAAGAAGCACTCAATAAACGGAGCCGTACTCTAGATGAAGATTCTACTCTCCTACAGCCCAGTTTAACGATCGACCTCACCAAACACAAGATCCATGGTACCGATAACGGCGACCACATCGGCCAGCAGAGCATTCTTCATGAAGATGTTGATGGCACCCAGATGGTAGAATCCCGGAGCACGCACGTGGCACTTGTAGGGACGCGTCGAACCGTCAGACACCATGTAGATACCCATCTCGCCCTTGGGAGCCTCGACAGCGGTGTACGACTCGCCAACAGGCACGTTGTAGCCCTCTGAGAACAGCTTGAAGTGGTGGATCAGGGCCTCCATGTTGTCCTTCATGGCGTCACGCGGAGGCGGCGCAATCTTCCAGTCGTCGACCTTGTGCGGGCCCTCGGGCATCTGGTCCAGGCACTGCTTGATGATGCGGATGCTCTGGCGCATCTCCTCCATGCGGATCATGTAGCGGTCAAACACATCGCCCTTGGTGCCGATAGGCACGTCAAACTCGAGGCGGTCGTAGACCTCATACGGGTTGGTCTTGCGGATATCGGCGCGAATGCCGGTCGAGCGCAGCATCGGGCCAGTAATACCCCAGTTTAGGGCCTCATCAGCGGTGATCTTGCCCACGTCAACAGTGCGCATGAGCCAGATGCGGTTGCTGGTAACCATCTCCTCAACCTCATCCAGGCGATCCGGGTAGGTGTTGGCCCACTCGTAGATGTCCTGCAGCAGACCGCGCGGCAGATCCTGCGCAACACCACCGGGGCGCACATAGGCCGCATGCATACGCGCACCGCACACGCGCTCATAGAACTCCATGCAACGCTCACGCTCCTCCATGAGGTAAATAAAGGGAGTCAGACCACCGACATCCATCACGTGCGAACCGACGGCCATGCAGTGGTTCAGGATACGGGTGATCTCGGCGAACATAACACGGATGTACTTGGCACGCAGGGGCACGTCAATGTTCAGCAGCTTCTCGGTCGCCAGCGAGTACACCTCCTCGTTCACCATCATCGAGCAGTAATCTAGGCGGTCCATGTACGGCAGCGCCTGCAGGTACGTGCGGTACTCCATAAGCTTCTCTGTGCCGCGGTGCAGCAGGCCGATATGCGGGTCAGCGTGAACGATCGACTCACCGTTCAAGCTCCAGAATCAGACGCAACACTCCGTGGGCAGCCGGGTGCTGCGGACCAAAGTTGATCGTGTACGGTTTGATCTCTGTCTCGACTTCCAGCGACGACTCGATCCTGGGGGCCGGGCCAGTTACCGGGGCTCACCGTCATCGGGGCAACCCATCCCGGTGGGCAGTGCTTCTTGTCAATTGGCCGGTAGAACGTCTCCTGCGGGTCCTGATCGTAAATCGACGGCTCTGCCATGCGCTTGACAGTCGTGCTGAACGACTTGCGCGTCATCGACCGGAACACGCTACCCGACGTCCTGAATGCTGGACGCGAGACGCTGAGAAGGTTACGGAAAGCCGACATCGTGTGGATAACTTTCTGAACAATATACCAGTGTGCTGTTGCTTAAACTTTTGCTGCCCTCCTACGACAGGGAAACAGGTGTATCGCCAGGTTGTGGTGCAGGGTTGCATGTTAGTCCAAAATCTCATTGAATGGTAGCGGCCAATGCCGAGACATGGAGTATGACTTTATCATTGGCTACGAATCGCTCATGTGCTGGCGGCGGTTACCTTTTTGAATGTCAATTTCTTCTACGAGCAAGTACACTAAAGCCGTGAATGAAGTTCGCGGTTGCCGAAAAAGAAACAAGGAGCGGGAACTAGAAATATAGAGGCGAGAGAAAGGGGGCTAGATTTGCTGAAAAGAGAGCCAGAAAGCAGTCGCGATTAGCTTTTGTTGAATTCGGGCACCAACCTGCCGTTGGCTGGAAGGACGCCAAAGCCCGCCCAACCCGCCTGCCAGAAAATCAATTTACAGGCACAGGCTAAGAGATGAAAAACACCCGCCTTATCTTTGGGCTGAGATCTGGTGATTATCGCCTTGTGATCATCTTTTGAACTTCAGATCAAGACGTCTATTGGTGCTTGTTGCTGTCAAAGAGTTGGCTGCACATCCGCAGCGTGTAGTCGAGCAGTGGCTTGAGCCGCTTGTCCTGGGTTAGCGCGGTGCGGAGCGGCGACTTGAGTGGCGCCTGCATGACCGCGTGCAGGCAGGCGAAAACGTAGGCGTCGAGCTGGCTGGGCACACCAGCCAGGAACTCGCGGTCTCCCAGCAGCACCAGCAGGGAGTCGAGGGCCCTGAGCGCATTCTCATAGACGACCTCGCCATCAAGCGCCTGCACCAAGCTCGGGTGCATTGGACTGGATCCGCTGGGCATGGTCAGCCGACCACACCCATCCAAGCATGCTCTGCACGATCCACTGGTATCCGGCCAGGTATTCAGGTTGCACAACCTTCTCAACCCCCGTCTGGTCAACCCAGGTCATATAGTCGATGGCGGGGACCAAGTTACGACGCACCATGGTTGTGTAGACCAGTTCATCCTGCAGATCGCTCTTGGGCAGCTGGTGCCCGCTCTTGTCCAGGTGATCAACAATGCCTGTGCTGTCGAGTGCGGTGCCGTCGGGCAGGAGCATGAACGGGAGCTTCTTGTTTGGCGACATATTGGGCTCGCGTGTGTAGTGGACATCAAACTTGAACTGCACAAACTTTAGCAGTGCCAGGATGCGCAGGCACTCGACATCCAGTGTGTTGGGTCCATAGACAAACAGCTGCGGCTCCGTGATGGCGGCCGGCGAAAAGAATGGCTCGTGCAGATACAGCGGCAGCTTGGTAAACCACAGCGATTTGAGAACCTCGCGGAATGGTGCTTCGGGTGTAGCCATGGGTGACTATGAAAAGAGTAAGCGCAGTGAACAGAGTGGTGAGTAAAAGAGAGCAAGCGTATTTACATGAGCCGCACAGTCGGCATCAGGCGACTCTGCGTTTCCGCGTCATCACAGTTGTTGAGCCTTGTGGGCCAATTATTCGATGACTCGATATATCAGCTTTCCCTCGCTCTTTTACTGGCCGCAGCCCTATTCATGTATCGGATGCTGCTCGATATATCACATGCATGTCTGGCCGGCACGTACAAGGTGAGTGGGACGTGTGCAGGTTTAGGGTAAGCGGACTCGGCTCCACACACTTAGGCGCAGCAGCGGAAGAGTGCCCACGCCCTGTGACTGAAGAGTGTTGGGCAATCTGCCAAATAAAAATGCCCCTTAAATACCACCAGAGGGCCGAGCGCTTCGTGGCCTTGTCAGGTAGCTTTCTTGTCTTCTTCTAGCACTTTATACTATTTCTATCTGACACTATAACCTATCATCATGTGTATTGCGTTCTGGGTACTAAACGACGCGTCTGATACGGAGCACTGCCCAGACCTGGTTTTGGCGTTCAACCGCGACGAATACTTGGAGCGGCCAACGAAGGGGTTTCATACCTGGGAAGCCCACCCAAACATATTTGCGCCCAAAGACCTGAAGCCAGTCGATGAGTCCCACCGGGGTTCCTGGATCGGGGTTAACCGGCAGGGACGGCTGGCGCTGCTAACCAATTTCCGTGAGGCTGTGCCACATCACGACGGCAAGATCTCGCGCGGCGCGCTGGTCCGTGACTTCCTGCTTGATAAGCCTGTTACACCAGGTGGCCAGGCAGTCAGCATTGACAAGGGTATTCAGGGAATATGCTGAGGCTATCTTCGATGAGCGCCAGCGGTACGATGGCTTCAATCTGGTGCTTATGGACCTTGCGCCCGGTAGACGGCAGGCGGTGTATGTGACTAATCGCGGGGCTGCTGGTCATGATGGCCAGCCCGGTACGATCACCAATATCGGAGATGGTGAGGTCGTCGGTCTGTCAAACTCTACCATCGACAATCCATGGCCCAAGGTGGTCAGGGCAGACAGCAGTTTGAAGAGAAATTGAAAGTACGCAAATGTCGACATGCATATGTACAGTGGACCAGCCTTCAACCTAAAGTCAGTTTCTAAACCCCCTCATGTTGGTTGTTGGTAGATACATGGCGCCGAGGCAGGTGACGAGGGGCTTATCAGCGCGCTTATGGAGATGATGAGGTAAGCAACACGGCCAACTCGCATTATTTTATTCTTGCTTGCCATGTGCAGTTGTTAAACTGCCCTCGCCGATTTGGCTTGGCGAAAAAAAAATGGCAGTATGAATTGAATCCCAGGTCTTTACTGAATCCACACAATGCAATATTATAGTAATACTGCGCCATTCGCACCCGACAACCAGCCGACGGAGATCAGCGACCTGATGCAGTGTGTGTTTGTGCCCAAGGTCAATGGGCTCAAATGGGCGGGCAACGATAGCGCCACAGTGCTGGTTTCCCATGAAGGTTACGGCACACGCACAACCGATATCATACTGCTGCGCAGGAACAAGCTCACCGTTGCTGAGCGCAGTCCATTACCCGGAGGGCCCGGAGTCCTAGCGGCATTGAGGTATCGCACATTGAGTTGCACGTGTAATTTTTTGTATTGCTGTTAAAAGCTAATGGTAGAATATAAGGGTGTTTTTTTATATGCAGGGTTTTTGTGTATAGTGTAGAACAGGTTCTGTTTAGAGCGGATCGAACAGGTGGTTTTCGCGGACATGGTCGACGCCGTCTAGCTCGGCTTCGAATGCGGCACCACAGATCTGACAGATCCAGGCATTCATGCGGCACTGGGGCGCCGGCATCGTGAAGGAGCAGGCCATGCTTTATGACGAGTGTTTATATAGAGATCGAAGAGGTTCTTTTTGGCGCAAGGGCTGCCAAAGAGGGGTGGAGGTGTTGAGTATATACAGCCAGTTTACAATCCAGGAGACCAAACAGCGAGGGTTTAGAAGGGTAGGGCGATTTGCTACGGATATCGTAAGCAAATGAACAGACGGCCAAACGGAACGGGCTGGTAAGGGATGATCCGCGATACCGGCAACAGGGCAGCTTCCATATAGCAAGCAACCAAGGAAACCCAACTAGCGACAGCAAATATATGGCTCTCCTCAAAAGTTATATTTGAGAGTAAGCAAAAAACGATAGCGAATGGAAGGAGACAGAGGTGGGAAAGAGAAAGGGATGATTCTAGGAAGTAGGGTGGGCGCGCAGCAGCTTTCTCCACCGCCCTATTTATAGCCGGATGCGTGAGCCGCTGCGGCTGAAAAAAATCCACAAGCCGCTCCATAGTTCAGGCAAAATCGTCTCCTTGGCAGAGAGGAAGCGGGTGTGGTACGTAATCGCTAATTTTTACCGCCATGACACCGTGGCCGCAGCCGATGGGGGATGCAGCTTGGGAATAGCGTCGGTTTTGATGGAAACAGTAAGAATCCTTTGCAGCACACGAAAATCGCTAATTGCTCCAGCTGGTGGGTGTGCAAGCAGCACAAACCACTTATGACACACCAGGGCACCCGCCTCTACGGTCTGGCAGGTGGGAGGGGCGCGCGGAGGGCAGTTTGCTCTTGGCAATGACTCAGCTAGCATGTCGAAATACGTGTGATTTCCACCCTCCCTGAACGACATATCGCAGGAGGATGGGGACAGGTAATGTGTGGATTATTACCGCCTGCATAGGCCATGTGTCATGCGGCCAAGGAGGAGCAAGGCCACGTCTGCGATATGCATAAATACGCCTAAAAATCGTAATTTTGTTTTTGACTCATTTGGGCTAATCCATATTATGCGCAGCCATGTGAGGGCATTCAGCTGTCCTCAAACGCGACCAGGTTCTTGCCCTCGTCGACCAGATCGCCGACCTTGTAGTAGACATCGACGACCTTGCCGGCCTTGGGCGCCTTGATGACATGCTCCATCTTCATGGCCTCGAGCACGACCAGCGGCGTGTCCTGGGCAACCTCAGCTCCGGGCTCAACCAGCACCTGCACGATCTTGCACGACATGGGTGCAGTGACCGACCCTGGGCCAGCCTCCGCCGCACTGTCCAGGAACTGTGGCCGGGGCACTGTGAAGGTGGCAGTCTTGCCATAGTCAAAGACAGTAACTGACGAATCCTTGCTGTTGAAGACAACGTTTGAACTGCACCGCCGGCTATCAAGAACAACCTGCAATTGTCCTCCGGACGGCTGCGGCACCCATGCCGGCTGTGCATCAGCAAATGTCGCGATTGTCTCGCCGCTCGCATTCTTGACCTACGTGCGTGCAATTAATAGTGTTAGTGAGAAAGGAGCGGTTCTGAGACGGAATCCGAATATAGCTGGACAATGCAGCGAACATCATTTCACAGTGGCCTCCTGCTTGGCTGGGAAATTACCAGCGCGAGGTGGCTGCCTTATCCGATTCTTACCTGAACCGCGTATGCGTTGGCGCCGGTCACAGTGACCGTAATGTCGAATTCCTGCTCGTTTGCCACAAGCCTCACTGACTGGCTGCCCTGCAAGTTGACTCTGAAGAGGTCAGCCGCAGCCCAGGGCGAGCTGTCACCGGCGCTGCTGAACTGCAGATTCGTATCGATGATCGATGCCAGCGCTGCCTGGGCAATGGCCTGGGTCGACGGTCCGGCGGATTTCGGGAACAGCTCGTCCAGATGCTTGTTGATGAAGCCGGTCTCGACCTTGCCGTCAACAAAGTCCGGCGACTCGCACAGACGCTTCAGGAACTCGATGTTTGTGTGCAGTCCAACAACCTCGTACTCGCCCAGTGCCTTGCGCAGCACACGCAGCGCAGCCTGGCGGTCCTCGCCGCGCACAACCAACTTGGCAATCATCGGATCGTAGTACACAGAGATAGGCATCGCCAGCACCCACACCAGTCTCAACGCGGACTTCCGACGATGGACTGCGGCGTGCTTAGATGCAGCAGCCGGCCAGTGTCAGGCAAAAAGCCGTTGTCGGGGTTCTCGGCGTAAATACGAGCCTCAAAGGCATGGCCCGTGCATTTGATCTCGTCCTGCAGCTGCGGAAGGACGGTTGCCGGCGGCAACCTCAAGCTGCCACTGCACCAGATCAGTGTCGGTGACCATTTCGGTGACCGGGTGCTCGACCTGCAGGCGCGTGTTCATCTCCATGAAATAAAACTGCTGCGTGTCGTTGTCCATGATGAACTCGACGGTACCAGCGCCGACGTAGTCGACGGCCTTGGCTGCGGCTACAGCCTTCTCGCCCAGCATCTGGCGGATCTCGGGCAGGAGGTCGGGCGCAGGAGCCTCCTCGATGATCTTCTGATGGCGGCGCTGCACCGAGCAATCACGCTCGAAAAGATGCACCGCATTGCCGAGCTTATCGGCAAACACCTGCACTTCCACGTGCCGAGGCGTGGTCAGGTACTTCTCAACCAGCACCTTATCATCTCCAAATGACTTGATGGCCTCGCGCTTTGACGAGTCCAGCATCATCTCGAATTCCTCAGGCTTGTTGACAATGCGCATGCCCTTGCCGCCGCCGCCCAGCACTGCCTTGATCAGCACCGGGTAGCCGATCTTGTCCGCCTGCTCCTTCAGGAACTGCACATCCTGGTTGTCGCCGTGGTAGCCCGGCACAACAGGCACTCCGGCCGCCTGCATGATGCGCTTGCTCTCGGATTTGGAGCCCATGGCGCGCATGGCCGACCCGGGCGGGCCAATGAACGAGACACCCTCCTTGTCGAGTCGGTCGGCGAAACTCTGCGTTCTCTGACAGGAATCCGTAGCCCGGGTGGATTGCCTGGGCGCCAGACCGCCGGACCACAGTCCAGGATTGTGTCGGTCTTCAGGTAGCTCTCTGAGACGGGCGCAGGGCCGATCAGGTACGCCTCGTCAGCCATCTGCGCGTGCATCGCCTTGGCATCGGCTTCGCTATACACAGCGACAGTTTTGATGCCAAGTTTGCGTGCGGTCTTCATGATGCGGCAGGCGATCTCGCCACGGTTCGCAATGAGGATTTTGTCAAACAGCGGCTTACGCTGTTGGGTCTCTGTGGTCAGTGCGCGCGCACCAGTGACACTGGTTGCACGGAACCGGGACAGAAGACCGTTGGGCGTAGCTGCCACTCGCGTGTAGGCACGGAACATGGTTCAAATTCCAAAGAGCTAAATAATATATGGGAGGGCAGGGTGTAAGGTACAAGAGAAAGAGACAGCAGAAACGTGTATATTTGAGCGACAGAGAACAGCAAAGAGCACGCAAAAGTAGAGCGTTTTGCGGAGGAGAAAGAGAGGGCGGCGGCACGGGTTTGTATCGCTGCTGGCCCAGAGCACGCTCGCCTCTGAGGCAATGCTCGTGGGAACGCGGCTGTAGTGCATTCTACAGCCCAGGCGACAGCCCGCTCGATAAGGAAGCGTGTGCCCCGCCGGTCATTGCTGGAATTCTCCTTCGCACGAGTGAATCCTCCGCCAGCATTCCCACGGTTCGCCTGAGAGCTCCGGCTCGGGCTGTGCTACTGATACCGTGTGCTCCGCGACCGGCGCGCAGAGTCGAACGTGCGGCGCAGCTCAGTCTTGTGCCAGCGCCTATCTGAGATGGCCTGTGTGAGGTACAGAGCGCGGGTGCGGGGAGCACGGGGCATGCCATCCTGGAGCATGGCGGCAGAGGTCGCCTCATCCGATCCGTCATGTGACGGCCCTGATCCGCGCTGATATGCTGATTCTGGCGCCCTGGTCCGAACAGGCGGTTATCTCGCATATCGATCTGGAGCCAGACGGCGGCTTTTGTTCTTTGCTCCATATATTTCCCTCCTCTACTAACCTGAGCCTCCAAGAATGAGCGACACCATTTCACTCCCGTGGGCAAGCGACTTCCACGTGCACCTGCGCCAGGGCGCGATGATGGAGACGGTGACGCCGATGATTGAGCAGGGCGGCGTGCGCACTGCGCCTGGTGATGCCCAACCTGACACCGCCCCTGACCACCACCGACATGGCAGTCGAGTACGAGAAGCAGCTGAAGGCCCTCGCGCCCAACATGCACTACATCATGACCCTGTACCTGAACCCTGATCTGACGCCAGCAGAGATCAACAAGGCGGCAGCGGCTGGAATCACGGGCGTCAAGGTGTATCCGAGCGGCGTCACGACCAACAGCGACTGGGGCGTCTTGGACTTCAAGATCTACTACCCGACCTTCAAGGCGATGGAGGAGAACAACATGGTTCTGTGCCTGCACGGCGAGTGCCCGTCGGACGCCGAAAAGGGTATCTGCATCCTGAACGCTGAGGAGCGGTTCCTGGCCACGCTGCGCGAGCTGCACGCCGACTTCCCGAAGCTGCGCATTGTGCTCGAGCATGCAACCACCAAGGCCGCTGTCGAGTGCGTCAAGTCGCTGGGCGACACTGTCGGATGCACGATCACGGCTCACCATCTGTTCCTGACAGTCGACGACTGGGCAGGCCAGCCGCACCACTTCTGCAAGCCCGTGGCCAAGTACCCGACTGACCGGGATGCGTTGCGCGAGATCGTTAGCAGTGGCCACCCGCGGTTCTTCCTTGGTTCGGATTCAGCCCCGCACCCGCGTCGTGCCAAGCAGGGCGAGAAGCCTGCTGCTGGTGTGTTCACCACGCCGATTCTGATTCCGCTGATGGCTACGCTCTTCGAGAAGCTCGGGTGCCTGGACAAGTTGGAGGGATTCGTGTCTACCAACGGCCGCAAGTTCTACCAGCTGCCTACTGTTTCGAGCGAGAATGGAATTAAGCTGGTCAAGAACCAGCTGGATGTGCCGAGCGCCTACAGCGTCAAGTCCACCGAGGACACTGTCGTGCCGTTCATGGCTGGAAAGGACCTGCCGTGGTCTATTGCTGAGTAAGAAAGCTTGGAGAGTAATGAAATATAATCTGAGGCGATGAAGGGCACGGTGACAAGACGGAGTTCAAGTTCTTTCCCGTCCTCACGCACACGCGCAGCAGAGCAGCATAGGCGAGGTTGAGCAATTTGGTGGGCGGAGCGCGTGATGGTCTCTCTCCTTGTCTCATATCTGGGGACCATGAATGACGTCGTCAATCACATTAGCCTGCCGGAACTGCATATGCACTGCGGCATAGGTGTTTATGATTTCAGGCGATACACGCAGAGCGTGTGAATTTGCGAATCTGGGAAGAAGTCGTTCGCAAGACCACATAGCCCGGTTTTTTCCCGTTTGAATCGGGAACCTGCTGGGGCTGAAGCCGGTATGAGAGAATCTTCGATATAGGCCCGAAAATGCGGCCGAGAACGTTACTTGGACTGAAAAGTTAGCGCCTTCCTACACCAGGGCTTCTGCTCACAACAAAAGCACAAATGAAGCTTCATTCACTCTCCCTCTTGCTGGTGTGGTGTCTGCCACCCTAATAAAGGGGTGTGCGGTCTGAGTTGCAGGACCATTTTTACACGCACCCTGAGTCACTTGGCTTGGATCCACTAGGGCTTGCGATTTTCAAATGTTACCGCGTCGACGCTTTTCTCCCACACGACGAATATAAAGTACAGGCGGAATCCCTAGTGCAAACCTGTAGCAAAACGGCTGAAAATAAAAAGCTGGGAAAAACGCACGACTATAACATGTGCATAAATCGATGCGCACGGATTGAAGGGGCCACCCCAGTGATGTGCATGTACTACGCTGACATCATTATGCTTATTCTTCGGGACATCGATCCAAACACAAGAAAAAGCATGGCCTTGTCGGAGTCGGAATGCGTGGATCCTGAACAGAATATACCTTGTGCTTGCAGTCCGTCACCTTCATTTGCCTCTACTCTCCAATCGCATTCGTGCGACTGCCTGTAAAGGAGCTAGCATGCGTCTTTGTGGGCACCTTATTGCCACAAAAAGAATAGTCCCCATTCTCTGTGTTCACGCATATGTTGCAAGGCGATGGAAAACGAAACATGCTTATTCCAATCCTTTCCCTATCCCGGTCCGCCCCAAAAAACTGCAGCCCCTCGGTCCAATGCCTATCCACAATTATCACGCAACAGTAATATTGAACTGAAAAAGATAGGGGATTGACTAGCCATGTTCTGAGACGCCCATTTCGACGAGATAGACGGGTAGTCGTCTATGCAAAGAACCGCAAGAATCCAATTTTAGGGAGCGCATGGAGCAGCCATGCCCTCAAGGAAATTGGAGCCTGAGAAAGAGGGACCGTTGTCTCGCCATGTTCTGCTCATGTGGTCAATTAAAGAGCTGGCATCACATGTTGCCAATGGTCAATGGCGGATGGGCGACAGTCTCTGACACTGCTCCAGAGAGAACCTCTCCGGGTGAATGCTAGCCGAAAACTTATTATGTTTACGTTGTTCCCGGTGGTGGCTAGCATATAAAAGCAGACCGCCTGTCGGCTCCTTACAAACCACACCACTCAGCACACCAGACCACGTCTGTTCCCCTTCTTACCTCTTCCTGCCCGTCCTATTAGTAGCTATAACTAATTCTATTGCTATTCGCCTTCATATATTCTAGTGGTATTCTACTGTTCTAACAAGGCACCTTCTCTCCTCTATCTATACTATGGTCAAGTTTTCGTCCACCCTCGGTCTCCTCGCTGCCGCATTCACTGCCGCCAGTGCCGCTGGTACCCATCACGGATCAGGCGTCAGCACCTTTAACCCAGTCCTGAAGAATTCCAGTGGATTCAAGGTCTACCAAACCCCCATCACTGTCAACGTTGACTCGACCAAGCCGGCTGCATTCACTGCTCCGAGCAAGAACGACGCTGCCGTCACCAGCAAGGCCGACATCGCAACGGCATTCCTGGCCAAGACATACAACATCCCAGCCAACACTGTCAAGATCACTGACGCGTACACCGACTCTCGCTCGGGCATCACCCACGTGCATGTGCGCCAGACGATCAACGGAGTCGATGTCATGAACGGTCTGGCCAATGTCAACATTGACTCTGAGGGCCGTGTTATCTCGTCGAGCAACTCGTTTGCTCCAAGTGATGCCATCAGCAAGGTCAAGCGCGCTAATGGCTCGCTCGTTGCCCGTGCCACTGGATGACGCGTCACTCAAGTCGTCGTTCAAGGCGCTGACAGACTACGTCAAGACCACTGTGTCTGACAGCGACCTAGGCAAGATCACTGTCGCGTCGACTAGCTCCTTTAATGGTGAGTCGCAGTACGAGATCGCCAATGTTCCCAAGCAGGCTGCTGTCGATGGCAAGTCCACTGCTACCAAGGCATACATCCAGACTGCCGAGGGCAAGCTTGTTCCAGGTGTGGCATATCGTGCTTAAGCAGGAGAACAGCTGGTGGAGCGCGCATATCAGCCAGGACTCCAACAAGGTCGAGGCCATCAATGACTGGGTGTCGCATGCCGAGGCTTACAACGTGTATCCGCGCACTATTGACGCCCCTGATGAGGGAAAGCGCACAACTGTCACTGATCCGGCCGACAAGACTGCCAGCTCTAAGGGATGGGTCACCGGAAAAGATACTCGTGGCAACAATGTCTGGGCGCAGGACAACCCTTCGGGCGGCGATACATGGGAGAACAACCATCGCCCGAGTGCCAAGGACGGTGCCTTCGATTTCCCGCTCGACTTGACCCAGGAGCCCTCCAAGTACATTGATGCTGCTATCACACAGCTGTTCTACACTGTCAACTCTATGCACGATCTGTCGTACCTCTACGGCTTTGACGAGGCTGCTGGCAACTTCCAGGATGAGAATTACAGCGGCAAGGGCAAGGGCAAGGACTATGTCGTTGCATTCGCTCAGGATGGATCGGGTACCGACAACGCCAACTTTGCCACGCCGCCCGACGGCCAGAACGGTGTCATGCGCATGTACATCTGGACTCAGACAACTCCGAATCGCGACGGAGACCTGCAGCAGGACATTGTCGCCCACGAGTTTACTCACGGTATTTCGAACCGTCTCACCGGTGGCCCGTCCAACGCTGACTGCCTAAACGATGGCGAGCCTGGAGGCATGGGTGAGGGATGGAGCGACACTGTGGCCAACCTTCTGCGCATCAAGTCTGGCGACAAGCGTACCCGCGATATGGAGATGGGCGTGTACTCGTACGGCAAGGGCATTCGTAACTACCCGTACTCGACCTCAACCACCACCAACCCTAACACCTACAAGACGCTCGATGACCCCAACTATAAGGAGGTGCATGCGATCGGTCGAGGTGTGGGCTGAGATTCTGTACGAGGTCATTTGGAACCTTATTGATGACAACGGAATCGCCGACGACATCTTTGCTCACGATCTGACCAAGGGTAACTCGATTGCGCTCCAGATCATCCTCGACGGTATGAAGCTGCAGCCGTGCAACCCGACCTTCATTGACGCCCGCGACGCCATCATCCAGGCCGAGGAACAACCTGACCAAGGGCAAGAACAAGTGTGCTATCTGGAAGGCGTTTGCCAAGCGCGGTCTTGGCCCCAAGGCTTCTGGCAAGAGCGGCAGCACTCACACGGAGGACAAGTCGCTCCCCGAAGGCTGCTCTGCCTAAGTTCATAAACTCTTTGGACAACCGGTCTTTTTAACAGCTTATATTTCTATGTCTCTTTAACACGACAAGCAGCTAGGTATGTAGTTTTGGCGCTTGATCTTTGGCAGGACTTTTGTCTGCATTCATTCTATTCAAAATAACCGCTCGGTAGAATGCGTATAAATGTAAAAGAATAGTCGCATGGAGGTGGAGCGGGTAGCTATTTACTGCTGGGGCATCCTCGATATGGCACATGGACGCAGTTAGGGACTATCCTGGTCGATTCACTTATTAGCAGCAGATTGTGATAGGACACTTGGAGTCAATGGCAATGATACACAATATAAAGTACATGCATATGGACTTCACTGAAGGCTAAAGCGAATGTATTGCAAACGGAAATGAAACTGCACCTATCAACTGGCTTTGTTACAGAATAGCGATCTGCTCAGGCTGTCGCGATACCCGTCGTATACAGATATATCAATTTCTCCTTGTATTTATTCAGGGGGTTCGACTGAAATTCCAGACAGTGGCTATTCTGAGGGAAGACAGTTTGGCAATAGCAACGACCAGCTGCGGATTCAACAGTCCACATATTCTGAAAATCAATCCGACTCAGACGAGTACTAAGAACTGGGGCTCCGTCAGCAACCTGCCAATCGCGTCGTCTGGTATATTAGTGTAATTTTTATCGTCATACTGGATTCCGTACACACCAATCCTAATGGCCCCACGAAACTGGCCAAGATTCTGTAGGAAATCTCTGAGGGTAAGATTGAACTTTTGGATAAATTAAACGTTAAAGCAGCAGGTTCAAGTAGGTATGTGAGAAGGTAAATGACAGAGGCTGGCTGAAGCCGTGTGGACTGTAGCTGTTCTCCAATATGTTTGGCATTTGGCGCAATCAAAAAAGGCAAATGCATAGTACCAGCTGAATCGCATACTAGTATTGGACGCATCCTGAGAATTTAGGACTCTGAATACAGACACAGGCGAGCCTAGGGTGCTCACGGCCTCGGGGCGATTTGACCATGGGTTCAGCAAGATACAGCATAAGCGACGTCAGGTTTTTAGCACCATCTTCAACGAAAGCGCGGGTGTCAAAGCCACAGAGTGTGTTGGGAGAAAGGCTAGCGAGTTTCGGGTACGTGTAGCTGAATAGGGATTCCAGATTTTCTGGCAGCTTGTTGGTGATTCACATGTTGTCGTCATCTGGTGATACACGAAGCACCAGCTCTTCGATAGTGTCCCTGTTAAAATAAACGTTTGGACATACAAAAGTATAAAACTTTTTGAAATGCACCCACTGAATCCCAGTGCTGAAGCCACCTTGTGGAGCGATGTCTTCATCTGCTAAATAGCGGAAAATAAAGGTTCTCGACACTGGAGTGATAAACCTGTCAAATTTCGGAACATGCCTGCCTGGTCGGCCCAGTGACCTGAATAAATAGTGAACGAGCTGCCCTGTGCGTTGAGGAACAGCTGGCGGATACGCTCAATAAATGAATCGATTTCTGTCGATTGATTGGCTAGGATGGGAGTATCGCTTCTGTAGAAACCGAGCACACGCTCAGCCACGTTTGGAAAAATCGGCATGGGCATGGCGCCGGCATTTAGCGAGCGGGTGGAGGTGCCATCAATAATGCGGCCAAGTGAGAGGTGGATATGTGCCTGAATGGACAAGCTGGTGGAGTCCGGCAGCAGCTGCCAGAGTGAGGTCCTGGGTAAGTCCGTTCCAGGATCATCACTGGTTATATACAACGTAGGCGTGGGAAGCGGCTTCGGGTTTTAGGTAGAAGTAAGGTAATCGCATCAGTTCGCCATGGGCGGCAGACCTGCGCAATTGAAAGAAGCGACTCGGTGCCCACCCATCCTTTCTCGATTCCAACATCTCCTACTCGTTTTTTTGGCCACTCGCTATATTCGATACAGTCCGAAAATATGACTGAGGATGCCAGGTGGAGCGTTCTGGCCAGGAAAATAGTGTCGAGTCCATATCAGCAAGTATATGGAAGGAGAGATATTGGGGTAGATGAGGTCAATCTTTTTTGTTTTAAAACAACAACAGTGAAAATGAAGGTTGATCTCTCTTGTGTTGAGCCTGCTAGTCAGGGCAGATCATACAGTCATGATGAATACGGTTTGTTCAGACGATCAGGGCTGCGCGTATTACTCCCTAGGACATGTGCATAGATGGTTCCCGGCGGGTGACAAAGGTTGTTGGCTATTACACTTTGTCCATTCTCATAATCCAAGTTCCCGCACGCAATCCCTCATCAAATCCCAATATCACTACTCCAGTACTATTAGCTTTTGAATTTTCGGTACCCTTTGGTGAAGTCTTTGTTAATACTCATCCTATTAAACAAACAGTTTCCCCCAGGTGGCTAATATTGCGTGTGTCTTGCAGAGCCTGTCGTAGTAGAGACAGTGCAATTGAAAGTAATATAGGTAGCAGCCTGCCCGCATATCTTCATGCCCAATCATTTCTGGCGCTCATGATGCCCACATATAAAGCTAATTAAACCTGTTGATATTTGTGGTTCAGAAGCTGGCTTGGTTAATTATGTGTATGGCAAATCTCCTGTCTGCAAGTGCTTTATCAAAATGGCAGTATTGTATGCTACGTATTAAGTAGTTGAAAAGTGATTATGTGCAAGCGAAGTGGACGGTCCCTTGCTTAGTCTTCAATCGGTGGTCCAATATGCCTTTTAGCTGGCAGATTGAAATCCGGGGTCGAGGAGCGGGAATCCTCAAGGCTGAGCGTATTTCTTGGAGAGCCATAGGGCTACAGTACTAGCACGATGTCCATCCGTTCCTCTTTTCTACGCTGGTGGCACCAAATGCAGTCATTGCCTTTCCATGTGGTTGTCTTGGGCATTAACTACTAGACTCCATCAGCTTATTCGGGGACACTAGCATTGCAGCCCGAATGGTTCTGAGCAGTATTAACTTGTATCGTGAATACAAAAACCTGTCTATGGTCTGACAACTCATGGATGACAACAACAGAAGGTTCTTGGGTCAGCTCAACGAGGCTATCGAATGATGGGGTGACAAACAAGAGCTGTGCGTGGGCCAGGAGACCCCCAGCCCCGAAGCAGTTGACCACTTCCTCCAGCGTTGCTGCGGACAGCGGACCGGAATATGTGAAGAACATTCCACCATAGGCCGTGCATCTAACGGGCATTTCCCACGACATACCTGTATCGGTTCGGTCCCCCTCTTCCATCCGGTCCAAGGCAGAAACTGGGTTTTACGGTAATAACCTTGCCAAACCGGCCTGGTAGAGCTATGCGTCGTGGGAAATCAATCCCCGCTCTCCTATCTCCAAAAAAGAAAATAATAAAGTCATGCACACACATACTCCATGTGACTCCTTGGCTTCTGGTTTCGAATGTGCTTAAACTGGAAAGGTGGTGGGACGATTGCCAAAGATGGGGCAAGGTTGTCCGCCCATGCATTGGCTTTTGAGGGAAAAAAGGGACATGGTCCACAGCCTGTGCATATTATAAAGTGGGAATAAAGGACTGCAGAGCTAGGCCCAGACTACAAGCTGGATTCAAGCAAACAAAGAGAAGCGACGTCTCATGGCCATATAAGAAATCAGGTTTTGCGGCGAAAAGAATGTTCGATGGAAACGGACCATATGAGTAAACAGTAGGAAGGAGTGGAAGGAATTGTTCCCAGCAGCCAAGGTGTGGCATGTCCTGCGCTCATCCTATACTCTCACATTGCAAGCGATAATACGACTAGGACGTGATGATGGAAGACGGATATAAAAACCACAGCCATTGCCACCGAGAGCGACGACAGATACGAACAACACACAGCTCGACAATACCTCCTCCTATTACTTCCCTGATACCTTGTTATTCTCCTTCAACCAACATCTCCTTACTTTAGTCATCTACAATGGTCAAGCTTTCTTTCTCCCTCGGTCTCCTGGCATTTGCTACCCTTGTAGCTGCCGCAGACACATCCAAGGACCCGCAGGCCGGCGTCACCACCTTCAACCCTGTGCTCAAGAACAAGGGCAAGTTCACTGTCTACTCCTCTCCGATCACTGTCTCCTCTCCCGCCTCCTTTGCCAAATCACCGGCATCATCTGACGCACTCCAGGCCAAGATCAATATCGGAACCACTTACCTGGTGCAGAACCACAACGTGACGGCAGCCGACATTGCCATCACAAATGCATATACCGATACGCGCTCTGGCATCACCCATGTGTATGTGCGCCAGGTGGTTGGCGGTGTGCCGGTCTCCAATGGCCTGGCTAACGTCAATATTGACAAGAAAAACCGCATTATCTCGTCTAGCAGCTCGTTCGCGCCCGCTGATGTTGTGAGCAAGGTCAAGCGCGACAACAGCGGGTCGCTGGTTGCCCGCGCCAGCGAGACCGCTACTCTCAAGAATGCCTTCAAGGCCCTGACCGAGTACGTCAGGACGCCGCTCAAGGATGCCGATCTCAGCAAGGTGTCGGTGGCCTCTGTTGCCAGCCTTCTGCCCAGCGATGGTGCCAAGTATGAAATCACCAATGTCCCCAAGCAGGCTGCTGTTGACGGCAAGTCCGCTGCTACCAAGGCATACATCCAGACTGCCGAGGGCAAGCTGGTGCCTGTCTGGGAGATCACTCTGCAGCAGGATAGCCACTGGTGGAGCGCGCATGTCAATCAGGACTCCAACAAGGTTGAGGCCATCAATGACTGGGTCAGACGCGCTGAGTCCTACAACGTGTACCCGCGTACCGTCAACACTCCGGCTGAAGGCGTGCGCCAGATCGTCACCAACCCGGCCCATGGCACAGCTAGCCCGTATGGTTGGGTCTCTGGCTCCACGACCACCGGCAACAATGTCTGGGCGCAGAACAACCCCACTGGCGGCAGCACATGGCAAAACAACTATCGCCCGAGTGCTGTCAACGGTGTATTTAATTCGCCCATGAATGTGAACCAGGACCCGTCGTCCTATGTTGATGCTGCCATCACCCAGCTGTTCTACAGCATCAACGTCATGCACGATCTGTCGTACCTGTATGGGTTCACTGAGGCTGCTGGCAACTTCCAGGGCGTAAACTATAGCGGCCAAGGTGCTGGAAACGACTACGTGGTTGGATTTGCTCAGGACGGATCCGGCACCAACAACGCGTATTTCGCTACTCCTCCCGATGGTCAGAACGGTGTCATGCGCATGTTCGTGTGGACCCAGACCAGCCCGCGCCGCGACGGTGACTTTGAGCAGGACATTGTTGCTCACGAGTTTACTCACGGTATCTCGAACCGTTTGACCGGTGGTCCGTGGAACGCCAACTGTTTGACCAGCGGCGAGCCCGGCGGCATGGGTGAGGGCTGGAGTGATGCCGTTGCTAACATTCTGCGCCTCAAGCCTGGAGACACCCGCGCACGCAACCTCATCATGGGCCAGTACGTTGCCGGCCGCGGCATCCGGTACTACCCGTACTCGACGTCGACCACTACCAACCCGACGTCGTACGGTGACCTCGACAGCGGCACCTTCCAGGAGGTCCACGCCATTGGTGAGATCTGGGCTGAGATGCTGTATGAGGTCATCTGGAACCTTATTGATGCCAGAGGCATGGCAGCCGATCTGTTCTCGCACGATCTGACCAAGGGTAACTCGATCGCGCTCCAGATCATCCTCGACGGTATGAAGCTGCAGCCGTGCAACCCGACCTTTCATTGACGCCCGCAATGCCATCATCCAGGCCGAGCAGCAGCTCACGGGCGGTGCGAACAGGTGCGCTGTCTGGAGAGGCTTCGCCAAGCGCGGACTCGGTGTCAACGCCTACGGATACCCTGGCTACTACCATGTCGAGGACTACTCGGTCCCCAGCGGCTGCTAAATCCCCGCATAGCCCTGGTCAAAAGCCCCTACCGACGTTATAGCTAGTCTTGTCTCGTTTTCTTGATTTCGATAATGTGATTCCCCCGGATCAGGGGGTGTGCAGCAGCTGGCAATACACTGGTGGTGAGTTAGGCGCGGCCCGTTGCTGCTGAGGACGCTAGAAAAGCAAAGGCTTGCGAACGTCATTCCGCAATGAGCACCTTTGCCTTTTCATCTTGCCAATTTACCCTCAATTAGCTCCTTCTGTTTTTCCGTTTACATTCCAGCAATGCCTGCTTACCACTCAAGCTACAATGCAGTCGAGAACGTGCGCATAATTAACGGCATTCCGCTGCTGCCGCTGCTGACGAAGACGCGTGGTCCGGCTCCGTACGGTAAGAGCAGCATTCGCTCAGACATGGACAACATGAATGTGTAGTGGACTAGGAAGGCAAAGGCCAGGGTGCTAAGCTCCTGCTTTTATATTGTAGCTGATCCGACGATGACGAGGGACGCAGTCGACGAAGCCCTGGAGCTGTTCCGACCCAACAGCTTCTTCAAGAACTTTGAGATCAAGGGAGACGGCGACCGGTTGCTAATCTACATTATCCTGTTCATTTCGCAGAGCCTGAACAAACTCAAGCCAACAACGACCGCGGGTGAGGCCACCAAGACGCTCTACTCGTTGGCGGTCAGCAATGTGGTGATCCCGGCAGACGCCAGCTTCCCGCTGCATGCCATGTATCCGGCGGTCGGCGACCGGGTTGAGAGCGATATGCTGAGGCAGTATCTGCAGCAGGTGCGCCAGGAGGTGGCCACGCGGCTGGTTGGCATTCTGTATACGGAGAATGGCCAGGCCACGGCAGCGCCCAGCAAGTGGTGGATGAGCTTCCAGAAGCGCCATTTCATGGGCAAGAGCCTGCACTGAGCTGAGGCCCCTGTACAAGCCTTTTTTTGGCAAATAGCATGGTTACGATAAACTTTGACAAAAGTATGAAGAGTCAAATGTAGAAAATGGGCGGAGTTTGAAAAGGGGATTGCAGCAAATGCCTAGTGGTGCAGCTTGCGGAACGGGTTCGTCTCGTCCACGGTCTCGCTGGTCACTGGCACAGCCACTGCGGTGTTGGCTGAACCAGCGATCTCGAACGGATTGGTCATATCAACAGCGGGAGAGGCACTGCCAGTATTTGCAGCCGGCAATGGCTGCGACTGTGCACGCATATTGAACGGATCATCATCATTAGCGCCGAATGCGCTGGCAAACTCCATCTCGGTGCTGGTTAGCTTGGGCGGCGTCTTGGCTGGTGGCTGCGGCGAGTACCTGGTCGGGCTCAGCGGCGCATACGACGCCAAATTGCCCGCCGGCGACGAAGCATCCATCGAATCATCGATCAGGTTGAACACATTGGGCCCAGGCGCCATCAAGGCTTCGGCGGGCTTCGGTGGCTGCTCTGGAGCGGCATCCCGGGGCGGCTGCGTCTGAATCGGCTGGTCGTCGTCCGAGGACTCTGTGAAATCCGAGTCGAGCTGGCGGCGCTGCGGAACCGGCGGCGGCACATCATTGTGCGGGGCTGTCTGCTGGGGTCCTGTGGCCGGCGGGGTGTGCTTCTTCGACCCAAGCTTGAAGATATTGCGGATCTTGCTTGGCTTCTTTGCGTGCCGCGGTGGTTGCGGGGCTCCTATCAATTAGTGACTGCCTGTTAGTATTTGCAGGACTCTTCCTTTCCTGATTATCTTTAGAAACGTGGAGGTGAGCGAGTTTAGCACCCGTTTCTGGCGCTCTTAGTAGAGCTACAAAGGGGGAGCGACACCGGTTTGCTGCGAAAGGCCCGAGGGCTTTTGTACCTTGCAGGTGGAGGCCAGACAGCCCGTAAGCGGCACTGCCATTTTGCCCTCCTACAAGGCTCCTTAAAGTGTTTACTGGATTCCGGCCTTGGCTCACGGGGATTTCACGTCCACAACGCGTGCATTCTCACATCGCAGCCTCTGTACCTGATGTCCACGACCGTGCCCGGCTCATGTCGTGCTGGGCCAGCTGGTGTGCGTACGCTGCATCCTGCATGGCCATGTTTGGGTCCTGCATCTACAGATGTCCAAAGTTTTCTCTGTCTCAGCTGCTGGCTTCGAATATAAACAGTGCAGCGCAAGCAAAAAAACAATGTTTCTGTTTACCTGCTGTGGCTCTTCGGGCTTGTACTCTGGGTCAGTCATGCTCAGGACCGCGTTAATGCTGGGCTCGACCAGACCGGCGTTGGAGCGCAGCACCGCGTTCAAGCACTTCCCTGTCGACCTCCGGAAACAGCTCCACCAGCTGCTGCAGGTTGTTCGAATAGTCGTCAGTCATTTGCCAATGAAGCTGCTCTATGTGATATAAAATTGTGAAGGGAAAAAATGACCAACTAAGAGAAGGCGGGCCTGCCAGCGCAGATGCCCCGCATGGACGAACACCGCAGAGTGTTGTATGAAACCGATCACGTGTGCAGCCACCCATTGGGCAATTCTGCTTGGCACAACACAGGCCCCATCACACAGACAGAACGTTCATTAGAATTAGCAGCGCCAAGCCAGCGATCCACCGCACAGCCAGCGATTCCGTCCAATTGATCCTCGAGCCGCCGCCGCCCGCCAGCCGGTCGAGCAGCTGTGCGCGCTGCTCCGGCGGCTGCCCAGTCTCTGCCAGCGGAATGTCCCCACCGGCGCTGCTGCTCGCCGGCTTGTGCATGAGCCAAGAGGTCAGTGCGCCCGTGGCGTGGCTCAGGTGCTGGCACAGTGCCAAAAACACCACCGACGAGACAATCAGGTTGATGAACCACAGGCGCCCGTCCACCAGCACCAGAATGCCCTTGGTGTCGGCTGCCAGCCACAGGTGGAACTGCGCAATAAACAGCTCGAGCGACACCTGGCCGACCGAGCGGAACGCCTGGCTGCTGCGCGAGCGCAGGAACTGTGTCGAATTGCGCAGGACCACAAAGGTCACCACGGGGATCGGCGAAATGTACGGGTGGTAGGCATTGTAGGTGAACTTTGACTCGCTGGTCAGCTCGAACCAGAAATACCACACCATGCCGATGACCGAGAACAGCACCGCCCACCGCCTGATCTGTGCCCAGCGCGCATGCGCCATCAGTGCGCTCTGGTACCGAATCGTAATGAGCGCTGTGACCATGCCAACGTACACAATGAACCTGTCGACACCGAACCGGAATTCCCACTCGTGCGCGCTCCAGTTCACATTGACAATTGACAGCAGCCCCATCGGCCACAGGCCCAGCGAGTTGATCGCCGAAAACACTGCTGCCGAGACGGCAATTTTGGCCCACACAAAGTTCGTGTAGTTGTGCTCGGGCAGGATGCGCATCGTCAGCCAGACAATCAGCATCCAGACCGATGACAGCGGCGCAAAGTAGTAGTCCATGTACGACGTGCCCATGGTGTATGCCAGAACCACCGCCAGGATGTTGGTGCGCAGCAAGACCACCGTCAGACGTGCTAGCCCGTAGTTCTTTTTCTTGTAAAAGTAGAAGAAGTGGCCGTAGCCTGTCATGAACAGGTACATGGCCACCAGCACGCGCACCGGGTTGTAGATGCCTGAGACTGTGGATGCATTCATCACATGGTAGATCAGAATTGCCAGCTGCATCCAGCCCTTCCACTCATCGGTCTGGTCGCGGTTCAGGAACCCTGGCGCCGAGTCTTCTTTGACAGTGTACCCGCCAGCCGCCAGTGCAGCGACAGACAGCAGCGTGAACACCCAGCCAACAAAGTGCTTCTGGATCTTGCCAAACAGCGGCGTCCGGTCGTTCACGTACATCAGCAGAAGAATCGCCACAAACACTACCATCTGCCGCAGCGTCTCAAAAGTTGGCACAAGCCGGCGCCATCCACTCTCGCTGGATCGCTTAGCCAGCATCAGCAGCCCCAGGAACACGGTTGCCAGGGCAAGCATCTTTGGGAACCAGTGCGGCGATGGGTACTCGAAGCAGCAAGTCGTCCGGAACGGCGGCGTGGTTGGAAGGCGGCTGTTGCACAGGTTGTTCACCAGCAGACCGATGGCACGATCCTCAAGTCGCGGCGAGTAGTGCAGTCCGTCAGCGGTCTCTAGGGCACCCGCTGTCATACGACTCCACGCAGAGAACACCTCCAGCCCGATCCTCTCCATGTATTTGTTCATCCAGTAAATTGCATTCGGGTCCAGCGCCTGTCGCCGCTCCGGCGCCAGCTTTTCCGGCACCACATTGGGCACCGGGCTGACAAACACGCGCGGCAAATTCGAGCCCTTGCGCGCTGCGATTCTCGCTGCCAACAAGTCAACATCCTTGCGCCATGTGGTAAGACCGCCCGACTCGGCCTTGTTCCGGAGGAACCACGAGCCGGCTCCTACCACAATGGACCGCGGTGGCCGCGACAGCACCTGTGTAGTCTCGCCAGCGACGACCTTCCAGGTGGTTTCCGACGTCAGATACGGATCCCATACAAAGTACGCGGCCAGATCCTCCGAGCCCGGCCAGTTAACGCGGATATCTGCGTGCACCTTCCCCTGGTTGCCGAACTTTGGGTCCACCAGCCGCACAAACGCGTAGAACTTGTCGCGCACCGATGAGTCGCCGATAAACACCACAAAGTCCTTGCCCATGCAGCTAGTTGTATCCTTCGGCCCATATGCCTTGAGCGTGCATCCTTCGGGCTGCCACAGGAGCTTTGTCTTGTCTGCCCACCAGCCGGTCTGCTGCACCGCCAGGCATCGGTTGTGCTTGTATGGCGTCGGGGAGAACTGCAGGAGCGCGTACAGCGTCGAGAACGCCAGTGTGACCAGCGCGCACGTCGTTAGATTCAGATTGGCTAATCGTCCAAGCATTGCGTGGTTTTCATGAAGTACAAAGGAACAGGAGCGGGTGAGTGTGAGGGGAGCGGAGCAAAAATAGAGCTGGCGGAGCGGTCTCTCAAGGTCCTCTTTGCACAACATGGAAAATCACTCACCGCTGATCTTTGTTTGCGTGAGTTTTATTCATCAGGAGGGGAGCAATGGTTTCAGCCATTTTGCTTCTCGCCGTCTAGTTTTTTTTTTTTTTTTTGAATCCGCAGGACCGCTACTCTCTTGCACAGGCAGGAACTCCCAGGCGGGCTCAAGCAGATGCTGCCACTGCTTTGGGTAAGGGGTGGATATCAACAGCCCTAGCGAGAAACCACACCACCGGCTCCAAGCGCTGATGCCTGCAGACTGTGTGATGTGGTCCTGCCCAAAACCATCTGCTGAAGCGAACAGGGGGATATAAGCTCAGCCAAAAATGCAGTCGGTGATTTCAACGTATATAATACCACCCTCAATGTCCAGAAGCATGTCTTTTCAGATACTTACCAGCACGATCAAACAGTGTCTGGAACCAGGCAGCCGTACACGGTCGTCGCTGGCCAATGCGCTGCAGCAGTTACTTGACGGTGTCAAAACACAAAAGAGGAGAATCGCTGACCCAGTTGCACTGCTGATGAACGTGACAGTGGTGGTCGTCCAGGTGCTTGTCCACCCTGTGTTGGCAGACCGTGAGCGCGACTTGACGCTCGACTGCCTTCTCGAAACGCTAACGCCGGATGGCCCTCGGCAGGGCGATGGAAGCCTACGCGGCGTGTTTGCTATCGTCATCGAGCACTTGCGGCGGGTTCTTTTGCCGCTGATGATTATTGAGGTGCCAAAGCAGGCGCAAGGTAATGCCGGAGCCTACGCGGCTGACGGCAGTGAGATGCTGGCGCCAGCTGTTCGCACACACAAATACCGTGTTTATCCCGCAGATGCACCAGCCGCCACTCGACCCCATGAGCGCACCAATGCCACAGCCGTGCACCGTGTCGCTTGGCGAATATGTTCAGGCATATATTCCCCAGGAATACATGTCAATGGTGGTTTCTGGGCTACTAGACAACGCTGAGCTGGGCGACGACCGGAGCCTTCGACTAGCCGCACTTGACACGTTGGCTGACTGCTGCAATGGTGGGCTTCTTGGTGGAGCAGATAGGCTTGAACTCATATTCCCCGGCATTGCATCAGTGCTGGCACGGATCGCGTTGGGCAGGGCACCCGCTCCCAGTACGCCTAAGGCCGACAGCCAGTTTATCAATGATATGCGACAACTGTCGCTGGAATGGGCAGAGCTATCGGAAGCCGCCAGCAGCAGTGCGGGCACGGGCTATTGATGCGTTGGCTGCAGCTGTCGTGGCTGTATACGGCGATGCGCGCAAACAGCCGTCTAGTAAAAGTACTGCGATGGGGGAGCTAGCGAGTCGGGCGCGGTTGTTGGCAACAGCAAGCATCGTACAGAACAAGGCAACTGATACTGACGATGATCCGAGTGAAAGTGATGGGCAATTGCAGTTCCAGCGTCTGTTGCGCAGGTTGGCAGAGCTGCGCCATACGGAACACCTAGTAATTGCCAGTGCGTTGGAGGCGCTATTTGCAGACATCGTTATGAGCTGTGCCAGCATGCTGCAATCGCCAGCATTCTCTACAGCCGTTGAGGCTTGTCTGATCTTGGCCATCACACGCAAATCCACAGAGGGTGACAGTGATACACTTTGCCGGATTGCAGACAAATGCTGGACTGAGGGCATGGGCCCGGTGTATAGACACAGGATTGGCGAGCTGGCCGAGTCCTGCTTTAGCCTGTTTGAGCAGTACATCACTGGGAATTCAGAGTCTCAGCGCAGAGATGTACTGTGCTTGTTAGCAGGGTATATGCGCGTGCTGGGTCCGAGCGACACACAGTCACTGATGCTGCAGTGGTGGTCTACGCGTGGTGTATTGTCGCTGATTGCGTCTTTGACAGTCTCGCTTCCCGGAACGTCGCTCTTGATATCTGAGGTTTCCAGCACTAGTGACCCAAAGGAGTCGGTTGACTACGTGCTGGACTTTTATCGTACACCGGAACTGAAACTTGCGCTAGACAGATTTGTTGGGCAGGTTGTCGAATCATTCACAGCACGAAGGCTACGGACACTGCTTATCGGGCTCTTGGAAACCCAGCCTGACAGTGTCCACTCGCAGATGCTGTGGCTGCTTTCTCGGATTACATCTCTGGGAGAAAGCGAGTACAAGGACGGCGAGGATGCTGAGTATCAGCCGGTAGTCGAGTACATCGCCAACTATTTCAACAAACTGCAGTCGGCCAGTGACGAGGAAACGTCAGACAGCATCCAGACGATCGACGCTGCCAGCCAGGATGTCTTGCAGTCGTGCATGGTACTAAACACGATATCGACCGTTGTGCCTCGCATCGGCACCAGCATAGCCTACTACATGGACTCGCTGTTGTTTCCACTGCTCGAGACGACAACTGCTCAGTCACCTGTGGTGCGTGAGCAGGCACAACAGGCACTGGCTGTGCTTGCTCGCACCTCTGGTACAGTATCGATCCCCGATATGCTTCGCAGCAACATTGACTATATTGTCGAGGGCTGCTCGCGACAGCTGCGCATAGTTGATTTACATCCAAAAGTGTTCAACATCCTCATTGGGTGCGTTGATCTGGTTGGCGAAGGAATCCTGCTGTACATGGACGATGTTGTCGAGGACACATTGGACGTGTGCGAGTCATGGATGGATGATGATGTGATGATGACCAGCGCACTGCGGTTTTTAGGAGGTCGTTACGCGCACCGTATCGACGTCTCAACAGCTGCTGGACCAAGATGCCCGCAAACTGCTAGATGATGGGCACAATACAGCTGCAAAGAGATCTAAGGACATCATCGGCGACGTGCTAGACGAACTGCAGAAAACGGAGGACCAAGAGCGGCTGTTTGAGTTCACAACCATTGGCAGCGACGATGCCAATGATGACACCGACATGGAACAGAGTGCGCTAGCTAATACTGACGTGGCTAGCGTGGACGACCCATCAGAAGAGGCGGCTGGCAATCCGCTGGCGATAAAAATCACACTGGTTGCGCAAAACTTCCTGTCACACAGCGGCGCTCAGCAGCTGGTCTCGCTCAAGATCTTGCAAAACACGCTGCTGGCGCTGCGCAATACGCGCGACTTGCTGCCCCTCATTAATGAGGTGTGGCCAGCGCTCACACACCGGCTGGTTAAGGGTCGTGACGACCACTATGTGCTCCTAGCTGCCTGCGATGTGGCCGACACCGTGTGCCGTGCTGGGAGCGCATGGATGCGGCAGCGCGTGCGCGACGACCTGTGGGTGCATTTCCGCCGGATTCTGGCTGAGGCTAGTCGCGAGTCTCTTCAGCGCATGTCGTCAGAATGCGAGCTTGTCAGGCGCGTCATTTGCACTATGACTACAGTGGTCCAGTTTGTGCCGCTGGATGATGTGGTAGCGTGGGACCTGGCCTGGTTGGCTCTGAAGGTTGTCGACAACCGCGTGCTGGAGCCGTTCGTCATTGTGCTTCTGAGCAAAATGATGCCGGTGTATGGCGACAAGGTCTGGCTCATTGTTGCCAAGCTCGGCCGCACTGCTACTTCGCCCGAGGATATCCCTGACCTGGGTATACCTGTGCAAGGCATTCGGGCACCGCCAAACATTGCTGTTCTACTTGGTATGCCATAGAAAATGGATATCTGAATACAAAAAACCAAAAATGTTTTAAAGAGCCGAGAGGAGCGTGTTCTTGCCAACAGCGACGCAGCTGGCAACCGGGTAGCATGGCGCGACAAAGCAGGCAACCTGCTGGTTGATGCACACTTCGCTGGCCCGGCATGAGTGCGTGGCACATGGGTTGTCGAGGTCGCCTACGTTAGCCTTGGGTAGAATAATCTTGATGCCCGACTTGGCTGAGGCAGTGGCAAGCAGCGCTGCGCCTGAGGACAAGGAGACTCGCAGAAATCTTCATTGGAAGGGCAATACAAGTTAGAGAACGACTGGGGTCTACTTTGGAACAGTCTGAGTAGAGAAGGGTGGTCGTGAGAACTGTGGAGCCAAGAGTGGGCGGACAAGCGTCGACAGTTTGTTTAACGGCGATGGAGGGGAATGCGGGTGCGCAAATCCTGGTCCCTCCTTTCAACTGCACCCTATGTAGTCCGAGTCATCTGACTGAAATTCAACCTTGCCAACGCATGTACCGCTGCAGCAGCAGCAGCAGCACGTTGGAGTAGAGGGGGTTGGAGACCAGGTCTGCTTTCGTGGGAAGGGCTGACGACATGGATCAGCATGCTTATGTCCACACACGGCATACATGCAACGCTGCCCAGCGCAGTCAAGCGCAGTGAGAAGGTCTGCGCCACCAGGCACAAGTCCGTCTGCCGAGCCGACGAGTCGTGTATGACACGCAAGTCGGCTCGAGCCGAAAACGCGACATTTGTGATGCAAACGCGCGTCCGCGCAGCAAATTGAAAACCAGCACCAGAAAACTGCCTTGGTTACCTCCCTTGCTTTCTTTTCCATCCATCCTTTGACTTCTTTTTTTATAACACGATAGTAATGGATATCCAGCTTACCCAGGGCGCGCTTGAGCGTCTGTCTCAGTCGCCGAACTCGTCAGTCGCTCGAGGCCCCGCTTGTCCTCCAAGTGGTGTCGCGTCTGCAGCCGATTCCCAGCACAAACGGCGGAGGCGCCGCAACGCGCTACCGCAGCTTCCTCTCCGATGGCCAGCACTCGACAGTGGCGATTCTCACTGGCCGGCTGACGCAGCTGATTGAGAGCAACACTATTGCACGCCACACGGTGCTCAGCATCACTCGCGGCAGCGCCAGCATGAAGGAGGGCCGCCCCGGCGATAAGCCGCTTCTGGTGCTGATCATCCTTGATGCCGAGGTTATTGCCACCCTCGACGACCGTATCGGCGACCCAGTGAAGATTGGGCCCGAGGGCCACGAGGAGAAGCCGGATGCTTCGCGTGCTGCAGCACAGCAGCCACAGCAGTACAAGCCCGCTCCCCCAACGAACTCGAACGCGTCGTCATTCCTGAGCCGCGTCGATAGCAACCGGCCGAACGTCGGCATGCCGACGATGTCTACGCTGAGCGGTGCACCAGGTGCGGTGGCGCCCATCGCGAGCCTGAACCCGTACAACAACAAATGGGTGATTCGTGCGCGTGTGTCGCAAAAGTCGAACATCAAGGAGTGGCACAAGGAGTCCGGGTCAGGCAAGCTGTTCAGCGTGAACCTCATTGACGAGAGCGGCGAGATCCGGGCCACGATCTTCACGCGCAATGTCGACAAATTTTTTCCTCTGCTGGAGGTCGGCAAGGTGTACTACATCACGCAGGCGCGTGTCTCGGTGGCGCGCCAGCAGTTCTCCAACGTCAACAACGACTACGAGCTGGTGTTTGAGGACTCGACCGAAGTCATGCTGTGTACGGATGCCGGCAGCGCGCTGCCGCAGGTGCACTACGAGTTTGTGAACCTGTCTGATCTGGGCAGGTACCAGAAGAACCACCTCACTGATATTCTGTGCGTGGTGCGCCAGTCCTCCGATCCGGTTGACTTTGTGTCGCAGCGCACGCAGAAGAGTATGACCAAGCGCGATCTGATGGTTGTCGACAGGTCCGGCTTCGAGGTGCGTCTGACGCTGTGGGGCGACCAGGCCATGCAGTTCGACGCGAATAACGAGCCCGTTGTCGCCTTCAAAGGGTCTCCGTCTGGGCGACTATGGCGGCCGCACCCTGTCGCTGCCCAGCATGGGCTCCTACACGGTCAACCCGGATATCCCCGAGGCGCATGCGCTGCGCGGGTGGTACGATCAGGAAGGCCGCCAGACCACCTTCCAGTCGTACAGCGCCGGGGCAGCCTCCAGCGGCGACACTGTGCAGCGGTTTGAGTCCCAGCTCAAGACGATGGAGCAGGTGCGCGAGGATACGGCGGGCCTGGGCGACGAGCAAAAGTACTATAACCTGAAGGGCACTGTTGTGTTTGTGCGCAACACGACCATCGCGTACCCGGCGTGCTCGACCCCCGGCTGCAACAAGAAGGTTATCGAGGACCCGTCAACTGGGCAGTGGCGCTGCGAGAAGTGCCAGAAGTCGTTCCCGGCGCCCAACCACCGCTTCATCTTCTCCATCAATGTCAGCGACGAGACCGGCCAGAACTGGCTGCAGTGCTTCAACGACATCGGCGAGCAGCTGCTGGGCTGCACTGCCAACGACATGATGCAGTGGCAGGAGATGGGCGACCCGATGTTCCAGAAGAAGATCGACGAAGCCACGTTCAAGGAGTTCACGTTCCGCTGCCGCGCCAAGAACGAGACCTTCAATGACAACACGCGTGTGCGCTTCACCGTAATGAGCATGAGCCCCGTTGACTATGTTTCCGAGACCAAGCGTCTTGCCCGTCTCGTCGAGTCGTATGCCGCCTAGCCACTTTACCAAGTAGCTCAATTGAAAAACATTTACCCACACATTCTTTGGAGTGGCCGGAGCATGTCCTATGCAGGTCAATTGTTTCTGTGCATATGTGCTTGTGCTGCTCCCTACTTTTCCGATGCAGTGGCCCTAAAGAACGGAAAGCTCTTGAAGCCAGCTGCGGGACAAGAGGACAAGGTGGCTGACACTCTTTCTTTTTGTATTTCACCTCCCCTCTTTCACTTTTTTGTACATACTGCCTCTACAGCAATTGGCACTAGGTTAAAATGTATATAGCCCCCGTAGCACCTGTCGGTCGCACCTATAACGTGTACCTATGCCCGTACTGTGGCAGTAAGTTCCAATCAGTTGTACTCCTGGAAGTCCACCTGAAGTACTATTGCTAGTGATATCAGGTGCCGTCTTTGTGGTGTCTGTCGATGAATATATCCGAATAATGATGCTGAAAAAAAGAATCTAAGGCAATGATTTGATGGCCCGCTATACTCTGTGGCAACCGGCAACATTGTGCTTGATATTGACAGCAAGTGTATCATTCTTGGCTATCACCAAACAATGTTGCCAGTTGGCACACAAAGTAGGGAGCGGACTCTGCTATTGTGTCGCTGTTGGGTCGATAGCTTGGATGCTACCCACCTTGCCGCTTTCTTAGCATATTTAAGTTCTGGTTGTTGCGGTCCTCGATCAAACGGCTTCCATCCTCTATATTTTAACAGCCGGCCCTTTTCTTTGAAACTCCTGACGGTACAACTCATGTCTAAAGCTCAGCAACTCAAGCCTGGTGTCTACATCCATCCAGCATGTCGCCCAGCGCTCATTACTTCATATTCAACAACAGTGTGCGAAAGGGGACGGGGAATCGGATATGGAGAGCTCCTGTGCCCAGATTGCACCTGTGTCTTCCGCACAGAAGCGGAACGGAAGTTCCACATGCTCTTTGCGTGCTTCGGATTGTGACAGTTGGTTTTTACCAGGGCACGAAAATGTAATTGCGATACCACAGCCTTTTGCCATTTCAAAAATAAAGTCTGTTGGCCGCGCATATGCAGCGATTTTGTAGTGTCACTTTCGAAGAATGGTGGCTTCTGTTCTCCCAAAAGTGCTTCGCGGAAGGCTGAATCTATTTTCATCATACGTAGCGTACGTGTGCAGATCATGCTGCTGCAGCGTGGTTTCACTTACCACGCAAAACAACCTGCCTTATTTTCTCTCCAGCAATCCATGGCCATATCTTTTTAAGGACATCTTGTGTTCCTGCAATTCGCACCATATGGCATTCTATAATTGTCTCAGTTTCTATTATTTAACAGCAAATCCCCGCATCTTTTCAGGACAGAAAAAATGTTGGGCAAACAAACATCACGGACGGCCACGGATCCAGCGGCACGCCGATCCCATGTGCGACCTATTTGTGTCGTCTGATGCGCTGTCTGTCTGAGATGCTATTTCTCGCCTGCCACCATGATGTCAAAGTACTACGTTGGCGTGGAGCGGAAATGCCGGCTAATAGGGCTATCTCGGCCGCATTTCCAGCTGTCCAAAACTTTGGAGGTGATACACCAGTGATGAAAACGTAACCTGAAAATGGGAGCTTTGCTAATTCGGCTCTCCCGAATTCTCAGTGCTGCATCTAGGATCCAGCGTTGAGTGTTTACAAATACAGTGACATACATAGCCAAGATTTTCGGTGCTCGCACAATCTTGTACAACTATTCGCCATCTAACCTAATCATTCGCCATCGGTGTATGTGAAATTACTCGGCCCAGATTCGGTTTGTTAAATATGGCCACGGCCATCGTGCAATACAGGCGAAAGTTTAAAGGTGGCCAAATGACGAGAAATGCGAGGATATACGAAAGGCCAGTATATTATGATCTGCACTCTTGGCGTGAGGCCAGACTGCCAGACCGACCAGACCGCGAAAAGATAGCAATCGCAGAAATGGCTATAAAAAAATCAATGCTATGAAACTAGCCGATGCGCAGCCCAGTCGCTCTCGCTTACTGTGGCGGAATGACGTGCGAAATAAACAAACAAATCAATGCGCAAGATAATTTGCCCGTTGGTGCATCAATAGATACAGCTACACCTGCTCACACATCATCTTTCTCTTCCGCTTCAGCGGCACATCGCTATGGTTTTTTTTTTTTGGGAAAAACGGCCTGCAACGTTGCAAAGAAAAATGGCCAATGTCCATCTCTTGCGCCTGCATATGCAACCTCCGGCCAGCATTTCAACAGGTCTATTTTTACAATGGGATTCACAATTGTGCGAAGGGAAGTGCACCGAGCTGATGTGCTCTGTAAAAAGGCGGATCAATGGAGAGGCATGTATCGTAAGCACCGGGAACCGGGCCCCAACTCTTGTTCCTTTTTAGTTTCCTGCTATTTTGATTTGCATGAGAGAAATGAGGAGCCAAATCCGTGCAATCCGCTGCTGAGTCAATGCTTTCAGGACAGGCAAAATTGCTGTGCAGATGAGGAGTAGTTCCGCTTGTTCCATCTGCTCCTTCGGTCAATTTACTTCCTGCCCACAGTCAGTGAGAAGCATACACATCCCCGTCCCTTATTCGACAATGGAAGTTCGAGATAGCCCTGTTGTATATTTAGAATAGTTCTACATTTTTGGTGAGCCCACAAACCTGATCAGTCGTGGGATCGTCCATATTCTTAGGACTGCAAGATTCCTTGAAATGGGCAAAACTTGTGTGAAGCAGCTTGGGCCCTATATAATGCGAGGCCCGTAGCCGACAAGAGCAGGATTACTCAGCAAGCCTACTGCCCCTTATTCTCTCCCTCCTCGTCTTGGTCCTCCAATACGTCTTCGTATATACCTTTCCTCAGCACCATCATATTCCTTAGTTGCAGACTTCCTCGCAAACACCTCGGCTTTCAGCGCTCACATTCGATAGCATAAACAGCCCGCCCAAGCCATTCTACGAAAATGCATCTGAACAACCTTGCCCTTACCTCACTCGTTGCCTCAGCTGCCGCTGGCCTCTACTCTGCTGTGCCGCCTGTCTATTCAGTGGCCCAGAGCGAATGCGCACCTGGCACCACGATTTACGAAACGAAGACGGTGTATGTCACTGTTGATCGTCCTTATGAGACGACACCGGCTGCCACTTCGACGCCGGCATACCACACCTCGCATGTTGAGTCCACCATTGTCTCGAAGCCCTCGACTCCTGTCTATCACACCAAGCCGACTCCTTCGACCCCTGTGTACCACACCAAGTCGACCCCTGTGTACCACACCAAGTCCAAGCCTGTCTATCACACCAAGTCGACTCCGGTGTACCACACCAAGTCGAAGCCTGTCTACGAGACTGAGACTACTCCGGTGTACCACACCAAGCCGACTCCTTCGACCCCTGTGTACCACACCTCGCACGTTGAGTCCACCATTGTCTCCAAGCCGTCGACTCCTGTCTATCACACCAAGTCGACTCCTGTCTATCATACCAAGTCGAAGCCTGTGTATGAGACCAAGACCACTCCTGTGTACCATACCAAGTCGAAGCCTGTGTATGAGACTGAGACTACTCCGGTGTACCACACCAAGCCGACTCCTTCGACCCCTGTGTATCACACCTCGCACGTTGAATCCACCATTGTCTCCAAGCCGTCGACTCCTGTCTACCACACTAAGTCGACTCCTGTCTATCACACCAAGTCGAAGCCTGTGTATGAGACCAAGTCGACCCCTGTCTATCATACTAAGTCGAAGCCTGTCTACGAGACTGAGACTACTCCGGTGTACCACACCAAGCCGACTCCTTCGACCCCTGTGTACCACACCTCGCACGTTGAGTCCACCATTGTCTCCAAGCCGTCGACCCCTGTCTACCACACTAAGTCGACTCCTGTCTATCATACCAAGTCGAAGCCTGTGTATGAGACCAAGACCACTCCTGTGTACCATACCAAGTCGAAGCCTGTCTATGAGACTGAGACCACTCCTGTCTACCACACCAAGCCGACTCCTTCGACCCCTGTGTACCACACCTCGCACGTTGAATCCACCATTGTCTCCAAGCCGTCGACTCCTGTCTACCACACTAAGTCGACTCCTGTCTATCACACCAAGTCGAAGCCTGTGTATGAGACCAAGTCGACCCCTGTCTATCATACTAAGTCGAAGCCTGTCTACGAGACTGAGACTACTCCGGTGTACCACACCAAGCCGACTCCTTCGACCCCTGTGTACCACACCTCGCACGTTGAGTCCACCATTGTCTCCAAGCCGTCGACCCCTGTCTACCACACTAAGTCGACTCCTGTCTACCACACCAAGTCCAAGCCGGTGTATGAGACCAAGACTACCCCTGTGTACCATACCAAGTCGAAGCCTGTCTACGAGACTGAGACCACTCCTGTCTACCACACCAAGCCGACTCCTTCGACCCCTGTGTACCACACCTCGCATGCTGAGTCCACCATTGTCTCCAAGCCGTCGACTCCTGTTTACGAGACCAAGTCGACTCCTGTCTATCATACCAAGTCAAAGCCTGTCTACGAGACTAAGACCACTCCGGTGTACCACACCCAAGCCGACTCCTTCGACCCCTGTGTACCACACCTCGCACGTTGAGTCCACCATTGTCTCCAAGCCGTCGACCCCTGTCTATGAGACCAAGTCGACTCCGGTGTACCACACCAAGTCCAAGCCTGTTTACGAGACCAAGTCGACCCCTGTCTACCACACCAAGTCGGCTCCTGTCTACGAGACCAAGACTACCCCTGCCTACCACACCAAGCCGACCCCCTCGACTCCTGTGTATCAGTCTACCAGCACCAGCAGTTGTACTGAGGGCAAGTCGACTCATGTCGAGTCCACCATTGTCTCGAAGCCATCGACCCCTGTATACCAGACCAAGCCGGCAACCTCGACTCCGATCTACCAGGCTAGCTCTGCGCCTGTCTACAATACCGCGCCTGCCTATGTTGCATCAACCATTGCTCCTTACTACTAAGTAACATATCTGGCTTTATGAATCTTTAATCCATTCCATTTATTTGACCAATACTTCACAAATGCTTTATTGACGTTTAGTTCATTACACCATCATCACTGCTTGTGTGGATTGAAAACCCGTATGCCATTGTTATTTATCAAGCTATTAGTGTGCGTGCTGAGCAGAAAGAGAATCCATATCGGTAGACACCGGCCCAATCGAGAGCCACATGGCTTCATGTCCCGCTTCCGAGGAATAGAAAGCAGGTGCTACTTTGCAATGAATGATTGGTGAAAAGCAGCCGGGACGAAAAGACACGCCTGTCAAGGCTAGCGCTACATGTGTGAAAGCGGCTTTAATAAATCCGAGCGAATGGTTCTTGACAGAAACTTCGATTACTGCCTCTGAGACAGGTGCGTAATTGCTTTTTACTCCCAGCAGTCACACCCACCCACACAGTTGTCAATTCGACCCATCTTTCAAAACGCAGCTGTGTCTGCGCACGATCATGTACACACCGCTGATATCCGCGAGTAGGTAGAAAGGGCAAGCTGAGTGCCGTTTGCTGCGGCCAAAGTCTGGGCACCATCAGGAAATCAAGGGTTACTTGAAGATATTTGTCAGATTCAAGGAAATCAGCGCATCTGCCTTTGCATTTTTCTTTGCCTTTCGTGCCACCTGACCTCACTGCCTGAAGATGCGGGAGCGTGCGCCTTCCCTCACCTTGGCACGGCATCTCGGAACGAAGAAGTCACGATGGCTTACCCCAAAAGCGCTAGCAACTCGCTATTGTGTGTCCGTGTGCTGCATGCTGAGGGCAGTTGGCAGGATATGCCGCTAAGCGCCTCCCTTGGCAGTAAAGACGGAGAGATGCCGAGCAACCCCTTGCTCGCAGTTGTTACCGAACCCTCAATGCTCGCATGCATACAGATTAAGCGGATAACAGCGGCCGCTCCGGGCAGCCCTATGCCGATCCACTAGCGAGCGAAAGGGAATGAAAAGCGCTGATAAAAATAAATGGGTGATTCTCAGTCGATTTCCCTGCTCCCAGGAAAAAACAAGTAGCGAACAGGGGAGGAGCGCGCCATGAACACAGTCCTGTTGCTTGGATTTGTTGGGCAAAGGCCCAGAAAGAACACTAAAAAGAAGTTATTAGTCATGCTTCTGAGGGGGCACACGTTTGCAAATGCATGCCGGGTGCTGCACATTATGCACGATTACTTGGCGACACCTGATATGTGCCACGTCGGAATTCTGGCACCGACCTCCCCAATGGCAGGCGGAAAGGTGGAGTATAGGAGATGAGGCGGCATCACGCTTGGCACATGTCTACGGACAGAAATAGGAGAGGTGAGGAAGGAATACACGTAGAAAACAGGAAAAAAAATCAACGCGCTTGGGATAATGTTTGGTTGTCGCCCTCCCCGGGTCTCCCACAAAGAGATACAGTGCAGGAAATTACATGGTGGCCGCAGGCAGTTAGCGTCCCGGCTGCTATCAGGGTTATTGCCGCAGCCCTCAACTTTTATTTTTTGTACATACAGTTTATCCATCCCCCGGATGATGTGCCAAGGATGGCTGACCTGTATCTTGGCCAGCGGCCACGACGTGCATATTCTCTTTTGTGCCAGGTCATGCATCTCACTGGTGAGAGGCAGGGAACGCACATTCCAGAAATAGGTTGCAATGATTTTCCACCATTTTGTTTCACGCTCGGTTTATCCAAGAGACACTGCTTATTGCAAACTTGCTATAAAACCTCCTGTCGGCGGGTCGTCTGCGCAAAATCCTTCATCCACACTTCTTCTTCACAACAACTGTTTTATTATCCAATCCCTTACAGAACTCTTTTTGCAATTCATCTTGACCCTTTGAAAACAACCACAATGTGCGACTTCCAATTCCAGCACCAGCTCCCCTACAAGGGCAACTTCGGCGTGTTCCGGCTCTACAACTACTCGTGCAACATCTGCGGTGCCTACTTCAACACCGTGCACCAGGCCAGCGAGCACGTCCGGGCAGAGCACTTCTTCCCCGACCTTGACGACTTGTAGATAGGCAGCAATTGCAGAATCACCGATGACTCCGGTATCAGCCACTACTGTTGAGGATACCCTCGTGTACAGGTTCTACAGGAAGGCTCAGGCGGACCCAGTTCCTCCCTTCCTCTCCTCGATGGTCGTGTGGATCAGCTTAGGGATTCCAACTCTCCCTTTCCTGTACACTCACTCCATTCGTTGTACTATAATTACTCTGTGCTCAGCAATTCCTGCACAGATCTGTATCTATAATTTGTAAAAACAAAAAAAACATCCAATCTCTAGATCTACTACAAGTCGACAAGCGCTCTTTCTTTTCCGTCTGTTTCTTTCTATCCTCTTATTCTTCACGTTCTCTTGAAAAAAAGAAAAAAATAAACCCAGTTTACAAAGCACTTGGCACACATTTTGACAACTTTCTTGGCTTTTGCCTTTGCCAAGACAAGTACCAGATGTATACTGCATGGCAGTATAACACCGGGGAGAGGAATTATGCAGCTGCCAGGCTCCACCTGCAGCTTTTCCGCAGCACACGCGCAGGATATTATTGTCGGAAACCGCAGCAGCTCCATGCGTCACTTGGGCCATGCACTGCGGTACACACGCTGCATGTCCATCCTTGTCCAAATCGCTGGTGGAGACTGCATGTGCATTTGACAAGCCGAAATTATTCACTAGCGAGACTGCTGCTCCTTCCTCTCGCGCCGCAGCTGCTCAAAGCGCTCCTTGGTCCTGGCTTTCTTAATCTGCACCTTGTACCGCTTTGGATGCAATTCCTTCTCCCACTCGTCCTTGACCTTGCGGTATAGTAGGCATCGTGGTCTTTGCGTCTGTCACAGATGAGTGCTCGCCCTCCTGGATGTTGATGTTGAGCACCGACGCGGCTAATTTGCGCAACGATGGCGCGCTGCCGTTGTTGAGCTTGCGGAAGCCCTTGTACTTGGCTGTGTCACGCACCATCAGCGGCGGGTGGGTCAGCATGAGGGCACGCAGGTCGTTCTGTAGCGCATGGCCAATAACAACCCTGTCCTTGAACAGGTCGGCGACCTGCTGCTGCACGTCCTTGAACTTTGCGCCGTTAGTCAGGTCTGACTTGCGAATTCCCGACACCCATGTGCGGTAGTCGGTAACTGGTTCCTGCGGCTTGACAAACGTGTCCATGATGACATGGCCGTAATAGTTAACAATCGATACACGGGCCAACATGGACCGACAGCCCTTGAAGCCAGCACCGACCATTTCGCAGTCCACAGCTAGATACCGGCCGATTGCCTCGCGCTTCTCTTTCGATACCGTGGGTCGGACAGGCTTCGACGAGGCAGGTGTATCAGAGCGGCGCGCCTTGACGATATCTGTGGGCAGATCTCCATCATCCTCTTCCCCTTCCTCATCCGCACCATCTGCCTTTATGAGCTTGGTGCTATTCCGGCTCTTGGCAGCACGGCTGTCGTTGGCATCTTCCTCCAGCTTGTCAAACCAGTCGTTGGCATCACGCGGCAAATCGTCGTTTCCATTCTGCTCCACCTCGTCTGCAACCAGCATCGCCAGGGACAGTGCACGCTGACGCTCTGCACGGCGCTCCATCTCGTCGGCATCCTCGCCCTCATTGTCTGAGCCAGACCTTGCTGCTGTTGGTGCCGAAGATGCTGGCTGGCTGTCATGGACAACGAAGCTTTCCTCCTCGTCATCAGAGTCCCAGGCGTACAGATCCTGCACGTCGTCGTCGTTATACTGGACATCCTGCATTTCCTTTTCCTTGCGGTCCTTTTCCTCCTTCTCACGCTTCTTCTGCGCCTTCTTGGCCTTCTTTGCGCGCTTCTTCTCTGCTGCAGCCTCATTGTCGCCAAGCAGGGCGTCGACAAAGTCGTCTACGACCTCATCGTCATTAGCGGATCCCTTCCTCTTATTTCTCTTCTTCTTGCTACCACCACTGCTGTCTTTGAACCGGAGAACTCTGTCCATCGACAGGACGACATCGTCATGAAGGAGCTCTTCCTCTTCCACGTCGATCTTAGCCACTGGCTTGGGACACTACAGGTTGTGCATGTGTTAAACAGCTTATCGCTTATGCTTGTCATCGGACTGGTGTGGCAATTGCCTGCATGCATACATTGGACTTCATTTGGGAATATAAATGTGTAAAAAATATCACTAGGGAAGCAGACAAGCAGCGCCTCTACGGCTGCCGCATCTGCAGCTGTAGCTGTGAGGAAAATGTTATCGAAAAAAAAAAAAAAAAAACCGCAAGCCAACAGTTGGGTGCAGGAATCACTGGATTGGATCAGCAGTTTAAGGCGCTGGAAATTAGGAACCCTGAAGCAGGTGGACTGGTCATTCACTCTTCCTTGTTTACACACATTCTTTACACAAATGACAAACGGGCCTGACATTATCGACCTACTGACAGACACGTCGTCGCTGGACTTGGAAGCCTCACGGCCAGCATCCCCGGCAGCCGCGGTAGCAGCATCCCCGTATGCTCGTAGAGACCGGCTAGTCCAGCCTCGCCGACCGCCGCAGCAACCTGCAGCAGACGTGCCATCACCAAACACGCCCAACCTGCCTTCACCATCAGTATTATTTCATATAGACAATATTTCCGCAACTCCCACACGACGCTCCGAGTCATCACATAGCAGCCTCCAGCTTATTAGCCGAGACACAGCCCTAGACATCCCGTCATCGCCACCTACGGTAGATGAGTACGTAATGGATGAGCTGCGAGATAACCAGCCGCAAGATTACGACGAACAAGGCCTGTCTGATTTTCCAGGACTGCCGCCACCATTGGACCTTGGCGAGTTTACACCTGGAGAGCTAGCAGCAGACGGAGAGCTGTCGGATACAAGCTTCTTTCTGGACGAGATAGTGCGAGGTGCAAGCGCTTTCGATAGGCAGCGGGTAGCTAGTTCAGATGAATTCAGGACCGAAACTCGATCTCCAAGTCAAGTGAGTGTGCCGAGGATGCATGCCGATGACGCCAGCGATTCGGCACCGCCAACAGAGATCCTAGCTAGCGAGTCAGAGTCGGACACGGGCGACGCGTATTTCACGAGAATCAGACAGTCATTAAGGCAAGCAGCTGAAGGGAATGTCCGGACTGGTGCGGCACTGCTGGGCCGGCGGTCTGCAAGCATGCAACATACAGTAGCCGATACCACTGGCAAGACACCAAGCATGATGAGTGGCAGCAGCCAGGCTATGCCCAGCTCATCACCAGTACTGTCACTGCACCAACCACCAGCGATACACAGCAGTCAGATCCTGGCCACATCTACCAGCCTGAGTCTGCCATCATCACCTGGACCGCCTGCGGACCGTAGTCCGAGCGGAATGCACACAATGTCGCAGGCACTGACGCTGAAGGAGATTGAACGTGAGCGGAAGCGTATGGAGCGCGAAGAGAAGAAGCGGTTGCGAGAAGAAGAAAAGGCACGGAGGGAGAAGAAGAAGCAGTACGAGAAGAGTCTGAGCAAGGCAAACCGCAAGCAAGTCGATACGTCAGAGATTGCCAAGGATATAATCGTGCTGGCAGACAAGTCAGTGTTAGACATGTTAGCGGCTCCGCACAAGAAAAACAGTATGGCACACGGCGCATCTCCAGCTGAGGGCGGGCTGGCGACTGATAGCGATTGTGGAGCTAGTGAGGGGAATATGGATGAGCGGGAGCACGCGCTATTTGCCGGTCTGCTCGAAGCCGGGATCAAATACCGGGTCTCTGACATCGGTGCTCTAGGTGCATTCAAATGGGAGATGGAAATGCACCGCAAGTGGGACTCGCTGATGGGCATGTACGTGCCGCTGGCAGTCCCACGCACAGTCCCAGTGCGCCTAGCTGCGATGGTTGTGTGGCCAAGCGAGCGGCTCGTCGACCTCGTGTCACGCTCGCAGCTCGCAGATGCCGTCGAAGTTGAGCGTGGACTACTGGGCGTCCGCCGACTGTTTGTGGTGGTTGTTGGACTGGCAAAATTCCTGAACAAAGTCCAGACTGTAGAATCACGCGAGTTTGCGCGAATGATACGCCAGAGACTCAAGAGCGGCTCAGTACACCCTGCGCAGTCTCGTCGACACACTGATACGCGGACAACAGTTACTGAGGATGAAGTTGACGAGGCGGTGTTGCAAATACAGGTGACTAATCCGCTGGTGACATGGTTTTTGCAGTGCAAGGACACAAGCGCGCTCAGCCGCCTGCTGCATCAAACATCTGCGGACATGGTGCAGGCTGTCTTCCGGAGCAAGGGCCAGAACGAGTGGATATCGACCGACAGCAGCGACCCCGGGATGGGCTCGACGTTCTTCACCAGCTCGCAGCCGTCAATGGCAAACAATTTCATTACTAGCGAAGTGCGCAGTGCTCTGCGGGCTGCTGTTATTCGGACTGGTGCTGATCTAACCGATTCGTGGATCCGCGCACTAGCCATGATCCCAAAGGTCACGCTAGCTGTAGCCCAGTGCATCGTCGCGCAGTACCCGACGCCGCGCTGCCTGTTTGACGCATGGGAGCGGCAGGGCAGCGTGCCTGAGCGTGCCCAGATGCTGGCTAACCTGACTGTATCCGGCGGCCGTAGGCTGGGCATCACCATGTCGACCCGCATATTCCACATGTTCACTGAGTCCAACCCATCCAAGCCATACGCCGAGTGTTGAACATGGCCTAATATATTGTTTTATAGGTGAAGAGTTTTTGGTGTCTATTTCGACTTGGGGCGCTTCTTGTTCATCATGGCCAAAGTGCCAGTCTGCTTCTTTGCGACCTCGGCGTCGTCGGCGAACGAAATGTTGGTCGAGCCATCAAATCCCTGGAACTTCTTCTGGAACGATGACAGATAACCGCCCTCGTCCTCGATCTGCAGCTCAGCCTGCGGGTTCCACAGCGGGTGGCTGCGGGTGTCCTTTGTGATCTTCACCTGGTCGCGCGGTGCCGACGACCGCACCATGAACGAGGAGCCGTCACTCAGCACGACCTGTGTCGTGAACTGTTCGGGGTGCCGCGCAAATTGCACCACCTGCTGCTCCCAGTTGGCTGGCCGTGGCTTCCATGCCCGCGCCAGCGTGCTCTTGACTGTCTTTAGTGCTGTGAATGTCGTCCGCATTTCGAGGCTGTTTTCTATTGCTCTCAATAGACGGTAAATGAGAATGAAAAAAGCAGAGGCAAAGGTGGAATCTAGGAGCAGGAAGAAGAAACAGGGTCTGCCAATTGGAGCCTTCGCTCTGCCTCAGCAAGCACAGCCTTTGCGATAATAAAAAAAAAGAGCCAGCTCGGCTTTTTAACTCGATCCCCTTCGCTCGACTCGCCTTGGCAGAGACTGGTGAGCCGTTCCTGTTTTGAGAATACCGCCATAGAGCAAACCGCCGCTCCTTGTTTTCGTCATTTCACCTGTGCTTTACTCTGCCCTACACTGTACATTTTGTATTCTAAGCCCTGTTCCTTCTGCATAAATGAGTGCTCCGAACAGTCCCAATCAGTACATACCGCTGGGCGAGCGTGCCAGCAGCGTGCTGCCACACCCACAATTAGCAGAGCGCAGTCCAGTCGCCACACCACAACCAACCGACCGCAACCTAGAGGAACCCGACGGGGTGGACGACGCCATGGATAGGGATGGCGGCAGTGACGATGACAATGACAGTGACTACGTAGACGAGGAGGCCATGCTGGAGGAGGCTGCCGAGACCCTGGGGTTTCGGGTAGCGGTGCGGCGACACTCGCAGCAGGACCTGCTAGACATGGCCGACTTTCTCCTGACCTTCATATACCTGTACACATTCCTGGTGGACAAGAGCATAGTGAATGCAATGGTCCGCTACGTAGCATCAATTACCGCGATGTATCCGCGAACAAACTACGGGGTCGGGGTTGCCTTGAGCGTGATGGCGCTTGCCAACTCGCTGAGCATTGCGCGGCACATAAGCATGGGCTTGTCACAGCACGGGTTTGATGCGACTGGCGCGTTGGTGGACTTTATCGGATGCAGTAGCCCACACCTGGTGCTGGTACTGCTGGTAGATTTGTTTGCGCTATTTATCGAGTTTGTGCGCGTTTTTGCGTACTCGCCCATGCACTTTGCCAAGGCACGGACAGCAAGAGTTTTAGCACTGATTCTGGCGGCTGAGAGGGCTGACGACATCGTCAGTGCATTGGCAGAACAGATTGGCGAGGGCAGCGGGTCGGACACTGCGACACCAGAGCAGATGGCTGCAGCGACGGGGAATGAGGACGATCAGGTCGTGCTCAGCATCGATTCTGGGAGCCCACCGCAGCAAGGCGATTCTATATCCAGCCCGTCTGCGCTAGTGTTTACTGTCTTTGCTGTTTCGAGAGCCTCGATAGCTGCCTGTGTACGACTTGACAGCGAATTGAGACGCAGGTTTGCTGAGGCATCTCAGCAGGAGGACCCGCCAGAAGACAGCCCGTCCACGGTAGCAGGTATAACAGTGACTACACGGGAGCGAGCTAGTAGCTCTTGACTTCATGTTTAGAGTTGATACAAAAAATAATGGCGACAATGAGCCATGCTTGGCATGTAGCTTGAGAGAGTACCTGAAACGACGGAATGTGGTTTACTCGATCTCCTTCCAGCCCTTGATCTCAGAGAGCAAAACCGCATTTCCAAGTGCGAATTTCCCCTTCATAGCTGAAGCCACGTGGCACTCGTATGCGGGTGGTTTCGTTGAACTCTGTGTAGAGCACCAACTTCGGGTTGCTGTCTGCCTTATCTTTAGGCATTGCCTTTGAATATTCCTCAGCATTGCGCACCTTGGCCACTCATTTTGCCGACTGCCATGGAGTAGAGTGCGGATTCAGTGAGCTTGCAAACACAAGAACTGGCGGTTCTGCCTTGCCATTGGTGAAGTCCTGGATGCTGTCATAAGGCGAGTACTTGAGTGATAATTTAACGGAATTTGGCAACGTGCTCAAGAGCTGTGTGGACTACATATTCCTGTAGGTGGGTCGAAAGCCCCATATGCAGAATGCCCTTGTTCTTTAGGTCGGGCGTGTTGCTGAGATGGTGCAAACCACATAGGCCACCAAACGGCACCTCCATTTCGGGCCACGTTGCTGCCTCTATCACAAATAAACAGCTTTGCCAGTCCATTGCCTCTAGCTAAGACAGCCAAATAGTCCTCAAGCCCTATGATCCGCCGCAGCCACATCCCTTGCAGCTCGGTGGTCTCCTCCCAGTTTTCCCGCGACGGCCTGTTCGCAGGTGCTGGCCATGGGTTGGTGTGAGAGTACACTCCAGAAAGAGGGGTGGCCGCATGTTCCGCAGGGGTGCAGGCCATGAGCCAGAGTCTGTTGTCGTGATGCACGACGTAATATGTACGGTGCTGATCAGCCAATATCAGCAAGGTAATTGCTTGCTTTCGGGTTTCCTTGTCAGCCGACCAGTAGTCAAAGTCCAACTGGATGAGGTATTCCTCTGACTGCTCGGCCTTGTTGACATACAAAGTAAGAATGCTTGGAAATGACCACATTTGACAGGTGCTCGTCGCCAAATCTGTGCATCTTGAGCTGCTGGATCTTCCTGCCAAAGTCGACAGTGACGTACAAAATGACACCGGTGTTGTTGGGCATAAAGCTGTAGACGTCGGGAAGACCTAGCCCAGCCGAAACCAGCTGGCTGTTCTCATCAGCCTTGAACAGGGCTAGCAGGTGCTGGCTTTTGTTACGCTTCGTAAACGTACCCTTACCCACGACAGCCAGCCAGGAGTCATCAGGGGCTACTTGCATCTCATTTGACATGATGCTTTGGAGAGAGAAAATGGCGCTGATAGCGGTCAACTCCTCCACTGCACCCCCCTTGGCACTCCAGAAACACCTGGTGACATCATCTGGCCCGGTGCCAATGTAGTATGTGCAGTTGGGGCTGTATGCAATAGTGCCTTCGTGCTCCTCTACATACGGACCCGCAGCTTCTTGACTTCATTGGCTAGTTTCGTTGACTGGCTCAGCAAATTCCGCATGACCCTTGCAAGGTGTTTGTTCTCTTCCTGGAAGTACTTGCGGAGTTGGACACTGCGCTCAGTACTGTGCTAGCTACCGATGGTTGGGGTCTTTGGTTCCACCGGAGGGGCAATGAAAGAGCTCTTGGCCAACCTTTTAGACATTGGACAAGTAGACTGAAGATGAAATAAACAGGGGGTTGTCGAAAGAGAAAAGGATGACGAATCCCTGCCAGATCTGCCTGGGACATGCATGCATGTCGATACAGGCTTTTTATGAGGGGATGCAGGTGTTTCAGGGGTGTTAAAGATGTAGCAAAAGCTGGTTTTGCTAAATGAGTATGTCGCATTCACGCGCAGGGTGCTAATGATTGCATACAGATACATGCTATACCTCATGTGCATCTTGGTGCCACAGCAGATATATTCCTGTCTGTGGATGTAACTGCCCTCATCAATGCTCGATGCAACCAAAGTGTACTGTTTATAGAGCAGTGTCACAACTTGCAAGCAAGAACGCATCCTCTGCTCAGTAATCTGTGCTGCGCATTGTGTCTGAGCGGCAGGTGTTGATCGCCTGATCACAATCTATTGATCTGGAGAAAGGGCAAAATTCTTGACACAATTTTTTTCGGCTCTACGCGATCTCTTGTTAGCTGCGTCCTTTCCTTCTGTACTCTCAATTCCACCAATTCACACATACACATAACTAGCCATGGGTAAAGCCAAACGCACACGCAAGTTCGCTGAGGTCAAGCGGATGATCAACCCGAAGGATATGCGTCTGAAGCAGAACCAGAAGAAGAAGGAGGAGGTGAAGAAGAAGGAAGAGGAGAAGCAGATCAACCACGTGCAGCGCGAGGCGTCAAACATGTTCTTCAAGTACAACACTGCGCTCGGACCACCGTACCACGTAATTGTGGATACCAATTTCATAAACTTTTCGTTGCAGAACAAGCTGGAGCTGGTGCGCGGCATGATGGACTGTCTGTACGCCAAGTGCATCCCGTGCATAACAGACTGCGTGCTGGCGGAGCTGGAGAAGCTGGGCCCCAAATACCGCATTGCACTCCGGGTGGCCAGGGATCCGCGGTTTGAGCGGCTGCCGTGCACACACAAGGGTACGTACGCTGACGACTGCATCGTGCAGCGCGTCAATCAGCACCGGTGCTATATTGTGGCAACTTGCGACAAGGATTTGAAGCGCAGGATCAGAAAGATTCCTGGCGTGCCCATCATGTTTATTGTCAATCACAAGTATACTATCGAGCGACTGCCGGACGCGTACGGGGCACCCAAGCCGACGGGCAAGTGAGCAAGCGCAGCTGTTCCGGCGATGCACGGCGATATCGGAGTGATTCGCCAGGGGCGTCGACAGGAGTGCGTCTGGGGAAGCCACGGTGATCTTTTGCATGTAAATGGCAGGTTTATTTTTAACGTCGTGTTTGTTTACAAATTTGCCGAAAGGAACTGAGAAGATGGATGGGGACTTGTTTCACTGACGCAAATACGGAAGGAAAGAAAAGTGAGGATATGTGAGAACTATTAGCTTACAAAACGCGAACAAGACGTGGAATGTCAGATGTGAGGGGATGAAAAGAAAAATAGAATGGAGGGGATGTAGAAGAAAAGGGGCAGGACGTGGGAGGCCGCAACACTAGTGCATGAAATTTTGGTACGGCTGCTGAGCTGGCATTGTGCTCTGGTATTGCTGGAAGCATCCGACGTGGAGGCCCAATTGTTCTGTGGGCGGGGCAGACAGCGGAACTGCCAGGTCGTGTTCGCCAAGACCGATGCCGTGGATGGGTGCCGGCATCGCGGGGAATGCAGGCACAAAGGGCGGCGAAATCGGAGTGAGCAGGGATGTCTGCATCAGGCTCATGGGGCTGGGCTCTGCATAAAATGGCATGGTGGTGTTGGGCTTGACCAGCAGCAATTGGTCGACGCCCACCATTGTTGACATGGAGGCAGGTGAGCTCTCGGGCGATGCCGATGAGAGCGTCAGCAGTGCTGACGAGGACAGCGAGCGGCTTGCCGGGGGCAGGAAATCCTGGCTGGGCAGGAGCGGCAGCCCGGCCACCGATGCCGTCAAGGGCATGGGTGTTTCAGAGAAGGACGAAAGCGGGGACCATAGTGGGGGTGCCGGTGTCGGATTGTCGGCGTTTTGCTGCTGGTGGTGGTGGTTGAGCATCAGCACCATCATCGGCTGCAGCTCGCTGCTGCAAGCTTCCGGAAACTGCGCGTCTGCAGAGACATTTAGGGCGGCCAGGGGCGAGGCAGTCACCGACTCACTGGCAACCCGCCGGCGCAAAGCCAACGGTGGGCTCGGTGACAAGGAATCGTCGCGGATGCGATTCTGAGGCACAGTGGCCGGTGAGTGATGGCTCTCGGACTCGTCCTGCTGAGAGTCGGACTCGGATGCCTGGATGGCCTTTGTGTGGACCTTCAGATGGCGCTTGAGATTGCTGCGAACCGAGAACCGCTTGCCGCAGTTGGGGAAGTAGCACATGTGTGGGCGCTCGCCTGTATGTGTGTACTTGTGGCAGGCCAGCGACGATGGCCGAGTGAACTTTTTCTCGCATAGCGGACACATATACTTGCGCTCCTTGAGTGTGGTGCGCTTAGTGGCCATCTGCTTCCTCGGCCGCGGCACTGGTACCGCAGCTGCCAGAGACGTGACCTCGCTGCCGGCAGCAGGTACGTGTGTAGAGAGAGCAAATGTGTGGGTAGACATTATGTGTGAAAAGTGCAGGGGTCTGAAAGAGCAAGCGGGAGGGGAAAGAGTGAGGAAATATCGTATGAGTAAGGAAATAGAAGAAAAGAATACAGATATGCCGTAAATCTATATGCCGTGTTGGCGCCAGCAAGTCAGGGTTATAAAAATATGTGGTGTGCTCTGGAAGGCTGGCAGGTCTACAAAGGAGAGATCGCTAGAAAGAATTAGGTTGAGAAATATGCCAATGCGGAATGCATTCGTAGTCTGCAGAGGTAGACCGCAGAGAATGGGGGAAAGGGCTTTTTCAAGGTTCCCTTTACATGCAGGAAGCTGAGGCCCTTCGTCAAAGTGCAAGGCCGTGGAATAAACGTACAAAGAAATCGAGAGCCGCTAGGGATGTGGAGGAGAATTCACTGTGAATGAGCGTGCGGCTGTTGATTGTTTGCGCCAAAAAGGATGCCAAATAAAAATCAGAATGGTATGAATAACAGAGCTCGGAAAGGTGTGTGAGCTTGCTTGGGGATGTGTTAAAGCAGAAGAGACTGGGTGGAATTGTGTAGAAGAGAATTCGGGACGGCCAGCCCTAGGATCCTTATATATGGCCCGCGTTTCCGGACAGGGGAGAGGGGGTGGGTTCGTCTAGGTCTCAGCGGCCCGAGCAGCCCAGCATCTCTTAGCACACAAAACAACGCACCGCACACGCGAATAGGAAGGCAGACCAGCATATCGAATTGCCTTGCCCATTTTTCGCCGGGCCGCTGATACCTGCTATTGGCGAGCAATCCCAGTGCGTGCCGTATGTTAATCCTTTTTCACTCGCCATTCTTTCTCCGTTACGAGCATGCGTAGCTTTTTCTGCCGATGTTCGCCCTGGTCTTTGATTTCCCCTGGCTGTAGAATTGATTGTCCTACCCCCTCAGCCAGTAGTGCACGCGAAGAAAAGATAAAAATGGCTACAAACAGCAAGGGCCGGCGCTTTCTTCCTTTCAGGTTACATGCGGGTTTCTGGTAATGGCGCTCTGCCGCCGAGGGGCAACGAGTCAGTTCTAAAAGGGCGCTATAAAAAGAATCCATGAATCAAAATAGCCAGCGCATGCTCTGGCTGTGGGGAATGAGTCCCGAGCGCCTCGGACCATGGCCATTGGCAAAAAAGCACTGCAGTCCGTGCCCTTTAATTGCGCTCATTAGCAGGCAAACAATGGCCAGCCAGGTACTATTGTATCTCTTCGGAGATTCAAAGTGTGAGGGGTGGGAATAGGGGACCTCTTGATGGGGAGGATGACCACAAGACACTGTCCATGTACATGCTGTGTTCTGCATGTCTCTACATCCTCTCTGCACCCCACCCCCACTCTGATGCAGCTGCCACCACCCGCTGGCTCGAGGGAAGTAGCAGGGGGCGGAACTGTGAAACAAGGGCTGCCTGCCCAAAAGGTGTAAGCATGCAGCTGCAGTGTCGCCGTAAATTGCACTCTTTTTGCCTCTTGCCTCCAACACACATACGTCGAAGGTGTTGTAAATCCCCTTGACGCTCCCCTGTCATGTCCGCCCGTGCATATCCTCTTTCCCTTCCGGGTCATCCGAGGGCCTCGTAGCCTGTCGTGATGATGAAACAGATGGGGTCGATGGTTGGATAGGAATCCTCAGCAGGGGGTCTACAGCAGCAAAAAAAAGTCAGCATGCATCTCTCTTGACAAGTGCCCATCCTCTGCAGTTTGCATGCAGTTGGCGCGTACGATGCCCAAGTGGTATTTTTGGCTGAATGGCCACAACAAAATCACGACACCTCCTAACAGACAAATGCCGGGATGATGCGGGGGTGAGCATCGCTCGCCAATCGCAGCGCAAAGCCGGCTCGCTACATGTTTGGTTCGCCTTTGTTGCCAATGCAAATCTGGAAGTGTCCATTGGGGCTGCTTGGTTGACTCTGGACAACGACGCTGTACCGTGACCCATCTGACCGTACATGTGCGGCAATGCCATGCATCTATGGTGCCATACATGTTACAACGCGCCGAAACCGGTTATAAAATGGACCGTGTTTCAGCTGTTTACAGACTTCTGGCATGCAGCGCAGTACCCAGGAGAAACCACAACACGCGTCTGGAACGGGCAATAACGTCGCTAGAAGAATGGGCTGATGACAAACCGAGCAATACCTTGGACGAAAAAGGAAAATGTGCAAAAAGTCAAGGTTGCCCAGACGGCCCCTCCCCTCTGTCCACTATTCCAAATGGGGAAAGATTGCATACCCACTTCTGGATAGCCTCCCGTACATCGCTTGTTTAGCTCAGTGCAATACCCTCATCTAGACATCTGCAATTGGCACCCTGGTCCATATATCACTATCGGCACACACATTGCGTATGATGTACATGTCCGTATTATTGACTAGTGATGTGGTACAAGACCAGTCGCTGTTAAAAATGGTAGGAGCCTATCAGAATATTGGCGCGGGTCGGTTCTCCTTGTCTCCCCGACGCTCTTGCGGCCGAGATAGCCCGCCGTACAGCACAGAGGCGCAAAAATGAGCGACATTGATTGCCGGGCCAAGCCTCTAAATAAACCACACTGTCGTGTCAAGAGACCGCAATCCTCCTCACTACGCAGTTTGTGCAACAGGATCGCGCTTGTTTTATTTCTTTTGGAGCCAACGAGGATCACAACAAATGCTGATGAATGCCTCTAAAGCCATCCCTGTGTCTAAAATACAGTCCTCAGCCCTCGCTCTCCACAAATAGCAATGGCAGGCAATAGGGGATGCACGTCGGTTGAGATAACGTGCTATTAATAGTGGAATCCTGAGCGGAGAGGCTGCCTTTATTGCCCGGGTGCTCTTCCCGCTCGCCTTCCGATTTTCAGTACATCATTTCCTCACCCAACCAGCCCCTCATACCAAGGTCTCTTTGGAGTGATACAAATCAATGCAAAGCCTCAGACATGATGCATGCTGTGGCCACAGCATGCACGGTGTGTGGTTTTGGGGGATACGCACAATGTCAGTAAGGCGCAACAGCAGGTTTGTGCCTCGAAGGTGCTTGCTGGACGATCCCATCGTCGGCCCAGTGAATCCAACGGGGCTTAAATCTAATAAATGGCGATTCGGCCCAGCGCCACAAGGGCGGCCTCCTCCCCTGATCTGCCGTGAACGGTCGCATGGGCGGTAGGCGAGACTCTCGGCACACAAGGTGCATGCGCCTCAGTGTATGCGCAGTGACGATGCTATGAGAACACATTGCGCTTGGTTACAAGATGGAACGCGATAGCGTGTAGAGCCTGTGAGCCAATCGCTGCTAACGTGCGACCGTTCTCACCACTTCCACAGCCTCCTTCCCCAACTATTTTTATTTTCGACCTTGGCTACACAGCAGCGCCGTTGACAAAAGGACTACGAGCAGAGTCGGCAGCAGCAGCGGCCACCCCTCTTTCTCTTGTCGAATTACCGCACATCTATTTTCTTCTCACTGTCTATACTTCTCTCGCCCGCACTTATATTATAGCCATTATTGTCCGGACTTCCTGCCAAACCAAATAGAACAGACGCCCATTAGCAGTCACCGCGCAGTAGACGCTCAGAACTGGTTCTTCTCCACATACAAACACGATGATTAACCCTCGGCTAGTGCGCATGGTAGTGCTGGCGCTGGGCCTGACTGTGATGCTGGTCGGGTTCCGCTCCGTCTTCTACATGAGCCACCGCGCGTGGCAGCAGAAAATATCAGACGCCTGAGATCATGAAGCAGCACGGCCCGTGGTCAGGCGCTGACAACTGGGCTAAAGTCACTGACCGCACGGCCGAGCCGCCACCGGCACCCACAGGCAACAGCACGGCTAGGCGACAGCGAGCTTGCTGCGTGCCGGCCCTAGTTGCACTGGTGCGCAACTCGGAGCTGAACGGAATCCGCAACACAATCCGCCAGATCGACGACCGGTTCAACCGCAACTACGGGTACCCATACATTTTCCTTGAACGACGAGGACTTTACTGACGAGTTCAAGCGGAAGGTGAAGGCAATCACAACCGCACCTGTGTACTTTGGCAAGGTGCCGTCGTCGCACTGGGGCCTGTCGCCGTACGTCGAGGAGCAAAAAGTCAAGGAGGCGCTCGAGTACAACAAGGACCGGTATCTCTACGGCGGCAGCTTCAGCTACCGCGAGATGTGCCGGTACCAGTCCGGATTCATCTACAAGCACCCGCTGCTGGCCAACCTCGACTACTACTGGCGGATCGAACCGGATGTCAGCTATTTCTGCGATCTTACCGTACGACCCGTTCAAGTTCATGCGCGACAACAAGAAGGTGTACGGGTTCACAATCACCCCGATGGAGAAGCGGCTCACTGTTGAGACCCTGTGGAACACGACACGCCAGTGGATGATTGAAAACGAGCGCCTGCTACCCGAAAAGAGCCTGATCCACTGGGTGGTTAACGAGAAGGCAAAGTACACGCTCTGCCACTTCTGGTCTAACTTTGAGATTGTCGACTTGTCGTTCTATCGCAGCGAGGCGTACGAGTCGTACTTTGAACACCTAGATAAGGCCGGCGGGTTCTTCTACTGAGCGCTGGGGAGATGCACCAGTGCACTCGTTTGCTGCGTCTATGCTGCTGCGCAAAGAGCAAATGCATTGGTTTGAGGATATCGGCTACGCGCATCCTGGCTACACGCATTGCCCGAATAAGGCCGAGTTGGCGCAGCGCTGTGTCTGCGATGAAAACGACGAACTACATGTACCACTCGCTATGCAACCGCCGCTTTGGCGAGGTCAGCAATATCTGGAAGGACCAGGCGTTGCGACTGGCACAAAACATTCTTGACTAGATTTATACTTTTAAATGCGAATATCTTTACCTACCTATATATAAGATTTTATAGTCGAAAAAGTATCCAACCTGTCCGCTAGAACCTTTTTAGTTGGTTTCAAGATCAAAAGGAGTTTACAGAGCAAGTCACCCAAACTCGCTTTGAGGTTTAAAAGTTTTTTTTTTTTTGGCCAAGGCGACAAGATGTTATTGTAGTAGTCACAGGTCTCCACTAGATATCTCCATTGGTTCAGTCGCAAGAGCTGCTCTCATTGTCGGTCCGGCCTGATAACTTCCATGGTGTCATCATGGTAGTCATCACTGGCTGCGCAACACTCTTAGGATGTTTATTCTATGAGCACCTATTGAATCAAGGCCATATAGCTCTTCTAGCGGTCATGCAATATTTGTGGGTTTATTTTACAAATTAATTTGTCATTATGAACATGTGTAAGCAGGTAGTATTTGAGCCACAATGGTACCCAGTCTGTATAGACTGATTCAAGAGACTGTATCAGTGCTAAGGACCCGAAGAACCATGCAAGCCAGATAATCTTTAATAAAAAGTTCTTAATGCTATGCATACGCAATAAAGCAAAACTGAACAGCATCATTTCTCTTCTTACTTGCCTATTGAATTCCTCAAATGAATATTACTCGCAGCACTACTGTCATAAATACATCACTTTGGATGATATTGGCTCCGTGATTCTATGTTGCCTCCTAGAGGCAATTAGTACACGAGCATCAATATCATCCAAAGAGTATACATACATGCTTGCACGATGGATACTTACTCCATCAACTAGCTGACGATGGATGCCTTTTGACCCTGCAACATTTGTAAATAAGGGGATTCTTTCGTTCTAATTCGATTTATTTAATTTGTCACAACCTGAAGGCAAATACGACTATATCTGCCGATGGATTTCCTCAAGCTGGAAGGATAGGTCAGAACTGTTCGAACTGCAGAGTTTCAGGTGATGTAGTTAGATACCTATATTTATGATTATCTATTACATAATAGCGATATCGAGCTGCATGGTGTACGCGACATGAATCAAGGTAGCGACATTCATGGATACCGAGTTGATGACAGCATACAAGAACAACATTGTGTTGCACTATGGCACTTGCCTACAGCGGATTCTGGCCAAATTGATTGATCATTCGCAGCCTGCAAAAACACACTGCACAGTACAATGGGCAATGTGTCTAAGGCTGAGTTCAATAACGCTTGTCAAGTGTGTATTTGTACACCTGCACAGAAGCTCCGCCAGGCAGTTGCCTCTAGGCACCCTGATCGCCATTGCACCAACAATCATCCGACACGTTCAAATGACCGGTTCGCCGTGATGCTCTTATCGACATGTCAACCCATGCTGACTAGCAGCCGAGCTCGCATCGCGAGCAGAGCAATTCTAGTATATTTTCTATGAAGCCATGGTGCATTGATAGTGGTTGCTACCCTAGAGGCCGACTCAGCCACAAAGCTTGTGTACTTAGAGTGACTACTACATTCACGCTGAGGCGTACGCCAAAAGGTCTACTTCCTTGGATTTTTCTATATCTTGCCCCAGCTCCTCTCTGATCTTTTCCATCCGCTTCTCATATTCTTCCTGGAGTCTCCTTTCCTCCTGCTCTTCCTCGCGCCGCTTTTCCTCACGGAGCGCATCCGCCTTTCGGTACTTGACTAGCGTTCTTGGCGTATAGCTTCACGCATATAACTGCTAGGTTTACCAATGCGAGAAGAGTGAAGCCGGTGTCGAAAACTGTCAGCCACCCCAGATGTGCAAGATACAGCGACAATGACACACCCATGCCAAAACAACCGTTGAGCGATGTCATGACATCGATAATCGATACGCTGCAGTAGTACACTAGACGGAGCACCTTGTTATCGAAGATTCTGGGTACGTTCCGCTGGCGACTATACATCATCTCCACGTCCGCCATCAGCGCAATGTCACCTTGCCAGAGCCATATGATTGGGTCAACCGCAACCGTAGTCGGTATAAGGACCATTTGTGTAGCCATGACGAACATCTTCGGCGTAGTGTTAGGGTTCAGGATAAAATAGGATAGGTAGATGCCGACAAACACAAAGTAAATATAGTAGCTCGCTCTGGCTAAGCGGGCCAGCAAGCGCTCACTTTTCCTTGTCGGTATGCTCAAAATGACGAATGCGACCGCAAAGGGGATCCAAAACACGTAGATGAGTTTGGCAGCCACACCATCAGCGATAGGGAAACGCAACCTCACGTAAAAAAGACATGTATACTTCAAATATCAGAAAATGGAGGAAAGGGAGAAGGATGTGGACCATGAAGACAAAAGCAGCTGCAGTCTAAAGAAGATCTCCAGCTCATCCCTGCAAATGACATCACTTTCGAGCATCCAATGCATGTCTGGATTTGGCCGCATTATAATCAACTAATTACTCTATCTAACTTGTTGATCTGTCTGATCGTATATCGCCATCCTTTACATTCTGCCTGCCAAAGGCCAGTATGTGAGATTCCGAGTCTTGGTCTCCTTGAGCCAAGCAGGTTTCAAGTAGCCAATTGCACAAAGGGGTTAAGGGAGATTCTGGCAGGATCACAGCAATTATCTAGCACTTGACATGGTATATCACCCAGCACCAATCTCCCTGCGTATGGATGGCTCCAACACTATGATTACCTTTTGACAGCAAAGTTACTGGAGAATGAACCGATTGGTAAATATGTATACAGTTCTGGCACCTCTTCTATCCTGTGTGATCCTGCAGTAATTTTCATGCTCACAGCAATGAAATTGTCTAACTCCAATCCTCTCATTTATTCTTAGTTGAGGTGCATACCACATACGAAGATGCAAGGAAAGTGAAGCAGCACAATAAAGACATGCGTAAGCTTTCCTCAGAAAAGTTAACCCTGGCGGCTGTATTGCCCGAATGCCAGTTTGTAGGGATTCCCACTGATTTTGGTTGCCATGCTTTATTGGCCAGATAGCAGGAAGGAAAGCGAGACTCGCTGTACCGTATGGCCGGGCTTAATTTTTCTGAGGAAACGATGCAGTTTGCACGCATGACTGTCTGAGACGGACATCTTGGATTAGCAAGACCTTTATTGGACAGCAAAGTAGGATTAGGAGGACAAAGGAGATTCTTGGTTTCCTTCGCCCAATTGTGCGGATAAAAATTGTACGATTTACAAGCAAGATCGTCCTAAACCACCATGCTGAAGTGGAGTTGACTTAGCAGCCATTGGCCGGAGTACCAAACATGGGCTGCATGAGTTGGGTTTAATAATTGAAGTTTGTTTTTCAAACTCATTCGGTCCGCGGAATAAACTAAATTGCCGCGCTGGTGAGAACTGTATGTTCTCAGGGCAGTAATCTGCAATGCGTTTTGACCAAAACGGGGTAAGGGAACAAATAATGCTGGCGGCAATTGAGCCGCATTGGGATCGTTCAAGAGCTATTATACCTGCCAAGGAGTGGTGTGCACCTCTCGGCGACCCAGGTGGTAGTCACGACACGGATTTGCGGATGGGGAAGGGGTCAATCGACAATACCACAAGTCTGCAATCATAAGAAGCTGGGAGAATAAAGGAACCACCTTGCAAATCGGCAATTTGTGCAAACCGCTTCGAGTATGCTATGTTGTGAGGAGCTATCAATATAATTGTTGACTCTGCTAGGGTCTGCGTTCTTCTGAGACAATATATATTTTCAACTCCATCTTTGCACCGCCTACCACTTTATTCTTGTAATGCAGGAAAAAGACATACTAGGGACATCGCAAGTCCACCGGAGCGACTATGACAGACTCACAGATCCCTCCACCCACAGCGTTATTTTCTCTACCGTGGCTGACCGATCCCAATCACAGGTCGACGATAAGGAGACGCCATTGACATGGTCGCATAATGCGTCTACAGCTGGGCATCGCGGATCATCTTCGCATAGCCAAAACTCACCCTACGACATGGTGCGGTCGGCTGTGTCTCCGACTGATTCTGGTGTCCCCTCACTTACCTTCCGGTCGGTAATCCTTGGCCTATTCTTTGCAGCTGTCATGGGTTTTACCGATCAACTCATGGTTTACAGGGATACACCACTTCAGCTTACCAGCTATGTGGTACAGATTCTGTCGTTCCCACTCGGCTACTTCATGTCGCGAATTCTACCTACCCGGAGCTTTGAAACCTTTGGCTACACGTGGTCATTCAACCCCGGCCGGTTCAGCATCAAAGAGCATGCCCTCATCTCGATATTTGCATCATCTGCAACCAGCGGCAGCTATGTCATGAGCTCGGTCATTCTACAAGACGTGCGGTATGGCAACTCGTTAGGCTTTGGAGCATCCGTTCTTCTTACTCTTTCGACGCAACTGCTGGGGTTCAGCTTCACTGGCATTGTTCGCGAGGTCCTCATTTACCCAGCGGCCATGATATTCCCTGCATCTCTGGTCAGCGTGACGCTTTTCCGCACATTCCACGATTCGACGTCATATATGAACCATGCCAAGCGAGTCAGATTCTTCTGGATTGCATTCGCGGGCATGTTCCTCTACAGCACGCTGCCTGGGTTTATTATGCCGATTCTGGGTGCTGTGCCAATTCTGTGCATGGCAGCCCCAGATAATATCATTGCTCACCAGCTGGGGGGCGCGTTCCACGGGCTGGGTATGCTTAATTTCACATTAGATTGGTCGATGGTCTCCAGTGGCTACTTTGGCCCTCCGGTCGCTATTCCATGGTACATTGCCTGCAACATGTTTGCTGGATTTGTCATCGTTTTTTGGCTGATCGTTCCGATAGGCTACTATTCTGACACATGGGGGTCCAGCAAACTTCCCATCTACGCTAATGGAATGTTCCTTTCCAACGGCTCCCGCTACAACGTGTCGATGGTTATTGGCCCTGACGGAAAGCTGGACTCGGATGCATATACGGCTTATGGCTACTTGCGAGTTCCGTTTGCAGTAGCTGTGCAGAACTGCCGGGCGCTTATTGCAATTACGTCGCTGCTTGTATACACAATGCTTCACCACGGAAAGGACGTGTACCGCACAATTTTCCAGGCTAACGATGACCACGATTACGACGACGACGATATCCATGCTCGACTGATGCGCCGCTACCCTGAGGTCCCTCACTGGTGGTACGCAGCTATATTCGTATCTATGCTCGCCATGGGTATCGCTGTTTGCGAAACCTACCACCTGCTTCCTTGGTACTGGATGCTGTTGGGAACGATCTTTTCGTTTACGTTCGTCATTCCAAATGGTATCCTGATGGCCCTGAGTAACCAACGGCTCGGACTAAACATCATTTCTGCGCTTATTGCCGGCTACGGGATCCCTGGAAACTACCTCGCCAACACCTTCTTTCGTGTCTACTCCCATGTGCCTATGTGGACTGCACTGATTCAGATCGGAAACCATAAAATGGCCCACTACCTCAAGATACCGCCACGTCATGTATTCCTGGCACAGATATCCGGAATAGTGGTCATGGCGTTTGTGCAGAGTGGAGTCGGGACTTGGATGCTGAGTACTGTCGATGGATTCTGCACCACAAACCCTGGCTGGTCCTGTGTCCAGATCAACACATACTACGAGTCATCAGTCATGTGGGGTCTAATTGGTCCAGGACGCCTTCTCCATGGTGGTTCCCCCTACGCACTCACCAAGTTCATGTTTATCATCGGCACGATAGTTCCTGTGCCCGTGTGGTATCTGCAGAGGAAATTCCCGGGTAGTTTCTGGCATAATATCCATCTACCGGTGTTGCTTTCCGCCATGATTCACATGCCCGGTGCACCATCAACTGTTATGACTGGTTGGTTCTTGACCTGCTTCATCTTCCAATATGTCATCCACAAGTTCCACTATAGGTGGTTCAAGCGATTTGCATTCACGCTAATTGCTGCATTTGACTCTAGCGTCACACTCTCCTGCCGTGCTGGTCTACTTTATATTCAGATACTCGCACATCGAAATGCCCAGGTACTGGGGTACCAATATCAACCTCTGTCCGCTCACGTCCAAGAATAGTGGCTACAGGAGCTGAGCAAGTATCTCAAGTAGTAATAATAATGATGTCTGTCTGCATGGATATGATACCTGCATGGCTGTGTTGGAGTTCTGGGCTTGTTTTCATTTTAAATTCTGATCCCAGTTGGTAATATTTCTACTACTAGACTATTAGAAAGTACACGTGGATACATGTTATTAATGCACGACAAACATATATTGCATAATTCAATGGCTAATGAATTTGGTGTACCCTTTTAATGGATACAAGCGAATGGAATCAAGTCTACCTTAAAATTGATAAGAGCCGCTCAGAGGATTATATCTGGCCCGGGAATGAGGGTCTAGATAGACCTGCGATTCCTGGTCAGGTGTATATGGCGGAGATGTCTTGACATGGACAAATGTGTGCTTGCCATATAATGCCCCCAGCCGGATGCATATGTGACATTCTCATGCTGTTGTTGTTGTTCACTCGATATGCCTCCAGCTCATCTCTTGACAGGGTTGCGAATAAGTAGTCTGGATGAATAATGAGTGCGCCTGCTCCGGACTGACTCATCCCGAATGAGGTAAGCATTGCCGCTTTTATGATTGGGACCTTGTACGACTGACTCGGGTACACAAGGTAGTCATATTGGGCAAGGTCATTGTCGATGTTGTCTGCGTTTCGATTTCCTGGGACAATAGAGGAATTCATAGACTGAAGAACACCATTCAGCATGAATAATGCAGGCTGCGGATTTTGGATGCCCTGTCAGCCATTTCTGGCATGTAACTGGAACAGGGAAACCAGGTGTTCGGCCTAGTTTCTGCATGAGCTTGCAATAGACATCTGATTCATTTTGATCATTCAGCACAGTCGATGTTCCATGGAATGAAGCCAGACCAATGTCATCTGGCCCCAGTCCCCAAACTGCAAGTGCACCACGCAGAGGGGATATCAACGGGTTATTCTTATAGAATTCGTTACCCCATGTGTCTTTGGCAGCATTCTTCAGACGCAATATGTCCTTAGTTTGAGATCTGCCAAGGTGTACCCACGGACTCCAAAGCCAAATTTTCAATATCGGATAGTTGTCTACGCAAGCACATACGTCTGAATTGATGTCCAAAAAGGGTGAGCGAGCAGAGCTGCCACACTCGCGACCAATAGACAGCATGCCCTGTCCTGGAGCTGTAAGATTCGTGGTTGATTTGTCGGTTGCTGTGGTTGAAAGAGCAACCACTCCATACACTGGAGCGCCCATTTCAATTGCGGCAGACGCCGACATAAGGACGGCTATTCCTGCCCCGTATCCCTCTGTAAATCCAGCTCTAGTTGCTGTACATGGGCGGCAGATCTCTCCCGGAAACCGTCCGTATTCAGTCTCCCTGCTAGCACTGCTTGTCGCATTCATCATCGCTAACTCGTAGGATGTCTCCTGTTCATAAGAGTTAGCCGCTCCTGCAAGCATCATCCTTGCTTTTCCGCTCTGAATTGTCTCAACCGCAGTATCTATTGAAACTAGCGAAGTCGCACAGGCTGCAACAACCGGCTTCAGTGGTCCTGCAGATGATAGTAGAAGCAGGTTAATCCAAGCACCAATGTTGTTGATTGATGATTCAATCAGGCTCTCGTTATTGACTGGTTTATCCATCCAACGCCATTTGAGAACTCCTAGTCTACTTTGTCCACCGCCCATGCACGACCCAATAGAGTGACCCACCTCCGACACATGCAAATACTCATATATCCGATAGGGATCGGTAATTCCCGAGCGAACAAGCGCCTCCATCGTTGCAACGACAGAATACAATACTACAGGATCAACACGTTCAATTATATCTCCTGGAATACCGAACCGCTCTGGATCCCAACCTGCTGGGAGTTGCGCGACAACTGTCCGGTCAAATTTCATTGCTTTTGCTACAAGCAGAACCGCACCCTTTAGCATTTTAACCGACCATGTGCCATCCGGATTTGCCCATATATCGACCCTATCGCTGTTCTCCAATTTGAATTGGCTTGCTTCTTCAGCAGTTGTCACAAACGGCTCAAGATCATGATCAATCTGTAGTTCACGCACAAAGGGCTTTTTGGCTGCAGCACCATTCTCACATAGCTCCGGTTCAATGACACGAATCCCTGTATGCTCGAGAATATAAGGCTCATATATTGCCTTGACGTCCCTATCGCGTACTGGCTCCAATGTTTTGGTATCAACCCAGCCAATATAATGCTCTCCTGTTGCAGGGTGGTCACCAGAAAAGTGCTTGATCAGGCCCATGATCCATGCTAGCTCGATACATCCTTCTATCGAGAACTCGCCATATGCTTCCATCTCCCAACGCAATGCGGCATTGCCATATGAGCTGACTTCTCCAAACCCAGTAACTACCACGACTTTGTCCAGATTGACCATCCCCTCCAAGTGTCTCAGATGCTCAAGTTGTTCGTATGATTTAGCACAAGGCATATCGGACGTGAAGTTTGCTAAGGGCGAAGTTAGCTCTTTATACCGGAATGACTTGATATCAACTTGCTGTTCAGCTCGGATATCAGAGGAAATTCCAGACAGGACTGCTCGTAGCCGAGATTGTTCGGCTGAGATTTCCACCCGTATTCCTGAATGCTACCTCTTTCAGTCTCTCATAAGGCAGAGACAAACCCACAAACCTACCAAAGAGGGGGCGTTTGTGTGCCAACTCCACCATGGTTGGGCAAAGTAAAGCCAAGTTATATTGAATGCCATCTCCTCTCGTGAGAACGTACGCCAGCCTGCCTTTTCCATCCCAGCATAAGTGCTCACGGTCCCTGATGTCATACTTGTGCTTCGTGTCCATCCGATATCGCCTCCGGTTATAGAGATGTATCCTGACCAAGATTCTGAATAGCCAGCGGTTGTAGAGTACATGCAGGGCAGCCTTTGTTTCGCCATATAGGACCGTCATCGCCCATTAGTCCTTGATTAGGCGAGTGAGGCAATACAACAAGCGTTGGTGTTATTAAATGCATGTACTTTACTTTTGCGGCCTTGATCTCCCCCAGCATGCGTAGGATATTGGTCAGCAGGATACGGACAGTCAGCTCTGAGCTTGAATCAATCGCTGGTCATGTCCTTTCCATGCTCTGGGAATGTAGCAAATGGTGCAACAAAGTCAAGATCTTCTCCAAGACCACTGTCACTGTAAATATAGTCAACTAGCCTCTTGACATCTTCAACTGATGCCTGATTAAATGGAACAAGGACAAGCTCAGAGCCGCGGGCACCAAATTGGCGGTAAGTCTCCTCAAAAAAGCGAACTGACTGCATGTTGTAGCTTGATGTAGTAGCAATCACTTTCGCACCACCTGACAACAATGCCTCGATAAGCCCAGATCCAATAGAGTTCTTGCCACACCCTGTAACAAGGGCAACCTTGCCCTTGAATGTTATACCACTGGAAGCCACCTCAGTGAGTGCATCGAAATAGATGCTAGATAGTGATTCACTATACTCCCAGGCTAGACCTCCAGGCCGTTCGCACATATAGAGTAAGGATGCCTCGCCAAACACCACGTTTCTTCATACTGGTGATATAATCGGATATGCTGGCCTCACCTGGACGAGGCAGCTCAAGGTATTGGAGCTCCCCTCGTTCATTAATAGACACATGGGGTTCTAAGCGGCGTTGACAGCTCCCTGTAGAGTGGGTCGCAATCTAGAGCTTCATTGCATCTATCATAAATATCGACCGCAAGTCGCAATGCCTTCTGGGAGGGCTGGTCAGAAATATAAGCCAAGGTAGATATGATTCCCTTAAGCATTTTGAGCAGCCCAGGGCTGGACCGATTTCGAAGCATGTGAAGGCGCTTTGAGGTTGCCTCACTGTCTAGCTGATCTCCTCCGGCCAATATGCTGTAGATCCAACGCATAGCATCCTGTCGAGCCCAATTCCAGAACGAGCTGTATTGCCGAGCCTTCTTCCTGCTAAACAGTGGTCTGGTTCGGTTCACAAACTCTTCGCCAATGTCCTTGTATACATGGGCCAGCGTCATTGCCTGCTCTGAAATCGTAGATTCCATGTCTTCTGTAGCCCTTGCTCCGTTCACGTAGATCAACACCAATGTCCTTGGCAAGTAGTTCCAGCTGGCGCAGGGCAAGCTTATGTTGGCGCTCTTTCATTGCTTCCAACTCTCTGCTGCTAGCAAACCTGGGCTGCAGACTTGGTGGATGCCTTGACCGCTTTTCCACAAGTGGTGACAAAGGAATGCCCCAGTCGTTTTGCATACACGTTGGCAACGCTGTCCAACCATGCTTGTCCAGAGGCTGCATCCGGTAAGCGGCTGACTGGCTCGAGAGTGGTAGCAACAAGAAGTACAGCGTCTTGTCTTTGAGGGCCAAGTCCATATTTTGCCTTTAGGTGAGCTCGAGCACTTGCCAGGGAGAATACATTAGGAAGCTTTGAGGCAAACAGTCTCTGTACTACAGACTGAGTATGCTTTCCCAGAGAGTCCTTTTTGCTTCCAATTCTCTTTACAGCTTCCTGCAATGGAAGCTCGGTTATATTTTCAGGAACGACTTTTCCAAATTCCATGATGATACTGCTGATAATCTCGTTCTGCAATGTAGACTTTCCAGCAACAAGCTCTTTAATGGATTTGTTGAGCTGGATGTCCTGTGATGTTCTTGCCCAGCTTTAGCCCAACTATAATCTGTAGTATGTCCACAGCAGACAGGGGGATGTCATCCATTTCTATAGTAGCTCCAGTTAGCGGACCTGGAGTGATATCTGCAGGAACCATCGGCTCCTCATCTGAGGGAACATGGGCAGATAAATTCTGGACGGCAGTTGAGTAGATTCGGATGCTCACTAATGAGTGGGCTTCTGTCACCTTTCAAAGTCCTTATTGGGCTTGGGGCTTCCGAGTAATACACGCTGCCTCTATTGACTTGTGGCATGGAGAATGGCAGTTCTTTCATCTATGGTATACCACTGCGCTAGTGTACGCTGAGCCATTCGACAGAGTGTTGCGATTAGGGCCAATCTCAATCAACCGAGAAACACACGAGCGGATCAATACAGTATTTTGTGTCTCTATCCACATAACTGGTCGTGCTATTTGGAATGACAGCAATTCGATGAGCAAAAGACGCGCGCAAGACGACACTTGGCCCTGATTATAATGACTGTTATCGTCCCAAGAATCGAGCAATTTGCTAACGACACTCGAGTGGCTAACATCGTATACCTGTTTCATAAACTTCTGGGAAACATCGAACGGTGTACCAGTCATATTTGGTATATACCTGTTATACAGGTTCTCAAATATATCTGGGTTCTTTGGGAGTACTTGGTCCAGAAATTCACGAAAAGCTGAAACAGTAGGTTCGAGCAAGCTGGAGTGATATGGTAGATCAATACCATTGAGCACAGTCGTAGCACCACTGCTTTGCAATCCATAAACGGCAGTGTCCACTGCTAGTACTTCCTGGACTACAGCGGATATGCTGGGGTTATCATGCAGATATCCATCCAAGGTATCTTTGGATGATAGAACATCAAGTATTTGTCCCATCAAACCAAGTGACTCTGTATGCCCTGCAACAACGTACTGAACCCCTTGGATGTTGTAATTAACAATCTCAAGCAGCTGGGATTTGCGCTCTCGTATTGCGTCGAGGACTCTCTGCAGAGCAGACGTGTCAAAGCCACTTCCAACTTTCTTTGGGTTCACTGAGACCATTGCATACTGCGAGCGACCCAATTCATCACGCACAAGCCGGATGACTGCATCAGTAATCCACGGTAGAATGATATGTCAATCGCATCCTCCACATTCACCACCCTGGCTATGCACACAAGCGAACAAACTTCCCCAAATGATTGTCCTGCATATAGAGAGTTTTCTCGAACCACTCCATTCAAGCGCATATCTGCGATCCTGTGCCATGGCCATCACAACAAGGATTGGCTGTGTAAATAGAGTTGCGTTAAGAAGTCCAGTTTCCGAGCGGTGTGTATATTGACTCGAGCTACTTGTGATTTCGGGAATTAACTGTTTCGATGTCTCGTCATGGTGGCGCACCAATGAGAGATAGTTTGAACGTATTTTTTGCCCCGTCTCGCCGCTGAACTTTACCAACAAGTGCATTGGGTTTGTGCGCACAATGAACAATAGAGAAACACCATATGTTGAGCGCATGTGTTGATCGGCCTGGTCCCACACACTTCTGGCAGCTGGGGATGATTCGTACTAAGTCCATTCCCATCCCGACATATTGTGACCCCTGTCCAGTGAACACATATGCTGTCTTTGGTTGCGAAATATAGGCTGTAGAGGTCATAACAACTTCGTCTTTCTGATTGAAAGTCTTGCCCTCGATGATCATATGACCACGATGCATGCCAACATGAAGCAGCTTGGTTTCAAGGGATGTCACCAGGGAAAACCATGCCCACAAAATTAGCTTGGAAGGATCTGACACGATTCGGATCGCCTATCAGCTACCACACGCTCAACTGTAGCTCGAGTAGCAGCAGATGTCCACATTCCATGACAGATTGCTTCAGGTAGTGCAAAGATTCTTGCCAGATACTGATTGGTGTGGATTGGGTTGAAAGTCGCCCGACACACGGGAATATTCCCAGTTATCTGCATGTGTATATAGAGTCAGGACTGTCTTTCGAATCTGTGCCACCTATGGGGACTCCTTCATGCTCAAACATGTGCACGCTGTCATCCTGGTATTGCATGCTGCTGGAGGTAGTTCGTGACTGCGTTACCATATACATCGCATGCAACATAGTCAACATCAGCAATATGAACATGCCCATTCTGCTGCACCTCAAATACCGAACCAGTGGTTGTGACTGACGAACACTTTGTGTCCGTTTTGTAACGATATTGTGATTGGAGCTTGAATTCAAGGATATGGCCAACCTTGATATTTGCTGATAGCTCAATGTCTCTGTAAACGAACCACTCCTTTGACTCCAGAAGAGCGATATTGTCCAGCGACAAAATGTGGACCTGCACTACAGGCTCATCCACAACGGCGGAAGGTGATATCATGGCTCGCAAACTCGTCTCGCGTCACAATCGCACTCTCGATAGTTGCAAATGGCTCGCCTCGCCGTTTAAAATGAGCCTGCATCGTCACTTTGCGCCCAATTTCAATGTTTTCGATCGCAGTCACTTGTATCTCTGTATCGACTACGTCACCTGTCTGCAGCGGCGTTGCAACTTCCAGGATAGCTGATTTTGTTGCATATGTGGATAATACCAAACTGTCCTGAATTCAGTGGTGGTGTCGCCATGATTCCACTGAACCCAGGCCAAGCGATTGCGAACAGCATATCCATAGGTGCTAGGCGCAACCCGTCGTTATCTCGCCAGTAGCCGCTTGAGCAGTTACGCACACAGTCACAAAATGACTGAACATGTGCCTCCGTAACAACAAAGGGCTTGCATGCAATGGGTGTAAGGGGAGTCATAGGGATCAAACACACCAAGAACAGTACTTTGCTGCTCGCCACCAAGTGCCGCTATTTGCAGATTCCTGTGAAGCTCGTCGCGTCCTTCCAGTACCTCAGCAATATGAGTGGTGGATGATGACCGCAAGTAACGATATAAAAGAGGAATGCAGTGCTGCTGGTTGCCAATACGATGGCAGATTGTCAGCGTAATAACACTGCCCCTGTCAATAGTGACATGGAGGTCCAGATTGCCCGCCTGATTAAATATCTCCAGACTCGTAGGGTGGCCATTGATGTGTTCAACTCGAACTGTCTGTCCGGGCGTTGGCTTAAGAGCTTGCATGACAGTATTGCTCTTGCAGCTTGTTCCTTTTAGTATGGCAGGTGAGGTCAGTAGCGCTCGTAGCCAGCTTTTAGATGGGCCAGCCAAAGCTTCTAACCACACCATATGCTCTGGTATCTGGTCCGCATCCAGAGGGAGTGTGTATTCGCGTCCTATCTAGATGCACAGCAGCAGTGACCGTCGATGGAAGCAATGGCGTAGGTTCGACATCAGGTCCCAAGTACTCGGTATCTGGAACAGCAGAAGCATCAGAGCCATAGTACCTGGAATAGATGCAGTCAATAATCGTTTTGTTGACGACATGGAAGGAGTGCTCAATGGGCACCGGATTCTCGGGCAGGTACATGGCAGAGTCGCGGATGCCATGGCCAAGGCTTGTACCCCTGCTTATCCAAGAGAGCAAATCAAAACCAAGCACTGGAACAAACTGGCACTGGCAAAGCTCCAGGCTGTTTGCATAACCAAACAAAGAACTCGACGTCCTCATATACTAGAGCGGTATCCGAACTAGCGGGGTAGCAGTCCTTAATATCACGGATCATCTGGAACGGGTCTTCCAAAAGGCTGAGTCCCTGAAGAACCCTGGGACGTGGAGTTGTGGAAAACCGGTCTTCGATCTGCCCCATGACCTTCATGAACAGCCTTTGGTACGAAGAATCAATCCAACGCGACTGCAACTTGTCGTACATGAGGTCGATCCAGGCGTGTGACAACCTCCAAATATGACATGTCTTGCAAATCAGCAGTGCGTCCGTCCAGGCAGTGTGCCAAACCAAGGAGTCGGCGTGAATGCATTGAGATTGTCAATGATGCGCTGACGATGCTTCCGAAGCAGCTCCAGTTGTCCTGTCAACTGGCTTGGAAAACACCAAATCATGTATCTCCTGGTAAGCCTGTGTGTGTCTGGTCGAAAAAAATCGTGGACCTGCATCTGACGCTGGCACGATAGACAAGTAGTTGTCTGGCTCCCCATGTCTTTGCAGAACCCCCTTGATAGGACCAGCAGCAAATACCTCACCAGTGGCTGATCCGGTGGCACGTGTACTTTGCGACTCTTTTGCAAGAGTAAGAGCTGGTGTAAGAATGATGCCATCGACAGGCATATGCGCCTGACCGTACTTGATACTCCAATCGCCCGTGATGTAAGGTAGTATATCATCTGCATCACTGGAGTACAAGCCAACAGCTACAACAGTATTGGGCAGCGACCTTATGTCGCTGTACGTCTCCAAAATCACCTGGTGGAGATCGTTGGATGAACGCTGGCTGACCAAGGTTTGTCGCTAACACCTGAATCACAACAGGGTATTTGGGATTGTGCCTGGCGATCTTTATGATGTTGCGGACGGCTGATACCGTGTCGGCCCTAAACGCGATGTAAGGAATGCCGACATGGCTGATTTCGCCGATGATTTCGCCAGCGATATCAATCGGTGGAGTGCTGCCACTGATGCTGAGTCCAGTAATAGCAGCACCCTTCGCGGCGTTTGCGAAGAATAGCAGGAAAATCCAAAGACCATTGCTTTTGATCGTGGTATGCGAGGTTGACCGCGAATCCTTTGCCGGGCTCAAGAAGCAGCAGCAGGCCATCCACCTTGTCTCGGAATGCATTTTCTCGCAATATGCTGTCACAGCAAAGCTCGACATGATACCCAGCATTGCTGATAGCCGCAACATATTTCGCCTCAGCAGCGTTTGGCAAGTTTTGCAGAACCACGACAGGTGGCAAACGTAGGACACGCGTCATAGGCGAATCGACACATATGCGCTTATCATGGGCTGTGCGTACCAGTTGCGGTCCAAACTCCTTCTGCCAGCTGGGGCCAGAAAAGACCCTCTCCAATGTGCAACTGGAATAGATCCGATTTCGATCCAAAGCGGGCATGCGAATCGGCCGAGAGTGAGCTGGCGCTGATGACTGTAGTGCCGTTACCGTTGACAATGGCGCTTGTGAGCCTGGCGAAGACCCCAGCTCCACCTGGGCTGAAGTCGACTATATGCGTGGCATCTGCAGCATTGACAGCAGCTGGCCAGTGGATCTGCTGCACAGGTCAAGCCATCGACAACTGCCCGAGTGGCATTAGCGTCGGAGCGCAGATCATGGCCATCTGGTCCGGTGTGGACAGCAATATGAAGGTCGCTCGATTCTAGATGCCAGCCATTATTGGCGGTATACATGTAAGCCCAGTCTGCAGAAGACGCCAGTAGCTCGCAGTGGCCAACGAGATTGGACGGCAGGTAGTTGATTACAGCGACCAGCCTGCGTTGCAAAAATGAACTGTGCGACTGGTCGTCGTCAGGCGCGGCAAATCGACTGCGGACCAGCCGAACAAACTGCATCCACTGACGACGTACGTGCGGTAACCACAAAATTTTCGTGGCCGTTGATAATTGCCAGAAAGACATTGTCGGAAGGCCTGGTGCAGTGCTCGTTAAACTCGGCGAGAAGCGCATTGAGCATGGGCAGGGGGATGCCGCGAATTGCCACCATAGGCGAGGGTGTCCCTTCACGAGGATTGGGGCTACCTGGGCCACTTTTCCAAGCGACGTCCAGGGGAGTGTAGAACTGGTTGCTTGCAGAGACAGCCATTAGGACTCCAAGCGTTTTCCTTTGCTCCGTTGTAAAACGACTTTTCGTCAGTCAATGATGCGAACATTGCAGCAAAGGCAAGTCCTTGGCAATGGCCAATTGCACCTACAAATATAGAACATGAGACAGGTCAGTAAAAAGGCTACCCTCGCTTGGGAATAACAATAGAGCTATTGCAACATACCGGTGCTGCTCTTACCTTTAAATGACTGAGAAAGTTCGCCTGGACTAAGCCTGAGCGTCTTGTACAAGACCATCAGATGCATGAGCTGAACAACAGCCACCGTCATTATCGAGACCGGGTAGAGGGCGAGGTACGGTGCCTTGGGGCGCGTTTCTGGCGATAAAATCCAGCTGAAAACATCCAGCGGATAAGTATAAATGCCATGGAGTCTTTTGTCCTGCGATGCGCTCTTCATGAAGTCAGACACACACTGGACAAAATGCTCGAGAAGTGGGCGATACACCGTCAAAAAGCAACGCAGCTTCATCCAAATAGTGGCCCGTACCGTCTTGGCCGCCAAACATGGCCACCAGCCTGATATTGTCCTCGGAAAATAGTGCTGGGCGGGGGGCGTCGGGGAGAAGCCCATGCGATTCTAGAATGTCCCAGACAGAGTAGTATCCCTTCAGGACAGTATGCGCTTGGTCCGGGGAAAGTGCGAGCTGCTGGACAACTACATGGATGTTGTCGCTTGCGCAGTACGTCTTATGGATGTGCTGGAACACGGCGATTGACACATCGGGGTTTGCATTAGCGCAATGGGTGGCGAACGCAGCTAGTATCTCGATGTCAGTTGCTGGGCTGAACGGACTAAACGTGGCAGTAAGATCCAGCGCGGCAGTGGTATGAGAGTGGTGGATTTCAATAGGTATCCCGTTGAGGGAAAAGGTGCAGGTCTGCATATTGGAGAGGAAATGCTAGTGGATGGCTCTAGTTTGCTGTTAAAAGTCTGTCAGGAGTTGGATGCAAAGAGGAATGCAGTCTGTGGAAAGGATATGTGGATTTTATAGTCTGTCTAGGCGCACAGTGTCTGCAAGCAGCGATGGCAATGTCTGAATAAATGCCCGGCGCATTATGTAACATGGCGTTCAGAGAAAAATTTTATGGCCGCTTCGCTTGGAACCTTTTTCAGGCAGCCGGAGCGTATCCAGAGGTACAGCGTAGTTGGAACCCCTTGACAATGAGGGACCCAGAAATGGCTAAGCCATCAGTTTTCTTTTCTTTTTTTCTTTTGCGCACTATATGACAAGGTGGAGGTCTGTAAGTCAACTTGACGGCAGTGCAGGGGAAGTGTCCAGGCATGTAAGGCAGAATGGCATACGCGCACTGGTCACTATTGTCGGTAACGACAGGATATGTAGAGGATTGCTTAAGGGGTTGTTCATCGCACAGCGACGTGCACAGAAAAGCAGTTGGCACTGGTCCATGGCAACATGTGTATCTGGTACTGTGTCACTGACCTTCGTATTTGTGGCTTCATTTGCTGCATTTATTTCTGCGTCGAGGTCCTTGTGATGGGAAGGTTTGCTGCTGTGCCCATGGGAGGCGTCTGCTGTGGACAAAGCACAGAAACCTCCTTGATATAAACATCTGTCTCAGTTCCCACGCCCCAAAGTGCTTTTTGGTTGTAATTTGTAGCATGCCTCCCTGTGCCAAAGTTTGATCTTGCGGGTGCTGGAGAGATGTATGGATGTGAACATAGATGCTGATCCGGTAATCACAATCAGTACTTGATAAACTGATAGCGATCCGCTTTGCGCTGAGCCTCATATTTTTTCTTGTGTAGAGGGTTTCAGCCTAGAGAGATTTCAAACCTGCATTTTGCACTGGTAACTCTCAATTCAGCACGTTTTCTTTTTTTACATACATCCCACGTATTTTAAAGAAAAAAGTTTACAATGTTCCGGGTTGGCTTGCAACGCATTGGAACCCTCGGCGTGGCGCGCAGCGGAGTAGCTCAGCTCACAGCGCAGCTGACCAAGCTATCGCTGCACACCAGCGCCTCACCCGTATTCAAGGTCGAGCGGCCGACGCGATTCGTAGCACTGAACGACCTGCGGGACAACGCAGGAGCGCGGACAACGAAGAAGCGACTTGGACGTGGCCACGGATCGGGGCTGGGGAAGACGAGCGGGCGCGGACAGAAGGGCCAGAATTCGCGCGCGGGCAACGGCAAGCCCGGGCCGGGGTTCGAGGGCGGGCAGACGCCGTTGTCGCGGCGGTTCCCGAAGCGCGGGTTCAAGAACGGGTTCAAGCGGGAGCTGCAGGCGCTGAATCTGGACCGGATCCAGCACTGGATCAACACGGGGCGGATTGACCCATCGAAGCCGATCACGCTGCGGGAGGTGTACGAGTCGAACATGGTGCGGTTCAAGGACGGCGTGACGTTGCTGGCGCGCGGATCGCAGTACCTGACCACGCCGATTACGATCGAGGTGACGAAGGCGTCGAAGCAGGCGGTGAAGAGGATTGAGGAGCTGGGCGGACGCGTGGTGTGCGTGTACCACAACAAGCTGGCGATGCGGGCCCTGCTGCATCCGGAGAAGTTTGCGGTGCTGCCAAAGACGGCGGAGCCGGCCACGGCCAAGCTGCGCAGGATTTACGAGGACCCCGAGCGGCGTGGGTTCCTGGCGGCCGAGATCAAGGCAGAGTACGAGCCGGTCAGCATCAACAAGGAGCGGGTGCGCAACACGACGAGCGCATAAAACTTTTTATCTTTTTAAGAACAATTACAACCGCAGACGGAGGCTGTCTTTGAGGGGATCATGTTTTTTTTATACATCGAGGGCTATTTTAGATGCTGGCGAGGGGCAGAATCAGTCAGGGGGAGAGGCAGAGGGACAGGGGGTTCCGTCCGGTGTAGCATAGTCCTGCGAGCGGTCGGTCGGGGAACTAGCGGCGTCCTCCAGATCAACCTCCTCCCAGCCAGTCAGCACCGGCATCGGCCGTGTTCCGGGCATTTGCATTCTGGGCGTGGCCAAAAAGCTCGCCTGCTGGTGGGTCGAATACTGCGACACGCTGATGGTATCGACAGCACGCATAGACAGCGCGCTGCTGGTGTCGATATGCGACCAAGCCATGTGCTCGGAGCCGTGCAGCGTATCGGACTGCATGGCATTTGACGTGCGGTTGTGCGCGCGCCGCATATTCAGGCTATCGGCATTGAAGGTGAATTTCCTCAGCGCCGAGTCGTATCCAGGCGACAGTGAGAACGACCGGTGATGCGCGGACTGCAACGGGTGCTTGTAAGCACTGCGGTGTGGATTGCTCGAAGACGATGTTCTCATTGGAGTCGCGTGCTTGCGGTCGCTCGATCGGCGGCACCAGAACTGCTGGCTGGAGGCCGTGGCCGGCAGATGGCGGATGCTCGAGTGCTGCGGGAAAAAGTAGTACGGCAGGCTGGCGTGCGAGGCGGCGTCCGAATGCGTATCGAAGATATAATATAGCGCCATGTCCAATGTGCCCTGCAGCGACAGAAGCATGATGGCCACAGCGTATGCGACATAGCAGACATGTGTGCTAGCGCCCAGCGAATGCAGGGTCGACCAGACGACCATTGCCAGCTGCGTCAGCACCGGCACCAGGGCGCGCGCGCCCACACGCAGAGCTCCGGTAGCCACCAGGATCCGCACGCGGGCCTCGATCCGCTGCAGGTGCGACAACGGCGGGCTGTCCCTGCGCTTCCACATTGTGCTGGGCCGCAGAGCTGCGGTGGCGCTGTGTTTGGCTGTGCGATTAGCCGGCGGGTCCTGGCGTCCCTGGCATCTGCGCTACCGTCTCCTCGGCGTCATTTGGCCGACGCGCCGACGGAATCGGCATCGACATATGCCGCATCTCGCGCTTCTGCAGATTCCTTGCAACCCCATACATAGCCATGGTGTTGCCCAATGACCGGCGGTCCACGTACTGCACGCTGCGAACGGACCTTCGCTCATCCACCACGCTCGGCATCGACCCGTGCAACAGCCGCCGCGAGCTGCCAATCGCATAGTGCGCGCAATGCAGCCGCGAGGACTCCGAGTCGCCAAAGCTCAGTGGCCGCGCTGCGTGCAAGGAGCGAGCCGAGAACCGCGAGCTATGCGGCGATATCGAGCTGCCCGGCGCGTATGCACGTGCATCGCTGGCCGAGCACCGCGGCGGGCGGTGGCCATGCAGGGCCTCGTGAGCCAATGCCACCGGGTGCAATGGCGGACGGGCAAAGCCGGGCTGGGGAGCGATGACGTCGCGCAGGTTCTGGCGCTCGCGCGTCAGCACCACCGCTACCAGGACAGCGGTGGCGCCCAGGAACAGCACACACAGCACCACCCACGCATTCAGCGTCACCCACACCCACCGCAGGGCTGTCGGGTTGCTGCGCGCAAACCAGCACATGTTGAGGTCCGTGTCGCGTGTCGCCGTCCCCATCAGCGCCGGCAGCAGGCTCAGCACAAACGATGCAGCGCCGGTTGCTGCCGAAAACACCAGATCTGTCCGCCTCGCATGCCGCATGGGCACCGGCGCCAGACTGCGCAGGCGCAACGCCGACCGCGCAGCAAAGGACGGTCAGGAAGAACACGTAGAACAGCTGGATCCACTGGTAGAAAAACAGCGTTGCACTGCACTGACTAAAGGTCGTGTTCAGAATCCACAGTATGTGCAAAAGACAGTCGACGCATGCCAGCACCGCGATTTTGCTCGATGGAATCCGCGCTATCCGCCGCTTCTCTGGCGGCTGCGGCCAGATCCGCCTATGTACAGTGGCCACCAGATCCGCCAGCTTTTGCCGCACGGGGCTGTGGCTTTGAATCTCCACCTGTGTGGGCCGTGGGTTCAGGCGCCCTGTATGCTTGCGATGTGCTGCTGCCGATCTGGATGTTCAGCCCAGTCGCGTATTGCGGCGGCGGCGGCGGCTGGAAGAAGCTCACTGTGTTGTGCAGAGGCGTGGCCAGTGATGACTCGCAGGAAAATGTCATCGGCTGCAGTGGGATACTGGTCGCCTGTGCGCTTGCGTCCAGCAGCTGCCGCTGGTGCGCCCGGTACTGCATCAAAGTGCAGATATAGGACACCACCACTATTAGCGATGATACCGCCGATATGCTGCTGGTTGCTATTGCTGCGTACCGTACTCCGGCGATAAAATCCGCCATGTTTTCTGTTAGCTCGTAAGGTGCAAGGGGAAGAGTAGGAGGAAAGGGAGGAATTATATGGATTCTGATAGGCTACCAAGGGGGATGCGTAGTGTTTTTCCCGCATCCCTCCGTAACCAGATAACCCTATCTCTAGCAACACCGAGGGAAGATACAAAAACTATAGACAACATTCTTGTTCTGTTTCGTTTGCGCATAGAACACAATATGCTATCTTTTGTTAAAATAAAACAAAGCCACTGCCCGAAAGGAAATAAGAAGAAAAAGGTCGAGCAGACATAAATAAGGCCTCCCCACCCACCACCTCTGCCATGACACTCTAGGAAGCTCATATTGTGGCCGTATATGAGCTATTGTGCTGCCTGGCTTGTTGCCTGTTGGGGCGCCACCTGCACACCGCTAGTGGCTCTGTCACTGCTCTTCCTCCTGCTTCTGCTTCCACTGGTGCGCCCTGGCCAGCAGCTTGAACCCAGCGCCCTGCGCGTCATCCGGGAACACATAGTCAAAGTACTCCTCCAGTGTGCCATCTGCGGCCTGGCGCCGTTTGCGCACGCGCTTGGGCATTCGCTTCTCAACGCTCGCAGGCTCTCCTCCATGCTCCGCTTCCGCGTCCCGCCATGCCTCCAGCAGCGCAACCCTAGCGTCCTTCATATCCAGGGCCTTGAGCCGCGCAATGCCGCGCTGATACACCTGCTGCGCTTCAGCCAGCCCCTTGGTCTGCAGCTCGAAATCGGCCAAGCTGGCCCACACCTTGACGTGGTCGGTCATTGACAATAGGCGGTGGTACAGGGCCCGTGCGTTGTCGTGCTCCTGCTGCGACACCTCAAAGTCAATAAACGCCTTCCAGACGACCTCGGGCATATCCAGCATTGGCTGCTCGACAGCCAGCGACAGGAGCGCGCGGCTGCGCTCGGTTTCGCCCAATCCCTGCTCGAGCCGCGCAAACTCGATCCACGTGGCACTGCGGGCGCTGTCGAACTCGAGGCACTTGGCGTACAGTGTGCGGACGCGGTCGAATTCGCGCAGCTCCAGCTCCAGCTCAATGTAGCCGCGGAACAGCCGGTGCTTCGGGCACGTGCCCAGCGCCCTGCCCAGCGCCCGCCGCGCCGCCCCCAGGTTCTCCTGCCGCACCTCGAACCACGCGTACTGCAGCCAGAGCTTGGCGAATGTGAAGTGCTTGTGGGGCACGAGGTCCACGCACGTGGCATACACCTCCCGCGCCCGCCCCACGTCCCCGGCCTGCGTCTCCTCAAACAGCGCATAGAACAGCCACAGGTATATGTACCGCCGCCAGAGCCGCTTATCGGCCACAGTCGGGTGCTGGGCGATCGCACGCTCATACACGTCACGGGTGCGTTCCACATCCCCGGCCTGCTCCTCCAGCCGCACATAGTCGATCCACGTGTCGTAGTCGCGCGCGTCTCTTCTCAGCATCTGCTCGTACTGCGTGCGGCGCTTGGTCACCACCACCGACTCGATCTCGGCCCGGTCGCCGTGCTGCTTCTCAAACAGCACGTACTGGTTGTACAGGGCCGTGGACTTGGCCTTGGGCAGCCGCTCCAATGCGTATTTGTAGATGGCGCGCGCCCGCTCGTACTCGCGCTGAGAGGCTTCGAACCTCGCAAACGAAATAAATACATGCTGGTCCATGAACTCGTCGCTGAGCCGGTCCACTGCCTGCGAGTACACGTCACGCGTGTTCTCCACTGACCCTGCCTCCTGCTCGAACCGCGCCCACGCCAGCCACGCCTCCGGCTGCGGATGCACATGCACCATTCTCTGCAGGACCGCCCGCGCCCTCTCGGTCTCGCCGTACCGGCGCTCAAACTTGACATAGGCATTCCACGCAGCCATCTCGGGCTCCCACTGCATCCAGCGGTCGAAGATCTCGCGCGCGCCCTGGGCGTTCCCCAGCGCTTCCTCCATGTACGTATACCGGTACCAGAACTGGTCGACGCGCGGCAAAATCGTAACCGCGCGGTCAAACAGATTGCGCGCCAAATTGACATTCTTGTGTTTCATTTCCAGCTCCGCATACCGAATAAACACCGTCTGGTTGCGCCCGTCGACGTTCAGCGCGCGCTCGTAGATGCTGCGGGCCCGCGCGATTTCATTCTGCGACTCCTCCCAGGACGCGTACCTAAGCCATTCGCCAATTTTGATGCGGTTGCGCCGCAGCGAGTCTTCAAATTCCCGCCGTCGGCGCATCTGGTAGTCGCTGAGCTCCTCGCCATCGAGCACCTTCTGCCGTGGCGCTTTGCTGGTGGATTCGCGGCGCTCGTAGGCTTCACGCATGAGCTGCTCGGCTGTGATTTGCACCGCCGCCGCATTCTTGTTCTTGATCTTTGGCGCCCGCCCGCTCTGCCCGTAGCCGCCGGGCTTGGAGGTATCATCGCTCATAATGAAAAAAAAAAAAAGGGAGAACTAATGAGAGTAATGTAACATACCTGGATCACGTTTTTTTTTTTTCGAATTCAACATTTACTCGGCCAGGCTATTGCCCCGCAGTTATGGATCTGCAAAAAGAATAAAAAACATGCTGTCTCGTTCAGTTGTCATACGACGGTGGGTTGGCCAGCAGTGTGCTGACCGGCACCGGGATGATGTGCAGCGGCAGGCGCGACGAAATACAGTCGTTGTGGACTCTGGCCACCATGCCGCGGATATTGCGCGGGCCCTCGCGCGGGCTAAAGTCTAGGTAAATATCATGCCTGACCTGGATATCGCTCGTAAGCGTATCGCACTGCAGCGAGTCAGCCAACGGCATGGTCCACTCGATCTTGAGCGGCTCACCAGCCAACACCTTGGACAGATCCAGGTGGTCCGAGATCTTCTCCTTGGAGATCACGCGCTTGGTCCAGAACAAGTACACGTCATCGGCGGTGTCGGCTACTAGGTCGTGGTCGGTCAGGTAGCAGACGCGCTGCACCAATTTGGCGCGCACCTTGTACGAGGTCACATCGGTGCTCTTGCCCGCCACCAAGGTATCCGCCAATTGTGTATACCCGGGCGGCATCGACCACGGGATGCTAGGTGCAACTGACTGTGCGTCGCCAGTAGCCGGCGACTCGTCCTCCTCGGCGTCAGAGGCATATTCATCGTCGCTCTGCTGGCTGGCTTCGCCGGCCAGCGCCATCAAGGCATCGACCTGCTGGCGCGAGAGCTCCGGCAGCTGGCCCGGCGGGAACACCTCCAGCGAGAGCCCCAGAAGGTCGCCTGGTGCCGCCACATTGCGATCCAGAACCACCCGGTACGGCATCGCGCCCTTGCCGTTCTTAATCCCGCCCAACGTGCCCACCTTAATCACCGCCCGCATTCTCTGCACAAACGCACTCGGATCCTCCGTCCCCTGGTACCTGACCACCCGCACCTCCTGCTGCGCGCGCACCGCACGCCTCGGCAGAAGCTTCAAATACCCGTCGTGCTTGTTGGCCGTGGCCGTGACATAATACTCGACCGAGCTGCGCGGCACACGCATGGTCGGCGGCAGCGAGCCCGAAATCGCAAACTCAAACGGCAGCTTATATGTTCCTACGCTGCATGTCGAGCCGGCCGCTTGTCCGCTTGCCGCCGATACCGCCGTGCTTGTCTCCAGGACCTTGGTGAGCCGGACCAGGTTCGTCTTGTTGGCGCTCGAGCCGCCCATCTGCTGGTCGCTGTTCAGCGTCTTCGTGCCCACGAGCTCAACCGTTATTGCCTGCGACTTTTGCGCTGCCCGGCAGAGCACCGAGACATGCCCACGCACTACCGCCCCGTTGCTCTGCCCGTCGCGCAGTACCACTGTTTCCTCTACCAGGTGCACTTGCAGCTCAAGCTTCTTGCTCCCTGCTGTGTTCACCACTGGAATGAAGTTCGCATTGGCCTCTTCCACTGCTGGAGGTACCACCGGAGTGGTCAGCGGAGTTGGACGTGCTGCTACCGTAGTCATAATATTTTTTTTACCAAACAAAGGCAATGAATATGTGGCCTGCGAAGAAACAAAAAATGTAAATGTCAAAGCTCTAGGGAATTGTTCCTGAAAGAGAAGGCAGGTGATAAATGTCTTGGCGATAGAATAACGATGTAAGAGTGAAACTGATAGAATGCAACTGAATCAAAATACAAAAACGCCTCCACCAGAGTATACATATATACCCAAGAGCAAAAAGGAGCGCGGACCGAGAGATACCGGCCCCTAACGACAACCACCTGCAAAAAAAACCGGTTCTTATGACCCACTTTAATTGCATTTTTTGCATATTTTTTCCGCCATTCGCGTAGTGCAATGTGCCAACCCTTCATCGTGCCATAGCAGTATTCCAGAACAGGCCGACAATGCGCAGGGTGGAAATTGCCCACCACAAGCAATGGATGGAAAATCAATGTGGCCCAAGCATGCACACTGATGCATACCCAGCGTCGTTCCACTGCATGCCCACCAGCCAGCCAGTCGCACCCCTTTTCCTGCTGATGACGCCCGCAAAAACCTCAGAGCGCCAACTTTGGTCCCGATTCGCGCGTGCCCAGCCAGTGTGAGCTCGGTCCCTTTTTTCTTTTTCTCTTGTCACATTTGTGGACTCCATGCCATCCTGCAACTGTCGCTGTGGGAAAAAAAAAACATCCCGGGAAATCCTCTGCCAACCAGACCAATACCGGATACATATCCTAATCGCCGATCAGCCAGCATCAGATCTGCACCGCTCAAAGCCTGTCCCAAAAAAGCGCTGATTATTGCGATCGCTTGGACACCGATGCTCTGCATTCCCGTTTTTCTTTCCAGGCGCATTCTCGCTACTCTGGAAATTCGCATACTTGTCAAATGTCGCTTCCGCGGTTATCGCAGGGCATCGATGCCGCCGGGATCAAGCGGTTCCCCACAATCGGCCAGGTGTTCAACTCGCTGAAGCACAAAAAGCAGCGCCTCTCGGAGCTCGACCACGAGCACGTAGTGCTATCAATGGCGTGCGGCGCCGTAGAAAAGCACGGGACAAAGTCCGATGATACCGAGGGCCTGCTGTGTATGCCCATAAAAGATATCGCCGACAATCTAACGGTGCGTGCAGGCGAGGATCTGGCGCCGGTCACTCCGCTTGCAATCAAGCAGATGGTAGCAGCTGATCCGTGGGTGCGCAGCGCCGTGTGCACAGAGCAAGGCCATATGCAGGTGCGGCAGGGTGTGCGCGAGGAGCTAGATGCCCATTACAATAAGCGGAAGCAGGCAATGTTTGCAAAATACCTGCCGGTGTTCGACAGTGTGCGGAATACGCCGCTGGGCGCGAGCAAGGCGAATGAGCAGCAGCTCCAGAATGAAATCCGCCAGCTGGTGGTTGAGCGGGAGCCATGCAAGGAGAACCAGGAGACTGTGGATAAAATCGTCAAGACCGTCGGATTGGTTGGCCGGAGAGTAATGGAGGGCGCCCGGGTCAATGCCGAGCTGTTCGGGTCGCGCCGGTACAACCTGGCCACCAACACCAGCGATGTCGACATTATGCTGTCGGTGCGTGTGCCGAGCCAGGACGCCGAAGTCAACCATGCAAAGTTCTTTTCCCGGTTCGCCAAGCGGCTGCGCAATACACCTGGGTTCCGCGTGCAGGCAATGATCACGCATGCGCGCGTGCCGATAGTCAAGTTTCAGTTCCGGTCGCGCCGCGGCGGCTGCTTCCAGGGCGACATTTCGCTGAACTCTAGCATGGGCCTGTCCAAGAGCCGCATGATCGAGACATATGTCAACATGGACGGCCGCGTAAAGGACGTGATGAGCGTGGTTAGGGCGTGGGCTGAGGCCCGCAACATTACATGCTCACACTGCCTCAACTCGTATGCCCTCTCCATGATGATACTGGCATTCCTGATCGGCCGCCGGGTGGTCCCGCCGCTGCAGCTGACCAAAACCCACCAGTTCACGCGCTCCGGGTGGCGGCGACTCGAGGAGATCCAGCACAACCCGGACCTGATCCGTGATCTCTACGACAACACGATCTCGGGCGGCCGGGGCGCCGTGATCAACTGCATTGAGACTGGCGAGCCGCTCCCGGACTGGCGCGTCGACGGCACGCGCGCGTACTTCATGGGCACCCAGACTAGCCAGCAGTGGGTATCGCCAAACAAGCACTCGTCGGCCACGCTCGTCTACGAGTTCTTCCGCTACTACGGCTTTGATTTCGACCCGATGCAGCACGCCGTGTCAGTGCGCCTGGGGTCGCCCGAGATCCCGCGCATGTCGCTCTACGAGCTGCAGGCGCCCGAGCCCTCCATGTACATAACTCTGCCGACGCAGTGGCGCCAGGACCTGCGTCTTCTAGCCATTGAGGATCCGTTCGAGGTCGAGCATAACTGCGCCCGCCTGGCGCCCGCCGAGTGGACCGAGGGGTTCCTCTGGGAGATGCGTCGGGCTGCCTGGGCATTGCTGCCTGGGCGGGGTGTCGGCCTGCAGCGTCTGCTAGCGCCGCCCTCCGTGAACGTCTTCCGCGATGCCTCGGTGTGGGCCAGCGCCTACCATCGCCTGTTCCCTGTCATCCAGAACCTGCTTGGCGAGCAGGTGTTCAGCAAGAGCGAGCTTGCAGTGCCAGGCAGGGTGATCGACCTAGAAGAACATGAAAATAGCGACAAATAGATGCCCTGAAAAAGTATCGTGTATGCACTCGTGTGACACAGCAGCAGTTGCCAGTCCACATGTCCACATGTCCACATTGCCCCACTCCCCCTCCCCCGCACAGATACCAGTGTGGCTACACAAGTGGAGATCAATCCAAAACACATCCAATGCAGACACAGCAGGCTCTCGACAAGCTGCTGTCTGATGACATATGCAGCTGTGCGACTCATATCTTGCGCCAGCAGTCGATCCTGCTGCTAGCTGCTAATCGCTTATAGCCCTGTGCAAGTAGGGAGTGCAATATGCATGGTCGCAAGCATCTTTTTTTTTGCTCGGGGAAGCAGCTATTGGCAGGTGCGCTTCCGGCGTGGCTGGTGTTTCTCATAGATAGGGTGGTCAAAGTGAATCTATGCTGCGCGGCCGGGGGTGGGGAGGTCCCACCGCTGACATGAGTGTCTTCGGATGCAGCTAGCTATAAATGGCGCCCCTTTCCTTCCTGGCATTGAAAAAAGGAACCCGATAGCTTGTGTTACTGCTTTTTGCCCTCCCACTTTGTTTGTTGCTGCTAACAATAGCTGGAAACCTCTCCCCTGTAAGTGCTTTGCAACCGCTGTCGTCACTGGCGTTCTTGCTGCTCTTTGCACCCTTCTTCTCGCCACTTGTCTGCCCACTAAACATACACTTGGACGAACCATCCACCCTGTCTAGATTCATTGATACATTCAGGATGCGCGTTAATCTCAGCCTCACACTCGCCGCACTCCTCTCGGTGTCCCACGCCAAGGGCCCTTGCGACTCGCCCATCTACTGCGAGGGCGACATACTACACGCCGTGCAAATGGCCAAACTGTACCCTGACGACAAGACCTTTGTCGACAAGCCCACAATCAAGCCCCTGGATGACGTCTTGGCGGCATTCAAAGCAATCGGTGGCACCACAGCCTCGCGCTCGGCAATTGCCAGCTTTGTCGACGCAAACTTTGGGCTCGAGGGCACTGAGCTCAAGGCTGTGAATCTGACTGAATTCACAAGCTGCCCAAAGTTCCTGTCGCACATCCACAACCCGCTGCTGCGCGCATACGGAGGCGCAGTCAACGGGTTTTGGAAAGACCTGGTCCGCGAACAGGACCTGACGTCGCTCTGCGGTGGGTGCGTCTCGTCGATGCTGCCGCTAAAGTATCATTTTGTTGTGCCTGGCGGGCGGTTCCGCGAGATCTACTACTGGGACACGTACTTTACTATGGAGGGCCTTCTTAGGTCTGAGCTGTACGACACCGCCAGGAGCAACATCGAGGATCTGCTTGATCTCGTCGACAGCTACGGATTCGTGCCTAATGGTGCCCGCGTGTACTACCTCGATCGGTCCCAGCCGCCTCTACTGACGCTGATGGTCAAGATCTACTTTGAGCACACAAACGACCTGGCCTTTGTCAAGAAGGCCCTACCGACTCTCAAGAAGGAGCACGGGTACTGGATAGCCAACCACTCGGTCTCCGTGCCGTGCAAGTCTGGGTCCGTCACGCTGAACCGCTATATTGTCGATACCGACCAGCCACGACCCGAATCCTATACGGACGACTACGAAATGGCGCATAACGCGACAACCTGATCCAGCAAAACAGGCGGGGATCTATGCTGATATGGCTACGGGCGCCGAGACCGGCTGGGACTACAGCACGCGGTGGGTGCGCAACCCTAAGGCACCCGCTGACCAGCTCCTGTTTGGCATCCGCACGCGCCAGGTCGTGCCTGTCGAGCTCAACGCCATTCTTTACCAGGTCGAGCAGGCAATCGCTCGCCTGGACCGCCTGGCCGGCGCCGGCGACTGCTCCGACTACGAGCAAATGGCGGCGACGCGCCTGGATGCAATGAACAAGGTGTTCTACGACAGTGCCTCCGGGATGTACTTTGACTGGGTGCTTGAGACGAACTCGCGCTCGACGATTTGGTCGCCGGCCGCACTGTGGCCGTATTGGTCGTTCGGCAGTAGGGCGCCCCAGGATGGCGGCAAAAGGGCGTTTGATTATCTAGCTGGCGTTCTGTCAAAGAACCCGGGTGGTGTGCCCACCACGCTCAACAACAGCGGGCAGCAATGGGACTGGCCTAATGTGTGGCCGCCCCTGCAGTATGTGCTGATGCAGGGTGCGCTCAACCGCAAGGATCACAAGCTGGCGACTGTGCTTGCCCAGACATACGTCGATGCGGTGTTCTGCTCATGGTACAACACCGGCGGCTCGATTCCCAATGTGCTGGCACAGCTGCCTGGGGAGTCTGATATAGGACATATGTTTGAAAAGTTCAACAGCACCAGTATTGGCCAGCAGGGCGGCGGCGGCGAGTACACTGTGCAAAGCGGTTTTGGGTGGACCAACGGCGTGTTGCTGTGGGCACTCGACACCTTTGGCAACAGGCTGGCTACCCCGCAGTGTGTTGCTACTAAAGATTAAAATCTGTTGCGCTGTAATCTCTCGCCATATATCCTTGAGAAAGTCATATTTATTTCTTGTAACGAGCGTAAATTTGGACTTGTTTCATCCCAGAAGCTATATTTTTAATACCATCCCGATTCTCATCCTGGCCATACTCCGCATTTCTCCCCAGATGTGTATGCGGGAAGCAGTTGGCAAACAGGTGTGATACTATTATTATTACCCGCTCTTACCCCGCCATTTGCTCTGATACTTTTATTTCGAAAATAGGGGATCTGAATCAAGCCTGCTCTCCGCCCAGCAGTTCTCCGTTAGACAACATTAATTCGGGCCGGGAAAGATGTGGAGAAGCTATATGGCTACAGGCATTCCAAGAGGCAAGCCTGTTGAGCTGGCTCAAGACACTGCCACTATGAGTATATAAGCTGGAGACGGCAGCCTGCACATAGCAAGCAAAGGCATTACATCTTTCCATAGCATTTTCTCTTCATTTGATTCCAGCACACAGCACGTTGGTAGTACCCTCTCCCCTCAGCCGCTTAATTGTCCGCCCCCACACCATTTTTAAGCAATGCAGACCTACGCTATTCTCGCCTTTGTTGCAGTTGTTGCTGCTGACCGCGAATCCTTCCCCTGGTATGGCCGCCGGCCCGCAATCGCCTGCTGGCCCGCAGGTCATGGGTAACCCTGGCATGTTCCAGCAGCAGCCGATGCAGCCATTCGTCCAGGCCCCGATGCCCGCTGTGCCCAACTTTGCCGTGCCGGGTGCCGGCCCTGCCACCTTTGCTGGCGCGCAGCAGCCGCAGATGATGGGTCAGCCGATGCCCGTGGGCCAGCCGGGCACCTTTGATCAGCTCAACAACATGATCGGCGACAGCGCGCCCGGCAGCCCTGCCTCCGGCAAGAAGGACGGAAAGAACGGCAAGGATGACAAGGATGACAAGGACGGTAAGGGTCCCAAGGACGGCAAGGGCCCCAAGGACAACAAGGACGGCAAGGGCCTCAAGGACGCTAAGGACAACAAGAACAAACCCGACGCTAAGGACAAGAACAAGCCTGGCAAGGACTCGATCCCTAGCCTCGACAACAAGGCCAAGGGCGGCAAGGAGGACGCTAACCCCAAGCCTGCCTCTGCTGACTCGGGTGCCTCGACTGCTTCGCTCTCGCTGGCTGTTGCGGCCATTGCCGTTCGCGTTCTCCTCTTTCCAGTAAGCTGGAGGATATTGAGCTCCTCCGACTCGCCGGAGGGGCCAAGGCATCCCAGTGTCTGCTTTCGTCGTCGAATATTTTTCCCTTTCTTCAATCCGCTCCCGTCCAATATACTCCCAAAAATACACCAACAATCATTTTACTCATGGTGTTCGTGTTATGTTTTTCTAGGAAAGGAGGAAATATGATTAAATGGATGCGCTAAGCGCACCAAGTAGCAAGACTAATAGGTTACTCAGTATATAACAAATCGCGCAATCTCGCTTTCAGCTTTGAGGAAGTGGGACAGTGCTGTGGAAAGGCGAGCGGTCTAGCTAAAGAGTCGCCTACAGTCCTACAACAATAAGCATACTTTTGCCTCCCTCCAAATGCTTTGCTCAAGCGAAATCACGCGGGTTGCTGCTACCAGACGCCCCAGATCTGGTCCTGGCCACCTGCGGCTGCACCGCCGGCTTGACAATATCTGAGCCAACACCTTCCTCTGGGTCGGCCTGCGCAACAGGTCTCTGGTCCAGATCGCCAATAACGGGTGTCCGGAATCCCCACACATTCGCCATATGCTGCGGCTGGTCGTACGGGAAGACATGGTAGACGAATAGTCCAGACACAATCATAACGAACGCACCGGCGTAGATGGGCGTGATCTTGTCGTGGAACATGTACTTTCGCAAAAATCAGGCCGTAGAAGTCGCTGGTCAGGATCGACAGGTTGTAGAACGTAGGCCGAGCTGAGACGGAACAGGAACGGCGCGATCGAGTACAGCACCAGCATGGCCGCATCGAATCCGAGCGTGTATCCGACGACCTCGCCGGTCCACTTGAGCTCGCCGATGCGCTTGTGCTCAATGATGGCCATCTGGACGCCGTTGATGATGGTGCCAAAGAACCCGAGCCACGCCACGGTCTCATACTGCGGACGGTGCTTGACAATGAACTCCTCAGTCGTGTTGGACACTGCGTAGCACGTGGCGCCGATCAGCATAAAGATGTCGCCCTTGGCGGCATCGCTAGCCGAGTAGTTTTTGCCGTTATCCATGTCACCCTTGATCTGCAACCCCATGCCGCCCAGACACAGCAGCACGCCCAGAATCTGGGTCCACCGGAACCGCACCCTGAACAAAAAGTACGTGATGATCATCACACACGGCAGAGTCCATCGTGTCCAGCAGCATGCACGACAGCAGCGACGTGTAGCTGTACGCCTTGACCACAAAGTAGTTGCCCTCGACATCGACTGCCGCGAGCAGGATGTACCAGTAATACCGCTGCTTGATGTTGAGCCACACCTTGCGTGGGCCCAGGCGGAATCAGTGTGATTGGCATGTACACGATCAGCAGCAGCAGATACACCAGAAAGCTCTGGAAGTTCGGAATGGTCACGTTGAGGTAGTTGGCGAGCTTGTTCGACAGCACCGACGTCGACGTGATGCACAGCGACAGGATCTGTCCGATGACAAGGATAAGCACAAAGTGGCGCCAGTTGGAGAAGACCTGGCGGTTGGCCAGGAGGCGTTGCGGTAGCGAGAACGTCATTTTTCGTTTCCTTTAGACCGAGCAGAAAGACTCTTTTTGCCGAGTAAAGGTAACCACCTAAAAATGATTAAAAGTTGTGGTTGTTTAAAAAGTAGCGCTGATGCACGAAGCGTAGAAAGCAAAAAAGAGAGGAATTGGGAAGAGAGAGAGAAAATTTTTTGTGGTGCCACCACTCCAGGCTGTAGTCGCATTAGTGAGGCGAGGCGATCTGCAACGCTCGCCCAAAGAGAGCGAGGCTGGGCTTCTCGGAGGAACCTAAAGCCAACGCCCAACAAGCTAGCACGAGCCATAGATGCAAGATCCCCAGAGGGTGTGCGCTTGGAGGCAGTGGCACACAGCAGACACCTAGTCCGGGAGAGGGCATCACCTCTGAGATCACGAGGTCGGCTGGTTGCATCATGTCGTGCTGCATGAGGTTCAGGATGCCGCCACCACCACGACATTTTGCCCCACCTTTAGCCATTCCCTGGTCTGGAAGCGAGGATTGTGTGCACAGGATTCCCTGCTTCCAGAACAACAAGGCACCGCAGCTAGAGCTGACAGGATAATGAAAAGGCTATTTATTCATACAATGGAATTAACAACGACTTCAGAGCCGCCTTTCCCAGCCTGCAACCGCGGGGAGGAAAGAGCTGGCCCCAAGCCCAGTAAAAAGTTACAGAAAGCAAAAAGTGGGAGGGCCAGGCGAGCTACCGCTGGTTGCGAAGGTAGTTCTCGACGTTGTGCTGGCAGACGGCCATGTGTGCAGTAACCTCGGCGTCGCTGTGCTGCGGCTGGAAGCAATATGGGCACAGGAAATCGTATCTAACATGGTTCCTGAATGTGCACAGGCCATTGCCTGACTTGGGGTTGCTCAGTGCGTACATCGTTGCGGGAGGTGAGAAAAGAGTAGCTGCTGGGAGGGTGTGGGAAAGAAAGGTGCTCGATATCGACAAGGAGCGGGAGCTGGAAAACTTAGACTGCTGTGAGAAGAAAGGTGAGGTTTGGAAGGACGGCGAAAGGCAAAAAGAGACAGCTATTTATACAAAACTTCCACCTCGTGCTCCCTCTGCTTTGCCTAGTTGCCTGTGCATCCTCCCACTGGACAAGACTTGCTACTCCGTCATCTGCCCTATTTTGGATGTGACGCGCCCGGATTGTGATTCACAAAGGATATGCCTTTTTCCCATCTCTAGCAGCCTGGCCACATGCCAGCACCAAGGCCGCGCTCCGCTTGTCATGTATTCTGGTCGCTCTCTTGTTCTCCCACCCACTCTCTTGTTGCCCTGTGAGGGAGCGTGTTCACAAAAAAGAATGTGCTGGCTTCATGACCACCACCTGTTGATGTGACTTGGCGCCCTTTTGCATTCCTTCCTTTTAGCTGAATGCTACATCACGCCTTGCATGTGTATGCAGACCCGCCTGACCTGGTGGGCAGGGCATTGGGAGAAAAGTCCGCTCTGCTGTCCCCTCACGCCGAACTCTCTCCAGCTTGGGATAGGCTATATAGAGGATCGTTTGCGGCCATCACCACATATCAGCGCACCATCACGACCATATCAGCGCACCATATCCGCACCCCAGTTTACATTCAGATGCAGCATCAAGTATGGTGATATTATCTGTTATTAAAAAAGCGGCCCAGAATGCACATGTGCGGCCATCTAGGATGGAGGGAAGAAAAATGAGGGTAAAAAATACTAAAACTCTCCGAGTGCCGACAGGACCTAGCTGGGCGGGTTGTTCAGCAGGTACTCAATTGCTGCATTGACATTGCCACCAGTCATTGTCAGAGCGCGAATGTTTTGCTGGGCGTCCCAGAATCCCATGTCGTTGAGCTGCTGCAGCTGCTGCTGATAGCGCTCCTCGGGCGGCACTGCTGTTGGCAGCTGGGCTGGGCGATCCGCCCTGCACCAAACCCACCCATGCCAGCACCCGGGTTGAGCAAACCGGCAAACGGGTTGAACGCAGGTGCCGCCTGTGATGCCGCAGGTGGCGATGTCGCTGTTCGGGCTGCCGGTGGTGGCAGTGGTAGCAGCAGGCGTCGATGCCCACGGGTTGTAGATGCCGGTGTTGGCTCCTGCACCAGCGCCTGGCGTACCCATTTGGGCCCGCTGCATCGCGGACTGCATCTGCGCCATGCTGCGCATGACCTCCGGGTTGGCCATCATCCGCATGAACTCTGGGTTGGTCATCATCTGGCGCATCTCGGGCTGTAAGCCGCTGCGCAATCATCGGGTTGCTATCAATCATCGACTGGAGTGCCTCAGGGATTCGAGAAAAGGCTCTGCATCATTTGCTGGGCCATCGGATTCGAGTAAAACTGGTCAATCATTTCTGGCGATAGCTGAGGAGGCATACCGCTCGCCAGCGCCAAACATATCGCCCATGCCACCCATGCCACCCATGCCGCCCCATGCCGCCCATGCCGCCCATGCCACCCATGCCATCCATGCCGCCAAACATCGAGGCCATATCCGGCATGGCGTTAGCGCCCGGCTGCTGCGCTTGTGTCTGTTGGGCCTGCGATGCTGTCGTACTGGGCGGTGCATCACTGATGGCCGCGCCTGATGAGGCAGCAGCAGAGCTGGCCGCAGGTGTGCTCTTCTTCGCGCCCCCCTTGACCATGTGGATGGTGTTACCGTCAGCGATCTTGTACGTGGCCAATGTGTCTGCGTCCTTCAGAATCCGGCCTGCATAGATAAGGCGCTGGCTCTCGACAGGGCGTGTCCTCAAGCTCCTTGGAAATTTGCTCCTTGAGCTGGAGCACTGTAGTCGTAGCCGGGTCCACCTCCACGGCCACTCGCTTATCGTTCGAGCACTTAGATAGTCAGCTTTGCCATCGCTTTCTTTTTTCCTGCTTGTCTGCAAAGATGTGAGTGATGGAAACAAATGTGCTAAAGAGTAAAGAGTAATTTCGACAGATGAGAAGAAAGCTTCCAGAGAGCTCGACAACTCGAGCGTCAGGCCATGATGGAGCATTACGTGCCCCTTCCAGACTGGATTCCACACGACGATCGGGGGATTTGGTGATCGAATTAGTAGTGTGCACATGTGACCTCGCCAGAGGAGATTCGGCTCAGTTGTTTGCGATATATGGCGAGCCTGCCTGTAGCAGATGTCGCGATCACAATATCCACTCGTCTCATCGGGTGGTACCATCGCGCAATTAGTGGCACCTAGATTTCTATATAAGTATGGATCAAGCTAGCGAAAGGAGCCAGCCTTGCTATCAACCACCATCCTTCTCCTCCCTCCGGCGCCACCACCACTCCTTGCGCAGATGCCCAACGTCCTCGTCTCCGGGGTCTACCCGTCCCCTGTCTCTACACCCTCTATCTCAGACTCCATTTTCGAACTGACGACTGGTCAAGGACACACAGGAGGACAAGGCCCTTCGAGAGGCGCTGCGTCTCCTCACACCAACCAGACCTGACTTTCGCACTGCCGACTATGCTGCGAGTTTCAACTGGGACGAGATTTCGCTCGAATACGCGAGGCAGCTAAATGAGTTCACACACCTGCCGCAGCGAGACGAGGACTCTTCGCCATGGTATGCCGTGGTGTTCCGGTCGAAGCGACGCAAGGACTGCAACAATGTCGATTTATTCGACGCCGACAGAGACGCATACAACGAGGCATTCAAGCATACGGGCGGTGCGCTGCTGGTCTACTGGTACACCGACCTGGATGCGGACTTCAACTGCCTGGCCACCTGCGTGTGGACCAGCCGTGACAAGGCGCTGTCAGTCAACTCTCTACCAGCACACCGGCAAGCATCGCGGCTGTCTGCTGACTCGATATGAGCATTACAAAATCGACAGATACAACATCACATGGACCCAAGACACTGGCAGATTAGAGCTGGCCAAGCTAGACTTGTAGAATCGCCAGTCAAAAATATTTCTACTTTTTAAACCTTGGGCCACAGGCCAATGTTCTTGAACTCATCTACCGTGGGGCGGAATGGCCTCGGGCGTGACAGTCTCGTACGAGTACTTGAACCCGATTTCGGGGATGCTGGTGATCAGGGAGCCGTCAACACCGAGCGGGTACTTCTCGAGTGTGCAGTACGGGTGCTCCTGGTCGAGGTACGGCGACAGCTGCGAGTTTGCGATGTTGCTTTTTGGCCAGCAAATCCATCCACGGCCCCAAGAACGACCCGTTGACCTCCTCTGTTAATTCGGCGGTGCGCAGGCGCTTGACGATAAAGTTGATCGCTGCGTTCTGGAAGCTGAGCTCGATGTCAAACAGCTTGCCAACACACTTGGCCAGGTGCGAATTGGTTGTGTCTCCAGGGTCAGACAGATTAAAGACAGCCGTGCCCTGCTTGCCCTTGTGCCACTGTGCGACCTTCAGGGCAGCCAGGGCTACATCGTCGACGTGCACTGTGTTGACGCGCAGCGCCTTATCCCACAGCACGTCCATTTTCTCGCCCTCGACCTTGCTGATCTGAGCCATAATCAGCATTGGCACCACGTTCTGCCGGTCGCCGGGTCCGTAGCACAGAGCCTGGACGCAGGATCACCAGCGGCAGCTCAGGGATCTGCTTCAGGTCGTCCTCTGCCTCGATGTAGCTCTCAGCCAATGCGTTGGGGGCCTCCAGCTCGCTGTCTTCTTTGTGCTTGGTGTTGCCGTCAGCCTTGAAGATGTGTGCGCTGGACAGGTGCACAAATGAGCCAACCTTTGGCCTTGGCCGCGTGCGTGGCAATTTTGACCTGAGAGCTGGTGCACATGCTGCTCGTATACCTGCTTCGACTGCCCGAACTTGTATTCGGGGGCAAAATTGAATACGTAGTCCCACGTGGTGCCGTCCTCCCGCGCAAACGCCCGCTCGAGGAACTCACTGCTCTGCTGGTTGCCCATACGGTAGTCGATCTTGCTGTACAGCTCCAGCACGTCGGGTGGGAACGACGCCAGCGCCGGCAGGACCTTGTCGGTGCCACGGATCTCCCAGCTGGTGGGATCGGCTGCCCGGTCGCGCTCCTGGCATAGAAGCTTCACCAGCGCGCGCCCATAAAAGTTTGCGCAACCGCAAATGAGAAACGAGGGCATATTATATTACTAGGAAAAAGTAGGGCGGAGAAAGACAGCGTATAGAAATTGGCGGGTAATGAGAGAAGACAAAAAGCAACGCCTGCTCAAAATCAAAATAATGGTGCCGCCGCCGCCACCAGCTCGTCATGAGAACATATCGTGCGGGCCAGCGCACAGCCAACAGCGTGATGCAGCGGTCTGCCCATACGCTCGCTTCAGCCGCTGTGTTTGCGCTATGAAAATCCACCTTAGGCTGTCAGACCGATAGGCGGTCCCAGACGGAGTGGGATCTGCACGCGAGCCGGATTCGCACATCCAGACCAAACCAGAGATGGCCGGCTCAGAGATACGCAAGACCAAAGTCTCTGTAGATACCAGACGGCCTCATACAGGGCAGTGGGTCTAATTTGTGCAGATTGCTTGTGCAGCAGCTGCACAATACCTAGCTGAGTGCCCTGCTAGCGGTGGCTTACCAGCTCATAGGTTTGTTTCTGGACCAGTCCTGAGGGCTGGCATGAGTCAGGGGGCTTGGGCTAAATGAGATAGTCCAGACATATAGGATGAGCGGCTAAAATCGAATATATCATATTTCGCTGTGCAATGACAGCGACAGCCATATTAAATCGCCAACGATATTAACATCCAGCCGGGGCTAGCGGGAGATAAGCTAGAAGCAATTATGTTTGTGTATAATATCCTAGAGCCTAGCCTGTACCAGAGGCAGCCCTATCTTTGTAGCACTCGACTGCTGTTCATTTAATTCATACATCCAGGCCATGTTGCCCAGAGTGTCGGGCCACGATCTCTGCGGTGTATCCCCAGAAACCGCTGGCCTCGCCCATCTCAGAGTAAAATGCACACATACGCCGATGCTGTAGCTGTGATGGCCATGTATAAAAGGGTCGATCTGTTGGCCAGAAATCACCAGTATCCCTCAGTACAATCTTACCAACAGCAACTAGAACAACTCCTAGTATACATTCCTCCGAAGACTCTTTTCGCTTAGCAACCTCTTCTCCCTGCCACCTGAGCAACCATCCCTTACCTTTACCTCGTCACAAAATACGCTGGACAGTATTTTGCCCTCGCTTCCTTATACAAAACACCCCTCTCTCTCTATCGATCTTGATTGACCGTCAACCCTGCTCTTACCATGAACACCAAGTTTAGCATCACTACTATTGCTCTCGCGGCGCTGGCGTCTGCGACTGTCCACGAGGCTATGCCCAACTATGACAACGCGGCAATGGTCACTGTGCGTCCCTACAAGCGCATGCTGGAGTACTTCCATTACGGTCGTGTCAGCTACGAAACCAACTCCGAGACACCCCCTACCAGCACTTTTCCTAGCACGACCCCCACCACTCCAGGTGGTGGTTGTGAGGGAACCACCTGCACTCCGACTACCACCCCGACCACCACTCCTGGCGGTGGTTGTGTAGGAACTACCTGCACTCCGACTACAGTTCCGACCACCACTCCGGTTACCACTCCGACCACCACTCCGGTTACCACTCCGACCACCACTCCTGGCGGTGGCTGTGTAGGAACTACCTGCACTCCAACTACCACTCCAACTACTACTCCGGGCGGCGGCTGCCAGGGAACCACCTGCACTCCGGTTACCACTCCGACCACTACTCCTGGTGGTGGTTGTGTAGGAACTACCTGCACTCCGACCACCACTCCGACCACCACTCCGACCACCACTCCGACCACTACTCCTGGCGGTGGCTGTGTAGGAACCACCTGCACTCCGACTACAGCTCCGACCACCACTCCGACTACTACTCCAGGCGGCGGCTGCCAGGGAACCACCTGCACTCCGGATTACCACTCCGACCACCACTCCTGGCGGTGGCTGTGAAGGATCTACCTGCACTTCAACTATGACTATCACTACCACCCCAGGCGGCGGTTGTGAGGGAACCACCTGCACTCCGATTGTCCCCCCTACCAGCGGCAATAATGTTTATTCAGCAACACCTCCGGATATCGAGCCTTCGTGTGAATCCACCTATCACGATCACTCTGTCTCTCACTGAGGCTATTACGGTGCCAACCACTATCACGGTGCCGACAACCGTGGCTCAGACGTCGACAGTTACTACAACGGCTGTCCAGAGCGTCACCGAGACGCAAACCGTTCCTACTACTGTGACGCAGACCGAGACCGTGACATCTGTTATTCCAACAACAATCTACAATACTGAGACCGTCACCAGCACTGTCAACAACACAGGCAACTGTGACCGAGACCCAGACCCAAACGCTGACACAGACAGTCAACAACACTGTCACGGAGACCCAGACAGCGACAGTCACCAATACCCAGACCTGTTGTCAACACTGCCACTGCTACTGAGACCCAAACGGCGACCGTCACCAACACAGCCACCGTTACCAATACCCAGACGGTCAACAACACGGTCACGGACACAGAGACAGTCACAGTCACACCTCCTGCTCCAGCCCCGAGCACCGAGACCCAGACGCAGACTTTGACGATTACTGCCCCGCCCCCAGCTCCCAGTACAGAGACCCAGACCGTGACCGCCCCTTGTGGAACTGTGACTGCAACGGTTACCATTACGCCACCTGCTCCAGCTCCCAGCACCGAGACCATTACCAGCCACTGCTACATCCACAAATGTCATCACTACCACTGCGCCGCCACCCGCGCCCAGCACTGAAACTATCACTACCACTGTGACTATTACCCCGCCACCTGGTACGGTTGTGCCGTCCAGCGAGGTCCGCCTACAGCCCCGCCACCTGGTACGGTTGTGCCATCTAGCGAGGTTCCACCTACAGCCCCGCCACCTGGTACAGTTGTGCCGTCTAGCGAGGTTCCGCCTACAGCCCCACCACCTGGCTACGGTTGTGCCGTCCAGCGAGGTTCCTCCCCCAACCGCTGGTATCTACCAGGGCTCACCCCCACCTGCGAACTCAAGTGAGAACACCTGCCCTGGCGGAAACTGCGGTGGCTGTGTATACTGCGGCCGCTGCCTACATGTAGGCTGTGACATTCCTCAGCAGTGCCTCACAATATAAATCACCATTCTTTATCTTTATATCAACGACATGCAAAGCCATGGCCGCAATAAACCACCTACAAAAATCGCATTTACTTTTGGTGCTCTTTGCGCAGAGCGTACGCCAAGCTAGACCAGTCCCACTTCTCGCCGCCATTGTCCTTGACCCACTGGAGGTGCTCATACGCAAGCTCTGCAATCGGCAGGCGCATACCAGCCTCTCTAGCTACATCAATAGCGTACCCGACATCCTTCATGCCGCCTGGAACATTGAATCCAACCTGCGTCTTGCTGGCCTCGCCATTGTCTGCCACCATCTTCAGAGCGTACCCCATGACTGGTGGGACCGGGAACACCTCCTTGATGAATTCAAAGTACAGCTCTCGCCCAATTCCAGCCTCCTCAGCTACCGCCATCGCTTCACCCAGCGACTCAATGACAGAAGCGATCATAAAGTTGCCAAGGATTTTGTATCGCGCCGCCTTGATCTGGTCAGTGCCGCAGCTGATTGCGACCCTGGCAAAAGCCGGGACAGCGATTTCACCCAGAACACCCTCTGCTTCGCCGCTGGTTACAAACACAAGCATCGCTGCCTTGGCTGCTGGTGGTGCGCCCCACACTGGCGTCTGTGCAAAACTGACGGGCCGCGTGTACTCGCTCTGACGGCGTGAGATTTCTTCCAGTACCCACTGGGTCGTGCTCGGGTGCACGGTTGTTGTGTCAGCGATGAGCAAGCGCTCAGTCGATGAATCATCCTTTAACGAATCCAGAAGCTGTGTCACAATGTCTTTGACTGCGGCATCGTTGACGAGCGAGAGGAACACAACATCGCTGTTGGCTGCAACGCTGCCAGGAGTGTCGCGCGCAACAGCGCCAAGCTCTTCGACTTGAGCACACTTTGAAATGGTCCGGTTGTTGATGCTGATAGGCGACAGACCGTTTGCAGCACGGTGTTTCTGTAGGTTTATGGCCATTGCAAGCCCCATGTTGCCAAGGCCAATCAATCCAACGCGAAGGTCCCGTGCAGACATGGTAGGAATTATTCGTAGAGAAAGAGCGTATGAGAGGTTGTTTAGAAAAGCAAAGCGAGAATGGGGAGCTCTGAGACAGCCCGCCCGACTCGCTTGCTTATAAGCCTGCTCAGCTGGGGGTGCAGCCACAGTGCGGCGGAGCTGCATTTTTGGCGATGACAAATCGCAGTATTGTTGGCAACCGCTGCATGAGCACAGGCGAACTGGGATCTTCAGTGCATCGGTTCATAATTGTAGATAAAAGACCAACAATTTGTCAACATATCCGCGAGCAGTACACACTAAATGAATTATAGCTTAGTCAGCTCTCTGTCAGCAGGCATTTGCAACCAGTTGCGGTCATCATACTCGTAGCCGCCTTCGATGATGTGGAAGGTGTAAATCCAGCGTGACTTGTCAGAGTGGTTGTGTGAAGACCGATGCAGCACCTGGCCGTGGATCAGGACAACAGAGCCAGCCTTGACTTCAATGGGCTTGCATTCGGCACCCACTGGTTTCTGCTCAGGGATCGGTGTCTTGTTGTTGTCCTTCGTTGGTGGGAAAAGCGAGAATTCGGGCTCGATTGGCACAAACTCTGTGCCATCGCCGGTCCTCCTTTTGCACGAACCGCTTCGAGATGGGAGTCTCGAGATGAGAGCCGGGGATGAACTCCAGGCAGCCGTTGGCCAATGTGCAGTCCTCTAGAGCAAACCAGAACCCACAGGCCGACAACGGCCTTGTGTACAGGAAGCATGAGTCTTGATGCAGAGGCACCTCGCCGCCAATCGATGGCTGCTTGCAGATGACCATCGACTGCAGGATGCGCGGGTCATCATAGCCCAGGCGCTGGGCCACCTGCCTGACCTTGTTGCTGTGCGACAGCTTGGCAAACAGCGGCTCGCGAATGTGTAGGCCATGGCCAATCTTGTTGATGGCGCGTGTCTTGTCAACGGCTAGCCTTCCGTCAACAACGGCCTGTTCCTCCAAAAAATAGCTGACCTTGTCAGACGAGTCAAGAAAGTATCGGTCACCGATATGCTTGTCGCGAATGCCGGTCGAGAAGGTGGTCTTTGGCTGTGATTCAGGATCGAAGCTGTCCAGCAGCTCGGCTGTGCGCTTGCGCAGGGCAGCCACCTCCTCTGCACTGAGGAACCCAGGAATCACGACGCAGCCGTCGTTCTTGAAGCTGTCAAAGTGCGCGTCAGTAAACATGGCCATGGCTGAATCAGGTACAGTAACAAAAGTAATGGTAGAGAGCAAAACTAGGATGGACGTTTGGGCGATAAGAAGAGCAGGGGTGCGAGCGTGCGACCCTCCAGGCTTTACCCCTCCTCTTTTCGGAGCTCAGGACTGACGGATCCATCACATGCACTAGGGATTGTCCTCGGTAGGAAAAATTGGCGCGGGTGCTGATGTCACCTAGCCCACCAGTGATCTATCTCCCGTCGGCACACGATGCATATAGACCGGAGCTGAGGCCGCAGTCGAAGGTGCCTAGTAGAAAAGGAACAGCGAACGCTGGCAGGTCTGAAGGCTGCTTTCCAACACAAGCAGGTAGTTAGCCCCCATCACAGATTGCCCGCACGCATCTCCATCTCCATGAAGTCACTCATATTCATCCTTGTCACGGTGGTTCTGCCCTTGCTCACCGTGTGGAGCGACCAGGTTCCCCATAGATCGCTGGCTCTGGCACCATCGGTGGAGAAACGCCTGGAGGTCAATATTGGCGCAGAGTCCCCAGAGTTTCTAATCACTGTGCCGTTCACAGTCGGCAATGGTGTAGATTTTGTTTCGGGAAACGTCAGCATCTACTTCAAAGCGACGAGGTCTGTTCGATTCGTTGGTACGCCTGGACAACGCTACTATGCTTATATTGCAACAACAACTTTCATTTTCAAGTTTGATTTTGTGGCCAGCCTGGGATTTGACAGCCGCCAGTCGATGGTCCATGATGTGCTGTATCTCGACAACATTTCGGCCACCATTATGTCTGACCAGTTTGCACAGGGTATCTCTGCTTCCTGACTGCCGAGGCTACCCGAACGCGACCTCTCTCAATCACTCGAGATTGCAAATGAGCAGCGATCTAGCCTCCATATTCTCCAGAATCTATATAGCTACACATCCTGCCCCTCACCTCAATAAGACTGCATTTATATTATTTTAGCTTGGGCATCAATTTCTCTGGGCCAAGAATGTAAGCGGGGAGTAGGCAATGAAAATCACTAAACGACTATTCTACAGACTAGACCGAGCGAGGCCATGTCAGTAGTTGATGTATGTTGAAGCAGGGCTGTACATTCAAGTGGCCATATTAAAAGGCAGCAGTTGCCATATCAGCTCGCAAAATAAATCTTTGACTATCCGCTACTTCGAACGACTTTTACTCCAGATACCTCCTTTTGCACCCAGCCAGCATGTACCGCACAAGATTCACTCCAGGCAATACTTCTTCTCCTTCTCAGCCTACTAGCGCACGTTGCTCATGGAGCCCCTGCAGCAGCAACAGCGACTGTGCGTTCAGCTGACAAGGTCCAGGGCGACCACATCAACTTGTTAGTGGCACCAAACGGCGGCATTGCTGCAAATGCTCAACCCGGAAAGATTGCTGAAGCTATCGAGATGCCAGCCCTGATTGATTTCCGCTCTATTGTCGCTGCATTCAGCAAACCGATTCAAGGCAAAAACCTTGCTGTGGAAAGCGGCGCGCGACCGACTGCCCGCATCGATGACCTCGATAACACTGCCATGGAGAAGAACCACCCGCTGTCACAGACACAGGCACTGGCGCAGACACAGACAGGACACAGGCACTGGCGCAGACACAGACACTGGCACAGACACAGACACAGACACTGGCACAGACACATGTGCAACCGCAGCAGCAGCAGAGCCCGGGTTTCCAGCAAATTACCCAGCAAATTACCCAGCAAATTCCAGTCCAAAAGGAAGCATTCTTCCTACCAAAGACGCTGGTCCGAATACTATCGCTCCAGGACAGCAGATCAAGAACAAGCCAGTTGCGCAGATCCAGGATATCGACCCTGATGCAGAGCTAGCCCCGCACAGCCAGAGCTCCACCATGAATGTTGTGAGCCGGAGTGTGACCCAGGTCGTGATCCACAGCAAGGAAAAGACCGCATTCGTCGTCGATGAAGACAACGACAGCGACAGTCGATGCCTGAGTCTAGCAAGTCAGGTACTGTTGAGAGAGCGAAGAAGGTTGACAAGACCGACAAGGCCGACAAGGAAGACAGCACCTCATCAGGGCCGCAGCTCGATCGTCTTGGAGCAAACGACAACGGGGCAAGCTCACTGCTGAGCGGCCGTGAGTGGAAGCTGGCTACTGCTCTGTTGTTAATAGCATCCTGCTATCGGGGCCTAAACCTCCTGGCATAGCCAGAGGGTTGTTCTGTGGGGAACAAGAAGGAAAAAGACATCTAGGCTATTTCTCGCAAGTTGTTCCTCACTCTACTACCTCTTGCCCATGCAATTTCGTATTTTTCAGCGATGATGTTCTCTTTTCATATTTCTCCACACCCTCTCACCTACAACTTTTATTTGCAAATCTTCACTACTGCCAATATATACAAATTAAGTAGTCCCAGTTTCATACTTGATATTATGTAGAGGCGGTGGAGTGGAGTGAAGTTTAAAATGGCCATGGACTGGCGAGCATCCAGCAGTCCATATTCAAGCTATAGAAAACCACCGCCCTTCGTCTCACTACCGCATCTGTATCCTTTAGACCTAGACAGCTTTGCTCCAGAAATTTCCAGAAGCACACTCAATAAGCAATGCGGACCATTTCGTGCTCGATTCTGTTCCTCTTCGCCAACTGCGTATCGGGCGAGATATTCTTCAATGTGACCGCAAGGGCTTGACCCGAGGGCCGTCCAATCGTCACTGTTACAACTCGGCATTACTGGTTATGATCCCCACTCACGCGCTAACCCCGCTGGGCTTTACCCTGCAGCTGTCGGAGCCAAGATCTTCAACGATCAGCTCATTCGTGCCGGTATTCCAGTTGCCGGCGTCTCAGGGGTAGCTTCAAACCAGCAAGTTATTACCCAAAATGCTGCCAGCCACCACAACGCACCTGTGATCTATTCTGCCAATAATGCCATGACTGGCTACCGCTTATAGCCAGATGCCGGTTGGAGCGGTTGTGCAGGCAGAGACAGAGGCAGATACTCCTGCGCCTACCATGTCGCTGGCACCAGCGATCCTGTGATAGCTAACACTGCTGCTGCTACTGTTCCAGGTGCTGTTCCAGGTGCTGTTCCGGGTGCTGTTCCGGGTGTTGTTTCGGGTGTTGTTTCCAGGTCTGTCCAGGTTCTGTTCCAGGTACTGTTCCAGGTTACTGTTCCAGGTGCTGTCCCAGGTAGTGCTCCGATTGTTGCTCCAGTTGTCGCTCCAGGTGCCGTATCTGTTGCTGCCCCAGCTAGAGGTAGCAGCTCCGGAGGAGGAAGAGGAGTATGAGGAGGAGGGGACCTCCCCAGCAATATCAGACTCCAGGAAAGCTTGTTCGCCAGGCCGCTGTGCCTGTGAGCAGTTTGACTCCCCCCGCCGACCGCCTATGCTGCCACGACCCCCGAAATTAACGTGAACCTGGCTGGTGTTTACCAAGCCGAATGTAGCTGCTGCTGCACTTACACGCTTTGCTGTTGGCCCAATGGAGGATCTTGCGGCTGAGGCAGATGCTCTAGCAGATGAGGCACCCAAGGGGCCGAATCAGAACGCCAAGGTTGCGCAGGCTATGGCAGCCAAGTCTGCTACCATCCCTGCCGTCCCTATGGTGGCGGCAGTCCCTTCGCTTCCAATCTCTGGTCTTGCGACAACAACCACTCTTATGCAGATTCCGCCTGGTGTCTCCGTTGTCACCACTACCAAGCCTGTTGTCGTTGCAACCGCTACACTGACTGCCACTGCTCCCGCAGCCAAGGTCACAGTTACAACCAAAGTCACTCCCCAAGCACACCGCGGATAGCGCGTCGATAACGGGCAAGGCAGGCAACAAGGCATCACCTGCCAAGGCACCAGTTACGAAGGTGCCGGCAGGCAGGCCAGCTGCTGCCCCCAAAGGCCGAAGAGGGCGAGGCCAAGTCTGAGGAGCCCGCTGCTGCTGTCGAGGAGTCTGCTTCAGGATGTCAGCGGCGAGGCTTCCGCCGAAGGCTCCGAGGCTAGTGCTGAATCTGAGGCAGAATCGGCTGCTGATGTCGAAGATAGGTTGGCTAACGGCGAGACAGCTTCAGCGCTGCGCCTGGTTGCTGCTGCTGCCCAGACGGCATTTAAGCCTGAGGATATTGACAAGTTTACGTTCCCGGCGGCGTCGCTGGCAGTGGATTTGAGCGGTTATAGCCAATTGCTTGGCAAGACCAACCATGCATCGGCTGCAGGGTCGTACTGGAAGTGAGGGGGCAGTGTTCCAGGGATCGCAGCCGGCAGGTGGTATGGCGAAGACTGCCAATCATTCGAGCGCCACCGCAACCAGCACCAGCGAGGGCTGAGAAGGAGTCCAGCGGGCCAAAGGAGTCAAAAGACTCGAAGGGGCCTAAGGATTTGAAAGACTCGAAGGACATCCAAAGATAAGGCTGCTGAGTCCGAGTCCAGCAGCAAGCCCGGGCCAAACGCGATCGTTGGGCCTGGCACACCAATCTCTCGTGATAGCAGCGCATCGTCGCTGGCCACACACACTGGCATCCTTGCCATCTCGGCAGCTGTTTTCGCCTTGTTTCTCTAGTATCCTACTGTTATGCGCCATCAACCTATAGACATTCGCATTTTATTGTTAGCACGTTTCCCAATACATAGTCCTACTCTTGTCAAACGATGCAGCTCGATATATGCTTCGAAACATGGGCATGATCAGCAAACAGCATAATCTCAGCCAGTAGCTGATCTCTCGATCACGCTATTTAACGAGCCCCGTCGATCACAGTGTGGCAAGTAGACGCTTGGAAAATTTTCTTTTCTTGAGCCTCCAATTTCATATTCTAAACATGAGAAATCTGACTATCCTGTCGAGCACTAGCACTCCGTACACAGACGCGCAGGCGGCCACAGGGGTACCGGCACCCCTCTGTGTCAACGTGACTGAGCGAGTCGCCTACGCTGTGATCGGTGACAAGGACGACATGGCCAGTTTGGTATCGATTCCATTCGGCTCTGACACTGGCACATCCACGACATACACAGTGCAAGCACAGCTCCCGTTCTCAGCATCCAGCTGCACGATTGCCGGGCATGCAGTTTCTGATGGAGCGTGAGTCAGTGTTTCTGGCGCTAGCATCGGGCGATATTTTTGTCATACAAGTCAGCCAGTCCGCTGAGTCGGACAGCGAGCAGGTCGAGTTAGTCGGGTCGGTCGATGCAGGGATTGCGGCCGCATGCTGGAGTCCTGATGAGGAGCTGCTGGTGCTGGTGACGCATGAAGACAAGCTTCTGCTGATGACGCAGGACTTTGAAGTGCTCTATGAATTCGGGCTCGCGCAGGCTACGGAGGTCGAGGAAAAGCATGTTGCACTGGGCTGGGGCAAAAAGGAAACGCAGTACCACGGCAAGGCCGGTAAGGCTGCAGCCCTGGCGCCGCAGGAGCCAGTCAACACGCAGCTGGCAGCCGGTGACGATGGTTGTGTGCGAGTGTCATGGCGCGGCGACGGCGCATACGTGGCGGTGTCGTTTGTTAGCGATGGAGCACGCGAGATCCGCGTGTTTTCGCGTGAAGGAAAACTGCACAGCATTTGCGAGAAGATCAAGGCACTGGAGCACGTCATGGCATGGCGGCCGTCGGGGCGGCTGATTGCAGCGACCGAGAAGCTCGAGCACAGACATGACGTGGTATTCTTTGAGCGCAATGGGCTACGGCATGGCGAGTTCACGCTGCGGCCGAGCACAGAGGCCGTGATGAATCTGACATGGAATTCTGACTCATCGATAGTGGCAGTTACGCTTGTCTCGAATACTGGCATGGGCCCGGAGGTGTGTGTGGAGCTGTGGTCGGATAAGAACTACCACTGGTACTTGAAGCAGGAGATCCGGTCATCAGTGCTAGGAGACACGGTCAGCCATGTCGTGTGGGATACGGAAGACCCAATGTTGCTGCACATTGCGGGTGAGCATTCGTACACGGCTATGCGGCTACAGAGCACACCGGCGGTGGCCCAAGCGGCATCAGAGCAGTCGATCTCTGGAGCGTGCGTGGTTGATGGAGCCAAGCTGCTCTATACTCCGTTTGCGTACGCTAATGTGCCGCCTCCAATGGCGCTGCACACTCTGACTGCGCCGTCACCCATAGCACATGTTGCCTTTGGTGCGTTTGGCGACGGCAATGATTTCGCAGCGTTGCTGGCTGATGGGCGTACGGTGGTTACGTACAAGTGCGCATATGCGGCGACAGTCAAGGAGGCACCTCCACCAGCACCGGACAGACACCGCAAGTCTTGTTGATGAGTCGCTGATAGTATTCCGCCAAATCGCCTGGCCAGCCGAGAACATCCTGGTGGCCCTGGGATCATCAGCAGAATAGCAGTGGGGCCAAGCACGATGTGCTCTCAGTGGTGCAGATCGAACAAGGCGAGGTTGTAAGCCGTGCAGTGCTAAATGTCGAGGACATGGCGTTTGCAAAGGCAGTCAAGCTTGTGGCATCACCAAACGTCAACAAGCTGCTCCTGGAGACTGCTGATGGCAGCGTCTTTGATGTCGAGTACACGTCGGGGCTGATGCTGTCCCCCATTGCATCTCTGCCTGAGATGTGTGTCGATCTGGACGCTGTGTCAGTCGACGGCAAAATCGAGGTGGTGGGTCCGTACTGAACGCAACCAACTGTTTGTGGGCTCGCATCTTGTCAGCGCAGCGTGCTCGTCGTTCTTTATGCGGCGTGACTTTTTGCTACTGACTACTACCACGCACTTTTTGCGCTTTGTGCCAGTCGACACAGACTTTGCCGGTGCCACTGTGGTGGAGGATGCGCCGGCTGTGTCAAAGTACGATGAGACGCGGCGGCGTGTGGAGCGCGGATCAACGATTGTGCTGGCGTCGACAGTTGGCGATAGCGTTGTGTTCCAGATGCCTCGCGGAAATCTGGAGACGGTGCGGCCAAGGGCGCTGGTGCTCTCCTCAGTCAGACGGCTCCTGGATGCGCGCAGCTACAAGGCAGCGCTGGTTCTGTGTCGCGTCAACCGCATTGACATGAATGTGATCTTTGACCACATTCCAGACAAGCTCATTGGCGACTTTGCCGAATTCGTGAACCAGGTGAATGACCCGGATCTGCTGAACTTGTTTGTGTCTGGGCTGCGTGACGAGGATGTTACAAAGTCCATGTACACTGGCACCAAAGCCGCAGGCAGTGGAGTGGCTGCCGAGTTCAAGGTCGAGGGAAAGACGACAAAGGTGTGCCGTGCTTTGCGGCCAGTTCTTCAGGACGCAGATGCTGTGCGGTACATGCCGACGATCTTGACTACGTTCATGTGCCAGGTCCCAGCAGATATCCCCAGCGCACTGAAGCTACTTGCGCCCCTGTCCACAGAAGAGCGCGACTCGGCTCTGACGTACCTGCTGTTTTTGTCAGATGTCGATAGGGTGTATAACGCAGCCCTTGGCCTGTATGATCTTCCACTGGCGCTGCTAGTTGCCCAACGCAGCCAGCGTGACCCGCGTGAGTACCTAGCAGCACTAGGCAAGCTCAACGCCCTGCCTGACGAGGAGTACCGCCGGTTCAAGATCGACGCGCAGCTCGCAAGAGCCTCTAAGGCGCTTGAGCATCTTTATCAGTCGTACCGCGGCAGCACTGAGGGCAGCGGGTTCATGAGCGAGTCGGATCTGTGGTCTGAAATCGTCGAGTTTGTCAGCGATAACGAGCTGTACGAGGAGGCAATCAAGCTTTTGAACGGGCAGTCCCGGTTCAGCGACATATGCCGGCTGTTTGGTGACCACCTGGTAGAGAAGCGCGAGTTTGCGCAGGCAGCGTCGGCGTACTTGCTGGCGGATGCACGCACACAGGCCGTTGATGCGTTTATTGACTCCAAAGAATGGCGAGAGGCCATGGCTCTGGCCACCGATCCCGCCAGCGCGCTGTCGGCACAGGCGGTCCATGACATTGCTGTGCGTGCCAGCCTGGTCTTGGCGGAGCACCATATGTTCATGGATGCAGCTACAGTGCTACTTGAATACACGGAGGAAGACGAGGACGCACTCGAGTTGCTTGTTAAGGGCAGCCACTGGGCCGAGGCGCTGCGTCAGACGCAGATGCGCGCGCGCACAGACCTGATCGAGACCACGGTCCTTCCAGGCATCCAGACGGCCTACACCAGCCTCCTGGAGGACATCGAGGAGATCCGCGAGGCATTCGACACCAAGCTTGCGCGCCTGACAGAGGTGCGTGCCAAGCCGCTGGAGGTGCTGGTGAACAAGTACATGAACGCGGCTCTGGGCGGCGAGAAACGACGGCTCGCTGGACAACATCGATGTGATGTCTGACACGACATCGATGGCGAGCCGGTTCAGCACATTCACGGCCACCGTCACTAATGCAACGTCGCGTGTGACGGGGTCGACGGCGCGGCGGATCTCGAAGAACCGACGCAAGGCCGAGCGCAAGAAGGTGCGCGGCAAGAAGGGCAGCGTGTATGAGGAGGCGTACTTGGTCGACTCGCTGGCCAAGCTCATTGATCGCGTGCGTGTGCACATGCAGGGTGTGCGCGAGATGAACCTGGCGCTGATCCGTTTCAGCAAGCAGGCTCTGGCGTGTGGGCTGCAGGATGCGTTTGCGCTGCTGGTGGGGCGGGTGCTGGAGAACGCTGACCGGATCTTTGATGAGCAGCGCGTGCAGATGCAGCTGGGCGAGAACGGCATTCCGGAGCCGGTGCCGATGGAGGTCAACGAGTTTGGGCTCCAGTCGCAGCCCAAGCACCCGAAACCTGCTTTGCCGACCATGGCGTGGAGGATCCGTGCACTGTGCTAGGCTCGCTTCTTGGTGACTGCTCATTGCCGCAGTTGCCACATGTTCACACGGCCATGCGTGCATCCATCAAAAGCAGTGCATGATGCCCAGGGCTGCGGTGGTGAATCACAAAAAAATTTTCCCTTTTAAAAAGCCTGCTGGGACCGTTTCTCGATCTGGCTGATGGAGAAAAAAATTGAGCTGTACTTTTCCTCTCTTCTCAAATCGACTTAATTTGGAGACATTCTATTATTCCTCTTTGTTGCATACCCTCTGTCTGTTCTTTTTCTTTCGACTACACGTGTTAGCAGCCCAAGCAAGAGCATTCCAAAAGCACGGAAACCATGTCTGCACCTGAAGGTAAGAAGAAGGCAGCCCTGGGGCACATCGAACAGAGCAGAAGCGAGCAGAACGCCCATTTCATACCTCCCCTTTCCCCTTGCAATTCTAGCCAGCCATCACTTCTCATTCCCCAAGGAGGAGGAGAAGGTCCTCGCGTTCTGGCGCGAAATCGACGCATTCAAGACATCAGTGAAGCTGTCGGAGGGCCGCAAGCCATTCTCCTTCTACGACGGACCGCCGTTCGCCACGGGTCTGCCTCACTACGGGCACCTCCTGGCCGGTACCATCAAGGATATTGTGACGCGGTTCGCCCACAACACCGGGCACTACGTCGAGCGGCGGGCCGGCTGGGACGTGCACGGTGTGCCGGTTGAGCACGAGGTTGACAAGCAGCTGGGCATCACCGGCAAGGATGACGTGGCCAACATGGGCATTGCAGCCTACAACGACGCGTGCCGTGCCATTGTCATGCGGTACTCTACCGAATGGCAGGAGACGGTCGAGCGCCTGGGCCGCTGGATCGACTTTGACAACGACTACAAGACGCTGGACACGACGTTTATGGAGTCCGAGTGGTGGGTGTTCAAGCAGCTGTTCGACAAGGGCCTGGTGTACCGCGGCCTGCGTGTCATGCCGTTCTCGACGGGTCTGGGCACCCCGCTGTCCAACTTTGAGGCCTCGCAGAACTACAAGGACGTCAGCGATCCGACTGTAGTGGTTGCGTTCCCGCTCAAGAGCGACCCCGAGGTCAGCCTGCTGGCATGGACCACCACGCCGTGGACGCTGCCCAGCAACTGCGCGCTGTGTATCAACCCCAAGTTCGAGTACGTGAAGATCCGCGATGGCGAGACTGGCCACGTCTACATCCTGCTCGAGTCCTGCCTCGGCATCCTGTACAAGAACGTCAAGAAGGCCAAGTTCGAGGTGCTGGCCAAGATCCCCGCTGCCGACCTGGTGGGGCTCGAGTACGAGCCCGTCTTCAGCTACTATGTCGAGAAGCTCCAGGACTCGGCGTGGCGTGTGGTCTCTGATGACTATGTCAGCGACAGTGATGGTACCGGTATTGTGCACAACGCGCCGGCCTTTGGTGAGGACGATTACCGCGTCTGCATGGCACAGAAGATTGTGACGCCCGGCGGCTTTGTGCCCATGCCCGTCAAGGACGACGGCTCGTTTGACGACTCGGTGTCCGACTTTGCAGGCATGTATGTCAAGGACGCTGACAAGGAGATCATCAAGAACATCAAGGCGCGCGGCCGCCTGGTGCGCCAGGGCACTATGGTGCACAGCTACCCGTTCTGCTGGCGCTCGGACACGCCGCTGCTGTACCGCGCTATTCCCTCGTGGTTCATCCGCGTCGCCGATGCCACCGAGCGCCTGCTGGCCAACAACGCGCAGTCGCGCTGGGTGCCCGAGTTTGTGCAGGAGAACCGCTTCGGCAACTGGCTGGCCAACGCACGCGACTGGAACGTCTCGCGCAACCGCTACTGGGGCACGCCCATGCCGCTGTGGGTCAGCGACGACTTTGAGGAGGTCGTCTGTGTTGGCTCGGTGGCCGAGCTCGAGGAGCTGACTGGAGCCACGGGCGTCACCGACCTGCACCGCGACAAGATCGACCACCTGACGATTCCGTCGCGCCAGGGCAAGGGCACGCTGCGCCGCATTGAGGAACTGTTTGACTGCTGGTTCGAGTCCGGCAGCATGCCGTACGCACAGAAGCACTATCCGTTTGAGAACCAAGAGTCCTTCCACGCAACCTTCCCTGCCGACTTCATCTCCGAGGGTATCGACCAGACCCGCGGCTGGTTCTACACGCTGCTGGTGCTGTCGACGTTGCTGTTCGACAAGCCTGCGTGGAAGAACCTGATTGCCAGCGGCCTGGTTCTGGCTGCCGACGGCAAGAAGATGAGCAAGCGCCTGAAGAACTACCCGGATCCGATGCATGTGCTCAAGAACTACGGAGCCGATCCGCTGCGCCTGTACCTGATCAACTCGCCGGTGGTGCGCGCCGAGACACTCAAGTTCAAGGAGGAGGGCGTCAAGGAGATTGTGTCGCGCGTGCTCCTGCCGTGGTACAACTCGTTCAAGTTCTTTACCACGCAGGTGCTGGTGCTGAAGAAGGACTCGGACATCAACTTTGTCTTTGACCCGGCCAGCCGGAGCGAGAACACCATGGACCGCTGGATGCTGGCGTCGGTGCAGACGCTGATCAAGTTTGTCCGTGAGGAGATGGGTGCCTACCGCCTGTACACTGTGGTGCCGCGTCTGCTGGAGATGATCGACCAGCTCACCAACTGGTACATCCGCTTCAACCGCAAGCGCTTGAAGGGCGAGAACGGCGCCGACGACGCCGTCCATGCGCTCAACACGCTGTTCGAGGTGCTCTTCACCATGTGCCGCCTGATGGCGCCCTTCACGCCCTTCATCACAGAGAACATGTACCAGACCCTCAAGGACTTTTTGCCCTGCAGACTACTTCAACGGCGAGGATGCCCGCTCGCTGCACTTTGTGTCGTTCCCCGAGGTGCGCGAGGAGTACTTTGACACTGCCATCGAGCGCGCCATGTCGCGCATGCAGGCCGTCATTGAGCTCGGCCGCGTCGTGCGCGAGCGCAACACTATCTCGCTCAAGACCCCGCTGCGCGAGCTGGTCGTCATCCACCCCGACCAGCAGTACCTCGACGACATCAAGCAGCTCTCCAACTACATCACCGAGGAGCTCAACCTGCGGAGCCTCGTGCTGACTGCCGACGAGGACGCCTACGGTATCAAGTACCGCGCCGAGGCCGACTTCAAGAAGCTCGGCACCAAGCTGCGCAAGGACATGCCGCGCGTCAAGAAGGCCCTGCCCGACGTGCCCTCGGCCGAGATCAAGGCCGCCCAGGACTCGGGTGTGCTCGTCGTCGACGGCATCACCCTGGGCGCTGACGACATCAACATCGTCCGCTACTTTGACGCCCTGTCGCTCAACGACGACGTCAAGAAGCAGTACCAGGAGGGAACCGACAAGGACGTTGTTGTGCTGCTCGAGACCGAGCTCCACGACGACCTGCTGCTGGAGGGCCAGGCCCGCGAGGTCATCAACCGTGTCCAGCGCATGCGCAAGAAGGCCGGTCTGCAGGCTGTTGACGATGTTGTTTACTACTACGAAATCACCAGCGACCCCGAGGGCAGCCTTGCCAAGGTGTTCGAGACCCAGGCCGAGTTCCTGCGCCGCAACCTGAAGCAGGAGCTGAACCTGATGAAGGACAAGGCCGGAGTGGCCTTTGCTGAGGAGGAGCAGGAGGTTAGCGAGTCCAAATTTGTGCTGGCTTTTGTCCGCAACTAGAGAATATCTGATTTTTCTGTTATTTTTGAAAGCATGGTGGCTCCAGGCTATTCTCGGAGCATGTGGGAGTAACGGGCTGCACTGCAATTTTGGCGTATCCTGAAGAAATCATTAGGGTTGTCATACATGGAAATCAGCGTGCTGCCGTGACTCAGCTTGGGTTGTCAGCATGCCGTAGGTCTGATGTCCTTGCATGTTCTAAAATAAAAGGCTGTCAAGCCTCTAGGCATCGTAGTGCAAGCTATTCCTGGACCAGTGTTGCGCAGCAAACACAGAATCCCTAGCATAAAAGGATTGCGATCTGGGACATTCTCCTCACATTCCATCACCACTACCAACAGATACATTCCAGCTTCGACACCAAAGGAACAACCGATTTCTCCAAAGAAACTACAATGAAGGCCATCCATCATCGCCACGACTCTCCTCGCCCTGACCTGCACCCTTCGCTGCCGCTGTCAACTCCAAGACCTACGGGCCAGTCGCTGCTTTCAAGGACTCCTGGATCTCAGTCGCCCCTATTGAGTCTGCCAAAACCCACGGCTCCGAGCCTGTGTTGAAGGCAAGCACCGAAAAGTTCGCACTCCTCGGCTTCACTCTTCCCTCGGAAGGCTACGCAGGCACCCAACCGCCTCCTGAGCTGCGAACTGACGCTGCCGCCATTCAACACTCCTGTCCCGCCCCTGAACATCACGCTCCAGGTCGCTGTCGCCAATACCTGGGACGAAGCCACGGTCAATGGCGACAACAGGCCAGGACTCTTGGGCGATGAGTTCACGTTCTACGTCGAGGACACGAAGCAGCCCGATTAAGATCGATGCCACTGAGCAGTGCAAGGATTGCGGCAGCCAAGGGAACCGGGTTCTCGCTTTTTGTGGGCAGTCCCAAGGCGCCGTACGAGTTCAAAGTCGCGCGAGACCTGGCATGGGGCAACGCTCGTCGCGACTGTCAATAGGTCGGCATAAAAATCGGATCTCTCAGCGAGTATAGATAGTGTACATGTTTCATTCGAATATAACTAAAAGTCACACTAGTCCATATGCATGTTATGTCTGCGCTTCAAAGACAAATAGCATTGAGAAGGTCAAAATAGCTGAGGTTATGTTATCTAGCATCAAAATATTTGGAAAGCCAACAAAGGCATATACATAGCATTGGAGTAGAGTGTGAGAAGTAGCACGTCCGCATCCACATACAGCTACATTCATCTGTCAGTCAGTGCATAAAACTTACATTTATAGTACCAAGAATTTTGAGGAGTTCAAAAAGTTTATCACCTAATCGCCCCTGTAGCTCAGAGGTAGAGCAGTGCCCTCCTAAGGCAAAGGCCGCGGGTTCAAATCCCGTCTGGGGTTAGGAGCTTTTTTTGCTTTGGATGAATCTGCATTTTGCTATATGTGAAGCGCATCACCGGCATATATGGCCACCTGTGGGTCAATATGCGCATTTCGGCATCGTCGGCGAAGCCAAATGGCTTTGCTCTACGCGTGGATCCGCAAGTCCGGTCATTTACCAATTTCACATTTTCTCGCACTTTTTTTATAGTCGCAGTAAGAAAAATTTTTCTTGCGCCCCAATTCAACTCCTCAGTTTCTCTTCTTCGGTCCCCTTCATTTCTATACTTTTTTACAAAAAGAAAAATTGAGCATGACCGCTTCGGATGTTATTTTCATGGACGGCGAGGCCGTTTCCCAGGTCGAGGAGCTTGCTCGCTACATTGCGCAGGTGAAGTCGATTTCGGATGCCGATTCGTTTGTCAACCAGCTGAAGGAGGCCTCGATTGCCGAGCTGCTGAAGGAGGCGTGCAACGGCACTCTGGCGGCATCGCCGGAGGCCAAGCTCGAGGCAGTCTACAACCAGCTCTTTGCTATTGTCCTGACACAGTCGGCGGGCCCCGAGGAGGTCGACACGTACGTCCGCGAAATTGTTGCCGATCTCACGGAGAATGTCCAGAGTGGAGCTGCGGTCCTGAAGGTGCTCAACAACCTGTACAACCTGCTGCCGGCGACTGCCATTCGCGCGTCTGTGTTCAAGGGCATCGTCGCGGTTGCTGGAAAGACAAACCTGTTGGCTACTCTGCTGCCGCTCATCTCCCGGCTGCCTACGCTGTTTGGCGAGTGGAGCATTGAGTCTGAGGCGAAGATCGAGCTCTTGCTGAGCATCCGTGATTCTCTCGAGGCTGCCGGCCTCAACAGCGAGGCGTACGAGACCGAGCTGGTGTTCCTGGAGACGGTCAGCGAGTCGCCGGAGAAGCTGGCGCAGATTGCCTCGTCTGCTATCGTGCACTATGTCAACATCAGCGCCGTGTGCGACCTTGATGCCCTGGCCAACCTGCCGCAGGTGCAGGAGCTCAACAAGGGCGGTAAGCTCGGTGACGCCGGATCTCTGCTGGACACGCTGCTGTCGAGCGACTTCAAGGGCTGGAAGGCGTACGTTGAGGCTAACAAGGCGCAGCTCGAGGCCCTGGGTGTTGATATCGAGAAGGCCAGCGACAAAATGCGCCTGCTCACAGTTGCGTCGATTGCGGCTGACAACCTGGGCCAGGATGTGCCGTTCAGCACCGTCGCTGAGGCCATCGAGGTCGATGCCGACGAGGTCGAGGTGTGGATCATTGATGTCATTCGGGCTGGTCTGATCCAGGGCAAGATGAACCAGGTTACGAGCACGGTTCTGCCGACGCGGTCGACGTACCGCAAGTTCGGCCAGGAGCAGTGGGCGGTGCTTGCCGAGCGCCTTGCCCAGTGGAAGGCGTCTCTGGAGAAGCTGCAGCCGGTCATCAGCAACGCCAAGCTACTTGCTCAGCAGCAGGCTGTGCAGATGGCGGGCCAGGCCAAGGTCACCATCGAGAAGTAAACTTGAAAATTAATGGTTTTATACGACTCAATTGCACACAAAAGAATTCAAACACCACTTTTGCCTTTCTCGTCTACGCCCAGCTCTCCCGCTCCCCTTGTTGCATTGCTAGTGTACATTTCTCATTTTATTACCGCGATTATGAACGATGCGACCGCTGAGGTACCGTTTAGGGGCTTGCATTGCAACCAGGGAGACCCCGGCACTGGAGCTCTAGGAGCTAAATACTTTTACGTAATTTTTAGGAACCACCGGCCCAGGCATACAGCTGCGACGTTGTGCTGCAGCTTTGCACCCTTGAGGCAACGCTGGTGGCAAAAAAGCAGCGAACAGAGCGGCTGAGAGCAATGGCAGAGAAGGCGCTCCGCAAGCAGCACCAGGCCTGGCGGCGGAAGCGCGAGGTAGCCGATGTATCCGCCAGGATCGAGCTCCAGAAGCAGCAGCTGATGGAGCGCACGCGGCAGGTCGAGGAGGCGTCGAGCTTTGTCGAAGCCGCTCACGACCACAATGAGGATCAGCAGCAGCAGGCGAGGGAGGCACAGATACGACTGAAGAAAGCAAAGGCAGCGGTGCAGCAGCACCGGGAGAAGCTGCGCCAGGACCGCATCATCTCTGAGGACCTGCGGGCAATGCTGGCCAGGCGGCGAGCAGAGTATGCGGCAGCACTGCTGGAGACGTACCCGATTGGAACCGACGATGCTGGCGAGTGGTGCATCTGCGGGTTGCGGATACAGGAGGAGGAGGCGCTGTCAATGGTGGCGAGGGTGCTGAGCGTCTTGGCAAGAATCAGCGCTGTGCCGCTGCGATATCCCGGTCAGAATCAGCGGAGCACGTTGGGTAGTGCGCAGCCCGGTGGCTATACCGGCCGAGGTGCCGCTGGCACAAGGTGTGCGGTGGCTTGAGGTCAACGTCGAGCAGTTTCTGGAGGCATTTGGCGTCACCGTTAATCGGCAGCCGATTCTGGCTAATTTGGTTCAGCTGCTGATGACGGTTGAGGCAAGTTCGTTTGCAAGGTGACGGCACCTGCCGGTGGCTTTTGTACCAGCTATAAATTTCCCGCCGGCTGCGTCTTTTCCTGTCTTCTCTCCCCTCCCTACTTTCAGTTTACCTTTTTTTTTCATTTTCCACTGCTTGCTTTTGTCGTAACATGAGATCACCAAGAGGCAAAGCAAGAGACTTTTTCGTCGAGGTTGTCAGCTCGATGTCATCTTCTCCACAAGCTGACCCAGGTACGCTGCGCTATCTACACAGTTCATGCATCTAGCACAACAGCTTTGAGCCTCTAACTGAACCCGATGGGCACATGTAGGAGGCGCAGAGGGTGGTGGTATAGCCAATACAGCCGACAGGCACTGGAGTGCCAGCACGCCAGAGCAGAAGCAGCGGTTTAGGGAGATGGCGCAGGAGAGGGCGACAGCCAGTACCAATGGCCAAAACACAGTGCTCACAGTATTCAAGATGCTTTTCAGCCGTGAGCCATATGGCGACATGGAACTGGGAACATTTACAAGGGATCTTGATTCTGAGACCAAAAAATGCATGTCAGCGTCATTACTGCGCAGGTCGCAGCGCCGTGTTGCGCGCCCACAGACATATGAGGATATTCTGCCACTACCAGAAGAGGGCCACAAGCGGTCTGCGACACAAAGGATGGCCAGGGGGATGAAGAGGAAGCAGCCCCAGCCACAACCGGCAGAACCACCAGCCGAACAACAGGTTGCCCGAGGTGAGGAGCCGCAAGTGCAGTCGCAGCCAGCTGTGCAGACAATATCAGAAGGAGACCAGGCACAGGCACAGTCGCAGCCACAGACACCAATGGGCACGGTGGAACCGACGCCGAAGCGGATGCGGGCGCGAATGCAACTGGAAGAAATGCCAACGAGCATCCCAGAGCTGATTCGTAGCAGCAACACCACCATCCTGGTCAGCTCTACTGACAACCGACCCAGCCTGGACGATCTTTTGCGCACCGACTTTAAGCCTCTTGTGTTTCCCTGCCACAGCCGATGAGCCCGCGCACTTTATTGTTGGCAATCGCACAAACGACGGGACGATGAAGAGAATTATCCAGACCCAGGGCCTGCATGAGTACGAGGCTGATGGGTTCCCCACACTGGTCGACCCAGAGGTGTTTTTGAAGCTTCAGCAGGCAAAATACGTGCCGTGGCTCATGGAGCAGAGAGGCTGCCGCAGTGCTGACATCTCTTTGGACACTCAGTCACTAACTTGTTTGAGTTCAGAGGGATATGGCCTGCCTCAGTGCAAAAGCTGCCTGATGCGCAAGACCGAATGCTTCTGCCGCTTCAGTGGAATCCGCAGGTTCATTCGCTTGCACATCGAGATGGATGACGGCAGCACGCGGGATCGGTACGTGTATTCGCCGATTCTCCAGTCGCAGACTGACCCCTCGATTCCGGCCCTGAACCATATCAACCCGGAGCCATCCGAGTCGGCCACTGAGTCTGGGACTTCCAGGGCACGCGCACTGATTGTCAAGGCATTCAAGCCGTCGCTGGAGACAATGCGCACAATGACCGATAGTGCATATGACGGATACGGCCAGCATCCGGCTCTCTTGTGCTCTGCAGCGCCAGTGATCTACCGGGACTTGCATCTCGGCACCCGCCAGACTTGTGATGTATGTCGGACGACGATCACGGCCGTCTATCTTTCGTGCTCTTCATGTGCGCTCGAGGTATGCCATAGGTGCTTTGCCGAGTGGGACGATACTGATGTAACCCACCGGGTTTCGCACAGTATCGGAGTGCCTGGAGGAGTATATACTGCAGAGACGCGCCCAAAGGACATTGCAAAATGCAAGCGAATCACCAACCGCATGGTCGGCCTCCCAGTGCTACGGTCATTCCACCGCAAGTCTCAGTTCGTCCGTGTTTCCCAGTACACGCCAGCAGACGTCGAGTTCATTTCTGAGCGAGTGCGTGCGGTCGCGCAGAATGGCCATGCTGATATTCCCGTCCGCCACCGACGAGGTTGAAGTCAAAATCAGGCGCATCCAGCAGCGCACTCGTGAGCAGCTTGCCCTCGCTGATTGGGAGCTGGCTCCTTTGTATGTCGACAAGGACGAGCTGACTGCTGACGAGTTCTCGCTGGTTTGGAGGCGTGGCATTGTTGTGGTGGTCCGCGGTCTTTTGGATACACTCAAGGGCAAGATCTGGAAGCCAGAGTGGTGGATTAAGAATTTCGGCGACGAGCCAGTGCAAGTCCTCGACTGCAAGCGCAAGGGGGATCTTGTGGGCGAGTGGCCGCTGAAGGATTTCTACCGTGCCTTTGACGGGGACGATGAGTACAGCAGCCTGTTTGAGGAGTCAGATGGCTGGGAGAAGCGACTGAAGCGCATCAAGCGGAGCATTTTGAAGCTAAAAGACTGGCCGCCTACTGAGGGCTTTGAGGAGCGTCTGCCGGACCATTTCAGAAATTTCATGGAGGCGCTGCCATTCCACGACTACACCAGCCGTGGAGGCAAATACAATCTGGCGAACCGGCTTCCCGAGGAATTTGTTCCGCCTGACCTCGGCCCAAAGATGTATTGCGCGTACGGGTCCAGCGACCGCGAGGGCGGTGTAGGCACAACCAACCTGCACTGCGATATGGCCGACGCTGTCAATATCATGGCATATGCGTCGAAAACGTTTTTGGCTGAAAACGATATTAGTGTTCCGGGCATCTGGTCTGCAAGGGAGGCTGTTAAGCCGGCCGGCAGCGGTGAGCCCAGCGAAGGCGGCCCAAAGAAGGCAGCAGCAGCAGTCTGGGACATCTATCCACCCACGGCTCTGGAGAACCTGCGCGACTATATCCGTGCCAGCAAGGGCTCGCAGTGGGGTGACCCGATCCACAACCAGGATAGGTTCCTGACTGAGCCCGACCGCAGAAAGATCCATGCCCAGTTTGGCGCGAACGGCATGTGCTATCGCATCTACCAGAACCCGGGTGACGCCGTATTTGTGCCTGCGGGCAGTGCCCACCAGGTCTGCAACTACGCGAATGCCATCAAGGTGGCGATGGACTTTGTCTCGCCCGAGCGCGTCGAGTTCTGCCAGAGGATGACGGCGGACTTCAGAAAGCTGCCGTCCGAGCACTTGCGAAACAGAGACTTGCTGCAGATCGACAATATCCTGCTGTGGACATTCGCAGGCAAAGGCGCCATGAGGGAAAAGGAGAAGCCCGCCAAGAAGCCACCCGCAGCAGCACCGCGGCCAAAGAAGGAAAAAGGATGCGAAGCAAGCTGGTGAGCAGCCGTCTGCTGCGTCACCGGCGCCTGCCAAGAAGGCTCGCACCAGACACAAAATGTAAATTTGATCATAATCCAGGCAATGGCACCACATTTTCAATTCTTGTAGCCTCAACCACAAAAAAATAGCTCGCTGAATTCGTTTTTTGTCTCTGTCTTTTATTTTCCTTTATACGTTGCCTATTGATTGCAAAAGAAACATGAACAGCCTCTCGCTGAACAACCTGCTGGAGGAGTCCAAGCGGCTCAATGCACACCTGGCGTCGTCGGAAATCCCGACCGTCCAGCGCGGAATTGGCCTGCTCGAATCTGAATCGCGCAAGCTTGTTGCGCGTTCAGTGCGACATGGACGCACCCTCGACCCGCGTGCCCAGTCGCTTCTAGCAAGCTCTGGCGTGGACACTGACGAGCTGATGGAGAGCTCTGCCTCGGCCGCCTTGCTGAACGCGTTCGAACTGCTGCAGCCAAAGTACGATGCCAATGTCGAGAGCTTCCTGGCACAGCAGCAGGAGCAGTCGATTATCAGCGCCATCGAGGAGAGCGAGCTGTCGACGCTGGATGATCTTGACCGCCATATGGTGTCGCACATGCAGAGTGTGTGGGAGGACACGCAGAAGCGCCTGTTTGAGGAGCTGGGTCAGTACCAGGGTATCGACCCGCACTCGATGCTGGACGGCGCCCAGGGGTCATCGGTGTTTGACTTGGGCGGCGTGGACAAGGTCGTGCAGCCGCGTGTGGCCCGCTATGCCGAGGTCATCAAGTCGCTCAACAACGCGCGCGTGGCGAGCAAGCCGTTTGACCTAGTTGCTGGCCTGGAGAAGGCGTCTTCGGAGAGCTTCCAAGAGCTCAGGAGCAAGCAGGTTGGGCAGACGTGGAGTCTGCTGGCGTCGTATGCTGCAGGTAACCCAAGCGATGTGGCTAGTGCTGCGTGCAAGTACTTGGAGAAGACGTTTGTGGAGCATATCGACAACGTCATTGCCCAGTACCCACGCGAGGCTAACGTCGGTGGCGTACCCTCGGTCCACCGCAGAATTGAAGGGTATCTCAAGATTCATTTTGCTCGCAACTACGCACCAGAGTTTCTCGAGGCATTTGAGAACCAGGCTATCTGGGCGCATATGTACATGCTCTATCGCTGCGGCTATGCAGAAGAGCTGCTCAAGTACGCAGTGGATCTCGAGGACGTTATTGTCGACAGCGACCCCGGATTTGTCGCTCATCTGAAGGCATTCATCAAAGGTGCAGCGCAGGTTCGCAGCTCTATTGCTACTACCAACACATCGCTCCAGGACCCCTACAAGGCCGCTCTATACCGCGTTATTGGCCGCGGTAACGTCCCAAAGAAGGCCACTATCGAGGTGACGCAAACCACCGAGGACTACATGTGGGCGCATCTTGCCATGGTGCGCGACTCTGCTAAGCTGGCTGATGCGGGGCAACCGCGCAGCACGCTCGAGTCGCTCCAGGAGCTGGTACTCAAGTTTGGTCCCAGCCATTTTGACTCGAATGGCGCTAACCCGCTGCTCTACTTCCGTGTCCTGCTTCTGTGCGGCCTGTTTGCCCATGCCATCGACTACCTCGCGCGGGTCGATCAGTACCAGGTCGAGGCTGTCCACACTGCCATTGCACTGGCGAACATGGGGCGACTCAGCGTGCCTGGTGGCGATTCGGCAGGCACCTTTACCAACTTCCTGGTTGATGAAGGCGGTCAAACCTCCCTCGACTTTACAAAGCTGGTTGTCCACTACGCTCGCGCCTTGCCGCCGACCATGACTGATGATGCGGCTCAGTATCTGCTGCTACTAACGCTCCCTGGTCTGGGCAAAGCCGAGCCTGCCCGTGGGCGGCAAATCCGCCTGTGCCAGCAGGCGCTTATCCATGCGCTTTATGAGAATCGCCAGTACGCCCGCTACCTGGGTGACATCAGTGCCGATGGTAAGCACTTGCCTGGCTATCTTGAGAAGTACCTGGTGCTGATGGGGCTGCGTACCTCGGACCAGTTTTCGCAAACGATCGTCAACAAGTTGGCTGACCACAGCCGTGATGAAGGCCGACTCACGGATACTGTTATGCTCTATAACCTCGCCAAGCGCCACAGCTCTGTGCTGAACGTGTTGAGCAAGCAGCTGGGCGAGGTCTTGTTCATGCGCAGCAATGGCCGCAAGAACGAGGCTGATGCACTAGCTGACGTTGAGGGTGTTGCGCGTACAGTGCTACAATATTACAGGCAGCACGACAACATTGCTCGCGACCTCGACACCAATGCTGTCTCGACGTGCAACACGCTGCTCGAAATCATCGACTTTTTGCGGGCTCACGAGCGCGGCGCGTATGAGCAGGCGCTGGAGTTTGTTGCGCACACGGGCCTGCTCCCGCTTTCCGGCGACATTACCGAGGCCACTCAGCACGCCGACCGTATCCGCACCCTGGACGACTCGATCACCAAAAACTTCTCGCTGATTCTGCTGGCGGCCATGGACACGTTGCTCAACCTGTACTTGGGTCTGAAGGAATCGGCGTTCCTGGACACTGTGAAGCAGTCGAATATGCTGATACTGCGTCAAAAGGCGCGTGGCCTGATGGTCTTTGCGGGCATGATCCAGTTCCGCATGCCGTCTGACACCTATGCCAAGCTTAACCGGATGGACGTCTTTATGAACTAAGCCTTTTCTGAATACACCTTTTTCATCGTCCATGGTTCTCGATATATTTGGGTATCCACAAAAAACTGCTTGCAAAACTTTGGAAGGGCCAATACATGACGCACATGTGCTTACGAGGGAGGCAGACAGGGACTATATCCAGTGCCATAGAGTGGACATGTCGTCCATATCTGGAACTTTGCGTGAATCGTCCGAACTCATTTCTGCTTGGGCAAGTTTATACTTTTTTGGGATATTGTAGAACTGCCTGGATGATTGGTGTTCGCTGCCTTTTATTTGCGAGAATTAAATATATAGACATCCAGGCCCAGCAGATATATGCTCACATTCCTTAGACAGCTAGCGAACTGGCTTTAAGGCTAGTTGAAGCAAAAGAGTATCAATAAATATGTCGACCAAAGAAACACAAGAAGACTTGGAATCGATAGAGGCATAGCCACAGACAAGGTAGTCTAGCGTTTTGGCCAGAGTGATCACCCTGGCGATTTCTCCCTACTCGGGCATTGATTATTTGTTACTGGAAAGTACTGACTACGTTCGCTAAAGCCCAGCTGTGATACACCAAGCGGCATTTAACTTGACACTCTTTTGCAACCATGCATACAGTTGTGTGATAGAGGGATCAGCATGTGCGGCTTCACGGGGCACGATAGACATTCATCCTGCTGCGGGATCTTCTTGTGGTGATCCCTTCACTAACGCTATGTTGCTCCAGCCCAATGTGCTAAGGGTGACGTAGTGGACAAGTTAATTGGTTCAACGCCTTGTTCAAAAGCAAGGGACTGGAAAAGCCACGCTGGCACAGAGTAATGTAATCTCTTTCAGCCTCTCGTATATGTACAATGGGCATATTTATTTACGGTATATACACAGCACCATGGATATATTGAATGCGTAGGATGCAATGTATTCTTTCAATTATATCCAAAAGCACAAAAGGATGGCATGCGGCGACACTAAATAGTATATCTAGAGAATATGCTCATTCATAGTATGCAGTATTGGATCTCCAATAGATCAAACAGGTTTACAGCGTACTGTGTCTGCATATTCATGGTGCGCGGACACCAACACGCTAATACGTTAAACAAGCCTATTTATTGCCACTTTCCTATTCATGAAAAGCCGCGTAGCCGCCCATTCCAAACTAGCTTCCATACCATTTAAGTAGGATCGAAAATTGTGCATCACTGGCTGGCCATGGCGTAATAATATAGCGGTCTGACTATTTCCTCCTCCTCATTTGTGCTCCTTGGCTTTTAGTACTATTTCCTACTCAGACACTGCCATTTTTACTCAGTACTCTCATTCAGCGGTGTTGGTATGCGCGAATCGGAATGATAGTAGTCATGCAAGGATTGTTTGAGTATAGTCGACGTATGGTCGGCTTCACAGGCTATTGGGAGTTGAATACAATGTACTTCGAGAAGCTATAACTGTGAGTAGTTGTATATAGCGCCCCATTATATTTTTATTATTTCAAATGCTTGCAGAATCAGCTAGAACATATGATTCATTCTAATCACTCCCTATCTGTCACAGAAAATACCCGATATGCCTGTCGTGGTAATAGTGTAGTCTGACTCGCCCGCGCGGCCACCACACACTGTTGATTTTTATCTACTCTCACTAGATACTATCATGATCGTACCCCAGTATGAGGCTATGCGGCTTGCCTTGCAGGCTTGCATCAATTTGTCTGCCCTGTCACAAAAAAGGATAGAAGCTGTATGTCGTAGAGATTGGGTCATACCTGGCCCTTGCTGCAGAGTCCATGTATACATATGGCTCTTGTTCAAGTGTGAATAGCAGTGCATTCTTCACCTGTACAAACGTGTGGTTACCAACAAGCACATCCTGTCAGTAGCGGTTTGCTTTTTGTTCGCGCTCTTTCACCTTGCGGCGGTATTGATCAAGTGCTTCTTGTGAAAGAACTGCGTGCACAAAGTCTGGGTGGAGAACAAGAATCTCTCCACCAACCTGATCGAACCCGAATGATGTAAGAAGTGCGGCACTAATCTCCGGCGTCTGGATTGACTTGCTTGGGGAAAACAGGGTGGCTGCACTCTACAAGCTCGGATGTGACGTTGTCCAGATTGTGATTTCCTGGCAGGATTCCGGTCTGCATGCACTGAATCACATCGTTGAGCATCCAGGCCGCCACCGGCCCTCTGGGGTGTCCAGATCAGCTACTTCTGGCACACTGCAGGAAGAGCATACCCATGTGATCGACCAGCAGCTCAAGAAGCTTGGCCGCATGCATGGGGTTTGTTTTTATCGCTGGCAACTGTGGACGTTGCATGCAGAGATATCATATCAACGTCGTCTGTTGTCAGCCCCCATGTTGCTAGCGAGCCGCGCAGTGGAGAGATGACGGGGTCGTTCCTCTAGAATTCGTCGCTCCATATGTCCTGTGCATTTTTGATTATTTCCTGTGCCTTTCTTTCAATACAGATTTCGTTCGACCGCACAAACTCTTCATCGTCAAACTTGGAGCTGTTATGCAAAGCTTCGAGAGCTTCAAGCTCAGTCTGTAGCCCCTCCTTCTCCTCTTGTGTCCATGAACTGATGTCTGCCAGCTTAGCCTGAAGTTTGCGATGGCGGTACCTGAAATCAAGCATGAGCGAAGGTATTGCGCTCGGTGACTCCCGAACTGTCGTCAGAATCCCTTGACCTGGTGCAGGTACTGTGCGGCCTTCCTTATCTGTTGCAGTCGCTGTCATAGCAGGAACGCCGTATATAGGCGCTCCGCACTCAATTGCAGCACTTGCAGACATCAGAATCAGTATTCCCGACCCAATGCTCTCAACAAACCCACTGCGGGTGGTTGCGCACAGGCGAGACATTTCTTTAGCGTGTACGGCCTATCGCATGCTCCTCCAGTGCATCAGTGGTTGCCTTAATCTGCGCTGTTGTAGAGGCGACATTATGTGAATACGAGTCAGATGCATCCGGCAATCATCACCTTCGCTTTCCCCGACTGGATTGTCTCCATGGCAACATCCAGTGATATGGCCACTGTTCCACATGCACCAGCAGTAGCTTTGATCGGACCTGAGGACGACACGAGTAACATGTTTGTCCAATCTGCAACTGTGTTGATGGATAGCTCTTGAGTGGTATTAGTTGTTGTAGGCCTGGGGCACACGGTGGGTGATGTAGGACAAAAGGAGGAAACAAATAGCGAGAAATGAAAAATACCTGATATGTGAATGCGTGTATTTTTCATGTAGCACGAATTCTGAATCAGCTATCAAGCGATGGTATCTTAAACCAGAGGTGTGCGAGCGGTGTGAGCATATCAGCAACACAAAGTGACAGAGTCAAGTATTATATTGAATGTGAAGCTAAAGAGAAGAAGGAAGGGAAAGGTGAGCACAAAGTTTTTTATCCCGCTGCTTTCTTTTATTTTTGGCTCTGCCACGTGAGCGATGGTATAAAACCTATGTAGCTCACAGTAATCGGATTTTGGAGATTCTAACAGTAGAAACTATTCGAATCAATGCTGGAACAGCCTCCCAGAGGTGCTCGGCAACGCATCCTTGATCCAGCTTATTCTAGATTTGGTACTCTGGTTGTGCTCCATGCGGACGTATCTGTAGACTCCATCCAGACTTTGTGTGCCAGTAGAATGTGGAGAAGTAAATCTCAGCAAGTGCGCGTCATTCTGCGGAAATTAGAGGGTAAATCGTTTCTGTTTATCCAGTCCGACCATAGTGCGGAATGTCGGCTGCCAATGCAGTTTTGTACTCAACCGTGCCAATCGCAAAGCAAGTAGGAAAGCACTGGCTCCTGCCATGCATCTTGCATACTTTTTCGTGTGCTGCTAGGTTCTGAACATGCTACCAAGCTCTAGCACGTTGGCCTGCTTCTCATGTGCAGTCCTTGGCTACAAAATATTCGGTGGCCAATCGCTCATGAAGATCACTGCACATTTCTGACCTCGAACAGACCGGTCCGGAAACCATTCGCTATGGTCCTGGCAATTAGCCAGCTTTCACCTCCCAAGGGCGCATCGTTATAAATGGCGCACGCTTTCAATGCGACTGGCACAGGTGTCCTTTATTCTCTTCATCTCTGAAACATAATAACTATATCTCGTCCATAATGTCCAATCTGCTTCCAATCGATAAACTGGGAGGATGTGCTTGAGCGCCTCGAGGCTATCAGCGCTGCCAAGATCACAGGAACCCTCGCTGCCGCTATTCTCGGGTGCAAGGTCATCTACGCGCTTTTCTTCTCCCCGCTGCGCAACATCCCCGGCCCGTTCCTTGCACGTCTAACCAGTCTGCGTGCCAGGCTCATCAATGCAACAGGGAAAATTGGAAACACAGCACGCAAGGAGTACCTGCAGTATGGCGACGTTTACGTTCTTGAGCCCAATGCAGTTGTAGTTGGTGACCCCTCTGATGCACGCGTCGTGCTTGGATCGCACGCGTTTGTCAAAAGCCCATTCTATGAGGGCATGGACGCGATGGGTATCCAGAACACTCTGTCGGGGCGAGACCCTGAGTTTGTCAAGATGCGCAAGCGCCAGATCGGGCCGTACTTCAACCAGGCGCACATGGCCAAGATGGAGCAGACCATCATTAACCACGGAATCCTGTCGCTCAAAGAACGGTGGGATTCCCAGCTGGTGCAGTCAGCCAATGGCAAGATTGAGATCAACTACGACCGCGACTTTGGCCTTGCTGCATTTGACATTATCGGCTCGCTGGCGTTTGGCCAAGAGTTCAACTGCCTCAAAAACGACGACAATACAGTGATGCGGTGGGTTGATGCTACGGTCAAGCTGTTTGGCGCGCATTCCATGTTCCATGCACTGCGGCGGTTCCCTGGATCGCTGGCTGTTCTCAGCTGGCAGAGACAGTTTGACAAGTTCTACAAGTTTGGGCAAGAGTGTGTCGCGCGCCGCAAGGAGTTCCTGGCTAAGGGAGGTGAGAAGCCTCACGATATTTTGCAAGGGTTCCTCGATGCTCAGGATCCCGAGTCCAAGGTGCAGATGACAGATACGCAGGTGCAGATTGAGGCTAACATTGCGCTGCTTGCTGGTGCCGACACGTCATCCAACACCCTCAAGTGGACAATTCACATGCTGATGTTGCATCCCGAGATACTACGCAAAGGCGGTCCATGAGGTTCGCAGCCGGTTCCCCGCAGACCATGTGATCACCAGCGCAGAGGTACGGAAGCATCTGCCATATGTCGAGGCTTGCCTGTACGAGTGCTTGCGCGTCTTCCCTGTGGTCTCTGGCCTCTTCCCACGGGTGTCTCCTCCGGGTGGTGTGACGTTCAAGGGCCACTTCATCCCTGCTGGCACCGATATCTATGTCAACTTCACTGCGCTGGGAATAAACAAGAACGCATGGGAAGAGCCGCTCAAGTTCGATCCGTTACGATTCGTCAACAACGAGGAGGCTCGCCGCAACTTCTTTCGGATTCAGCCATGGCGTGCGCATTTGCCCCGGCAGGCATATGGCCTGGTTCGAACTACACACGATATTCGCCAACATGCTTAAGGACTATGACCTGTCGCTTCCAGCAGACTACACCCACCTCGGCCCGAACGTTTTGGATGAATCCGGTTACCCGAAACGCATGGATTCTGTCAACTTCCTGGTCACTGTTCCGATCAATGCAGCCCGGGACTGCCGTCTGATCCTCACCAAGCACGAGTGACGCAGGTGCGGTTGCTGAATAACATGGACTGAATATTGCCAATTTCCTACCAATGTGTGGTACGTTGATATTTGTTTAACATACCAAGAACTGTGATGCTTGACAGGGATGTAGTGTACGAGATTTAGTACATAAGCTCGAGGATGCTGTTGCAGAATTCGTTCGTGAAGGAATGCCTGCATCACAGCCGATTCTGCAGACACGAACACACGAACATCCTTGCTTGGTGGAGGGCTTGGCATGAAGGCGATAACATTGGCAACAAATCTTGGAATGGGCGTCACTAGAGCAGGTGCTCCATGTCCGAAATCTGCGTCATACATTCTGAATCTGGTTTGGTTTGACACAAGCAAGTTTGCTCTGTGCGAGGCTGCGTATGCCATGGGCCGAGTGAAGCCGGTTGGATGCAAATTAATCAAGTCAATGAACCCAGCAATGAGAGGGGCATCGAGGTCATCGACTGCTCGACGTACTGACTCGACGACTGTCGCTAGGGACTCTATAGTTGTCGGCATTTCGACCTGCTCGAGACTGTTCAGGATGGACTGCGAGGTTAACGCGTTTCCCGAGTAGTCTATATCCGCCATGCCAATGCGGTGGCGAATATCACAGATAAGGGCAATGCCTTGCTCAGTCTCTCGGTTGAGCAGCCTGCCAAACATAGTCTGGGTAGATTTTCTGCGCCTGTGCCATCGTCTTGGCAATAAGCGCTGTAAGCAGATCATTGTCAGAAACACGCATACCGCTGGAGACATGTCTCAGAACCTGCTGGCGCTAGCACATCGAGCTTTTGGCGAGTAGCAAGGAATGTATGCCCATCAGCACTAGCCACATTCATTGCCTTGTCCAGGATCCTTCCACGCGAGTTTGGAGACAGCCAGGCCAGAAACGTCGCAGGTATAGTCGGTGTTGTATACAGCTTTTGAATGAAGTCGCATTGCTCGCGGCGCTCCTCGGACAAGTGACTATCAATCTCTGAGCGGTCGAAGCAGGGAGAAGGGACGTCAGCCTCAGGATTTCTTGTCAGTTCAGCCCAGCGGTTCACAAAACCAAAGAATCCTATCCCATCAACGACATAGTGTGGGATGTTGACAAGCAGGATCGCGCCGCTGTTGTTCTTTAGTCTCACGACATGCACATTCAGCAGCTTCAGGCTCCCATCTGCTCCAGCGCGCGCAATTGGGCCGACAGTGGCCACCCCGCTTGGCCACGTGTCGGCGCTGAACTGTGCTGCTTTTATTGCGCTGTAGCTGATATTGTCGACAGCTGTCTCGAGGTACTCGGGCATGTTCAAATCGTCCTTATCAACCACCACCTTGGCTTGGCCATGGCCATCCATGCGGATATATCCTGCAAGTATCGGGTACTTTGCCAGTGTCTTGTAGAAAGCAGTGCGCAAAGCGTCGGAGTCCATAAAGTCAGGGCTTCCATCGGAGTTCTCATAAAAGAATATGTAAGGGATATTACTGAACGATGTTTGCGTGTCCAGGACTGAGAGCGGGAATCCTTGAGACTCGACAGTACTTAAAAAGCCGTCCATGAGAGTATACAGGTTAGCAAAGTAGTAGGGAGAGATATGCAGAAAGCAGCTTGCGCATCCAAGGGCGGTTGCTGCTTTATAAATGTCAGGCAGGTGCTGGAAGGCATGGCCCAGCAAACAGTCGTCTTGCTTACGGCAACCACGGCGATACACGGGAATCCCCTTGGAAAATTTGCTCGCAGCCAAGAAATCAACGATGCCAGTCAGCTTAATGTCTACAGCGTTTCTTGCATTAAGCAGCATAAATCGGCACATTTGATTTTTAGCTAACAAGCTATACCCGCTTGGCCCGCTTCGACACCCTTGTAGGCAGAGCGGTTGCAGCACCAGTAGCAGAGGCTGGATGATTTGCTGGCGTGGCAGCCCTCGGCACGGGGCGCCTACGACGCGCCTTGGGCTTGGTAGCAGCCTTGGCTGCACTTTGCATATGGGCCGTCTCTGCCGGGCGCTCTGGCGATATTGGTCGTTTGCGCAAGGCATGGCCGCCGACAATGACGGCCGCAATGGCAGTGTCTTCCACAGCCGGCGCCTCAGCCTTGCGGTTTGCGGGCAGGCGGCCAGGTCTGCGTGTACTCTGAGGCGGCTTCGACACAGGTGCTTTCAGCGGAGCGGCCTGGTGTCCTCGATCCGATCTCTGATGCTGTTGCGTGACGATGCCGACAGTCTGGTCACTGCTCGGCACACGACTGACAGACTGAGACGGAGCGGATGCTCCTGGCTTTCTCTGTCGGGGATGGTGCATGGCGAGGGGTGCTGGTAGTCGACAGGCTTCTGGCTGAGGCTAGGGATTGAAGGCTTGCGAGATGGCGCCCTAAGGTTTGCTGTTGACAAAAGGATACTCTCGTCTTCGACCACAGGCTGACTTAGCGCGCGAAGCTCCACCTGCTCGGTAGTATCCGCATGCTCCGTCCCGCTGTCTACTCTCTCTCCAAGCTTGGTGGCTGGCGGTATAGTGGTGATGTCTGCAACGTGAGACTTTGGGTTTCCAGTATTGCCCTCGCTAGCAGCATCGGCAGGAATGCTGGAGGCATCGATTGTCTCCCAGTCCTGATCCAGCGGTACCGGGCGAGGTGGGTAGGCATGCTTTGCTGCGGGTCACTGGCGGCATAGCGTCCACGAGCAGAACCGAAGCTGAAAATACCCTTGCGAGTCCTGGCCGCTGTGGGCGTTGCGCTACGCAGTGCTGGTGTTGAAAGTGGTGGATGCATACTGCCCAATGTATTCACTGAGAAAAATGTCCGAGTGAAGATGAAGGGGCAGCAGCAGAGTCCGCCGGTCTTGACGCGTTGTTGCCAGCAAGCCGCTTTGGTGGGGCACGTGGCAGGCTCGCGTGATTGCCGCCATCCTCCTCCTGTGCGCTAAGATTGGACGGTGATGGCGGCTGCACATGGCCACTAGTCATAGGCACCAGCAGCAATGATGAGGTCAACGCTTCAGGACACACCACAATGCACGCTGTGATCGTGCTGAGGACAGTGGGTGGCCAGGTCCCTCTACCACTTGACATACCGAACAATCCGTTCAGGAGAAAATTCTCACTGTACTCGCCCTGGACATTGGACACTAGTTCACTAGACTCTCTGGTTACTTCCAGGAGATAGGATGGAGAAAGAGAAAAACTATATTGACATTGGAATATTAATTACAGCCGGCGCCGCACACTCGCAAATCGCGAGGGGGCAGCCTGGCCTGCGGACACTCTAGGGCGCCGCTTTCTTTGGGCGGACAGGTGGCACCTGCCGCTTGCGCAAGGCATAGCCGCCGACATTGGTGGCTGCCTGCGCAGGTGGGGTCGGGCTCGCCGGCACCCAGCCTTGCCACGACGACCGCCGGCGCCGCAGCGAGGCAGCCGTCTGGCGACGGCGCCGACGGTCCTGCAGCCTATGAATGCGGTCCCGGCGGCTAATGATCTCTTCGATGCTGGTGTTGGAAATGTCCAACACCTCCGCCTCAGGATCGGGTGCCGGCGCTTCGGTTGGCTTCGCACCAAAATTCAGACCGAGGGACCGGAACCGCCTGCGCTCATGCACCGGTGTGTCAAAGTCGAGGCGCGAAAACGCTGCGTTGCTCTTCTTCGGCGTTGCGTCTGGCTTCTCCGGTGTCGCTGTGGGGGCTGCGCCAGTGTCGGCCGCCAAGTCGCTCGTGTTGTCCATATTGGTTGCACTGATTCGGGCCTGCAGCTCGGCCTGCTCGCGCAAAAGAACCTCGGATGCCGACAGACGCTTACGCGGGTCCCTGCGAGGACGTTTCGCCGATGGATCGACGGCCTCCGATGTCGAGCTGCGGCTGCCGCGGTCCCTGGGCGCCGGTCGCTTTACACCCTTGCGCGGAGGCGTTACTGCGTCCCAGTTTTTGTCGAGCTCGTCCAGTGCCTTCTCACTGTCCTCATCGTCTTCACGGTCCTCGTCAATGTCGTTCAGCACCGATCCTTGGATCTGCTTGACCTTCTCCACCCCCAGCTGCACTGCTTCCGCTAGCCCTAGTGCTGGAGTAATCGCCTGCGCAATGCTGGATTCGGGCAGCGGCACAGGGTTCACGCCGTCATCAATCTCCTCCATGGGTTTCTCCTCGACTGGTGACTCCTTCTTCGCAGACTTTTTGTTGAAGAACTGGGGCACATCCTCGCCAAGTGCCGCAGCCATTGCTGCGATCGAAGCGTCAATGTCCTCCAGGGAATAGGACTCTTCCTTTGCCTCCTCTGGAGATGACGGGATCGTGACCCGGCGGTCCTTCCGCAGCTTGCGGATGCGTCTCACCGGGCTACCCAAAGGTCCGCTGGATGGTGCTCCAAGTGGCGACGGCGCCACAGCTACACTTGCCCGCAGCATCTGCCGTGGCGACCCTGGCAGCGGGGACGCACCGAGTGGTGATGCTGGCAGCGGCGAGGCTGGCGGTGACTCGTCAGCTGTTAGCACATTCTTCGCCAAAACATCGCTGTCCATGGTTGATCTGCGTCTGCGCTCAGAGGCGCGCAAGCTGCGGCGCCGGCGCTGACGGCCGTTCAAGGTGGCAGGGGAAGTGATCATGCTCGGGCTGGCCGACGGAGCATCGGCTGCCAGATCGCTGGAACTGACAGTGGAGCTGGCGGGACTCTCTTCAGTCACAGAGGCAATAGCTGAGAGATACTGATGCGTTATGCGTCTGCGTGACAGCCTAGGGTGCCAGCAGACTATCGATACCCGCTGAATCCGGCTGAGTTGACAGTGGCGAATTGGGCGAAGCTGCCGATCAGCGACGTGTTGCCGGTGTAAGCCCCAGGCGACCCACGGAGCAACACATGGCTGCCGAAAACGCCTGGGTGCGGGGTCGAGATCTGCACAAACTCCGGGGTCTGACGCAGAATGCTGGCTGCACCGGGGGCCATCTGCATCGGCGTTCCGCGGCGCAGCGGGGTTGCTGGCGGTTCATGGGTGTCAAACAGCTCGGGAGACAGCGGGGGTCCAAATCTGACGCTTTTGCGCGGGGGCGTGCCCTCGTCATCTGTCAGATGGTGCCGCTTCCTAGTCAGCAACCCCTGCGATGCCCGGCCATTACTGGCTGCTACAGGGGCTGGCTGTTCGTCCTCGCTCTCTGACTCTGGTTCGGGCTCCGTCGGCACCTCGTCACTGCTGTCGCCTTCGGTGGTCTGGCCATTCGACACAGCCATCGGCCCAGTGCACGGTGGTAGATACGACAGGGACTCTGGACAGAGTCTGCGAGCTGCTGCGAACGGTCCTCCGCTTGACCATGTGCGCTTTAGTGGTGATGTCATGCTTGGCATAGCGCTGCGCCGATGCATTTCTGCCTGGGGCTGCTGCTTCTCGCCTGACACGCTCACCAATTTAGTAGCAGCATCAACCGGGTCCAGTGCTTTGTCCTTCTCCTGCTCCTTGCGCTGGCTACGCAACTGCATCGTCATCCGCTTCCTTTGTAGGGTGGGTGATTTGGTGAAGGCTGACTCAGCATTGGCTCCAATCGTCACGCGCGACGTCTTATCCTCAGAACCGTACGCTGAAGCAGTAGACTTCATGGGGAGTGTCGAAGCGGATGAACTGCTTTGGGCCGGTGTAATCAATTCCTGCGGCTGAGATAGCATCACAGGATGCACGTCGACACCAGGGTCTCTGGAGTTCTTAAGCCCGTCCATAAACTGCGGCACAGATGTCCGACGCTGCAAAAGGCATGCTGCAGACTCTTTGCCCTCGCTTTGTGCAGTACCATTCTCGAGGAGCCGAGCGCGTTTCCGGCCTGATACCGGTGTGGTGAGCTGTGGACGGCGAGATCCCACATTGGACCCCTTTATGATCTGGGCCGCTTCATCCGCCCGCCGCTCATCTCCATCTCCATCGTCATGTGGTGTCGAAGGCACAGAGCGCTTCCGCGAGGTGCCCTCTCCAAGATCATCAAACAAATCTGCTGGCGGTGACTCTTCAGTAAGATCAGCCTCGCTACCAACCGCGTCAGCACCTTGCCGGCTGCGTGGTCCGCTGGGCTTCCGTGGCTGATCGTCGGACTCGGAGTAGAACAGGTTCCATCTGTCGATCTTTGCTTTAATGTCCGCCGCCCGCAGCGCACATCTCACTAGTCTTGCCCGCTGCTGTGTCCGTCCCTCCGAAAGAGGCATCGGCTTTGCACGCACTGTGGGAGTCGTCGGACTCGCGCTCTCCGGGCCATCAGCGCGCCGGTGCTGGCGTGGTACGGGCTCTGTTTGTGGAGTTTGTGGAAGCGATCCGATGTCAATGCGGGTACCGGGCGGAGTCGCTGTTTCGGTATAGCTCATGGTTGGTTTTTCATATCGCAGAGATCGACCGGCGATTGTGATGATATCGCCATATCGAAGAACGCGTTGCTGGCCAAGTGCAAGAAATTGCCCACCGACAATCGTTTTGTTTGAACTCAGGTTGGTCAGGGTAACCTACGTAGAGAGAACATGAATTAGTAGGAATGCGTTGTGCATTTCAAAAATGTACTGCGCATTTCAACTTACCTTCCTGCCAACAACCCGGATAGCACAATGCTCCTTTGACACCTTAAGGTTTGGGATACGGATGTTACATGTATCTTGCCTATAAATAAAGCCACCGGTGTTGTTGAGCACATGCACACAAATGAGTTTCTGAATTCGGCTTTATCTCAGCACCTCTGCATTCGCTATAAACCTTACCTTCCAATGGTCACCCGTGTCTCGGTAAGGGGGTAGACTTTGCCGTCCCCACCAGAGGGCTTGATAATAACGATAAAGCCGTATAGAGGCACACCCATGCTTGCTTACGACAAATTTTGCTGTGTGAATAATGATAAAAATGTGGGGGAGGAAGCGGAGGAGAGAGGAAAAGAAAAAGGCGCCTTCGTCGCCCAGCCGCGATGGGATGTCGCTGATTCAAAAAAAACGTACACAAAGCGCGCCCCGTGATGCCAGGAATGATTCCTGCGCGTTCATTGGCCCCCGCTTGTTTGTCGCCCAAAGTGGACAGGCTTGATCACCCCAGCGGATGTAATCATCAGCGGACAGCTCGGAGCGAGTTTTTGGCTTTGGCCAGTGCCACTAGCTGTGCCGTGGGTCGTTTCTTTCAAGTTCCTTTCGTCTTCTACTCGCTTTGCCTGCTTCCTTTGCTTCCTGTCTCGAATTAGCGTACACACCCTCTTTTCCTTTGCATTTGTCTATACCTACTTGACTGCCACCATGCTCAAGATTTGGTCAATGAAGAAGGACCAGGCTGCGGCCGAGAAGAAGAAGCCCAAGGTCACGGCTGCGCACATTCGTCTTCAGAAGGACATGGGCGAGCTCCAGCTTGACCGGAACACGACAATGTCATTCCCGGACCCTAAGGACCGGCTCAACTTTGTTGTTGCCTACAGGCCCCCTACGGGTATGTATATGCACCATGCATTTTATTGCAATGCGTGCAGCACACGTACAGAGCAGGTCGTACTAAATAGACTTTCCCCTTATTAATTAATTTCCTCTGTAGGCATCTATAGAGGCGGGGAGTTCAAGTTCACATTCGCTGTCAGCCAGAACTACCCACATGAGGCGCCCAAGGTCCTGTGCACACAAAAAATCTACCACCCGAACATTGACACCGAAGGACACGTCTGCCTCAACATCCTGCGCGAGGACTGGAAGCCGGTGCTGAACATCAAGTCTATCATTTTTGGCCTGCAGATGCTATTCCTGGCACCTAACCCTGAGGACCCGCTGAACAAGGAGGCGGCCGAGCACATGTTTAACAACCGGGGGGACTTTGAGATGGCAGTCTCGCGCACCATGAACGGCGGGTTCCTCCACAATATCCACTACGACAACGTACACTACCGCGACTAAGGGCCGCGCCATTGTGTCTGTTTACGGTTTCATGTTTGACAGTAATTTCACTTTCTGGATTGATTTCTAGGCGGGTCCCTGGAGCAATTGTATGCTCAGCGCCGGTATGTGCGGAATAAACGTAGACGTGTAGAGTGTGGAGTCAGACAGCCGCAACGTAGGGTGCACCCATCAGATGACACTTAGTGCTGGATCACGGCCTAATCAAGACAGATCTAGGCCATGCCGATTTTGTTTACGGTTTTTCACGCTCGAGCACCATACTGAAAAGCCGGGCGGTTTCGCGTTTTACAGACGCTGCCTCTTTTTTCGCACTCTTTTCGAGATTATTTTAATTATTTTACACTCTTTTGCTGTATACACCAGCGCGTTTTATTTTGCTCAATTCACAGCTCCTTCAGCCCGCAATGATTCAAACAAAGGACGCATTCCCGCCGCCAGGCAATCGATCGCTTTTGAAGCAGGGCAATGACCACGGATTTATATTTCGTCCGCGGAGCCGCCCCTACTGCGACTCCCAGGGTCGTGAGAGCAGCTGGCCAAACACCACGCTCGAGGGTCCCCGTAGGCAAACTAGCGCTGTCTATGAAGCGGCCAGTTGATGTGAACAGCGCCGGCCGCCTGCATTTCCCAGAGGCCAAGCGGCGGTTGACCTCTGCGATTGCCTCTGCATCTAGAGTGGGCGCGAGTAGCCAAACGTCTGAAGGGACAAAGGACTTGTTTGTTGACGAAATTGTCAGCGTGCCTGTCCGCAAGCCAACGCAGCCCACACCACTGATTCCTCGCACACGCAACCGCTTGTTCGAGCCCTCCACACCAGCAACTGATGCAACACCGGCACAAAATGGAAGCGTGAGCAGACGGCGTCGCAGTTCCTATACTCGCCATCGTGCGTCGGGGATGGGGGACGACGGCGACGACAGCCGGTCCAGACGCAAGTCAGCCCGCAAATCAACACTGGGCCGTCGCCGTTCCACATTTTCGATGCGCGGAAAGCGCGCTTCTTCGATTGGTGGTGGATTCAAGGCGCTTCCGCACGACTCGGTTGACTCAGCTGACCTGTACCGGCATATCTCGCCTGAGCTTCCCGAGCCCATTCGTCTGCGGCAGCTTCTTGCCTGGTGCTCAATGCGCCTGGCACCAAAGACCCCGTGGCTAGAGGATCTGCCGGAGCCTGCACAAAATTTGCTGAGCAACGCATTAAAGGAGGCAGTCGACGAAGTGCATTCCGCGTTTCAGAAGGGTGAGATCGTGACGTCGTGGTACCACAGACCAGTCAATACAGATGATATGGCTGATCAAGGCGATGTAGAGCTGCAGCCACATCCAGAGAATATCTCCAATCAGAGAGCGAAAGAAGAGCTGCTGGCGCGGATTGCAAAGCTCAAGGCGGAGGATGACTCGTGGGTCGAGGAGCGGAATCGTGCCTGTGCAGAACACGCGGAAGCAATCGATCGGCTACCCTCGTCAGTCCGCTCGCTTTCGCCATCAACAGCCAGATCTGCTAGCACAAAACAGCAGCCCGTCATTGAGCCTATCAATCGAGTCAGCACGACCACAGACTGGGCAGCAGTGGACCAGGTACCAGAAGCAGCAAAATACGTTGAGGAGTCCTCTACCGATGTTATAAAGAGCGAAATTGTGGCAGCTGAGGAGCAGATGGACCGGGCGACAAAAGAAATTGAATTGCAGCTAGACGCGTTCCATATCGACATGCATCCGGTACAAGGAGCTGCATAAGGAGGCGGCCGAGCAATGTGCCAGGCTGTCAGCTAACTTGAGCTTCTCGATGGCGCAGCGGCGAACCAAAGCACAGGTCGTGGCATCTAAACCCCGCCCAGTATCGGCGAATCCCGACGATGAGGAGGCTGATCCAACACGCGACCTGCTCCGAGCGCTGTCAGCGGCATTGTGTCGAGCAAATTGAGTGCTATATTTCGCTGGCCATTCACAATATATCATTTTGAATTGCCCACCCTGTCTTGGCACCAGGTAGCCGTTTCGAAGACTGTAAGGCGTTCACCGTTAAACAAATAGTGTCTATATTTCACATTACATATCAGAAACCACAGCCTTGCTTGCCAAAAGATGCGTATCTCAGTCTGGGGATGTGCTGCTTGACCGTGCTAGCAAAGCTACTCATTCTGGACGATGGCCATCCGACCGCACCGCATACATGTAGCTCTTCCAGACAAATACGCCCTGGCATTACTGGTATGGTCGGGTAATCCATATCGTGCTTGGCGATCCCTGCTGTAAGTTTGATCAGCGACGGACATGATGAGGCGAGGACGACTATGTCCCTAGTGGCGAAGGCAACTCGGGGCAGGGCCAGCACTTGCAGATGTGTCAACCCCACCGCAGATATCCTCGAAGCTACACAGCCACTACTCATCTCGACCGGACAGGCGATATTCAGATGGATATTCCGTGCCTTTGGCGCGGCTGAAAACGCAAGGGTATATATACTTTGGGCTAGTTCATCAGGGCAGCAGTGTATCCGTGACGAAATTCGCAGTGTGGTTGCACTTCGGAAACGGCCGCTGGTAAGCACAGAGATGTTTCTGAGCAGCTGCAGGGATCCTGGGTCAACCTCGATTGAGACATGGGCCAAGTGTGCGGCATTGCCCCGGAAGATGATGTCGTTGGCATACGGGTATGAGTTGAGACACCGAATGGAGCGCAGCGCGGGAAAAGGCACACCGTCTGGCGCCAGGCGCGGAGTCTGGAACCACGAAATCTGTCCGTCCACAACTATGTTTGTGAGGCGCGGATACACAACACACCGGCCGCTCTCGTCTTGCACAGCAAGCAGCCAGGTCTGAGGGTTCGAGTCATGCAGAACAAAGCTCTCCAAGGTCAATCTGCTGTGGTATAGGAGTGAGAGCAGTGTCGAGGCATTTGTTTTTGGCAGTGTTGTCCACTCCAGCCGTGTAAGCTGCGACACAGGACCCGAGTCAAAGAGCATGCGGAGCGGGCCATCTTCCGCCGATTGTATATTTGCGAATCTGTCTGTATGGGTGCTGCTAGTAGCCGAGAATGACCCGCTATGGTCGTCCTTTATAATGGTGGTTGTGGCCAAATGAGGAAATAGGAATGCGAGGCGCCGAATGCACTGTGTGGAGTAGATACCCCTCAGTTTTGTTCTCCGTCCTGGTGCATAAACAAGTGTCAGCGCCATTGTCGCAGGAAAACAAGCATTTGACAGGATGTCGTGGCTTAGAAAGCTGATAGAGCTATAGCTGGGCCCTGTGGTACTGCTGAGCTCGAAAATAACGGCATGGACAAGGGCCTCCATGCCTAGAGACACTGCAGAGCAGATGTTGATGCGAAGCGGGTTTAGAAGAGCCTTGGGTGCTCGATCGGCGTCAGAGTAGAATGCGAGCTGAAATATGATGGGGCGTGCGACACTGCGCCAGCTGCGACAAATTGATATGAATGCGATGGCCCCAGATGCTGTGCACGCCTGCTGTCGACTGGCAAAGCCCTTGTTGTTGCGTGAGAGTCCGGTTGAATGCTCGAGGATGTTGCCAATGACGATTTCAGGCAGGTTTTGAAATGAGCAGGCCATGGTAAGCGACATGTAAGAAGAGTATAGAAATGTACAGGGGTGGAGAAAGAAGAAATGTAAGGACAGTAATGCACAGCTCCAGCTGTCATCCTTTTTCAGCGTGAGCGACAGATGCCTCACATCCTTCGTGAATGCACGCCCATTGATGCGCCCAATTTAGACTGGGGACACCTTCCGCCACGCGTGACTGGGAAGGAATGTCGACAGCTGGCCCCAGAGGCCAAAACGACAATGCAGGTTCCGAAAGCCAGACAGCGGACAACCGACGCCTTAAATTCTAACGAAGATGGGTGGGTATTCCAGTCTCTTGAAATCAGCTGAATGGCTGGCAGCCGTGGCAAGAGCCACAGAATAGCAATTTATGCATGAGCTTTTTCTACTTGTCCTCCATGCCACAAGGCGGCCTGGCCATGTTCTCCCCATGTGCCATTGTCGGCCACCTCGTTTGTTCTCCAGATGAAGGCTCTATGGAAAAAGTAGTCGAAGACAGCATCGACTTATCCTCAGAGATTCCCCAATCGGCAACTCTAGCGTGTGCTCTAGGTGCGGATACCCGAGATCAGCAAATGTAATTACTGCTTCTGTGGACTGTAACCTGCCCTAGTCCAGACTGCGCCTAGAAATGTCCAACAAACACGTTTTCTTTTTCTGCATTCCATGGCTCTGTTTCTGATTATTTCCTTTCTGCACTTTACCAATGTCGAGATATTCCGGGCAGCTCTACGACACAATTGTCTGTTTCGGGGACAGCTTGACGCAGCACGGCTGGGACGTCACAAAGCATGGCTGGGTCGCACAACTGTCGCAGGCATACCTGCGGCGACTTGATGTGGTGAACCGCGGATTCAGCGGATTCAATAGCAAGTGGGTGCGGGTCTTGTTTGACCAGCTCCTGCCAGTAAACCCAGCAATCAACGATCCCAACAAACCGCAGGATGCCCCCAAGACACCGGCCAACGAGCCTCAGGAAGCCGAGCCAGACATGCCTTCTGTGGCAGATTCAACGTGCAGCACACGCAGGTCTAAGCTCCGCCTATTCACAATCCTGCTGGGTGCCAATGACGCCCAGCTTTCCCCACTCAAGCAACATGTCCCATTGGACGAGTTCCAGGCGAATATCGAGTACTTTGTGCGGTCGCTGACCTCGCCTACCTCACAGTTCTATTCGCCCGATACGCGCATTATCCTGATCACACCACCGCCAGTAGGCGAAAAGCTGTGGAAGGAGCGGCTGGCCAACGATGGGATCGATGGGCTTGATCGGCGTAATGACAATACCAAGAAATATGCTGACGCGGTCAAGGCTGTGGGCGAAAGGTTTTCGGTCCCATGCATTGATCTGTGGACGGCTATTGAGGACAAGGTCAGCGAAGTAAGGTTGCGTAGCAACGGACAAACTTGAGTATGGTGGGTATGACACATACTCGTGGGATGGGGTACACCTTAATGCCAATGGAAACGATCTGCTGTTTGGGCTTTTGATGGCCGCGATCAGGGAGAACTTCCCAGAGCTTGATCCAGATAGCATGCCGTTTGTGGTCCCTGACCATCGGTCATTCACTGGCAGTGAGGATTTCGGCCAGCTCTTCCGGCTGTAAAGCTTCAGGTATTGCACAGCTACACATTCCGTGTATGCTAGCATGCTGGGTCCTAATGGGAGGCTTGCTCGTTCCAAAGCGATGGGCAATTCCCCGGTTGAAGAGCAGTCTTTGTTTCTTTCAATTCATCTGACTTGCGACTTTTTTTTTTTTTTTTTTTTTTTTTAAATGGCATCTTCAGACATGGCGTTTCCAGTTTGGCTGCATTGTAACAACTGCATGGCATTCGTATCAGGCAGTCGTGCAGAGATCTGGCAACAATAGGCTGTTCTACATACTTGAGTGTACACATTTGCTCTGCTCGCTCTGTCTTGGTCGTGGCCAGGCATTGCGGCGAAGTCCAGGAGCACAGACTACATGTCTAGTATGTTCAACAGTGTGTGCAATGCGATGTATAAACAGCGACGAATTGCCGGCCGAAGTAGGCAGTTTCTTTGACCCAAAGGTGGTGCTCAGTGAACTGGAGCGACTGAGATGCTGCATTCAGGTAAAAGCACAAGCGGACCAGAAAACTCTGTTGCTTGTTCCGGAACGTGGTCCATTCAGCGTCTAAGCCGTATCTTTACTCACATTGTAGTTTCAAGCAGACAACCAGCAGGCAGCAATCAGCACGCTTCGCAACAAGATAGCTCGGCAGAACAATTTGCTGGAGGAGGCTAGACACGAAGTTGAGCGAGTGCTGCGAGACCAGGCCAATTCTCAGGTGCATATGTGACGTCACCAGCGAGGAATGGCAATATCAGTCGGCAGTCGGTGCACACGTACGGCGCTATGCCTGCTGCGCCTGGGGCAGCGCGTGCACGGAATCACACCTACATACATTACTCAGCCCCAGCACCACGGCGACAACACAGTAGCCGACTTGTCTCGCCGCAGCCTGCATCACCTCCGCCGAACATGTATGCGTCTCGGGGATTCCCACATCCATTTGTTCCGCCAGCGTCACCCTCGCCGATTCATTCGCGGTCAAGCCGGCTGGTATACAGCAATCACTATAGCAGGCAGCGACGTCAATTCTAAGTAAAAAAAATGATATGTAAAGTAAAACCGCTACTCGACGCAGGTGAGCAGATACAGATCTGCCATGGCCATGTCCTTGGAAACTGGCTCTGCGGTCCTCAACCGCATAGTGGGCCATATCGCGCAGACCATACAGAGACCGCAGGACCCACGGATGCAGCGGCTGGATTTCAGCCGACGCCAAAATGCCTTCGATACATGACACGATCTTGTGCAGGCTCTCTGCACCGCCATGGCCTGTCATTCGCGAAGCAGCGAACACGGCGACTCGTGCACCAAGGATCCACGACTGGATGTGCGAGAACAGCACTGGCAACGATGTTGCACCAAGGGTGCCTGAAATTTCGACACCGTTATCGCTAATCTGATGCTTGGCATCCAGCAGTGCTGCATGAGCCAGCGACAGAGCTTCCTCGCACAACATTCCGCGGTCCATGAATTCTTTGCAGGCGGTGGGCGAGTCCTCAAACATGGCCGCCAGGTTGATCAGGGCGCGGTATGCGAGCTGCAAGTTGCGGAACTCGTCAATGTAGATGTTTGGGTTCTCATGCTCAAACAGACGGCGGTTCGGGCTCACAGCCGTCTGCACAACCACCTTGCCGCTGCTCGATCTCAGCAGGTGCTCGAAGCAGTGACTGACCAGCATGTGCGGATACTGGTTCCCGAGAGGAGTGAACCTGTCGATAATCTGCTCACACGCTTGATCACAGGCCAATTCCTTGCCCAGACGCCTGGAAATGTGCTTGGCCATGAACTCGCGGATGTCCTCGTCATCGTCCTGCAGGAGCCTCCAGAAGCACATGCGCAGGATTTCCTCGCTGGTCGGATTAAAAGGAATGTCGACTTCGCCGTCCGGTCCCGTATAGAAGCGCTTGATCATGCTGTACCGGATCACAGCTCTGCTGACAGCCTCGCGGTACGGCACTGCGCGCTCCGGGTCAGTCCACTTGAGCAGGTACGCGGCCCATTCAATCGACCGCTTGTGGACGACCTCCAGGGCGTAGTCACCTGGACTGCTGCACACTGTTGGAGCAGATGGAGGAGAGCACCCTGGTACTGCACGAACGAGGTGGCAACGGAGAGCGGGCAGAAGCGGGCATTGAGCTGGTTGGAGATGTCGTCCCAGTGGCCGATCAATCGCCAATGGGGAATTCGCGGGCGTCAATGTCCAGGCGAGTGCACAGAACGGCCAGCAGCAGGATGGATTTGGAGCGCACCAGTGGGTCGAGCGCCGGCTGTATGGTGCCAGGGAGCTCGCTCGCGCGCTGGGGCGACATGGCGTCAATGACAAGGAAGCTGAGGAGATTGAGGATGCCGATGCGCTCAAATATCTCGATCTGGCCGGTGCTAATGTGGGCAATCAGCCAGTCCAGCAGCACAATCTTGGCCTCGTAGAACTCGTTGTTGGTGAGGATGTTTTCAAACACAACCCACGGGTTATACGACACCTGGCGACCCTCAGCAGCATATGGGGAAGTGTCCACCTCGAGCTGCACGGTACCGTCGTCCTGCAGAACTGCAGCGGTTGTGTCGTCGATGCAGGCCAGCAGCAGGCTGGTCAGCTCCTGGAGCGTACCAAAGGCGCCGGGGATCTGGGCGCCACCGATGGCCACCAGTGTGTCGGGATTAGAGAACAGCGGGTGCAGGAAGCCGTATAGGATGGAGATGCGGAACCGCGACAAAACAAGCTTTGTAGTCTTGATCAGTGACAAATCGTCGACGCCAGCCAGCAGCCAGTCCTCGCCACGTGCCACATACTCGTTGATAATGCACAGATACTTGAAGCGCACCATGTCCGACACGTCATCGGCTGACTGGGCGTAGCAGCCATCATCGGCACCCTGTATCAGCTGTGGCCACAGCGAAGTCAGTGCCGGGAAGACCTGCATGACAAAGGCGCGACGCATGGAATCGGTGGAGTTGCCCTGGCGCCAATGCACGCGCAGCAGCTCCTGGACCTGACACAGTACGCCGTGGCAGCTGTTGGTCAGGATGGCATTGCCGTTCTGACGGATGCTCTTAAGCAGCGCCAGAACCACAGATACAGCCTTGTCGCCGGGGATCAGTGGAGCAAAGGCGCGGGCAGCCATTTCGCGAGTCTTGAAGACGGGGCTGTCGACGCACATCTCGACAAGCTCGGTGAACGAGTACATGGTGAGCATGGTGGAGGCCGAGGTCACGTGCACAGTCGAGTTGCGCTCATTGACCTTGGTCATCGGTTCTTGGTCCAGGTTCATCGGCGGCGCAACCGCAGCGGAGGCGGACTCCGAGTGTGGCGACGTAGCAAGCACACCAACTGATGCGGCAATCTCGGCCTGGCTCGGCTGGCGCTGGTGGCCGGTAGCAGCAGGAACGTTCAGGGGTACGCTGGCAGCAGCGACAGTGAAGGGCTCAGGAGTGTTATCATCGGGCTTCTCGAGCTCCTTGGGTGACGGCTGCAGGCGGGCAAGCAGGATCAGGCACGGATAGAGCGCTGGGTGGATTAGGCGGGCGCCGCTACGCATCACCGCACCAACGGGGTCGTAATCGGGCAACTCAGCATCGCCAACAGCCTCCTGCAGCATTTCGGCTGAGTGCTCGACGATGTCGGCCTCGGCCATCTGGTCGACTGCGTCCTTCAAGCTGATTAGTCAGGAACGGATGCAGGCCTGGGAAGCGTGTGAACAGCTCGCGGCCGGTGATGCCGTCGTAGATGGTCTCCTCGCGCGCCTTGTTGGCGCCGAAAACGCGACGCGTCAGGGCCGCGTACAGCAGCCCGCACACGTTGCGGATGGCCCAGTGGCGTGAGCGCAGCCCAGTCAGCGAGAGGAACATACGCATGCTCTATGTATGGCACAATGTCGGACGCAAGCGTCTTGTCGTCAAGCAGCACGCGCAGCATGTTGATAGCATGCACCTGCGGTAGGTCCACTGTGCCGTCACCCGCCGAGTCCACATTGACTGCAGTGTTTACAGGTTCGGGATCGACGTGGAGGTCGGTGGCCAGCGCAAAAATACGGTCCATAGCGCGCGGCAGCAGTGCCTGCGTTGCGTTTTTATCACACGTCAGAATCGCCAGCAGGCAGAGCGGCCAGCCCGCGCTGCGCCGCGTGACCGAGACCTGGCAGATCGTGACGATGTCCAGACACTGCTCGAGCCACTGCGCGACTCTGCGGCTCAGCTCGGCGTTGGACGAGTGGTAGAGCCGCCGGCACACCGCTGTGAACGCCGGGTGGACTGCCGGAGAAAGCGCCGCGGTGGCGGATCGACGTCAGCAGTGTGCGCAGGAGGTCGCCGATTTCGCCCACCTTCGACTCGTCCAGCAGCGGCTCGACTCGGTCGTGGACCAGGTCAGTGCCTGGCGGGCTGGTGGCCACAACGGCAAGCAGACCGGCCACCTCCTTGATTGCTCGCCAGCAGTACGAGAGAATCACCTGCTGCCGTGGTCCCACCAGGACCCTCGAGGCCTGACACATCGCCATTATACTCGTCGTCATCCCTCGTCGTCGTCATCATCACCACCAATATCGGACTTGGGCGTCGGCATCCACAATGGCCGTCGACGACTTGATGATCTCGTCGATCTTTGTCTCCATCTCTCTAAACGACGATGGGATGTTGCCTTCGGGTGACGCGCTGGTCAGAACGCCAAGCACGATGTTGCTGATCTCGATGGCTGAGCCAGACAGATCCGCGAGCCACTGCTTCCACAGATGCGCGTTCTGCTGGACAGCCCGCGACTCGAAATCGACCTCCTCGGCGACATAGTGTGCGGCGGTAAGGAGGCCGTGCAGCGGGTAGTTCTGCGCTGCATCAAGCAGGTTCTTTGCCGCGGCGTCCTGGCACCTGCGGATCATCGCCAGCAGGCCAGGTGGCAAAAGCCAGATCGTGCGGCAGCAGCCTGTTGATGGGCGCCAGATCGGGCTGCGCGTCAGCAAAGCTGAGAGGGATTCCCTGCAGAATGACAAACTTGCGGAACAGCCAGCGGATGATCAGCGCACCGCTCTCGCTCTCGCCGGCTCTGGTGTTGTTGACCAAGCGCAACGCGCGCCGGAGCAGGCTGTCAGCCCAGCTCTTGGCTGCCTTTTCGGCACTGGCACTGCCAGCGGCCACCAGGGGCCACTCAGTCAGCAGCGCAAAGGCGCTGGATCGGTTGGTATCAAATGGGTCGTCGAGGAGAACGTGTGTGAGCACCGGAATAACCTCGTTCGCGGTGACATTTGAGCCAGCATTGGCGATGGTCAGCTGGGGACATGAGCTGCTCAAAGTCCGGCGACGACAGCCCCTGGACTGATGAACGGCACCATCGAGTCATCGGGTGCCTGGGCAGGGCGCCCCGGAGTGAAGAAACGCGTCAGAATGTCCAGCCACTTGAGCCCCATTGCAACCTTGGCAAAGCCAGCTCCCGGATACAGGCATCCGCGCACGGCCAGATCCACCCACTGGTTAACAGCCCGCTCGACACCCTCCAGCGTGGCACGGGCCTGCGCAACCATCTCGTCCTGCGACAGAATGCCCAGCTCGCGCAGCACCTGCTCCTCGGTCTTGCCCTGAGCCAGCCCATCTGCCACAGCAGCTTCACGCTTGGCCTTCTCGCGGTGCCGCACCTTCTGCGACGGCACTGGCGGCCTGCCCGTCGTGACGATCCGGTGAGCATGTGTGGCTATGCTGACCAGGCGTGTGGCCAGCATAGTCAAGGCGCTGTACTGCTGCTGGCGGAAATCTGCCGACGTGGCATTGGAGGACACGCGCAAAAGCTTGAACAGCAGATCGAACTCGACATTGGACAGCGGCGTCGACAGACGGCGGGCCTCGCACAGCAGCCCAAGCATATCGGCACGCACCGACCAGTCGGGGTGGTAGACCGCCTGGTTGAGCATCGCCATCAGCGGTGCTCTGGTGCCCTCAGCGAGCTTGACTTCGCCAGTTGGCTGCTGCTCCTGCTCCGAGTCGACGCGGGCCAGCTGTCCGATGGTAATCAGATCCAGCGACCTTGCCACTTTCAGCACAATGATCAGTGCATGCTGGCGGCTGGCCTCCAGCACTTGTTCCGAGATCGACAGCGAGCGCTTGCGGCCCATCGATGATGATGGCAGCGGCTGCTGGTAGGGCAGGTGCCTGGTCAGCGATTTCAGGATCTCGGTGACAATGTGCGGGAACGTGCGGAACAGATTCGGGCAGACGTGCTTGGCCAGCATGCGGCGGATGTTGTCGTCATGCTTGCAAAGGGCACTGATCACAGGCGTGACCCACAGCCGCATGTACTGGCCCTCGAGGTGATGTGCAGCCGCCTCCCGCTGGTCGTCGCTGAGCCCGTCGCTGGGCGAGCCCTTGCGCATGTTGCGCACGTCGGCCTCGCAGCGAACCAGAATGGCTGCAAACAGAGCCGCCACGCGCGGCGCCATCATGACCTGCGCAAGCGTCACAAAGCACTGCTCCAGGAGATCGGGCTGGCGGCGGAACAGCTGCAGGATGTCGACGCGTGAGCACAGTGTGGCCAGCAGCGAGTACTTGACCTTGCGACTCCAGTCCATGGTCAGCACCAGATCCAGCACGTCGTTGAGGAACGCGTCGCTGCTGGGCTCGGCCGGGCCAGCTGTCCCACCCGGCAGAGTGCCGATCTTGGCCACCGCCTTGCTCATCGCCGAGCCAATGTCCAAGAATGCCTCGAAGATCACCCGGACCTTGGCCTGCACCGCGTCCAGCGGATCGTCCCAGTAGCTCCACAGATACCCCATGATGCGCTCGCGCTGCAGCACCAGCACGCGCTGCCCCAGCGCAAATGCCACAGTATGGCGGTTCCGCGACTCGACATCGGCGCAGCCCGAGTCGTATTCGTCGACACAGCACATCAGCAGCTTGGCCGTCTCCTGCAGCCACACCGCCATCGACTCAAACACGACCACCTTGACTCCTGGCGCCAGCTGCGAGCGCCCACACACGGACGCGATATGTGTGAAGACAGCCTCGTGGACAGTGTTGACCACGTCAGAGTACTTGGCCGATGGTGCGATGTCCAGCGGCAGCAGCGTTGTCTCGTATGGTGCAAACGACACAATCGCACGTGCCACGCATACCATCGACACTGCGTCGTCCAGGCACCGCGCGCGCTGGGGCGAGTTGTCGATCTCGGGCAGATACGACGTGGGCTGGTCTGCCACATGAGCCGTCGCGCTGACCTCCATGTCCAGTGTGCGCTGCGCCAGAGCCATGGCTCGGTCGCGCACAGACATACCCGAGCCGCCAATCAGCGCTACAAGCACCATCGCTGCTACTTCGCGCGCTTCGAGCATGGCGCCCTCGCACCCAACCACGCTCCAGCACAGCAGGTATAGCTGCGCCAGAACCGCACGAACGCTGTCTGGTGATGCTGGCGGCGCCAGGGCGGCCAAGACCTCGTCCTGCAGATTGCAGGCCCCTTGCCTGCTGCCGTCCTCGCGCTGCAGGAACTTGGAGATGACCAGGAATGCCAGTCGGATTACATGTGTGCAGTCCTCGCGCATGGCTACCACCTCTGCCGAGCCCAGATCCGGGCTTGGCTCATGCAGTTGCGGCACGATCTTCTCCAACGACCTCGCAATGTGGCTCAGCACCGCATCGGCCATTCTCCTGACCACCGGCAGCCCGACCGAAATGCCCACCAGCGTCTGCAGCGCCTGTGCCTGGTGGCCCGCCCCGTGCTTCGCGTACTCGTCCACTATGGCTGTACTAACAGCGTCTGCATCACTACTCGCTTTGGTAATGAACGCCAGCAGGTGCTGCCGCAGGCTGCCATTGACCGCCGACGGGTCCATAGAGCTCAGCGCCTTGATCAGTGGGATTGCCTGGCGCCGCACCGTCACGTCGGATGGCAGAAAGAAGCACTCGACGGCCAGCGGGACCAACACCGAGCGCACAAACCCGAGCGTCGCCTCGCTGATACCCTCGATTTTTTCCAGATCCACCAGGTGCTTCTCGATGACCTTCAGGTGCTTGCTCTGCTCTAGCCAGGTCGCGCTGCGCTCCGTGGACAAACGCCCGGCCTCGTCTGATAGTTTTTGTAGGAGCGCTGCCTCCTTGCTGTTAGCGGTGCCTGATGCCTGGTACGGCGATGCCTCGATCCGCTCCGCCCAGCATGGTGCCACTGGGATCGGACGTCTGGCTCCCTTGGTGCCGCGCTTGTTTTTTTGAAGTATCCCCATGAGTTTGTACGGCTGCTAATTGCTAGGATAGTAGAAAGTGTGTAAAATTTTTTTTCTTCAAAAGTCCGACAAGAGCTCGCTGAGACGCCAGAGCCTAGAAAGAGGTCCACAGCACACCTAAATATCTCGACTCGCCAACAGAGCGGATCAATGCGGCTCGGCTCGGGTGGGCAGATTTTTCAAGCTTTTTTGTGTCCAGCGTTGAAATACAATGCCTGTGTCTTTTCCCCTTTCACCGTTCAGCTCTCAGCAAACAATATTTAAATTTCATACGCGCAATGGAGAGTAGCAAACTGTTTGACGTGTTCAACGAGTCCGACAGCGGCTCCGAGATGTCAGACGTTGAGGAGGACTTCCAGACCACGACAACGACTGCATCGAATGACTCCGAGCTGAAGCGGAAACAGACTGAGGACGAGAGTGAAGACATGGGCAGCAGCATCGGCGACAGCCAGACAGACGAGGCTGACACAAAGCGGTCGCGCGTAGACTCTGACGCTGTGTCCAAGAAGCAGCAGCCCGAGCAGGCAGCGATCCTGGCCGACTCGTTCGAGGAGGACCTGAGGCGCGAGGTGAAGCCGGCCGGCCTTGACACAAGCGCAGGCGGACAAGGAGACAGGCAATCTGGTTCTGAGCCACTCAGTGCGCCACCAGGTGTCGATTCCGCCTGGCTATGATTACGTGCCCCTTTCGCAGCGGCCAAAGATCGCCGATCCGGCGCGCACCTACCCGTTCGAGCTGGATCCGTTCCAGGCAGCCTCCGTGCAGTGCATTGACAGTGACGAGTCGGTGTTGGTGGCCGCCCATACGTCGGCCGGTAAGACCGTCGTGGCCGAGTACGCAATTGCACAGTGCCTGCGCAACAAGCAGCGCGTTATCTACACGTCGCCGATCAAGGCACTGTCGAATCAGAAGTTTAGAGAGTTCCAGGAGGAGTTCAAGGATGTGGGTCTGATGACCGGCGATGTGACGATCAACCCACAGGCCAGCTGCCTAGTCATGACCACCGAGATTTTGCGCAGCATGCTGTACCGTGGTTCCGAGCTGATGCGCGAGGTTGCCTGGGTTGTCTTTGATGAGATCCATTATATGCGCGACAAGGAGCGCGGTGTTGTCTGGGAGGAGACCATCATTCTGCTGCCCCACAACGTGCACTTTGTGTTCTTGTCCGCTACCATCCCGAACGCCATGCAGTTTGCCGAGTGGATCACAAAGACACATAACCAGCCGTGCCACGTTGTCTACACGGATTTCCGGCCGACGCCACTGCAGCACTATCTGTTCCCGCAGGGCGGTGACGGCATCCACCTGGTCGTCGACGAGAAGAGCCAGTTCCGCGAGGAGAACTTTCAGCGCGCTATCTCGTCGCTGCAGCAGGCACAGGGCCAGACGGCTGATGACGTCAAGGGCATCGGCAAGGGCAAGCAGAAGAAGGGCAAGTCGAACAAGGGCAAGCAGGGGTCCAAGAGCGACATCTACAAGATTGTGAAGATGATCATGACCCGCAACTACCAGCCGGTGATTGTGTTCTGCTTCTCAAAGCGCGAATGCGAGGGTCTGGCGCTGCAGATGAGCAAGCTCGACTTTAACACTGAGGACGAGAAGGAGCTTGTGTCCAAGGTCTTTAGCAGTGCCATCAACTCGCTTGACGAGGACGACCGCAAGCTGCCGCAGATCGAGAACATCCTGCCGCTGCTGCGCCGGGGCATCGGAATCCACCACTCGGGCCTGCTCCCAATTCTGAAGGAAGTCATTGAGATTCTGTTCCAGGAGGGTCTGCTCAAGTGCCTCTTTGCCACAGAGACCTTCTCCATTGGCCTCAACATGCCGGCGCGCACGGTTGTATTCACCTCGGTGCGCAAGTTTGACGGCAAGGACTTCCGCTGGGTCATGTCTGGCGAGTACATCCAGATGAGTGGTCGTGCTGGTCGACGTGGTCTTGACGACCGTGGCGTGGTCATCATGATGCTGGACGAGAAGATGGAGCCGGCGATTGCCAAGGGCATGGTCAAGGGCGAGCCCGACGTGCTGAACTCTGCCTTCCATCTGTCGTACAACATGGTTCTGAACCTGATGCGCGTCGAGACGTTCACACCGCAGTTCATGCTGGAGCGATCGTTCCATCAGTTCCAGACCCAGGCGCAGATTCCCAAGCTCGAGGCCAAGGTGGACGACCTGCAGGAGGAGCTCTCGCTGATGAAGATTAACGACGAGCCCAGTGTCAAGCGCTTCTACGATCTGCGCACCCAGCTCGATTCGATGTCGGGCGAGATGGTCAAGGTCATTGTCCACCCGTCCCACTCGCTGCCGTACCTGCAACCAGGCCGTCTGGTGCGGGTTAATGTCGGGGGGCTGAACTTTGGCTGGGGCTGCGTGACGTTCTTCCAGCGCAAGATCATCAAGGACAACAAGAAGAAGAACCCGAGGTCCAAGGACGAGGACGACAAGAATGTCGGTGCCGACGACTACATTGTGGACGTGCTAATGCACTGCAAGCGTGCTGACAAGGACACGCTGCGCAAGCTCGAGGCGACATCAACTACCGATGGCGATATGGCGGTAGTGCCGTGCGATATCAACGACACATCTGGCGAGACCATGGTCGTGCCCGTTCTGCTGTCGGCCTTGGATCGCATCAGCTCGGTCCGCGTGCACTTGCCCAAGGACTTGAAGGCGGCGTCGCAGCGCAGGGACATGCGCAAGCGTCTGGCTGAGGTGCAGAAGCGTCTTGAGGGCAAGATTCCGACCCTGGACCCGGTCAGCGACATGGGCATCAAGGACGAGGCGTTCAAGCAGCTTGCCCGCAAGATCACAATGCTGGAAACCAAGCTGCACGAGCACAAGCTGTTTGGCAGTCCTGAAGAAGCCGCGCTGTTCACAAAGTACCAGGAGAAGGTGCAGACCGAAGGCCAGCTGCGCGAGCTGCAGCGCAAGATCTCGGACGCCAACTCTGCGGTGCAGCTCGAGGAGCTCAAATGCCGCAAGCGCGTGCTGCGCCGTCTCGGCTACACGACCTCGGAGGACGTGATCACGATAAAGGGCCGGGTAGCGTGCGAAATCACGTCTGGCGACGAGCTGCTCCTGACCGAGCTCATGTTCCACGGTGTGTTCAACGATCTGACTGCCGAGCAGACGGTCTCGTTGCTATCGTGCTTTGTGTTCCAGGAAAAGACCAACGATGAGCCGCCCAAGCTCAAGGAGGAGCTGGCAGCGCCGCTGCGCGTGATGCAGGAGTCGGCGAGGCAGATTGCGCAGACATCGAACGAGTGCAAGCTGCATGTCAACGAGGAGGAGTACGTCGAGAGCTTCCGCCCCGAGCTGATGGATGTGGTGAGCTCGTGGTGCCGCGGTGCCAAGTTCTCGCAGATCTGCAAGATGACAGATGTGTTTGAGGGCTCGCTGATCCGCGCCTTCCGCCGCCTCGAGGAGCTGCTGAGGCAAATGTGCCAGGCGGCCAAGGCCATCGGCAATGTCGACCTGGAGAACAAGTTTGCGGACGGCATCACCATGATCAAGCGCGACATTATCTTTGCTGCCTCACTTTATCTTTAGCGACCCATCCTTCTGCAGGCCTGTGACGTATCTTTATAAAAAAGACTTATTCTTTTTGCTCGATGAGTAGCGATGCCAAAGGGCCCGGCCAACAGCCAGCTCCCCTCAGCCGACCCCCTCTCCCTCAGGCACACGTCATCCATAGGCTTCCCGCTATTTTTACCATACTCCTGCTCGCATGTTCTCCCGGTGGTGGTGCCTTATCCCAAGTGGGACGAGTATCCCGCGGCTCGCATGGCATGCAAACCGATGAGTCGCAAAAGGGAGCTGAAGTACTGGAGAGCATTGCTAGCGCTGCTTTCTAGTTTCCTAATGAAGCAACACCGCCGCAAGGTTTCCGGATGTGGGACAATCAATAGTAAGCATTACAACTCCCGCATGTTCAGACAGCCGATGGATCTGTCAGCAGGTATAGCGGTATGACAAATGCATGCCAATACTAATCTTCGGTCTCTAGGACCGACGAAGCCCCTGCTGCTGCCGTTGCTCATGCCCCCCGATGTGTGGCTTCAAGAGGTATAAAAACAAGTTGAGACAGCGCCTCAATCCCTTGCCTCCTACCTCCTTCACTTCCTCACCAACAGCACTCGACATTCTATATTTTTCAAACACCATGGCACCCAAGGTCTTTGTCATCACTTACTCGGTCTACGGACACGTCAATAAGCTTGCGTCCTCCGTCGTCAAGGGCCTCCAAAAGACCGGCGGCGTGCAAGTGTCGCAGTTCCAGTTTCCTGAAACCCTAAACAGCACTATTCTGAAGGCCATCCACGCGGCGCCCAAGCCCGACATCCCCGAGATCACCGTCGACAAGCTAGCCGAGGCCGACGGGATTCTGTTTGGGTTCCCGACGCGCTATGGCAACGCGCCGGCGCAGGTCCGCGCCTTCCTCGACTCGACCGGCGGGCTGTTCGCCAAGGCCTCGCTGTACGGCAAGGCCGGCGGGGTGTTCTTTTCGACCGCCTCGCAGCATGGCGGGCAGGAGGTCACGGCGTCCTCGTTCATGTCTAATCTGGTGCACCAGGGGATGGTGTATGTGCCGATTGGGTATAAGAGCCCGCATCTGTCGGATCTGAGCGAGATCGTCGGCGGGTCGGCGTGGGGCGCAGGCACGATTGCTGCCAACGACGGGTCAAGGCAGCCCAGCGAGAAGGAGCTGGCGATTGCCGAGTTCCAGGGCGAGGAGTTTGCAAAGGTCGTCAAGAAGCTGGCTGGAAAGTAGTTTTTTTTTTTTTTTCCTTAAAATGGTCGCGTGGGACAGCGCATTGGCCAGACAGTCGTGCGGAATCAATGGATCGTGTGTTTGGCCAGCGCCTGCAGTCACGTGAGCGATCCGGTGTGCGTGGGAACCATCGGCGATCGCCTCTCTGGGAACTTCCCATGGGTCATTGCGGAACGGAGCGCACTCGAGACACCCTGTCCGCGCCTGTTGTCGCTTATAAGAACAGCACTCTTCTCTCTTGTTTCCCCCACCGTGACGCTTCTCTGTTTCTCGCCCCCCTTTCTACAATACATACATCACCAGTGCACAAAAAGCAGAGCCATGTCTCGGATCTTCAACTTTGCGCTTCGCTCGATAAACCGCCCGACGACCACAGGCATCGCACGGCGTCTCTACTCGACAGCCATGGATCCGTCGGTTGAGCCCATCCGCGGGCTGGACCTGGGCGTGGCACACAGCAAGCTCCTTCTTCGCACTGTATCTGATGTGCGGTCAAACGCCGAGCTGCAGCACGCGGGGGTGGCCGACGGGGAGACGAAGAAAATGAACATGTGCCAGGCCGTCAACGATGCCATGCGCACGGTGCTGGCAACAGATGAGACGTCGGTGGTGTTTGGCGAGGACGTGGCCTTTGGCGGAGTGTTCCGGTGCTCGGTCGGACTGGCCGAGGAGTTCGGGCGCGAGCGCATTTTCAACACGCCGCTGACCGAGCAGGGCATCGCCGGGTTCGGCATTGGGCTGGCAGCCATGGGACACACGGCGATTGCCGAGATCCAGTTTGCCGACTACATCTTCCCGGCGTTCGACCAGATCGTTAATGAGGCAGCAAAGTACCGGTACCGGTCCGGCAACGAGTTCGATGTCGGCGGCCTGACGATCCGCACGCCGTGCTCGGCGGTGGGCCATGGCGGACACTACCACTCGCAGAGCCCCGAGGCGTTCTTTGCGCACGTGCCTGGGCTCAAGGTCGTCATGCCCAGATCCGCCGTGCAGGCAAAGGGCCTGCTGTTGTCGGCGATCCGCGACAAGAACCCTGTGGTGTTCTTCGAGCCCAAGATCCTCTACCGGTCGGCCGTCGAGCAGGTGCCTGTCGACGACTACGAGCTGCCGCTGGGCAAGGCCGAGGTGCTCAAGCCCGGAAAGGACGTGACTGTGGTTGGCTACGGGTCCCAGATGTATGCTCTGGAGAACGCGGTGCAGATGATTGAGCGCGACATGCCTGGCGTCTCGTGCGAGCTGATCGATCTGCGCACAATCCTGCCCTACGATATTGACACCGTGATGGAGTCGGTGAACAAGACCGGCCGCCTGGTTGTTGCCCATGAGGCCCCGAGGACCCAGGGCTTTGCTGCCGAGCTGGCCGCCGAGGTCCAGGAGCGCTGCTTCCTAAGGCTTGAGAGCCCGGTCCAGCGTGTCTGCGGTCTGTTTGTGCCGCACCCGCTGGTGTTTGAGCGCATGTACATGCCATGTGCCGTCAGGGTATATGAGGCGATCAAGAACTCGTTGTCGTATTGAAACATTTGAATAACCTATAACACTCGGAACTTTTAATCCATTCTGGATGTGACTACACAATGATACACTTGTCGCGAACACGATGTTTCTTCTCCTTTTTGCTGCCCTGTGCACCCGCGGACTGGACTGGCGCGGCTGCGGGTGCGGCTGCGGCTGCGGGTGCGGCTGCGGGTGCGGCTGCGGGTGCGACAGGTGCTGGCTCGGGCTGCGCGCCGCTGTCCTTCTGATCCTCTGCAGTTGGCACCGCTGCATCATCAGCAGGAGCGGCGCCAGCTGCCACAGGCACAGCAGCATCTTGGGCTGCATCTGCCGCAGCACCCTTCGGCGCCAGCTTGGCCACAAAGCAGGCAAACTCTTCGCCCTGCATTTCAGCAATGTTCAGCTCCTTTTCCGTGGGGATCCGTCCGCCATCTGACCCTGCTACAGTACCTGCACCCCATGCCGATCCGCCAATGACCTCGCTGTTGTCAGCCAGGTTCGGGTTCTTGAATCCGATCGGCACATAGATCATGCCGTGATGGACCAGGTTCGGAAGAAAGGTCATGGCGGTTGTCTCCTGGCCGCCGTGCTGCGAGCCCGTCGAGAAGAACAGTCCTGCGGGCTTGCCGTACAAGGCGCCGCTCATCCACAGACCGCCGGTGGCATCAAAAAGCGCCTTGACCTGCGCGGGTGCATTGCCGAAGCGCGTCGGGAAACCGAACATGTACCCGTCGGCTTCGGGCAGCTTGTCCACGGTAATTTCAGGAACATCCTTGGGCTTTGATGGCGCGTGCATCATGCCCAGGATCTCATCAGAGAGGGTCTCGGGGAACTGAAACATCTCGACATCGACCTTGCTGGTCTTCTCGAGCCCCTCTTTGACCGACTCGGCCAGCTTGCGGACATGCATGTATGTCGAATAGTAAATAACGAAAACCTTTGGCTTGGCCATACTGATTTGTTAGATAAGAAGTAGCGTTTGTATGTGGAAAAGAGAACTGAACGAGATCCCTCCTCGGGCCGCTATGGCGAGAAAGGTGACCAGGCAAGGAACCTAACCCTCGTCGGACCTCAAGCACACCATTGCCCGTTATTTATCACTCTGCTCAGCTAATCTCCCCCATCTGAAACATCGTCACACATGCTGTACCAGCACTGTTCAGAAATTCTCCACCTCCAGCGCCCGCGTGTTGCACAGAAACCAATATGCAGAATCACTTCGACCCGGTGCCCAGATCTCCCCCTCTCGCTCTGGCCGATTGGTTCACTGAGCACTGTCTGGTGGTAAAAGGGACGGCCAGTACGTGCAGATTGCACCGCATGATACATGAAACAAGGAATACGAGATGCATGATCGGGGCACAAAAAGGCACCTCACTCCACCATATCCCATCTGCACTGCATCCGACCGCCGTACGTTTCCCATGCACCTCGGCAAACAAAAAAAAGCTGCTGGCTCGGTTTGTCGCAGCCGCACCAATTGGGAAATGCCTTACATCTACATTTTCTCGCCACGCCATTCTCCGAGATCGGGGAGAAGCATGTGGTTGTGCACCTATCGTGTATACCGCCACCAGGAGATAATTCGCTGATGCCAAGGTCGGTGCTGGGCACCACATATCCTCGTGATGCGCAAATGTATGCAATGGAGGATGAGATCGACGCTACCCGCTCACACTGTCCTTAGTCATGAAGCATACATTGGGCGTGGATGAGTGGATGCCTCTCATCCCCCAACCCCGCATCACGTCAAATGATATGGAAACCGGAAGCGAATTTATCGTGGTTCATGGAAATATAGACAGAAAATATATTGCAGGGATATGAGAAAACTAGCCAGCAGAAAACAGGCTGCTACACCCGGAAATAACCAAACACTATGCTCATGAAGACCCGTCGCAGACACCACCTAGTCCGTCGTCATCGGCCAGTCGCGCGCCTAGTCTGAGCTTGGATGTGTCTTGTGGCAGGGTGCCTTGGCTGACGTAGCAGTTGAGATACATGGCTACGGATTTATATACAGGTGGGTGGCAACGTTTCAGAGGGGAGGGTGCTGAAGAAAAAAGTATCCAGTTTTTCCGTGAAGGAACCGATGGAGGGAGGCCACCATAGGCTACGTATTTATATGGCCAGCTTGTCCACACCGCAGGTGGGAAGCCCACCTCATCCATATGCACGCTGTCGCCCGGCAGGCAATAAGAGCAGGTAGGTTGTGAGAAAAGTAAATATAGAAGTCATCCTGTGGCGACAAAACCAAACAAAAATCCCGCCTTTACGATGGCCACAGCGATCCTGCTGCCGCTCGGCATCTAGCCAGGTTGGGATGGAGCAAAAAAAAAAAAAAAAAGAAAGTATACAGAAAAACTGCTCAAGGGCAATTTATCTGCTCTGCCGCAGGCCGTGTACAGGGGATATTCCAGCAGTAGCCGATGCACGCGCCTGCCTCCACCTCTCGGCGGGTTCTATTCTTCCCGTCCTTATTTCCGTATGCATGGTCATGACCGGGCATTTCGCTATTGCGCAGATACACACATATGTGCCAGCCATCGCACTGCCAAAGAGAGCCAATGCTGATCCGGCACTAATATTCACGCCTCCTGATCAGAGCCAGCATTAGCAACCAGGCCAAAACAACCCCCGCTGCTACACCCGGTAGCTTCGGTTGTTTATTTGGATCTCGTCTGCTCTTGTTTGCTGCTCTATTTAAAAGAACCCCGCTTTACTTTCGCAGAATGTCCTCGACAACCGACACATTCAGCACATCTCGATTCGCTTCCGGCGCAGGAGGCAGCGGCATTGCCGGTGCATTCAGCAAGCTCAGCTCGTTTGGGTCGGTCGGGTTGGGCCGCGGTAGCGCATCAGTTGGCAGCTCACTTGCAGCATCTGCACTGTTCGGGGGGACAGCCGAGGAGAAGATTGTGCTAGATATTGGGTCATTCTCTCTGCGCGCCGGATTTTCAGGCGACTCTGCGCCACTGCATACCGCTGAGCTTTTCAGCAACTATACCGCAGTTGGGCCGATGCACCGGCTGGCCGGCAGCAAGCACGGGATCTACGACTTTCCGATTGGGGACCAGGAGCTGCTGGATGCACTGCTTCTGGAGCAGGTGAAGGAGGTGTACCGCAGCCATCTGCTGCTCGATTCAAAGTCACGCAAGGTGGTAGTTGCCGAAAGCGCGCTGATGCCCATTCAGCTCAAGCGCGCGCTTGCCCGTGTGCTGCTGTGCAACCTGCGGGTCCCGCAGATCACGTTTTACCCGAGTGCGGTAGTGGCTTTGATGTCGTGTGGTATTACTAGCGGCCTGGTTGTTGACTGCGGACACAAGCAGACCACGGTGACGCCTGTGTATGACGGCAGGCCTCTGATTCCATACATGACGTCGACGCCGCTGGCTGGGGAGGCGCTGTTTGAGAGCTTGAAATCGCTCATTAAGAAGCATGCGCAGTTTGTTCCTTTCGACGGCAATGCACGTGGCGTCGCGGTCACAGACGACATGCTGAGCGATGACGTGTGCCGCCACATCCAGACCAAAGTATTGTATGTGTCGCCACTCTCGATCCCCGGCACCCTGTCAAAGAAGACTGTCGAGCTCAGCGTCGGCGAGGTCGATCCTCGGCTGGTCGAGTGGTTCGAGCAGAGTATTACTGGCAGCCCCACCATCACGCTCACCATCTCCACCAAGACACACGGCCATGGTACACTGAAGATTCCGGGCTGGGTGCGCGAGCGTGCTGCTGAGGTCCTGCTGGCGGGTGATTCGACCGAGGATTGCATGGGGCTCGTTGAGGCCATTGTTGCATGCATCGAAAACCTGGATGTCGATCTGCGTCGCCCGCTGGCATCCAAAATCCTGATGGTCGGCGGTGTGTCCGATGTGCCACACCTCCGGATCCGGCTACTGCACGATTTGGTAGCGAAGATGCGCTCGATTCCCAAGTGGACGGCGCTGGCTGATAACGTCGCTCTGGCAGAGGAGAAACAGCAGACCCGCGACAATGGTGTGGTCGTCGAATCGTCGGCAAATGGGCTTATTTTCAAGTCGTCGGATCGGTGCTGGATCGGTGCCTCTCTGGCGGCAGCGTCGAAGATCGGCGGCGTGGAGCTGAAGCGCGATGACTTTGACGGATACAATGTTGCAGACTGGACAGCAGGCATCTGAATATGCTGATATACTAGTGTCTGTTTTCCTTAAAACACAGTGAATGATAATCTTTTAGTACCCTCCATGTAGCCCATTTCTTGACAAGAGATAACGACCATGTATATATTATTGAGCAGCTCCGGTGCAGGGTAAAATCCTCGTCGATACAAGTATGAAGCCAACTCATGAGATTCGTTATTTGGCACAGAACGTAAACCTTTGTTGGCTATGGAGGAGACTGAAACTCTTGGTAGTTCTTGAACCCTCCACCGCTCGATGAAAGCGGACACAGCTTAGTGCTTGTGCCCCAGTAGGATGGCATCCTGACGTCTGAATAGGTGAATATAAAGAAAATCAGCACAGCAGCGATTGCGACACTCGAGTCGAAAGCTGCCACCAGAGTGAACGCATATCTCCTGTAGTACCCGTACCAGTACCGGTGCACCACGTACTGGAATATAAAGCAGCCGAAAAACCAGTTAACCACCACTGTAGAAGGAGCACCAGGTAAGATAGCCAAGGAGGACAGCGCCACAGGCAGATGGATGTTGTGCCAGAAGCTGTTTGGATATCGTCTTTGCAAGTACCACACCGGAAATGGCACACAGATGCCGACAATGAACATGTACGGGATATACGAGTAGTTGCTTCCACTATTGAAGAGGCGGTGAGGACCAACCAGACCCCAGATCACCGACGACGCGTAGAGCGAGTTGATTGGGATGCAGGACCATGTCAGACTGGTTGAACAGAAACCGTCGACTGTCTGCATCATCCAGATTCCGATACCGCACTGCACAAACGACATAAGAACCGTGCTGATTACCTGTGAGAGGAAGACATGGCGTGGTGGGATCTTCAGGTAGTGGCCCATTTTGAAGTTTGCAACCAGTATGATCGCTTGTCGCATCGGCACATTGGTGAACGCCTTGAACAAGACGCTAGCGAGCTGGTTCCCAGGCATTCCATATCCGGCGATAAAGTACGAGATGATACTCAGCTTCAGTGTCTGGTTTGTGAGGGCGAGCAGGATCCCATTCGGAATGACGTAGATGAACGAGATTGTTGACCCAATAATAGTCCAATACCACGGAAGCAGGTGGTAGGTTTCACAGACAGCAATACTCATGGCGAGCATAGAGGCGAATATAGCCGCATACCACCAGTGAGGGACCTCTGGATACTTGCGCATCAGCCGAGCATGGATATCGTCGTCACCAAGCTCACTGTCATCATTTTCATAAAAAATGCTGTGGTAGATGTCCTTTCCGTGGTGAAGAATCGTGTAAACCAGAAATGCCGAGATGGCAATTAAAGCCCTGGAGTACTGGAGTGGCTCAGCAATGGGCAAATGGAGTGGTCCAAACGCATCGTATTTCTGCTGGTCAAGCTTGCCATCGTCGCGAACTACCATCGACATGTCGTACTTGGAGCCATTGGAGTGGAACAGGCGGTTCGAGTATACTGGGAGATTGCCTGAGTCCCAAAGGTCACTGTAGTATGTTGCGGGGAGCAGTACCCAGAACATGATGACAAACCCAGCAAACATGTTGCAGGCAATGTACCATGGGACGGCGACCGGAGGACCGAAATACCCGCTTGATATCATCGACCAGTCAAATGTGAGGTTCGCCATTCCGAGCCCATGGTATGTGTCTCCAAGTTGATGCGCAATGACGTTGTTTGGGGCTGCCAGACACAGTATTGGCACTGCACTAAGCAGAGGCATGACAATTCCTGGTAAGAACGCGTACACGAACATACCTGTGAATGCGACCCAGAAGAACCTGACACGCGAAACATGGTTGAGGTATGATTTGGACTCGTGGAATGTGCGGAAAAGCGTCACGCTGACCAGGGATGCGGGGAATACCATGGCCGCCGGGTAGATGAGGATCTCACGCACAACGCCGACGAATCCGTACCCGAGCAACTGCGACGAAAGATTGAGAAGGATGGACGGCCCATAGTCCAGCCTCACTCCATAGCGCAGATTCTCCATGATTACAACATCCATTATGTAGCTGCCACTGGCAACAGATGAAGCGAATATCGTAATGAGAGCATGCTCCTTGATGCTGAATCGGCCAGGATTGAATGACCACGTGTAGCCAAAGGTGCTGAAGTTCCGAGTAGGTAGAATCCGTGACATAAGGTAGCCGAGTGGGAACGATAGAATCTGCACAACATAGCCAGTGATTTGGACCGGTGTGCTCCGGAATATCATAAGCTGGTTGACAAATCCGACAACACTTGCAAAAAGCAACCCGAGCATGACGGATCGAAACGTAAGCGAGGGGACATCAGAATCTGTCGGTGCTACAGTCGACCGCACCAAGTCGTAGGGCGAGTCCTCACTATACATGGTCGATTCGATACGCCCGCTTGTGGAATGAGTGTGATTCCAGTTGGTCAGACCCGCTTTGTCGTCCGTTCGCGAATGTGACTGGTCGCCATCAACTGAACGGGAGATGCTTGAAATTGAATAATCTGATATGTTCCTAGAGCCACTATGGCTCCCTTGTGTCAGCACCATGTCGTCTTTCTCGACCATTATGATAATAGATAAAGTGAGATGAAAAGGAATATCCTAAAAAAAGTAGTGCGGTTTTTTTTATCTTTGAAGAGGTGAAGAAAATGATGTATTCAAGATATAGAAGGATTCAGACCGCACCCAGACACAAAAGCACTCGATCCAATTATTCAGATTGGCGACACGCCCCTGCCTGCTTCAGACTGGCCTAGAAGACTGAGCATATGTTTTCAAGCGAGTATATTTTACACTCCTCTTGTACTTCTGAGATCCATGCACGCCGGAGGGCACGGCTTCTCCGGAGCAATTATATATGTAGGATTACCCAGATTGACATACTATTAACGGTGTGTTATTGGCAAACAGACAAGTGTTGTTTCTCAGTGGTATGGTTTGAGCACACAGAATGAACTTTACTCGGGTCAACCATTCGATTTCAAGGCTGCCAAAAACCTCATACTCTGCATCAGCAGGTTTGGTTCGCACATCCAAACACTGCAGCTTCAGCAACCCAATGTGTAGATCTTGTGTCGCCTACCAAAAGCACAGCTTTGAAAGGGGCATCCTGAAAGCTATACCCCATTTTGTAGTCCTAGGCAGACCATTTGCAGAAAAGGGAGTGTTTTTGTCACTCGTTCAAGATAGAGGCAAAAGAGGATATTGCCCACTTTCCTACCGCCCTTTCTAAACACCGCAGAATTTCTATTGGCAAACGCTGTCTGATTTAACCTGTTTTACATAGAGCACGATGAGCAGTTTCAAGAGCCTACCCTGCACAGTTGCCTGCGGTTGTTTATATTATTGAATCTTCACGTCGCATTAAAATAATATAACGATCTGCACATGGGCAAAAATTCGCGCACAATCTGTGCTTTGGATCAGCATGTGGAAACCCCAGCCCTCATTTCATTTCATTTCATTTCATGATGCTGGTATTGTAAACAGACAGTCACGAAAAATATATCGGCTTAAATTGCCGCGATACATATTCCCCGCACCCTTCTCTATTTAGCGGTATTTTATAAAGCCCTCGAGAGGTTGGAATCTTACCGAAACTGCAATGGCCACATGGAATATGTTGATGAGGAAGCCTGCCAAGCGAGAATGCAATAATGCCCGGATCCTATCTGAGCAAAAGCCAATTCTGTCATAGTCCCCGATCGAGAGAAATCTTTATGCTGAGCCCTTTGGCAAACGTGCTGTTACACATCCATATTTCGCACAATGTTTATATGTGTATTCCGTATAGCGTTTTATGCAACGGGAGTGTTGGGTTTACGAGCAAGCAGTACTTACATCATCATTAGCCTCGACAAATTTGGGCAGCTATGGCGAATCGAATATTCTCTGACCAGTAACGATAGTGTAACTTGACCCTGGTTATCTCTCTTTGTGGTCCCTACGGAAATGACCCTTTAGAGGTATTACCTGGCAAATATACCCGCACAAGGTGCATTTTGAAGCAGTGAGCGTTGGAAACCCTGGAATATTTGAAATAGGCTGGCAATTATATACAGCGAGCAATCATTTTACCGCTTCAACATTGCTGGCGGCTATCGAATTTCCTTGAAGCTGCTTTACTGCTGGTACAATAGCTTTCATTTCTGTTGCATTGATGCTTGTTGATTCAATGCTGGCGGTGTATTGCTCAGAATGTCTTATAAATTAGTAGTTAACTATTGCATGATTACACATACAGCACATAAGGAGACATAGTGTTCAATAAAGGTAGAGGTTGGCTTTATCAAGCGGATCTGTAGACCATTCAGTCAGTTTGTAGAAAGTGATATTTCGTGTTGTAGGTGTAAAGCATATGATGAGTGGTGTAGGACGATAAGAGAAAAAGAAACAGGATAAATAACGAAAAACACCTTATATGCGGATATGTGTGTATTTTTCGCGTAGCGCGGGTTCCTAATGAACCGTAAAGCGGCGATATCTCAGTTCAGAAGTGCACTTGTAGTATGAGTGTAATACCAACAGATAGCGATAGAGTCAAGGATTATATTGAAGTGAAAAAAGCTAAAGAGAAAGGCGAACGTAAAGGTTTTATACCATTGCTCAGGTGGCACAGCCAAAAATGATATGATAAATAAGAAAAAGGAATTCGCAGGATGGAAAGGCTATGTAGTTTACAGTAATCGGATCTTGAGATTCTAACAGAGAGCAATACTGGCCTGGAGATTTTGCTACAGGCTTCAGCAACGCAAGGCCAACAGGGATCTTTATGCTTACAGAACTCTGTTCCACGTGCAGATATCGCTCCACACCAGCAGGCTGCTTAGTTATCACTCGTGGTTTCAAAATGTAGCTATGCTGTATCAAACAACTGTCGCCAAACTCCTTTCCTCATACCGTGATTATTCGGATCTACGTTTCCAAGGTTGGACGACGTACTTTTTGTTCAATGTAGGGATCTGGTGCCGTAAATGTATATCTAGGAAGACAGAAAAAACAAGGAGGTATTGAAAGACGAAGGCAAATTTACCCGGTCCTTGTACTGGCTTATGTCGATTTTAAATGGATTAGACATGTTTGTTTTATCAGTGAACTCAGTTGTCCTTGTCCGAGCCAGTAAACCAACAGCCAGAAATAAGCAGAGTTGCCTGCCACGCCTATTGTGTAGATCTTTTCTACATACATGCTGAGCAGCTTGTCATCTATGCCAATATAGCTCTATGATTAGGCTGTGTAAATACGTGTGATAGTGCCTAGTTTGCCTGGGCTAGATATAAAATTTACTAATGAGCTGTTTGATATCTATTCAACAAATCTCTTGGTCTGCCCCTTAATACGCTCAACCGCATGCTCCATTTTCTCCGTCTCCTCGTTGTCCAGGTCAAGCTCAAGGACACGGTCGATTCCACGCGAGCAAATAACAGCAGGAGTAGACACATATCCGCCCCACTTGGTCGAATGGCAGCAAACGCTGCGGATATCATGCTGGTTCTGCAGGACCGAGGTGGCCAGGATTGCGCCGCATACGCCAACGCCATAGTAGGTAGCGCCCTTGGCCTCAATGATATCGTAAGCAGTGCGGGCAATATCATGTTCGATCTTAGCCTTATCGATAGTCTGCATTTCGGGGAACTGATCGAGCTTCACACCACCAATGCGCGCCGACGACCACCCGACGAACTGGCTGTCGCCGTGCTCGCCCAGCACATGGCAGTGGATCGAGGTCTGGCGGACGTTGATAAGCTTGGCCAGATAATTGCGCAGCCTGCCGCTATCAAGCAATGTGCCGGAGCCAAACACCTGGCTTTTGGGCAACCCGGTGATGTTCTGTGCAATGCCGGTCAGGACATCCACAGGATTGGAGATCATCAGAACCACGGCATTTGGATTCACCGGCTTCAGGCCGCTCAGGATACTGTGCAGTATCTCGTAGTTGCGGTCCAGCAAACCGTCGCGCAATTCGCCGGGCTGCTGGCGCGCACCGGCGGTGATTATGATTAAATCGGCCTGGCCGGCCTCCTTCAAGTTGGCGGTGCGCACGCGGTGGCCGGTGGGCCAGGCGGCGTCGGCCAGGTCCATCGCTTGGCCGCGCACCAGCCGCTGGTTCACGTCTACCATCATGATGTCGGCCGGATAGGTGGTGTTGACTAGCGAGAACACGACGCTGGCGCCTACATTGCCAGCGGAGCCGATCACGGCCACTTTGCAACCCGGCGCCATTGACTCCTCGCGGAACAGCATGCTGAGACTGGACGAGGATGTCAGGTATGAGGGTGGGTAGACTGGGGTGTTGGAGACGAATGAGCGGGCGAGCGGTCTCAGGGCCATGGGCTGGGGGGTGGCGATTGTCGCGGATGCCCGGGCAGCCAGGCGGAAAACTGAGCGGAAGCGAGGCAGCATTCGTAAAAGTGTATTAAGCAAGTATATAAACAGAGATGGCATCCAGAGAGATGGTAGAAGAAAAGGAGAGCGGAAAGCAGCAAAAAGCACGGATGGTTTGTTTGGCGGGTAGGGAAATGGTCGAGACCCCGGGAACCTCTTTTAAAGCCTAACCTCCGACCAGATCAGTGGAGGCAGGCATTGAGTATACACAGCTGTCCCCCCGCTCCCCAACCTACGCGCAGCACAAGAGGTTTTGGTGTGCATTTTGTGGCACACAGCCAAGTGCTACGTAGGCAGCGCATACCTCAGACGCAGGCAGGCTCTGTTCGATTTGCCGGCCAATCGATTTTGCTGAAATTCTGGCAGTTTATGTGGTCCCACTGGGAGACCAAGCGCTAAAGATCCGGAAATACCCGCCAAGGCTTCCAGGCGGAATGTGAAAAATCCTGCATCCTCTCCAGTGCAGGCAATCTACTGCACATTGCCTGCCAGACCCAGTTGTTGGGAAGCTGCTAAGCCACACAGAAGCTGATCTGATCGAAGCGATCACCAACGCGAATCGTCCTCCGCTGCACCTCCTCGCGTAACCTGCGCAAATAGTGCCTTCGCAGTAGCAAGGACCCTTGTTTGCTTCTCCCCACACCCATTTTATTCCACGCAGTTTTATCTTTTGAATTCAGCTACATTTGTTTCATTCTCCTTGCATGCTTCCCATTTGGAATTTTCTAAAGACGCTTATGCCCACTTCCGACTCCGACGCACCTTTAGACGAAACGCACAGGCATGCGTCGGTAGCTCAGCCAACACAAGCAGATGGCAGGCATCGCAAACGACCGCGGAGCCGCAGCAGCTCGCCTGAGCCTTGCACTAGACAGGCAAAAGGCAGGCGGCGCAACACGGAAATGCCTGAAAGCAAGGTGTTCCGGATCTGCGGCGCGCAGGTGAATTTTCCATACCAGCCATATCCGTCGCAGCTGAGCATGATGAACCACATGATCCGGGCCATGAATGCGGCCAAGCACGCGATGATCGAGAGCCCGACGGGCTCGGGCAAGTCCCTGGCGTTGCTGTGTGCGGCGCTGACGTGGCAGAAGGAGTTTACGGAAAAGCAGCGTGCTCTGCAGGCGCAGATCAGCCAGGCGATTGCCAGGTTCGGCAGACATAATTCGCTTAGCGAGGTGTTGAGCGAGGACAGGGCGGGTAAGTTTGCAATGGATGATGATTTTGCCCGGCCACGGTCCCATGCGACGGCCAGCGAGATCTCCCGGGCAACGGTGATGGTCGAGAAGACAGTGCCGTACATTCTGGAGCAAAGCGTGGACGGACAGGTGCCCAGGGGGCTGACGCAGGGCGACATTGATCTGCTCAAGGCGAACAAGGATGGACTGCATTTGCTGGGGCGGCGGCCGCGGATATACTTTGGGTCACGCACGCACAAGCAGGTGTCGCAGCTGATTGAGGAGCTGCGCGTGAAGACAAACTACCGGCCACGGTCGGCAGTGCTAGGCAGTCGTTCGCAGACGTGCATTCGGAAGGATGTGCTCCGGGCGCCGTCGGTGGACGACCGGTGTCGCGAGATGGTGGAGAACGGCAAGTGCGCGGCATACCATCGGGTGAAGAAGCTTGTGCAGCATACTGCCCTGGCTACGGGCGGCGAGAGCCAGATCTGGGATCTGGAGGATCTGGTCAAGGTGGGCAGGAAGGTGAACGGATGCGCATACTTTGCGTCGCGCGAGCTGTCGGGGTCGGCGGACATTGTGTTCTGCCCGTACAACTACATTCTGGACCCGGGTGTGCGCGAGGCCGCGGGCATCATTCTGGAAGACAATATTGTGATTCTGGACGAGGCGCATAATGTCGAGAATGCGGCCCGGGATGCCGGGTCCAAGGAGTTCACCGACCAGCAGCTCAATGGCCTGGCCGGCGAATGCGCGGGGCTGATCCATCGTGGGATCCTGTCCGAAGAGCACCGGTTCGTGAACACCCTGGCTAATACGATTATCGCGCAGCTGCAGCAGCAACAGCAGTTCGAGTACCACGACTACGAGACGCGCACAAACGTATGGCCGGGCAGCGAGTCGGTCAGATCGCTGTTCCAGCGGCTCATGCTGACCGACGAGTCGCGATCGCAATTGCAGCTCACGTACCTTAGCCTGGAGGCACACCGGAACAAGTGCCGTGAGGAGATGAAGCGGCGGCAGGAGGAGCGCAGGCAGAGGGAGGTGTTCGGGGCGGAGGGCGATGAGGAGATGGAGGAGCCCCTCGGGCATCTGTCGAACGGGTCGATGAAAATGCTGACGGGGCTATTGCGCATGCTCTCGTACTGCTGGCCAGAGTCCGAGTTCGCCAACGACTACCGCGTTGCGATGATCCGCCGGCCCAACCCGGAGCTGTTCCTGGGCTCACGGCAGAGGCGTCGCCGCAACAATGGGCTGGAGTCGACGATTCCGCCGCACATCAACGTCCTAGCGTTCTGGTCGCTGAACCCGGGCGTGATTTTCAAGGACATTGCTTCCAAGGCTCGGTCGGTGATTCTGACCAGCGGCACGCTGTCGCCGCTGAGCTCGTATGCGTCGGAGCTGCAGGTGGAGTTTCTGAGCACGCTGGAGGCCAGCCACGTGATTGCCCCCGACCGCTGCTGGGCTGCAACCATCGCCTGCGGACCCTCGGGCACCGTCCTGGAGGCCAAGTACCAGACATCCGAGCAACTGGAGTTCCAGGACGACGTGGGCTCGGCCATCCTCAGCATTGCGATGAAGTCGCCCGACGGCATGCTGGTGTTTGTGCCCTCGTATGCGCTTCTCAACAAGCTTCTGGGCCGGTGGCAGGCTACCGGCGTGCGGCAGGAGCTCGAGCTCCACAAGAGCGTGTTTGTTGAGCCGCAGGGCGGATCGAAGAAGGATTTTGAGAAGCTGCTCAAGAAATACCGCACAGAGCTGGCCGAGCGCAAGGTCTCGGGGGCGCCGGCTCAGCGCGGGGCGGTGATGTTTGCCGTGTACCGCGGAAAGGTCAGCGAGGGCATTGACTTCAAGGACTACTACTGCCGGACGGTGGTCAATATCGGGATTCCGTTCCCGGCCTTCAAGGACGTGCAGGTGGTGCTGAAGCGCGACTACAACGACCGCTGCCCCGGGAAGCTGCCCGGCCAGGCCTGGTACGAGGTGCAGGCCTTCCGCGCAATCAACCAGGCGCTCGGCCGCTGCCTCCGGCACAGGATGGACTGGGGCGCCATCATCATGCTCGAGGCCCGGTTCCGCTTTCCTGGCAACATCGAGAAGCTGTCCAAGTGGGTGCGTGGCCGCGTGCGTGTCTTTGACCAGTTCCTCCCAGCCATGGACAGCCTGGCCGAGTTCTACCAGGCCCGCATCCAGGAGGACATTCAGAACAGCGATGCCGCACACTTTGCCGACATGGAGTGCGATGACGATGAGGACGACATGGACTCGGCGGTAGTGGTCCCCAGGAAGACTAAGGAGAAGTCGCTGGTCACCACGCTGCACTCGTTCTTTTACAAGCCTGGTCAGCGCCATGGCGCGTGCTCGCCGGGCGGCAGCGATCAGGAGTAAAAAAAAAAAAAAAGGCTTTCTCATTGGAAATACATTATACTTATTTGAAACTCACTCGGGGACCTTCCAGGCGACCTGGGCGCCCATGTCGTAGATGGAGTCGAGCAGATTCTCGCAGCCGTCCTCGGGATCGGCCTCGACGCACTCCTTGTATTTCTCGTAGACGCTGAGAGTCGCCTGGGCATCCTCGACACTGGAGTGCTCGCCTGCCTGGATGGTCTTGTGGCACAGGAACCAGTACAGGAACTTGAGCGCAATCGGCCGCATATGCGTGCGCGACTGGAACAGCACCATGGTGTCGCGGCGCTGCGGCATCGGCACCACAATATCGATCACGCGGAAGTCGTGCTTCAGCCCGTGGCCGATAACCACGCACCCGGCGTCCACCAGGAGCCGCAGCTTCTTGTAGGCCTCCTTCAGCGTCGACAGCTTGAACCGCGACACCCCAGGCACCAGGTCGCCCTCGTGGATGCCAGAGTACGCGGTGGCCAGATCGGCGATCGGCGTCGTGGTGGCCACGTAGTCGTCGACGAACGGAACGCCGTACATGGGCCCGGGCGTGGCCCTGACCAGACTCAGCCGCGCCAGCTGGTGGATCGGCGGCCGGTGCATCTCCTGCGTACCGTCGCTAAACACCTCCGTCTTGGCCTCCTCCAGAACCACAAACTCTGCGTCAAACGCATACTGGAACCCAGGCCCCAGCTGCGCTGCCTCGTCCTTGGTCAATGGCACTGCTCCGTTGCGCTTCTGTGTGCCGCGCGCACTGCTGCGCCGGTTCGACGCCGGCTTGTCCAGCGACGACGCCGGCTGCGTCAGAATCCGCGTGCTGATCCGGTACGGGAATCGCCGCTTGATTAGATTCACTGCGTTGGCCAGCGGCGCCCGCGACGTGTTTGCGTACATGGCAAACGACGGTGCCCGCCATGCGTCGCCCAGACCCGCTACTGCCGCTTGTGCTGCCGGCTGCACTAGGAAGTCGTTGAACAGCAGCCAGCCGTCGGGCGAATCCGGATCCCGCACGTGCGCTACCAGGTGCTCCGGCCCACGCGCTGTATCGCGGATGCTCGACACCACCGCCACAAGCTCAAAGTTGCCCTCCCGGTTCTCGCCGACCTTGACACGTGCGCTCTTGTTGCTGGTCACTGTCAGATCCAGGCGCATCGGCAGCGTGAAGCGCCAGGGCTCAGCGCCAGCATTGCCGCCGCCTGCCGGTGTCATCGGCGTCGGCGCGCTGTTCGTAGGCACAGTGCCTGTGCTGGGCGCGTCAACTGCAGAAAAGTTGACCGCCAGGTACCCGCTGGGCACGCGCGTCATGTACTTTTCGGTTTGCAGCAGCTGGAACTTCTTGCATTGCGCGCACCACGCGCGCGTGGTCTCGGTCTTGCTCAGTGCCTGCTCGATCAGCTCTGCCACGCCCTGCCGGCTCTTGCGGCGCCCCAGCTCCGCGCGCTTGACCGACGCCGAGCCGCCCGCCAGCAGCGTGGCCAGGTCTGCTGAGCCGTACGGCGAGTCCAGGTCCACCGCGAATACGTGCGAGTCGCGCGACTGCTGGCTGGAGCATACCGGACACGTGGTCTGTGTCGCCTGCGGAAACCCGACAATCGCCTCCACCACCCGCTTGCTCATGCCCGGGCCCTGCCCCGTGATCCCCAGCGCCGCGCACTCGTTGTTCGCCTGCTCCAGCACAAACCGCAGCAGCCGCTGCGTCAGCACGCTGTACGACACTCCGTCCGTCGGGTTGCCGTGCGCGTCCTCCAGCAACGCCAGGGCCACTGCCTCGGGACGCTGCTGGATCACGTGTAGCAGATGTGTCGCATGGCAGCTGGCTCCCTCCGCTGTCTCCAGCATGCGGAACAGCAGCCCCAGCTGGCACGTCAGACAGAGCGGCTCTGGGCAGTCTGTCGCGCAGTGCGACAGCGCGATCTCACGCAGCTCCGGCATAAAGAACAGCACCTGCAGCAGCGCATTCGCATACGAGTTGGTGATGTTGCCCTCCAGCCCGCCCCACCGCGTCGCATTGTACAGCGAGAAGTCAAAGTCCTCCACTCCGAACCGCGAGTACTCAATCCGCATCTGCTGCAGATGCGTCGGCACCTTTCCCACAACCCCAGACGATGACGGCGCTGGCGAGCTGCGCGACACCGTGTCGAATGACGCCGTGCGTCCGCCATTCAGCAGTGGTAGCGCTGCTGCCGCAGGCACCGGCGATGACACCTGCTGTTGCTGCTGGATGTACTCGGCCGTCTCCCGCCCCATCCCGCACCGCCGCTGCACTGAAATGAACTTTGACCGGCCCTGTGTCAGCTCATCGTCATCCGTCACCCCCTCTCGCCACCGCCGCCGCCATCCCATCCCATACGGCTGCTGGTTGCGCTTGGTCGTGCGCGGATTCGGTGCATATCCGACTCCATCCATGTGCTTCAAGTTGCCTAGGATGTTCGGGTCCACATACGAACACGGCCGCCCCACATCATACAACGTGTCTACCGAAAGCCGCGACAGCAAGGGCTCGGTGTACTCCGGCATGTACACATAGGATAGCGGCACCAACTCATTGTCAATGTCGATCCCGCACGTTGTGTACGCTCTGGCATGCTGCTCCTCAGACATGACCGTCGGAGGCACCTCGCCGCCATTGCTCATGATTATGTTGGACTTGTTGGCCCAGACGTGCACCATGCCGTCGGTATCCGACACCACTGCCACCGACTCCGTCGGCGACACACTGAACCCCGACATGTATGCGTACTCACTGAGTACTGGCTCAATAAAGTCCGCTGACGGCTCAAGCACATTCGACAGCGGCCGTGACTCGGCATACCCGCTGTCATAGCACACCCACAGGTCCCCGCCTGTCACCTGCAGCTTGCTGGGCACACCCTCGCAGACAATCTCATCCACGGCCGCCGTCAGCTTGCGCACATCATACACCTTGATCGTCGACCCCGGCACCATCTCATACGATGTCGACGCATCCATTGACATGCCACACGCAAACAGGGTGTGGTCGTGCAATGCAATATCTGACACCGGCCCGAGTACGCCGACACTGCCTGCGTAACCTTGAACGCCGCCCGCGGATCCCGCACTGCCAGCGTGCCCGTCATGGTCGCCAGCGTCAGCGCCTGCGACGTGTAGTCCATGGCTGTCGTCGACAGCTCCATCGTGAACCGCTTCATGATCGTGCCCTGGCCCAGCGTCACCACTGCCGCCCCGCCCGAGGTTGTGCACGTGATAAACTCGGTCTGAGTATGCTGGTTCACCGCGCTGCCCGTAAACACATCGTTCGCCGACGTCGTCTTGCCATATACCTTGCATCCGCCGCTCGTGCGCAGCTGCACCGAGTCGTCGCTGCGCACCAGCACGCTGTTCTGAAGCCCGTGCAGCTGCCGAATCGGCGAATGCGAGCACACGCAGATTGCTTGCTTCTCCAGCTCCTCATTGGGCCCTCCTAGCATGTACGCTGTAACGCGGCCGCCGATATCGCCTGCGTACAGCAGCTCCGACTGCTGGTCAAATGCCAGTGCGGACACCGGCCATACCGCCCCTGAGCCCTCGAATACATCGAAATTCTGTGCGTACTCATACCACGACGAGCCCATTGTGAAAAATAGTCGAACCTGATTTAACAGAAAATTGGCAACAAAAGAAAAAGCGGAGCCTGAGGAAAAAGCCCCGAATAAAAGAAACTGCCTTGAGCCAATACGCCCCGATGCTGCTTGCGCCGCCGATGAACTTTGAGGCCTGGTACTCTCTGGTACATCACTACTACGCTGCCGATTCGGCTGTGCCCTGCTGGGGCCGGTCGCCCCTCGGTTCATCGTTACTACGGGCGCTCTTCATGACGAACTCCTTGACTTTCCCCACTGCATACCAGTCGTCGGCCTCAGTCTTCGCGTAGTTTGGACTCATATAGCCCTCGCTTCCACACTTTGGATTATCAGCCCCACAGCTGTCAAAGTCAATCAGAAAGAGGTTCCCATCGTGGACCATGATGTTCTTTGGGTTGATATCCCCATGGACAACTCCAACCGAGTGAATGTATCTCACAGCATCCTCGAGCTGTTCAACAAGCCGCTGTGGGCTGTCTATCACAGCGTCTTCTAGCGGCTCGCTGTACTCATCGAGAACGATCCCTGTGACCAGGTTATCCTCGACCTGGCAGCCATGGTACTTGCAGATATTCGGATGTCCACTCCCCAGCTTCTCGTAGGCCTCAATCTCGTTTCGCATGGTGACTACGTATGAGTTATCCAGCGCGTAGTAGTCTGAAATCGGGGTCTTGACGTGCTTTCCTTCAACCGAGCCACTGGCCATCTTGTAGCCCTTGTACTCTGGGCAGAGCTTCGTCCTATCCACTCTATCCCCAGCAATATCGGGTGTGAACTTTACCATCTCATTGCTAGTTTTATTGTACCAGTTCCCCTCTTGGTCCTTGAAGTTGAGGGAGTGGTACGTGTTACCCTCCGTATACACGGTTAAGGCAGATATTATTTCCATGACCTGTAGCCTGTATACTGTCCAGTTTGGTTGGTATCTCTAGAAGTGTGAGACGCAAGAAAGAGGGAAGCGATGTCTCAGTTCAACGGACACGAAAGCGCCCCTTTTAACAAGATCTCCGACCCCAGAAGCAGTGCTGCGGCTATCCAACTATACCAAGCGCCTGCCTGTGCTGGCATCCGAATCCGCCTAAGCCACCAAATAATACAATACAATCCACGAATGCGATGGCTGCGGCATAGAACAATCTTAGCATATAGCGACCAAGGGTCTACATATGGTGGCTTTGTGTGCTACACCAGACATGGCCAATACACGCATTGCATGACCGCCGATATATGCTCCATGGCTACACAACGCTGAGTCGTCTTTTATTGATCTAGTCCAGCTTCTGAGCAGCCTCCATCAGCTCATTGTAGTCGAACTCCTCAGGCTTGTGGTTGAATTTTTCCAAAATCCGACGCTTCTCCTCCCCGCCAGTGACATAGAACTGCTGCATCTGCAGGGCCAAATACTGGGCATTCGACGTATCAATCATCTTGCTCTTGTCGTCAAGCTCACCGCGCATCAGCACGACGCCCTTCGAGTCCATCAGATCCGTGTAATGTGTCAGCGTCAGGTACGGCCGCGCGTTGATCGTGTTGGTCTTGTACTCGAGCAATGACGTGAAGTACACCTGGTGGTAGTCAAACTGCATGAAAAAGAACTCGACGCCCTCCTCGCGCGGCAAGGGAATAACAAACAGCGGGTTCTTGCTCGCAGTCTTCAGCAGGTCCTTGTAGGTAGAGGCTGGGATTGCCGCCGAGATCGTGTCCTTTGTCGCATGGTACTGGTTCCAGATGTGGCCGACCTCCTCGGACGCCTTGTCGGCCAGCAGATCAGTGCGCATGATCTCATCAAGAGACTTCACGCCCGGCGGCAAGTTGTTTGCACTTAGGTTCGAGCTCCTGTCAAGCGGGCGCTCGGATTTGGCTGCTGCAGTCTGCGCGGCATTTGGCGCAGTTGTCGGCTGTTTGCCTGATGGCTGTGCGTCCGATTGCTTGGTCGCAGTTTTTTGGCTTTGCTCGGCTGCCTTCTGCTCCTCCTCCCTGATCTTTTGCTTCAGCTCCTCGATTGAGTCCAGGCCGCGCACCTTGGCCTGCTGCAGCATCTTTTCGCGGTACTTTTCTTCGTAATCGGGCACATTCGGACATGCGCATGGCGCCAAAGCGAGGCCCCAGCGGCAACAGCGACTGCATGGACAGGGGCGAGGCATGGCTGGCCAGACGCGTGGCGGTGTTGAGCCGGGCAAGCATTTTGCCGGCAATGGGTCTGTAGGCAGGCAGCATTCTGCAAGTATGCAAAAAGTGAGAATATGCGACAAGCAAGTGGAAGAGAGCAGCGCTGACGATAAGGGCCGGTTCCACGCTGTCGTGCCTGCTTATAGAAGGGCGTTTGATCTGATGGGCTCTGATCGTGATCAGCGTGGTACCAGTACCCTTCAACCAGAGTAAAAAAAAAATCGATTTCGATCATTAGCTCTTTATTTCTCAACTTGCAGTATACAGCACATTCATTCGCCCATTTTCTATTCTTGTAATGTCGGTCCGCAGCGAAACCGCAACAAAAGCGACCTTCAAAGGAGACCGGTGAAGACTATATCGGACTGGCGGAATCGTCGTCAGAGTCAGAGGTGTCGGACACAGAGCCAGCACCCGTTGTAGCGGGCACAAAGCGCAAGGCGCCGGAGGACGACCTAGAAGACAGTGAGGCATTGCCGGCAGCAACCACCTATGAAAAGTGCTACAACGGACAGCCACTTCCGCCATGGCTGCACGGCAAGCAGCGACTGGGCAAGGGCAGCAAGCCGGCGATCAGCGACATGCTGAACGAGGAGGTGAAGGATTTTGTCGATTTTATCTCGCCAACAGGCGAGGAACGGCAAATGCGGCAGTGGGTGATTGACCGGATCCAGCGCGTGCTGGACGGGCTGAAGATGGTGGGCGTGGAGGCGAAGGCGTTTTGCTTTGGCAGTTTCAGCACCAACCTGTTCCTGCCAACGTCGGACATTGACATGACGGTGATGATATACGATAAGGGCACGACGCGGGTAGCAAGCAGATATGCCACAAAAGACTCGGTGAGGAAGTTTCTGTACACGCTGGCGCACGAGCTCAAGCGCTCCACCTTCGCGTCCAAGTGCGAAGTCATTGCCAAGGCGCGTGTGCCGATTATCAAGACGCATGAGAATGTCACCGGATATGCAGTTGACATCTCGGTGAATGCTGACAGCGGTCTGGGATCGGCCAGGGTGCAAAAGTCGTTCTCTGAGCACGTTTACCCAAAGACCCTGCGCAGCATTGTGCTGGTAATCAAGCAGTTTTTGTCGCAGCGGATCGATGAACGAGGTGTACACCTGGCGGCCTGGGCTCGTATGCGATCACGCTGCTGGTGGTCAGCTTCTTGCAGAATCACCCGCGTGTGCGCTCGGGCGGACTCGATCTGTATGAGAACATGGGTGTGCTTCTGACCGAGTTCTTTGAGCTGTATGGCAAGCGGTTCAACTATGACAACGTGGGCATCAGCGTTAGAGACAGCGGCAACTACTTTGACAAACGCAGTCGCAACATGCTGAATGTGGGCCAGCCGTACCTGCTGGCGATCGAGGATCCGTGCGACGAGACAAACGACGTGACCAAGGGCACGTACGGAATCAGCCGGATCAAGCAGACATTTGCAGGCGCTTATGACCTGCTCAACAACGCCATCTACGCGTACCACCAGACACGCAAGTTCGGCGAGCCCATCAACAGCACACTCAAGGCGACAGCCGTGCCCGAACAGCCGGGCTCGAAGCGGTCGAAAAACAATAAGGGTGGCAAGTCAAACCGGAAGTCGGCCAAACTGTTCAACGACGATCCGTGGGCGCCTGTTTCGTTCCTGTCCAGCATCCTGAAGGTCAACCAGTCGGTGGTCACAGCCCGACAGCGCATCATTGCCACCTTCCACAAGGGCACGATGCAGCGCATTCTCGGCGTGTCGTACAACCCGGTTATTGTGAATCTGGCAGAGGGTGACTCGAATGGAATCGGGTCGGTGTCGGCACCGGCATCAAATCCGCCATCCAACCCACCCAGCGCCCCGCCGACTGCGCCGGTATCTGAACCTGAGAATGATGCCGAGGTTATCAGTGACGACGGCGACGACGGCGACGACGGCTACGATAGTGTGGATAGCCAGGAAGCCGACGATTTGAGGATGCTGCAGCAAGCTTTTGGGAACACCACCAAGGACCCAATTGTGATCCCGAGCGACAGTGACTTTGAAGAATAATAGCCTGACGCTCCAAGTAAATACATTGCGCCATTTGACAGTACGGTTGCGCTTCCCAGAGCTCGGGTGGCTAGTAAAGCGAGAAAGGAGGGGGGCATAGGGGTGGGTGACCCATGCAACTGGTGGCGCCTGCGATTGTCGACTCGCCACCAGCAAATGGCGGCAATTCTGTTTTGACCGGCCCGCCAGGACGCTTTCCCCTCCCGCCACTGTTCCCCAACGGCCACCAGAAGTTGACTCATGTCACCCGAAGGTGGTGTAGCGGAGATGTCTGCGCTTTATTGACTAGAAGCTTTTCGCATAAACAGGAGGCATGCCGGTAGACATGGTGGCAAAATCCCATCGGGCAATCCAGTTGCGCCACTCTGGTAACACACTCGCCCAGATCCAACAATATTCTCCGACACAACCGCAGGCGAAAAAATAACAGTGGCAAGTGGTGGCCGCTCTATGTTGGTGAAAATGCTGGTATTTTTAACAACAGCGCTTGACGAGTCACTAAAAATCAAAAATTGCGCTAGCACGTTACTGCGCTTTTTTATCTACGTTGCTGCGGTGATATGTTGCAATATCGGACAGCGCAGCAGTAACCGGTTTCACCATCATGAACTCGGAAGCTGCACTGGATCGGAAGCTCCCTGTTGCCCTAATTGACACTGCAAGCTACAGAGTGACAAGATCCCACCCATGAATGACTGTCGAGGGGTCTGTTATGAATCCAGGACCGCCAACCAGCCTGCACGGCATAGGAAGGAAAATAATAAATAAAAAAGGTGCCACTCCCTCCACCGGGTTGTGCTCACTTGGCAAGGCCCGGTATAGCGCCACAGCATGATTGAACCAAATGCCACCTCCTTCCGATACCTGGAGAGAATAGGGAACACTAGACAGTAACGTATTATTTTTCTCTTCGCACACACAGCCCTATCATTTTGCTCTCGTACTTTTTGCTGCAACCGCTTCGCATACGCTGCGTTCTATGGCGGAACGAGAACAGAAACGCTGGAGGCGCAAAAGCCCAAGGCTTTTCCCTTGCTCACAAGACTGCTCCACGACACGAGCAATATCTCCGTTCGAATATAAATACTCGCATGCGGCGAGAGGTTTGTGCTTTTTTCCTCAAGCACTTTGCATTTCATTCATTTTTATTTCTCCGTTCAGCCGATTCCACCGCTTGTTTCCAGCCTTGGTTCCGGTTCAATACACCTGCTACGCACTGATACCACCCAACCACCCTCCATCTAATATCATGAGCCCGTTTGTCACCTTTGGCCAGGACCGCGACGTCAACACCTGCGATCCCCGTGGTGGGATCTCTATCGAGGAGGCCAGGGAATACTCCATCTACGTGTAACCAAAAAGCTTTACATTTGCTCGTCGCTCTCTTGCATAAACTACCCATCCAATAAATAGCTGCATCTGCATTTTTCACCCCTCTCTTCCGTGCAATGTTTCTGGTACATGTGAGAAGGATGGAATTAGAAAGGCGGAGGCGGGGTAAAGTGTGCAATGCTCTGTGAGAAAGCGCCCTGGATATGCCATTACGACGCACCCTCCAGCCTGGCCATGGACAGGAGAGTTCTCTTACCAATAACCGCCCCTGCCACATCAATATCAGTGGGTATCATGCACAAGGACATGCACTCTGTCCAGAACAGCCGGCAGATAGACTCTTGTAGCCATGTTCAGTCATAACACGCACTTCCGGCCCTACTGTTGTGATCAGGTGCCAAGAGCACATAAATAGCAGGGGATACCTGCTTAACGGTGCACCATACATTGGGGTATTTTTATTCTGCACGCCACGCAAAGAGAGCGTGTCGCATGCATGGTCAACAATTAGGCTTGCTTTTGCTCAGTGGGAATGTTTTTGGCAGCCTCCTTGGCCCACTCCGGCAGCTCGGTTGCGTACGACCATCCGGGCCCACTGTACCGCCATGCATGCAGCCAGATGCACAGCTGATCCGGACGCGGATCCGGGTACGCCGGGATCGAGCACTTGTCGCACACACGGTCGCCCTCGCCCCGCTCTATTTCCTCCTGCAGGTCCTTCCACTTCTCCATCCGGCGCACCAGCGGAATCCACGCTTCGCCATTAGCCGCCGACAGTCCGCTTGGCGCCGGAGCATCATCGCATTGCGTATCCGAAGGCAGCTCGCCCTGCTTGCCCATCTGATCTCCCCACACTGCGGCGTTGCAGTAGAGCGGGTCGTTGGCAATGGGGTAGCCCAGGTACTGCAGGTGCACGCGGATCTGGTGCGTCCGCCCCGTCTTGGGCTTGCAGTACACGATGCTGTGCGAGCCGTCAGTGTGAAGTCGCTCGAACTCTGTTAGCGAGGGCTTGCCTTCAGACTTGTCCACGCAGTTCAGACTCAGCTTGTGCGCGATTACGCGGATCGGCTGGTCGCAGACAATCTTGCCTTCAGGGAACTCGCCCTTGACCTTGCAGATATACTCTTTCTGGATCCGGTGCTCCACCATCTGGCGCTCGACTATGCGTGCCATGTCGGCATTCAGCCCGATCAGCATCAAGCCAGATGTCAGCCGATCGAGTCGGTTGACAGGAAACAGCTTCGCATATCCATGCTTGAGTTCCAGGATCTTGATCACAGAGTTGTAGTTGTACCGACCGCTCGGGTGCACTGGAATGCTTCCTGGCTTGTCCACCACCAGCATTCCCTCCTCGGTCTCGCGCACAATTTGCAGCGGCTGCGGCGTGACTGGCGGCTCGTGTCGGTGGATCTTGTGAGTGACAAGATCGCTGTTGCGGATAACTGTGTCGGGCGTGACGCGCTTTTCGTTGATCTCAATCAGACCGTCCATGATCGCCTTCTCGTAGTAAGTTGAGTCGCGGTCGCGGAATTCTTTGACAAACACCTCCAAGATTGTGCGCCCAACCCACCGCCCCTTGGCGTACGTCGAGTACTTGTGGAAGTACGGGTGAATCCGCTGCAGGCCACCCTCCTCGTAGTACAGCTCAGAGGCCCTGGGGGCTGGCGATTCCTCCTTCGCCACCTTGTTGCCACGACGGCCCTTGTCGTTCTTGTCGTCTAAAGGGTGCTTCCTTCCCATTTTTAAACCTCGAAAATAGATAGAGGGCAGATGTGCTGAAAAGACAATCTGCCAACTATCGGCAAAAAATTGGTCAGGCGAATCCCCATTTTTCCGGGCAATTGCCAACTATGGAGACATTGTGTTTTCCCGTCTCTACGCCACACCCATGCGCTCTCCTCACCGCGCCTCCTTTGCCGTGTGCATGGTCAAGACTTTGGAGACAAAAACATTTATTCAAGCAATCAAGTACCGGGTATTTCTTGAGAGCAGTCAGCCACACTGAGAGCCGGCTGAGCCATGCATATTTCTGGCACTAGCATGTATCTTGGCTGATGCTACTCAGTGTCTCCAAGCAGACTAGCGACTGATGCCCAATCGGCCAGAACATACGCTACAACCAGATTGTTTAGGGCCTCTGAGACCTCGCTATTCTCTGAAGCTGCCTGGAGAACAAGAGCACGAGTGTTTACCATCATGCGGATCCCCAGCGCGGCTGCTGCCATAGTGACTCCCACCTCCTTACTGCCCATGCTGCCAGCGTTCCTCTCCAGTCTCTGGATAACTTCATTTGGGTCTGGTGGGCTCAAATGTGTTTCGGTGGTAGCTCCTGCACCTAAAACTGGGGTGCTAACTGCATCGGCAATGAAATGGGGTTTATTGGCCGGCCAGTGAGATAGAACTTGGGATGCCCTTCGAGTCCAAGATCCCCAACTTCCATTACTGGTATCGACAGTGCTTTTATGTGCCATGTTGTTAGATATTACGTAGGCTGTTAAAACAAGTCAAAGATGAGGAGGGCAATCGTCAGAGGTTAGAATCACCTGCCCTTGTCATTTTCACAGACCATATCTTTTGATATGAGCTAGGGTTCTAGCACAGAGCCTAACTCACCTCAAAGCTAGCCAAATTGGCTACTACCAATGAGCGTGCCATTTTGATCTCAGGACGCACAGACCGAGGAATGACTGTCAAACACATCACACCATCAGTAATCCTTCGCTCAGTATTTTGAGAACTAGAGCAGCTGCTTCTGTCCAGGTAACCAGGGTCCAAATGTGCCATAGCGCAGATATTGTCCGAGTAACTCCCCTGGATCTGACATCCTCAAAGCTGGCTGCCCGTGTAAGATAAGCGAATGTTCCAGTTATTCCTGTGCTCCATTTATGATGTATATGTATTCTGATTGAGGCAAAACTAGTATCAGCTAAGAAGCTAAAGAGGACTCTACCACTGTGGATACACAGCCAATTATGTAGACTGGACACAGTAGTGGCATGACTGTATGGATCTGATTGTAAGCCTCAACACTAATATGTAACAGGCTCCACCTCTGATCCAGACGGCAGCCGACATTTTCCTCATGCATTAATTTTCATGGCTCCGAGTTTAACATGTTTGTGCACGGTGACCCGTTTGAAACAGCGATGCCAGGAATTTATTGTGCAGAGTTCAAGGAGAACTGCGAGCGACGGAATCGGATTAACGCATTTGGAGCGACAAGGCGGCTTCCAACTATCTGATCACTGGGTCTAAGGGAACCCATGGACTCGAACCCCCATGCTACAATAGCCTCAATCACTATTCAGAATGGCAGATACTATCTAGTAGCGGATAGCCACCCCTTCGCCTTACTACCCCTTCCCCCTTCTTTCATAGAGCACATTTTCATACACTTCTATAAATCATGAAAGGATTATTGCAAGACAAATGTATCTAAATAGTTGCAGAAGACTGTTCTCCATGTATATCGCACGCGAGATACCACAAGCAGATTTGTACCTTCAGGTAGTATTGCTCTATTAGTTGCCCAGCGAGCATATATGTCGGATGATAAAACTACAACTAGCATTGGCCAACAACACAAACATGAACTCCTGGATGTTTCTTGATGCATTTTTTTTTTTGGCTAACATGCTTATATACCAACGCAAAAAGGGTCCAGTCAACTACATTGAAATATCCAATTTGCTGAAGTGCTGCAGCTAGGGAGGAGGCTACTGCAGTCTGAAGAACTAGACATTCCAAGTACACCCTCTGCCTGTGGTTGGGTAGGGCTGTCGACAACATAGTACACGTTGTCAATCCATGGGTCTATGATTTCCGTCTCAATGGCAGTACCAAGCGCCCTTGCTTGGCCACAGGCAAGGCCAGTACTGGTATCAAGATCAAAATTCTATCCTGAATGGCGCCAATGCTGTCCCTCCAAACTCTTTCACCCAATTATATCTGTTGATGCTTAGGCTCACTGGAGCCGAACTAATTGAGCCCGCGAGCCTGAATATGAGACTTGCAAGCACAGGCAAGGATAGCTTTATTTTATAAAAGTAGTGAAAAAGGTACGCAGCCCTGGAGTTGCGGTCAGAATAGTCTGTATTTATAAAAACCCAACTCAGGAATGCTCTTCAGTATATCCATATTATCAAGCCCTCATTGGCAATATTTGTGGTTGGTATACTGGGAAAGTATTAAATTGTTTAAACCATGAGGGTGATGTAACTTTGCTCACTAAGAATCCATGACAGTGTTTGCGTTATATACACCACAAAGAACTGGCAATTGCTAAATGAGCAGCATCGTGTGGGAAGTTGCATGTGGCGTGGTACTGTTGTGTTTTGCGTATAAATTTTGAAATATGCAAAGAGTAAACTTTAAACTGAAGAAGAAGAGAAAGATATGTTACGCGGCCGTGCCAGTGCACCTCCATATCTAGCTGCTGCTTTCCTTGCTTCTGTTGCTGCCCTCTTTGCTGCGTTGATCTTGGTAACCTCCTCACGTGTTTTCGAAATAAACACCTGCTTGATTATTTGCTTGTCCAAACGCACATGGCCTGGGATCCATGATGTCTGCAGAGGCAAGCATTGGGGGGGAGACTTGCCAAGCTGCTCATTCTCAATAAGCTGGCATAGGTGAATATATGCACGCAGATGCTGAAGTGGATTTACCTTGGCATCATAGTATCGGCTGTCTTTGGCGAATCTGTGCTTGGCATCATAGGCACTAAGGACTGGTGCCAGCTTGTTGTAGATTGCAAGCATCGGTGGGGTGAGCACACTGAGATCAGGGTGCCTAGAGGCAACTGCCTGGCGGAGCTTCTGTGCAGGCATGTAAATATACACTTGACATGCATTATTGAACTCAGCCTTGGACACATTGCCCATTGTACTGTGTAGTGTGTTTTTGCGGCTGCGAATATCAATCAATTTGGCCAGAATCCGCTGTAGGCAAGTGCCATAGTGCAACACAATGTTGTTCTTGTATGCTGTCATCAGCTCGGTATCCATGTATGTTGCCACTTGAGTCATTTCGCGCTCGCCATGTAGCTCGATATCGCCATTATGTAATAGATAATCATAAATATGGTATCTAACTACATCACCGAAATCTGCGCTTAACAGTTCTGACCTGTCCTTCCAGTTGATGAAATCCTCGGCAGATATGGCCGTCTTTTCCTTCAGATTGTGGTATATAAATAAATAAATGGAACGAAAGAATCCCTTTTTCACAAGTATTGAAGGGTCAAAGGCATCATCATCAGCTAGTTGATGGAGTAATATCCATGGTGCAAGCATGTATGTATGCTCTTTGATGATATTGACGCTGTGTACAAATTGCTCTAGGCGGGGCAACATAGAATCACGGAAGCCAATACCACCAAGTGATGTCTTTATGACAGCAGTGCTGCGGGTAATATTCATTTGAGAAATTCAATAGGCAAGTAAGAAGAGAAATGATGCTGTTCAGTTTTGCTTTATTATGTATGCATAGCATTAAGAACTTTTTATTAATAATGATCTGGCTTGCATTATTCTTGGGGCCCTTAGCACTGATACAGTCTCTTGAATAAGTCTATACAGACTGGGTCCATTGTAGCCCAAATACTACTGCTTACGCATGTTCATAAGACAAATTAATTTATAAAATAAACCCGTAAATATTGTCATCCTGAACGAACGTCTCGTGACGTTCTGGAAACATTAGTCGAACAGCAGTGACTGCTGCCCTCCCTCCTCTCCCTCTCTTCCGAAAAATTTTCCGGTAAGGAGCTCATCCATAGAGGTACTAGCTCCCTTTTTTATACGTGTCGGATGATACTCAGAAGCTCACCCTCCACGTTTCATTTATGATTTCATCTAAAATTTCATTTTAAATTTCTATCTTAATTTCGGTCTTTAATACAGAAAGGTTCCCAGCAGTCACTGCTGTGATGACTAATGCATGAATGCTAGAAGAGCTATATGGTCCTATTCAATAGGTGCTCATAGATAAATATCCTAAGAGTGTTGCGCAGCTGGTGATGACCACCATGATGACGCCATGGAGGTTATCAGGCCAACTGACAATGAGAGCAGCTCTTGCGCTGAACCAGTGGAGATATATAGTGGAGACCTGTGACCACTACAATAACAGCTTGTCACCCTAGTTTTACCGATGAGGTCAGATGCCGCACAAGATCAAAAGGAGTTTACGGAACAAGCCACTCAAACTCGTGTTGAAGCTTAAGAGTTTTATCTTTTTAACCAATTTAAAAGGTTCTAGCGGACAGTCGGACACCTTTTGGACTATAAAATCTTATTTATAGGTAAAGATTCTGGTCTCCCCAAGGTGGGTGTGAGCTCAGTTGCGATTGATACTGACGACAATATGGCGATTGTTCCAGCGAGTGTCAACACTGCAAAAATATATGACAGCTGCTATGAGCTGGTCAGTAGCACGCAGCGCTGTAGCGAGGGATTTGGATAATGTGCCAGTGACTATTGAGCACCGGGTTAAGGGGAGGAACTGGAAACTGATAATACCAGATGGAATCAGGTTCATATGGGATGTTAGGCAGCTAAAGAGGCACTGTGAACTACGTAGCAGCAAGATGATATTGACAAGTTTTGACGGCAGTTACATTTGGAGGCAAGGGCTTGGATATTTGAAGATCACTACCCTATTGGCAACTACTCCAAGCTTCTGATTACTGCGTCTTTGGGACTAATCGCCTAAACAAACCTGGAGAAGACTACGGATGAGTTGAGAAGAAGAGGGGATATGCGTATTCAAGGAATGGCGTTAGGGTCTTGGTAATTGAATGTTTGCCTATATACATCTGAAAAATTCATCACTGCAGCTGCTATAGTTTTAGCGAGATATGGTGATATTAGCGGGTCTTGTCCTGCACGACCCTAGGCAATAGAGCTGATAGTTTTGAGCCAAGAAGAATACTTACAGCAAACATAGATGACAGTGCTCCCGGTGTCTTTGAAGCTAAATGTTTCCGTCAAGCCTGCTAATTTGTGAACTAAGCAAGCTGAGAATTGTTCGATATTCGAAATAGGATTTTGGCTGCATGGATCGGAGATTAACTGGCACGAATCCGATCATTGAGCGGCATGAACACATCGCTTTGAATCAGCCAAGACCGCCTGATATCTTGGCACATGAAAATCTCCGGGTAGGTGAGAAATAAAATTGGCATATAGTGCTAGCTAGCCTGGCCATCTTCAAGTATCAATCTGCCTAGTTGTTTCTCTTCACTCCTGGATATTTTTTTTGTAAACTATGCAACTTGCTGACACCTACACTTTCTTCCTCGGAGCAAACAAAAAGGATTGGGTTGCCTATGCAGGCACATTCAAAACATATGCTGATGCTGTGAAATCTGGCCGCAAACCACTCAATTACTACGCTGGTCTTTCAAAAGTAATTGTCAGCTCCACAGACATCGATGTTGACGATGATCAGGCTGCTATTGCAAAGACAGCAGCCTCCAACGATATAGCCGTGGTAGCCACTATTGACTGGTCGACAGTTCGCAAGGCCGAGGTGACAGGACTGACCGGGCCACCGCAGACAGTCGAACACAGAAAGAAGGGGAAGAGCTGGAAGATGACGGTGCCAAGTGGAAAAAAGTACAAGTGGGAGATTGAGGAGCCAAAGAGACGCTGGAGGTTATGCAATGGCGATGAGGTGATTGCGAGCTTCGACAGCTATTACTTTTGGAAGAAGGAGCCCGGGTACTTGAAGCTCCATGGTGTCCACGACACCGACACAAAGCTCTTGATCCTTGCATCATGGGGGTTGGTAGCCAAGTCCCATTTTGAAAAGAGCACAATTGATAACCTCAACTCGGGCGCAATAACAGCTGGCACATATGGATTGGTGGCTCTGACATAGGGTGGAAGCGCTCACATGATTATACCATACCTATGCTTCACGTTTCAAGCAGTATAGAATTTCTTTCTCCATTTTTTAAATATTGGGTGGTGTTTATTCTGCTTCAACATATTTCCACCAGCACACCTGCCTTTTAAAAGAATCAATGGAGAAAGCATCCCAGAAAGAGCGTGAGCGCGACAAGCTCTCGAAATACCGGTACACAACAGAAATCCAGCAGATGATGTTTGTGTTTGGCGAAGTGCAGGACCCTCTACCTGAAACCACCATGCTCATTGAAGACATTGTGCGCTCGCAAGTGATCGAAATCATTGTTATGGCGGCGGCACAAGCACAGCGGCGTGGCTCGCGCTTTATGGCGGCGGAGGACCTGATATTCCTGATCCGCCACGACCGCACCAAAGTGCTACGACTGCGTGAGTACCTGAGTTGGAAAGATGTGCGCAAAAAGGTGAAGGAGAGGGAAGACGCAGGGGAAGAGCTGATGGATGACACGAGCCCAGATAAGCCGGACCGGGCGGCCAAGGTCAAGGTCAAACTGTCGTGGGAGCTGGCAAACGCGTTTTCCGAGAACATGGTCGATGATGATGAGGACGAGAATGACGACGAGATGGCAGATGCACGGAGCGACTCGCTGAAGCGGCTGCGGGACGCCGATGAGGTCACAAAGCAGATGACAAGGGACGAATATGTGCATTATTCGGAGTGCAGGCAAGCATCGTTCACGTTCCGCAAGGGCAAGCGGTTCCGCGACTGGGCCAATATGTCGGCGTATCTGGACACAAAGCTCAACGACGACATCATCGACATTCTGGGGTTCCTGACGTTTGAGATGGTGTCGACAATGACGGAGACAGCACTGAAGATCAAGTATAGCCTGGACAAGGCCAAGAGCGACGCGCAGGGAGTGATTAACAACGCGCGGCGGTCAGACAGCGGGGCTAAGCGGCAGCGGACTGGAGAGGGCGAAAAGGTGACGCTGTTTGCAGGTCCACCAACAGCCAGAGCGCCGCTGGAGGCACAGCACGTGCAGGAGGCGTTTCGACGCATGCAGCGGTCGTCGCAGCCGATACGCAACTTCAAGGGCGGGCTCACCAGGACCCGGGTGTCGCTGATTTGAGTGGTTTTGATGTCTGAGCCGTACCGTTGAATAAATGCGCCATACACCATGTATATGTTGCGAGTGGCCGTGCGGTGAGTTGCCACATTCTGAGTGGCTTTAATATGGATGTTTATATGGTTCTTTCACTGCGTATCCACCCTATATGCTATCAGCACTAGAGGCAGTTCAGTACCAAAACCAGGCACCGCCAGACACATTGCATACCGCTAGCTCGTCAGCGTCAACAGATATGGGCTTATCCCACATCTATGTTATCCAGAGACTTGATGGTATGGAGGTATGCGGCAAGCAGGCCAATATCAATATCGACACGGGCGGGAACAGCATCTCTTGGGGTGAGTCGTTTGTTATCTACCGCCATGTACAGACATATTGTCACCTGCCTTCAATACCTGGTATGCCAGCGGCTACCGCACTCTAGGTGCTCTTAACCCATATCAACACAAGCCCAAGGCCGTTGAATGAATCAAACTCCCTGGTCGCCCAGTCCTCAGCTGACATCATTATTCCAGATCTCCCCATTGATACTTCGGCTACCAGAACTGCAGTATGCACTTGTCCGCAATAGCCGTGAAGAGTTAGACCTAGACTGACGGTTTAACCTTTTGGCAACAGCAACACTGGCGACAACCGTGTGCCAATATGTAGACAACGACAGTTGGCTAGCTGAGCGACAGAGTGGCGCACTCGAAAGCCTTCCGAGGGTTTGCGTTTCCAACCACCTCACCGGCTGAAGCTGGAGCCAGCCGTATAATTGCAAACATGTCCAGCAGGACTGCCAACCCGTAGTACAACCTGAATAGACTGAAAAACCGGCAGTTCCCACTGAGGCCCGCTTTGAATACCTAAGACATGTCTGACTCCTCAATGGGTTTGTCGCATGATCCTTCCTACTACTCAAATGGGCCGGTTATGCACCTGTTCTACTCGGTAAACCTACCGCATGGTCTCTTCTACACCTACGGCTTTGAAGCTGCGTGCGAGCTATGCTTGCAACACTGATGTGGTTCTTGCCGACTATGCGCTTGCTAGGGGTATGAGGGCGCTCCCATACTCAACCAACATGACTACTAGCCCAGCTACGTATATGGTGCTAAGAAAAGAAAAGTGTGAAGACGTGCATGCTGTAAGGCTGGTGCGGGCAACAGTACTTTCCGAGGTGATGTGGAACTTCATTGAGGCCATGGGACTCTCGGTCGATTTGTTTGAGCATGGCCTGTCAAGGGGCAACTTGCTGTTCCTGCAGCTTCTGGTAGACAGCCTCAAGCTGCAAAAAAAAACCAACCCGGTGTTTACCGATAGCCAAGATGCGCTACTTGGGGCCAAGCGGCCTCGGACCAAGGGTAAAAACGCAGACCTCATCGTGCGAGGCTTTGGAAAACGCGGTCTGTGAAGCAACCTGGAAATCCAGCCGCCACACGTGGATTCTCAGAAAATGCTCACCTTGAGCCCAACTGTCCTTTTTTTTCTCGAGTCCTTCATTTTCAAAACTTTTTAGCGCTATTTTTTCAGCTAGTTTGCAAATGCACGCGCCGCAGACCGAGAAACTAAAGCGCCGGCTGGCGTCAATTCACGATTCGGCGCAGCGGCAATCGGCACACACACCACAGGCAATGCGGCAGCCGACAATTGCCGCTAAGCCCGAGCCCTTCATAAACGAGCAGTTTGTCGGGTTCCTGGCCGGTGGGCCCTTCAACCGGTTCGCGTTGGCATTGAAGTCGCAGCTGGAGAACGAGATTGACTGGGCATGCGCGCGACTGGTTCCGGCGACACACCAGTGCCCCGACACGTGGACATTGCACCAGCACGCGCCGTTCCTGGTCGAGGCCATGCTGAGCATTCTTGAGCGGTCGCGCAGCGAGCTCGCGTCTCCCAGCAAGCCAAGCGACGACGTAAAGGCGGTGCTGCTAGCGGACGTGGGCAGCGAGAGTCTTGGGCAGCGGGCGTCCGAGCGGGCGGACCTGCTGGCGACAGCATTGTTCAACATAGCGCAGATTGGCGAAAATGCCGGGGTGATGGCGCAGGACCCGCGGCTCATCATTGAGGCGACGAACTGGCTCAAGACCGACGGGCACGCAGCCATCAAGGCAAATATGCTGGACCTGCTCGACATGCTGCTGCCATTGGCGCCGCAGCCGCCGTTCGACACGTGCATCAAAACGTGGCCGGTGTTTGGGTCGCGCGAGGCCATCACGCTGGACCCGCTGGTGCTGGTCGAGACGTGTCTGTGGGAGCAGCTTGTGCGTGTGCTGTGCGAGTCGCAGGAGCGCACGCTGGTGCTGGGCGCCATCAGAGTGCTGGTGCAGGCCATAGCCTGGCACCCGCAGCTGGCGCGCGAGGTACTGGAGCTGAGCGTGCCAGACAGCCTCTCAGGCCATACCGTGGAGTCTGTTGGCGAGCTGGTCAACCGGCGGCTCAGCGAGCTGATTCTGTCGCCAGACGCCGAGCTGGTGAGTGCGGCGCTGGAGCTGTTGCTGAACACGGTGCGGCTCGAGGCCATGGCGAACGCGCTGGATGACGAGCTGGATGCGTATGCAGAGCGGACCGGCAAGGGTAAGAAGAGGAGAAAGGTGCGCGGCATCGACATCTCTGAACCGCAGTCGGGCACAGACTCGGGCACACAGACGCCGATTTTCGGGCTCCGGCCGTTGTCGCGGTCGATCAGTGTGATGCAGAGCGAGGAAAGCGAGCCGAGCATGCTACCAGACGGCCTGGCTGCGCTAGTCGCGCTAGTGAGCCAGCAGTGGCTGTCAGCGGCATGCCCACCGGTTTTGGACGATAGCAAGGCCGAGCCGACGAAACATAGCAGTAACACGCAGCCCCAGACTGCTCCGGAGCCAGCGAATAAGCCACCAACGGAACCCGAGCTGCGCGAGGCCTGCACATGGGTGCTGCTGAACTACGAGCTATGTCTGGTGCCGCCGGGTCAGCAGCCGAGCGTGGTGCGTATGAGCGAGCTGTACCGCCGGTACATGATTGCCAAGCAAGGCCAGACAGTGCCGCGTATTGGACGGGCGCTGAATCCGCCCGAGATTGTGCGGGTCGTCGCAGCTGTGTTCCCCAAGGCGCCATTGCAAAATGCGGGTCAGCGCGGACAGGACAATTGGATTGCAATGCACCTGAAGGCAAAGTCACAGAACATCGTGCCCATTCCTGCCGTGGTTGTCGATGCCGTCGAGCAGCCAAAGCCCGAGCCGGAGAAAAAGCCGCCCAATACATGCCTGTGGTTCGAGTGCGACCAGGCGTTTGACAGCGAGCAGGCGGCGCTCGAGCACCTGCACTCGCATATGCCAGGCGCCGACGCGTGCCGGTGGAGCGGCTGCAACCGGCTCCCCGCAACTGGCGGCGTAGCGGCCTGGTTGCCCACCCATATCCTGACGCACGGCCCGTTCTTCAAAGACCAGAATGACAAGCCTGCCAAGAGCCTGCCAGACGTCCGCACGCTGGCAGCCAAGCTGCGCGACGAGAAATCGCATATGCTGGCCAGCATCGTGCCGCTGTTCAGAACCGACAACCAGCAGCAGGTGCTCGGCTTGGTGTTGCAGGGCGTGGCAGTGCTGGAGCAGCTGCAAAAGTGGGCCGACAGGCGGTCTGGGCGTCGTGGCGAAATCGACCGCAAGCGCGTGTGGAGGAACGGCGACTTGGTCGTCGAGCGCATCGCTGATCTGGCCGGCCTGAGCGTCCACATTTCTCCCTACGTGTCCAAGTTGCTGGCCTTGATCAAGCGATCAAATGTCGATTAGCCCGCTCCCGTAACCGAGCTCCTCCGGCCGATCGCATATATTCTATGTGTAGGGTGGCCTTGCTCTGCTGGTAGCGCCTAGTTCTTTCTTTTTCTTTGGTCGATCTTTTGTTCTGTTTGCACATATACCCTACTATTCAAACTCGTACGATATTTTCCTGAGATGCCGAGGACAATGGCCATGGCTAAGAGGCGCGTTCCTGCAGCACCGGCTGTAAAAGAGACAAGGCCCGCCACCGCCGAACGCGCAGAGGACAGGTCGGAGATCGAAAAGCTCGCTGCCAAGCACTGGCTCGGATCAAAACCAAAATACACAAAGAAATGCGTCGACACCATCGCCAAGCACCTGGCTGGCAGCCATTTCGCCAAGCGCGCTCTGCAAGAGCTCGAGCGTACGCAGTACCTGGAGCGCTTCCTCTGGCCGCACTTTTCCGACGCCTCGACCGACATCCACGTTCTGTCGGTGCTTCTGATGGTGAACGAGAAGCATCAGGAGAAGCTGCTGGCGACTCTGTGGCCTGTGGTCGAGGAGAGCTTCCAGATGCTGTTTGCCAGGGTGATAAAGATTGCGCTCAAAGCCGTCGATTCCAGGGACGTCAAAATCGGCGTGTTTGGGCAGTCCGAGGTGCGCTCGGTGGTGACACAGTTTCTGGTTGCGTGTTTTGGGAGCCTCGAGACTGAATGTGTGCGCACGGCGTGCCTGCCGTTTGTCGGGATCTCGATCTGGCACAACGTCAGCGCCAAGGCCAGCATTGAGACCGAGTTTGAGCGCGTGCCGACCCTGAAAAGGCTGTGGAAGCACACGATGAAGAAGTTCAAGCCTGGGAAAACACAGCCAGACGAGCTGGCTGTGCTTACTGGGCAGCGCGATTTCCTGGCCCAGTGGATCAAGGCGTTCCTTGCAGCGCTGTACGAGGACCAGACAGTTGGGTTCTGTATCAAGTCTATCGAGCTGCTGGCCGACTTGCTGTCCCAGCTGGCAACTCGCCGGTATGTCAAGCTGCTGATCGTCGATTACCAGGTTTTGGAGCTATGTGCGAGATCGAGTATGTACAAGAATGACAGGTTTAGGTCGCTGGTCGAGATGCTGGAGAAGATGGTGTACTTCCAGGTCGACGACATCACCGGCCAGGCGCTGTCTGAGTATGATGCCAAGGATCGCCAGTACCAGAGCCTGGTGAGATTGCAGTTGCTTGTGTTCAAGCGGTTCCCCAAGCAGCTTGAAGACCTAGTTGTGTCCGGCACCCGCGCACTTGGTGACACCGAAGCTCTGGCCGGATATCTCCAGGTACTGGGCGATGATGACCTGCGCGAACTGGCAGAGATGCTGGGCGTGCGCACTGTACCAGTGATTGCGGCAGATGTCGACTTTATTGACGGTGAGACGTACACAAACACGTTTATCATATGCGCTATCGCCAACCGCTTCAAGACTCGCGAGACTGTGGCCGACCAGGTGCGTGGCATCTCGCCGTACCCAACCGAGTCATCGCTGTTTTCTGAGCTGATCACCGAAGCCGACAACTACGGCAGGTCAGCCGACCCCATCTCTTTGCAGTATCCTGTGCTGCCCATCCCCAAGCTCAACCTGCAGTTCCTGACTCTGCACGACTATCTGTCGCGAAGCTTCGAGCTGTTCCAGCTCGAGAGTGCATACGAGATCCGCGAGGACGTCAAGGACGCAATCAAGCGCCTGATGCCCAAGGTCGAGGATGACGTGTATTTTGCCGGCTGGGCACGAATGGCCATGCCGCTCAGCAGCTTCTCTATCGTCGATGTGCAGCGGCCGATGATCGGTCAGAGCGCCCCGTCCAAGGTGCGTGCCGACTTGTCCATCGACCTGAAGCCATACACAGAGACTGTCCGTCTGGAGTGGGACACCGAGGTGCGTCCGCACGATGTCCTGGTTCTGGTCACTGTAGCCGGTCTTGCTAGCGGCAAGCACGTGATAAAGTACGTGCGTGGGTGTGAGGTCGAGTCGTCTGTGGATACGGGCAGTGCCGAGTCTCTGCGCACGCTCCGGGTTCTGCTGGACGCGAACCAGTACCATAGCGATTTGAAGCTAGACGACGATGTTTATGACTCGTTTAATGTGGTTTTGCGTCGGCGCCCGCAAGAGAACAACTTCAAGGCTGTTCTGGAGACTATCCGCGAGCTGATGGTGGCTGACGAAGCGCTACCAGAGTGGCTGGCACCGGCATTCCTTGGATATGGCGATCCGGCCGCGGCTGTGAAGGTTGGGGCTACCAACACGGTTGCTTTTGGCGATACGTTTGTCGATGAGGCGCATCTGCACGAGTGCTTCGACGGATATGAGGTCCACGGAGAGTTCGGCAAGCCGTGTACTGTCACATTCGCCGGGCCAGACAGCAAGGCTCTCACAGTTTCTGGTGCACCGAAGCGTGCCACAGGCCCATTCCAAATGCTGCAGAAGAGGCAAAACTCTGTGCGATTCACTGCTGCGCAGGTTTCTGCCATCCAGTCTGCCAGCCACCCCGGTCTGACTATGATTGTCGGCCCGCCAGGCACGGGAAAAACCGACGTTGCAGTTCAGATTATTTCCAATCTCTATCATGCCCACCCTGAGCAAAAGATCCTGCTGGTGACCCACTCGAACCAGGCGCTGAACCAGTTGTTTGAGAAAATCATTGACCTGGATATCGAACCACGCCATCTGCTGCGCCTGGGGCACGGTGAGGAGGAGCTGGAGTCTGAGGAGCGGTACTCGAAAGCTGGCCGCGTCGAGTCGTATTTGGAGAGGCGCCAGTATTTGCTTGCGGAGGTGCAGAGGCTGGCAAGGGCCATGGGCATTGTGGGCGATTTCGGGTATACATGTGAGACAGCGCGGATGTTCTTCATCACCCACGTCAAGGTCAAGTGGGCTGCCTATCAGCGCAAGCTCAGCACCGAGGGGCTATCAAAGGACAATGTCACGGCGGCGTTCCCCTTCAGTGCGTTCTTTGAAGGGTCAGATGCCAGCGCTTTGTTCCCTGAGCAGGCAAGCCCTGAGGAACTGGCCGAGATCACCGGTGGTTGCTACACGTACATCGAGGACATGTTTGACGAGCTGCAGGATATCCAGCCGTTCGAGCTTCTGCGGTCGTCCCACGACCGATCCAACTACCTCTTGACCAACCAGGCGCGCATCGTCGCCATGACCTGCACTCACGCGGCCCTCAAGCGCTCCGACATGCTGCAGCTCGGATTCCACTACGACACAGTAGTCATGGAAGAAGCCGCGCAAGTGCTTGACATTGAGACATTTGTTCCCTTGGCGATGCAGAAGACGAGTGCGCGGCTTAAACGCGTGGTGCTGATTGGCGACCACAACCAGCTACCGCCTGTTGTCAAGAGCCAGGGGCTGAAGGTGTTTGGCAATCTCGAGCAGAGCCTGTTTGCACGCATGGTGAGGCTGGGTGTGCCGTATGTGGAGCTGAACCGCCAGGCACGTGCACGGCCAGAGATCGCCGACCTGTATCGGTTCCGCTACGATGATTTGGGCGATTTGTCTTCAGTGACTACTGGGGCATTTGCTATGCCTAACCCTGGATTAGCAAGCACCTTCCAGTTCATCAACACCGAGGACCTCGATGGGCAAGGGGAGAGCGAGCCGACCAAGCATTTCTACCAGAACCTTGCTGAAGCCGAATACGCTGTGGCCATATACCAGTACATGCGGCTGCTCGGGTACCCGGCCGACACGATCGCGATTCTGACAACGTACAATGGACAATGCGCGCTCCTCAACGATGTGCTGAAGAGGCGGTGCGAATGGCTGCCGTACTTTGGCCGGCCCAAGGCCGTGGCTACCGTGGACCAGTTCCAGGGCCAGCAAGCAGACTATGTCATTTGCTCGCTGGTGCGGACCAAGACGGTCGGCCACATCCGCGATCTGCGCCGGTTTACTGTAGCTGTGTCGCGTGCACGCCTGGGCCTATATGTTCTTGGTCGCCGCGATGTATTTGAGTCGTGCTTCGAGCTGCAGCAGTCGATGCAGAAGCTGCTGGAGAATGGAGATAAGCTGGTAGTTTGCAAGGACGAACTGTATGGAAGCGAGCTTCGAAAGAAGCGCAAGGCCTCTGTGGTTGAGGGCATGGTGGAGATGGGCAAGATTGTCTATGACATGAGCCAAAAGCATGTCGAAGAGAATGACGTAGCGGAGGTCGACGTTGAAATGGCTGTTGATGAGACTGTGGCCCCGAATCAATTGACGGCTGACGATCAGATAGATGACCAAATGGACGAACAAATGGACGAACAAATGGAAGACCAGAAGGACGAAATGGACCAAAAGTGATAAACGGTTTGGAACAATTGTACTTTGTCTTTATCAAAAGTTTCAGTAATGCATGCACGTTTCTGTTGCTGACTACGTTTATGTAACTGAAGCCGATGACACATCCAGATAATGGTTTTATTGGTATTCTGCACAAGGCAGAAGCCGTTTCTCGATCAATACACTTAAACCCAGTTAAATATGGTCATCTACTAGCGGCAGCACGACATAATCACTTGTCAGCGCATAGCGGAGCCCTCCAGTAAAGAACCCACTCCATGTTCTCTGCTGTATGGATAAGATTTGAACCCCCTATTCACACATCACCACGGCTGCATGATATACGCATGACCTGGCCCAACCTCAAACTTGATATCTGACGAAATCAACGAGCTCATAGCAAGTGCTGTCTTATTGGAGAAGAGAGGAAAGCGTGGAGCTCCGTGCCTCCCGCAGTTGGACTATCTCACACATGCTGCAATTTATGTATAGCATCATGGCTGGCCAGCTAGCCAAGCACGCTAAATGCGGGCACTAGTTTTACTCGGGGGAAGCAGCCACAGCACTCTCCGGAATAGCGACAGACACGGGCCCTCTTCGTCCAAGCAATAAACTCTCCTGCCGTCGCTCTTGGATGTATCCATGACGAGCAAGTGCTGAACAAACGTTCTTTTAATTTAAGCACGAAGCCAATCCTGAAGGCGCGGTGTGCACCTAGTGCCGATTGTTCGAGATGTGCTTTGTGCCCATCACTTCCGCTTTTTTTTGCTTTTTTGCACACCATCCCAGGACCACATGGGCTCTGCCTCTTGAACAGAGACAGTTTTTTCAAGACAAAAAAGAGGGCGTCTAATGTCTGCCACCAGGGAGGAACCTCGCAGTGTGGCGAGGTAGAGTGCCACGGGTGGACATTTGCAAAATAGAAAATCAGAAAAATAACAGCCCGCCACCCATCGTCGGTGAGGCGTATAAAAGAACAACGCCTGGACCCTTGGCCGCACCTACCCCTCCTTCGCTCCTTCAGCATCCAGCTTTCTCCACAGCGTACTCTGTACACATCCGCTCTCCTCCATAATGTCTTCTTCAAGCACTAGCTCTCTATTTACTCTCCAGAATATCCTCGACCATGATATCGTCACCTCTCACCCCCGAGACGGCATTTCGACTGAAGAAGCACGCATGTTCGGGTTCTGAAACAATCCGGGGTTGGAAGAGGACAGACTCCCCCTTTCTTTGCTCTGGAAACATAGTTTGTAAGCGGCCACGGCCGCCATTGTATTCAGTCACTGTAGTTGTACTCTCATATGTAATGTTCTGAGCACGTACAATTGGTTCAGTAGAATAAACGTTTTTGACCTTTCTGTATGCGGAAACCTGTAAAATGCCATACATGAAGACTTCAAGAATACGACTGTGCTGCAAACCAGCCAGTGGTGCGGACTGGGCAGCTAGATGTCTTGTTTTGGGCTCAGAGAAATGCGCACAGAAAAGCTATGCAAAGCTGCGCATCTCGCTGCCCTTCCGCAGCGATGGGCAGTGGGAAATCAGAAGTCCTAGCTCGGCATTTGCAGCTCCTAACCACATCCCCGCGTCCAAAGTTGGACAAATACGGCACATATTTTTAGCTTGTCCCGAACTCTCCCTAAACCGGGGACGCCTTGTCGCGCATACATTGACGTGTTCCGGATGTGCTTTCATGAGATGCATCTTCGGCACTTCTAAATATCACCATTTTTGCTGCCCCCTCCCCCGAATCCGCGAACACCATTTGGTGCGTTGCTCTCCCATGGATGCATCTCTTTGTGGACATTCGACCATGAACCTTGAGTCAGCAAAAACCTGGATATATAAAAGCCACCATTACCGAGAGTTTCCTCTTCAACTTCATATTCCTTACACCTCTCCGACTTTACACAACTATCCTCAGCACTTTTATTGCTCCAGATACACCCTCGATTTTTGTTCCAGCCATGTACAACTACTCCCACCTTCCGCTGGTCTCTCGCCGCGACATAAACATGACACAGCCGTGCAGCGGGTTGACTATCAGCCAAGCACGGTGGTTTACAGTAAAAGTCTAGGTAGCATGTCTACCTCTGGCAGCATGCTTGAGACTCCTTAATGTAAATAGTAGACAAACTTTGCCACCATTTGGTAGAATAAACAACAGCCTTGTCCATATCCTCAAACATATTGTATTTTTTCAGATTCTTCTACTTGAAAGACAGATATTGAAGCCAACAGCAGCACAGTTCCGCCTGTGGTTTGGATCTTCTTTTGCACACAACACACTTGCAATCACAAAGGATACCTGGAAGTGTCAGAAGGACCTTGCGCAACCGAATACGCCATGCTTCCCGCACGGAAGCCAGACCTGGAAGTTTGTGCATTATTTATTGCGCGTTGTCCATCATTTGCATGTGGTATGGCAGGAGGGAGGGCCGATCGGCAAAAACGGCAGAGCTCGGTATTTGTAGGACAATGGAAGGACGAGCGCAAGAGAACAATCACCACATACATACTTGGCACTACGCGAGAAGCTTTAATTCCCAATCATGATCTGCCTCCTGTGATCACGCCAAGAACCAGAGCTATTGGCGTTGTTGTTTTGCGAGACACAGCTACAGATGTAGGCGCAGGATGTAGCAGCTGAAAATATCAACAGCGGAAGTGTATGAGCAAACCGTAATTCTCTGCACCAAGATGAATAGTATCATGGAGGTATGTCTATACCTGGCTCATGTATATTGGCACGAGCTATCCAGCTCGTACTTTGCTGATACTCGCCAAAAATACTAATCGCAGACAACTTTTTGAATTATATTCAATATTACCAAAATGCGGTCCAAAGCCAAGCCGCTATCACGCAGACTGCCCAGTTGGAAAGGGTACTTTTGCAATCCCCTCACGGCGTGGACCTAGTATTGGAGGGGAATACCGCCCCAATCTCACTCTGTACACGTATCAGCAGCGGATGAGAAGGATGTGCCGTACATTGATGAATCCTAAAAACAGAAAACCCCGCTACACCCTGCCTGCTGTAACTTGTTCTCACAGTCGAGGTTTCACAAAATAGGGTAGATGCATATATAGGCACTCCTTCATGAGGAATGCTGATAATGAGACGCGAGAAGCAGAGATGCACTGCCCAATAGGATTACAGTTCTCGTCAAACAAATCCGCACATACCCATGGTTGACAAGACACAATTGTAATTCATGCCATTGGAGGCTTTTTAGATCTATCAAGGCTACAATAATGAAGGCAACATGCAAGCAAGATATAGCGGCCGGAGTACACAATGGCATGTCAGTTTCCAGGAGGTCACAAGATGGTGCGGACATTCAGCAATGTCGTTCCTTGGCTGCATACTGGACTCGGCACAATTTGGAAGGTGAGGCATACATGTATGGACGTTATCGATGGGGCTGCATTACTGTGAAAGCTAGGCTACTGCTGGACCAAGTGCACAAGAGTCTATGCCTGAAAAGGGAACAGTTGATGGCCAAAGTCTGTCATCCTCTGTAGCCCTCTTCGCTGGATCGACGCCGAAGAGATCTGTTGCTTTTGGAATCAAATGCGAAGGGGGCTGTCCGAGAAAAAAGTATTCATCCGATTGAGGATGGCTTAAAATAACTAGCTTTCCCTCATTTTTGCATGTCAGACTGGGCCGAATGCAAGAAGTGTCTGAAAGGATGATGGGGAGGAGCCATGTGTCAAATGGACTCGGTGCTACGCATGCAGTATTGTCTGCTGATACATGGCTGATGGGGAGAGATATCCCAATGTGGATAAAAATTGTGCACTACACCCCAGAAGGTGCATGTGTGGTCGAAATGTGGGAGGCGCGGGGACAACAAAGCGAATACTCGACCTCCCACTCCAATAAGCTTTGATTTTCCGCTGCAATAACATACATGGATTCGCAGCAACTGCGCACAGGCAGAATTAGCTTGTTGTGGCCTATATAGTCATCAGCCAACAGCGAATACGTTAAACGACAGCCGAAAAATTGCAAGGCAAAAAATCTGACAGAAAGTGGGCACCAGCAACGAGCACCTAGTAGCCAGTCGTGGATTCCCAAGTCTTCTTGCAGGGATAGCGAACATTTTAATTGCGAATGGACCGGGTCCTCCGCAAGATTTTTCTATTCTGTCAGTGCCAGAAGCAGACAGACTCCAGAGCACAAGTCGACTACCTGTCGATATCCTGCGCCGGCTGGACAGGAAAAAGACAGGTATGAGTAGGGGGCATTCGCGCAGTGATTCGCATTCATAGAGAGGCGGGCGATCGCGGGATTCTTTTTTGTTTACAGCTTCGACTTGCTGATTGCTCGTCTTTGCTCTGCCTAGTCGAGAGAGCCGCATAATGGTTATGACTGGGGGAAACCAAAAATAAATTCAGGTTGGATCGACATTCTCCTGCCAGTTTGCAAGACAGGCTAATTGCCAGCGGCACGCGCACAGTCCAAACATGCAGACACAGGTGATAGCTATACATACAGCATGGCATCGAATTCGCAAGTCTGGATGGCCTGGCAGCGAATCCCAAGCTGGCCATTTCCAGCCCAGGTGAGCTAAAGAAGCGCGACCCAGGAATTACGATAAGAGCAGGCATGTGCAGTCAGACAGAAAAAGAACTGTCCGTTACTACAGCCCAGACAAAGGATTGCCAACAAAAGCCTATTAACTGAAACGCACTGCCTCTTGAAGATGTGGGAGTGGCTATTGTACTTTGACAGTCATGCTCTCCCTGAGACATCGAGTCAGGGCCATGATCCAGTGACCGCACTCCCTCCTCGTCTGTTCGCCGCTCGAAAATCAAAGGGCTGATGGCAGGGAGGGGGAGGGCAGGGAGGGGGGTTGCTACAGGACAGCAACAACGAGCAAGAATGGCAGCCAGGCGAAATATTTTCTCTCTCCGCTCCTTCCTCAGATATAAATGCTCATTCGCGGCCAGGGAGAAAAGCAGTTCTGCCCAACACTTTTTTAGTCAATTCTATATCATCGAGCAGGCGGCTATTCCTCTTCTACTCTTCAAACAGCCTTCCCATTGCCTCCCACAGCCCTATTTCTGGTTCCAGTGGTCTATTGATTTCTTTTTCCAAATTCCGTTTCCGATATCCGTATTGCCTACCAGCCATGTGCACCACCAACAGTAACGCGCAGCTTGTGCTCCACAACACTGCAAGCCATATCCCGGCCGGGGCCGAGCCGGCCAGAGTTGGATGGGTCTGTGATAATTGCTGCAATATCTACTACAATTTCGAAGAAGTTGCCAACCACCAGAACGTGTGCACTGCGCGCTAAGCACTCCTTTTGTTTGATTCGCAGGCTACCACGAGTTGTGCATTTAGCCCCTTTATGTCGGGCTGTGCGCCACAGCTTTGTTCCTATTCTTCCTCTTGCCCAACCTTCTCTGATGCCATTGTCCAACCGACTGCTCACGCAGAGAGACTGAGACCAGCTGCAGTATGCGCTCGGTCTTTCGTTGGCCCTCTATATTTTTGTAAAGTCTTGCCATCACCAATAAACACCTAAAGACCCTCTTTCGTGCACCTAATGCTTTTTTTGCAATGCCCTGCGAGACAAATACTGTGCAAGCGATTAGCGCTTATTGATCAAGCGGCGCCGAGTCAGCCTAGGCCGAGAAAGCCTGCTCATTTGTCCTTCTTGGTCTCCTTCTTGACCGAGTCCTCAAACTCCTTCCTGGCCTTAGCCTTGCGGTCGGTTTCCTCCTTCAGCACGCGCGGGATCAGCGAGCTCTCGACGTAGACACGGCCGACGACATAGACAGCGCATGCAGTCAGAATGCAGAACATGAGGGCAACAATGGGCTGGATAATGAAGTCCTCCTCATGGCGCTTGTTCGACATCAGCAGAGTCATGGCAGAACCCTCGTACCACCGCAGGTTGATCTGCATGGTAGTCACACCGCTGACAGTCTCAGGCAGCGGGTGGTCGACGACTGGGTACATAGCGGCAGCAACCAGGGTGCCCTTCTCGCCGTGCAGGACGGCATTGAAGTTGCCTGAGATCCGCTTGAGCTTGGATCCGCCGCGCACACGCACACCGTCGATATGCAGAGGAACCTCCAGGTACTGTGTGAACGTGAGCTTGTTGCGCGGGATACGGCACTTGAGCGCCCGGTTGAACGACAGCGCGCGCAGCATCTGCTCGTGGAACTTGTCTTCGGCCTTGACTGAGCACTGGGTTGGGCCGTCTCGGCCATAGTAGAACGACAGAGCACGCCGGGACTCCACACACGTCGGACTCAACCACCGGAAGCCGCCGTCGGGGTTCATCAGCTCGCGGCCCTGCTCGCCAATCTCGGCACACTCGACTTTGACCAGGTCGTCATGCTTGAAGTCTACAAATATGAGGCAGCTCCAAGATGAGTCATTACGTTGCAATTCGCTTTCTCCGTTTTGCTTTTAGCAATTCAAAACTTACCGTCGGCCGACGCTGCCTTCTTAGCGCCCAGAACTGCAGTCGACAGAGCGAGCACCGAGGTTAACAAGCCTGAAAGCTTCATCGTTATTAAAGAGCTATGAGGTGTAGGAATTAAAAATGAGTGGAGATAACGAGAAATGGATGAGTGGAAGAGAGAAGGACGGGCGGCCGCTACCACGCATATAAGTGAGCAGCCCGTCTGGCCCTGGTTAATTTTTCTCATGTGCACACGCAATCGATGAAAGCGCTCGATAAAAGCCTCTTGCTATCCCGTTATTCTTGTGACGACCAGTCCTGGAGAGAGGGACATGGATTTGCCGGTCCATTTCCGTTCCCACGAAACAAAGAAAGTCGATCATGTGTTGGCACCGGTTCGACGTTTCCGCTTTCGCCGTGTAATTCTATCCAACAGGTAGATTTCCAGCCAGGAAGCAGCTGGGGCTACCAGCTAAACCCAACGCGCGGCTAGGTTAGAGGCAGACACTCACTCGTGACACTGTATACATAGCTGGCTCTGGATGTAGCAAGTCTAGCTCGGAGGAGTTTTTGAAGGCGGCTACAGCCGAAAACTAGAAAGGGAGGTTAGCGCGGGCTATTTCCAAATGTGAGAGGAAGGATCAATCGGTATGGGTACTCTGCGTGTTAAGCCCGAAGGTAGCACTGTCCAGTTAACCGATGGAGGCACCAGCACTGCTCTCATTACGCTTCATGCCGCACAACATGCAAAACAGCTACACACCCTGATGTCTGTGCTGTAGCTTCCCCTGCAGCAACTGCTGCACACTGGCTATCTGCATGGGAAGTTGCAAGGGAATGGACTGGCGAAGGCTGAAGAGGCGTCACATTTGCCAACTGTCCCCGTCCCGGTCAGTGGACACGCCGCCAACGCAGGTCCCCACTTATTGGCAGCCGGCATTGTATGGCCCTGCGTACCCTCCACTGTCTGCCCCCGGCCCGTGACGCCATGTGCTGCTCCGACCCTTCTATTCAGTGAGTGCCGATTCCGAGAGCGCCTTTCTCCACGCGATCATTGCCGACAGGGCGCTGGCTATGACTGCCGCTGTACTCTCCCAACTGGATTGATAACTAACCGGGCGCTTCTCGATCTCCAGGCTCGCACTATGAAGTTGCTCTGCAGTGTGGGTTATAAGAAGACAACGCTCTGCCTAGGACCTGGCCCTGTACTCTCAGCAATTTGTTCCTTAGACCTTACACACCATGAGCGAATACTGGACAGCCTTTCCGTGCGACTCCGCCGAGAGCGTCAATTTCATCTGCGGCAACTGCAATGCGGTGTTCAGCGAGATGCTGACGCTGAACACGCACTGCGACCAGTGCTGTCCATGCGCGCCTGCTGCGATGCAGGAGACAAGCAGACAGACAGCACTGAAGCGCTTGCTGTGGTTTCCCTAGGCACCTGCCAATCAACACAAGCAAAGACAAGGCGCCCCATTCAACTCCACCCACCCGTCTGAGGCGCAATGTGCAGGGGCTGAGCTGATTGCCAGACCAGACCAGCATTGCCGCCTCTCGATCTGCGCCAGGTCCTTGCATGCAGGCGTGCTTAAAGCGTCTATCGCAACAAAGGAACACATCTCGGGATCTGTTTTGCAGATCAATTACCACATCACAGGTGTTTGTTTTCGCGCCTGTCCTGCTGGTCCCGTGAACCAAGATGCTGCATTGCATATGTTGCATGTATATATTTATTACCTACTAGAAATACTCTGCTCGCGATGCGAGCTCGGCTGCTAGTCAGCATGGGTTGACACGTCGATAAGAGCATCACAACGAACCGATCATTTGAACGTGTCGGATGGTTGTTGGTGTAATGGCGATCATGGACATCTCCCACCTTGGTGGCCTGCTCAGCGCAGACGCTTCAGCGCTGGCTCGCTGCTACTGGCAGCAGAATCGCCTGCTGCTGCACGCCTCTTGCGCGACCTCTTTGTTGCAGGGGTGGTGCCAGAAGCATCGGCAGCAATGGCCGTAGGACGACGGAACCGTTCAGGAATACTGCCTGAATCACAGAGTGACTGGAAAATGAGCCTGAAGCTTAGAACTGCTGCGAGATCGCGGTTCAAGAGCCGAGACAAATAGGCTCGCCTGTATTGTGCCATGGCCCGCTTACATGACTCGCTTGTACAGCGGAGAAGGCCATGGCACTTCACAGTTGGGTTCTTCGATCTCTGGTAGGGCTGCGGGTTGGGAACATGTCGGAATGTCTGCTGCAGTGGCCTCTGTTTCATCTGATGGCATCCTCGCTGCTTCGCGTGCAGCCTTCTTGGCCAACTTTTCGCCCCTTTCTGCTGCTTTCCTTGCCTCTGTTGCTGCCCTCTTTGCTGCGTTGATCTTGGTAACCTCCTCACATGTTTTCGAAACAAACACCTGCTTGATTATTTGCTTGTCCAAACGTACATGGCCTGGGATCCATGATGTCCGCAGAGGCAAGCATTGGGGGGAGACTTGCCAAGCTGCTCATTCTCGATAAGCTGGCATAGGCGAATTTATGCACGCAGATGCTGAAGTGGATTTACCTTGGCATCATAGTATCGGCTGTCTTTGGCAAATCTGTACTTGGCACCATAGGCATTGAGGACTGGTGCCAGCTTGTTGTAGATTGCAAGCATCGGTGGGGTGAGCACACTGAGATCAGGGTGCCTAGAGGCAACTGCCTGGCGGAGCTTCTGTGCAGGTGTATAAATATACACTTGACATGCGTTATTGAACTCAGCCTTGGACACATTGCCCATTGTACTGTGCAGTGTGTTTTTGCGGCTGCGAATATCAATCAATTTGGCCAGAATCCGCTGTAGGCAAGTGCCATAGTGCAACACAATGTTGTTCTTGTATGCTGTCATCAGCTCGGTATCCACGCATGTCGCTACTTGATTCATTTCGCATATGCCATGTAGCTCGATATCGCCATTATGCAATAGATAATCATAAATATGGTATCTAATTACATCACCGAAATCTGCGCTCGACAGTTCTGACTTGTCCTTCCAGTTAACGAAATCCTTGGCAGATATGGTCGTCTTTGCCTTCAGATTGTAATAAATAAATAAATAAATTGGACAAGTGAAACCCTTTTCACTAATACTGCAAGGTCAAAGGCATCATTGTCAGCTAGTTGATGGAGCAATATCCATCGTGCAAGCATGTGTGTATGCTCCTTGATGATATTGACTCTGTATACAAATTGCTCTAGGTGGGGCAATATAGAATCACGGAAGCCAATACCACCAAGTGATGTCTTTATGACAGTAGTGCTGCGGGTAATATTCATTTGAGAAATTCGGTAGGCAAGTAAGAAGAGAAATAATGCTGTTCAGTTTTGCTTTATTGCGTATGCATAGCATTAAGAACTTTTTATTAAGAATGATCTGGCTTGCATGGTTCTTGGGGCCCTTAGCACTGATACAGTCTCTTGAATCAGTCTATACAGACTGGGTCCATTGTGGCCCAAATACTACTGCTTACGCATGCTCATAAGACAAATTAATTTATAAAATAAACCTACAAATATTGCATGACCGCTAGAAGAGCTATATGGCCTTATTCAATAAGTGCTCATAAACAAATATCCTAAGAGTGTTGCGCAGCCGGTGATGACCACCATGATGATGCCATAGAAGTTATCAGGCTGACTGACAATGAGAGCAGCTCTTGCGCTGAACCAATGGAGATATCTAGTGGAGACCTGTGACCACTACAATAACAACTTATCAGAGGCTAGACTCTACCTCCATATTGTTGGCTGTAGCGGGGCTCTCGTTGGCGCCTGGCTTGCTGTCACCTGATTCGACTAACATGTCGACGTCAGGGATAGCCGCAGCGGGCGCGCAACAGTACCACACGGTGGAGTTCATTAGGACTGATGTGTTGATAAACTGCCGGGTGTTGTGCTCAGCAGTAAAGTCCAACATCATCTTGCTGACATCCATGCCGATGATAGCCAAGCCCATGATCAAGTGCTTCTCGATGCCCAAAATCAATGATGTGATAGAGCATGCTGAGAGCGGCCGTATCCACCATCGTGCTGTCTTGACCAGCTAGTTCTTTTTTGGGCAGCCACAAGTCTAGTATATGATCGTTTACAAGCCAATAATGCCCGTCCGCCTGCTGGCATGGTGATGTCCCCCTCAGCCGCGCTTCCCTCCACTGTGAACCTGGTTACGGAGTCCACTCAGCGGCAAGAATCATCCCGAGTAGGCGAATGCTTCCCAAGACCCACATGGCATGTGTACCAGCGAGTAGTGAAGTGAGTTTTAAAGGAAGTGGATTTTAAAATACCACCAGGGTGAGTGTTATAAACGCTTGTTTCTGCCTGAATATGTGCAAAATGCTATTTTGTTTACTTTTCGCGAGAGTTGCGCCCAGCAATATACACGTCCGATTCAGGGTCAAAGATCGAGTCCCTGATCAGGTCGGCCTCCTCGGGCCGCACCCACTTTGTCTTCTTGAAGTACTTCCAGCCGCCATAGAGGATAACAATCACGGGAATGGACACATACGAGGATACAAACGAGCGCGCATCGAAGCCATCAGCGAAGGCAGTCCAGCCCTGGCCAAAAATGATAATGATGATGGTGACCAGGCAAAAGGCCGGGCCAAACGGATAAAGAATAGCCGTGTACGGCAGATCCTTGACATCGAACCCCTGGCGCACATAGGCCCGGCGGAAGCGCAGGTGGGCGAAGGAAATGCCTGCCCAGGCGGCGAAGCCAGTGACACCAGACAGACTCAGGATCCACATATACACAACCTGGTCGCCGATCAGCGACAGCAGGAAGATGATAGTGGCGACACCCAGCGACAGTGCCAGGCACCAGATCGGGATGCCGCGTTTGGTGACCTTGCGGAACACGGCGGGGGCCTGGCCATGCATGGCCAGATTCCATAGTGTACGGGTGGCGATGTAGATGCACGAGTTTCCGGCGCTTAGCACGGTAGTCAGAATAATTGCGTTCATGACGTCGGCTGCGGGCTCCAGACCGGCTTTCTGGAAGACGATGGAGAAGGGTGACTGGCCAATGTCTTTGGTGCTTGCCTTGACCAATGAGTCGTTGGTATACGGGATAATTAGGCCGATGAGGAAGATGCATGAGACGTAGAACAGGAGGATGCGCCAGAACACCTGGTTCACCGCCTTGGGAACTGTCTTGACTGGGTCCTTGGCCTCGCCCGCAGTGATGCCGATGACCTCGGTTCCCTGGAAAGAGTATCCGGTGAGAATCAGCGTCGCCAGGACACCTGGCACGCCGTCATAGAACGGGGCGCCCTCGACATGCCAGTTCTCGAACCCGTAGGTGTGGCCGCCAAGCCCGCCCGCAGCGACCACAATAGCAATGATGATAAACACGATGACCGTGATGACCTTGATCATGGCAAAGTAGAACTCGGCTTCGGCATACCCGCGCACGCTGAACAGGTTGAGCCCCAGCAGAATCAGGGCGGCTAGAATCGACCACAGCACGCCGCTGATGTTTGGCAGGTAATACCGGCACACAATGCCTGAAGCCACCAGCTCTGATGCCGTCACGCACACGTAGTTGAACCAGTAGTTCCAGCCGAGCGCAAACCCAATCGCCTGGTCGCCGTATCGCGACGCATACTCGTTGAACGATCCGGCGATCGGTGTGAATGTCGCGACTTCGCCCAGCGAGGACATCAGGAAGAACACGATGATGCCCATCAGCAGATACGACACAAGTGCTCCGCCCGGCCCGGCCGATGCCAGCGACGTGCCGGCGGAAATAAACAGCCCGGTGCCGATGGTCCCGCCCAGAGCAATCATCGTCATGTGGCGTTCCTTCAGCTGGCGCTTGAGCCCATGCACCTTGGTGCTGTGGGACTGGCCGTCGTTGTCACCCATTTGCGAAATCGACGGGCTGAGATCGGCCATCTCGATCGCGTCGGCATCCCCGTGCTCAGGCTTGGTGGCCGACTGTGCCGCTGTCTGCTTGTTGCGCCGCTTTGAGAATATCGCGCCAACTCCCTTGATGGCCATGTTGACAGTAGGAACCCTGCAAAGATATTTGTGTTAAAAATGAAAAGAGCGGAAAAAAGCGAGGCTGGTGCGTGAGTTAGCTGCACAGACTGTGTTTGTCTGGAACCTCGGTTAGTCATAGTCATTCCCCCCAAAGAATAAATTAAATGTGCCGCAGACAGCGAAGCGACAGGGCAAAAATTTTTGTCATGCGCTTTGAAGGTTCTCTAGAAATGGCGCACTACCAATCGACAGCAGGACTACCGCATATGGAAGGTTTGGAAAACCACTGGGGAGCGCAGAGGGATTCTCGAAACGAGAAAAGGCTTTATTATACGTCTTGAAGACAAAACCAAGTGGTGGGCCCAGCGTTTTCCTTCCAAGCAGATGAGGATCGGCTGCTGCTGCTAGCCCACTGGCTGCACACAGGCGCGAGGCACATCTCTACTCCCAGCCGTCGCTTCCGTTCTGGTCCGCAGAGGGCTCGGCACCCGCCGGAGGCAGGTCAGCGCGGCTGTTGGCGTCAGGCGAACGGGGCGACGCGTTGGCGTTGTCGCGCGGCGGCAGCGGCGACGGGGAGCGCGGAGCAGCAGCAGGCGGCGGCGGCAGATCGTTGGGCCCGTCCCGCATGACTGGGCTGCGCGACCGTGAGCGGGGCGATCCCGGCGAGTACCGGCGGGCCGGTGGCGGCGGCGAGCGCGACGACCGGTTGTTGTACGACGACCGGCGGTAGCGCGGAGAGCGGGAGCGCTCCCGCGAGTACGAACGCGAGCGCGACCGGCGCGACGACCGGCGCGGCGAGTACGAGCGCTCACGCGGGTAGCGGCCGCCTCCACCTCCGCCGTTGCCACCGCGAGGGCCAAAGTCCTAAAGAATCAAGAAATCAGGGGTTAGATTGGCGCGTGTCGGCGATAGTCGGGGTGTCTGCACCTGCTCGGTGCACTTACCTCACGCAGAACCACGCGGCGACCGCGGAGCTCCTCGCCGTCGAGCTTGCGCAGCGCCGTGCGCAGGCCCTCCTCGTCGACAAACTCGACGATGCCCTCGCCAGGGCGGAGCTTGTGGGCGTCGGCAAACGACACCTCGCCCGCGCGCCGGGCAAAGTCCTTGAGATCCTATATAGCGAGCGAGCCAAGCCAGGCGGTTGCAGAACGTATCCCCCCATAGCGCGTTAGACCGTGTTCACCGCCACACCGATGAAATTTCCGTATGCCACGCCGTATCAGACGTCGCCATCCCCCACCACACAGCAATCCAGCCCGTGCAGAACCGCAACAATCGAGCAATATCGCCAGCTTTTATCCAGCGTGTGTAGACTAAAATCTCTGGCGCTCCAAAACAAACTGTGCCCGCGCCTTCACCAAATCACAGCAGCAAGCGCGACGTGTTCCTCTCAGCCATCCTCCCCGCTGCGCCGTTGCTTTCGCTGCGTACGCGCCAACAGAAAAAGGACTGCCCAAACAACCACTCTCACGCACGCTGTCTCAATGGAATACACAGGAAATAGAGGCAATCAGCACAAAAAAGAGCACTCCACCTGCCCCACCCTCGGCCACGCGCCAATAAGCCGCCATCAGCGCGCTAGCCAGGCGAGAGCAGAGGCGGAGTGGATGAAGCACGGGAGGAGCGAAGAGCACACCACTGTCTAGTGCTCTTCAACAGTCTTATCATGCAACCAAATCCACAGAAAACCAACCGACGAAACTTACCTGCCAGCTCACCGACGACGAAAGGTTCTCGACGAGCATGCGGAACGGCGTGCGCTGTGGCGCGCCCATGCTGCCCATGCGGCGTCCGCGGTCGTCTCCGCGGTCCTCACGCCGGAAGCCGCGGTCCATCCGCTCGCGGCGCCGGTCAACACGGGCCGGCTCGATCAGCAGGCGCTCACCCATGAAGTCGCGGTTGTTGAAGTCGTGCATCACGTCCTCGGCATCGCGCCGGTCGCGGAACTCGACAAACCCGAACCCGGACAGCAGGCAGATGTCACGGATCTCTCCGTATCCCTTGAACAGCTTCTCGACATCGCGCTCACGCACATCACGCGGCAGACGACCGACATACAGGCGGGACATGGTTAAATGGGGTGGTTGATACTTTTGGTGTTATTGGGTGCAATAGCCAAAGCAGAAAGACAAGAATAGAGGAAAAAATGTTTAGAGGCAGGTTTTGTTGTTGGAAAGCGAGAAAGCCATTCACACTCAGAATTTTTTTGTGGTGCCAGACTCTGACAGAACAACCCAATGCCACTGTGATTGGCTGCAGCTGATTCCGATTTAGATCTTCCAGAATCAGATCTGCAGGTCACGCCCGCCATTCCCTTCGCATGGTCACGTGCTCGAGGCATCACAGGTGCACCCTGGTCGCGCAGTACAGCCAGTGGCCTTCGAATGAAGTCAGATCGTCAAACAGTTCATGGCACATCGGACACAGCACGGCGTTGTAGCAGCAGCGACATATAGGGGGACCGCTGGTGATAGCCATATGTCCGTTTGGTTGGTTGCAGAGTCCAATTATCAAGGCGGATTGTGGAGGGCGAGCGAGCAGCACGCTTTTTGGTAGCAAAATCGGGGATGGTATCAGCCGATGCCAGCTGGGAAGTAGATGGGGAGCGGAGGAGAGATTGATGTTCTTGCGCAGCACACCCGAACAAAGCCTCTTTAAGCTTCTCCAAATCTAATATGTCCCGCTCTCCTGGCCCGGCTTTCTTGCCCCTGCTCCAGAGCTACTGCTAAAGCCTCCTTGGTTCCCCACATTGCAGGTAGAGTTCAGTATATGTTAAATGTGTGTATCGTGCACCAAATCAGCAATCCCCTGGTAGTGGTGGTGGTGGTAGTGGTGGTAGTGGCGGACACGTCACACATCCCCTCGTGCATTAATTGCCTGGAGTTTGATACTTGTTACAAAGTTGACAAAAGGTGTATCTACAAGAAATATCTGCATTGTTCTCCCGCGCAACACCTCCCTGCGCCCTTGCCCACGCTCTGTCTAAGCTCAAGAGAGGCGGCTATCCTCCCAGCAGATACCCGCCTCCTCTTATCTCGGTTTTCCGGCAGCGTGAACCGCCGCAAGGACAGACAGCGTCGGGATATCGCTGCTCTAAGCGTGTCCCAATGGCATCAGCCGGTGGTCGCCGCAATCAGCGAAATGCAGCGCCAAGGCGCACTCTTCATGGAACGTTTCATCGCACAGCGGACAGAAGAACCCGCACACGAGCGCCGACTTGTAACCAGTGATGCATACCATTGTGTGTCTGTGAGCGAAATCAGTCGTTATCCGAATCTTTTTAGGGTTTTCTGTGGGGAGGGAGCTTTTGAATGGTTTTAATGATGGAATAGGAACAAAAATATTGGGCAGCTTGAATAAAGCGAGAGCAAAAGAGCGCGTTCCAAAAAAAATATACGGCTGCTGGGCTCTGCAGGCAATATTGCAGCGATTCAAGATGAGGGGAGACTGAGGACGGATGCTGCTTCTCTGGCTGCTGCCGGGCTCGAGATTCCCTTGTACCTCCTGCCGCCAGACCCCTGCCTGCCTTTCGTTCCGTAGGTGTTTCTTTGTGTGGGATTTTTCCCTCTTTGACGCCCTTTTCGCCTCACTATCATTGTGCTTCACTGAGGCGGAAAGGGATTGTTTAAGGTAAATCTCAGAGAAATGTGAACATCCGTCCTGCACTAGCCTAATAAATGGCCAATACTTGGTGGCAGCGATCTACCAGCCCATTCTTTATCCCTGGTTCAGAGTTCCCCAGGCACACGCCAGCGCAAGCATACCGCTATCTGTCTGCTTTATTAAAGGGATACAGGTCCGTGGCAGACGCCGTTGTACTCTGGCCTTGCGTCCCTGGACGCCTGGGCTTTTTTCCTATGCTTTGCATGTCTCTTATTCTACAATACTACACTTTCAACATTGGTACTGGTATTTTTCGCATGCTCATCGGTTTGGGTGTGAGCATTAAGCTCTTCTAGCGTCGTGTATGCCTTTGTCTGGTCGCATGCGAAACAAAAGATTCTCTGCTCGCCCTTGCCACTCATACTGATGGTAGGAAGGTGCTGGTACGTATATCAAGCGGAATAAAGCCAAAGGTATGTGTAGTAGAATGCAGTATGGAAAAGACTGCAGAGTATCGTTTGCCTGTTGGAGAGTCATTAAGATAAAGCGAAAAGGGGGATACAGCCGATTGGTGTATACATACATATGAGGGGGCTGGGCGCAGGCCAAGCGACACACACCAAGTGACACACACCAAATGACTTGCACTCGCCAAGTGACTTGCACTCGCCAAGCCAGGTGGGCACCAATTACACAAGAAAACATAATGCCTCGTGCCAGAAATAGACCTCAACTCTTATTTCTCAAATAATGTGTGTTCTGTTAGACACGAAAAGAATGATGATGAGCGCATTGCATGAGCCACGCGCCCGTCTCCCAAGACTTTCATGTCGATACGCTGATACTTCATTGGCGCCCTCCTCTCGGCAGGTAGCGTCTGTGGCTGTCGTCATCAAAGCACAGAGTGATCCTGGCACTCGTATGAGGCACGACAGTCACTGTGCTACTGACAGTGCTTGAAGAGTCTTTAGACATAGATTGGCCTGGGTAACATTGCATAAAAGTCAAATATTAGTTTGAATATTCAGCTTCTGACGTTGTAGACCCGAGTATGTGTGAACACTGGCTGCATATAGCCAGACTCTGCCGGCATACAATACCCTTTTCCATGGCGTAGTCTTCGGCTTCATACTTTCATAAAGACAATGGATAAAACAATAGCGCTTTTAATAAAATAGGTAACTGGGAAAGGGGTATAGTGCTTCAAGCAAGCAGCACAGGTGGGCAGAGTAGGTGAAAAACAGTTTATGCAAAAAATGCAGGATGTTTTGAGGCAAGAGGATGGCTTCTGAGATGCCTTTCTTCTAGCCGATGGGTGAGATGGGCGCGGTGCGAGTTTCGGCTCACAAGCCAAGTCAGGAGTGACTCGATTCCACGTGCACGTTGTACGATTCAAACTCATGGTATATCGCTCCACAGTAGAAGCAGACAAACGCCTGCTGGCGAGTAAGCGATTTACACAGCCTCAATTGGGACAGGTTCTTGAATGCTACGTTACAGGTCATCGCAAGAGGGCGTATGTGGTTGGTATATTAAGAAGGAATATAGTATATAAATGATCCAGTATAGCCAGCAAGGTCAAGGAAAGAGAAGCAAAAAATGGCGGCAGCGGGAGGGAGTGGTAATCGAACAGTAGAGAATGGTAACCGCAACGCAACCCGTACAGCGATGACCAGGTGGCAGAAAAAGAACGAGTGAGGCGGCGAGCGACGGCAAACAAGCGGCATGCTGGCTTATATTTTTTTCTTAAAGAATATTGCCTGTCGGGGCAGTAACAGAATAACCTCGACCGCTTGGCTTGGTGGGTGTATGTGGCTTGCCTTCGTGCTCAGGTCCCTTGTTTGCTCCAACGTGGGTAGTGCATGACGCCCAGTGAGATTGTGCATGATTTTTGTTGGCATCCTTCGCCTCATTTTCAATTGTCACCTTGATTGTTTCTGAAAGAGAGCGACATGGTAGAACCACGTCTCTATTCCGTTTCGATTCGGTATTGTTGGCTGAAGTGTCTACGAATATAAGGCAGAAAGGAAGACGTAACGGACAGCAAGCCCTGCCTATGCCTATTCTCGCACGAGTGCCTTCCTTTTTTGCCGTCCTGCTCTATGATCTGCCCAACAAGTACAGGAGTAGAAATGAGGCCTGCGAGTTATTGTGCCGGTGGCACCAATTGAACAAAGCGCCTTCCGCAGTCTTCTGATCCTCCACTTTAGGTGGAAAGTCCATGTCTGTAGGGAATGATGCAATTGACTGCCAAGCACACAAACAGGGAATATCAGGTAATGGTGTCGTCAGAAAAACGCACCTCAGCCTTGCACTTGCAGCATTGCGCAGGCCACCTGACAAGGGGGCAGGAGGATCCGCTTCTCCCAGCAGCACAGATCGCGGTGCATACATACTATACGGCGCAGCGAAATACATGTTGCACGAGCCTATCTTCATCGTGGAACTCCGCCCGACAATAATAGCAATTGTATACCCGGTGATCTGCACGCTTGACAGGGCAACGGCGACGCCAGCACCAGCACCAGCACCAGTGAACGTAGCTGAAAATCCTCTGTAGAAACCCCATTTGAAAACGGTGGTTTGTGATTGTGTGAGCTAATGGAAGGATGCAGCTTGTGAGTATCCCAGGACGTCCAAAGAGAGATCCTATCCACGATTGTTCGCTTTTATACCTTCACTCTGGTTGGCATGGGTTAAATCCTCCATATCTTGGCAGCACCACCCACAGCGTAGTGGTAGCTTTGCGATTCTTGATTCCGTAGCTCCCCATCACGAATCATATAGAAGACAACAGCTATCATTGATGAGTTGGTATTATGTGCGAAAGCATAATAAGAATTTACATAAATGTCTTGCCACTTGGTGGGAGGAAGTTGTTGTAGTGCCATCCACCCGCTTTGGCCCTACTTGCAAAAATAAGCACGGTGCACCTCGAGGAAGTCGGAGTAGGCGAAGGTGTCGCCGCAGATCGTGCATTCGTACCCAGAGCTTTGCGCAGTCGACTTCATTAGAACGATAGGCGCGAGAAAATAATTTATGTACTCGGTGAGTGGCGAAAGGTAACAAGAAAAAACTGGCAAAAACCTGAAGGAAAAAGAGAAAAATCGGAAAGACACCAATCGATAGGGCGGCATCCTTTATAACCCCTGGACGGGCAAACGTTCCTGACACTCGCTGATACACAGTTGCCGGAAAAAGCGATACCACACTATAATTAGTCTGGCTTATTTTCTGCCCGCAACTCCTTTTTTTAGGGACCCAACTGGCGGCCAGCCGCCTGAAACTCTTCCGGCTTTTCTAGCTTGTGGTCGAGTCTATTTTTGGGCCGGCAGTGCAAGCACACAGAGGATCCACAGAATGGCACTGGCGAATTGACCGAATGGGAAGAGGCAGAAACAGCCCTAGTACTCTACCTATGCCCCTGCGTTGGCCTAAAGACGGGCTGGTGTTTGCACGAGGGTACGTGTCCGTTGAGCAAGTCAAGAGACACAAAACCAACATTGCATCCAAAGCACACAAACGGCTCGTAAACAAAGTAAGGGGAACTAGTGGGGTGCATGGTTGAGTATTATTGGTGCAAATAAGCGCAGTGAGGAGAGGAGATATACATTGAGATGGAGGAAGGGGAGGAAGAAAAAGAGGAAGAGGAGGAAACTGGTATATAATCTTTCCAAAGTCCTCAAGGCATAGAGGTAACGAAAATGGGGGTGGAGATGGCTGAGGTGAAGCTTTTTTAATATGTCCTTTTTGGGCAACCCCGCATACATGCAACATATGCAATGCAGCATCTTGGTTCACGGGACCGGCAGGACAGGCGCGAAAACAAACACCTGTGATGTGGTAATTGATCTGCAAAACAGATCCCGAGATGTGTTCCTTTGTTGCGATAGACGCTTCAAGCACACCTGCATGCAAGGACCTGGTGCAGATCGAGAGGCGGCAATGCTGGTCTGGTCTGGCAATCAGCTCAGCCCCTGCACATTGCGCCTCAGACGGGTGGGTGGAGTTGAATGGGGCGCCTTGTCTTTGCTTGTGGTGATTGGCAGGTGCCTAGGGAAACCACAGCAAGCGCTTCAGTGCTGTCCGTCTGCTTGTCTCCTGCATCGCAGCAGGCGCGCATGGACAGCACTGGTCGCAGTGCGTGTTCAGCGTCAGCATCTCGCTGAACACCGCATTGCAGTTGCCGCAGATGAAATTGACGCTCTCGGCGGAGTCGCACGGAAAGGCTGTCCAGTATTCGCTCATGGTGTGTAAGGTCTAAGGAACAAATTGCTGAGGGTACAGGGCCAGGTCCTAGGCAGAGCGTTGTCTTCTTATAGCCCACACTGCAGAGCAACTTCATGGTGCGAGTCTGGAGATCGAGAAGCGCCCGGTTAGTTATCAATCCAGTCGGGAGAGTACAGCGGCAGTCATAACCAGCGCCCTGTCGGCAATGATCGCGTGGAGAAAGGCGCTCTCGGAATCGGCACTCACTGAATAGAAGGGTCGGAGCAGCACATGGCGTCACGGGCCGGGGGCAGGCAGTGGAGGGTACGCAGGGCCACACAATGCCGGCTGCCAATAAATGCGGACCTGCGTTGGCGGCGTGTCCACTGACCGGGACGGGGACAGTTGGCAAGTGTGACGCCTCTCCAGCCTTCGCCAGTCCATTCCCTTGCAACCTCCCATGCAGATAGCCAGTGTGCGGCAGTTGCTGCAGGGAAAGCTACAGCACAGACATCAGGGTGTGTAGCTGTTTTGCTTGTTGTGCGGCATGAAGCGTAATGAGAGCAGTGCTGGTGCTTCCATCGGTTAACTGGACAGTACAGTCATTAAGCGCAAGCCTTGTCTTAGCCCACGGATATCCCAAATAGCATTGAAAGCTAGTGCCAACTGTCATCTTAGGACAACGTTGGCAAATCAATAGTGTTTTATGTATACTCTGAACTCCATGTAATGAACATACCACCTTGTAAAACCTTTCAATATTTACTGATGTCCCTTGTGCTGGAAGATAGTGTAATCCTATTTTCTAGATTAATGTCGTAGCTGCATTATCACTATCATAAAATTGATAATATAGAGACGCAATTGAAGGTTGTTGTGGTTGGGTTGAGAAATCTATATTATTCTTTGAATGTGTTGAGTAGAATGGTAACCAATAGAATAAGGAACTGCAGGATGTATATTGTCTGCCAAGTCTCACATTATGCAGTGCTACTACAGTTACTCTCCAGATATAGAATGACAGTATAGATCATAGAAAAGCTTCATAGTCTACTATCCAATTTTTATTTTATCCAGAAATCCTGAATTTGCAATGGAATTTAAGAGTGCATGTCTCCTTTGACTTATTTGCACCGTGATAGGCTGCATCGATGCATGCCGCATGTCTCTTCTTATCATGATGTGCAATAATATGCGCTATGCCATCAGTCACGGAATAGAATCTCCGCGAGCAGTAGCGGCAGCTGTATATGTTGACTTCGCTGCATTGAGTCATGTTTGTAGTGTAGAATGATATGTAGAATGTGTTTGAAAAGGACGGAGCAGATTGTGTTGCGTACAGTATTGGAAGAGTAAACTGGTCGGATCATCCTCTTTATAGAGAACCCACACAAATTACACTACCCCTAAAATGATTCCACGACACCTGAACTGTGATCCTGTTCAGAGATATATGATCTAATGAGTGCATGGCATGTTATTCCTACCTCATGTTTTCCAAAGTAAAACTACTCATGGGTAGCGAGTATCTTTTTCCTGCAAGGAGATGCAGACAAGTCGTGAGTGGTAGTGGATAAGTTGTTGTCTGTTGCCTTAATTGATAGCTGCAGCATCAATTCAGCATTCACAAAAAGTGTTTGTACATAATGTGCCCATGTAGAGACATAATCGGAAATATTTAGCATCTGGAACGAAATTAACAGACCGAGTCAAGACCTACAACATGACTGCTCATAATCAGAATTGACTAAGTTTCACAAATGGTTTCGTGATACTCAGTTATACTATCTTCGTTTCCTTATACAGGCCTATTCAGTGACATATCTTGAAAAAAAAAAGCATGCCCCCGTTGTTGTAGGTCTAGAGCACACGGTGGGTGATATAGGGCGAAAGGGGGAAACAGATAACGAGTAACGAAAAATACCTGATATGTGAATGTGTGTATTTTTTGTGTATCATGGGTTCTAAATATGCTGTCAAGCGATGGCATCTCAATCCAGAGATGTGCGAGCGGTGTGAGCATATCAGCAACAGAAAATGACATAGTCAAGTAGTATATATTGATGGAGAGAGCTATAGAGAAAAGAAAGGGAGAGGCGAGCGCAAAAGTCTTATACCATCGCTCAGGTGGCAGAGCCAGAAATAAAAGAAAAAACAGCAGGATGAAAAACCATGTAGTTCACAATAATCGGATCTTGAGATTCTACCAAGACCAACACAAAGAGAAGTTGCATATATTGCAAGACTGCCGGGCAGGCTACGAGAGGAAGAACACAGTCACCTTTCAGAAAACCGCTGCCACCGAAAAGTGAGCACGTGTGATGGGTAGAGGTGCTACATGCATCCATAGGAGGAGGTTGCCAGCGACACACCAATCAAAGGCGAGGTCACTGGGAATTCACTCATGACCCTCTGGCCGAATTTGCAATGTGTGAGGGCTCATCCTGCTTTCTTCAAAGGCATCATTATCCTGCCAGTCCACGTATTCCTTGCAATAGCAAAAAAATTGGCTTATGCTGATGCATAGCCGCATGTTCCTCAACAAAAATCCACACCAAGCAGGAAGGCAGACGGCAGAGATATACCACATACGCAGCTTTCGGCATTGGAACAGTTCTTTATTATACGGTATCGAGTATTGACAGGTGATTATGAGCCAGATCCAGGACCTGTATGGTGCTCTGCCCTTGGTTTCAGGTCCTTTTGTTACGGGTGCGCACCTACCCGGCACGGCTGACTAGTGGCCACCAAATCGGCAATGGATGCAGTCGTCGACACCGTTACCGCTCGTAGGATCCATGATGTGTTGTTGCTCAGTCCTGTGTTTATTTCGTCTCCTTCAGAATGGTGCGGTCAGCAAAAAAAAGACACTCCTTGTAAATGCTGGTGCAAGAGAGAAAAGGAGAAATACGTGCCAGGCGTTTCCCCTTTCACAATTCCCAGCTATATAACTACTACATTAGCAAGTCTGAGAGCAGCGGTCGCAAGGGGTGCAATAAAAAGGGGCATGTCAAACGTCATTTCCGAAACTTTCTTGGCAGGGTGAGGAAGATCGACAATGACCTTTCCTTTTTTGTACAGCACATGGAGCGCTATGTACCCACCACTCATGTTTTAGCGAGTTGCTGATGATCCTTGTATCAAGATATTCTTGCACGCGTTTTGGGGAGAAGCGCAGGCGACATGTGGTTTGGTTCAATATACCTGATTTTCGCTGCGTCCACATACGCAGAAGGCTGGGTGGCATCACTGTAAACAAACTAGAGCGTTTTTGGTTGACCAGAGCCAATCAGACCCGCACTTGATCGCTCGAGAACATAGCATGAGGCATGGTTCATGTGAAAAGTGGGGTTGTTAGAGAACCGGACCCACGTTTTTGTTAGTTATTTACATGTTTTCTCGTTTGTCTAGCAATGGATGACTAGAACCGTGCCCATCAGGCCTTAAAAAATAAATCCACACGATGATTCTGCCTACTCTTAAGCTCGAGATGCCAACATACCCCTTGTCTCTGCGGTACTCGCAGCACTGAGGAAAGTCCCCTTCGTGCATTTTGTCTGAAGTCGGCCAAAAGCCGGCTCAATCACGAATGCCCAGTGGAGTATGTAGGTGCTCATGCTTCGCATATCCGCAACACCCACCACAGGTTGTCCCACCGCTGCAGATTATTTGTTGTATTCGGATGTGGGTGTACACTTGGGAGTGTACTGTCGGCCTTGGCTGATTTCCGAATATGCCGGTCACATGGGTATCATGAACACAATCAGGTTTATGGCTTCAAAAAATGGCCCATGGGGGTTTTATTTTTATTCACAAAGCGGCATGCAGTATGGTGAAAAGTAGCATCAATGGGGTGATGCCCGAGGGACTAGCGGATGTAGCTGGCAGCACTATCCTTGAGAAGGGTGCACCTGAATATATGGCTGCCGGGGTTCTCTGTCATGGACGAGATTTCTCCGCAGTTGAAGCAGCGCTCCTGGGTAGGCTGGGAGAAATCAGAGTACATTGTATGATGGTGTTTGGTGGTGCGAATTGAGGCCAGTAGGGTAGAGTTTGCAAAAAAAAAAAAGAAAAACGGCTGGCATCTAGTCACATAGCGTCCAGACTTGACTTGCCAGCACAAGGAATAGGCGTGACTTTTAAGTCAGTTTTCCTGGCATCCCTACCTGTGTTCCCTCGCAAACTACGCAGAGCTCTGGCCAATACCGCAATGAGGGGAAATGCGAGTGATGGCGGCGTATCCTAGGTCTATTTATCCTCTTTTCAACCTGTCCCTCAGGTAACAATGTGATACACGGAAGTGAGGTATAAAACTTGTTTTGCACAGATCTGTCTAAAATTATCCGCCACAAGGTGGACATCTTCCCACCACTCCAAAGAGACGCAAAACCTTCCACTTTGCATACCTGCTGCAGCACTGTGCTTCCGAGGCGCATATGCTAGGTGTGCAGATAAGATGTCACGTTGGCATTGACACCAAAGAATATACATGGTAGGGTGAGAGTAAGAAAGGGGAGTAGGCGGATAGCATACGGTTGGGTAAACCCGTTTTTTGTTAGTGAGGCGTGACCAGCACCTCATCTTTCCCATCCTCAGGCAAATCCTTGTGTCCATGCTTACCTTATGATTGGGCTTCACACTTGCTTATCTCTCCCTCACTAGGTGATTTGCCCGGGGCTCGGCTGTTGCGAATTCATATGGTGCAGCGAGGGGACAGGGCTGCTGACGGGAATGAGGGGGGTGTTGACAGCTGAGAACCATGCTGTGGCCGCTGGGTCGTCGTTCTGCACTGGGGTACACCGCATGCACAGCCTTGCCCTTCTGGCGACGCCAGCACCACGCACACGGCCCACATGGCCGCTTTTGGACGAAGAAGGATCCACATGTGTTGTTTCCCAGCACTCAACCCAACTTTCTCAGTCCTCTTCTTTTCGCTTGACCCATCTGATGAGTGGAGATCATAGGGCTTACCACGTTGCATTGGACGACAATGCCCAGTACACGTTTGTTGTTTCCCGAGGGCAAGGCAAGGAAACGAAGCGAGTTCCGAGTTTGATATTCTGGCAATAGCGCAAAAAAGTGTCTCACTTGCTTGAAATTGAACCATTTTATTTAAACTATGAGCTGTAGAAACGAGGGAGGGAGAAGTTGACTATTTTGAGCACATCCGATGAATGAGGGGATGTGTGGAGATAAATATGGCCGTATAGCTAATAGTGGGGAAATGCAGCTAGCATATACATAGCAGAGAAAGGTCGAGTAGTAGTTTGATTTATATACCGTGTCAAATCTGACAAACATGGGAGGGCAAGGCGACATAAGGCCCCGGCATGATGATCTCTGGTCAGAACCGGCGGGGAGGGAAGCACCCCTTGAGGTGCTCATACAGCTGCATCACGGTGCTAAACTCGCTCTGGCAGTGGACACAGAAGATGCGCTCGTTGCTCTGGTGGAGGCAGCAGGGCGAGGTGGTCAGTGATTTGGCCATGGTCCGTGATAATAATAGGTTCGGGAGGGGTGGGGATGGAAATGTGGGTAGTACTTGACGAGAGACGGCGACAATTTTAGAACAGAATTATCAATGTTCCTTGCTGAGCGCGCAAAATAAACGCTGGAGGTTTTATAGACAAATGCTGGGGAGAGGCGAGGAGGGGGAGGCGAGGTTGTGTTTTAGTCGGCTCCCTCCCTCCTTGTCGATCGCCTTTTATACAGCCGTTTCTGGCGCAGATAGGCGCTGGCCAGAAAAAGAGCACGAAAATCGGGACCAGCTATGAGAGGGCTAACAGACACCAACTGCGCGCTGCTCGCTCACAGTGCCATCCAGAGTGTGGAAATGCTGCATTTGACAGCAACTGCCAGCGGGACACATGGAGACGAAAAAAGCCCCTCTCGTTTATGCTGGCCCCGCAGAGCGCCCAGAAAAAGCCGCTCAGGCTTAGGAGCAGCGAGAACCGAGGGTTGAAAATCACCAAAAAAAACCTGGCTTTGTGGCTCGTCACAGTTCTCCCAGGAACTTTCCAACCATTACCAGCCTGGAATATGCCAGGTTCTCGTTTGAATGTAGAGATGGCAGTGGCATGCGGTAGTCCGTCTACAGCGGGCTTGGCGCGTTGATTATTTCCCCCTTTGGTGGATAGAGGCAATCTGTGGTATGTGAAATCAATGGCGCTGTGAATAGAAGCCGCGGCCGTTGAGGGCAGGCGCCATGGCTACTGTCCATTACTCCATGCCACAGCCCTCCATATATACAGCTTGGTGGCCATCTTCCAGCCCCAGAGTCCAACCCCTATATTCGAACATAGGCATGCTATTGCGCCAAAGGAATAGCACAGTCAGCCGCAGGAGCAAGAGTAGCCGCTTGACAATAGGGCGGCATGGCTGCGGTGCCCCAATGATGCAGGATGCTGGCAGCTCCGTGTCGACAAACGGGACCTGTACAATGCGGCTGCATCCTGCATCAGCCATGCCGTGCGCATATCCGTGATCTGAACTGCTGATCTGATCATAATTTGGCAAACAGGCTGGACTTACGTATGCTGCTGCGTGACGTTTTCGCTGCCAGCTGTACTATTTTTCGCTGGTGGCACGCCGGCGTTTCCCTCCCCACCAGCGCTTTTGTGTGTCTTGACCTTGCTTACTCCCGTTCTATTATTTCATTTCGCAACAACCTCCTTCCTAAAAGTACCAACAGTATGGACTCTCTTGCACAGGCTGCGGCGGCGACTGCCGAGGATTTCAGCGATTTGGATGCCGAAATCAGGCGTTCAAGCACAGACGAGATTCGCAGCCGCACGCGACTCATTGACAACGAAATCCGTGTGCTGAAGAGCGACTACAGCCGGCTGACACACGAGCAGCACAACATGACCATCAAAATCAAGGACAACACGGAGAAAATCAACATCAACAAGCAGCTGCCGTACTTGGTGGCGAATGTGGTTGAGGTTCTGGACATCCACCCAGACGGCGACGAGGAGGAGGATGGGGCCAACGTGGACCTGGATGCGCAGCGCCGGGGCAAGTGTGCGGTGATCAAGGCCACGACGCGGCAGACGGTGTTTCTGCCGGTGATTGGGCTGGTGCCGTCTGAGGAGCTGACGGCTGGAGATCTGATCGGTGTGCACAAGGACAGCTTCCTGATTCTGGAAAAGCTGCCGGCAGAGTATGACTCGCGCGTCAAGGTGATGGAGGTGGACGAGAAGCCGACGGAGGACTACAGCGATATCGGTGGGCTGGACAAGCAGGTGGAGGAGCTGGTAGAGGCAATTGTGCTGCCAATGACCCATGCGGACCGGTTCAAGAAGCTCGGTATCAAGCCGCCCAAGGGCGTGCTTATGTACGGGCCGCCAGGCACCGGCAAGACGCTTTTGGCACGTGCGTGCGCGGCGCAGACGCAGTCGACATACCTGAAGCTGGCAGGTCCGCAGCTGGTGCAGATGTTTATTGGTGATGGTGCGAAGATGGTGCGTGATGCATTTGCCCTGGCCAAGGAGAAGGCTCCGACCATCATTTTCATTGACGAGCTGGATGCAATCGGCACGAAGCGGTTTGACAGCGAGAAGAGCGGTGACCGCGAGGTCCAGCGCACGATGCTGGAGCTTCTGAACCAGCTCGACGGGTTCGGCAGCGACGACCGTATCAAGGTTATTGCAGCGACCAACCGCATTGATATCTTGGACCCGGCGCTGCTGCGTTCAGGCCGTCTCGACCGCAAGATCGAATTCCCGCTGCCCAACGAGGATGCGCGTGCACGCATCATCCAGATCCACTCGCGCAAGATGAACGTGTCGAGTGACGTCAACTTTGACGAGCTGGCGCGGTCGTGCGACGAGTTCAACGGTGCTCAGTGCAAGGCCATTTGCGTGGAGGCTGGCATGATCGCGCTGAGGCGCGGAGGCACCAAGCTGTCGCACGAGGACTTCATGGAGGGAATCCAGGAGGTCCAGGCCAAGAAGAAGACCTCGTTGCAGTACTTTGCTTAAAGACCACCTATTTCTCTTTCACCGTTCAGATATACATCTACCAACCAATGGAACTTGGGCTTTTTCCTTGCAATACACATATGTCCAGATGCCAGATACATGCACCATGCTATATAGTTTAGTAAAATTGGCCAAAGAACAACAAAAGTATAATTCTGGGTAATTTTTTTTAGAGAATGCGCTGGAGCCGGTCGGCAATGTTGAGCTGGGCGCGAGTCAGGTTGGTCAAGTAGGCAACCATGAGGATGTCCTGGAGGTGGGACTGGAACAGGACTGCGAACTGCTTGTCGATCGACCTTGGGCACAACGGCCAGCATGTCCATCAGGATACTTGCCAACAATGTTGTTCGGCTTCTCCTTACCGTCAACAACGTTGGTGACATACTTGGTAACACGGTCAAGCATAGCGTGCAGCTCCTCAATGGTCTTCTCCAGCTGCTCCATATCGGAAACGAGGCCAGTGACGCCCAGCTCGCTGCTGTCGGCGGCGGTCTGCAGGGCGCTGAGCTCGGCATCCGGGTACTGCAGCTCGTAGGGCAAGGGCAGGAACACGCAGTTCTCGGGGTGGGCAGCGGCGCCGACAGCAGGCACCCTGCAGGCACTTGATAGCGAGCTCGCCGGCCGACAGATCGGTGTCCATGACAAGGTGCACGGCCGAGAAGGGGGCGGCCTCGCGCGAGTAGAAGTCCTGGATCAGCGCAGCATACTTGCTCAGGGACGAGCCGGTCGCGTACCAGCCAACAATCTGCTCGCGCGCGCTCGCCTTCTTGTGCAGGGTATACATAGTGCGGTGGTGCTCCATGTCGACCTCGACCTGGTCTTCGGTCTCAAAGTGCGGCACCGCAAAGCTGCTGCGGATCTCGACAATGCGGCCGTCGTCGCTGCGCACGCCCAGAAGTGTGCCGATTACGCGCTCCTGGTTGTCATTGCGCCGCAGGAAATGGTCGAGGATTGAGAACAGAACGACCGGGTGGATGTAGCACTGCTGCGCGGTCGTCGTCGCGGTGTTTGTCGCTCCAGACTTCACCAGAGAGCTGGCAAGGGTCGGCAGATTGAGGATTGAGCGTCGACATGATTGCACAAAAGGAAGAAAATGTGGAAAGGAAATTCTGGTCAATTGAAGAGGCAAGGTGGGCAGGGGGTAACCTCGAAAATCGGCACGACTCTCCCAAAGAAAGTTTTTTCCAGGCAGTGCGGCTCGTCAGCGAGCCGTGCACAAGCCGATGTTGGGATCAAATGACCTGCTGGGCTTGCAAGGGAGATTTTGATAAGCTTGGAGTTCTTTTCTCTAATTGACTGCTTTGAATTTGAATTTCAGCCTCAGCCCTCCCCTTTTTCAACCCTTTATCGTTATGTTTGCGAATCGGACAGCTAGACGGGTACTGCAGCGTACAGAGGGTGTTGTTGCCCGGCAATTCTCCAACACGTCGAAGCGCCTTGTCATTCAGCAGCAATCGCAGGCGAAGCCGCAGGACGCACCGGCGGCTAAGAGCAAGGTGCCCAAGTTTGCGGTCCCTCGGTCCGAGTTTATGGTGGCAGACCTATTTGCGCAGAGCAAGCAGATGCTGAGCACGTCGGGCGAGGTACAGGTGCTGGGTGGGACCGCGGGCGTCGTTCCGGACTCTCTCGGAGCTCAGCCTTCTGCAGGGCCTGTCGGCGGCCGAGGCTCAGGTGCCGACGGCACCGCTGAAGCAGGTGTATGCAGCACCGGCGTCAGTGTTTATGCGGGTGACACCAGATGCGGCAATTCCCGAGGCAATGCGGCTGGGGCCGCTGGCAGAGCCGCTGCTGGGCATGGATCCGTTCCGTGACGGCCTGAGCTCGCTGAACCTGCGGGGCGAAGAGGCAGAAGAGTTTGTGGGTGAGTTTTTTGATACGATTGTGGCCGGCAACGAGGCGCGGGAGATCAGTGAGCCAATGGCCGAGCAGGCAGCCGAGGGCTACCAGATGACAAGCGTGCTGCGGAAGCGCAAGAGCAAGATGAACAAGCACAAGCACCGCAAGCTTCGCAAGCGCACACGCGCGCTGCGGAAGCGCCTGGGCAAATAAGCAATAGATGCCTTTTCTGGACAAAAGAGTATATTTGAAGATAGATGTCTGTGTTTACTCGTCATCCGAGGCCATTTCCTCGTCATCCTCATCGTCATCATCGCTGTTGATGTCGGCATGCATTTCCCGCAGCACAGCCTCCTGGTTGTTGTCATCGTCATCGTCATCTCCCTCCTCGTCGTCGTTCTGCACGCCAACCAGGGGCTTCTCGACGACAGCAGATGCCTGCACCGAGGCATCGCCAAAGGTGGCCCGGACACCGGCATTCGTGGACATGTCCCAGATGCGGTACTCGCCCTGCGACCCACCAACGGCCAGCTGCATGGTCGAGTCAGGACAGAACTTGGCGGCAAACACGCTGCCAACATCCAGGTTGCGGCTAAGCACCATGCTGGGCTTGTTGTCCTTTGTGGACCACACCTTGATGGACTGGTCAACCGAGCCAGTGACCAGGACATTGGGCACTGACGGGATGCTGGTCCATGGCAGACACAGGCCTCGTCGTGAGCGGCCAGAATGAAGACGGCGCTGTCGGGCTGACGGATGTCGTAGTAGCGGACCTCGCCGGCATCAGTGGCCACGTAGAAGTGGCTGGGGCTGTGGATATCCCACATAAGGCTCTCGACATCGGAGCCGGTGCTCCACCACGTGATGGAATCGGGGGCGCGCGAGTCGAAGGCAGCGACCTTCTGGTCGTAGCCACCAGTGAGCATGACCGATGCCTCGGTGGGGTGCCACTTGACTGCCTGCACCTTGTCGGTGTGGTGGCTGTACGACTGGGCGCACTTGGCAGTGTTTAGGTCCCACAGCTTGACGGTGGTGTCGGCGGAGGAACTGGCGAGCAGATTGCGCACGCTTGTGGTTCCACGACAGATCCATGACGGCGTCGGTGTGGAATTCGGCATGCGGCTTGCCCTTGAGCTTGCGCAGCTGCCGCTTGTCGGTGGAGCCGAGGACCAGATCCGGATACATGCTGTCGAGGGTGTCCAGGTCCCAGATCTCAATTCGCGGCTCAAACGTACCCACGGCGACGTAGCTGCCGGGTGTCTGCTGGCCGGCGGTGCGGCCCACGCGGTAGTCAAGCCACTCGAGGCACAGTGGGAACGCCGGCAGCATAAAGTCGTGGTGCACAAACAGATTGTCGCTCTCGTCCTCAAACACACACACCTCCAGGTTGCTCATGTCATCCTCGGTCTTGGCCACCAGCAGCAGATTGTCTGTGCCAAACACCTGCACCTCTTCCTGCTCGTCCTCATCCATGTCCTTCATCGTGATGTACGGGTCCTCCTCGCCCTCGTTGTGGTACGCCAGACCCTTGATGTTGCTGAACACGTTGGGCCCGCTCTCCTCCTCCTCCTCCTCAGCCTCAGCCTCAGCCTCAGATCCCGGCTCTGAGTCGTAGTGCTCCAGATCAAAGTCCTTGAGCGCCGGATCATTGAGAATCTCGTCGTCGAGCTGTGCCTTCTGCTTCAGCTCCTGCTTGGCGTCGGAGATCTCCGTGGCTGCGATCTGCTGGATGCGCTTATACTCGTCCTCAGTCATCTCGTATGTCGTCGGCCGCTCGGCCGCGGCGCCCTTGCGGACCCAGGCAAGTGCAGAGATCATGGCTGTAGTTTCTGTAAAGTTGGTAAATTGGGAAAACACGAAGGCGAGGAAGTAAATGCCTCCGTCCGTCCCAGTACCAGAATAAAACGGCAAGAACTTTTTTTTGCTGAGAATCCCGTGATCTGATTTGTATCAGTGACCAGCAGCGATTTCCGAGTATGCTGGACAGCAGCAGCTATATGGCCCGCGTTTACCTGCTGGGTAGCAGCCTTCTTCCCAGCGCTTCTTTTTTGACAGGCAGGCCGTCAATCCTCTGGTTCAATTGCTCTACTTTGTTTGCTTGTATTTTTTAATTCTCCATTCAAACTCCTCTCTGTCCACTTTCTACACATTTGGCCTTTCTACATGGACGAGCAACAGGCCGAGGATTGGGCACGGCTAATGAATGCTAACGAGGGGGTGTTTGGCAGCGTCCCACAGACGCTCGACGGCCGGGCACGCTCTACCTCTGGCTCCAATGCCATGCGCAGTGGGGATATGTCGCCCTCGCCCGTCGCACCCAAGCTCGGTATTCACAGCAGCAGCAGCACGATAGGGCTCTCCACAGTTTCGCAGACAAACGACTGGCCAATGGCCGACAACTGGGCGACGCGGCTAGCAAACTGCAACGAAACAACCGAGCCCGGCAAAGTCAACGAGAGCCTCAGCGACACACTTACATTCCTTGACAACATTGTTGGTAATCATGCCGGGAAAGACGTCGACGAGGCACTTGCCAAGAGCGCGCGGCTGCTGGCCCACTTTAGCTGGAACATCCGTGCACGCACCTACAAGCTACTGCGGCGGCTATCCTCACCATGGCCACTGGTTCAGAATAAGGAGTTTTTTGAGCTGTGTCTAATGCGGTCGCTGACGCTGGACGATGCGTGCCATGAGGAGAGAGAGCAGGCAATAAAGTTTGCGCGGTGGACAATGCGGTCGGGCGAGGAGCTGTGGTTGGTGACGCCGGCGGTAACAAAGACAATCTTGGCCATTGCCGAACAGGCCGATGACAAGATGCGCAACGCGTGTCTGCAGACACTGTGCGAGATGCTGGTTGTCAGCCCACGACATGTGTGGTACGCTAATGGAATCCGATCGCTGGCCCAGGCGGCGTTAGATGGGCCCTGGGCAATCTCAATATCAATTGCCAGCGCCATCTCGCACGCTCTGGACAAGGAGGAGACACGGCAGTACATACACCTGGGAGTCACTCTGGGCGGCATCACCAGCGCCTTGACAGAATCCATGGGCAAGCAGCAGATGCTGACTGAGCGCGCCAAACTGGCTGCCTTCATGATGACGCAGTTTCTAAAGTCGTGGAGCGGCCTGCAGTACTTTTTGGCTGATGGACGCAAGGTCATCAACGCGCTAGTAAACGCCCTGGCCATGGTCGATGCGAACCGCAAAATCATACTGGGTATGCTGTTTGAGCTGTTCGGGCTGTCTGACGATTTCGATTCGGTGCAGTTCGAACAGCAGCCGAGATTCGACGTTGAGCTGCTGTCGCCGTTCCAGCTGCCGCCATTCGCCATCACCGAGTCGGGAGTGCGGACTCGCCTATTGCCTGTCGACTACCTGCGCACAATCCTGCTGATGCTGTTCATAGACGAAGGGCTGGTGGAGTCACTGGTGACCGCGACATTGGAGTCAGAGCACGCTGAAGTAGTCGATGCTGGTGCAACGCTGCTTAAATGGCTTGCCCAACATCCACACATGCCGTTACCCGAGTCGTATGCGGCAAAGTTCCAGACCTTGGGTGAGCTGGTTGACAGCGCTATCAACAAAAGCGACGACCGGTCAGCAACAGCAAACCAGATTATCTGCAAGATCGAAGGCGTGCCGAGCCTATCTATGGGTCAGCTTCCGAGCCAGCAGGTCGATGCGTGGGCTGCCAGCCTGTCGTCGAGCGTATTTTTCCGGGCACTGCTGCGCCGCAAGCGGCTGCGTCGCCAGCTGGAAGTCAAACGGACAAAAGACGACGATCAGCCGCGCAGCGCCAGTCTTGTGGCTGGCCCCAAGGGTCTGGCGGGCATGTCGGATGCGCAGTCCGCCCACAGCTTGCAGCCCAGCGCGTCGATGAGCAACATTTCAGCCAGCTTCCATGAAGGCGATGGGCATGAACATGATCAAGACGCTAGCGAGGTCAGCACCATGGGTCGGCGGTCGCTGGACCAGGGCCCGCAGCAGTACTTTGGCAATGTCTCGCATGCCTCCGCCCTCAGCTCCCCATTCATTCCTTTTGAAGCGCTGCATGCCCAACAGCCAGACGACTTGACAATCACCACATCATACGCCAGCTCCAATGCCCAGGCACTGCCTGTGCCGGGCATGGCCAGTGGCACCGGCAGCGTGCCCCAAACCCCACAAACCCCTACGGCAGCTGTGCAGACGCCGATGACGCCGCTACCGCCGATGTTGGCCCGCACGCGCACGAAGTCTCGCAGCCGCAGCACACGGCCCAGCCTTGGTGTCGCTGATGAATCGATGGTCATGGCGTGGGTCCAGGAATCTCGCGTCACGGTTGAGGATAACCCGATGCGGTGGGACTGGGCCGCCGTGCGTCTGCTGATCAACGCCCCGCTGGCCGGCGCACGGCGCACGCAAGAGACGCTGCGTGTTTCTGGCTTCCTCCCGCGGCTCGCGCGGTTCTTCCATCCAGCAGCGCTCGAGTTTTGCGAGCTGAGTCGGACCGCCGACAACGAAGAGTATCTGGAGATCGGCAAGCAGCTTATTCGCATTCTGATCTCGTCGGCCGACGGCCTATTGCTGATTGACGAGAGCCGGCTCTTGTCTGGAATCGTCGACGAGATCCGTAAGCAAAACAGCAATGCACGCAAACTTGCTCGCGATGAGTCGTGCTTTTCGTTCGCCAAGCTGCAGATGACGATGGCGCCTGGGTACTTTCACTTTTTGAGCGAGATCGACCACAGCGTCGGCGGTGACACGCTGCTGGAACGCAATCGCCTGTTTGACGCCTACTACCAGATCGTCGAGCTGCCAGACCAGGTCCTACTGATCCAGTATATCCTTAGCAGCATGGACTACACGAGCGCCGGCCATGCCCGCAACATTCTGTGCAAGGTTGCTGCGTCGCCACATGAATCGCTTCGCCAGCTTGTGCCCAGCTTTTTGCTGTTCCTGGCGTGCGATGCGCCATGCAAGGCTGGCTCAGTCACAGGCTGGGCGATTGAGGTGCTGGTCCAGCTTCTGTTTGACTCATCGCCGATGGTTCGTAGCGGTGCTGCCCAGTGTCTTGTCCTGACCATCGACCTGGCCCGCGAGAACCCGCACCTGGACGGCGGCGAGTGCGACCGCCGGATTGCCTACCTGCTCGACATGCACCCAATGTTCGATTTGGCCATAATCAACGACATCCGGCCATTGGTCATGCGTGTTCTGGCCACCGAACCTGGGTTCGCGTACCTGCATTCCCTTGGTATCGTTGACGGCGAAATGGAGGCGTGGGGAGCCCTGGAAGGAATCCTGTACGTGCAAGCAATTGAGCTCGACATCTCACGTTCCCTGGCTTACGGCCCGCTGTTCTCAGGCACCCCTGACGGGATGATGCTGATGACCACCAGCTCGCAGACGCCGGCCACGCCCGCGCACTTTTTTGGCGAGCTAGCGCGCACACAGGGCGGTCGTGACTTCTTAAACAACCACGGTCTGCCAGGGCTGCTGTTTGAGACGCTGAGCAATATCCCGATAAACTCGGAGCTGGCTGACGACATTGTGGCACTAAAGGCCACACTGTGGGCAATTGGGTCTGTGGGCGCGTCGCAGGCCGGATATCTGATGCTGGAAAAACACGATGTCATTGGGCGTCTGGCACAAATCGCCGCCCAGGCCACATCAATCGCTACTAAAGGCACAGTGCTCTACGCGCTGGCGCTCTTGTCGCGCAGCCGGTTTGCTGCCGAGGCCTTCCGCGAGCGCGGCTGGCTGCTGTGCAGTTCATGCTATGGCACGTATGAGTTTGCAGTGCCACGCCGGCTCGAGACTATTCTGAACGCACAGGGCTGGGCTACAGGAGGCATCATGCAGGGCACGTATGCGTTCACCACTGACGACATACCGCACGGGGGCGACGAGGAGCTGGACTCGGTGCAGCGCGAGATCATCACTGCCGTTATCCTGATGTCAAACCACGTCAAAGTCAACAACGGATCAAGAACTCTGATGCGCCTGCGTACATCTCATCCACACTACTTTCGGCTCATCAACTTGTATCGCCGCGCGATGAAGCTGCTTGGCAAGTACCGGTACAGAATGACTGCGCGTCCGCTTTATCTACGACGTGTTTGATGTCAACCTAGCGCTGATTCTGGATGAGCCAGCGACTGCTGAGCAAAGCGTCCCGGATATGCATGGCGAGACGGACGATCCAATCTGCCGACTGTGCTCGCAAGCGTGCGTCAACGCTGCAGGAGCACTCGGCGCTGGCCGCTTCAGGTACTGTGTTTCCGCGGCGTCGGATGAGCGGTCTCATCGACGATGTGAGAGCGGCTCAGCGTGGCAGCGGTGCGCGCAAGGCATCGCTGCACCAGCCTAGATTCAATTGAATATACAACATTTGATATGTCGCCATGGCATCCTACTCACGCTGTACTATCTGTCAGGACCAAGTCCCTGTTGAAAGTGCCACTTGAGACTGGTTATTTTCTGGAGATTTCGGAGACTGTTTATTCCAGACGCCCAGTCGCGCCTCCACAGAGTGGCCTTCTCAGTGTCTGCCCGCTTTTTGTCGGTCTGAATCGTTCTAGATGCACTCTGCCCAGGTGCTAGATCCGCATTTGGCAACACAGCGTGTTGGTTCCCAACGGAAATCTGCTTCGCCAAACGTGCCACGCAAAGCAGAGCTGCAGCAGAGTCACCGCGCTAAGCACAAATTAGTTACTGCTGCTGGCTGAATAGGACGCATTTCTCAACCAATTCCATTGTATTTGGCACCGCGGCGAGTGCATCCCGCGCCAATGGATCGGCTTAGCTCGTGGATCGCGGAGCACTCCCCACTGAAATTACAGCTAAAACAAACCGTTGCGAAAACGAGTCCGCTCCTCCGTAAGCACCCGAATATGCTGGTGCGCAAGATGATAACCCGCACATTGTACAGGTACGGCGGACCATTCCTCTTCCTTGTGCTCTATTCTGTGGCCACAAGCGAATCCCTCGCTCCTCCCAAGTGACATCGCCGACTCGAAAAATAGAATAACCAGGTACTGGCTGGTTGGCACGTCGGGCATCAATTCCAAGCAGCGACACGACCAGCGTGCAACAAAGAATTGCACGGATGGGATCCACGGACCTATTCTGACATATGGGCATGTACATTGTAAGTCTGAGCTCATGTATATTGGCTTCCCTTACCACTCTAGCTCTTTTAGCTGTGTGCTGATGCCCGCAAGTAATAATATTAATCTGAATCTATTTACTGTTTTCGAACGGAGACTACTCCAGGCTACTCCAACAAGCACCACAGAGAAAATCGTAATGCAGTTGGATAGACTGATGGGCTATTTGCTCTACTGAGGCAACCTGAGCCTGTTCAGATGGTCATGTACTCATTCAAAAAAATCAGACCACGCTCATCTACAACCTTGCCAGAATGAATCACTACATTCAGTGGAGCAGCAGGCAGCCTAATCAGTTTAGAGTAGTGAATGCCTGACAACCATCCCGTACTGTGCTATTGCGCCATCAGAAACCGTACCTGGGGACTGCTGAAGCGAGCACACTAGTGTATCCCTGGACTTCCACAGGATCTAATTCGTTTATTCCAATGACTCTGGTCTATAATCTGAGCACACGCCAAAAATGCTTTCCAACCTGCGCGCCGAGCAAAATAAAGGTACAGCCACATGTACTATTATCGCCACCGATATGATCCTACGAAGAACAGCATGATCATCCTCCACCCAGCACCGAATGGCGACAGTCCAACGACTTTTCCTAATATCCAAGGACTATAGCTCCCACACATCCCGGATCAGCGTTTATTGGCTTGTGAAGCATGAGCAAGGTTCCAGTGTGGAGCAGATATATTGGACCGAGTAGTAATTGGCGGTGGTGGGAGGCAGTCAGCAGTGGTAGAAGTCAATCGCACCCACCATATACACTGCCTACATTAGCTGTGAATATCTCGTCAAAAATGCCGATTTGACACAGCTACAGTGGTATTTAAGGAGTGCTAGACAGAAAAAGTAGTCCGTTAATATGTTAAAAACATGGACGGCATCATGCTGAGGCCAAAAAATTCTCCAATCGGCGCGCCTTGAAGGGTGTATCCCGAATCCAGCGCTACCCGGGACTGGCTAGACGACGTTCTCCCGACGGAAGTACTATCAACAGACTAGGCCAGTGCGCCGGGGCATTAAATTTCTCGATGCCACCTGCTCCTCTAGTTGTCCTGGAGTATTTGATCCAGAGCTGGCACCAGCTGTAGGTGGCTGTAGGCTGCGCGCATCAGGCGACAACAGACCTGTACCTGATGCCGCAGTTCCAGATGTTGGTTGTGGGTTGATACTTCTTGAGTTACTATTTCTTTCGGAATGGAATGATAGTATGCCCATTAGAAGGCCCCTGGGTCGTATCCTCCTCGTTACCAACATCACCAGACTTGGTTTGGTTGCCAAGTGGCCACAATCTCCCAGCAAGCTTCCCTATCCAACCCACCAGGGGCTGTGGGGTTCCTGTCTCCGTTGCCCCATCTGTACCATTGCACAACAGGTACTCATTCTCCAGCTCTTCGTAACCAATATCGCCCTCCCGACGGAACAGACACGCAACATAGACAACCCCTGCTGGATCCCCACTATCCGTGCTCAAACACAGCCATCCATTGAACGTCCGCACATCGTGCAGCTCGCGCACCGGCACTATCACACGGCCCACAAGAGAGTCCCAGGATTTGCCCTTGTTGAACACTGAAATCTCGACTTGGGTATTGCTATATAGGTCGTCTTTAAAGTACCCTGAGGCACTGAATCCAGGGTCGGCAGTATCCGCTTGCAGCGCGTCGCCGGCTCTCCTCTTCGCCCCAACACGTATCACTGCATGCTGCTGGAACGACTTTGTGTCGCTGGGTTTTGGCAGCGCCTTGCCCTTGATTACACGGACGTGCAGTATCCCTTTTGGTGTGCCTCCGTCGCCAGACCCTGCCAACAACTCTGCGTCCTTATCCCAGCTCTTTCCATATTGCCCAGCGGGTCGGTGCAGCGTGTACGACCAGTCCTCGACTGTGTCCATCAGAGTGTGGAGCAATCCTTTGTCCGCCATGGTGAACGGCCTCAATAAATAATCGCGCTATGAATGTGAGGAGTGAGGGGACAGACAAGGTTCTTTCAAGCAGGATAGCTGGGTGGAGTTGTCAAAAAAGTGACGACTAGGTATTGTCCGAGCCTTCCCTGATTTATGTACTCTTGGGAGAAGGGGATTGACATCCTTTTGTTGCTCAACCACGCCGAGACGCATGAGTTGAGGTTGGCAGATCACTGCTGGGTTTCAAGGCATGTAGTTCATAAATGAGGCAGAAACAATCATTTGGTTGGTGATCTGTTCAGTGGTCCATGGAGGCAACTACACGTCTTCGGTTTGTAGTCGCAAGGGTGAGGATAAACAGCGTGCCAGCCTGCTTGGCCATTGGCTGTGCAATGAGGTCCAAGAACTGATCCGTGGCACAGCCGCTGAGGCGTTCATAATTTCATCTAGCTTCTTTATTGCACTCCTGATATCCAGTCAATGTGGCTCTAAAAGCCCATAGGACCTGCTTTCAGAGCCTTTCTTCGTCCTCTCCAACACTATCTATGTAGTGCTACCTTCTATAACCAGCCAAATATTGACTAACTGATCACTCCTCACATTAAGAGATAGCAAGCACCGACACTTTGTTTTCGGTTTTCTACTGTAGGTGCTTCCAAGAACATTATGAAGAGACAAGCATACCCAGTGGCAGGCAGCTTCCTTTGACCAGACAATGAGGTATCTGCTCTTGTTTGTAAGATGATGGACCTTAGCTGCCTAGATGAGGGCTGTCCTCGACCCGGACTGTGCCGGGCACAGCTGGTAGGCCTAGCCACTAAATAGTGGGCGGTTTAGTAGCTGGATTAGATATTGTAATGAAGAAACAGGATATGAAATACAATAGCTACAGGTGACGAGGCGCTTGGCGACGTTTTTATTCGGTAACCACTGGCCAGTCACGATATACTCTCAGGTCGGAGTCCTGTTGCTTGGTAGGGCGCTTGTCCATGCTGAATAGCTCTTGCAAACTGTGTGGAGATATGAATATGAGTCTCTGTCAGGGGCGATTCAGAAATAAAAGTAGTAAACGAAGGAGTTTGTTTTTCTACAGATCGCAGCCAGGGTCTTTTAAGGTTGAGAGTTGGGCCCTTCCCAGAGTCGGTGTTGCGCCATACGTTCTCACTGCAGCATGCGAGCAGACGACGGCATACACCGACCAGGTGGCACCATGAAGGCCGTAATTGGCCGCAGTACGTGGTCGTTCCAAACGTCCGAGAAAACACGCACTCGTTGAGAGCTCCAGCTATGTACTCTTGCACATCCTTACATAAATTACAGCACAGCAGATGCAGCCTCAGCGACAAAGGTGCAGGCGGCAAGGGGCTGGGTGGCAGGTGGACGCTTGGGTATGCCTGTTGCCTTTTCTGGGCACGGTAGCAGCCACAGGAATATCACTATAGCCCTTGCCGAAGAGGCCAAAGAGAAACGGGCAGGGTGCTGCCAGAAACAAAAGTATCTGCAGGAGCGCAGAACAACACCAACCCGCACGGTCACTATTATCTAATTGCATCCCTTGTTCACCCTATCCCTGCTCTCCGCTAAATATTTCCCGCCCGGCCCCAAGACACTTTGGTTCCGAGGGGAGGCCAGTGTCATGCACCGGCTTGTCTACCTCCGGTCCAATAAGCCTCTCGCACCATTTGCCGGAAGTGATGTGTCAGACTGGCCCAATTGGCATATACATCTTTATGCGTATTGTTTTTTCTCCACCGCCGTTCGGAGCATGAGGGTCTACCCCGGCCAGCTTTCTCTTGCGCTGAGGTAGAAAGGGAAAAGAGCAGGTCATGGATGCACCGACACTAGCACAAGCAGTTTCTATGCACCGAGCCTTTCTGTTTGCCAGATGTTTGGTCAAGGAATGGGAAGAATGAGGCAGCTGGGAAGTGGCAGCTGGGGAAGTGGAAAAAGGGGGTGGTGGGAGACAAAGGTGCGTATATTAGAAGAACAGATCAATAGGGCTTGAGACAAATTATGCCATGTGGGTTGTATGAATGAACTGAAAAGGGAGGGACAGGGTGTGCTGGCATTGGTGCAAGGGTGCATGTTGTCCATCAGATATTCTGTAGGATAGAAGCAATGGAAAGGCTGCTTTAGGATTGTTGTTCGTCGTCATCAGGCAGCTTTAGTCTACCCTTGTTGCGTATAGGAATTGCAACTCCTTGAGCGTTGAATAGGCGCGAAAGCTCAGTCGATTCTACATTGAGCATGAAGCAGCCGAGTTAGTGTCCAGAACGTGCACGCACAGGAATCAAAGAAGGCGAGGTTGGACCGACTAGTGCCGAGCCTAAATGGGCTGAGTGCCTCTGGTAGCGGGTCTCTGCCAGCAGAACCATTCCTGCCAACTCGCTGGAGGATACCATACCGTCAACACCTGGAAAGTCGCGCATCGAGTACACTGTGAACGGATCTGAAAAGACATGGGTCAGCACCTTTGCCGAATCAACATGGTCTGACTCTGTAGACGGGATAGAAATCAGCGAGAACTGCAATGTAAATGTGCCCGCATATCGGACGCGAATATCTGGGAAACAAAAGTAGCAGCCGTATTTCCCGCCGATCTTGATGGTATGTGCAGAAGATACCAGCGACCCGATCATGGTCTGCTGGTACTCGGCATCACTCATGACCGGCGTATCTTCTGACACGGAGCACTCGTGCGATTTTGTTGCGTCGAACAATGTGGCGTGCACAACGAACGTCTTTTGCCACAGTAGCCTAGAATGCAAGAAAAATGCCAATTATGCAGCAGCGAGATTAGACTAGGCAAATACTAAAAAAGCAGGTCCGGTCTTGGCATGAATGGCGTGGCGCTGCCGCTGCCAAAGAGGGGTACTGCAAATAGAGGGATAGCCATGCCTATAAAGAGGGCAGTAGCAAGGCGGAAACGAAAAATAAGGGCGTTATCTTTTCTGCAGCGCACCCAATTCTCTGGATTCGCTCTCCTTCCCAACCCAACTTTCTGGGTGCCTTCTGGGATATATCAACAATCAAAGCAATTTTCCAAAACCACTTACTCGACATTCTCAGCACCCTCGGGTGTAGATATCTCCAGCTGCACGATAGGGCATGGGTCAATTGGCCGGCGGTCTCGTTCGCCAACGCCCATTGCTCGTGCCCGCTTCGGCTGCTGAATCAGCGTGAGTGAGTACTGCTGGTGATCTTCGTCGCCGCCAGGCGAGTCGCTATGTGTCATTGGTATGCGCTCTTATGTATGCGTGTCGTAGGACGGAGCCGGTGGGAATAAGCCAGGGTGAAGAAGGGAATCTGCAAGGAGAAAATGGCAGCAGCTATGACCCTTTCCCGGTCGCTGTTTATACGTTTGCTTTCCCTATCGGTGCGCCGCTCTTCAGAGGCCGGTTTGCATGAGGTGCAGTGGTGGACTAGGAGCACGAGAAAGAGCTAGGGCGAGTAGAAAGTGGGGGAATAAGAGTTTGTTAAGTGGGGCCAGGGAAGAGAGAAAGAGGGCGGCCACTGGTATGGATTTGAGGATTAGAAATTTTTTGGCGGTGGAGGGAGAAAAAGGGATAAATAGGAATAAGCCGTAAATGGCCAAAGGGCGTTCAACGAAAAGAAAAGGACACAGGTTTGGGTCAAGGCGCTCGACCTAAATAGTTCTCATCGTGCCCTCTGCATCTGTCGACGTGGGAGCGGGAGGACGAGGATCCGAAAGAAAGGTTCGGTACGCATGACACCAGCCTGTGATAAGCGGCAAAAACGCCTGTGCATGAATCCAGACGAAAGGGGGGTAGGGCAGCCTGGCTCGTAGCCCCTAGGGATTGTGCATGGCGGTAGCACCCAGCCGTACTTTTCGCTTTTTCTTCAGATGGTTCGGTGAGCTGGCGCATTGGCGATTGCCAGCACCCATACACCCGCTCCCCAGTGTACCAGCTTCTGTACATCTCGACACTGTGGGCTGGTAGAACCGTAACGAGAATGCTTTGGCTTCTATAGAATCGGGACCAAGATGCGATGGCCAGCCAAAATTGGGCTAGAAGGCACGGGGGTTTGGTGCGACCCAACGCATCAAATGCGAGCTCAACAATGGCACGGCGGGTCATGGGTCGACGCCCAGAGTGCTGGACAATGGCCGAGCAGCTCTGCTGGCACTTGATCAATGCTGAAGTGCCAGTTGATCGGTCTGACGAATGGGTTTCTGGATAGCGGATGAGCGCGAGGTGGAAACCAAACTGCGCCAGGACCAGGGTGTGGCAGGCCACATCGCGCTTGCCGCTCTGATAAGCATGCACAGCGGCGAGAAGCAAGCCTAAAAATGACGCCTACTAAAGGTGGTGCCGTGTATTGTTTTGCATCTGCGCTCAAGTCGGAATAGACGGCTTCCTTGAAGTCCGAGTGGCGAGGCTATTCCAAAGGCGTGGGATAATCATCAAACAAACATGAACACAGAAAACGGATTTCGCCGACCCACTCAGAAGGCGCCGGGTAAAAAGATGCAGCCATGTGGTACAAGCGTGGCATGGCATAATCACAGCGACCAGTCTCGGTTACTGTTTCTACTACTCACGGTAAATTAAAGTTGCACTTCGAACCACACTTCCCTGGGCCGATGCGGTCGCAGAATAGCTAGGCCGGGGTAGCGGCGGGTGTAGCCGCGCAGATAGGGGGCGGCCTGAGAGGCGCGATCGTGCGCTGTGTGGTAGTGCAGGAAAATCGGCACAAAATTCCAAAGCGGGATCAGCTGATGATTGCGATTTAGACCAGCGGTCCGAGCTGCAGGCCTTGGTCATGCCTAGCAGTCTTGGACCAAAGGTGTCGTTGCAGGAGCAGGAGCAGGAGCAGGCAGCGCAGACGGGCATGGGCGTGTTTAGCCAGCATTCGCGGCTTCTAATAATAATGCAAGCTCCGACTCTCGCCTCCTCTCCCCCAATTCTTGAACCTCGTTGAAAATCCATCATTTCCCGAATGCACGCTAATTCCATTCCTCTGAAAGCAGCAACAGTCCCTTTGGGTCTCCGCCGGCCCCTTTGGATTTCCTCTCTTTCCTCTACTCCTCCTAATTCCCACCCCTTTTAAATAGTTTCTTTCTAATCGTCTCCCTATTTCCTTTCACGCCTCCCCTTCTCTCCTCCTGTCACCTGTGCGCAGTAGACGCTACAAGCTTGAAATAAACACTCCCTGGTACGTATGCTACGTGCTCTGCCTCTTGTTTAGTTTTTTTGGGGAGGGGACATGGCAGTTCGCTTGCTGTTGTTTTTGGCAGCGGTCGTGGGTTTGCGCGTGGATGTGCCTTGTGGCGCCCACTGAGTGGGTCTGTGAGCAGGCAGACGTGCGGGTTTGCCGTAGAACAGATGGGCGGAGGCATCGATTTAGCGACGGCAGTGGCTTGTTCCCGCCTTTTTGGCTGCTGTTGTTATTGCCAGGATGCAGTGGCGATTGAGCCAGCTGGCATATATGTAACGCCCATCACGCATGCGCTGCACGCAGCTCATTGAGACAGCCTGCTATGTTTGCCTGCGCCGCTCTTTGTCTGTTCGATCTCCATCCAAGCCTCTCCCATATATATGCTTTCGCTGGGAGATGGATTCTCGCTCGACACCCATGGGCGAGGGCCAAGTAGTGGCTCTGCTTTCTTTCTCGCTGCGCATCAATGTTTATTGACGGCAATGAGGAGAGGGGATGACCACCTGTGCGTGGGTGTGTAACCTGGCCGCGGCTGTTCCTGGTTGGTGCTGGGCAATGCGAAAAAGCGCTGGGGCTACACAGGAGGAGGCCAAATAAAAAGCAGCTGAAATGGCAGCCACAGGAGCCAAACCGGCCCAGGATTCCGCATATTCTTTTTCTCCCGCGCATTCGCACTTTTCTTTATATTGCACTTGCAATTATCGCCTTTGTATTTATTTTCCAGCCTGCCACAGCAACACAACGGCTCGATTATTTGGCGGACCAAGCCCTTCCCCCTTCTTGTGTTTACTTTTGCACACAATTTATTTTTCACCTCTACTCGCTCAGCTATTCTACTTTACCTTCTCGTGAGAGTTGTTTTAATTTTCTCGTTTCCACTTGCCCCTCTGCATAGACAGCGTACCTTTATTTTCTAAAAACAGCTCAGTATCAACAGAAGCCATGGGTTGCGGAGCCAGCAAAGAAGACCTCGACGAGAAGCGGGCCAACGACGAGATTGAGCACCAGCTGCGTCGCGACCGCATGAACATGCGCAACGAGGTGAAGATGCTGCTGCTCGGTGCCGGTGAGTCTGGCAAGAGCACAATCATCAAGCAGATGAAGCTGATTCACGACGGCGGGTACAGCCGCGAGGAGCGTGAGTCGTTCAAGGAGGTGATTTTCTCGAATGCAATTCAGTCGATGCGCGTGCTGCTGGAGGCCATGGACACGCTGCACATCCCGCTGGAGCGGGCCGAGTACCAGCTGCACTCGAATGTGATTATGAGCATGCCCAGCCAGATTGAGGCAGACGTGCTGCCGTCAGACGTGGCCGAGGCAGTGCGGGCGCTGTGGACGGACGGCGGCGTGCAGGCGTGCTTCCGGCGGTCGAACGAGTTCCAGCTGAACGACTCGGCATCGTACTACTTTGACTCGATTCACCGCATCAGCCAGCCCGACTACCTGCCAACGGACCAGGACGTGCTCCGGTCGCGTGTGAAGACAACGGGTATCAACGAGACGATCTTCCGGGTGGGCGAGCTGACATACCGCATGCTGGACGTGGGCGGGCAGCGGTCGGAGCGCAAAAAGTGGATCCACTGCTTCGAGAACGTGACTGCGATTCTGTTCCTGGTGGCCATCTCTGAATACGACCAGGTCCTCATTGAGGACGAGACAGTCAACCGCATGCAGGAGGCGCTGACGCTCTTCGACTCTATCTGCAACTCGCGCTGGTTCGTAAAGACCTCCATCATCCTGTTCCTGAACAAGATGGACATCTTCCGGGACAAGCTGCCCAACTCGCCGATGAAGAACTACTTCCCCGACTACCATGGTGGCAGCGACATTGACGCTGCGTCCGAGTACATCCTGAAGCGGTTTGTGTCGCTGAACCAGTCGGATGCCAAGCAGATCTACACGCACTTTACCTGTGCCACGGACACAAACCAGATCAAGTTTGTCATGGCTGCAGTCAACGACATCATCATCCAGACCAACCTGCGCGACTGCGGGCTGCTCTAAGCTCATGTTTGCTCTATTTCCCCCTGCTAATTCTTTTCTATACTGTGCCCACCAAATACCCTCCCTTTCTCCAATCCCCTTTGCCCGTTTCAGCCATCCGACAGCAAGCCCGGGTGCCCGGTGACGACATTGGGCTTACAATAGCTCCTTTCTATTACTACTCCTCCACTACCACTCTCTTCCCTACTACTCTACTCAATATACCAGCTCATCTCTGTCCCTCGTCACCCTTTGCGGCTCTGCGCACAGCATCTGGAGGCGTGAGTCCCTTCAGCCGATCAGACGCGCTTTGGCGGACGGACGGACAGGCGGACGGACCGACGCTTTTGGGTCGCTAGTCAGGTATATAATAAGTTCCGGGTTTTGCATCGATGGCGGGGGCGTCTGGCTCTGGCCACCGCCGACCGCGTGTCTGGTACACCACAAAGAGGACCAGCTGCTGCTGGCACACGCACCACTACGGCGCCAACAATCGAGCCGCGTTCTATTTTCTGCCTTTTTTGGAGTGGGCGAGGAAAAACAGGCTACAGGAAAATGGCAGCCATTTGGCGCCTTGGTCTGGTGCCCGTCACCCCACTTCATTTTCCGGCTTTTATTCCCGTCTCCTTCTCGCTCTCTCTTTTCCTACTATTGCCGAGACTTGTTTTATATAGCTTTCAAAAAAACGTCCAACCCCCAGTTTTCGTTTCCGCAATGTTTGCCCGAATGAACCGCAAGCGGCAGGAGATTACGGAGAAGACACCAAAGACGCCGCGCAAGGTTGTCGTATATACCGACAACTTGATGACCTCAAAGAGCGTACGGTTCTCGACGACTGCCGAGACAGCCCAGCATGTAAGCGTCGAAGCAGAGGCAGTGGAAGGCAGGCCATGGAGGGAAACGGGGAGGGTGATACACCTGTATTAAGACTACTGCTCTTGGGGCCATTCATTCCCATTTTTGCATGTGTAGTTGGCACGGTCGCTGGCAGATACGTTGAACACGGCGCTAATTATCAGCACGTCGTTTAGATTCGACCCTGAGCTGAACATGCTGGAGATCCTAGACCCATACAATCCGCGCAACAACATATTCACCAACGGCATCACCGACTATGAAGTGTCAGGTAGGTTGGCGTAGCCAGAGTGAGGGGAGAAGGGAAGGCGAAGGAGCACGGCAGGTGTATTGGGCCATATGACCTAAACAAGTGCCGAAAAGCGGGCGTGGTATGCATAAATTTGATTATCTGTAGTGAAGCTGTTTCTGCTGCCAGCGGCAACCGACACACACAACCGGCCATCCCCGCTGTACGTGCGGCAAGCGCTGGCGTGCATACAGAAGCAACTGGGAAGTGTGAAGATCGACGAGTTCTTCACATCGTTCATTGACATTTCGTCGCCGATCACGGCGGACACGATGGAGGAGGTCAGCGACAGTGACTCTGACCCGTCAAGCGGCGGCGGCGGCGGCGGCAGCTCGGGGAAGAAGAAAAAGCACGGTGCGGGCTCGTTGCCCGACGACATGGCGCGGTATGTGAAGATCTGGCGGGTGCTGGGCAAGTTCCGGGCGTCGGGGGAGATTGGCAAAATCGGGGTCAGCGATTTCACGCTGCCGCAGCTGCAGCAGCTGATGGAGCTGTCGCAGGTCAAGCCTGACATGCTGCAGGTGAAGCTGGGGAATGACTCGTTGGCGATGGGCGAGACGCTGGACTCGGATCTGATGGATTTTGCGCGGGCACAGGGCGTGTCGCTGCGCACGCACACGGACAGCTTGGAGATCCTGACGGACCGCACGTTCCAGAACCTGGCGAACGACTACAAGATCAACGAGCGGTTCCCGACAACCGAGGTGCCGCCGCACGGATACAAGATTGACATCATGCGGCCACGGTGGGTGGCCAACTACAGCGTGTCGCTCAAGAACCGTGGGCTGGTGGCCAACCGTGGGTTCATCGTCATGGCCAGCTCCGACTGCGTGCTGGACCCGAACGGCATCTCGTATCCGACATTCCTGTGACTTCTTTTTTTTTTTTTTTCGTGCTTCGCTTTCTAGTTTCTTTAATGAATAAAAGCGGCTATATAATCTTAGCACTACTCTTCGCCGCCCGAGCTGTAGTCGTCACCCGAGACCTCGGCGTTCTCGCGCTCGGCCCGAGCCATAAAGTCCTCGAGCTCCTTCTCCTCGTGCTCGCTGACGGCCTTGGGCTTCATGCGCACCACCAGCTCGCCGCCCTCCTCCTTGATGACCCGGTCGGCCTCGGCGATGGCCTTCTCCATCAGCTCAATGTCCTTCGCCTTGTTGACAGAGTTGGTCGACATGACGTACATGGGCGGGGCAATCAGACGGATCTTGATCTGGGCATCGTCCTGCGACAGCGCCTCGGCAGCCTTGAGCGCCTTGCGGATGGCCTCGACGCCCTGGTAGCCAAAGCAGTTGACCTCAATATCAGCACGGATCTTCACCGGCTGCGGTGTCAGGCGGCGGACGGATGTTGACCAGCAGCTCGTCCAGCACATTCTGCTCGATACCCAGGTCGCCGAGCACGGCCTCCGGGTTGGTGATCGCCAGCTTGAATGCGTCGTAGGCGTGGCCATACTTTTTGTACAGCGGCCAGCCAAACTTTTGGTACAGCTCCTCGATGTCCAGGTCGAGCTTGTTGGCCACGTGGTTGATGATTGAGTGCACGGCCTTGGACTTTTGGAACTTCTCTTCACACCGCGCTGCGTCCTCGGGTGTCGCCTGCCGCTTCGACAGGTCAATGTAGCCCTTCTCCTTGTCCACTCGCAGGACGACCACCGCCTCGCGCTTGCCCACGCGCACCAGCTTCTGCACCGAGCGAATGCGGCGGCGAGACAGCTCCGACAGCAGGATCATACCCTCAATATTGCCGTACTCCTCGAGCTGTACGTTGGCTCCCACCTCGCCAATGCCAATGACCTTGACCATCACGACATCCTCGGGCTCTGGGAACTCGGCCTCGTAAAAACGGAACGGCATTTTAATAAAATTGATTTGAGCGTGCTTTTTCGGGTTGTCTACTAGAGAAATCGAGTGGCAAATTAGATGACACACCAAAAGAAATCGAAACGAAAAAAGTAGCGGGAGAACAGGAATTCGAAGCAGCGAAACCCCCCTGGCTCGCTCGCCTCTTCACATTGGAGGAATTCGCAGTGAATTTTTCAGTGCTGGGCTCCAAAGCTCCCTGGGTGCTGATGCAGGCAAGAGGGGCAATGAAGTTTTTTGAATTTGCAGATCAAGCCCCTGCGATCAGGCCACTGGTTACATGGGCACGTGACTGATCTCCGTCTGAGCCACTTGCGCTCGGACCGGGGGAAAACGTCAGCTGCAGGCGTTTCTGTCGCCTGTGCGATTCTCTCTCTCTCGCTACTTTTACCTTTGCACATGCACGACTATCGCATATTCACATTCAGCACGCCCACGTACTGCGAGCGGTGCAGGGGGTTCCTGTGGGGAGTGGCCAAGCAGGGGGTGCGGTGCGTCAAGTGCCAAAAGGCGCTGCATAAGCGCTGCGCGGTGGCCGACAAAACACAGTGTACTGGTGACCGGGGTCTGGCGCTACTGGTACCAACCGGAGCAGCCAGTGACTGCTGCATCGGCTACGTATATCAGAGAGCTGGACAGCGCATTCTGGGAGCAGGTGAAGGAGGAGCAGAAACTGAATGCGTTTGTGTCGACGCAGGCCGAGCAGCCGCTGTCGCTGTTCCAGACGCTGCCAGCAAACTTTATGCAGTTCACAGCCAAACTGGCGGCAATAGGGCTTGTGGAGCGCGGGCTGCGCGACATACTGTTCTGGAAGCGGCCGCGCGCATCTCTGGCAGCGATGTGCATGTACTCGATGGTGTGCTTGCGGCCGGGCCTGCTGTTCATTATGCCCACGATGATGATGATCGGGTACATTGTGTTCAATTACTACAATTCGGGCTATGCTGAAAGCACAGTAGCCAGCTGCAGGAGCTCGCCGGTGCCGTCGAGCGAATCGTCGCAGACCAGCCTGGCGGGGAGTCCGTCGCAGGCGTCGTCCTCGGCGCTGTCGCTGAGTGAGGCCGGGGTGCGGAGTCGTGGGCGAGAGAAGCGCAGCAAGCGGCAGGCAACTGACCCCTACCCGGCAATCAGCCGGAGCCCAACAGCGCCTGAAGATGGCGGAGGTCTCGTGAGCGGCCAGGCGGGCAAGCGACTTGCCAGGGCACGGGGCGGCGCATCCGAGACGACGCTGAGTGGCAGCGGCAGCCGCTACGTAGATCTGGCAGCAGTGTTTGGGCAAGCCAGCTTTGGCAGCGCCAAATATACGGAGAATGTCCACACGACGCAGAATCTGACAGGCACATTTGTCGGTGTGTTTGACTGGGTGGCAGCACACAACTGCTTGGTAGACTGGTCGCAGCCAGAGTCGGCACGCCGGGTCCTGGGCGCTTGTGTAGCAGCACAGATGGTGGTCATGGTCACTGTGTACTGGGTGCCGTGGTACCTGCTGTTTCTGGCGGGCGGCAATGCTGGGCTGCTGGCTATGTCGCCGCATGCCAGGGCGTTTGTCAAGATCTACGGCGTGGAGATGACGCTGCTAGCACATGAGCGCATGGCAGTGCACGCATGGCGGTGGAGGCGCGCTGCCGGGGGGTGGCCGCTTGTTGGGCGGCTGGTACAAAAGTGCGCGGCTGGCACAGCTACGTCTGTGTTTACATCGCCACTGCTGCTGGCAGAGGAGGACGAGCCGGGCAGCTCAAAACAGAAGCCGCTGAATGACGGGTACACAACACCGCCCTTGTTGTCGCTTGCCAGCACGGCAGCCTCTGGATCCTCCGTGCTGTCTACGCGACGCACCAAGCTGGCCAGCGTGTTTGAGAACCAGCGCTGGTGGATGGGGTTCGGCTGGATCCCGCGCCTGGGCAGCAACGAACGGGCCAAGTGGAGCGACGAGTCGGGCAAGAAGCGGCTCACATCGCTCAGCGCCTTCCTGCCGGATCCTGGCTACGAATGGGCCAGCGGCGAGAAGGGCTGGGAGATTGACATGGGCTGGGCGCTGCCTGTCAAGACCGACGAGGAGGGGTGGGTCTACACGGACAACTTTTGGAAGCGGCCCTCTGCCAGCTCGTCGAAGGTGCAGTCGTACACACGGCGGAGGCGGTGGGTCAGGCCGATGCGGCCAGCGATAGTCGATCCAGATACTCCAGGAAATCCCCGGTAAACCTGCCTTCTGCCTCTGGCTGCAGGTCGGCAATTGGACATGCAAGTTATTTTTACGCCATCCCTCTCGCCATGGAGTAAAAAGGAGGTGGGCGTTTCTAATATTAGCATCCGCCATTAGCCTATGTCGTCATGTGCAGGATCCACACATCCCTCCTCTTGTACATGTCTGAGACCTACGGATGCCGTAAGCTGCCTATCTCACGCTGCCTATCTCACGCTGCCACACCGGGCACCGCCAAGTTGCGCAAAGGCCTGAGATATGTCACGTGGCGGAGCTTCATAGAAAAAATATCTCGGTCTAAAAATATGCTGTCGGCCATGAAAGCAGAGGCGAAAATTGCTTGCTTGGCTGGCGCCGAGGCCAATCAACGAGTAATGGCCCGCCGATTGCTAAAAATGGCTGGCTCTTCTGAGCTCTGTTAGCCCCCTTTCGCTTGTCCTCTCTCTCTTCTACCCCTTTTAATTTTCCCTAGCTCTTTCAATTTCATACTCCTTCGCTATCCTGCCGGCTTTTTTCTGTGTGGAACGGGTGTTGAGCAGACAACGGCAAGCAAACTACAGCTTCCCTTTCCTTTCTTTTTTTGCTCTGAATTTTATAACAGCGTAGAAGCGGATGCTCAACAGAATTCTCGGCTCGACTCTGTAATACCTTCTCTGTTCTCCTTTCTCCTTTCTCTCTTTCCTTCTCTTTATTATTCTCTTACATATGGACCACGCTGCGCTTAATTACCGCAGCACAAGAGAGCGAGACGCACAGTCCCGACAAACCACCAACGCTGGCCATCCGGTCCCGATACAAATAACAGACATGCGCTTTAATAGCGTTCAGGACAGCGGCGACCGGAGTGGTGAAACCAGCAGCTCACAATACTATTCGCCAGCCGTCAGTCCGCCTCCAATGCCTGCAGAGCTGCAGCACCACCAGCCAGATAGCGCATTGATGCATGTCAGCATACCCGAGCACCACCCATACACAGCGGCGGACTTCAATGAGTCGCCCAGCCCGAGCGTCAGATCGACTGCGGGCAAGCCGCGGTCAGCAAAGTTGAGTCGGAACCCACGCGGCGAGGTGGGTGTTGCCAGGCGCGTGGACCCCGACGCCGCTGATGCTGCTGCGAGTCAGGTGCAGCATGGCGAACCAACACTAGCATCACTGATAACCAACGATACGGGCCAGCCACTATACATTGAGGTAGGCATGCGCTCCTACAGCGGCGGCCAGCGACTAAAGTCGGCATCGGCCAGCGGATTCTACTCCGAGCCCGCGTCCTCCGCCGTATCGCCAGTTATTTTTGCCCCGCAGCCCTTCAGCAGCGGCTGGAATGCCGGCGACCCGCGCTCAGCATCGGTCGACGTGACCAGCCAGCTGCAAATACAGCATCAGCAGCACCATCAGCAGCGCAGTAGCCGCGGACTGGGCGCTGAGAATGAGCAGTTACTGATGTCGCCTCAGCGCATGGGGCCGATGCCTCAGCGGCAGTCAATGTACAGCGACGAGTTCCCCGACAACAGCAACCACAGCAACATCCGGCAGCCCAACAATCCGTCGCCTAATGCAACATCAATCTCGGCCCAGTCGATGACAGGGGCCTCGACTGCGTTCTCGTTCCAAAACAGCCAGCGGTCACAGTCGCAGATGCAGTCGCAATCTCTGACCCTCGCCACCAACCGGTCCTCGACTTCAAACAGTAATCACAACACAGCCATCGGAGGCAGCCGCGACAGCATGTTCCTTCGTCTCAAAGAGAAGATGAAAGCGTTCAAACCAAAGTCCCGCCCGCAGAGCGACAATCTGTCTGACAACAAGGCTGTGTTTTTCGCCGGCAACGGGTCGTCGCTGGGGCCGCCCACGACCGCCATGAACAGCAAGCCCTACTTGGGTACCAGCAGTAAGTGCAGCTTTTTTTCTCTGGACCACCCTCATCGTTGCTTTCTACAAGGTGCGACGGAGAGAGGCCAGCGCTCGTGCAAGTCCCGCCCTCCCCACATCACGACGGGCATGCACAACCCGCATAGCCCGCACCGGCTGTTTTGTTTTTGTTTTTTGTTGGCTTTTTGGGGAGGCTGCTGGCGCTGGCCACGAAGAGGCGCGGGGGGTTCATTTCTATTGTTGCTGAATTATGCGGCGAATGGCTCCCTTTCCGTGCAAAGGAGGGGCCCGTGTTTATTGCCAGGTCCTGTTTGTGCATTGTGCCTGCCTTTGTGCAAGCCTGGACAGGCGCCAGCCGTGTATCTGGATAAATGCAGTTTGCATTCCATGCGTGCTCTAGAATGGACGCCTAGCCCTGGAGGGGCCATGTGCGGACACCCCCCGTGCTTCGCACGCCCTGACAATGGTTGTCTGTCCGTCTCTCCTGCATGCCGGCTGCCAAGCACAAAAGTCTAAAAATATCAACCCCATTTATTTCCGTTTATAGATCAGGCATCGGCGAACACGCTGTTTGGCATGGCGCTGGCACGGGCCACCATGATTGCGGGCGTGCCCGTCGGATGCGTTTCGGAAACAGGCGAGCCTTGCATTGTGCCCACAGTAGTGGCCATCTGTGGCCAGCACCTGCGCGAGAACGGCCAGCAGACGCAGGGCATATTCAGAGTCAACGGGTCGATGAAGCGCGTGCAGAAGCTCCAGGACGAGTTCAACACGCCTCCAGAGTACGGCAGACGCGTGGGGTGGGATGGATACACACTACACGACGCAGCAACCCTGCTGCGACGCTACCTGAACTCGCTGCCTGAGCCCGTGATATCCACTGATTTCTACGATGACTTCAGAAACCTTCTCATTGAGAACATTCCACACAACGACAAGCTGCACATGTACGCATCGTTGATATCCCAGCTGCCGGCAGAGTCCCGCCATACGCTTCTGTATGTGCTGGAGCTTTTGGCGCTGTTTGCCAAGCCCGAGAACGCCAAGCTGACCCTGATGACATCCTCTAACCTGGCCGCCGTTCTGCAGCCGTGTCTGCTGGTGCACCCAGGCCATGTCGCCGACCCGCAAGAGTATGTTCGCTCGAAGGCGGTCATCGAATTCCTGATCGTGAATGCGGCCAAGATCCGCGGGCCCGAGAGCGAGCTTTCAGCAGCAGGTGGACAGCGAGTCAGGCACCTGCGGGTCTTATCATCTTCAACACCGACGACGCACAGGGCGCTGACGTAGAGAGGAGAGACCTATCTGCCATGGCCTCAGCGACCGATTCCGTCACTTACCAGGGGGCGCCGCACAATTCGCTGTCATATACGAGCGAGAGCGGAATGGCGGCTGTGCAGTCGACACTGTCTGTGGTACAGCCTAAGCATGCAGATGGGCGAGTCGCAGACTACTGGTGGAATGACAGCGGTGGCAGGCAGCGCATTGTATTTGACAAACACCGAGCCCATGCCTTCGCACCACAGCCAGCAGCATGCACAGTCGCGTGGGATATCGGAGCAGTCGTCAGCAACGACAATGAGCCAGCAGCACCGGCAGCATTCCTTTGTGGTTGAAAGCGTGGCGCAATGCGGCCCCGAATAACTCTAATCCTGGGTTGTTGCCGCAGCGCACCGATTCGCTAACCTGCTTCCACGTATGCAGTTGGAGGCATGTCGGCGCCAGTGCTCAGCACAGCGCCCTATCAAGAACAGCCGCTGAATCCGTCGATTGGTGCTGTCACGGCGCATCTGTATGACCCGGATACGGATACCAGCGACGGCCCGAGCTTCCTCGGCAACCGGCCAATTGGCTCGCCGTTCATGGGACCAACGTTCTCCAGCCCGCAGTCGCAAAAGTCGGTGATAGCGACGACTACCATCCAGTACCACACCACTGGGCCATCACACTCGCAAGCAAAGCAGCTTGCCGTCCAGACCCGATAACAGCACGGCGCGGCCCCGGCGGTCGCAGTCTTTTGGCATGCTTACGTCGCAGGGCACCGCCCCAGGTGATGGCGACCGCGGAATGGTCAAGAGGTCGACAAACACCAGCGAGCGCAGTGCCGGCGATGCTGGAGGCATTGGCGACACTGCCACTGGAACGTCGCCCAGTCAGCGCGGCGTGGCTGAGCGGCGGGCTGGCCAGATCAAGCTGCGGGGCACACCCGACCTGGGCACTGCTGGCAGCCGCAAGTCACTGGGGACCGCCTCTTTCCCAGAACCCCGATAGCCGCACAGCAATGACAACAGAGTCGGGCGCATTCTCCATGTACCCGCGCACCATGGCTGCGAGGTCACCGCCCAAGCAGGACAATGATGGCTTTGGATACTCGCAGCGCTCGCTGGACAACCCATCAAGCAAGTACGGGTCACCGGGACAGCACATGTATGACACAAACGGGCATGCGTACGATGCCGTCGTATGAGGGAAGTCAGCAGGGCGGCGCCAAGTGGCTCGAGGACGAAGAGCCCATCCATGTCCCGCAGCAGGAGCAGGCATCGTATGGGTACTCCGACACCCAGAAGCAGAAGCTGCAGCCGATCGTGCAGGCAGACCCGATGGCGATGATGGGCATGGGCAACGGACATCGCAACCGCTCGATGCCGCATGGTCAGGGTCTAATGCCGCCTAATATCCAGACATCGCGCCCAGAGTCGTCGGCTGCTTCGCGCGGGTGGATGCAGCGTGGCGGAGAATCGCCAGCCAGCGCCCCATTGTCCTCGGCAGACAGCAAAGACAAGGGCCACAGCAAGAGCCGGCTCAAGAACCTGTTCCACATTGGGCGCACCAGCGACAGCAGCGGGCAAAAGAAGAAAGCCGGCAGTGTAGCTGACCAGGTAGCCAGGCTTGAGGGCGAGGTACTGCACCGGCCAATGCAGCAGCGGGACGATTCCGCAGGGGTCGCTGGCCAACTCGTCTGACCAGTCGTCGCAGCGGTCGGCCAACACCAATGGTCGCAGCGTTGCCACTGTACCCGACGACTCGTTTCGGGAGCAGCGGGTAGTGAGCGGAATGGAGGCTGCCAGTCGGATCCATGTTGCTGTCCCGCCTGGGCATCTGTCGATTGTATACCCGGACTCGCCCATGTCCAGGGCTGACACACTTGCCAAGTCCAGCGTCGACTCCACTCGCGCCAGCGGCATCACCAGCGGGCATGCACAGCTGGTCGACCCCGACCAGAACAGCTCGTCGTCCAAGCCAGCCTACCCAATGCAGCACCAGTACAGCGGCTTCTCAGCACACACTCCAGCAGCAGCAGCAGCATCAGCAGCAGCAGCAGCACCAGATGGCGGCAGGGGTCGCGGTGGGTGGGCGGGGACTCCCAGGGGCGGAGTGACCTGCATGCGGTGCCGTCAGCATCGACCACGCTGCACTCATCCAGTGGCAATGGCGGGCAGTTCCAGGGCCGCATGGACAGCAAGAGCAGCGGGCTGGGCCACCACCACCAGCCCGCACGGCCAGCCATACCGGGCAGCAAGGCGGCAGGCAGGTACTCGTCGTCCAACTCACCGCCGTTTGTACCAGCGCATATGCGCGAGAACGTTGGAGTCGATAGTAATGGCAGCAGTCCCCGCATGTACCAGATGCAGCGACTGGCGGAGAGCGACACTCGCATCAACGAGCGCATGTCTGGCAGCAGCGGCAGAGCGTACCAGTCGCGGCAGCGGTCGACGACGCGTGACACGGACGAACACAGCAGCGACCACGACATGCTGACCGCAGATCTATGGGCAGTCGCCGATCATGATGGAGTTTGGCTTCGACGGCACTGTGTCATCGGCATCCCCGCCCCGTCGGCACTTGGCCCGGCAGCTGCCATCACAGCGGATGCCCAGTGTTGTGATGGAGGGCAGCGAAGATGCCAGCGAGAGCAGCGGTGGAGCGCGCCCACGCCGGTCGCGGTCGCTAAAGAACACAATCACGTCGCTGCGGCGCCGTCTGTCAAAGTCGAGCAAGAGCGGCGGCGGTGGCGGCGGCAACTCGGACGCGTCAAGCCCTGCGGTCGAGGTCAGAACGCCGAGCGTGTATTAGACTATGTGTAGATACCCTTTAGCTCTCGAGTTTTATAAAAGCGTGTGCTAGTTCTCTATCAGCAGCCTGTGCGATGGGCGGCAATGCCGTGGCCAGCCGCAACAGCGCCGACGGTCCCATCAAGAGCGAGGTGTGGTGACGGACCCCGCTGCCCAATGGGAACGCGCGATGGGCTGAAAAAAAAAAAAAAGCCGTTCCCCTGTGGAAATTGCGGTCAACACGGCGAGCGTGGGGGCTCTTCGATATAAAAGCGACAGCGGTGGCCTGGATGGGAGCGTGAGGCAATTTTTTTGCTCTCTTTCAACCTCGACTCACTCCGACTTTTCGCCCATCCAGTTTCAAAACTAATCACCCACTTTCGAGCCCGTGATCACAGATTAAGGTAAGCGCGTGCATTTCGCAGAGCCTCCTTGCCTGAACACTGCGCAAGCTAACGTCGGACCATGGTTTGCCCTGCACGCTCTTTCGCATCCGCGGTGTAGATACAATGAGTACGCGTCTGGACAGGCTGATCACGCTCCTCGACACAGGCGCAACGCCATTGGTGCGGTCTACGGCGGCACGCCAAATCGGCGGGATCCAAAAGCAGCACCCCTCGGAGCTGTTCCGGCTTCTAGCACGCGTATACGAGTTCATCGGCAACAAGAGCTGGGACACGCGGATTGCAGCGGCACAGGCGTTTGACGCAATTGCCAAGGAGGTCAGCGACTGGGACCCCAGCGGCAACGGCGACGTCAAGCCACCGCTGCTCGACGACGACTTCTTGGCGTTCTCGCAGTTCAACGTCGATTCAGTGATCCGGCACGGGCGCCTGCTTCTGGCATCGGCTGGCAAGGAGTACGACGAGGACGAGGCTATGGAGGGGCTCGATGCGCAGGCGCGGATTGCAGTGCAGCGCGCGCAGATTAAGAAGCGGCTGGGACTGGGCGCACAGTTTATGGACGTGGATCTGCTTGACGACTTGGATTTGGAGACCGCCCAGGCACGCAAGCGCAAGCCCACCACGCCTGTGAAGCACGAGCCGGTTGCAGAGGAGCCCGAAATCGACATGAGCAAGCTGAGCGCGCGCGAGCGCAACCGGATAAAGCGCAAGCAGCGGCTCGACGGCAAAAAGAAAGGAAAGGTGGATTTGGGGCCAAAGAAAGCTAACGGTGCCACAGCGGACACAAAGCCCATGGTCAGCTCGACGGGCGTCGACATTACTGAGCAGCCGGGCGGCGAGGCCATTGTTGTCGAGGCCAAAAAGGCCGATAACCGTGAGGCCCTGTTTGCCATCAGCGAAGGCAGCTGGCCGTTCGAGTCGCTGGTGGAGATTCTGTGCATAGACCTGTTTGACGCCAAATGGGAGGTCCGGCATGGCGCCGGCATGGCGCTGCGCGAGATCTTCAAGCACCACGGCCACAGCGCCGGCATGCTGGCTGGCGTTAGCACCGTGGAGAATGCGAGGCGGAACCAGCAGTTCCTGGAGGACGTGTGTGTGCGGCTCATGTGTGTGTTTACGCTGGATCGGTTCGGGGATTTCGTGTCGGACCATGTTGTTGCGCCGGTGCGCGAGACATGCGCCCAGACGCTGGGCGTGCTTAGTCAGTACCTGACGCAGCCCGTGCTGGTGGAGACGCAGAAGGCGCTATTGCAAGCTCGTCCAGCGTGGTGCCGGCGATCAGGCGAGCTCGGTCGCACCGATCTGGGAGGCCCGCCACTCGGGGCTCTCGGGGCTACGGTATATTGTAGCGGTGCGCCGCGATATGGCGTCACTGCTGGTTACCGGGACTCTGGATGCAGCGCTGGCCGGACTGCGCGACCATGACGATGATGTCAGATCGGTGTCAGCCGAGACGCTGCTGCCGCTGGTGGATACGCTTGTGACATGCCAGCCAACGCGTATCCTGGATGTCATTGACGGTGTGTGGATGGCCCTGACGGACCTGGGCGATGATCTGACAGCCTCGGTGGCGAATGTCATGGACTTGCTGGCGCGGCTGTTTGAGCACCCAAGGGTGCGGGGCACAGTCATCGAGGCCGGCAGAGTCCGCCCAGAGCAGTACGCATTCCGAGTGCTGATTCCACGCCTGTACCCGTTCTTCCGCCACACCATTGCATCTGTGCGCAAGGCTACGGTACAGGCGCTGCTGACATTCGCGTCGATGCAAGAGGGCGGCGAGCAGGAACTGCAGCACAGCTACGCGCACTCTGGCGATATCTCTGGGTTTGCCATCCCGCCCTGGGTTGACGTCGCAGTGATGCGACTGGTCATGCAGAACGTCGTGCTGGAGACGACCCAGGAGATTCAAGACCTGTCGATGAAGCTGTGGTTGGCGCTGCTGCGACAGACCCGTGAGCGCGTCCTGCTCAGCCTGCGTGTGTCGGGCAGCACGGATCCCGAGAAGGAGGCTGCGGAGATTGCTGCGCAAAACCTGCCACGGGACGTGATCCGCTCGATGTTTCTGCTGATGGCGACGCCGATCAGCACGCCGATGCCGCGTGGACTGATCTACGACCCACGTCGGACTGCCGATGACGCGGAGTGCTCTGGCAGCCGGTATAACGTCGATGCGCCGATGATCCAGCAGGACATGGGTCTGATCTCGCGCGAGACCATCATGCGCTGCCGCGTCCAAGGGGCTGCGGCGCTCGGGCTACTCATGGCGATATGGCCGAACCAGTCGCGCGCTGAGGTGTTTGGCAACATTCCTGCTGCCTGCATTGCATTCGCGGTGGTCGCTGCAGTGCCAGCTGGCCAGCGTGGTGTTTGAGGAGTTCGTGCATGGCTGAGCGCACTGGCGTGCTGGCGGACGGCTGCTATGATGGCTGTTGATGGATTGGAGGCAGTCAATCCGATGGCTCGCAGAGTCGAGTTTAGCTCGCCAGAGTTCGTCGACCAGATGCTTGCAGCCATCCAGGCTGTGCTCAGCGGCGACTATGCAAAGCATAACCCGCGGCCGCTTGCATATGTTGATTTGGAACGAGCGCTGGTGCACGTGCGTGGAGACTGCCAGGTTCTGCTGGCATCGGTAGCCGAAGTCGGCAAGCTCAGATGCTAGTGCCATCCCGGAGTTGCCAGAGATCAGCCTCACTGACGTCAGCGCGTTTTCGATCGCAACTGCCGAGCACTGTCTGCAGCACGCTGTTCGACCAGCTGTGTGCACAGGTCTCCCCGCGCACTCTCAATGCCCGCAACAAGTCGACGCTGATGGAGCGGCAGCAGCGGCTCAAGGCGTCGATTGAGTACTACACGCAGCAGCAGGTCGAGTTTGACGTATCCACGAATGCCGCACTTGCCGGCGCCGTAATCGCTGTTGGCAGACTGCCCAGCAAGCTCAACAGCGTTCTGCGCTCGGTCATGTCAGCAATCAAACAGGAGCGGTCCGATCTGCTGCAGCGACGCGCAGCCAGTGCTGCCGCCCGCATGGCAGCCTTGTGCTATTGCTCGGAGACCCCACGCGTTGCCCCCGCCGACAAGATGATCAAGAACCTGGCCACCTTTGCCTGCTCGGATCCGTGGACCACGCCGGTGTTTGCGCAGCGGAGCCAGCAGCTGGACGCGATTTTGATGCTCGAGATGGTGCAGCGCGAGCAGGCTGTCAAGGAGCTGGAGCGGGCGCAGCAGCAAAAGAGCGGCACAGCAGCCAAGCCCAAGAAGGACGATGGCAGCAACGGCAGTGACGCATCGATGGCGGCGGCAGCTGCGGCCAGTGCCCAGGCGAGCCAGCGGAAGCGCCGCGGAAAGGCAGCAAACGGAGGCTAGCGGCCAAGAACGCAAAGGCCAGAGGAGGCAGCGGTGATCCCGCTGTTCCAGGCGTCGACGCTGACAGAGGAGCAGGAGCGCGACCAGGCAGCGCGTCTGATTGTGCGCGGTGCTGAGAGCGCGCTTGACGCAGTGGCCAAGCTGTTTGGTGCCCAGCTGATGGCCTCGGTGCCACGGCTGTGGGAGTGCGTTTCGATACCGCTGACCAATGTCTACGGCGGCATGGCTGGCGGCGGCCCGCTGACTGTGCGGTCTGCCGAGGTGCTCATTGAGGCTGACGCCAAGCTCGAAACCGCAGGCCAGGAGGTTATTGACGCGCTGCGCATTCTGCAGACCTTAGGTTGGGAGCATCGACCTATGTCTGCACGACCACCTGGTGCAAGCCCTGCCGTGGGCCATGAGTGCGCTGATGAGCAAGTTTGCGGCTGTGCGACACATGGCGGCACGCACACTGGCCGAGCTGTGCCGCGTGTGCACGGTTGCGGCTATGCAGCCGTTCATCCAAAGCGTCTTACCGTCGCTGGGCGACACGACAATGACGCACCGGCGGCAGGGCGTGGCCGAGGCCTATCTACTACATTATCCAGCTGCTGGGCGAGACGGTGCTGCCATACGTCACGTTTTTGATGGTCCCGGTGCTCGGCCGCATGAGCGACGTTGATGAGCAGACGCGGCTGGTGTGCACAAACTGCTTTGCGCAGCTGCTCAAGCTGGTTCCTTTGGAAGGCCGACATTCCGGATCCGCAGGGCATCTCGACAGGAGCTGATCGAGAAGCGTGAGCACGAGCGCAAGTTCCTGGCGCAGCTGATGGACTCATCCAAGCTTGAGCCGTTCAAGATCCCGGTCAGAATCAACGCAACGCTGCGTAAGTACCAGCAGGAAGGTGTCGATTGGCTTGCGTTCCTCGACAAGTACGAGCTGCACGGCGTGCTCTGCGACGATATGGGGCTGGGAAAGACCCTGCAGACCATCTGCATCATGGCGTCGGACCACTTCCTGCGCAGCCAGCGGTTCGCCGGGTCTGGCGGGCAGGCCGCGGACTGCCGCCCGTTGCCTAGCCTGGTCATTTGTCCGCCGACGCTGATCGGGCACTGGGAGCAGGAGATCAAGCACTACACCGAGTCCCTGCGGCCTATGTGCTATGGCGGCGTGCCCGCCGAGCGCCGCTCCTTGGTGCCACAAATTGCCGCCAACAAGGCCGACGTTGTGGTTATGTCGTACGACGTGGTGCGCAATGACATCGAGTACCTGCAGGGCCAGAACTGGAACTACTGTGTGCTCGACGAGGGCCATGTTATCAAGAACGCCAAGACCAAGCTGACGCAGGCGGTCAAACGGCTGAAGGCGCGGCGGCGGCTGATTCTGTCGGGCACGCCTGTGCAGAACAACGTCATTGAGCTCTGGTCGCTGTTTGACTTCCTGATGCCCGGGTTCCTTGGCACCGAGCGCCAGTTCAACGAGCTGTATGGCAAGCCGATCTTGGCGTCGCGCGACGCCAAGCAGACGTCGCAAGGCTCACATTAACGGCGAATTGGCGCTCAAGGCGCTGCACAAGCAGGTGCTGCCGTTCCTGCTGCGGCGCATGAAGGAGGATGTGCTGCAGGACCTGCCGCCCAAGATCATCCAGGACTACCACTGCGAGCTCAGTCCGCTGCAAAAGTTCCTGTACGAGGAGTTTGCAAAGTCCAATGCCACAGGCAACCTGAAGAAGTCGCTGGGGCTGAAGGGCGAGGAGGGCGAGAGCACGGAAGCCAGCAGCGAGGACACCAAGAAATCAGGCACACACGTGTTCCAGGCCCTGCAGTACCTGCGCAAGCTGTGCAACCACCCGGCGCTGGTGCTGACGCCAAAGCACCCGCTGTACACGCAGGTCGTGGCCGACTTGAAGGCGCGGAATGCCGATCTGCACAGCCTGGACATTGCTCCCAAGATGCAGGCCCTGCAGGATCTGCTGCACCAGTGCGGCATCGGCGTTGCATCGCCCAGGTGCTGCTGACGCCAAGCCGGGCAGTGTCGAGGACATGGACAACGTCAGCGCTAACCACCGCGTGCTGATTTTCTGCCAGCACAAGGAGATGATCGAGCGCATCGAGCAGGACCTGTTCCAGCGCGCCATGCCCGGCGTCACATACATGCGCGTCGACGGCACAGTTGAGGCGCGCCGCCGCCAGGAGATCGTCTCGGCCTTTAACAGCGACCCCAGCATCGACGCCCTGCTGCTGACCACGCATGTCGGCGGTCTCGGACTGAACCTGACGGGGGCTGATACTGTGATTTTCGTCGAGCACGACTACAACCCCGCCATGGATCTGCAGGCCATGGACCGCGCCCATCGTCTCGGCCAGACACGCGTCGTCAACGTGTATCGCCTCATCACACGCCATACGCTCGAGGAGAAGATCATGGGCCTGCAGGCGTTCAAGCTGCATATGGCTAACACGATTGTCAACCAGCAGAACTCGGGCCTGGCGTCCTATGAACACCGACCAGCTGCTGGATCTGTTCAACGTGTCGCCAAGCGATGCCAAGGAATCCAAGATCGAGGACAAGCAGGATGCCAGGCGGCTCAAACAAGTCCATCTCCAAGGCGCTCGAGGGGCTCGAGGAGCTGTGGGACTCGAGCCAGTACGAGGACGAGTACAATCTGGACAATTTTATCTCGTCGCTGCAGCAGTAGTGCACGGTCTCTTACTTTTCTTGCTGCGTGTCGTTGTTCAAGTTACTCCGATGCTTGCTTTTTTTTTTTATTTAATCGAAGACCGCCCTGTCGGATCATTTGTGTTTGGTGGAACGCAATGCAGGTCGTTTTTATTGGGCCAATGGCAGGCGATTTCACGTGCCTGGGCGGATTCTCCGAGCACTGAACTGTTTTCGGATTTGCAGCGCCGGAACTGCAAGCCGGTTGAGCTGGAAGATGAACGAGAGCCCATTGATCAGGAACAGGAGCTGGGTGGGCGAGCCGGCAGATCGCTATAAAACTATTCTGATTTGGCCGCCGCGGCAGCTTGTGCCAAACAACAGTGCTCCATTTGTTTCCTGCCTCCTCCCTTCCCTCTGCTATCTACCTCGTACTCTCCTCTCCAGCTCCGGCTCTCTTTTTACTTTTCTAATTCCCATCTCGCGCTGAAAGGAACGCCTACTCATCTCCAGATTAAAGCAGAAATGTCGAGCAACAAGAAGGAACTTCTCGAGCCCACCCCCGAGCTTTCCAAGGCCCTGCACCAGACGGTGGTCGAGGACCAGTCTGCCAGCTCCCTGGTGAGCCGTCTGAGCGGCAAGGACAAGACTCTGCAGACCGAGTCGGTCAACACCTACCAACAGTTCTGGAAGGACTCTGAGAACAACAACGAGGAGTCGCGCGCGTCGCTGTACAAGACGCTGACCAACACGTACTACAACCTGGCGACCGACTTTTACGAGTACGGGTGGGGCGAGAGCTTCCACTTTGCGCGCAAGGCAATCGGCGAGACGCTGCGCGAGAGCATCCGGCGGCACGAGCACATCCTGTTCAGCGCAGCGCGCATCAAGCCGGGCATGAAGGTGCTTGATGTGGGGTGCGGCGTTGGCGGCCCTGCGCGCGAGTGCATTCGGTTCTCGGGCGCCCACGTGACCGGTCTCAACAACAACGACTACCAGATCCAGCGCGCCAACATCTATGCCAAGAAGAACCAGCAGGAGCATCTGTCGACCTTTGTCAAGGGCGATTTCATGCACATGCCGTTCGAGGAGAACAGCTTCGATGCCGTGTACGCCATCGAGGCCACGTGCCATGCGCCCAAGCTGGAGGGCGTCTACAGCCAGATGTACAAGGTGCTCAAGCCCGGAGGCTACTTTGCCATTTACGAGTGGTGCCTTACTGACAAGTTCGATGAGAACAACGAGCTGCACAAGAAGGTCGCGCTGGAGGTCGAGCACGGCGACGGTATCGCCAAGCTGTTCTCCACTGATGTTGCTCTGCAGGCCGCCAAGAATGCTGGCTTTGAGATTGAGATCGCCAGCGACCTGGCCCACGAGACGACTGTCGGAAACGAGATCCCCTGGTACGCGGATCTCGACTGCGGACTCATCAACTTCAACGGCATCCAGGGATTCGCCCGCTCGCAGATTGGTCGTGTCTTCACTTCCAACGCTGTCAAGCTGCTTGAGAAGATCGGCATTGCGCCCCAGGGCACCGTGCAGGTTCAGGATGTCCTGATGACGGCCTCTGATGGTCTGGTTGCTGGCGCCAAGCTCGAGATCTTTACCCCGATGTACCTCATCGTTGGCCGCAAGCCGCTCAACTAAAATTATCTTTACCGCTTTCTTCCAATTCCCAACAGTCTCGCAAACCATGTGTGGCAATGAAGAAACAGAGGCCGGGCGCTTTGTCTGCTTTTTGGTGCATATTGCAGGGAGCATTCCAATGGTCTGTCGACCCCGTGCTTGCCAGATTTGGAGAGACATGGGCGGATTTTTTTAGATGCTGTGTATATCCAACTTTACGTATTGACCTCTGTGGCTTCAATGCATGTCTTCACATGCATTATAGTTGCACATCCAGTTATAATGGAATGAGGGGAGTATGCCAGATGCCGAGAATGGAAAAACGCACAGGAGGTCGCAAACAAGCGCAGTGCACTGCATGGTTCCCCCTCTATTTGCAAAGTCTGCGGTTCCAGGCGTTATGAAGGGAGACTTCGGTTGACAACAAATGTAAACACGATTTTGAAACAACTATAAACTGTATCGTTAGCCACATAGCAATCATCACTACTGTTTCTCATCGCCGGATGACGATGGGCGGTTGAGCGGCGCAGATCTCAGTGGAAAGACAGGCGGTTTGGGCGAGTCAGCTCTCTGCGGTCCCACTCCAACTATCGCCCGCTGACAAGATTGGCGACAAGTCGCGCCTTGCACCTCCCGCCGATGTACTATGGCGGTGCTGACCAGGCTTTGGAGACGAAGCCTTGCGCGACGTGTCGATGGCAGCCGGTACCATATCGATGTGCATCTGGGAGTACATGGAGCGGAATGTATGCGTGCTGCTCATGCCATAGGCGTTCGGAACGAATGGTACAGAGGGCACACGGTGAGCTGAATGCTTGCTGGACTTGTCACCAGAGTCGATGGAGAAGGCGGGTTGCAGTGATGTAGGTGGTGTAGGGCGGCTACCATCGGTTCGTGAGAGGTTCTTGGGCAGCATGCTTGGGAGCCGCTTGCCCATCAGCTTGCGCGGGTCCAGAAGCATGTACTTGGAGATTGGCGCCTTGCCCTTGGCAGAATGCACAGACACAGTATCCTCTGTGTCTGTAGCCTGGTCGCCACCGTAGTGCTGCTGGCTGCTGCCGCTTGCCGCCGATACCTGACTGGGGGCCTCTGACGACGCTGGGTAAGACACCCCTGGAATAGGCGTTCCCGTCACTGACCGACTATAGTCGGGAGCAGGCCGCGCTGATAGACTAGGCGACACTGAATATACGGGTGGACTCGACGGCTGGCTCTCAGGCTCCAGCGGCACATTTGCAATATGCTGCATGTCCTGACGCATGTCCTGACTGCATACCCTGCTCGATCTTGCGGTCCATATCAATCAGCAGCTGTCGCGCTGCCTTGTCTGGCCCTACGGACTGCTTGCTCCATGCCTTGCGGTTATGTAGCTGCCTGAACTTTTCCCTGACCAAAGCGCCGGTGTGCTGCAGAACCACACCCATGTACTCCTTCTTGACCTGCATCAGCAGCTCATAGTACGACTCGACCTGGTTACGCAGCTCCAGCGTAGGAGCGTGGAACTCGAAATTGCGCAGATCAGTGATATTCGACGCCTTCTTGCCCTGGAACGAAATACAGATCGTGCTGCCTGTGATCTTGATATTCAAGAACGTCTTGTTGCTACTGGCACGCCGCTTCATCAGATCCACTTGGTCACGGTTGTCGTTTGCCTGCGGCATGTTGATCATAGACGTGCTCTCGCTGAATAGTGATAGCGGGGACTGGCGGCTCGACAGCGATATCAGGGTGTTGGGTGACGACTGCATAAAGGGAATCGGCGTCATTGGCGACACCGACGACCGTGCATCGCTGCTATTACCGCCACCAATATGGTCATCTATGGTTTTGCGCATTTTGGCCTTGAACAAAGACTTGCCACTGCTGGATGCAGTTTTCTGGTGGTGCATATGCGGCAGACTCAGGTGGTGGTTAGGCAGCGGCTTGCTCGATGAGGAGCTGGTCAACGGGGTATCAGTGGGCGTAGGGGAAACCATTGGCGGCTCGCTGACTAACACGCCGCCATTCACACTGGTTGGCGTCGACGGCTCAATGCTGATGGGGCTGATTGGCGGCGGTTCGTTAGCTGAGTGCGTGCTGCTAAGGGTATTTCTCCGGACCGCGAGACCCAAGCGTCGACAGATCCGCACGACTCGAAACCAGGCTGCTGCTCATCGTTGTGTCGGCTGTCGCTGGGGCATTACTATCCTGGGGCGGGTACAGATAGTTTATGAGCTTGGTAGCGATATCGTGGGACAGCTGAAGGCGCAGCGGGAACAGCTCGACCTCAAAGCGCTCAACAATGCTGATTCCGCCGACCGGTGCCAACTCTGACCACCGAACGCGGATCATCTTTTCGATCCGGAAGTCCAAGTTCTCGTACCCAGGAGCCACGTAGGGGCCAACGAGATCAGTAAAGGTCGGGTTAGGCAGGCGGTTGATGATGTACAAGAGGTGCACCTCGCTCAACAGATGCGTGGCCTGGTCAGAGGTAGTTACAGCCTTTAGCGACGCCCACCGCAGCGTCATATCACACAGAGGCTGCCCGTCGTTCTCCAGCATGTGCCATGTCGCCTTGCTGATGAACAGGTGGATAGTGCGTGCGATTGTGCTGTGTGATTCCTCTGCCACACGGCTGCTAGACGTGTATTTGGACTTGCTCTCAAACACCTCCGACGCCTTGCCGTGAGACCTGCGCCTGTCTTTGGTAAACGGCACCGATGCTTGCTTGCTGGCCACCGTAGCGTGGTCGGTGCCTAGAGGGTCGCTGTTCAGGAACACAGATGGTCCAGATACCTCGCTGGGCCGACGGCTCTCCAGGTTCTCGGCTGAGATTTTTCCAGCCTCGATATCCGCCGTCTTCTGCTCCAGCTTATCAATATGCTTCTTCTGCTTCTGCGCTGCACCAAACAGATCCATGGCTGTGCGCAGCTGCAGCTCCAGTGCCCGCCGATGGCGGTCCAATGTCAGCAGCGATACTGCACGCGACTGCTGGCGAGCAAAGTTGATTTCGGCGAACAGCCGGTGATCCTCAATCGGCACCACCTGCGACACGTCGCGGTACAGGGTTGCATTGGCACGCTGAATCTCGTACCAGTCATGGATGATCGGAAGTCGCTCACGCAGAGCGTCCTGTGTAGCCCGAATGATCTTCAGCAAGCCCCTCAGATCGCTCATATCGATGCCCAGCAGAATGGTGCTCAGGTTCTCCATGTAGCTGGCCTTCTCGGCGTCGCTGTATACGATCAGGTCAGTGACTGTCTCGTAGACTGCAATGTACTGCTCGGCTGTGCACGCAAAGTCGACCTCGGGCAAAAACACTGCAATGTGGTTCGCCCTATGCGACAAGCCTTGCTGGCTGCCAGAGTTTTCGGCGCGGTCGTTCGAGTCCTGATGGTGGTGGCGCGACTTGTCCCTTGTTTTTGGACTTGCCTGACTTTGTCTCGGCAGTGCTGTTGCGACGCGCACGCGCTTTCTTCTCGGCATCCGGTGCCGCTGCGCTTGCTGCTGCCCATCGAGATACCCAAGGCATTGGCAGACTCCGAATCAGTCATGCCGCCGGCATGGCTGGTGTCTCCGCTGTCATCGTCGTCGTCGTTATCAGCATCGCCAGCCTTGCTGCCAGCCTCATCGTTGATGTCCTCGATCGAAAAGTCAAAGTGATCCGTGTTGTCGCCCAGGATGCGATGCGGATTGGCCTTGTCGTAGACCAGCAGCCCGTTATTGCGGTCCATCAGACGCTTGTACTTGCTCAGATCCTGGAGCCACCAGGCGCGGCCGCTCTTGCCCTTCTTCCTCCTCCCTTGCCTTGTGGCCTGCCGCTGGCTACTGGTGCTAGAGCCAACGCTCATAAACGACGAGTCGCTAGAATCAGAGTAGTACTCATCCTCGAGCTGCGCCTCAGCCAGCCGATTCTCGTGTTCGTTTTCGTGATCCAGATCATCGAAGATGCCACGCGCCTTGTGCTTGCCCTGGCTGAGCAGAATCTCGATCGGAATCCACGCCGGCCAGATAGCATCAGGCTGCTTGTTGCGCGCAGCATCGCCGTCAATGCGCGATCCATACGTGCAGTCGACAAAGTACTCAGCCTGGCCCACAAAATCGTCGCGGCTGGCCTGTGAACACCTGGATATTCTCGATCTCGACCAAGCTGCGCGTCTTGACAATGGACTCATCATCGGGCGGCCTCACAATCTGCCTGCCACCGGGCGCCATTCCGTCCATCGCCATCTTGTCGTTGAACTCGTCGCTGTTGCTCAGCAGAATGCGGTGCAGCTGCACCCGTTCGGCAACAGCAATGACAGAGCTGGTACTGGTCTTCTCGTCGACGCGCAGTGACACCTGCGAGTTGAGGAACTCGACTAGGAACGAGTAGTACGGGTGGTAGTGCGAAAAGTCGTCCCAGAACTTGCGCAGCCCTTTCTCGAACTTGTTGTCGGCGGTCTTCTCCTTCGATGGTTTAAAGTCCTCCTTGCGCTTCTGCTTGTTGCGGTGCTTGCCAGACTGTGAGCGCGACCACCTGGAACGATGACGCTGGCTTGCCAGTTTTTGGCATGCTCGACTCGGTTTCGATCTCGATCTTATCGTGGCTACGGAGCTTGCGCAGCAGATTTGGAAAGTTCCTGGTCCGCCGCGATGTATCCGAGAATATACTGCGCGCGTCGCTATGCTTGGATGCGGGACTTTTGGCGGTCGCCCCTGTGTTTCTGGGAGACTCGCTGATAGGCAAGGACATGAACTCGTCTGGGTGCTTCGCAGTGCGCGTACTTGCCCTGGTATCTCTCCGCTGCCGAGAACGCCGCTTCGTAGACTTGTCGGACGTATCCTCCCAGCCAGCCCGATCCCTTTCGCGATCCGATGCTGCAGTCCGCGCTACCTTAGTAGCGGCTTCGGACATGTAGTACTCGATCGCACTGAGGCAGTCCTGCATATACAGGAAGCGCATCAGAATATCGCGCACCTGCGATGTCCAGATCAAGTAGCCTGAGTAAATTAGACAGCGGTGGCGGTACAGCGAAGCCAAAAGATTCTCGACTTGCTGCGTATCGCGGTCCAGGTCAAACGCCCCTTCATCGTCCAGAACTCCCACACCACAGGCGTCGTCAGGATCAACACCCAGGAATCGCAAGCAGCGGTTAATCAGCTTGCGCCGCGCGCCGAGCTCGTAGATGTGCTCTGCGTGTCGCACCATGCGGGCCCGATACTCTTCGTTGTGGCGGTTCGGCGCGCGCTCGAACTCGCGGCTGACCGATGCCAGCTCGTTCTGCTCCAGCTGAATAGCCTGGCCCAGCATTGCCTTGCGGCGCTTGAGCAGAATTGCCTGGGTTGTGCGCGAGTCGCGCATAATCACAGTCGGGTCAGGACCGGTTGGAGCCATGCGCATTATCTGGTTGTTGGACATTGTCTGGTCAACCAGAACGCTGGCCTGCCGCCGAACCTCGTTCAATTCTGGATTGCCGACCTCCAGCGATGTGCGTGTGGGCGATACTACATTCAGTGTCTGCCGGGAATTGCTAGCTGTCAGTCTACGCGTACGCGATCTAGCCAATTCAAGAAGCTGGAACGACGACTTGTACGTCATTGCCGATAGTGGGCTCTTGATATCGCTGTCAGGGTCGCCGAGCTGCGGCATATCGGCCACCTGCGGCAACTCGCCTGGTGAGAGCGCTTCGTTGGGGCTGACCAGTGGACGCTGCGCTGCGGCACTGCTAAGCTGCGTGAATGTGCGGCCATTGATGGGCACTGGCTGTACGGCTGTCGTGGGACTAGCCAGCTGGAACGGCGATTTCGGGTTCACCGACTCGTTACTACCCTTAACACCACCGCTGCCGCCGTCATGCGATGTTTGGCGCGACAGACCCCAGGGCATCGATGGGTACCGTTTGTGTGCTGGAGACGCTCCCCCTGCAAGGTCCTCATCGACACTGCCGCCGCTACCAGACATGCTTGTGAGCTGTCGAGACAGCAGGTTTGGCCGCTTCGCCTCGCTGCTAGCACGCGACCGCGTCGAGCTGACACTCCGCCTCAACAACTGCGTGCTGGGCTCAAGCAGAATAGGGATGGTGTCGCCCTTGAGAGTGCCTGCTGCAACCTTGGGCGACGTGTTGCCCTGACCGTCTGTCGACTGCCGTGGCGATGAGTGCGCTGGGTTGGTTGCGTCAAGTACCTCATCAACAGTCTCGTCAAACTGCGACCACTCGGGCCGCTGTGTAAAATACACCATCCTCGGCGACCACAGCACGCTGACGATGCTCGGGCTGTTGAACAGGGCCTCGCCCAGATCCAGTTCATTTAGGTCACGGATACTGGTGGCCGAAATCCAGCTCTTTTCAAACACTGACAGCCCTGCGCACGAGTCTGGTGTAAACCGTAGCCCATCGATCCGCCGTGTGCGGTCCATATCAGCAGCACTCAGCGAATGGATAAAGAGAGGCATCGCAAACGACATCTGCACCAGCCGCACATCCACGTAATCGATCTCGGTGCTCGCATCGCCCACGCCCCACCGCAGCGCCTGCGTCTCGGCCGGCTTCTTGGCAGTCTGCCCTTTCCGCGACCGTATCCCGCCCAGCGATGAAGAGTCAGGTGTGGTTGGCCGTGTCTGGGACATCGAGTCCTCTTGCTCGTCGGCCACATGCAGCGTAACAGAACTCTGCTCCATCAGCAAGTTGAACGAAAACGAGTCGACGCGTGCCTTGAGCTCGCGTAGAGTGCCCTCAGCCTTAGCACCAGAGATGGCCGTCTGTGCCGATTGCTGCTGCTGCTGCTGCTGCTTCTGTTGCACACGCCGCTCGATCTCGCCGTAGCCCAGATTGCTGAGCTCTCGTGTCTCAAGCTCCTTGATCTCAAAGTCGCGCTGCGAGTACGCCAGCTCCAAGTTCTTCAGATCCAGCAGCAGTCGCATCGACCGCATGCACTTGCCAAGCTTGTTGTCCGATGTTGTGTTGGCTGGATACAGAGCCCCCTTGCGCACTGGCAGCATCATGCGAGACGCAAACAGAGGCAGGAACTGAAGGATGCTTTCGATAACTGCAGACGTGACATTGATCAAGCACTGCGGCCGCGAGTCGGCATACCTGCTTCGCTGCTGTGGCTGTTGTTGCTGTGGCTGCGGCTGTGGCTGTGGCTGTGGCTGCGGCTGCCTCTGAGACTGGCTGTCGCTGACCACCTCATCCTTGTCGAGCGGGAACGGCGTAAAGAATAGGTCGTGCGAGGCCAGTCCCATGCGATTGCGTCTCTGCTGGCTGCCAGAACCATTCGAATAAAGCACCTGGTCACGCATCTTGCTGGATATCATGCGGTGCAGCGGGGATGCCAACGCATCGTTGTCCTTGGCCATCCATTTGCGCGGTGCTTTGGCCATGACATCGCTGTCCGGCAGCCGTAGGTGTGGGATAATAGAAGCAATAGTATCCCGTGACGGCTGGCTCCTCGACTTTTCGCCGTTGCCCCGTCTAACCACAGGCGCTGGCTGGGCAGTCGACAGATAGAGCTCAGAGAAATCATCCTGCGTCGGACAGTCTGCATCGGTGAACGGACAGCGCAGACTGACCTCGGTATGCAATTTAGTGCTGCGGAACCCAATGTACGCGTCGTTGACGCCGCGCAAAGCCATTGAAGCGGCGTGCTCAGGCGCAATTGGCTGCACTTCCCAGTGGTTACGTCGCAGTCCAGTCTGGTCTGGCGCAATATACGCTGACAGCCCGATGCCAACCCGCACACCCCCCTGCAAGTGAAGCATGATCTTGTGGTACAGCCTGCTGGCGCTGTCGGTGATAAACGTATACCGGGCACTGTTGTCGCGCGAGATATTGTACAGCAGGTTGATGTGCGCCTTTCGCCACGCCTGTGCATCGGCGTTATCAACTCCATGGTGTGCAGGCTGCGTAGGAGCCGGCTGGTGAGACTTTGACAGGTGCGGGATGATATCGTCAATCTCCATGTCGTCGAGGCCCGGCCCGCTGTTCCTCAGCGCACCGTCCTTTATACTCGACGACAGATTCATCGCCTTCAGGATCGCCGACTTGCGGTCGATGATCACAGGCACACCCATCAGGAACTCCTTGCAGCGGATGCGCATAAACTCGCCCTGCGTGGCTGGTGGTGGCACACCGTCCTCGGTTGGCACCGAAAATATGCCCGATCCCGAGTGCTCGTCCCACAGCTCCTTGCCTGGGAATCCCTCGTTCAGGCAGATCCGCACTCCGCCGCGCATCGTCACCAAGTACCCGCCAGTCTTCTGCGTGACCTGGTACGGATCGCGGCCATCCAGGGCTAAGAAGAACATTTGTCCTTTGTCGTTCTGCTGAGTTGCCAGCTGGGCACCAAGAGGCGGTGGCGGCTGCAATTTTATAGAGCCTCCGCTGAACCCACCGGACATAGCCATGCTGATTGGATCTGGCATTGTAGCACTGGTGACGGGCGCGGTCCTGGGCGGCTCAGGCATGCGCGGGGCATTGACCACTGCCATCCGGCATCTAAAATGCATACGCGAGCGGAGTTTGTCCCACCACGACAGTGCTGGGCTGACGTCGGCGCTCTTGGACGTTGCTGTCTCGAGTCGCTGCATCATGGCTGAGATCACCGGCTGGTAGCTAGCACCCCATGTCGACATGATTGGCAGTGGCGGCAAGTGCGTCGACAGCGCCTGGCCTTGCAGCATGTGCATTTCGGTCTTATCCTTTGGCTGTGCCTGCGAACATTAGGATGGACATGGACGTGTAGATGCGCGGGAACTGCAGCGATTTGGACACATACCAGCCGACATGCTTGGCCTGGACCCCCGAATCCCGAGACCGCGGGCCAACTGGAACGTAGATGCTACGGAGGGACCGCTCTTGCGCCGTGCGCTCAGCAATGATAAAGCTGGCGCTGACCTCGACTCCTCCGAAGAGCTCTTCATAGTTGGCATCGGGGTTATGCTTTCTACGCGATGTGTCGGCTCGGTACGGATCAGGCACACTAAACAGCGGGAACGGGAAATCGCGCAGCTGCATTCGGATCTCGCCGCATTTCACCCTTAACCGTGTTGGCACCAGCGTGGACCATTTGAGTTTGTGTGGCGTGGTCGGATCCAAGTACCGGAGGTAGCTCTCGATCTGGTCAAACTCCAGTAACGACAAGGGTGTATCAATGGATACCCACACGGGCGACATCGTGAATCTTGCCAAGGCCACTGCCGGATGCGTCCACGATCCAGGCACATAGTTGTATGGTGGTTTGGCATGCGTCCCGCCGCACTCTTGCTCGCGATGGTACTGACAATCATCGGGCGGCATATCAAGGATCTCCTCAAAATGCATCTCACGACACACGGTCTCACAGCCAGTTTCCGCAGGCGGTGGCATCATCTTCTCGCGAATTGCTTTGACCCACAGCCGTGATTCAACCTCACGAAGCCTCTGCTCGGCTGCCGCAATCTCAGCATCCACCGACTCGCGCATTTT